TCGAGTACCCTCTCAAGAAGGACTTTTTCTTCCAAGTCGGTCAATTTCCGAAGGTTGGCAGGTAATTCGCGTCGTGGTTGCTTTCCGGCGCGTCGGTGACGGAGCGAGGTTTCGGGTATCTCGTAGATTGTAGCAGCTTTTCGTACGGAAAGATTAGGGTCATTTTTAAGAGCTTCGAGCGCAAGGATCATACGACTTTCTTTTGGAAGAGATTCCATGTTGTGTTGTGGAAGAAATTTCGTGATGAAGTTAGGTGGTTGTTGGAGGAAGAAAGTGCGCCACTCGTTATGCTGCGCCACTCGTTATGCAAGTACGTTATAGAGAAGCGCAAATACTGAAGAAGAAACTAAATAATATGCAACTAGCCTTAGCCGATAGGCTATTTCAAGACTTACCTCCTATCACCTATATAGTATCTAAAACAAGAAAGAAAGGAGTTAATAATGCGCTACCGCAATGCTTAATCTTCTCCTACCTGCCTTTAGAAATACATAATACATTAACTTGATATGTCAGAAAGATAAAGTTTTAATATAAAGTAAAAAAACAGTGTCAGTCACAGTATATATAATCAAGAGGGTATTTGTTAGGCCACCTAAAATACAATGCACGCGCGAATAAGGGAAGAATCAACAGCGTACAGAGAGGAAAAAAAAAGCGAGTCAGTCATTGCCTGATAGGGCAAATAGACAACCAAATCCAGCTTTTGCAGGAATTCCGCATGCATCAAGAGTGCAATCCAGAGCCCACCTAAGCGCTCTGCGGCAGCAATGACGACGTGTCCTTGTCGCCCGCTCCCAGCGCGCCCAACCCACCAACCCCACTCGTCCTGCCAGCGCTCTCGGGATGCTGCCGCGCTGCTGCTGCTAGCCCAAACTTATCCATTCCAGCCACCACGGGCGGCGCGCTGTCGACCTGGCCATACACAATGCCGAGACCGTTGGGATCCGTCTTGGAAAGCGGGCCGCCCATCTCCTTCTCGTCGCCGTGATTCCCGACCTCGTTTTCGTTACCGTTGTCCTCCAGATTCATAAGTGCGGGCGGCCGGTGCCGCATCTGCCGTGCTTTCGCTAGCGAAATGGTCTTTTGCTGGTACGTGGTCGTGATGGGCTGCGTGTCGTCGCGGTCGATGGTCGCCTTCATCAGCGCCGCCATCCACAGCCGTCCCTGCTTGATGTTGGGCACGGCAAAGTAGTGCACCGTGGGCTTGGTGAAGTTGACGGCGCGCGAGAGCCCCGCGCGCGGCGGGACGAGCTTGAAGATGAAGATGTGATCCGACTCCTTGACGGGATCGCGTTCCGCGTCGGCCGCGGCCGACGTCGTCATGTGGCTGCCGGCCGGCATGGCCGGCGTGCTCGAGACGCCCGTCAGCGTCGCGTGGAGACCCGTGAGCCGCTCGTTGTCCGCCGGGAGGACCCGGTGGAACGAGATGTCAATCAGCCCCCGCTCCTGGTCGTCATCCTCGGAGTAGTAGTACGCCAGGCGCCTGCCCTTGAGGACAAAGAGCCGAGCCTTCCACGTCGTCATGAGGTTGGCGCTCCTCTTCTTCATCCAGCCGCTGTAGTCAGCATCCTTCATGGCTTCTCGAGGGCTAATCTTTTGGAGGCCGCGCTGGTAAGCACTGGTCTCCTGCTTCGTCTTCTTGCGGCTGGTCCGGCTAGCTGCAGTCGTGGCCGTGCTCGGGCTCTTGGCGGCGTCGGGCAAATCGAGCTCGAAACTCGGGCCGCCTGAGGGCGTGCTAGACCCAGTGCGCGCCGGCGAGTACATGGGCGATTCCTTGATGGGCGAATTCTCAATCGGTGACAGCTTGGCTCGTTCACTACCCGTAATCGCGTCCGAGGCTGCGCGCAATCCTCCGAGTCCGCTTCGCAGCATCATGGCCACGTTGAAGTCCGGATGGTTAACTTGGCTCAGCCGCTTGATGGCAGACCTGGGTGACGAGCGGGATTGGTCCGACGCATTGCTGTCCAGTCTGGTGACAGTAGGATTCATGGCTTCTTTGGAGCCCGAGACGTGCCGCAGCGAATCGGTGGTCGCGACGGAGGGCGAGCGTTTAGAAACGCCGTAGTACTTTTGCGCGGCAGGCGAAAGTGCCGAATCGCGCACCGAGTCCACGCTGCTGAGCCTTGAGTGCCTGGACAATGCAGTGCCGCTGCGTACTCGCTGTTCCTCTGCGTAGCTCGGTTTTGGGGATTGGACACTATCGCGCTTCTTCAGAACGTTGCGCCGCCGGCCATCGGCATCGGTGCCCGAAAAGTAGCCGCGGTCAAGGTCAACGGCCGAATCCTGGAGCTCTGCACCTTGCCCAGTCATTGCGTCATGGTGACCTGCAGAGGAGAGGGGACGCGGCGAGTAAGCAGTGGCACTTCCCAGAGTCCAATTGCGGTCAAATGACGGCTGCTTCTTGTGTGAAGCGTCTTGTCGCGCAAAATTGCTGTTGAGCGGCGCCTTTTGAGCTGCCGACGAAAGATTAAGGGTTGTGCCCGGGATCCGGAAATCTGTTGACGAGTGGCGGCGCGAATGGTGCAAATCTCGGACGGATGCAGCCGATGGCCGTTTGTCGTGGTACGTGCGGGTCGGGCTTTCTATCAGAGGCGAAACGGGTGACACGGGCTCATACGGTTCCAGCTTCGGCGTTTGCGACAGGCGTTTGGTCATGACCGAAAGAGATGTCTCGTTGAGAGGTGCAAACCGCGGGCCCGAGCTCGTGATGGTATTTGTCCGGCTCCGGACCCTGCCGGCATCCGACCCTGCATCGCTCCCATACGTCTGCGTATTTCTGCCTGTCCTCGTCGCCTGCCCGACCACCTCGTCCTGGAGCTGCTTAATCTTCTGCCACGTTTTCAATCTTCTCCCCACGGATCCCAAGTCAAGCGCTTTGATGAAGACTGATGTCTGATCCATTCCAAGGAGCACCTCACCCGTGATTTCCTGGTCCCGGAAAACCTCGCAATGGTGTTTCTCTACGCCGGCCGTGAAGAGATACTCGGCCACCTGGTCGGCATTCCATGATTCCACCTCCTGGCGGGTGTGAACCGTCTCCTCCTCTTCGTCCGTCTCCTCCCCCTGGATGTACGAGACGCGGTTGTCCATATGCGAGCTGTACTCGCTGCCGGAGTCGTTGCCATTCCGAAGCGATGCGTTGCCTGATGGTGAGTTGAAGTCTGTGATGTGCTCATTGATGACGTTCAGCGTCTCGTGCAGGACGTGGCTGTCCGCGCTTGTGCTGGGCCGGGTCGTGTTGCCGAGGCCAGAGCCTACATTAGGCGGCACACTGCTGGCCGGAGGTGGTGGGCTGGCGGCGACAGTCGTGGACTTGAAGGAGCTAAGGGGAAGCGCGGCCGGCACGGGTTGTGGCTCAGGCGCGGCGGCATTCGTTTTCTGCTCGACGGGCGGACTCCCGGCGGGAGTTGTCTGCTCGTTGAAGACCTCGGCCAGGGGGGTAAGAGGCTGCTTCGGGAGTGAGAATACCGGGGCACTGGCAGGCGGTTTCGGCGCTGGTCGCGTATACACTAGGACTTGTCAGCCACGGACGCGGCGAAGATCTCGCGCTGCCAACGGACCTTCTGGGAAGAGGCCACTGTTTCCATTGACCAGGTGCTTGCCCAGAAACCACCCATCTCCGAACTCGTCGTCGCGCTCCAGTAGCTCTACACGGTCGCCTTTCGCCAGGGTCAACTCGTCGGAACTTCGGGCTTCGAAGTCGTCTGCGAAGGAAAGGACACGCATGATCAGCAACTGTTCTTATCCACAGCAAGGACCGAGCACGGCCGAGATGCAATCGAGGCCGATTGAGGCAATAATGTCTGGGCAACTCACGAATAACGATCAAAATATCGCCCACCTCGGGCCTGTTGGGATTAGCCGCAGCCATGGTTGTCCCTCGGGAGCAGCCCAGTTGCTGCACGGAAGCGTCTGGAGGGACGGTTTGATAAGGGTCAAGAGCAACGAGTCAAGACGGTGGTTGTTGAATTTCCGGCTACCAAGATCGACGAAGAGCCGCTAAGAAGGGAGGAAGGCTTGTTCGTGTGCCGGCAGAGGAGGCGTTAAGTGTGGCTGTCGCAAAAATCAGGCCCAGATCAGGTCGTGGGACTGGCCAGGGGCGAGGACCAAGGTAGGCAGCCAACTCTTAGCAGACGGGACCGGCAAACGGCAGGGAAACGTGAAAAGCAGACGGCACACGGCGTGGTGTCACTCCCATGATCCAGGTATGTATCACTGCGCTGAAGCAGGGTGTTGGATCTGATTTGAGGGGTGTTGTATCTCGGCGGTTGCTCGAGGTGGCACGGAGCACTTCGAGAATGGGGGGGTAGCCGTTCGTGGCAAGACCACGTATGATGGGAGTTCGACGGGGCTGAACGTTCGTCGGCGCGGCGGGCGGCACTGCGGGCTTCCGTCGCTGATTGGGGGAGCAGTCTACGGGGCGAGGGGGCGCGTGGATTGCCGTTATTGGGCCCTCAAAGTGGGCTATGGGTGGTGCCTTCGATCACACCTTGCACATAGCAACGGCGAAGACATAACAAATTTGGGTATCACTAGGTATTTGTTTACAAAGGCGAATCGAGAAAAATCTCGTTGTCAGGATGACCGCTGGCAAGGATGATCTCGGTTAGTAAGAACTCGGTCCAGCGCCTGCCCTGTGCTTCTGGCAGGTTTCGGTGCCGACGAAGGGTGAACGCTCTCTGGTGGTGGGTCCCTTCAAATAGCATCGAACGGGCCAGCTCGGTTCAACAGGAAAACGAGAGAACCATTGTGAGGGCAGAATATGGAACATCGACGCCAAACTGCCTTCTCCCAATGACTTGAAGGGGGCCAGACTGATTTGCAGTTTGAAGTGATGGATCACCAAAGACGATCCAGGGGCAGAAGAAACAACGGCAAAGTTGCAGTAGCGCGCCTGGGGTAGTTATGCGATTGCGGCGCCACCTTGGCACACACCCAGTCCAAGCGCCGCTTCCAACAGCCAGAATGCAAGTGTGGGCCATGCGTTGCCTGAGACGGCGGGACATGGATTGGTGGAACCGAATCGGTAGAAGAATGACGGTGCTTCATAGAGAGGGCAGTCTGTATGTCATCATCATTGGCAATCGAGTCTTGGAAACTGCCCGTTCATCTCAACGGCGCGAAGTTTGGATGGTCGCTGTCCTTGTCGAAGATGTGCCGCAATAGGGAATACAGACACAGGAGGCCCAAAAGACGGCACTGCTTTGATTGAGAAGCGCCGCTCAGGTAGCCGATCTTTAGAATTATGTTCGGAAACAAAAGAAATATACAGGAGGAGATAGGAGGGGCATGGACTAACAAAAACCGGCATCAGTCGTCCCTGGGGTTGTTGGTGTTTTGAGAACCGAACGATGAGAAGTTCGGTTGCTTTCGCACTTCCGTACCTTACAGAGGCTCTACCTGTAATTACGGAAATAACGCCGTGGATAGCACGCCGTTTCTTCACATGTTAGACCCACAAACAGCTTCAGCAGCAGGTACCCAGGCCGGTTGAACATGGCTTCCCCAGCTTCGGCGTCGGCCCGCTTCTGGCATTAGCCCGCGCTGCGTTGGGCCTCGGCAACTCCAATCTACATGTCTATTGTCCCCTGATGGCATCTTCACAGATCCTAACCCTGGCAGATAAATTGTCCAATGATCCACAACCACCGTGATTAGATGAACGACGACGACAACAACAACAACAACGAACGAAAGAGGACAATCCATACCCAGTCTTACCTGACCACGGACTACAACATCCATTTCCACCCTCACCGGCCATCCCACAGCAGACTTCACATCCCCCAATACAGCGGAAAGTACCTTACTAGTAATTCACCACCCATCTCAAAACCTACCAGAGACATCGAAACCATGGCCACCCAACCCCAACCCCAACAACCAGCCTCCACCTACTCCAATTACCAACACTTCCTCATCACCACCCCGGCGCCCTTCGTGGCGCACGTCGAGATCAACCGGCCGGCCAAGCTCAACGCCTTCCACGAGGCCATGTGGCTGGAGCTGCGCTCCGTGTTCCGGCAGTTGTCGTCGGACCCGGACGTGCGCGCCGTCGTGCTCTCGGGCGCCGGCGACCGCGCCTTCACGGCCGGGCTGGACGTCATGGCGGCCGCCGGCGGCGACGGCGAGAACGGAGTGCTCTCCTCTTCTTCTGTTACTGCGAAGGAGGAGGACGGGGCGAGGAAGGCGGCGCGGCTGCGGAGGCATATAGCCGAGTTTCAGGAGTGTATCTCGGCGGTGGAGCGGTGTGAGAAGCGTAGGTTTTTTGTTCTTCCTTTTTTTGTTGTTGACTTTCGAGGGAATTCCTTTCTGCCTGTCTCTGATTGATCTCTGTATGGAGGTATCTCAAAGGGGGCATCTCATCTCAGAACTGTCTGGGCGGATAGTGGGCTAATGCAGGAGACTTTTTATCTCGGCGCGGGAGAAACAGCCGTCATCTGCGTCATGCACGGCATCTCGATCGGCCTGGCGATCGACATCTCGTGCTGCGCCGACGTTCGCGTGTGCGCCAAAGACACGCGGTTCGCCGTCAAGGAGGTCGACATTGGGCTGGCGGCCGACATTGGCACGCTCGCGCGGCTGCCCAAGGCGGTGGGCAGCCAGTCGTGGGTCAAGGACGTGTGCCTCACGGCGCGCGACTTTGGCGCGGCCGAGGCGCTCGCCGTCGGCTTCGTCAGCCAGGTGCACGAGTCGAAGGGCGCCGCGCTGGCTGCCGCGGTCGAGACGGCCCGGTTCATCGCATCCAAGAGCCCCGTGGCAGTGCAGGGCACCAAGGAGCTGTTGAATCACAGCCGGGATCATACGGTTGAGGACAGTATGTAACCGCTTTTGCCTTGCCAACTCTCCATTTGTGATTGCTTGGAGTGACTACTAATGGCCTGCAGATCTGCGGTATACGGGCGTGTGGAATGCCGCCGCCCTCCAGACCGACGACCTCACAAAGGCTTTGACGTCGGGTCTCCAGAAGAGAAAGCCCACATTCTCGAAGCTCTGAGTATCAACCTTGGATACCAATCCCTTGTGCTATAACACTGAGACCACTATCACCCGCGATGCGACCTATTAATAGATCATAAGCGTCATTAGTCGTATGAGGCCAGCGGCATCCGCTGTCCATTTCCTCGCCGCATGCCATGTGAGAAGCAAGCTTAGACCCCGACTCCCGGGGCGCCAAGGCGATTCAGCCAAAACGTGCCCTCAATGCTTTTCGCGAGTGGTGATTCAAGGAAAACCCAATCCAATTCCCCGTTGGATCTTCTAATCACTATCCTCCAGAGGTTCCTCCGGGCGGTATGTCTCCTTGAGACGCTGGTGGCAGAATCGGGTCAGGCGCGGAATCTGGGATGGAACGGTTCCTTTTCGCAACAAGACTCACCTCCTCGAGCTTCTGCTTAAGTATGTGTAGCATGGCTTCCTTTACGAAAAGGTGTGTCTCGTCGAGATCCTCAATAATGAATTCGTGGTGGTGGGTGCTGTCGATATGGACCAGGATGGACTTAATGGCCGGCTCGCACTCGATGAGCACGCCTTGTAGGGAGTAAGATACGTCAGCCTTGTAATCAAGAAGTGAATAGATGAAATATGTTGTCCAGTCTGTCTATGCCTACCCCTAACGGCCTTAACCATGTTTGTCAAGTCTTGTTTTGTAGATGAACGACGTGAAAAGAACGAAGTGCAGTGGGTTAGGGACAGTTGGAAATCGCGGTGCGATGTTGATGAAAGGAGCCGGAGACCTGCTTGCTTCCATGCACTCGGACGTGTGTCTTTGTTCTGTAAGGTACCTTACGTTACCGTATGTACGCTAGGTACGTGTACCGTGCGTGAATCCACTTTCGCGAAACGAGTGCCGGGCCCAACCGTGCGATGCCGGGTACGCTCTCGAGGCTCTGTACGGTAGGAAACAACCTGGAAGGCCCTCAGCAACGTGACTGCTTCAATACATGAATCCTCAGTCTCGACCGGCTTCAAGGGGCACTCCAAGAATGACAGGTGTTCGTAATGACCGATGTAGGCGTGTTTCTATGCAAGTCAACTTCTTTTCAATGCATTTTGACTTGCTGCATATGCTTGAGTTCCCGACAACAAGTCGCTCCCCTGATCAAAAGAGACACGGTGTTTAACGGGAGGGCTAGTATATGAAGTCCCGGTGACCCATGGATCATGATGGTTAAGTTGCGTCAAGAATCGTTTCAACCTTACTGATGGTATCCAGCTTGTTCTGATCCGTTTCGGAGGAAAGCATCCACCCCAACTCCGAGGGACCTCCACCACTTACACGCTTGACACGGACAGGACTACGAACGTCGTGACCTCCAGAGGTAATGCGGGTATATGAGCGTAGTTGCATCATGCGCGAATGCGGCGCCATGGTAGCCGCTCGGTCGTGGGCCCGGTGGTCCTGGTGGGCGTTGTTCTCACATGTATGCATGCGTTCGACACAGACATGGTTGAGCCTGCAGTATGCGAACAGTACGCGTATGCTAATCACCCATAACATGCCTCGAGCCCTCGAGTGGCTTTGAACGCCAAAGCTCGGTAGCTATCTCACATAAACCCGAGTTCCACAGGTTCTTTGGCGACGCATACGTTGTATCTAGACATTCATCACGGCAGCAAGTCTGTGCCTTCTCGCCCGGAGGCACCACTGGCAGAGGCCAACGTGTGGCCTCGGATGACATGTTCGTATGGCGAGCTTCGGAGAGGTGAGATAAGAAAATGGAAATAAGGGGCTAATAAGTGCTAGGGACGCGCCATCCATTCCCGTATTCGAGTTGGAACCAGCAGCTTCTGAATGACGTCTTGTTTTCGTCCTCTGCCGGTTGTAGTTCAAAATTGTCGTCAACCTGCAGATTTATGTTTACCTGCTGAAGTTAAAAGGTTGTACTTGCATGAAGCGCACGTACGATCGTGAATCACCCGGCGTAGTTCGGGGCTATATAAGACGTCTGTTGACCGTCGCGTATGACACTCCTCGTCTCAAATCTCCGCCAGTCCTACCACTTTCGACACCAGACGCCGTACGGGAAAAAGAGAGACAAGAACGAGCAGTTCCAACCATTTAAGATTCAATACCGTGTACTTCGTAAAACCTCCCCCTCCCCCCTTCCCCCACGGGGAAAACCCCCCCCCTCCCCCCCTCCCTCTCAAGACTCCCTGTGTTTCCTCGCGCCGGGGAAACCATTCAGGGGACCTGCTCACTATATTACCGGAGCTGTCCTTTCTTTTACATTCGGCACACGCCTTCCGCCTTCACTTCCGCCAAGACCAGCTTCCACTTCCTCGACAGCTCAAAGCGACCGTCTCAACATCATGCCTTCCACAATCCTCTCTGAAAACACCCCTGTGGCCAAGGCGCTGCTTGCCATGGGCATCATCGGCTCCATCGCCCTCATCGCTGTCGCTCTCTGTGGCCTTAACTGGTTCCCTGGCCGCCCTGAGCGGAGGCAGAGACGAGCTGAACATTCCTCCGGTGCGAGGAACACCATCCGCAGTGCCCCGCTTGATGCAGATGGTTGGCAGGCGGCGCCAGACCTCGAAGCCGGCGCCGGGTTGAACGACGGGGGCATCGAGCAGCCAATCCAAGCTTACATTGAGCGGCAGCGCGATGAAGAGCTGCGCCGCCTGCGCGAGGAAGGGCTCAACGAGCTCGGCGAGGCCCCGCCGCCGTACAAAGTCGAGCCGGACGACCTGGGCCTCCCGTCTCCCCTTCCGCCCGCGAGGACAGCACCGGCCCGGTATGAACGCTGAGGTCACCATCCCGGCTCAGGCAGACACCGGCAGTGCGAGGAGCGACTTCCGCAAGCAGCGACGCCAATCGGCCAACCCCGGCCCCAAGACCAGCACGGACCAAGCACCAACACCGCAACATCCACCAACAACCGATGGCCGCCGCCGTCGCTTCCGGACGAGCACCAACATCCTGTGGTTCCCGTGGCGGCAGCAACTAACGACGACACGCCACTCAACCCTGAACAGGCCGCCCTCATCTTCGCTCCCGCCGCTGCGCCTGCACTCGACGGTGAACGGCATGGCTCCGCGGGATTTGGGTGCGGCTTAACGAGTACCACCATTACTGGAACGGAGTGTAGCTTTTCGTTTAGAAAACTTCGTCTCCGGTCGTGCCTTGTCAGGTGACCCGGATGTAGGGGAGTGCAGCTGTATAAAAGAAAGGGGGGGGGTAACAGTATATATCGGTAGAGGACTTGGGAAGGAAAAGAAACAGAAACCAGGATTCGTGGCTCATGGGGTTGGTGGTGAGATGGCACACAGCACAAAAAAGCGAGGACGACGTACCAATCACCAGGAGGCGGGCATACCTTCTGACATGGATATAGACTCAGTGGTTGAAGAACTTGGAATGCTCTCAAAAGCGGCGAGGCCAGCACGAACCTGGCTGTGGTGGGAACGGGACCTTAGACGCCTCGATGAAGCAGGTTGGTGTACCGAGTCCGGGAGGGAGGTATCGATGGGACTGAACATAGGACGATTTGGCGGTTTTCGGGTATTTGCCGGGCACTGATACATTTGATGACATGTACTTGTATAATATAGAATGAAAATTCAGATTGAAGCGAGCCGATGCCAATATGAAAGTTGACGTGTGGTTGGCTTGGGAAACTTGGAAGTCAAGATGTATCACATGAGCTGACGACCAGCCCAAACACCACAATGCTGTGCTTCAATTATCCACAATGACATTCTTCCCGCGCTTCACCACCAACCAGTAACTCCCTGCATACCATACAACATACGCCATCATCCTACCTATCTTCCCAGCCCCCTGAGAAGACCCGGATGTCTGGTCTCTCCTTTTCCGACAACGAAGGCCGTCGACACGGCCCTTCCCGACAAATAACCCAAAGCAATGCTATGCTTGCCCAGGAGAAACACCCTGCATGAACCATCTGATGCAGAAAAAGCCAATTAATAATAACCTTACCTTGTATATACCCGCTGCCAACTGCATATGCCCTTTCCTCCCTAAAGATCTTCTTTTCTCTCCGACCCTCACCCGGAGGCGAGATTACTTCTTATTTGCCTTTTTGTGCTCTTCCAAGGCCTCGGCAAGAGCCTGCGCCGCCGCAGGCGTCTTGACCTGAAGCATCCACGTTTCCAAGCCCTTGCCGTCATCCGACGCCGTCGTTACCTTCACATATTTGTTGTCGGCCTTGTAGGTAAAATCGGGCAGCACCGCCTTGTTGAGCGCCACATGGCCGCGCGGTTCCGCCCGCAGCAGCATCCGCACCGCGCCTGTGGTCTTGTGTTTAAGCAACCGCAGGGGCCCAACGCCCTGAACCTTCCAGGGGCTCTTGTTCTTGGCCTTGGCCGCGTTGGAGCCGGACTCGTCGTCCGAGTCGATGCCCGTGACGAGCTTTACCGCCTTGGCCCGCACTTCATGGACGGCGGACTCGTCCTCCTCGCCCGGCCCGCCGGCGATTAGCGAAATTTGCTCCTGTGGTGCGTCATCCCCGTCAGCGTTTGTTCCTTGACCATCTTCAGCATTGGCAGACGGCTCCGGGGTAGACGCCGCCGGCGTGGTTGCCAAGCTTGAAGCTCCGCCGAATGTAAAAGGGGTGTCTGAGTAATGCATATTAATGATAGTTTTGAGCGACGGACTATTACACAACTTACTTGTACCTGTAGAGGTTCCCCCACCGGGAGCTAGACTATTGCCGAAGATGGATGTCGCTGCGGGGGGATTCTGCGAGAAAACTGGAGCACCGCTCGGCTGGGATGACCCTCCGAAGTTGAAAATCGAACCCGACCCCCCACCAAACGAGGTGTTGGGCTGAGTGCCATTGTCCGGTGGACCTCCGAAGCTGATGGAAGGCGCGGCACCAGCGCCGAAAGTAAACGACGTGGACGACGATGGCGCAGCATCACCACTACCAAAGTTGAAGGACGTTGGGGCCGAGTAAGTGCCGTCAGCAGCGAATGGATTCTTGATCGTCGACCCGTCCGAACCGCCCGGCGAGAAAGTGAACGACGCACTGCCTCCGGTGCCGAAGATGGATCCACTCGGCTGTGGTGCAGTGGGTTGGGGGGCAGTAGCCGTCTGAGATCCGCCAAAGGTGAAGCTGGGAGTTGATGCGGCTGGGGTCGCGGCAGGTGGATTGGCGAACAGACCTGCGGGTTTCAACTCGGTAGCCCCAGCAGTGCTGCCAAACAAGGGCTTCTGTTCAGAGCTTGTGTTTGCAAATAGTGGCTTCGCTTCTGTGTTGAAACCGCTAAATAGGGGTTTCGATTTGGTGCTGGGACCCCCAAACAGAGGCTTCGACGCGACAGTGGTGGCGCCGCCAAAGAGAGGCTTCGCCTCCTGGACCGGAGCAGATGCTGTCGCGCCAAACAGACTGTTAGCCTGCGTCGCGGGAGGAGCCGGCGTGTTGACAAAGAGACTCTTAGCCTCCGTCGCAGGGGCCGCGGCCGTGCTGGCAGCACCAAAGAGGCTCTTGATCTCGGTGGGCTCCGGTGCAGGAGTGGATGCTCCAGATCCGAAGAGCGAAGAGCCGCCCGACTTGTTATCATTGCTGCCGAAAGCAGACTTCTTCGCAGCTGGCTCCTCAGTGCTTGCGACAGCCGGAGCCGGGCTCGTGCCGAAAAGACTGCCCGCGGGCTTCGTCGCAGCGGCCGAGAAGAGAGAGGGCCCTGCGTTCTCTGCCTTAGTCTCGGTCGTCTGGGTCTTACCAAACAAACTACCGAACTGAGGCTCAGTGGCCTGCGCTGGCTTCTCCGACTGAGGCTCGGTCGTCTGGGCCTTGCCAAACAGACTGCCGAACTGAGGCTGGGTGGCCGGCGCCGTCTCTGTCTTGTTCTGGCTGCCGAACACGGTGGATGACTGGAAGGGATTGGATTTTGGGGCTTCGGGAGCGGTGGTTGTCGGCTGAGCGCCAAACAGGGAAGCAGTAGCTGCGGGGGCGGCCTTGGAGTCCTTAGCTTCCTCCTTGTCCTTCTGCTGACCAAAGACAGCGGTGACGGAACCGAATAGAGAAGTGCTGGTGTTGGCTGATGTGCCCAGTCCCCCAAAAACAGGAGGGGTGGCAGCAGACGCATCGGCGCTCTTCGCCCCGAACGAAGAGAAGAGATTAGGGGTGGATCCATTGGGCGCAGCAGACGGGGCAAGGGGCTCGTCCCTCTTTGCTTGCGCCGCGAAGATGTTCTGGGAGGCTGCTTCCTTGGGGGTTTCAGAGGCAGGCTCAGGCTTTCTAGCGCCAAAGTCGATGGTAGAGGAGGCGGCAGGCTTAGGCGCCGCAGCCCCAAAGGCAGGTGCCGACGTGGGTGCAAACTTGATCGGCGTGCCGGCATTCCAAGTGTTGTTGGCAGGGGCGGCGGCAGGCTGGTCCTTGGCCGGGCTTGCAGATCGTTCCTTCGAAGGCGGCGCAGCGAAGAGAATTCCCTCGTCAGGGGACAGCTTCCTGACCGGCTGGCCAGCGGGATCTCGAGTGATGCGGTCAAAGAGGCTGCGGCCCTGCGTGCTCTCCCCAGCTTCCGAGGACGCACTCGACGTGCCGTTGGTAGTTGGCTTTTTGGTTTCGACGAACTGTGGTGTTGATACACCGCCGCTCGCCGCCTGCTCGTCGCTCTGGCTGACGTCCTGGGTTTCCGAGCCCTCTTCCTCCGCGTTCGAGCTTGTCTCGCTCTCTTCGTCAGCTCCTTCGTTGCCGCTACCCTTGCTTCCGTCAGATAGGTGGCCAAAGATGTTGCTAGTAGCAGCGGCAGGCTTGGGGGCAGTATCGAAGAGCGATCGGCCAACGGCACCATTGGGCGTCGGGCCTGTTCCTGGAGCCAACAGGCTCTTGCCAACGGGTTTCGTGGCAGCGGCGGACTGGGCATTGTTGGCAATGCTTTCGAAGAAGGACTTGGTGGCAGAGGGTGCGGGGGCGGGCTTCTGAAGCTTCGCCGGCTGGTTTTCATCGAGCTCCTCGTCCGCCTTGCGCTTGTTCCTAGCTGAGCTTTCCGGGGCGCGGACACGTTTATTAGCGCCTGAAACCGATGCCATGAGCGTGTTGCTGTTCGGCGTGAGCTCTTCCTCAGCCTTCCTCTTGGACGTTCCGTTTGTCTTGGGGACAACGTCGCACTCGTCGTCAGAGAGGGGAATGCCATGCTTTTGCTTCCACTCCTTCTTCACTGCCTCCGACGCCCTGATCGTCTTAAACTCGTAAAGGCCATACCGCAACATAATCAGACTGCGACTCTTCTCGTACTCCTTTGCGAAATTCAAAATGTTGATCTTCCAGTCCTTCTTGGTGAACACTTCGTCCGCAGCATATTTCAGCCGTCGCAGGTCCAGGATGCAGAAGAACTGGCGCCTCTGGTGTTCATCCAAGTCGGGCGGGCAGTAATGCGCAAGGAATTCGTCGGCATAGATGGAGCCAGACCGGTTCGGATCATCAGGAACCTCTCTGGCCAACATCTCGCCAGTGAGATGGCGAGGCGGAGACGGGATCCTCATCTTGAACAGCTCGGTAGACGTCGTGTTGGCAAGAATGCGACCATTAACATCCGGCGTCGACCCCCGAGGCGGTTTCCCGGGCGTTGTGGGCGGGAAGCTCTGATTCAGGGTATTGGGGGGCAGGCGAGGGGCGAAGGTCGACGCCCCTGGCCGCCCATACAAAGCCGAGGAGCGGAAAAGATTACGGGGCGTCGAGGTAATTCCAGAGAAGCTCGTCGATTTCGGGATGATATTGGACGGCGGGTGCGACGCTACCGACGCAGACATGGAAGGCGGCGGCTTGTTGGGGTTGTCGCCCGGCATCCGCCTGGGCGGCCGGTGTGGAATTTCCGACGCAGAGATACTCTGTGAGAGCTTGCTTGATGGACCTTGCGGCCTGCCGATGATCTTGCGAGATGCAAGTTGCGACTCGGATGCGCGCTTCATCGGGCTGTGCGGCCCGGAGGTCGTGTGGACTTCGCGATGCGCGTGTGCGGGTGCGGGCGCCGCAGGTGTCGTGGATGCATCGGCCTTAGCATCCCGATTATCTGTGGGGGCGGGAGAGCTGCGGAAAATTGAAGAGGTAAAGCCTAAGCCGAAGAGGCTTCGCTTCTTGGACGGCGGATCCATAATGTCGTTGGTGGGAGCTAGACTCGACGCGTGACGACGATGACGAAGTGGGTAGACAGAAGGATGGGGATTATCGAATCAGGATGCGAATCAGAAGAATTGGATCGCGGCCATGTGCATTCAGCTTTGGGCGCGTCGTCCGTCGCGTCAAAGTTGAACTGGGCGGCGACTGTTCTGGTTGGGAAGGGGCTCCTCTTTGGGAGTTGCGCGATCGGTCGGTCTGCGAGCCTTGAGGCGGAACACGACAAGACGCGCCGAACAATGGGGAGACGGGAAGAGGAAAAAGGATACGATGATGCCAATGAAAGTGGCAATTGGCAGGGACACCGAAATTAATGCCGTAGCTGCTGTCAGAGCAGGTTGGCTGATGAAAGACGGCAGCACCAAGCAAGGTGGTGTGTTTTGGAGGACAGCCGTGAGCGATTCTGCTTGGGCCGGAAAAAATTGAAAGAGGTCCTGTCCTGCGAAAACGCGGGCAGCTCTAACCCTGTTCATCGGCTCGTGCACAGACCACACAGGCTTTGCGATCGATGAGCAGACGCCTCAGGCACCAATCTCGCAGCTTCCAAGATTCCTCGAGCAAATCGCAACTCCGGAGAGCAGCGGGTCGCCGAAGCCAAGCGACGCCCTACCAAGTAGCCTCAAGTCCTCCACCGTAATGGAAGCTTCTTCACCTGTCAACAACTCTTCATTGTAATTGGATTCCACTTCCTGGTTTCCGCCGACGTTCCAGGTTGACAGTAACCTGCAGTATACGGGCCTGGCTGTAGATGGCTTGAGGGTGTGGAGGATGGCATCCCAGGCACACCATCTCGAGTGAATGGTAGCGTGTGACTTGACGAGGCACGGCGTGACATGCTGTCGCAGGCCAATCGTCCTGTTTCCTCTCCACAGGCACGCCTTGGCTACATAGCCAGAAAAGAAGCATTGCTTTGGCTGAAGTGCAAATCACACCCATATTCTCACAACGAACAAATAAGCAAGTCTTAAGTGTTGCTCTGAAGATTTCGCTGCTCGGGACCACCACAACCTGCAGCTTTTGCCTGGAGTGCGGTCTTCAGTATGCCAAAACTCAAGAAGATATTGACCGTTCCGTGGTTCGTGAGCGAACTTTTGAGAGGGGCCGCACTGCAACGGGAACTTGCCCAGTAGCCCGCATACTGCTTGGACTTTGTCGGTGTCTGCTTCCAACTAGAAACCTTCACCTCGTGCCATGTGCGGAGATATCTAAGAACATTGTACCCCGGGCCGCCTGAACCTCTTGCTCGATTTTGAATGGTTCTGTAGAATTCGGTGCCTCTCGCGCCGTGGCCTTCCGCGTCGACATACTCAACATCTTCGCCGCAGAATTGCGCCACCTCCGCCCTTGGAATACCGCTGAGAATCGTAAATTGGGATTCCGACAAGAACAATTTGAATTGCGCCGCTCATTCTCTCCTTAACGGGAGACAGGTATTATACAGAAAAGGGGGTCATCATCTATCGTCTCAATATGCCCAACCACAACTTCTGATTTTAGAGCTTGGCCTTGACCTGGGCCTTCTTGAGGATGGGGTCGAGCTTGGTCGCCTTCATGACGTCGCCCTTGATCTTAAGCTTGCCGGACATGAATAGCCGCTGGGCGTTGGCCTTGCCGGCGACGAGGGCGCCAAAGTCGGACTCGGACAGGGAGAGAGTGACTGTCAGAGCGCAATCTTGTCAGTGAACCAATGTCGTCCGCGACTGGTTAGAATGCGCGAAGCATACCAGTAGGCTTCTCGCCCAGACCCTTGCCGACGGCGCCCTTGTTCTTCAGGTCGATGTTCCAGCTCTCGGTTTCGCCAGCAGCGTTCTTGAGGGTGAAAGCAAAAACGGCGTTGCCCTGCTTCATGGCATCCTTGCGGTCGGCCTCGCTGGCGTTGAGGGCCTTGTTGATCTCGTCGAAAGCCGCCGAGGAGGGAAACCTGTCTGTTGGGTGTCAGCCATCAGACGACCGCATGGAGCGCGTGGTCACGCAAGTAGAAACTGTTTGTATGGGACGGCCATATGGAATGGAGCAGCGTAGATTCTACACTTACCGTCCTTGAGAGACATTGTGGCGGTAGATTTGATAGATTCAACTGGTGGGTGGCACGGAACCGGTAGATGAAAGAAAGAAGTTCTGGGCTGCGTATCTTGAGATTAATTTGTATGAGGATACCAAAACAGGTGAATACCGTGGGCGTATGTCCCGGTTTTAAATGGTAGCGGCTGCAACTGGGAGTCGCTGCCGTCGTTGCGAAACGGTGGCATGTGATTTGAACCTCGGCGTTCACCTGGCAGGCAGGTAGAGAAGCACAAATCCCCACTTTACCCCACATGGAAGCGGAGGGCCCACGATAGCGATACTCGGTGAACCGAAAGACGATAATGGATGTTGAAACGTCGGTTTCAACTCTTCGCTTTGAATTCTCACCCGACACCAGCTACATCACATGAGCCAGTTCTTCCCGTACCGGGCACGGCTCTGCGGTGACTTAAAAACATTCAGTGGCCGGATGTTAATGTGATGCTTGCTTGACGAAGTTCTGGTGCGCAATGGGTACTCAGTGGTATTGCGGACAGAACAAGACCCGACTCAACATCAACAGCCCAAACGTCCGTGGACATCAGCAATATCCATCAGGTTTGAATTAAGATCGCCCAGGCACTTCAGCTTCAATAAGTGCGAATCACACCCAGATGTAAGCAAAAAGTGAAGAATATATCGACGTGGGCCTGATTCGAACAGACGCTCCCGAAGGAACAAGATTTCTAGTCTTGCGCATTAGACCACTCTGCCACCACGCCAGACATTACCAAATCAATAATCGCATCAACCTATGTCAGCAAGTCCTTGTAGGCAAAGCGCTTTCGCCAGCGCATTCCATTGCAGGAGCCAAGACATTTTTTGCGGCCCGGGTCCTGAAAGGCCACAGTGAAGTGAACAATGGGCGACGCCACGTGCGACCTAACCTTGAATTTCAACCCTGTCTCTCGCTCGCTTCAGTTCGTCCAGCGCTAAGTGTGCTTGCATCGCAGGCTCTTGAACATATTTACAGGACCATGCATCATCACTGAACACTTCATCCTCCAAAAAAAAATCCCTTCCTGGCGACCATGTCGGCCTTCCTGTCGCTCCTCGGCTGGAGCTTCCTCCCCAACGTACCACTCTCCAAACAACCCTTCCCTGCTTGCAAACATATACTGAACCCCCCTATTTAGCTAGTCACTGGCTGGACACAGACCCTCTACTACAGCATCACGATCCGCGCCGGCGACCCCAAGCCGCAGCCCGGCACGCCCCGCTGGGCCGAGCACCGGCGGCGCATTCACATCATCGTGGTGGCCCTCTACCTGCTCTACACAATTTACGAAGCCGACTACGACCTCCAGCGGGTGGGCACTTTCTACTCGGACCTCGGCGTCCCGCTCAACGCGACCGACCGCGACATCAAGTCGCGCTTCCGCCGCCTCGCCGCGCTCCACCACCCGGACAAGGCGACGACCGCCGGGGACAAGACGCACGACGACATCAACGCCTACTTTGTGCACCTCAAGACGGCCGCCGACACGCTCACCGACCCGGCGCGGCGGTTCGCGTACGAGCGCTTCGGGCCCGAGGCCGTGACCTGGCAGCGGTGCGTGACGGTGCGCGACTATGTCGTGCGTGGCGCGCAGCAGCTGGTTCCCCACTATGGCATGGCGGCTGCCGTCATGTACGGGCTGGGGCTGCTGGGGTATCTGGACTGGGCTCGGTACGAGCGGTGGCTGGTGCTCGCGGCCATGTTCCTGTTCGAGGTGCGCACCGTGACGCGGCCGGGGATGCCGGCTTTGCTGGAGCGCGTCGTCAATCCGCTGCTGGGGTGGGTTGGCGGGCGGGCGCCGTACCTGCCCTTTCAAGCGATTGCGCTGGCGAGGAAACTGAGCGTGACGGTGTACATTGCGTTCTCGCAGATTGGGCCGCTGCTGGCGGCGGACACGAGCGGTGGGCAGCTGGTGGTGAGCGGAAGGAAGGGCCGGGAGGATGAGGCGACGCTGAGGGAGGGACTGGAGAGGTTGGAGATGGCGGTCAAGAAGCTCGATGCGGATGCCGCGAGGTTGCTCCAGACGGAGATGGCGCCGTTTGCGGGGGATGAAAAGACGCGAAATTCCATGTGGGCCAAGGTCAAGGAGTGGCTGGTCCAAAACACGATCCGCTCGGATCCAATGGTGCGGGACGCGCTGGGGCGGTCCTTTGCGAAGCGGAGGATGGAGGCGCCAGCAGGGGCCAAGGGGAATAGGTAATGCGTATAATAGACTATAGACAACGATGACTTTTATCGCGCCCCGAGGTTCCGACTGTGCCAGTCCTGAAGCCTCATGCTGAAATAAGACTCCAAAGCTAAAGTGCATCATATCTCTCGATATCCCAAATTTTCCTCAACACGGTGCATGGACGCCGGCAACCAAAAATGTTCAACCATGCTAAAGCCTTTGCCTGCCTCTTGTCTCGATTGGGATCATGCAAATGCCCACAAACGCGGCCAAAATAAGCGCCGCTGACAGATAGATAGGCGCCGTTGTCCCGTCTCCGGGAACGGTAGCAGCAATTAGCGGCGCCAGCAGACCCGTCGCCCTGTTCAAGAAGCTCGCCACGCCGGTACCCGCCCCGCGGACCGGCGCGGGAAAAATCTCCGGAGTGAAAGCATAGAGCACTCCGTACATGATGTTTTGGGCGAAGGCTTCCACACAGGAAAACGCGAGCTGCGACGATGGCGAATTGCCCAACTGCACAAAGAGGAACAGGAACACGGCCGACACGAGCGTCGAAATAGCCAGCGTGCCGCGCCGGCCGAGGAACGGCGAGTTCATGTCGACCATGTACGCAGCCAGCAAACTGCCAGGGACGCCGACGATACTGGTGATGGCGTAGTTGCGGTACGTCTCGCCCGAGATCTCGGACGCAAGAGAGTTGGTTGAACTGTCACTGCTACCGCCGCTGCCGCCGTGTGAGAGATACTGCGGGAGAAAGGCATTGAAGAGAGGGTAGCCCATCCCGATGGTTGCCCAGCAGAACCAGATGAGCGACGTGGTGAGCCCGAGCTTGCGGTTGTTGAAGAGCGGCCGGATGCGTTCCGACGAGAACGCGGCGAGTTTGTTTCGGATGATGTTCCTGGTCGAGAGCCGCCCTCGAACTCGCGGGACTTCGTCGTCCACCACGGCGTACAGAATTTCTTCTGTGAGCCATGTCTTGCGGTTGTTCCTATGTGCGATGCCTTGCACAACGGCGACTGCCTCGGCTTGACGGCCTCGCGAGAGCAGGTATTTCGGAGACTCGAACATGTGGAAGAGGAAGAAGCGGACGAGAAACATGACGAACGTGATGACTCCAATGGCCGTGACAAAGTGTCGCCATCCTTGATCCGCTGACCAGTTTGCAATGAAGAACCAGGCAAAGAGGGATGAGCACAACTGCCCTATCGGCCACCAGACGGACAGCAGCGTCAGAAGCGAACTGGACGCGTCCGGGAGGAACTCGAGGAAGAGTGCGCCGTCTACGGGAAGGTTGCCTCCGACCCCAAAGCCCAGAGCAGCATACATCAGGCAGACGCCGCCCCAGCTTGACGTCCATGCAGAGGCCGTGCCAAACACACTGGTGATCAGTAGCGTGACGTTGAAAGCGATCCGCCGGCCCATGATGTCGGAGCCGATGCCCCAGAAGAAGCTGCCCAGGCACAGTCCGACAAACAAGGATGATGTCGTGTAGCGGACCGACTTTTCCGAGATGCCAAACTCGGCTGAGAGAGAGGGAAGTGTAAGGGAGACACCCTGTCCCGGTCGTCAATGTTCACTCCAACCGAAAAAGTCCTGATACGTAGGCGAAGCAGTTTGACTCACTTGCATCCAAAGGCTAAGGGAAACAAGTCAGCAGGGAATCTGGGCAATATTTCCGGGAGACTCACTTATCAGCAAACCAGCCAAACCCACAAAGCACAAACAGTTGCCAGTTATATGCTCCCATGCCAATGTCCTGGATGGCCTTGTTGATGAGTCTGGATTTCACTGTGTCACACCCAATCAGCTCCTGCGAGTCATACATACGCCTTGACCAGCGAAGGAAACCTGCCTGAGAGACTTACTCTCATAGGGCGTCCAGTTCTCGTCCCTCCTCCCTTTTCTCACCTCCCTCCTCAAGCCCTCAATGCTGTACTCAGCAGCTGCGTTGCTCATGACGAGCATGGTCGTGTCCTCGCTGTCCCTGTCCTTATCCATACCACCCGTGAGGGCTTCATCGTCCAATCGTTCCTCGGGGCTGGGCCTTGGCCTCGATCGGTATGAGTGGCTATGCTGATGGGCCTCCTCCAGCGGAACCACGACGGCAGCGTAATCCGCAACCGTCTCGGCTCGACGCCAGGCCCATGGTCGCCGTATCATTATCCTGTCCCGTAAACCTGGAATCTGGTCCTTTCCTTCTATGCCTTTGATGACCCTGGATCCTCAATCCTTCCCTTATTCACCTTGGCCAGTTATTCCATCACTCGCACACTCTACACTGGTGTCGCAATGAATGGCCTCAACGTAGATTGGGAAAGTGAGCAGAGCTGAGTCGGGAAGTCTGATGCAGATGTTGGGACTGTCGGGTTTGGGAATGACGGTGTTTATAGACCGTCACATTGCACCAGCACTGCCAGTGGGTGTTGCAAGGCGAAACTTATGGTTCTCATCCCAACAAGAGAGGCGGGACGTCCAAACCGTTCTGTCGGAACATTTCGAAGGCGACCTCCTTTCAAGACTTCCACAGCCAATCGAACGAAATCATGTTACGCCACAAACGTGGGGGTTCGCCTGATGCGCCTTCCGCAAGAGATCATGGGTCCATCCGTTTCCGCATTCCGTCCAAGCTGTCCACAAAAGAAATCGCAACACATGTTGAAAGCCACCGGTTTTCAATGAAAAACTGGCAACCAAGCATGGGTACGGAGATTCGACGTGGGCCTGATTCGAACAGACGCTCCCGAAGGAACAAGATTTCTAGTCTTGCGCATTAGACCACTCTGCCACCACGCCTTCACGTGACTCTAGACGGTCTTCGTTCTAAGGACTATCCACATATGGTTTTGAATCTGGCCGGGCTGTCGTTGTTCGCTTCGTCCGTTGTAATCCTGGCCTGTATCTTCTGAAATGCAGTCCAATAACTACTTGGATCTCGGAAAGCACATTGAACTTTGAAGACGATCAATCTCGGTATTGTACATGTACTGCACCGAAAGTCCCAGAAGTCGTTGGCGTGACACAGCACAGAGGATCGGGATCAGCCCGATAAGGTACAGGGCTGCAAGTACTTGCATGAAGCGGAAACGGTTGTTCTTATTGTTCCTCCGCTCGAAAGCATTGATGCCGGGGCCGGACATGCTGCCAGACAGGGAACTTTGATGGAATCGCTTGAGTCAGTGGCCCTGGCATCTTTAATGACGAACAAAAACGACACTTCCGCTCAAGGTTCTGAGGGCATAAGGTTCGCGGCTGAAAGGGGCTCTTCCAATGTTCTGGGCAACGTCGCACCATCAAACGGCTACATACCGGCGCGCGGAACGTGGACACGAGAGGAAAAACAGCCAGCCAGGACTTGTCGCCAGCAAACATTTCCTCGCTTTTCGCAGCACAGAACTGAAAGTTTCACGGATATCTAAGGGTTGCTCGGGGGATTTTTTGAAGTCGAATTGTGTCCGTGTATCGTCGCACTTTGGCGGCTCCAACCTTCGTCACATCTTGCCCGTCCAAAATCCGGTCCATGCCTCGGCACTGCAACCCAAACTCATCTCATGGGCAACATCGTCCCCGCAATGCGGGGAGCCAATCGGCAACAGGCTCGCTTCCCAAACCGAATTGGAGTCACCTGCTCCGCAAGCTGCATCTTAGCAAATTCAGCTCGCCCACCACCACCATTATATACACAGTACACCGCCAGCTTCGTTGATGTCCGAGAAGTACAACTTTCAATGTCGGATCTTGGAGTATAAAGAAGGGACAAAGCCCTGCCCAAAAAAAACGCAAACAAAGTCCGCGGCGACTCAAACATACCGGTTGTCCGACCAGACCAACACGGACTGGACCTCTCATCCATGGCCTCAGAACCCCATTATAGAGGAACTCCGGGACGTTGTATTTCTGGCACCGTGACCAAAAGCCTTCAAACGGGAGCTCCACATGGCCGAGGATCTCGGACTTTGCGGGGTCGTTGGGGCAGCTATCCGGGGTAGCAGTCTCGTTGCCTTGGACTCGGCGTTCCGGCAAGCGCCCTTAAGAGGGAGGGGTTTCATGGTCATGAACCGACATTGTCTTTCTGCTCATTGCAATGTTTGCTTTCACCCCAGGTCGTTCCCGTCTGAAGCGATCGCTTTGACGATAACACACGTATCACGCGCCCTATCCACGCGTTCTCGGGGCAACCCTTTAAGGTTCATGATTACATTTGATCACTCGCGTTCCCTCGCGGTTGGATTCCACAATCAGTAAGCTGCTCCAGCTCGTTGTATAGAAGCTGCCAAAGCTCTCTCTTCTTCCTCCTCCATTTCAAATTCTGAGACGAAGTGCGGCTCTGCCTTACCGCTGCCCAAGTATATACTGTCCTTCTTCACCACCAACTCTTCTTTGACTCTTTCCGAATCATTCGCCTCCTTCGCTCCCTCGCTCCTCCATCACGAATTCGACCACAGGCCTCACCATTTCGATTCCATTAACAGCAGCCTCCACCACTCTGCCGATCATGACAATCCCATCCCGATGGTCGGTGCCCATCCCGCGCTGCTCACTGCAACAATGGATCTTTGGCTCTGCGTGTGGTCCGCTCCCGGATCACAAAGCCTTCATCGACCCTGAGAACCCAGAGACCAAGTTCTTGACCATGAGCAACTACCGATTGCTCGCGAAGCGTGTTGCCTTGGGTCTGAAGAAGGCCGGGCTAAAGGAAGGAGACCGGGTTCTCATCTTCTCTAATAACAACCTCTTTTTTCCCTCGATATTCCTCGGCGTTCTTATGGCCGGTGGCATAGTGACCGGCGCCAATCCAGGATTCGTCCCCCGGGAGTTGGCCTACCAGTTAAAGGACAGCGAGTCGAGTTTTTTGTTCGTTGCTGAGCACGCCATCAAGACGGCCTTTGAGGCTGCCGCCGAGGTGGGCTTACCAAGGGACAACATATTTGTACTCGGAACAAATACCACTCCTTCGGCATCCATGCTTGCGCAGTCTCCCACTGCCTTCCCAGGCGTCAAAGGGCGAGTCGACGGCGCACGCCACTGGACAGAACTCCTGGTCGACAACCTCGCCCAGGCCGAGACATGGAGCTGGGAAGAGCCCTCCAATCCGGAAGAGACCACGTGCTGCCTCAACTACAGCAGCGGCACCACGGGCGTCCCCAAGGGCGTCGAGATCAGCCACCACTCGTACGTCGCCAACGGCGTCGGCGTCGGCCACATTAACAGACTGCGCCCCGACTACGCAGAGAAGCAAAAGACGGACTGCGGGCTGTGCTTCCTCCCGCTCTACCACGCCTACGGCCAGACCTATTTTATTGCCAACCTCCCGCACCTGCACATACCTGTCTACGTAATGCCCGCATTCGATTTCGCCAAAATGCTCGCCCACATCCAGCGCTTCCGCATCACCCTCCTCTCCGTCGTGCCGCCTATCGTCGTCCTGCTGGCCAAGCACCCGCTCACGCGGAAATTCGACCTCTCGTCAATCGAGACCATCGGTTCGGGCGCCGCTCCGCTGACCCGCGAGGTCTGCGAGGAGGTCGAACGCCTGTTGTCCGGCCCGGGCCGTGAACTGTACGTGCGCCAGGGCTGGGGCATGACCGAGGTGACGTGCACGTCCATGTCGTGGGATCCCACAACGACGGCGGGGCCGTCGGCCGGCGTGGGCGAGGTGTACCCGAACTGCAAGGCGCGGCTGATGGCGCTAGACGGCAGCAAAACGGAGATCACGCGGGCCAACGAGCGCGGCGAGCTGTGGGTTACGGGCCCGACACTGATGCGCCGCTACTGGCGCAAGCCCGAGGCCACCGCCGAGACGATTGTTGTTGACGCCGACGGGACGAGGTGGTTGAAGACGGGCGACGTCGCGTTTGTGGAGGAGTATAGGCCCGGCGGCATCTTCCACGTCGTAGATCGCGTCAAGGAGCTGATCAAGGTCAAGGGAAACCAGGTGGCGCCCGCAGAACTGGAGGGCATCTTGCTGGAGAACCCGGATGTGGCGGACGCGGCCGTGGTTGGGGTCACCATGGGAGGCGAGGAGGTGCCGAGGGCCTATGTGGTGCGCAGCCCCAAATCCAGGGCGTCTGAGGGGGGCGTGGCCAGATGGATGGAGGGTAAGGTCTCGCGGTACAAGCAGCTGAAGGGCGGTGTTGCCTTTGTGGATGCCATTCCTAAGAACCCGGTAAGTCCCCACCCCCCTTTCGTTGCCCAATTGGTTTTATAATGATACCAAATCGCTTACTATTCCCGATAGTCTGGCAAGATCCTCCGCAAGCAGCTCCGGGAGCGAGCGCAGAAGGAGGTGGGTGACAGTGCGGCCAAATTGTCTCGGCTCTGAGGTTGGCATGATGCATCTGCAGTGGTGAGGAGGAGTTGGATCCAGTGTCCCTTCAGACGACAGCCACGGCTCCCTTTTTTAATACGCAGTCACCGACATGCTGGGAAGGGCGATTAACCCTTCAAGTTTGGTGGTGGATTGGGTGCTACCTTGATTTTGTTCAGTACAGAGGCACAAAGAGCTCAGTGGGGGTGACGTGTTACTTCATAGCTCTATTTCGTCTCAGCGCAGACACTGTTCAAAAACCTTCAAGTTGAGAGGTTGTATAGGCTTGAATGTACATAGCTGAAACAGCTGCACGAAGCGTTCATTAACTTGACACTAGCCCTGTGAGAGAACTCCAATGCATGTTGCCCGTCAAGCTCAACTTTCCTTCTCAATCCATGCCTGAACCAAACAGCAGTTCACTCCAACATTCCCATAGCATGCCAGCGACTAGAAACTACCTTCAGGCAAACACGCCCCAACACCCCATCTTAATCCCTAACGATTTCCTTTTTCTTAGTCCGAACGGCTTGTGTTCCAGTTATCTTCTCATCCTTGCCACCTCTCACTGCTCTCTTTTGGAATGCCACAAAGAAGAATGCTTGAACCCGTCCAGAGCGTCGGATCTCAGAAGTATCGTTTGCAGGGATCAAGTAAAAATCGACACTGTCCAGCTCAAGGAAGAAGGTGTGTATATGACAAGAGCCATATTAACCACTATACCATATGCGTGCCAGGCACCATCTCTACATGCCCTGTCGGGCCGCACATTGGGGAAATCCAGTGTGTCCGGATGGATGTCGGGCCTCGTTACAGCACGAGCACGATCCAAGGTTCTAGGTGCCAGAGTCATGTTACCTCCAGATACAGGCGCGGTACACGGCTGACACTTCACCTGGTGCACACCCATCAACACACCACAGACACCAGTATGGTAACACACATCGCCAATGGGGAGTCTGAGAATCCCGGAGACAATCTTGGGATTTTTTGGTGGCGATTGTATAAAGGAGAGACTGCCGCCGAAGTCTGCCATTTTACCAGCCTCTCAGGCGCTCGGTGACAGCTACGCTAGTTGCTGTTGCTGGCTAAACTGTTGAAGCTGGTTTTGTAAAAGACTGAACAGAGGAAGATTTGACCGCTCCACAGCTCAGCGACACGAAGAGAAAAGTGCAGCGGGGCGGGGACTAGAAAGGAAACACATCCCTCCAGTTCCCTAGAGGATCTCCTCAGCCCAAGATCAACCAACCCTCACTACCTCGACTCGGGACCCCATCAAATCATTTTCAAGGAACCTTAAAAGAGCTTGTGCTCCAGCGTCATGTCGTTCTCGGGCTCGAGGCCAACACAGGCGCGGAAGATATTGGCGAGGGCGGCGCGCTGCTTTGCCAGCGAGTTGATGACGGGCGTTCCCGGCGGGGTCAGCGGCGCCTTGAGCATGTAGCTGAGGACGCTGAGCACGCTGTGGAAGCTCTTGTAGCCGCCCTTGGCCGACTCGCCGTTGCCTTGGCCGTCGTCCGAGTGCAGCCGCCACTGGACGCGCGTCATGAGCTCGGCGATGACCACCAGGTCAATGATGAGCGGCGAGGCGAGCAGCGAGTCCTCGCAGACGTTGGTGATGCTGATGGTCTGGTGGCCGCCCAAAAAGATCTCGCCATAGTACTCGTCCAGAGCACGCTTGCTGTCGCCGACGGCGGGCACGTACTTGATGACGACGATGTGGTCGGGATGCTCGTCCTTGGCGTACAAGACGCTGTTGGCGGCTACCATGTCGTCGACCACGTTGGACTTGGAGATCTCCTTGGAACGAAACTGCTTGTGCGAGCTCAGGTTCTTGCCGTCGTTGTTGCCGAGGTGGTTATAGCTGGCAATCGAGGTGAGCTTGATGCCGGCGTTGATCAAGAAGTCGACCAAGGCCGACTTCATTTTGGTCTGGCCAGACTTGAAGTCGTCGCCGCCGATGAAGGCGCCGTACTTCTCGGCCAACTCGATGGCTCCAGGAACAAAGGTGTTCTGGGGAGAGCCGTTGATGAAAGGGGCGCCCTCCAGAATGCAAGCGACAGCGAAGACGGACGAGGGAGAAACCTCACCGTGCCCAGCCTCGATAGCCTTGAGCAGGTTATCGGCCGTATCGTTCACGCCGGGGATGATGTCGGCATAGCGCTCCGTGTTGGCAGTCCACTGCACAATGACCTTGTCCAGGTTGTTGGCAGCCTTGAAGTCACTGTAACTAGGTCAGACTGGACCATTCGAGATTCTCCTAACAGTCCATGATACACACCGGATATCCTTGCGGATCTGCTCGACATGGGCCATGCAAGCCTTGGAACCCGGGATCAGGTTATCAGCCCGATCTTCCTGGTTGGCGGCGATGAAATCGGGATAGTAGATGCTGGGAAGTGGGACCATCCCAGCCATCTCCTTGCGGACGAGGGCCTTGAGGGTCGGCTCCAGCACCTTGGCGCGATCCATGGCCTCGGCCAGGTTCAGGCCACTGATGTCCCAACCGCCAATGACAAGGTCGTTGGGGTGGACCATGGGCAGGACGTCGTGGAAGGGAATGTTGACGTCCTCGAGGGTCTTGGCGTCGGTGCCGAGCTTCAGAGTCGAGCCCATGACGACGGAGCCGTAGTAGTTTGCCGCCTGGGGACCGTTGCGGGTTTCCCAGACAAGGCCACGGCGGTTGGCGATGATGCCGGCCGTCACCGTGGTGCCGTTGTTGCCACCCCAGCCGACCAGCATGACGCCGAGCTTGGGGACATTGGTGTCGACCTTGAAGTCGTACACGGTCTCGCGCGGCGTGACCACACGGGTGCCGTTCTCGCCCTCCGTCACCATTGCGGTGCGGTACGTGTACTTGGAGCGGATCTCGGTGTCCGAGTACACCACATTGGGCGAGTTGACAACAAACTTGGGGGCGAAGGCAGAGCCATTGTGGGCAACAGCGCCGTTGCTGTAGGGTCCATCACCGTTCGCGGAGCCCGCGTCAGTCTCAGCGTGCGGTGCCATCTTCGTTGCAAGTTATATCAGGGTTTTCAGGTCGTTTGGCAGCAAGCACTTTATCGGGTCTTGGCTGAGTCCGCTGCACCTCCGGGCGAGGCAGAGCAACGGGCTCCTGCGTACGGGTGATGGACCCTATCATGATGGTGGTTAGCGTCTTCCATTCCTAGGTCTGGAGATGGTCGTAGGGCAGGAACACAAGTAGGGGCGGCGCTTACGAGTTGAGGAGGTTGGAGAACGTTTTGGCGGCTGGAGCGATCGCAGCTCGAATGAGCGCGATCGGTTACCGAAAGATGGGACGGAGTATGGAGTTGAAAGTCACAAAAGTGCCAGCTGCGATGGGCTGGGTCCGAAGCTTGAGGTGCAAGCCAACGTTGGTTTTTTAGGGTGACAAAGACAAAGCTTGTGGCAGAAAAAGGCAGTAGCGCCATCTTTTATACCTCAGAGACGAACAAACTAGACCCTCGTTCTCACACTCATCCGAGGCGGTGAGAGACGAATTCGCTACTGTACGGATTACCTTAGATACTCACATTTGGCTCCACGTCTCGGAGAGCTCGGCCGCTAGCCTTCGTTCATCTATCACGATTCGACAATTGACGGCGGGTCCATGCCGCCTGGAGCTCGGTAGATGCATGGAATCACAGAGAACAAGCATGATGTTTTAATCTGCATATCAACCACAAAACGGCAGAGATTGCGGCGTCGCTCCGGTGCATTCACTACAAGACCAATTTCCTGATACAAGATCTATTGAAAACCGGTGCATGTGTTTTGGTGATGACGGACAGTCCAAGTCTTTCGTCACAACCCCGCTGCCCCTCCAAGAGGAACTGCGAGCTCGAGTGCACGGACCGCCAAAACAAGTTCCAGGACCGCTGATTGGTGGTCGGCAGCCCGTCAGGAGATAAGAGGCGGACTTGGGAACGGCAGAACATCCGTTGCCGCTGCACGATGGAACCGGAGGCTCGACGATGTACGGCATCGCCATTCTCTGGGTCCGCGCGGACAGAGAAGAAGATAAGGGCTACGGAGTAATCGGCTGTTGTTAACGGGCAGGGAGAGGTGGCAGTGGAGGCTCTCGGCTTGACCAGCCGGCATTGTCATTTGCAGCACCATAGTTTGAAGAATAGGTCCAAGATAGGCCGCTGGTGAGGTGAGAGGCGCGATGTCGTTGACTCGCATCCTTGTGCAAACCGCGCAGGCGACGACTTCAGAACGAAGGTGCTGCCAGTAACCCTGCGACCATCGGGTGGTTGTCTGCTATCCATTCAGATATTGCTGCTTTGCGCTGAAGGCCAAATGGTGTGATATGTGAAGCGTGATTAGTCTTTACCTCGATGCTTAGACCTATTCAGTGGGCGTTCTCCTGGTTTCAGCCTGCGGCTGGACAAGCCCCATGCTTTGAGGGTTGCGAAGCATACCATTAGATGCCCCGATACAACCGGTTCTAGAACTGAGGTAAGGTGTTGCCAGCAGCTTGGTGTCCTGATTCTGACCCCCGATGAAGTTGGCTGGTGGTTGGCCCAGTGGTTGAAGATCTCTTGATCAGCCGCTTATCTCCGGCCTGTTACGTGCAGCCGGCCTCTGAATGGGCCGCTCGAGGTGAGTGATGTCCGATTTGCCGCCGTGCCACTGGAAGCGAAAAGGGTGTCCAGCCAATCGCTGAATCGCGCGGTGTGGTGCTGCTTGTGAAGCTCAACTGGTGAAAGAGCAACGACAGGCTGTCGAACGATTGCCGGGAAGTATCTGGATATTGCGTGATTAGTTTGGCACTCTGAGATGATGAGAGCCACTGGCGAAGGCAGATCGACTTTCTGGAAGGAAGCTTGACCGCAAGGGTGCTCGGCGACTGGCCGGTTCTCCAGAGGTTCGAGCGGCAGTGCCTGGCCTGGCATGGAGCTTGGCTTGGCAGGGCAGGTCTGCTGCACTTACACACGTGTATGCATGATCATTGGATGTGTCAGGTGGGCCATCCTCGAAGCCATCTTGACGCAAGAAATGCGGAGGGCAGTGGGAGTGGGCAACGTCGATGAGCGTTAGTTACGGATACGGGCAACTGGAATTGCAGCGATTTGCTGGCGTGCCGCCCACTTCCAACTGATGGATCGGTTGACGGATACAGGAGCCTTGTCCGAAGAAAGCGGTCAAGTAACCTTTGGCATGGAGGCGAGGAACCGGCCCACTAATATAACGTTACCATGTTTGGGACGCCGGTCTGAACGTTAGGTCGCAAAGATTTTTGTCGACTTGAAGCATGATGACCTGGAAACCTGAGACGCGGGACGGTTGGTCACGAGCTGCTACAGTACATTAGCGTCAGTGAAAAGAAGCTCAAGATGAATCCCATTCAGGCGGTGGCCACTTCGAAAACACCATTGGATGATCTGCAGGTACCTGCTCCCAACAGCCGAGAAACGTTGTTGATGTTAGCGCTCGAAATGTGGCGTCGGCGCGATAGCAGTGTGGAGACTGTCAAGATTGCGACGAGCCTCCTGAGACAGGGAGAGCGATGTGTGGTTTCCTCGATGGTGCTGTATAATGAAGCCAATTTTGCCGAACTTGGGGCATTGCAACAGCAGCGGGGAGTCGCCGAAATGACGACCAGAGAGTTGATCTCCCATTTCTCTTGCGCGCTCGCTCTTGCTTGAGGTTCAGTGGTCTTGCCTGCTTTTGGCAGCTGCCTTGGGTGCTGCTTGCTGCTGCTTTGCACCTTTGTTTTGTCGTGTGCCAGTGCCTTGATGAACACGTGTGAGCGGCCATTCCTCGTCTCATCTGCCTCACCGCTCACTGCCATGGACACTCGTGATTGCCATGTCGGGCATCTGCCATGGCGGCGCCCCCCTTTCAGATCGGGGTTAGCTCAATGCAGGGCGCGGGCCATCTGCTCTCTTGGTCCAAGGTGAGGATTCGGCACCGCTGCAGCTGCACCAAAGACGGCAACGCTAAGGTGTGTCAGGGGTAGCGCTAGGGTGGTGTGGCTGGCTCGATCCCTACTCATCTGTTGCCCATCGCGCAAATCCCCGGCTTTCCTTCATCCAAAGCGGGGACACTCGGCACGAGACCCCTGAGCGGCCACCCGACCGTCACCGAACCCCCATCGCCGTCCCTGCAGAAAGGCCGTGGCCAGGGTCGGTACGTATTGTACACAGTAAGCGGCCCTGGCCCTGTTGCCGCAGTCTTTCCTCGATCCTCCCTTTGGAAACACCTGCATCTTGCATCTTGCACGTTGCACTACACCTCGCAAATATCCAGATACCACGGAGGCCAGCTTCATCATCCGCCTTCAGACACGATCCGCAACGACACCACCCTAGGGCCCGCCCCCCAACAACTCGTTTATTTCGTGCAGCCGGCTGCAACTTGCACAACAACCCGGCTTGGCGGCCAGTCTCTGTTGATACCTTGCCCCTCGTGTAAAACCAGATTGCTCCCAGCGCCGTGGGATTTCTACTGTCTGAGTGTTTCAACCTCGAAAAGCTCCTGGTGATTCTAATCTCGATTCCCGCCATCGCGCCACACCCCCTGGATCACACGCAACATCTGGCTGGCGACCACATCCTCCAGCTATCGATCGCGAAGCAGCGCTCGGAGGCTACCCGGCTGCTGAACAGGGAGACTTGGGAACCCGGGGGGGAGCCAAATCGACAAGCAACTTGAACTGAACACACTCCCGCTCGGTCTCTTAACTCCTGGGTGTCTCCTCCTGGACAGACTTCCGGGATCATGGCAACAATAGGGAGGGAGTCGCGCTTTATGCCGACGGTGAAGTGTTCAACATGTGGTTTGCAGGTGGAAATATCACTCATGGGCGAGCATACTTGCGCCGGATCAGAGTCGCCCCCAGAACGTACGATTATGATGCTGTCCGCTCATCCGCTGTCCCAGCTAACATTCTCTCTACTAGCGACACCACCGCTCCCAGCAGCCTCCTTGTTTGGGAGGCTCATGCCCACCTTCGGCAACCCATTGACACAGAAACAACAACCCCGAACGCCTCCTCAGGTGGACACCACAGCAGCCAGTACGTAGTTTTCACTTGAGGCATTTGACGTCTCTCGCTGACAACAGACAAAGATCAGCCATACATTGGGCAGGGCCAACTGACCCCAATCAGTAATTCGAGTGGATCACAGAGCAGTGTATCACCTCAGACACCCGATGGACCGCCAGATGCCGGCAAAACAGACGAATACTTTGCCACGCAGATTGCGAATAATTCACCCCCTCCACAACAGTCAACACGGCCAGGTGGATATGGAGGGCTGGATGATAGTAGTGCATACGAGCGCCCGATTTCTCAGGGAGATTCTCCCAGAAAACAGAACCCCCACCTGATGGAGCGCATGGACGACACGGATAACGTAACCAGCGCCTTTGGTCCTGCCCGTCAACCCTCCGCTGCTGGGCCCAGCGGCTCAGGGACTGCGAACGGCCGCCCGGGGACTTCGGCATCAAATAAAAGCAGCACTTTGGGCAGTGGAATGTCGAAGGCTCCGAGGCAGAACGGATACGGGGACTTTTTCCTGCCGTCGAAAGCGCCAGACAACGCTACCGAGCCGCCCGCTCCGTTGAACCGGTCCGAGACCTTCCCCCGGCCACGGGACCGTTTCGCCCCTCCACTTCGTAGCCCTTCTGCCCCGCTCCGCTCGGCAACACTGCGTTCAAATCGAACCCAGCCACCATTGAACTCGCCCGGTGGCCCTGATGGACAAATTCCAATGACGAGCGAGAGAGCTAGGAGGCCGAGCAGAGGGCCAGATACATCTCGGCCACCGCCGCCACGGACCGGCGCGGTTCGACCCGAGACGCCCGTTGTACCTACCATCAATCTTGCCGAGGAGTTTGGGATTGGGAATCCGTACCACACATCTTCGGAGTCGACATCTTCTAACAACTCGGAAAACAGCAGCCTACCGGAACGTCGTCCGAGCCAAGCGAGTCAGGCTAGCTCTCACACAAGCCCACCGAGGTCTCTATCATCGCGGTCTGGGAGGGAACCATCGGACACGTCAGGCTTCGATAACCTGGTATCAAACGTGCAGGCTTCCGTGAACGACGCGAAACCCAAGCCACTCACAATAGCGCCTCTGAAATTGCCACCGAGGGACATACGAGACCGGCCTTCACCTTTGAGCGCTCGGCCTCCTCGTACCGGAGAACGAGGATACGACCCGCGTATCGATCCTGCTGTACAGAACCCAAACTATGCGCGGGGCCGAACCGCTCTGCCTTCGCCAGCAATGCATACGCCAGCGCAGGATATCCTCGCCGTCCAAACACACAGCGACGTCCTTTCCCCTAGCACGGCTGGCCTACCCTCGCCACGATGGACTAGCTCGCCCGAGCGGATTGAGGACCAACGACCGTCGCAGGCACAACCGCAACCACAAGCACAACCACTACAACCACTACCGCAGACGCCTGACCGGATTGAAGACCGAGACCGACGATCGTCGCAGGCCCAATCCCAATCACAGCCGCAGCCGCAGCCGCAGCCACAGGAAACACCGCAACCGCAAATCCGTCCGCCCACCCGCTCGCGGTCCCCCTCTCGCCCCCGCGAACCCACAGCCAACCCAGCCCGTGGTAACTGCAAAGCATGCGGGCTGGCGATCAAGGGCAAGTCCATCTCGAGTGCCGACGGCCGTCTGACGGGACGGTACCACAAACCCTGCTTCGTCTGCTCTACCTGCCGCGAGCCCTTTCCCTCGGCGACCTTTTACGTCCTCGACGACAAGCCGTACTGCGAGCTCCACTACCACCGGCTCAACGGCAGCCTGTGCGGGAGCTGCGGCCGGGGCATCGAGGGGCAGTATCTGGAGGACGCGTCGGCCGTCAAGCACCACGTGGGCTGTTTCAAGTGCGGCGAGTGCGGCATGGCGTTGAGGGATGGGTACTTTGAGGTGAACGGGAAGGCGTACTGTGAGAAAGACGCGTGGAAGCTCGCCGGTGGCGGGGTCGGTGGTGGGCTCCGCCCACCGAATATGGGCCTGCCCAGCGGACCGAGGAGCGGCGCGATGAATGGCGGCGGGTATAATCCGAGCCGACTCGGACCTGGTGGGCCGAGGCCGCGGATGGAGAAGAGGATGACAAGGCTTGGGATGATGTGAGGGGGGTTGCGATGCGAGAATCGGATGCATTGCCCCGCGAACGAGACGCGTCCCTGGATTTTGCGCGATAATACCCGACGAATTGTTGCCGCGCTGCACAAGGGGACGGCTTGATGCCGATCCCCTGGTAATTTTCGACTACTCACGAGGGCTTTCATGGACTGAGGCCACTGTTTACTTTATTTGTTTTCGATACCCTGATCTTGGTTTTGGCTTATATATCCGCTGGATATTCGGACTTTAATTCTCATTTTTCGTCTTCACAGCTTGGTGAACTGGGATGTTTGCCAACACCTCTGGAAAAGGGGGAGGCCATCAACGGACTGGAGTTGCTGTCTCGAAGCAACGATTGGTAGTTTGGATTGACGGCGTCTGCTTTCTGAATCGTCTCAGATGAACTGAGACAAACCTCTCCGGGTTTGCGTCGCCGGAGCGGACACTGCAACCGAGATTGGACAGAAAGGGCGCACAACGGCAGAGCATGCGACACAGGAGAGCCATGTTGCCCATAGATTACGGGCATAACGCTGGCCAGCTAAAGGACCAGATGCATGATGGATCTGTTGGGTAGTGGGGCTTGTCGTGTATATAGTAGTGCTTAATATCTACTGCTCTTTGAGAGATGCCGCGAGCTAAGCCGGCATCACAGGCCTGCTTGTGTAGGTACCGTGTGCATCTTAAGTTGGTTCTCAGTGTTTTGTCTTTGTTCTATCTTAACGACTCGTAGCAGGCGAGGGTGCTATAACATAGATCCTGCTTCCCCTTTATTCAGCGCCATGGTGAGTCTATAGACGTTGCTGGTGGGGTACCCAGGTTGTGGTCACTTGCAAGAGTTAACTTGTGCAACTTCGGAAAGCTGCTAAGTTGGTCACCCAATGTCTCGGACTGTATTGTCCCCCTTACGTACACTGTCATTGCTGATTCGTGGACTAGGGCGAAATGAAGCCTGCTATACAGACCACATGTAATTGATTGCTCGGTGAAGCGAAACATCTGTGAGTGTGCCGAGAACCACGCAAGGTCGTATACCCCTTACTAACGGGGATAAGATGATGAGCGGTGGCTTTGTGGAATTGCACCAACACCTCATCATACCTCGTATCATCATTGAAGTCCCGGGATTGTACAATACAGTTCGAAGTTGGAACTGTCCCTAAGACATGCCCTCAGCATTACACACACACACGGGTACTGCACAGTACCTTGGTTGATCGACGTTGCTGTTTTTGATACACTTACCATTTGTGCTGCGCCTCAGAACTGCTGTATGGTTGCAGCCGAGATCTTTGAGCTTCTTGATCCTTCTGTTCTTGACAGGGGTCAGAGTGCAAAGGTCTAGAACCCGTGTGGGTCTTTCAGTGTCTGGCAAGGTCCACTTGCAACTTGAGCTCGGCGCCATGCAGACATGGTAAATTCGATTACGGATTACGGATCCGTACACATACAGCATTTGTGTGCCCGAGTTATTGATGCAGTGGAAGATTGAAGACATGTGTTGGCGACGGGTTCTGATCGTCGATCATGCGACACGAACATCTGAATGACGTTATTGTGTGACACGTATGCCGATTGCCCTCTCACACACAACTAAACACATGGTTCCTGACGGGAAACTTGAGGACCATCAACAGGGGGCCAGAGGCAGGAGCAATCTCGAATTTGGCAGCTTTCTCATGTTTGCTCTTTCCCACTCTGGCCGCGCAATAGAAGCTGCGAGGGCTTGGGCCAATTGCTGCACTACTAGTAGTCGAAAATAATGGGATTGTCCCTTCTGGGTCTGCATTCCCGCCTTCTCATCTCGTTTCGGCGGCTGCTTGCACCCCGGTCGCGACCGTGTCGTTGAAGATCTTATGAACCTTGATCCCTGTGCGCCCCTGAAACTCGATGATGTACAATCGCCCTAGACGGGTTGTCTCTCCATCATCTCCCGTCCTTTCTCCTCACCCAACTCTGATCACTCGCTTTGTCACCATCATCACCTTCGACCGGCACTCTCAGATTCGACCATCCTCCTCCTTCTTCTTTTCCTCCCTCGCGCAAGCACTCGTTTCCGCGCGACCTGGCTGGTCCTGCGTTTGGCTAATATCCGTTTTCTTCACTGCATATCAAACTGGGACTTGCCACTGAAACCCTTCAACTTTCTTTCCAGACATCTTCTTCCGGACATGCCTTCTTGAGCGCTGCCTCATCTGTTTCACAACCCCGATCATCAACTCTAATTCAAGCCACCTTCTCCTCCCGCCACTCGACGCCGCGTCTCCCAATCACAATGTTGGTGAAGGCCGTGGTGGTGAAGGCACAGGCCCGCCGAGTCTTGGCTCGGCCGAGGACCGTACTGCCCACAATCACTGTTTTCCTCCTGCTGTGTTTGTTAGGTTTGATACATCAAAACCAAATCAGTTCAAAGGTTCCGTTCTTGAAGGGCGGTGTATCCCTTGACAGAGCCCCAGGTAGGGGCCCTTGCTGTCTTGAGTGTTTTTCCGAGAGCAACAACTGACAAGGCGGCAGATGAACGTCGCGAGCAAGAACTGGCAGCGCAAAGGGCAATTTTTGAGGAGGAGTACCACCAGCTCAAGAACAAACCCGGTTACAAGGCCATTTACGGGAATACTCTCGATACTCTCATAGACGAAAACACGAGGAGGCCTTCGGAAGAGGAGCAGCTGGGCCCGGCTATCAACAATACGATCTATTCTTTCAGTAAAACCCAGCCAGTCACCTTCAATCCATACCCGAAATACAACAGCCCGGATTGGAATGCCTTTCACGCACCTTACGTGCCATGCCTTGGGCCGACGGGAAAGAAGGTGGAAGATATCGGCGCTTTCAAGGGCCGCCCAAAGAACTTTCCAAACCCCGGCTTCGGAAGCTACAATGTTTTGGGGCTCGACCGGAATCTGTGCTTCGAGAGAGACACTCGTTTGGGGCCGTACGGACTGCTGCCGGTATTGAACGATGACGGCGACAAGATTGACTGGGATAATGTCAAGTGGGGTGATCTCCAGGATCAGTGCGCCGAGAGAAATGAGGCTAGGTTTGCGTCACACGGCCCCAAGAACGAATACGTCCCGGAAAACCAGTCCGCCGATTTAAAACGAGACACGAGCGCCGGCGAGGACACCGACAACGACGAGGAAGAACCCGTCATGCACACTCTGAAGCGGTTCTGGCGCAAGCCGGGCAAGCAAAACTCTTATCGGAACACTGTCAAAGCCACGAGGCGGGCGCACAACATGACGACCAAGGTGGAGCCGAGAACCGCGTTGCTGCTCCGTAGCTTCTCCGGGAAGACATACACCGAGAACGACAAGCAGGTCATTCGATCGCTGGTCACGGAACTGAGTCTCCGCAGTGGCGGCGAGTTCAAAGTCTACTTGTTCGTACATATCAAGGACAACGACGAAGACATCTGGACCGAGCATGCTTACCAAAGGGCACTCGAGGAGCACGTCCCAGCGGAGTTCAGGAGCATGGCGGTCCTCTGGAACGAGCCAGCGGTCGATCGCATGTACCCCAGGCTGTCCCCCAAGGCGCGCAAGGTACACCATGGGCAGTTTCTCCCGGTGCAGATGTTCATGCAGAGATTCCGAGAGTTTGACTATGTCTGGAACTGGGAGATGGACTCCCGCATCATTGGGCATAATTACGACGTGCTCACCAAGCTGGGCGAATTCGCCAAGAAGCAGCCGCGAAGGGGACTTTGGGAACGCAACGAGCGGTACTACATCCCGTCCTTCCACGGCAGCTACGACTCGCAGTTCCGTGCGTCTGTTGAGACGGCCGTTGGCAGTGAGACCATTTGGGGCGCACCCAGTGTTCCCGTCGTCACGCCCCTGGGGCCGAAGCCGCCCGTCTCGAACCCCGAGGACGACGATTACAAGTGGGGCGTGGGCGAGGAGGCAGATCTGATCGAGCTGGCTCCAATCTGGGATCCGGTCAACAGCGGCTGGGTCATGCGTAACTCGATATGGGGTTACCGGTCTCAGACCTTCCCCTGGGGCAGGCTTCCCCGCCGGGCCACCATTATTACCCAGTCCCGACTCTCGAGGAGGCTGATCGACATTATGCACTACGAGGACCTGCGAGGCAACCACGTCGCTTCCGAGATGGTTGCCCAGACGACGGCCCTGCTCCACGGCCTCAAGGCGGTGTACGCGCCCATGCCCGTCTTCTTCGACCGCGGCTGGAGCGGCGCCCAGCTGGCCAAGTGGTTCAACGGCGGGCCAAAGGGCCAGAGCGGCAGCTTCGGCAGCGCCATGGGATGGGGCCAGGAGGGGCGGTACATGGGCGCCACGTGGTATTTCCGCGCCTACCCGCCGCAGCGGCTGTACAACAACTGGATGGGCTACGAGGATACCGGGATCGGCGGCGACGAGTGGGAGGCGGAGCACGGCAGGCCCTGTCTCCCGGCCATGATTCTGCACCCTGTCAAGGAGATCAAGCCGACGGAGAAAGGCTACTCGACTGATTCGAGGCTTGCCTACGATTGAAAGTCTGTGCTTGAGGCGATTTTGATCTTTATTTAGGATGGGCATGCCCACGGTGGCCTCATGCCGATGCGCGACCCAGCGATCAAGCCACGCCGAGCGGTGAGGTCCGGATGCAAGGCACTGGTTACGGCCGATGATTCGCGAGGGAACAACATCATCCTGCCACGGAAGCATTCCAACGAGCTGGGATGGGGATGCTTGCTGACGGGTCAAAGTCGCAATACTGGGGAGATTTAGACCGTCGAATCCGGCCCCCGTCAGTGTCGAGTCTAAATCGACCCGGGGGAATCACCCATAACACCCAGCACGATATCGGTTGTGTGGAAGCATAAGAGAGGACGCCGCGGATCCGGGGGTGGATATACCGTATGTGTATGCCAGCTGGGCTGGTTCGCCCTGTGTTGTACGGAGTAGATACTTTGGGGCTATGTAATCAATAGTTTGAGAAGATAAAATTTCTCTGAGATCATGTCCATAGTTGGAATCACGACAATTCCAGGCTGGTCCCCTCAACAGTGTCGACATAATCGGGACAACTTGCCTCCGGCGAGGGCTTTTGGCCGGTCTCGAGCCGACTAGTAGGAGTCGTGGTTGTCAAGGGCGGTTGTACTCGATTCCTTTCTATTGGATTGTTAATTTGCTGACTATAGGCTTATCACAGAAGAGCCTCGGGGGCTAGCAAGCGAGTGTATGTCCGTTCCAGAAGGCGAAGCTGCTTGACCAAACCACCGGGGCATGCTCATTACATGGTTGATTATCAAGCTCTTGGACGACTGGACAAAAATGGAGAACATGCGCTGCAAGATTGACTCTGGATTGCTGCAGAGCACGACATGGCGGGGCGGTATGGGACGATTCTGTAGGCTGCGGCAGCCAAAGTCGGGTGTTTGGCACTCAAGATCAGCCCAGAACCACAAGCCACAGTCAGCTACTTAGCCGCGATTCTTTGAAATACATCGTCCCTGATTGGCCAACAGCTCGAAAGCCGTTCCTAGCAGGGTCTTTTTGACCCCTTATGGGCTGACTTGGATGGATCCCGGAATTGCTCATACCGGCCAGTGGTCACGTTGGAGGGTGTCGTGACGAGTGCAATGGGCTTCCAGCCGGTGCATTTGTCGATGACCTGACGCAAGGATTTGGATTTAAAATGCTGCTTCTTCCCTCTTCTGTAACACCAGGTTGTTCTACCTGAGTTCTTATCCCTATTTCAATCAGTTCTCTAGTCCGTGCCGCTCCTTCTCATCCCTCAAATTCAACCGTTCCCAAACACCAGCCTTGACTTACACACTTACAACACACAACCTGAGAAAACAATCCTCTTTCCACTTGCTCGCCCGAACAAGCACTTGCCATAGCTCAATCTACCTTACCACCATGTTGCCCACATACACCATGTCGGCACATCTGTGCAAGCAGATCTACTCGTCCTGGCGCCAGGCTAGACAGTCCTCGCCGGATTCCAGCCCGCTGCCGTCCCCTCCGACCAGCATCGGCACGGCGGCTTACTTACCACGGCCGGCCTCGCCCACCAGGAAGCACTCCATGGCCAGCGGCCGTGGCGAGCCCACACACCCGACTCTGACACGGCAGACATCCGGCTCCAACTGGCGACTGGGCTCTCGCTAGGCTGACGCTTAGGTCTTGGTCCCTCGAGGTCTGGGGAACAGCCACAAGATTCTTTTTTCGGAAAGTAGTGCAGGAGAACATGGTTGGCACACTTGCTCGCATATTCACCGAGTCTGTCCCCTCGAGACGAATGGGCGATGAGCTCGCAAGCCACACAACCATGCGGCAGCCTCGAATGGGCAGACCGAAACATGGCCACCCACCATCACCGTCACAACCATTTCACACCATGGTCAGACGAGGCTGCTGCACTCGAAGGCACACGGCATATCGCAAGCGAAACAGTCGATTGCATCCCACCCATTCGTGCATGCACCCATCCACGACTTGTTGATTCATTCAACCCACCTGAGTCTCGGGATTACCTTCTTGGAAATCAAGCCGTATCCGACTTGCAGCAAGGCCAGGAGGGCAACAGAGCCGGCGTTTGCAGTTTAAGCCTTGCTTGACAATGGGGAGATAACCCTTTTCATTCCCGCAATGCCGTCATCATCTCAAAAAGCAACCCCCAAAACAGCTCGAAAAACGCGAGGGGAAGTGGGCGCGCGCCATGTGAGCAAGAATCGATCCGTCTTTCGCTGTTGTGTCCAAAGGCGGGGAGAGGTACTTGTACCCAACGCAGAGCCGCACAGATTTTCGAACCAAGGTGGGGAGAGAACTTCTCATGCTGCGATGACGTGCCGCAGGCAGAGGATTGCTTTTTGTTCCCGCGGACGGCACAGCAAAAGCCGTGGCGACTGGGGAGGGCGGCCCGCAGCGGCAGCGGCACGCCTCGGGACGAACCTGATCGACCGGTGTTTATGCTTTTCCTTCTCTTCTGCGGGTTTGGTGGGCTCCTTGTTTGATGGCAGACCAAATGGGTGCTATTATCATGAATGGAAATGGGGAATGGCATCTTTTGACAGCACACACGGCGTTTAGTTGGTTTGCTTTTCGGCAATGAATCGATACCCTTTGCGATCCTACCTCTCCCGACTGTGAATTGTAGCCTTTGGGTATCAAAGAGCCGGGAATCCTCGACCGTGCCATCGAATCTACCGATAGTGAACGCCACGGACAGGAGTTTACCCCATCTCGCATCCTGGCTTTACATTGCAGCCAGGAACAGGACTGGACCAGTGACACCTAACCTCCCGTCAAAGCTTGTATCCACGTATATATTCTTCGCTATAAGTAGTCTGTTTTCGTTCAATGCCTAAAAAACGAGTATGCAGTGCTAATAAACCCAATAACAAGACCAGGGGAGAAACACCCACCCCTTTCTCCCCTCCCCCACCCCCCCCAAAAAAATGAAATAAACAAAAAAAAAGAAAATCGCACAAATCAACTCAAGCCCGCCCCGCTTGTTTGCTGACTTCAAAGTCAGCGCAATGCCTTCACTCAGTCTATCTACTGTACAAGTCTCAAAACCCTGCAAATGGAAGACGTCTCCGCTCAAGTAGAACAAAGAAAAAAGATCAGCACTCCAAGAACCCAACCGCGCCACTCTGCTCCAACTTCACCCAGCCATCGACGCCATGACAGGCGGCACCCGCAACGACGACACCTCCTCACCATCCGGCCCGCTGCCGCTATCGTCAGGCGACTCTTCGGCGACCTGGCCTTGGATGCGGCGCTTAGCCTCAGCCTTGTCGGCTTCGGTGATCTGGGTCTCGTCCTTGCGCATGTCGGGCGTCCACTGCGGCTCGCCAGGGTCGTGGCCTACCGACATGCCAACGCGGACCTAAAACACGCGGAAACATCAGTATCACGTTTTGCAAAATGTATATGTATGTATATAAGGGGAGAGAACGAAAAAAAACTCACCAGCGTCTCGAGCGCGGTATTCGAGTTATCCACCAAATCGTCATCAAACACCATCCTGCCGCTCTCAAACAGCAGTACAAGCGTGCTGCCGCCGAACTTGAAGTACCCCAGCTCCTCCGCCCTTTTCACCTCCTCACCCTCGCTGCGCGTAATCACGGTACTACCGACCATCATGGCGCCCACACAAATCACCATGACGCGTCCAAACTCGGGCGAATCGATGGGCACCAGCACGCGCACATTCTCCCCATAGACATCGAGCGCGGAGCGGATGGCCATGGGATTGACCGTGTAGTACTCGCCGGCAATGGTCCGGGGCTGGCGCATGACGCCGTCGACGGGAATGTGGAAGCGGTGGTAGTCCTGCGGCGCGAGCCGGAAGATGCCCAACGCGCCGCCGTTCTCGTAGCGCGCCACGTCCTCGGGGTAGGCGTCGCCCAGGAGGCGCTTGACGCTGAACTCGCGGCCCTTAATCCAAACCTTGGTGGCTGTCTCGATGCGGTTGAAGACAACGGCGCGGCAGTCGGCGGGCGACACGATGATGCGCGGGTTTTTGGGCGCCGAGCACGGCCGAGCCCCGGGCTTGAGGGCGCGGTAGAAGAACTCGTTGAAATTCTTGAACTCGTCAAGTGGAAGGAGAACCTCGGAGAGGTCCAGGCCGTGGAACGCAATGAATTTGGGGATCTCGGCCTTGGAGGCTGGATCGTCGTATTTCTTACCTTGTTTAATGCTGAGGCTCTTGAGGAGTTTGCGGACTGCTTGTGTCAGATGAACCTGCCATGCGTGTCAGGGCTCGTGATGGCACTTACTCCTCTTCTTCTCCATATTGTTCGCCTTCAGGCCCTTGTACAACAGTCGGATGCCCAGCCTCACGTAAACGCTCATCTTCTCCTCGTTGATTTGACCGGTGATGCGGTCCTGCACAAGGATGTTGGCCGAATTGGCGCCCAGCTTGTAGCCTCCATACGAAATCTTGGTGATGATCTTGGAGTACCACTTCCGCTGTGCCTGGCTGGACGTGACAAAGCCGCCCATCATCAAGTTGTTGACCTGGCGCCAGTCCTGGCTCGCGCAAGTGGCAATGTGCGTGATGATGTCTGTATCCTTGCGCTTGTTCAAGCGCGGCTGGTGGCAGATAGGGCACTCTCGAATCATAACAACGTGTTCCTCGGCCGCGCTGCTGTTCAGATCGTCCTTGACCAGAAAATCGCCTTCTTCGCCCGGTGTGCTCAATTCAGGAACAGAAATGGTGGAAGATTCACTTGTCTGCGACTCGGCAGGCGCCTCGACGGTTTCCGCCGGCGTCTCGGTCCTCGAAGCGGCCTCCCTCCCGGGAACAAGGAAATTCTTGACTTGATCCTTGACTTGATCAGCATCTGGAAGCATGTTCTTGACGCGCTCCGCCCCGCCCTGAGGGCGCGATTTGGCTTGAAGCTGGTCCTCCAGGCAGATGACGGCCTCGTCCATCGTCAGGTCCTCGACGTCGTCGCCATCACTCGCCTTATGAGGGAAGCGTTGGAAGAAACTGTCAATGGTCGACTCGCGCAGCGTCGAACCCAGGGTGTCAAGCATAGTCGTCAACTCAACCTTGCTGATATGGCCACTCTCGTCCGTATCGTACTGCTTTAACATGGCCCTCCAGAACTGCTGTCGAAGCGCGGGGTACGGCATGTACTTGGCACGGATGGACAAGCGAGGATTATGCTTGGCCTCCCACTTCTCCAGGTTTTTCATCTTGAGCGGGAGCGTGTAGGCGATGAAGTCGGAATCCTCGCTGCTGTCGGACTCCCCTAGAGTCGACGCGGCAGCTGCAACAGCATTGTCCCCCGGTTGCAGGAATGCGGTGCTAGGAACCGCGGGCTGGGCGTCTTCCGGGATACCATCCGCCTGGATCTGAGAAGGACCGGGAGTCACGGCTGGCGTGGTAGCAGCCGAAGGAATTGTCGCGCTGGATGAGCTCTTGGAGAGCTGTGGTCTACTGGCCTTGCTGAGGCTCTGAGACGACGAGGTGCGCGACAGTCCCAGTCGCATGAAGCGGGGCCGCTGTACCGGCGTCGAGAAGTCGGGCACCTCCTTCAGGTTGTACAGGCCTGTCTCGGGATCCGCTTGGGGGGCCTTTTCGATGAGCTCCTTGATAGGAAAGTTCACCGAGGCAATGAAGTCGTTGCCAGAGTACTTGTCGAAGTCGATGACAGTAAACGAGAAGCTGTAGGTGGTCTCATGACCAAGCACTTGAAAGATCATCTTCTCGTTGAAGACAGGGTTCAGGTTGTGGCGAATCGTCTTGGTTCTGTACGTCTTTTTTCCCAACGAGGCAACCACAAAGGGGTCCATGTCGAAGCTGGTCTTGGTTAGGTTGGACTCGGGCGGAAGGTCGGTGATGTTGCAGATCTCGAGGAATATAATGCCAACTACGTCGCTACCGCCGTTGATGAACTCGTATGGGTTTTCGCTCTTTTTGCGCTTCAAACCCCTGATGCGCAACTTTCTCCGCCTCTTTTCAGCCGCTTCGGGTTTGGTCAGATCTTCGTCCTCTGGTGTTTCATCCTCGTCGACATCGTACTCGTCCTCCTCGTCATTGTCGTCCGCCCGCCTGTCATCGATGGGCGGAGAAGGTAAAGGAGTTTTTCCCTTGCCGATAGGGCCTAGCACGGGGTTCCGGGACGGGGTAGGATCCTGCGACGTATCGGCGCCGGTTGCCGATCTGACAAGAGCGCTGAACTTCTCAAAAACTTGTTCCTTTGTGGCTTGCAGGTTCGTGGAATCGAACAGAGTGAACTGCAGCATGACCTCTCCCGAAACGATGCTCGTCTTCTTGCCGGGTCGTTTGCTCTTCAGGGGGTACCATTTGGGCGGCTGCTCTGTCTTTTCGTCGGCGAAGATCTCCTCGAGGGCAAGGTCAAACTCGCCCAGATAGTCCTTGCCAAAGCGGTCCTTGTCCCAGCAACACACGTCCAGCAAAAGACTTTGAATGCCGCTGACGGGAAGCTCGCATTGTTCGTTCCACTCGGGGTTGAGCGTCTTGGACTCGGTGTGGGTGATGTGCTTCGCTTCGCCAAGAGTCAAGACGAGGTACTGGGTGTCGACAAGCAGCAGTTAGCCGCGAGATCTTGTTTCCGGCGGGGCTGCAGATGGCATATGCAGTGTCGCACTCACCGGGTCAGACGTGCCTCCCCTATCCTTGGCGGCGAGGTCCCTGGCCTAGCAGTTCTCAAGTCAGTGTTCCGTATCTCCATCAGCAGCACTTGTCACATCCAGCGGCCCGTACCCGCAGAATGGCAACGTTCACAACGAGGCCGGTGTCCTTGCGGCCGTCTGGAATCGCCAAATCTCCCTTGCTCCCCATTGGGCTCTCGCTGCGGCTATTGGAGGTGGAATTGGTGTTGGCGGTGTTGGAGAAGCCCGACTTCAGGCGATTGGGAATGATGCGAACCATGGTGGGCGAGCGCGGGGTCGACGACGGTTTATGGGCTCCCCGGTGCTACCAACTCCCGACTGGGTTTCCAAGTTTCGAGTCGGTGGCGGTGCCTGGTGGTACCCTTTTGCGGGGTTGGGATGGTCGGGTGTCCGCGTACGCTGTTGCCAATGCCAGCTTGCGGGTGCCGCAGCAAGCACAGTGACCACACACACCTGGGCAGCTTCAGCACCTCGCAGCCCGTACCTTGGCAGATTCGTTGACTGTGCCTACAGCGATCCCCGTTCCACACAGCCGTCAGAGATGGGGTCGGTGAGGGAATTTGAGGGTTGACGGGTTATCTGCAACACGTCAGGCACCTGTGCAGCGTGCTGGAAGCCGGGAAGACGAGGACGTCATCTATTAAACCGCGACATGTGGAATTGGAATCAGAGGCCTGGATCAGCTTTACATACTTGGCAGCATTCAGCAGGTGGAACGTCAGTGGGGCTGAAGCAAGGGGACTCCTGTGTGCGACTGCGGGGCACCTCAAGGGATTTGGATTGGCCCCCTGGAGAGCCTCTGCCCCACCAATGGAGAAAATCCGCTGGAGAGCCGCCAATGGATCAGACCAGAACAGCCACCCATCAAACTGGGCTCAGCTCATCAGTTAAACGCTAGTACACGATCTCGGGAAAGTGGTTGAGGTTGGCTAGAACAATTATAGGCGAGATTTGGGGGATGTCTCAGGGAGGGCAGGCTGACGGGTCGATGATATAAACGACAGGAAATTCACTTGACGCTTGTGCATGCACTGGAGCATTTGATGCGCATCAACGGGCATGCGCCGCATGTCGATTAACCGGCCGGCTATACCTCAACATTGGGGGCCAACAAGTCACTCGCAGTAAGGTCGGGAAGATGGGGCGGACGCATTAGGAACGTGCAAGTTCCCGTATCTACAGCAAGCAGTATGCGGACGAACTCATCCAACTCCAGAGGGCATGTTACAAATCCCTTAACATCCGAGAGTTCCGAGTTCACACATGAACACGGGCTGCGGTGGCCTGTTGAATCCCGACGAAGGTATCTCTCGATGTCTCTCATGAGCGCACAAAGCCGTTTACTCCAGGCCAAACCACACCCAATGCTGTCAACACTATCTCGGTTTTTGGTCAGACCTTCTCCGAATCTCTATTACGGATGGATTTAGTGAACGGTCCACCCTCGGTCGCGGCCGCGGCCGCGGCCGTTGCCATCCATATAAGATTTGCCGGCTCCATAAGTTACGCACTCTCATTCTTCAGAACTGGCCCGTGGCTTTAACCCATCCACATTCAGCCCCAAAGCCTACCTTCAGCCCTGAACATTGTCTTGGGTGTGAGTAATATGGTTGGCGGGCTTTTGTAGGTTTAAAACTCATGGCTCCGAAAAGAATGTCACCTACTAACGTTGTACGCCACACCTGACTACGGCCGGCATCTAGCTCAGTTTTGCTTCACCTCAAAAGCTTGCTGGCGGTTAAACGGCACGTGCATGGCGACTATCACAGTTTCATTGGAATCACCGTGAGCATTATGATCAAAGAAAGAGAACGGGCTATGAATCCCACCTCAACCATGAGCTGGGAAATAGCTAATGTTTTACCGAGTCCTGCCCGAATTATGCAACGACCACTTTCTCAGGGGTCAAACAGAAGCATTGACGAAAGCGAGGGGACAACTCCCTCCCAAAATTTCCACCTTGTGGGTCGCTCATATGCCAGAACCCAGTTACTCCATCGCGGTTCAACGGCCCGTTGAGTTTAGTACTTCCACGGTATGATGCTGTCACGCGAGCCCATGCTACTTCCGGACGAGAGAGAGTGCTTCGGCGATAGCTATCAGGATATCCTCCGTCGGAACAGGCTGATGAGCGTGACGAAGAGAGTAGCAAGTCATGACCTCTGCTGGCGGCGCTCTTTTATTGTTCCCCGCTCGAGTCGCAACCGAGCACCAGGCATCATATGAGCAAGAGAGCAGCGGGCCAGCCAGCCCCTATTCACGCCGCTGTTGTGCAAATCCTCTGTGCTGGATCGACCTGTCTATCCCATGCTCCCGTGTAATTGTTTTGTGAATATCATTTCTCGTAAACGATCATGAGAAACCGCCTATGCAGCCACCCTGGCTTTGTACTTCGTGGCGGCCCTGTCAAAGAGGTCGCTCTTCTCAGCCAAGTCCGTCAAAAACGGATGCTCGGGGTTGGCCTTTTGGAGAGCGCTGGAAGCAACTATTAGATCATGAATTGCTCGTTACGTTGGGGATGCGACACGTACCTTGTCAGCTCCTCCGGGCTCTTCCCGATGATTACGTTAAGCACCAGGAGATTCGCAATGGCCTCGGCGTACTCGGGCTCCTTCTTCATCGCCTGGTTCAGCGCTGCCTGTGCCTCCTCTGTCCGGCCTAGATGCAGTTCCGCGACTGCCTGGGCAACCAGGGTCCGTACTGATGATGTCGCGGGCGCTTGTGCCAGCTCCTCAAAAACGTAAAACGCTTGCTGGTATTTCTCGCCACCCTGAAGACCCAGGCGGTGTCAACTCAACAGTAACCATGAGGGAGATTCGCATGGGGAGAAAACCAACCAGCCTCAACCCCACCCACGACTCTGCAAAGTTCACCAGCAGGCTATCCTGAGCCCACCGCCGAGCGGCAGCGACCTCCTTGAGAGCGAGATCATTCCTGTTCTGTTGAAGATGAATCTGGACAATAAGCGCAACAGCATCCACTGCGCACACCGAGAACGTCTTATGTCAGCCTCACTAATTCTCCCCAACCATTTTATTGAACGGAACGGTATATAACCCACAATTCCCTTGATGCCTCCCCAACAGCGCAAGCGCCTCCTCTGACTTGCCCGCCGCCTGCAGCACGGTGCCGCCCACGATCTGCACCGTGGCGTTGTCCGCAGCGCTACCCTGCGCGAGTGTTTCAACCGTCTCAACGGCCTTCTCGGCATTGCCCAGCGCCTGCTCGGCCAGCGCGCCGACGGCCTGCAGCTCGGGTTCTGGCGCGCCCTGCACGTCGGCCAGCACGTCCTCGGCCTGGCCCAAGGCGACGCGGGCGCGCAGCTGCAGCACGCGCGCGGGCAGGGCGTTCTCGGGCGAGAGGGCCGACACGTCGAAGTCGACCACTTCCTGGTACTGGCCCTGGTGGAAGTGGTTGTGGATGTTGATTAGCTCGCCTTCGGCGGAGTAGGGGTCCATGGTGGAAATCGGTTTGTTTTGGGGGTTGCTGTCGGGATGGAAACGTTTGGGTGGTTTGCGGTGTCGAGGACGGTGCTTGATCTTGGTGATAATATGGACTTGAGTGGCCGACGTGGAGCTTCCTGCAGCGGAGGAAGATGCGGGACCCCAACGAGCAGGGCCATTAACGCCTGGGTTAGGGTTAGTTTGCAGATCTCGTTAGAACTATGGCATCTCTTCTCCCAGCCTCAGATTCTGACTCTTTTTTTTCCACAACTCACTTCTCAACGTCAGAATCGCTGTGCGCTTCCACCCAAAATTTTCGTCCAGCAATGGCAGCGCTCCCATCACACCATCTCGATGCCCGGAACTGGCCATGCTTGGGCCGTTGAAATGGGCCTGCACAGCAAACATCAAACCAAGCCTTCAGGTAGTGGACCCAACACTCATAATCTTAGGAATGTATGGACGCTGTCTACCTCCATGCCTTATGTCATTTGGCCAGGCAACACTGCTCGATGGCCTGTAAAATGCACAACCCGCTGTCGGCGTGGTCACAAGTTCGGGTTCTCGGCCGCTGCAAGCCAAGCAAGGAGTGCGAGGCGCAGTAGCTCAGGAGCCGACTGATGGTTTCTCGGACTCGGCCTGCCAAACGCACACCTCGAGCTCAGTGCTCCCGTCCCTATCCGCTTGCATTTCGAAAACCGAATTTCAACGCTCCCGCGCCTTCACCGCGGGTCCTGAAGCCGCCTCTGAAGCTTTCCCAGGGAGACTGCGTCGTGCTTATTCTCCGACGTGAAGAACGTCTCTTCGCACCAACCGGGGTTCCGAGCGACTGCAGGCGCTCTCGCTCTCCATAGGCCGCAAGGGAGCCGAAGTCTATCAGGACCGGTATACCGTCCATGACCATGATATTGTCCGGGTCGATGTCGTTGTGGGCTGGGCCCAACGAGTGGAGGTAGTACACGGCAGATTCGAGGGCCTCGAAGAACCGGACCTTGTCGAGAGTCTGGAACGCAGGCGCTGAAGCGTACTGCGTCGGAGTGCAATTTAGCTGCTCCAGGACAATCGCCGTGATCCGTCCCCGTCTCACGCGGCAGCCGTGGTAGTTGACGATATCCGGGTGTGGCATTTTGGAATTTGCTCCATGATGAGCGTTTCGTCTAGAACGGACTTGGGTATGAAGTTGGTCCCCTTCATGTCATCGTAACTACACAGGCCGGGTCGCTCGATATACGCACAACTGTGGTCCAGGTTCTCAGGCGCAATCGTCAGATCGATACCCGCGGGACATGCTGGGTAGATCTTGGCGTCCTCAACGCGCTCCAGCGCTGCCTGGTACTGGGCGAGGGTCATCTCCCTATTCTTCTTGGACGACTGGCCGAAGTAGACTTCTTCGACCGGGGTAACTGTGTAGAAGGTTATGTACTGTGGTATTTGGATGTGTTGGTTTTCGAGTCCCAGGCCTCAGTGACTGTACAGATCTTGGGGAGAATTCACATCATGAGGCTCATCCTTCTTCAAGTTGGTATCGTCGACAGATCCCCATGCGTTTGCAGATTCTTTGCAACTCATCGCATCAAGGCACACCCCCTCGTACCCTCCAAGTAAGTCCAAAACAATAAAAGGGGATCAGAGATGTCGAGATTCTTCACGTTAGTTTGAAGAGGTGCAGGAGAGGAGAGTCGGTGGGCCAACCAACGTGCAGCCAGGCAGCAGCCACAGCCAACTCATCACCATCCACACCACTGCATCGTTCAGCCCCCAAAATCAACCTCCAAAGCAACTTCAGCCATCACAACAACCTCTCGGACTTGCTAGCCCTCGTCATGGCCACGCCATAAATGATACACTCAAAGCACCTAACGTGTTCAACCCTGCAATTCCCTGTCGCAAGTACACACGGCAAAACGTCAAATCTCGAAACGAGTATCCGGAAATGCGAATTGACTGGACGGCTTCTTCCCATCCATGCTTGACTGAGGATCGAAACCGATTCCAACATGCAGATTTCATGCACGATTGAGGCGTTGCCAAGCTGCTGTGTCTTTATTTAGCAAAACCCGGTCAGACCTTCAGTGGCACAGCTCCCGCATGGCAGATGGGTGTGTCATCCAATACCGAGATCGTCGACGCCGAGAAACAGCCTCACCCTTACCTAGGCATCTAGGTCTCAGAAATGGCTGCTGCAAACATGGGACGCGGGGAAGCTGGCTACCTAACTAGGAATCCTTCATCTCGCATACACGTCAATTACACGGTACGAACAAGGGCCGCTAGCAGCTTACTGAGTGAGCTGCAGTCCGGATGAACGAGGAATCCTTCGCCATCGCTGGGTTTGAACATGAATTCGGATCGATACAAACAAGACCGATCCCTACCAACATTCTCACGCCTCCCTGTCCATCCTTGCCCCCCACCCACCGCGGGATTCCATAAGCTGTCTTCGCATGGGTATCCGGTAGGTTGGGCTTGAGAGCCGTCATCAATTTCATCTTTCGTGCTTGGTGATTGCCTGGGAGACTTCTTGGAACATAAGCACTGCAGTTCCCGGTATTCTACCCCTAACCATACGTTCCCATCGGCTTAGACATGGAAATGCTAATACCTCCTCGGGACCATGGGCCGTCCACGTACCGCTACACATGGGATGAGAACGGAGAGATTGCCCAGGTAACTCGGTACGTTGCCGCACTTTCACCCTTTTCACTCGACCCTAGAGCATAGACCCAAACTAACACCTCCCAGAGTGAGAGACTCACGCCCCTTCTCGATAGCCCGCCGCAGCCCAGGCTGGCAAAGCGCCCAATGGCCCTTCCAAAGCATCATCACTACTACTACAATAACCACAGCAACAACAGACAACGACCCCGCCAGCCCAGCCTCCCCTTCCTGCCATCACCACCAACATCGTCGAGCATCGTCATCATCAGCCTTCCACTCAACGTGGCAACCCGACAGCCCTCATCCCCATCCCCAAACCACCACCAACAAAACCATTAGCAACGGCTCCTCAGAGGAAACCCCAACAAGCCGGGTAAGCCTGGTCCCCGATTACGTCGCCACCTTCCTCCGCTTTCTCCGCAGCAGCATCAACAGCAACACCACGCCCGAGTCAACCCTCACCATCCAGCAGCAGCACCCAGAGACCCCCATCATGATCCCTCACCGCGACCGCTATTACACCTCCCGCAACAGCGACGAGGCCGAGAAGCAAGAGCGAACAATTACGCCCCAGAAAAAGCACTGCGTTGTCCAGATCGTCGTGCCTTCCGAGCACCCCCACCCCCAACACCAGCAGCACCGGTCAGGGGTGGCGGACTTCTATGATGAGAGGGGAGTTCGCATCTATCCTGACGATAGTGTTCATGTCTTGGAAGCCGGGATCGAAGGGGTTGATTCTCGCGATTGCGATCGCGAAGCTGGGGGTGAACATCCCGTGGTGGGGGAAGAGGAGCAGGGTTTCTTGGGCTCGTCGGTTGTTTGGGATAGGGTCTCTGGAGGTTTTACCGGTGAAAAGGGGAATGGTGGTGATAAGAACTGGAAGAGGAGGGGAGGTACGAGGTGGCTTAGCGGATGGCGGGCTGGGGTCGCGATGAATGTGCTGGCTGTGTTTGTGGTGCTGATGGCTGGGTTTGTGTGCCTCGTTGTGGCCATCTCGCGGGTGTCCCTTGACGGCGAAAGGTCGGCTTTTTTCGTCGGGCCGTGCGCCGCGGCGAGGGGGCCGGAGGGCGGGCTGCATGCGGTGATTAGTGTATTTGTGGTGGTCTTGGTGGCCGGGGCAAACTACACTTTCCAGGTCATTGCCAGTCCGACGCGGGAGGAAGTGACGGCGGCGCATCTGGGGAGGGAGTGGCTAGATATTGGGATCCCGTCATTTCGGGGTATTCGACGAATTGAAAGGGGCAGGGGCTTTCTGGCGGTTATGGTGTTGGTGATGGCTGTCCTGACGCAGATAATGTAAGTTCTTCCGGGGTAGATGGGGAGAAGGGGGAACTTGCTGACCGAGGGGCTAGGTATAATGCTGTAATATACGTCTCACAGACGGCGCCGAACTACAAGGCCGCCTTGGTCAGCGAGCCCTTCGTCGCGGGCGCTTCTTTTAACAGCGACTCATCAAACAACGTTGGCGGGTTGAGTCGCGTCGATCTTGAGACTCTTCAGCAGCGAGCAGCTCGAGGGGAGACTGTCCGGCTTTCCGCGTCGGCATGTATCAACCAGTTCAGCGCAGAGTTCGAGACGGAGTACTCGGCCGTCCTCCTAATCTCCGCCTCCAGCTCCGCATCTCTCATTCAGACCTCTCTGGGTACCATCCAGGACCTAGTCCCCACTGCGTCCGCCATCCAATATTGTCTAGCCTTCCCCGCCGCCGCTCCAACTTGCGAAGTCAGCCTGAACGCCCCTCTCCTCGGGTCCGTCGCCCTCGTCAACGCAATTACCCTCCTAGCGACGGCCACCGTCCTCTTCAGACGTCCCTCGTCCTTCCGCCCTCTCGCCACCCTCGGCGACGCCATCTCTTCCTTCCTCCAGGATCCCGATCCAACCACACAAGGCGCCTGCCTCCTCTCGAAATCCGACGTCCGTCACGGCCGCTGGCCGCTCCAGGAGTCCAAATTCTGGGTCCCCAGAACCCACCGCTGGCTCCGCAGCGTCTCCGGCGCCCGCTGGCTAGCGACCTTCTCCCTCTGGGTAGCCTGCATCAGCCTCTGCGCGGGAGGCTTAGCCTTCTCTCTTACCCCCTCTCACCCTGAAACAACAACACCCCAACACCTCCCCCCCTTCGGGAGCACCCCCTCTCCGCATGCCTTGATCCTCCTCCCAGCGTCATCCATCCCGCCCTCAGCAGCAGCCGTCCTAGCCTCCCTCCCGCAGCTCCTCCTCGCAAATCTCTACCTCGCCGTTAACGCGCTCCTGACGACGTACTATCTCTCGCAGGAATCAGCCCTGTTCGCGACCGGTCCGGCCCCCCGATCGCTGCGCGTGTCGGCGGACGACGCCGAAGGGGAGCAGACCACGTCGGTATATCTCACGCTGCCTGTTCCGGTGTCGGCGCTGCTCATGGCGTGCTTTATGGGGTTGGCGTTTATTTTGAGTCAGAGCTTTTTTGCCGTGTCGGTGCGGCTGGAGGAAGTGCATATATCGTCGCTGTCGGGTGACGAGGCGCTGTCTCTGTCTTCTGGATCAAGGGTTCCATCTCCTGCTGGTGAGAGGACGATTGTGGCGCTTGGGTTTAGTGGGCTGGGTTTGCTTGTTTTGTTGGTGGTCTTCGTACTCCTTGCGGTGGCGGTTGTGGGATTGGGGCTGAGACGGGCGCCGCCGGTGGGTGTGGTAAACGGGGATATGTTCGGGAATCCGATGGCGTTGCCGGGTGGGTCGTGCAGTGCTGTTCTGAGCGCACGCTGTCACCCACTGGCGAGGGAGAAGGGGCTGTGGAGGGAGCCGGTTATGTGGGGAGTGGTAAGGGAGGGGGTTGGGTTCGGGGTCAGCCACTGTGGTTTTACCGCTGGGAGGGCGGGAGTGGTTGTGCCAGGGAGAAATTATGCTTGAATTTTCGTCGATATATTTCTTGGGGTAGTAGGTGTTGAGTGTTACGGGTTGGGACTGATTCAGGGGTTGGCATGGCGATGGCTTTCATTTGTTATTGTATACCCCCATTCGTTATTATACCCCTGAGAATAGCATGGGCAAGTCACACACGGCTCAACTTTTCACCTAAGGAGGGTAACTACCTACTATAGGTGTGGTTGTCATGATTCACTTGGCGGCGTCCTCAAATAGGTCCCTTTCAATATCTTGGCTATGTTACCACTTGGCCTTCCAGCCTTGAGGTAAGAGGTAAGAGCTCGGCTCGTTCATGATCGTGTGTTGATCCCGGTGCATTCAGGGTTGGGAGTCACACTGTAATCTCCCCAACTGGCGAGGTGTTTTAATGGATCCCCTGAAAATGGCGCCATGGCAGAGAACCCCACTCCCTCGCCATTTCTTCCAATATCACCCAGCAGCACTAGTTATATTGGATTTGAACAGGAGTTTTACCGTACAGTGCTGACCCGAGCCTTCCTCGGTCATGTCGGTCAACATGGTTTGTTCACCAGACTTCTGCCACCTGTTCTCTGAGTTTCGAGTCAAGATTCTGATCCGTCACTTATAGGTTCACGCCGATGCATCCACCTTTGCCGAGGGCATCACCAAGGAGCAGGCCTACCAACAGGTCTTGGACCAGGCCGAGGGCCTCTTCTTTGAGCAGCGGAACTGGGTAGGTGTATACCGATGCGGCTTATGGTTTTGAAACCACAATGACTCCTCTATCCAGTAAGGGTCGTACACTCTGGTCACGTCTCTCACGGGCTCCATCACAAGGGGTGAGATACCAAGTAGGACAACTGTCACGGACCCCAAGGAGGAGAGTTGTCACGGCGTGTTGCTCTATTGTCGTTTCTTCTGTGCTGGGTGCTGATCGATGCTAACATTCCTCTTTTCTCAGGTTTGGTGTGTGGTTCCCTGACTGCTTCAAAACCCGTGAAAGACAGCTCTCCTTCCTAGTATAGGACACTTACACCCAGCCCAATCCCACAGCAACCTAGCCAATGCGGCCTCGCTTCTTTGGCACGCTTACAAATCCCTCCCTTTCCCAAGCAACCAAGTCAACTGGGCAGGTCAGTCTCACATCGCATCTAACTCCACCAACCTTCCACCCCCCCTTGAAACCCCCCTTTTTCTTTCAAAACCCTTCCAATCCCAACTGACAATCAAAACACCCCCAAACAAACAGGCTTCTACACCCTCAACCCACTCTCCCCACCAACCCGCCCGCAACTCATCCTCGGTCCTTTCCAGGGCAAAGTAGCCTGCCAGACCATCGCCTTCGGGCGCGGGGTGTGCGGCACGGCGGCGTCGACGCAGCAGACGCAGCTCGTGCCCGACGTCGACGCGTTCCCGGGCCACATCGCCTGCGACGGGGCCAGCCGTAGCGAGATTGTCGTGCCCATTGCCGTCGCCGGCAAGGGGATCGTGGCCATCATTGACGTCGACTGTGCGGTTGTCGATGGGTTTGATGAGGTGGATCGGCTGTGGCTGGAGAGGTTTGCGGCGGTTGTTGGCGCCGCTTGTGACTGGCCTTAGTTTCGGGAGGAAGGTGGTCTGGGGGGAGGGTGCGTTACGTTTAGGGGAGATATGCGATTGGGATGGTGTGAGGTAGGATTTGGGTGTGGAAAGGGGTGGAATGTTGTTGTGGCTCGAAACTTCTTGATACTCGAAAGATGCTTTGAAAACGCCACTTTGCCTCCCATTTCTTTTCCTTTTCCGTTCTCTCTTTCTCAGTATCCTCGCTTTCTTCTATTTCCATGGTATTTCCCCTTTTTTAAAGTTCCTCCATTCTCTTCTTCTTCTTTCAACCGGGAGAACCTGCTCATGTTGCGCGCAGCATTGCTTCCCTCCGTATTTGTCTGAGAGATGCAGGCGTGACTATCTGACAGGGCAGGCTCGGATGATGAATGGCATTGCCATGGACCCTATCACACCACGAAGTCTATGCTTGCCGACACGGAGTGCCAGCGAACAGCTTTCGAAGGCAACGTGTTGCCATATTTCCACAACACGAGGGCTCAGCTCCATATCCCACATACTGCGCCAATTGACAGATGCATGGGCGCTGTCGGTACGGTATATGAATTCACAGGCGTTCCCCTCGCCGCCATTCCAGAGCACCATGCTGCGCAGTCCAGGCATCTGCAATGCGGTGCTGCCAGCTTCGTACAGCAAGGCGTCAATCTTCTGGAAGCTTGCCGTACGTTGTAGGAGCTGCGAGGTGAGCGCGAGAGACTGCAGGCGGTACCAGGGTCAGGTTGGCTGGCACGCTCGAAAGAAATCCTCAGCGTTGACCATGTACGTGACAGAGAGCTGTTCGAGGTCGAGACTCCTGGAGGCAAAGCCGCGCCAATTCCAGGATCTACGACGTTGGAGCCGTCCACTCCCAGCCAGGGGGACATCTGGGAATTGCTCAGTGCTGCAGTAATCCTGTTGCTGAATTCTTGGAATACCGTCACTCTCCGAAGAGTTTGGGGAAGGCCTTCTTGAACCAGGCGAGGAATCCCGCAACCAGATATTAGCGGCCGAGTTGAGAGGGTGATGTCGATTACTTACCCCAGTCATGGAGCACCTTGCCCCCGTCATGCCACTGCCGCTATGCGCTCGTAGACCAAGCGTTCCAGACAAGAAAGTTTGTTCAATATAAGTGCAAAAGAAGACGGGAAAAGCCGGCGACGTAGCTGTCGACGGATCACCAGACACGTGACGCTGTCCAGTTGAGAAAGTCTTTCCATCAAAGAATGACATGAATTGGATAGGGATATCCATGCGAAGAGTCGCAATATAGCTAATAAGGGAGGATCCGTGACCTGACGGCCGCGGATCCAGCCGTGCTTCGGATCGTGCCAGTTGCATTCGGCTTCCCTTTCGCTGGCTTCGGCGTCCGAGGCGAAACAATAGTTCTTGAACCAGAGGTGCGAATCGCTGGGGCAATGCACGCTGAGCTCCAACGTCAAACCACGGGCCGATTTCCAGGTGCCGAGGATACCGAGAAGCCTCCATACTGAGAATCATGTTGTTGCGCTCGCTCCAGAACCCCGACTCCTCTCACTTGCACGATCGACACGTGCATCTCGGTAACTCAATGTCGAGCAGGACATGTCGAACTAGCCCTCTCTGCCGGACGCTCAGACGTTCCAGGCTATCGAGGCAAGGCGCTTGCAGCTTCAGCTGCCGGAAGTTTTCCTTCTCTATAGTGAGCTGCCATTCTCTGCAGACCCAAGCCAGAGACGTCCAGCCGGGATGCTTCTGCTGTGGAATCGCCTCCAACATTGTCAGTTAGATGTCATAAGGCGGAGAATTCCACTTGAAAGCGTTCCTCCTTGCCGAGGCGCGAGTCATTATCCCTTGCCGCCTGGGAATGCCGCACCTGTCCGACATGGTGAGAGAAGACCTAATAAGATAACATTGGGAGGGAAAAGAAGGTGTGAGAGCGAAAGTGGTCAAAGGAGATGGTGCAGCGTGTCAACAACAGCGTAAAAACCCGAGCGGGCGAATGTGCTACGTCGTGTAGATCTGGAATGCCGCGGGCTGTGAGGTTGATGGAAAATATGTCCAGTCATGCTTCAAAAACCTGAACGTCCTGAATAGTGGATGTGCCACCAGTGGTAGACAGTAATTGTGTCGTCAGTCGTTCACCACCACACTGGGCTTATTGAACCGCATGGTTGCTGATTCAACTGAGTGCACCTTATTTTCCGTCCCACGGACTCAAGTACACATGCCTCCAATGTAATATTAACCTATCCCACACAAGGGCAAGGACAGTCGCTGAATTGCCCAAGACAAGATGAGGAACAAAGGTACCCTCACCCGTCAACCCTTAGAGCAGCAGAGTCCCAGTCAGAGTCAACACGGCCACCAGCCCCGCGACAACAAACGGCGCCCTGTCGACGCTCCCGACATTCTTTTCGCCACTCTCACTGCCAGACGGCGTGACAGTGGCCGACCCCGAACCGGGCGTGGCATCTCCGGTGCTGGTTCCATCTGCAGCATTCTGCGATCCCGCGCCCTTCAGGCCCGGACCGCTGCCCGCGCCGTCCGACATGAGCTGCAACTACCGTCAGCAAAACTACCCTCAAAACCCAGCGGTCATACAGCCGAAAAGTTACACCAGGCAGTAGCAGTCCTTGCAAAGATAGTAAACTTACCTTCTTCGCACCGTCAGGAATCGCCGGCAGAAGCGTGCTATCCACAAGCCAATTCGCGTCCTTGGTCGGGCAAGCGACCGAGTGCGTCGTCGACGTGAAGCCGCCGTTGCCCGTCGGGGCCGGGTTCGCCTTGAGGGCCGAGGCAAACTTTGCAAAGCCGTCCTGCTCCTGCACGGTAGACGCCTCCGGGCTTGGGATCTTGACGATGCCGTAGCCGTTTTCCTCCAGCGCGTACTCGTACATCAGCCCGCCCGAGTAGACGCTCGTCATCTTGTCGCCCATGAGCGCGGCGACCTCACCGAAGTCGCGGCCGTTGGTAAGGCAGCCGTACTCGGAGAGACTGTTGTTATTGGCAGTGGGGCTCAGTGAGATGTCCGTTAGTTGTGGGAAGTGGTAGGAATAATATCGTACAAAATAGCGATACCGTAGCCGGTAAAGTTCTTCACCTTTTGGTCCCAGCCGGATTCTTGGAAATTGGAGTTGCACCACGAGTAGTCGTTCTAAAGATGTCAATGTCTCGAGCCAATGACCATTACATGGGAAGCGACTTACGAAAGCAAAGAAATCACTCCGCTCGTCGTCGGTACCGCAGTTCATGTAGTGCGCCAGCTGCATGCGATTCTGGGCCACGTCAGCGGCCGAGTAGCCGACGGGAACGGTGCGGTACCCGCGGCTCCGGATGTACTGGCGCATGTCGCGGGTGACGGCCTTGACATAGCGAGCGGCCAGGGTGCTCGTGACATTGTCGTTGATGACCTCGTTGCCCGAGAAGAAGGCTAGTGTATTGTCAAACTTTATGAAGTCGTCGATGGTAGCGAAGACGCTCTGGAGATACTTTGTGTTGTACGACGGCGCAGGGTCGAGACGGTTGATCGAGTAGAGAGGGTTGTTGGCGTCGATAATAACGTAAATGCCGGCGTCGGCGAGGGCCTGCATGCACTCGTCGTGGTCGGCCGAGTTGTCGGTGATATAGACGCGGATGGTGTTGACGCCTAGCTTCTTGAACTCGGCAATGTCCCGCTTGCAAACCACGGTGTCAGTCAGAGGATCTTGCATCCGAGAAGACCCTCCCGGCTGGTAGTCGATGCCCCGGACGTAGAAGCGTGTGTCGCCCTGCCAGAATGCTGCACCGAGTCCGTGTTAGCCAGAGATTCTGTCCTCCTAATTCTCCTCTCCCCAGGCCATTTATCGAGCATCCTACCATTCCCAGACACGGTGACGGTCGGCAGCGATGCCCGCTTGCTGGGCGGCTCTGGAGTGGTGGCTGTCGGCTTGGTCACACCCAGGCCAAAGGCGGTTGCCAAGACGGGCCCCAAGACGGCGGATCTCATCTTGGCGCGCGGGAAGATCGATCGCCAAGCTCGCTGCCAAGACTGGTGTTGGAGTTTCGGGCTCTTCGAGAAGCGTTGGATGCAGAGATGGTGTGGTTTTGTAATAAAGAGTGCAATGCGATGGCAGAACGATCGTGTTTATGGCAAGCTGAGCGAGAGACGTGAAACAGGAGAAGATTACGAGGAGGAGTGATCACCAGGAGAAAGTGGACGGGGAGTCGCACACGAGTTCCACGGTGGAACTTCCAGGTTTGCAGGCAAGTAACAGAATGGTAGACAGGAGCGACCCACACACAGTTGGCAGACGGGCAACTGTCCAACCATTCTCCGTACCTGACAGGTAATAACCAGCGGCTGCTCATCAACTTCCAAGGCGGGCACTTGCCCCGGCAACCGGGCGTTTCCACCCGACCATCTGATCCATGGTCCACGGCGACAATTGCCCTGAATATTACTGGGTATAATCGTGGAGTCTGTTCAGTGTTGCCATCATTGGTATTCGGCTCTCGGCCATCTGCATTCTGTTAGTGCTGGCGCACTAACACGCTTTGTCTGCACTACCTACTGGGGGCGTTTCTCGACGACGGGAACACTTGCAGTTGCGTTGCTACATGAAAGTCCAGGCTGCACTACTGATGATTTTCAATGCCTTGTGTCTGCGATACATGAATTTACCACAAGATAGCCAGCGGAAACTGATTGACGTTCACGCCAGTCCCCAAGATTTTGATTTAGGGTCTGCCGAGCCAAGTCACCAAGATTCGCCTTGCCACAGTTTGGATCCCTGATCTTGAAATTCTACTCTAAAAACTCGTTGTAAGGTATAAGGCCGCCTGATCGGTGATACTCACCATCCCTCACCGGAACAAGATGGGCAGGGCCTGACTAAAGGCGAAATATGAGAGGGCACGGGCGATTCAGGGACCCCAAAAAGAGTCTTGACAATGTTGGGTTGCCCCACCACTTTGTTTCCACTGAAATAACTGCCCTGTGCCGTAGGCACCTTGCAACTCCCATCCCCTAAAGGGGCCACGCTAAACCCCCACGATTTCTTCTCTATTCCAGCCTGCAGGAGAACACCATGCAGTAATCTCACCTCCTTTCCCGTCACTCCCACCCGAAGCCACCACCCCACCTTCCGCTAAACAACCTGTATATAACTCGCCGGCACGCTCTTCGTAATCCCGCTCTTCTCCACCTCCGCCCACCCGTCCCCAGGGTCCTCCTTGATGAGCACAAACCGCTCGCCCTCGACCATGCTGTGCTCGGCGTCGCTCTGCGCCGTGTAGTCGTACATGGCCTCGACGTACCTGAGTTTCTTGGCACCCCGCCTCGGCGCTACCGCGGGCCCCTTCTTCTTCCCCCCAGCCGGAGAAAGCGACGACGTTCCTATTGAGGAACCGCTGTTGGAGTAGGTCGACGGCGGCCGCGCCGATTGCCCCGTGTGCTGCGGCGCGATGGCTGCTGCTGGTGCCGAGGATGATAGTTCGATGTAGCTCGCTGGGACGAGGCCTTCCTTGTAGCCCGCCCGGACTTTGACCCAGCCGGATCCGGCTGTGAGCAAGTGCGTTAGTCATGGGTGTGAATTTGTGTGTGAGTCGTAGGGGTTGACTTACTATCGGGCTCCAGCACGACGAGATCCCGCCCTTCCGGCACACTCAACTCTCCCGCTCCTCCGGCCTCGAAGCTGTACAGCATCTTGCCCTTCTGCCCCAACGAGCCGTTCGGGGCACTTCCCGGCAGCTCGCTAATGTAGGCGGACGGCGGGGGCGCGATGACACGGTTCTTCCTGACGGCGCCTGTTGTGGCTGTGCCCGCGGGACGGGTCGAGCTCGGCACTTCTGACGCCGGCGCCTCCTCCGACGGCGATATTGGACCTGTCATGGATCGCTGCGAGCTGGCGGCATACCCTGACGTCTTGGATGTCACCGTGTCGGAGCGGCTGAGTGCGGGCAGCTCGACCACGTGTTCCGGTGGCCCGCTCGGCTTCAGCAACGCGTTGGCCGCCGATTGGCGTTCCTGCTTCAGCTTTTTGCGCTCCTCCTTTGATTGCTCCCCGGGGCACTCGGCCGGCACCTTCATCTCGCACTTGCTGTGACAGGTGTAGCCGCAGTCGCGGCAGTCGAACCCCTTGGCTGATAGGCCCCATATCCTCTCCCCGCAAAGGTCACAGTTCGTGGGAATCTTGAATGTCTGTGACTTGAAGTTATGGTTCTTTGCCCCGAGCGTCACATCGCCGACGGCCGATGTGATGGTGGATGTCTCGACCTCGGCCATGAGACGCTTCCTCTCCACCTGGTGTAGGTCTTCCTGCATGGAGAACATCTGCGATACCACGGCCACTTCGTCCTTTTGCTCCGTTCCGTCCCGGATCTTCTGCTTCACCCGCTTTATCGCCTCCACTTCCCGCCTCTTCTTGTCCGCCTCGCGTCGTAAGTCTCCAAGCTGGCTTTTGGACTTGTTGAGCAGATTGCGCAGGTAGACTTTGGCGGCCTCGTCAACGATCATGGTGGGTTCGTCATGCCATACCGGGCTCGGCTCGAAGATTTTGTCTGGGGGCTCTTGAAAGGAACCCATGTTGTGCCGTATGTACATCATCGAGTCGAGGTGCGGCTGGTTTCGTGTAATCTCTTGGCTGAGATGATCGACCTGGCTGGAGCTCTGCTGGAGCATGTTGGCCTCGAGCTTGGAGGCCAAAGTCCAAAGGCCGTTCAATCTGAGTGTGCGAAACTCAGAGAGGTCCTGTAGGCTGTCCATAATTTCGGGGAGGTACTCGAAGTAGTATTTCTCCTTGTACTTGTTGGTAACGTTGATGGCAATCAAGTAGGTGTTTTTGACATTGTTCATCTCGAGGATCTGTTGCTGGAAGGAGCTTTGCGCCTTGGCCTTGTCGAATGCGGATTCGGTTTTCTTGCGCTTGGTCTCCACCTCCTGGCAAGCAGCATCGTATTTGCCCTTCATCTTCCGGAGATCAGCATAGGACGAGTCTCGTTCTTTCTCCAGCTTTTCGGCGTATTCGGCATGACGCTTCCGCAGTTCCTCGAATCGTACCGACATGTGTTTCATGGGGTCTGCGACTTTGGTAATCAGGTCGTTTCCGTAACGTTCGTGTTCGTCTGCCCGCGCCTCCAAAGTCGTGAGATGTGTAGTCCACGTCGTGAGGGAGGCACTTGGTTTGCCATGTAAGCCTCGTCGCGCGCATACCTGTGTATTCCGGGGATTTTCACAAGTCGTACCTTTCCAACGAGCCGGGGGTCATGGTTGGAGTGTCGCCAACGCTCAGGCTTGCCGACTTGCGCGTCTTCTTCTCAAAGTACTTCTTGGCCAGAGCATTGAGCTTGGCGCTGTACTCCTTCTCGATCGCACTTCGTTCGCGGTAAAATGCCTGTATATCATCGAGCCAGGCAATGCCGTTGGCGACCCAGGCATTGGCTGGCTTGAAGCCATCCTGCAACATCTGCGTCAGCGTGAGCCCCATTTTGGGTATGGCTTGGAATCGTGCGAACCCTGAGCTCCGACCCGAACGTCGGGGCATTTTCCACCTCAGCCATGATTCCCTTGCGCTTCCGGTATCCTCGGAGCCCCGATCGAAATCATGAAAGAAGGTGGAGCAAAGTGAAGCTGCGATGGCCGCTGTCTTGGTTGTGTGCTGACGGTTCCCGCAATGCGATGCGGGGAGTTCAGGAACAAACCGGCGCTCTGGGGCGATGCAGAGCGCCAAGAGGAACATTGTGGGGTCATTCAAGAGGCCAAAATGACGGATACGTACGGTTGTAACGGACAAGGACCTTACACTTTCCAAGGAGGAAGCACTGTGGTAGGAAGTTGGGCTGCGAACCCCCTGGTGTTGAACTGAGTGGGTTCCTTGGCACCAAGATTCACGGACTGAGCACTGATGTTCAATGCGAGACTCTCAGTCAGCACAGATCCATCACAATGACACAGTTCCTGACATAGCGTCATATCATGGCACACTGTCTCTATATAAGGGGGGTAGTTCCCCTGGGAGGATTAGAGAGGACAATTTTCTGTTCCAACAAAAAAGGGACATTCTGAGGCACCCTAACCCACTATCTTGATCCTTCATTTGTGTGGTCACTCTGGAATCGTGACTCCAATTCAAGCTTCGCTTCATACCTCAATCTGTTCAATACCATTTGGTTGATCTAAGCTTACTTGAGCATGTAACTGTTGGCTGCCCAACACCTGGCCAGATAGTTGATGTGCCTTGCATAGGACATGGAGGGCAAATTGAGTTTCCACATTCTTTAACCTTGAATCTGGAGAATGGCTCTACTCATATTGCATCAAATCACATTTACCTTATCTCAGTGATCAGACCAGTGTATTGCGCGGTAAGCGGCTTGCTCCGCAAGCACGCGTTTTGATTAGTTCAATACAGCCCCCACAAGTATAGATTTCAACCAATTATCTTACTGGGATTATTTTAGTCTGGATTCGCACTATACCTCCACAAGCATTTTAAATATTAGCGCAGTATATACTCTATCTGAGGGACACTACGAGGGATTACATGCAGCTTCTAAGCACTATAAGCGCATCACTTGGAAATTATAACTGGGGCCTATAAGGCGACCCTAATGCGCAATGTAGAGAGTGAAGCTTAGGTATTCCCTATCGACTTGTACTTCAATAGATGGGTAGCAAAAACTGAGCAGCAGCTATAGAGAACTAGGATAGCAGAGCTCTTACATAATGTAAGCGCTTCTATAGCTTTCTAGCTATGACGACGCAGGGCTCGGAGACTCTCTAAACCTCCACCGGCAGTGTCTGAACTTAGGAAGCAAAACTGGGCTAAGGAATGGCTATAGCCGTATACGATGAATGGCGGTCAACAGCTGAGCATCGAAGGCGCCCAGCAAGCGCTTTGTAACGGTCCCAGGAGTATATTGCAACTAGCTGGTGACGACTCTACGAGTTTGTCTCGAATGGAGAGAGAAGAAGAAAAAGAGTGAAAGACTATGCAAGATATCTGCCGTCTTATACCTCCACATCCTTGGCCTGTGCGTCGATATCGAACAAGATAGAAGTCCACCGAATCTCGAGTCTTGGCCGAGAGTTTGCCGAGGCCTTTACGGGCTCAGCCCGTTACAGCCTCATATAGAATAGGTGAAATTGGACGCTGACCTACCTACAATCGAGGAATGGAAGATTCGTCGAGTAAGGCAAACAGAGCGCGCGAATACGCTACGCCCACATCACTACAATCTCTACATGCTTAATCGTATAGTACAACTACTACAAGCTTACAAAGAGCTGACCAAGGCGAAGAGCTCACTGCTAACATACGCTTGTAGGGGAAAATTGGCCTAAAAGACTTCCTCTTTAAAAGTCGGAACTCTGGGGTGCCTACGCCGCTCTGCCGCTAGGGGAGAGCCCCGGAGACGGTGGCCTACCTGGTGCTTAGATGCCAAGACCAAGGGCTCAAAGACGGGAGACCCCAGCTCAGAGACAGGCACGACCTAATAAGAGAGTGCTTGGAAACTGCTTATCACGGGTCGTGGTGCTATAGTAGGTACTGCCTTGTATTTTATGTAGTTGCATGAGGGTGGAAACTGGGAGGCGCGGCGCCCACAGAGAAGAAGACCCTATGTGTGTAGGCCGCGCACAGGCTACAACCGCAGACCCCACTTCTGAGTCTGGTCCTGCAGCCCTAATCCTGACTAACTACAACCCTAATTATCAATATAGAATAGGCTATGCCTGTGACAGCAGTATAGAAATAATAATAATAATAATAAGTTATCTATAACGTTAAGTTTATTATCTTAAAAATCTTTTATTATAAGTATTTTGAAATTAAATTAGTTATTTTCTTCACTTATTTATATACTATTTACTCTACTATCATTAATTATCAGCTGTATATTTTTAAAAATAGAAGAAGTAGTCTGAATACTGAGATAATATCTACTCTATCCTCAGATACTCGGCACGGCTGCTAACCCAATAATTGAATTGTTACTGTACGATGCATGCTGGTATGGTAGGGTATTGTACGGGTACTGAAACGGCGAAATCTATGTAAGGTACGGACGGAAGGTCCGAGGCCTCGTTCTTCAAGGTTGCCCCGCCAAGTCGAAACCTCCACAGCTCAGCCTCACCACCACGAGCATTGCTCACCCTGCAATCATCTGCTTCTTTGCAAAGCATACCAGTCTCGTTTTCCCTGCCTGGGCAAGTACAAGGACTCCTAAAAAGTCCAGCGCGTTTCTTTAAAGCCTCCGTATTGTCTGCACATTTAGCCTGGTAAGTGTTGATCCCTGGCATAGTGGCCTGGCTGAGCTGTCAATTGAGAGCAGCGATGGTTTGTGTAAGATGCAACGACCGCTGCACGAGTTGATATCTCTGCGGGGTTACAACTTGCGTTGCTCGGTCTTTGTGCTCATTTCAACCCATTCTGACCATCTTTGCCTGCTTTCTAGTTTGTTCTCCGAGCACTACGATCGCAATCATGGCGGACCTCGCCAGTCGCATCTCGAAGCCCAGCGACACGCCGACGAACGATGCCGCCGCCACGGGCGCGGACAATGGCAATGGCACTGAACAGCCGATCGACGATGGCATCCAGAGCGGCCTTATCGAGCCCACATATGAGGTCGAGGTGAAGCTGAGCGACCTACAAACCGACACAGACAACCCTCTGAGTTCGGGTGTTTCCTCATTCGAAGAGCTTGGCTTGCCCAAATCAATTCTTGACGGCCTTCTGGCTATGAACTTCAAGAAGCCGTCTAAGATTCAGGAAAGGGCTCTGCCGCTCATGGTCAGCGACCCGCCCAGAAACATGATCGCCCAGTCACAGTCTGGCACGGGCAAGACGGCCGCCTTTGTCCTCACCGTCCTGTCACGCGTCGATTTCAACAAGCCTACGCAACCCCAAGCGCTGTTGCTGGCACCCAGCAGAGAACTAGCGCGCCAGATCCAGGGTGTCATCCAGCAAGTTGGCCAGTTCTGCGAGAACCTAATCGTTAACGCTGCCATTCCCGGCTCTATCTCGCGTGAGACGGGCGTCAAGGCTAGCATTGTGGTGGGGACACCGGGCACCGTCATGGATTTGATCCGTCGCCGCCAGTTTGATGTCTCCCAGTTGAAGGTTCTGGTTATTGACGAGGCCGACAACATGCTTGACCAGCAGGGCCTGGGCGACCAGTGTATCCGGGTGAAAGGGTGCGTGTTCCCAAAGCCCATCGCTCCCTAGTTGCGGTGTGTGTTGACGGACTTTAGGATGCTCCCGAGAACGATTCAGATCCTCCTCTTCTCGGCCACGTTCCCGGACAAGGTGATGAGCTATGCCCGGAAATTCGCGCCGAATGCGAACGAGATCAAGCTTCGACACCAGGAGCTCACGGTCAAGGGCATCTCCCAGATGTACATGGACTGCCCTACTGAGGCCGACAAGTACGATGTGCTCTGCAAGCTATACGGTCTCATGACGATTGGCTCGTCTGTCATCTTCGTCAGGGTACGTTTACACCACTGCAATTACCCAAAGCGTCGGTTCTGACGATAAGTCTTAGACGCGCGAGAGTGCCGACGAAATTCAGCGGCGGATGGAGGCGGACGGGCACAAGGTTTCAGTTCTCCACGGCGCGTATGAGGGGCAAAACCGCGACGCTCTTCTGGACGATTTCCGGTCGGGCCGGTCCAAGGTGCTCATCACGACCAACCTCCTGGCACGTGGCATCGACGTTTCTAGCGTGTCCATGGTAATCAACTACGACATTCCTATGAAAGGCGCTGGGAATAAGGAACCCGACATGGAGACATATCTCCACCGTATTGGGCGTACGGGCCGATTTGGTCGCGTCGGAGTCAGCATCACGTTTGTTTTTGACCGCAAGAGCTTTGAGGCGATGAAGGCGATTGCCGATCACTACGAGCTTGACCTGGTCCAGCTGCGCCCGGATGACTGGGATGCTACCGAGGAGAAGGTGCAGCAGGTCATCAAGTCGAGCCGGGCGCGGCCCGATTATGCACCAAATGTCCTCGGCAATTGAGGGTACTCGCTTCGGGTGAAAATGGTGGAAACGTGGACTGCACGGCAAGCTTTGAGATGCCGGCGCATCCTGCGATGATGAAAGCAGCAATTTTAGGGCAGCTCAAGCGGTGATGGATGGTAATTATCGCCGCTACATGGCTATGAAAGGGAAATGCACGAATGGGAGAGATCTCGAGGGGCGAAATGCACCATGACTTTGTATTGCAGCAACTGGACCAAGATAGATACCAAAAGGAAAAGGGGGGTTTCTGTAATCTGTACCTGTGTTGGATGGTAATAATGAGATGGGATGACGTGATGAGCGACCCGAGTATTTGGCGCCCGGCTCGACTCTCTGATGTACTTCGGATGTTTCACAGAAGGTTGGAGTGCATGTTTGTTTCGGTTGACACAATCATGGCCCCTTGAGCGCTTACGGCTCGACTGCATCCTCGATCTCCTGCGTCAACCCTCACTTTGAGATGCAACCTTAAAGCACTTTGTTAGAAAGCCAACAGCCACGAATGTGCCGCACGCACCGTAGTAATTGGGTACCAAAAAATGGGCAACCACTCAATTGATGATGATGTTCCTGTCTGCGTTCTTCCAAAAAGTTACCTGCCTGTTCCTGATCCTGAGAATCTGGTGCCAAGCCATTAGCCACCCCTGAACTGCCCTCTCTGACCACCTGCCAAATTCAACACACTTGCTCCTCTGTATAGGTACTCCTATATCGCTGTATTATGAACCGAATGGCAGATTTATCTTAGAAATATATATTTGCTCACCGGCAGTGTCTGGACTCAGGAAGCAAGACTGGGCTATGGAATAGCTATAGGTGCATATAATAGATGGCGGTTAGCAGCGGAGCGCCGAAGGCGCCTAGCAAGCGCCTTATATAGGATGGGTGAAACTAGACGCTGACCTGCCTATAATCGAGGAATGGAACATTCGTCGAGCAATGCAAATAGAGCATATAGACACGCTATCTCTGCGCTGCTATAGAGAAGTAGCCAATCTCTATATACTTGATTTTGTAGTACAACTACTATAAGCTTACAAAGGGCTAACTGATACCGGAAGGTATTGCGCAGGGTTAGGGCTAGGTGTTATACCCCACCATTGGTGGGGTGGTTGTTTGTATGTAGATAAGATAAGGCTGCCCCACTCTGGACGGTGGGATATCTCCCACCACTGCAGTTGCTGCTTGCAACTGCCAGAAGACGACAACCTGACTTCTCCCCGAATACATGGCATTTGCCCTCTTTTCCCAGCACACGGCTCTTTTCCGTATCACTAACTAAAGCGAAGAGCCTGCTGCTAGCAAAGGCTCACATGAGAGCAATTGGCCTAAAAGGCTTCCTCTTTAAAAGGCAGGTCCCTAAAGTACCTACACTATGATAGAAAGCGTACTCTAGACTCATACTCTCATCGGTAAGTTATTGGTAGGTGGCTTGTGCGCTCACTTATCTTTCTCGCATCCCAGACGCACATCCTATTTACTCTCCCTCTTCCTTTCCTTAGCTTTCGATCAGCAGAATTGAGTCGGCATTTGCAGTGCTCAGTGCCTCGCTTTGATGCCACTTATCTCTCATATACGCTGCTCTACCACTATAGGAGAGCTCTAGGGACATTAGCCTAGCTAGTCCTTAGATGCCAAGTCTAAGAGCTTAAAGACGGGAGATCTCAGCTTAGAGATAGGCATGACCTAGTAAGAGTGATTTAAAATTACTCTAGTATAGTATGGATAATTATCTAGCTTATAAGCCTTAGGAGACTAGCTGAGTATAGGCTCTCGATGGAGCTGGAGCGTAAGGGAGCAGGGGAAGGCCCTAAGAAAAGAAGAGGAGCTGAGAGCCTAGAGAGGGCTGAGAATACAAAAAAGAGGGAAAGCATAATGAGATCTAATGCTATACTAGAGCCGTAAGAATATAGCGCGAATTATATAGCTAAGTGACGAATATAGCCAAATAGCTGCCTATAGCTTTGTTATTACTAAGCTGAAAAGGTAAGTTCTAGGCTACTAGATAGGGAGAATTACTAGGAGTGCTTAAGTGGCAACTAAGCTATATTATATTATTATTCCTACACCGCTGTGCCCTAGGGCTCGCCGGACTCTCTACCACTGATTACAAAGGAAAACCGTGCCTGTAAGGCTGGACTAAAAACCTCTGTCTCCCTGTAAGGTGACACACACACAGGCTCACCAAGGAAGATGCACCGAATCCTCAACGAGCAGCAGGCAAGACGACTGAATTGTGCGTGCACCACTAATCAACTGACTGATCCTTGAGAGAAGGATGTTCCAAGTTCCAATCTGAGTCTCCCGCTCTCCAGATATCCTCCCTCTGTTGCGAGTCAGGTCGCTTCGCCATGAAATCCACAGTGTCTCGCCCGCCAATTGCCCAAGTGTAGGGCTCATGTGTAGGGGCCATGACACTCCCCTATACAAGTCCGAAGTCTTGAATCTACCCGCTACAGCAAAAAGCAAGGCGTAGATAGCCAACTAGGCCATCGAGCTAGCCTAGTTCTAGCCGTGCAGCTAGCCTATACTCCAGGAGCCTCCCAGAGCCTAGTAGCCACCTAATCACCTTTCTTGCAAGCCTTCTCGCTTTGTTTCCTCACTCGTCGAGAGCCCTGTACAGGTCTCTCTGCGAGCGTAGCTCTGTAGCCAGCCAAGTCCTTGGCTTCGGTAATTAGCGGCACCATACAGCTAAGTGTTCCACTGTCTCCCTGCCCTGGCCGCATTCGCAACAGGGGGTAGGTATTCGAGAGACCCTGGCCCGGAAGAGGAAGTCTTTAAGGCCTATAGCTCCGGTCTGGGCCTGGGTTGATAGAGAGTTCTCGGCCTTCGTAAGGATCTCGTGCCTTTCTAGTGCCCTTTTGTCAAGTTTCGGCTGATGATCGGCTAGTTGTTGTGACGAATCTCAAAGCCCCCACTTCTGAAAGGGACTCCTGAAGGTTATACTTGACAACGGGGTGAGGTTCGGTGAAGCCAAAGGGTTCACAACAAGCATATGTCCAAGGGTACTGACAATCTTGCACTTGAGTTGCTTACTGGAGAACTCCCAGAGTCCTCCAGAACGAGTGACTATATACTGATACGATTCTTCGAGTGCTCGCAGTGCTATGCCTTCGATCGCTCCGAGCACCTTGCATGCTGCAATGTGCTCGTCTGTCTTGGAATTACAGCACTCTAGCTTCATCCTGACTGGTCTGCCTTGCTTCCTTAAGTAATTGGCCCAGGCGTTTCTTGCGCCCCGCATATGGCCTTCTGGCATGCGGCCTGTTGTTAGTTAATCCCTGACAGTTGTACAGTGGATAGGGCCTGGTTCCGGACCCTGTACCGTTGTAGTCGATTGGTGATTTCTTGGGCCCACCTAGCCTTCTAGGCCTTATTGAGAGCCTCTGTGGAGTCTTTGCCTTGGGCTCTCCAGGCTGCAATAGCCTCTGTAGCTTCTAATTGCTAGAGGTTTCATTGGCCCTCTGGCTCTTTGTAGTCCTTAGAAGCGGTTGCAAATCCTGTTGCAAGCCTCCACGACTAGGAGGCTAGGAGGCCAATATCTTGGAAGAGGCCTTATTGCAGGCCTTGTTAAAGGCTCAGTTGCAGGCCTTGTTACAGGCTCAGTTGCAGGCCTTGTTACAGGCTCAGTTGCAGGCCTTGTTACAGGCTCAGTTGCAGGCCTTGTTGTTAGCTAGAAGGCTGAGGAGTCGGGAGGGAAGGCTTCTGAAGCCTGTCTTTGAAGTCGGCTAGCCTCTGGTTAAAATAGAGGTCTAGTGCAGGAACCCACGTTTCAGCCTCGAGGTATCGAGTTGGGATGACCTTATAGGCCCCGGCCACTATCCGTAGGCTCCTAACTAAGCTATATAGATATAGCATAGAAATATATTTTCCTTTCTTATAATGGCATAAGACATTTTCAGCAAGATAATACTTAAGTATATACTTTAACTTCTTCTATCGAGTAGCTCCTGAACTATATAATAGAAGTTCTTATAGACTAAATAGCTAACAGTATAGATCTTAATCTGCATGATATATATTTGAGTGCTATTAAAATAAGAGATGAAAAAACTATAGTTACCTTAGTATATAAGAGCTCAAGAAGAATTAGTACAGGTATTGCGAAGGGCATTAGATATTTAGAGGAGGATTGAGAAGCTATTGTTTAGCTCCGAGTAACTTGCTTATAAACCTAATGCTTGTCAGGACAAGTAGCAGGACAACTATGTTGCGGATACAGTGCTGTGTCGTAACCCACTTATAACCCACAGTATTGCGAGGTCGAAGCGATTTGTGATTCGACACCCTTTTTCAAGGAGATGCAACATAGTTGAGTGGGTTAGTTGTGCACATATCGTCATAATGCTTTAGCAATCAGTTATAGTGAAGAATCAAAGAATTAATAGATAAGTTGTTGAAGTTTAGAACCAAAGCCTTAGTCTATATATATTTACGTTACTAGAAAACTGCGCCGGTGGGCTAGTATTTTGAGATTGGTATCTTGGTTATGATGTAGACATTCTGTGGCTGGGGATGGTTGGTGCGGGGTGGGCCACATTTTTGGACCCGCCCTGTACTTTTTCAGTTAAGCTGCAATTTTAGGCGCCCACCAAGCGCATCCATCCAGCTCCCTCTCAGCCATTCGTTGACAATGAAGAAAAGTGCAACTGCAAGGGGCCATGTTGAGAGCCGCCGATGGTGTCCTCGTGCAGTGAACCGCCACGCTGCCATTCCGCACAGCCAATCTGGTACCTGGCAGTATTATTGCGCAAGTCGACTCTTCGATCCTAATCAGTTTCCCTAGCCAATGAGGCGGCCTCCCCGGGATGGGCTGCATCTCTCGCGCGGAGAGGCTTTGTCGATGCCAATTCTCCGGACCGGGCTCAACCGCGCTCTGTGGCCTCTGGCTAGGCTGGCTGGCTTTTCTGGGACTCATGGGAAGAATGACGCAGGGCAGACGTGGTTTTTCCATTTCCCGGCATACGCGCTGGCAGTAGGGCCCCAGTATCCAGACATGGAAAATGTACGAAGTGCCGTGATCTGTGTGGCTGCCATGGCGAGCGTGTCATTAAGCGCAGGGCTCGCCAGTAGCTACCGGAACCAGTGGTACATGTCGATCGAGGGCGGCAAGAAGAAACGCATCACATGGCCACCATGAACGGCCTCCCAGCCTCTGTTCTGCCCCTTCCCCCGTTCGTTGGCTCCTCACATCTTTTCCTTGGCCTTTGTGTTGTAGCTATCATCTTTTTCCCTTGTTTCAAGTTTCTCGGGTATTGAAGCTTTGTCTTGGGATACCTCCGAGCATCGCATCGTTGGGCTTTTTTTTGTGTTTGTTGAATCTTGTCGTAATCGACGTGACTTTCTCATCTTTCGTCTGTCGACTTTTCCCACTGCGGCCGCCTCTCGCTCCGGAATAGGGTCATAGCTCTACGATGAGAGATGCCGGTCATCTCCCTTTAATGTTAAACCCTAGGGCACGAACACGGAGGTGGCTTCGTTGACTCTGCCGTCCTCAGCTGCCGCGGCCGTCCCGCGGCCGGCTTTGCCATAATCCTCGTCCTACCTTGTTTTGGTCGGGATAGTTACCTATCTCGCCCCTCGTCCGGCCCACAGAGAAACCCCGTTGTGGCATCGACATTCCCTGCCATCGTGAGGGCAGATGGATACAAACACACATTGAGGTGCGGCGAGGGAAATCCGTCACAAGCGAGCGGTGCCTCGCCCCTGAGCCTTCATCGCTGACCTCACATATCAGATGTTGCTCGGGAGGATGGCATACAGGCTACCCTTACTATGCCTCGCGACATTAACGACACTTCCCGCCATTGCTGCTGTTCAGACGACTAATATATCCTTCGAGATCCTCAACTTCGTGCCGACTTGCGCCCAGAAATGCTTCGAATCTTTCATCTCAGTCAATTTCGACTCAGGAATATGCGGCAACTCCCCCTCCTTGCAATGCCTGTGCCGGCAGCGTGGGATCTCAGGGTATACCATAGGGGAAGGTGCGGCGTCGTGCCTGGGGGGCGAAAGGATGTTTGGCGCTTGCCAAGGGCAGGACGGCATCAGTGAGTGTCTTACCTGTGAATGAGAGTGTCCCTGAATATGAGACAGCTGACTATTATTTAGGCGACGCAACCTTGACTGCCTACAACATGTGCGTGGGGGTGTCAGGGGCAAAACCAATGACTCACTCAGCTCTCATGGTTACCCTTATTCGTCCGTCAACTGGGACAGCACCCCTTCTCGTCCCGACGGCAATCCGGACGGCGACACCCACCGGGACAGAGACGGAAACGACACCCACGCCCACATCGACTGTCAACCTCGGACCAGGTGACGAGTCGAGTTCAATCACCACAACGGCTGCGCCAACAAGCGCTACATCCGCTCCTACACAGACTGCAACAGCAAGCCCAGAGACTCCAAAGAGCCAACCCCAGCTCAGCAAAAGCCAAGTTGCGGGCATCGCACTCGGGTGTGCAGCTGTCCTGGTCTTCGGTATTCTGCTGGTGGTACTAGCGAGGTGTATCCGGAAGAGGAGGTTCGGTGACCTGGAAGCTGGCTTCTCTAGGATGAGAGATTCGATGAGCTTTGGGAAGAAAAGTCGTTGCGGCAGTCACCCGGGTCCGCTTCAAATTTCCAGCCCATTACCCCGAGCCCACGTCGATCGAGACCCTCTATATCCGCATTGGCAGCCGCAAATTCCAGGGAGGCTAGGCGGTGTGGGCCTTGCCATCTCTCCCCCCGTCGCTCGAGGGGGAGTGTTTGTTAAACCGACTCCGGCCCTGGCTTCAGTCCTGTCTGCCCCTTCACGGCCGACTCCTGCAGCTGACCCAGTTCCGGTCCCGGCTCCTGTACCAGCTCCACCGCCGCGTAGCGTACCCAAGGTTGTTCGCGACCCTGCACCGAAACCCAAAGCACCATCAGCGGAGCGGAGTCCGCCAAAGCCAGCCTTGGCACTCGCCATACCACAAGGGCAGGATAGGGCAGTCCGCTTGCCGGCTAACGCACGGGATAGCGTGGTAACCGAGTTTGCCGAGGATGGAGAGGGCGACATTGCCCCGGGGACAGCCGTCTGGCGGCCGCCAGCTACGGATCCGCAGTCGGCGACAACAACGTATTTCGCTGACCGGGGGGGTAATTGGATCCTTCGGAACACGTCGGCTCGGAAGCCGGAGGCGGGGACGTCCAGAAGAGTGTCGGGACCTGTAAGACCGGCTGTTCAGGAGGTTGTCGCAGCACCGGTTGAGTTCGAGCTACCGAGCCCAGACCACAAGACAAGGGCAGAAAGGGCCAAGGACGCGTATGGGGGGTTTTCGCCTGACGCCGTGGTCTCGCCGCTAAGGCTTCCCCGGAAACCGGGACCAAGAAGGTTGGGTTCACCCATTGCATTTAAGGATCAGCGTCGGGAACCACAACTTTCGAGCTCTGGCCTCTCTGCTAGGTTGTCTCAGTCGGCGGAGACCATCCAGAGCGAACTAGCGCAAACCAAGAGCCGAGCTCCGGATGTCTATTTCACTATGATACGAGAGAGCAGGGACTTGACCGGTGGGAGAAGCAGGCGACGCTCGACCAGGAGAGCAAGCCGCAGGGTGTCGGCAGAATCGGCAACATCTATCGAATCTGCTGCTGACGGCGAGGATGTCATTGAAGACGAACCGCAAGTGGACCTATCACCGGTGGCCGAGTCGCCCCATACACCAATGTCTCAAGGCAAGTCGCCTGTCGAATATTCAAAGATACGCAAGCAAAACGCTGGAAAGCAACCGGTTCCCGCGCTCAAGGCGCCAGAAGCCGACTTGCTCTCTCCCGGGCACCGGTACAACGTCTGGCACCCTCCAGGACGTTCCAGCCCTACAGGGTCAGGTTCATTCGCCGATTCCAGGACGGCCGCCCCGGCCAACCCTCGGTCGAACGGACCCGTAAGACCGTGGAACGCTCCAGACCTGAAACCGCGCAACCCGGGCCAGCTACGAACGGGATCTCCCGAAACACGGCGCGGCCTAGCATCAACATCAATACCCCCTATCGAAAACCAATACTGGCAGCGACAACGGAAGGTCGTAAACCCAGCATCATACTGGAACCAGCCTTCAACCGCGCAGCCGTCGACCACGCGAGCGAGGGCCCCACCACCACCGCCGACACCGCCGACACCCCCGTACGAACAACCCGCCGGTGGTGGGAATGGAAACACCCGGCCCCGACGGTACGACACGCCTCCGCAGCAGCAGCCGTATCGACGCCCGATACCACGACTGCCGACAGACCCGCGACAGCTGCTGCCCACACCAGCCGATACTCCGCAGCCGCAGCCGCAGCCGCCACCAAAGCCGCAGCAGCAGCAGTCACATACCCCGGGCCCGGCAGCGGGCGATACCTCGAGCCAGAGCTCGCTCCTGGCCAAGCGCCGCGGCGTGGACAAAGCTGCGGCGCTAAGTCTTGCGTATGCCAGTGGTGGTGGCAAGGGTAATGGTGGTGGTGGTGGTGGTGGTGGTGGTGAAAAGAAAGGACGAAAGGGTAAAGGCGGGTGGACCAAGGAAGAGTATGGACCGGTGCCGATCACGCCTGGGTGGGTGCCTGAGTTGACGCCGACGAGGAGTGGAGAGGATCTTTACTTGAATGTGCGGTAGACTTGGGGCTTGAGGGTTGTTTGTGTGGGCTCTTTTCTAGTTTGCTGTTGTTGTTGGATATATGTACAAGTACATACAGTGGACATCGCCTCCCTTTTATATCTCCTCTTTTTTTGTCTTCTCTTTTTTTCCTTATTTCCGGGTAGTTGTTGTGGTTAGAAGTCGGACACATGGCATTCAAGGCTGCATGGGACGGAGTTGCCGGTTCTGACTTTCCGAGGGGAGATGGCATGGCTCGGGATATGTAGAGAGCATATAGCGGCGTTGATGTGGTATTTATACCCTGCCGTTGTTAGGGAAAGCGAGAGTGAGAGTGAGCTTACTAAGTTGTAATATTAAGTAGCATTCATGTGTGTTTACTTTGAGCTGAGAAGATACGTGGAGATGTTGAATGCCGAACTCTTTTCCTGCTCCGAGTCGGAAAAGCGGTCAAGGCAGCACCGGTAGCACCAATAGCAGGGTTAGGGTTCATATCTTATCTTTCAAACCCCTCGTTATTGATCGAGGGGCATCTGTCAAAGACTCAACAGGGGACGGGATATCGTTTCAGCCATGAGGGAGTCGCGCATGGAGATCAGTCTCCTCAACTCGTCTCTGCAGCGCATTCAGCCTCTGCATTCGGCTCTGGGCGCAGGCGGTTGCACAATAGAAATGACTATGGGATCCTCGTCTCCCGCAAGCCGAAGGAGCACGTTTTCTGCGGCATGGAAAGAGTGGATTTCTAAGCAGCGATGCGCCGATGCACCAATGCCCCTCGGCGTCGTCCCAAGTTCCATGTCCCCGCAAGGGCGAGATGAAATTTTCCCTCCCCAATACGGAGTAGGTACGCCTTGTCAGGCAATGATTACTATCGGCGCTCCCGAGGGCAACCGTTCGACCCACAAAAGGGACGTGTAACAGCAGCGGCAGCAGAGTTGGAAAGATTCTCTTTTGTCCTGCCCTAGGTTCAAGTACCTTTACACTCTTCTGACCCCCGCGGCCGGAACCCATTCTCCGTTCTGCGGTGAATCCCCTCGGTTACCAAACTCCCCAGCCTTTTCGAACCTGCCGTGTGGGAAACAGGGGTTTGTTATACGCCCGCGGCAGGAATATATGATCCATCCCAGAAACCGACACCATAAGGCGACCGGCAAACTTACAAGAGATTCCCACTCATCCGGGGGGTTCTGCTTCTAAACTAAGAACCGCTTCTCGCACCAATCCCCACCCGGCTACGATACACTTCACATCCCGTCATCCACGAGATCAGCCGCCTGAGAGACCTCGTGGCACCTGGTCCAGTTGAAGGTCAGAACGGTTGCGTGCTTTGGATGACGTCTTTGCACCAGCAGCCCTCTGTACAACGCCATAGCTTCCGATTCGCGCTTGCACGCCAAGCAACCCGTGGCTGCGAGGCTGCGGACGTGGGGTGAGGGTACACGCCGTCCACCCAGACGATTTGGCTCGCTGCTTGCCCGTGTGGGTGCGAAAAGAGAGACATTGAAGTGAAGGAGAGAAGGGGAAGGGGAAACGTCGACGGACGAGTTTCTCAGTTCCAGGGAGACTTTCTTATCGATTGATCAAAAACACTTCGAATTCTCGGCGTCCCGTCAGGCAGAGGAACGGTGCTCGTGATAGCGTCATCTGTGGTCGCTGGCAAGGCAACCGATCTAACTTACACACTTCAGCTGCTACGATTAGCCTTCTTCGACTGCGTACCGCGTCTCGTTATTGGCTCAGGGTTCTTAACAGCGAGGGACGACACCTTGGCCCGTCCAAATCTCCACGGCCAGCTCAGTCCTCTACCGTTACTGGGGAGGACATCAGTGACATTCACCGTATCACGCGGTTCGTCCGATTCCTCTCGCACGGAATCGTCGGCACAGTTTCGTCACCGACACAGCTTGTTAGGAGTTCGGTCGATCGACAACGACCTTGAGTAACAATGGGTCTCCTGTGCGTATCCTCACCCCTCCTCCACCCGGTGTGGTGACCCGTCTCCTTTAAAGTAGCACGGACATCCCCTGCCATCACGCCATACTGATAATATGCGGAAAGGGCTCTGGGAACGGCTCTGGATTGGCCAGATGCCAAACAGCAGGCTCATCTTGTTAGGTCCTGGGGTATCAAGGTAAGGGCCGTCCGTCAATCAAGACAAAAGCTTATCCCAACCTCGGACCTGCCGGACCCTGCCATGGACGGTGGCTAACAAAATTGCGGTGTAGCAACTACTTGAGATATGGAACAAAGCCAAGGGAAAGGAGCGAGATGCTATGCTCTGGGGCGATGAGGTACTTCACTTACACCTCTTTCCTCCTCTCCTGCATAGCCTTCTGACATCCTCTCATACATAGGTCGAGTACTTGGTTGTGACGTATTCCAAAGACGACCCTAAGGTGTTGCTGTCTCTAAGACAGGCAGACATCCTTCAAGCCTTAGCAAGCGACAAGAGTCTCTCCAAGGAGGGCTGTGCCCCCCCATTACCGGATGGGCCCCATCCACAGTAAGGTTGCATCTAACAACGGCGGCCAGGGCACAGGATTTGACTATTGACTAGGTCGAGCCAGCCGCCTCCCGTGTTCCATCCCGAGTTTGGGAGGTTCATGCTCGAGGCTACCCCAGGCAAGCCTTGGGGTATCGAGTTCAAGGAACTCTTGGAGGTTGAGCCCAACATGAAGCTGAGGTATGCCCTACCATTTCTGCGTTATACCACCGGGCCCTAACCACGCTTTTCTTACAGGCGGTGTATTGCTAAGGACCACATGTTACCCAACGAATACCCAATCACGTTGACGACATTCCCGAGGCTGGGCAGCCCGGGCGTGTTTACGGACCCCTTTTACCCAGTCTCCGGGCCCAAGTTGAGGTCGCAGTTCGTCCCGGACGAGATTGCCAACCCTCATATCCGCTTCCCTACGCTCGCCGCCAATATCCGCTCCCGCCGGGGCCGGAAGGTGCAGGTGAACGTGCCGGTCTTCAGGGACGAGAAGACCCCCTGGCCATGGAGAGACCCCACTGTCAACTACGACCTACACCAGTGGCCCGAGGACGATGATGTTCGGAATGGCGCCGCACCGGATAACTTCATCCACATGGATGCCATGGCGTTTGGCATGGGCAGCTGCTGTCTGCAGATCACGTTCCAGGCCAAGAACTTGACCGAGGGCAGGCAGATGTACGACCAGCTCAGCCCCCTCGGGCCCATCATGTTGGCATTGACGGCTGCGACGCCGGTGTACAAGGGGTTCCTAGCGGATACAGATGTAAGGTGGAATCAGATCAGCAAGGCAGTGGACGACCGAACGGCTGAAGAGTTGGGCGAGAAGGTGAGTCAGGACTGTTTCGGATTGCTAAGACGACAGGAGTCTAATGATAGAGCAGCCCCTTGTGAATGACCGCTGGCGGATTCCCAAGTCACGCTACGCTTCCAACTCGACCTACATCTCGGAGGATCCCCGACTGCGGCCCGAGTACCTCGACCCGGACCTTGTCATCGACGAGAACATCAAGCGGCAGCTTCTCGACGGCGGTATGGACGACAGACTGGCCACCCACTTTGCCCATCTCTTCATCCGCGACCCCATCGTCATCTTCAACGAAGACCTCAAGGAGCTCGACCTAAACAAGACGGACCACTTCGAGAACATCCAGAGCACCAATTGGCAGCACATGCGCTTTAAGCCGCCGCCGGCCGACAACAGCATCGGGTGGCGGGTCGAGTTTCGCCCGATGGAAATCCAAATCACCGATTTTGAGAACGCGGCCTTTTCCGTCTTCATGGTCCTCGTCACGCGCGTCATCCTCAGCTTCGACCTGAACTTCTACATCCCCATCAAAAAGGTCGACGAGAACATGGAAACCGCCCACGCCCGCGATGCCGTGTTAACCCGCAAGTTCTACTTTCGCCGCAACCTCTTCCCCGCCACGCGCAAGTCCCGCAGCCCAGGCTCGGGCACCTCGACGCCCATCCCCAGCCGCCCGCCCACTCCGACAGGGCCCGTCGAGGACGAGTACCGCCTCATGAGCATCAACGAGATCATCAACGGCACCGCCTACGCCAGGGCAACAACCTCCTCCTCCTCCGTGCCAGAGCCCGAGGAAGACGAAGATGAGGACTTCCCCGGCCTGATCCCCCTCGTCGAGAGCTACCTCGACTCGGTCAACGTCGACGTCGTCACGCGCTGCGAACTGGCCACGTACCTGGACCTGATCCGCAAGCGCGCCAGCGGCGAGCTGTGGACGGCCGCGAGGTGGATCCGGCACTTTGTCGCGCGCCACCCGGCGTATCAGCGGGATAGTACGGTCGGGGAGAGGATTACGAGGGATCTGGTCGAGGCGGTGGTCAAGATTGGGCAGTGCGAGGCGAGCGGGGAGAGGTTTAGGGGGCTGTGTGGCGAGGAGGTGCCTTTGTTGGAGAAGCTTTTGGCCGGGTTTCGGTGATGGCGTTTCTATGGGCAGGGGGCGATGTGATGGACGGAAGGGGGTAGGCCGCCTTTGAGGGGTTAGAAAAGAGTTTGAAGCATAGAGCGTTATCTGAGCAGGCTGAGGGGTGGGAGGAGTGAGGTGATCTTGCGGTGTTGAAACGCGTTTGTTTTGGGCTGCTAAGGAGGTGGAAATCTGCGTTATTTTCTTCTTTTCCTATTTCAGCATTTGCCCGTATAGCACACCTGCATGCCTATCTAGACTTGTTTACTCTGCTTTTATTATGTTTTATCCGTTACCTTGATAGATCCATACATATGTCAACCATATGTTAATGGTTCTGGCTGCTCCCAGCGGGACTCGTCCGCCCCAACCGCAAAATCGCTGAGCCTCGAGCTGTCGTCTCGTTAACAGGTTTGACACCTTTCATGGCGTCCCACAGGGAACTACGGGGTGAACTGTATCACAACCTAGAATATCGAGCTGTACCACAACCCAGCAGCTCGCCTAAACTTGACTTTCCAAGCTCAAGTTATTCCGGTTGCCTTGTTTTCTGGGAAAGCCATGGATCTCTTGTCTCCCAGAGTGGCGCGCGCCATCCAATCCTTTGCTTTGCCCTTGCCATGTTCCCGGACCATCTTAGTCCATCCAGATCCATGACATGCAAGATCGATCCTCAGATGGTACATATATACTTAAGATAACCAGACAGGGACTTGACAGATGAAGAAGGGAACAAGGGATAAGGGACAAGGGGTTTGATAGGGGCGTGTCTTCTGTGTGTGCGCAACGTGAAACGAATGGCTGAAATGACTGAATTCGATGGTATGTTCTTTTTCATGAGCGAAGAGGACTTGGGGGCTAACCACGTCAGCAGGTTTCAGATTAGATGAACGCGGATACTGGGCTGCCGCCCCCCTACCTCACTCCATGGCGTCTTGTGCTTTGTGCCTTGTGCCTTGTGCGAGAGGCTTAGGTCGGATACGGTGTTAGAGGCAGGCTGCAGAGAGAGAGCAGGGGCTGGAAGGAAGGTGCGTTGCTTGATTGTTGATATTCACGGCCTCCTCGGCAACAAGGGAGGAAGGTGATTGCGCTCTCTCTTCCCCTTTTCTTTTTCTCGGGGGAAGTTAGGACGTGCCTTGAGTGTGTTGATGAAGACGGGCAGGGTTGGATCTTTTGGCTTTCGAGTTGACTTCCTGGATCATTGCGCTTCGCTTTTCCTCCCTCGAAACGGAGCTCTGGGAAGAAGCAGTGCACCCCTTTGCAGGCAGCAGATCGCAGGCACCGCTCCGTTCAGTCTGTCAGTGCAGGCCAGAATAATGTGTGTGAAAATTATCTACCGCTTTTAATCGACAGGTTTGCCGATCTACATCGGTCCTCTCCAACCTCGATCGGATCCCCAGTCGGGTCACAGATCCAGCGATTGGCCCACGATACGAATTCTTTATTTTGTCTCTGCCTGGTCAAATGGTTGGCTATTTTGGTTACATCAAACATGCATACCCTATGCAGTGCTGTCTGTGTGTGTTGCACCTTGCTGAGTTGCAACTGTTGGCAGTAAGCGAGACGATGCACAACCAACCAACCCGGGGATCTCACCGAGTGTTTTCCTGGTATTTGAGCAGCAGGTCAAATTTCGGAAAACCGTGCAGCCGGCGGTCGGGGCTTGAACGCGAGTGATCCATGCAAGGGACTTGATTACATCGAGGAACGATCGAGGCGATGCTCAGTGACTTTGGTGTAAATCCCCCTCCGTCCGAGTTCACCGCCGGCATCGGCGAAGCCTCAAACATATCAAACTGCAGTCAGCCGGGTCCTTGGGAACTTGGTCAAGAATGGACTAAATGACAACTGGAAACCTGCAGTTCTGTCACGTCGCCAAATCCAGGCTGACTCCTCAGACCCTCAGTGAACCTTAATTGCAGACAGTCGTCTGCCACCGGTCTTGGGATGTGGATCTTGTCCGAGAGGTCCTTCTTTCTCGAAGTCATCGCTTCATTGCTCAAAACACAGGCATTGCGCTGGCTTTTATCTGACACGTTTCTGTGGGACGGAGCGTTCAGCTGTTGGTCAATCGCCCAAGTGTATGCAACGATGGAACAACCTCCAATGCATGTAGTTCCGTCCAAACGCTTTCTTTCATTGACTTCTGGTAGCGAACGTTAAGGGTCAATGGGATTGATCAGTCTCAACTATTGGCGTAGCTGAGACACTGTGTTGGCCGGCCGCATAGTTATTCCTGATCTGATCGGACGTCGGGCGATCTTGCATGCTCATGAATTACCCGATTTGGGTTTCGTCTCTGCTGAAGCTGCGACGTGCTCATCGCCAGCTCGTAGCAAAATCCGCAGGCGAGCGAGACATACACATTGGCGAAATTTGGTTGCCTTGTTCCGTTCTTCAGCCTCCCATTGGACGAAATGCAGGAATGCAGCCAATGGTGGCGGAAAGTGCATGACAGTAAGGTAAGTACGGTACCTTGGTATTCCGTCTGTGCAGTGACAGCTTGGGCGCGCGCTTGCCGCGGGGCCTGTCGCGTGCTGGGCTCATGGCTGGTGACGTCAGGCGATTTTGGCTCCGGATGAATCGCTCGCTAATCTCGTCTCGATGAACAAGATCCGTGCGACCTGCACGCGACGACCCACCGACTAAGACAACCCTTCGGAGATGACAAATGCCAGAACACAGGAAAGTTACATATCTTGAATAAGAGTTGAATTGAGAAGACGCTATATTCGAAACCACTTAGGTTCGACTAGCAAAACGGGCTTTGATTTTTTGGCGAAGATGCAGGTTTGTTTGGTTCCCAACTTGTTTCCGTGAGTCGTTTGGCGATTTCAGGGTCGTGCTCCGGCCAGTGTCTGGTTTATCTCTACACACTGTACTCTCTGTCTGCGGTACGATATTTGGCACTTCGTGGCACTTCATGGGATTCATCCAACTGGTCTGAATACGGAGTAATTGTGCACAAATCCAGCCTTCGTCGCCACGCTGGTAAACAGCACACGTACTGTATGCTTTTCTCACAGTGCGTTTTTGCTATCCGAATGGATTAACCGTTTGAGACCGATTTCCCCTGAAGGACCTGCACAATCTCAACCGAAGTTTCCGATCCGGCCACACCCGCGCGAGATTGCTTTAACGGAAATCAGATCCGGCGCGCCAGCAACCGCCAGCGTGGCGCTTCAAAGGTTGTTGATGATATTGCTTCCGCCAGTTGCGCCGGGCAGCGAGGCAGGAGTCACCTTGCAAACCAGGAAAGAACCCACCTCCTTGCATGAGATTGCAGAGCGGCACGGCCTGATTGCTGCAGCCTCCCGATTTAGCGGCCTGTTCCGCGTCACATTGGGCCTGGCATCGACGCTGCACCTTGCATAATTACCAGGCCCTGCCCGTTCGACCAGCGACTCATTTTCGTGGCTTACAACATCTCCGTGCCATTGGACTATATTCCCGGGCCCTGCTGCCCAAGATGTGTCGGTAAGGCAATCAAGGCATTGTTTGATCCTGGAGATCGCTCGGCTATATGCGGCTTGTGTCCTAGGCTTTTAGACTTGATGACCTGAGAATCCGGGGCTCGATGGAATCATGTTGTCGCCGGAGCGATGCACGGGATGCTAGCCCCTTACACGGTATCAGAGTTACTTAGCTTTTGGCTCCCATCACATCGTCTCCTGAACCGTTGCTGACATATCAAGGCGCTTACGGCACTCGTATTGATTGGATTGGTCGACCTGTTAGTGCTGACTTCAGGTTATCATCACGGCACCGTCTGCAACGGTTGGGACTACAGTCATCAAACCGCAAGTCACGGCGAACACCGACGGTGCCGACTGTCGACTGTTGCACCGTGGCCGCTGTCTCGCCGAGTCCGGCTCGCTGCCAATATCGCCGTATTACTTTGTGGTAAGTGATATCTCGAGTTTCAGAAACCCTGCTTAGGTATGCTCTTCGTTTCTGGCCCCGGTCCTCCCTCCTCTTGTCATGAACACCTTTATTTTCTTCGGACATTGAGTTTCAACACCTTACCACGCTTCAACCTGATGAGCTGCGTTTCCCCGTGGGGATTGCAGCAACAAACTGCGACAAATGGCCGTAACACCGTCCCTTGCCCTTTCTCCAGGCCTCAGGAGAGCGCTGGCAATGTTCCACGGCGTTAGAGCCACGGGCTCTAACCGCGCCAAGTGTGTGACAGGCCTCTTCTCCTCCTGCGCTTTCGTTCTTCCAAAATCCAGAAGTCCAGTCACAAAGACGGAGTGAGAAAATGCGAAGGCGGCCGCAGTCCCAGTGCCGACAGACAATACATGTGCTATTCCACTGCGCCCATGCAGATGCGGAACGGAAACAGGACAGTGCTTTGATGACTAATTCTAGCCGGACCCGAACCAGGAAGCAAGGCGATTAGGAGGAGGCGATCAAATTTGGCAGGTCGATCTGACGGGGATTAAGAAGCAGTACCAGGTACTTGTACACCCAGAACTCTTGCTTACGGCATGTTGCCAATATGACGCTCGAAGAAACAAGAGGCCCAAGTCGAGGGATCACTTCTCACATCAGCCGCGGGACGATGCCATGTCTTGTCCCGAATTCTGTGGATTTGTCTCTGCTCTAGTCATGCAACAGAGAAGCACCCCTCTCCAGCGGCCAACCTTGTGTCACAGTCGAACGCCCCTCTCGCTTCAAATTTCCCTTTTCCATTCTGAGTTCACTCATCCACCCAGGATGTTCCTTTATTGGGCACCTATCTTGGGGCTATAAACGTTCCGCGCCGTGGAGGGTGGCGGCCCGGTGAGACGGAAGCTTGCTTTTTATGCACGGTTTCTTTCCGTTCACACAGTACGCTTAAGATGGCGAGATCAACTCGAGACTCCTAACTTCATGTTGAAGAAAAACGTGGCGGAAGAGATGACATCCCCTACCTACCTACCGGTTTCATATTCACAATTATACGTAGTTATGCCGGCACAGTTTACAATCAGGACGAAGACGGATATGTCTGCTACGGAATTCACACTTCTCACCTTGCCTAAAAGAATCCTGGCCCAGTACAGAGTAAAGTGAGAGAGACTTGATAATACCACATGTAAAACAGCCAACATACTATCAGTAAAGTACACTAGTTATAGTAATGTGGTTTGAAACAATCAGCAACCGACTCTGTGCTGCCCTCGCCCGGCACCGACGCCGACCTGTCTAGGGCTGCCCACCATCTCCACTTACTACCCTGTGTCCTAACTCCCAACCCCAGACCGGACGGATGGACGCCTACGACCGGGCGGGACAGGGGCGACGGGCCGCCAGCACAGTGACGCCCGTCCGCCCACCGGCTCGGCTAGGCAAGGCACGGCCCATCATAATATGGTCTCCGTCACTGGCTCTGCAGCGGGTTTCGACATGCCCTTGTATCGAGAATATGCAGGACGAAACGATGCGATGACCTAACGAACAGAAAAAGAGGTTAGGGGGGCATCTCTTTGAATGCAAGGAGGCCAGAGCCGAGGGAGTGGTATTCGCGTTGGTATTGTTGCTGCTTGATCTTCTGCGACTTCCACCCTCCTTACCTGATTCACATATATCATACACTTTGAAAAGGTAGAACAAGACGATACCGCCTGAACGTAATATTCCGTATATTTCTCTCTCGAGACACCGCTGGCCAGCCTCGTATCCACTGCTCTTCCGCCCTCCAGCGGTTTGAATATGTACCTAAACTCGTCGCGACCCTTTCCTGGTTCCTTTTGATCCTCCCGTCTCCGTGCCATCTTCCGATTCAAGGCCGTGCGTCCGCCGTCATCGTCTAATTTCCTCGCCGATAATAAAGTGGCACTGGAGGCCCCCTCAGAACACACCCCTATCACATGATCACTCGGAGGGGACGATAATAGATATAGCCCGGAATACACCCCTTAAAAATGATCCAACAGAATGATGACTCCTCTGTTTGCCCCTTCCCAAAACCTGTACCAAAACCTCGGACGACTAGAGGAAAGGAAGAGGGGTATGGGGTATATACAAATGGAAATTGAAACAGATACGAATGAAACGGTGACCTTTCTGAGTCCTCTTTTTTCTCCAAAGCCAGGCATAAATCCGATGCAAAATGAAAGGTCTAGTATCTGTCTGGACCTCTGGGTATTCTCAACAAATAAAGAAACCAGAACAACAGCAATAACAAGCTAGCAGGACAATTGCCTGCGGTGAGGAACGAAACGACTTCGGTCGCCATCTGTCAGCTCCGGTCGAGTTGGCATGATTTCCTTGGCGCCGCGAACCGGGGATTCAATGCCTCATTTTCGCTCCTCGGCGGGTTTCGGCCGGATAGACCGCTGGTCCAGCTGCCGCTTGCGCTCCAGCTTCGCATAGTGGAGGCCGCATGCGTTGCAGAGCGTCCTTGCGCCGTCGGGACCGCGCCGCCATTCTGGCGTGTCCACGCGGTTACAGCTGTGGCACCGTCCGGGAGGAGCCGCGCGCTATGGCGAAGGGGAGGGGTAAAACGTCAGCGTCTGGTGCTGTTTGTACGCTCACAGATAAGAAAGAAGTAGAGGAACTTACACCGCGCCGCTTCTTGACCTCATGCATCGCGTACGCCGCCGGCTTGATACCGTCGCCGCCATACATGGCCACGTCCTCGTCCTCCGGGCTGCGGGCGCCGCTAGTATCGCGCGCGCGCTCGTTCTGTATCCGATTCTGCTGCACCATGTCCCGCACCTCTTCGAGCTTCCGGAGCGCAAAGACAAGGTTGTTGAGCAGGGAGCTCACTTCGTTTTCGGTCGGCATCCTCGACGGGATCGGCTGCGAGCCCTGCTGTTCACGCGCCGCGGCTACATAGGCCTCGGCGAAGTGGTACCCTGTCCGGCAACTGCTCATGATCTGCCGTCGCCTCATGTTAGTCACCCCACTTCAACTCTGTCACTTTGCTTGCGCACAGCTTGGACCCAAAACTTACAGCCTGCAACGCATCCTGGTAGCCGTTTGTTTGAAAATGCTTGTCAAAGTTCGCCTTGTAATCGGAAGGGCGGTACTGTGAGTAATCAGAGTCCTCGCCGTAGGCCGGTGTTCGTTGTGCGTCATAGGGCGAGAGTAGCGGAGGGCCGCTGTGTCTGGGGGATATGGGGTACGCAGACAAAGGCAGTTGTCCTGGCGGGAGTCTCCCGGTCTCCGCATACAGACCGGGGAGCGGTTGCTGCGATGGTGGAGGCGGCGGTGGACGGTGACCGGCACCGTGAGACTGAGCTTCCGCATGGCGATGCTCGGCTTCCAGCTGCTCGAGCTTGACAGGTGGCGAAAGCTGCTGTCCTAAAAAGGTGTTTAATGGAGGCGGGACAGGCCTTGTCGCAAGTGACGGACGGGTCGGATCAGAAAAGGCGGGAAGCGGTTCGACGCGAGGGCATGTTGACGGGGTGGGTTGCAACGTCCTTGGCGATCTATTCTTGTCCGAACTTCGAACATCTCCGAACGGCCGAGAAGAAGGTGCCGAACTGAATGGCGACGGCAACCCGGGCGCCGGGGGCGGCGGACCCGCTGATGGCGGAGGGGCATATCCAAGCGACTTTCTCTCAGAGAACACCTCGGAAATGGAGGGCAGAGAAGGCAGCGATTGCCGCTGAGGATGGGCGTTTTCGGAGCCATCTGATGGCCTTCGGGGTTCGACTGGCGAAATCATGCCGGCCATGTTTGCAGTGGACGCCGAGTGAGGGTAGCCCGATCCGAACGAGTTGTGGTGTTGGTGATGGTAAGGGGCGTTCGGGCTGATTAACGCGGCAGCCATGGTCGGTGGTGTCTCTCTGTATGATGTTTCGTTGCGTTCTCTCGGCCGCCTGTCGTACTGTTCGAGGCTGTTGGCAGTTGGAATCCCACTGCAGCAGCAGGCTTGTCAGAATCCAGGCAGTGCAGCGGCCGAGGAGCGAATGCGATCGCTATTGGGGACGTACCTTTGCCTAAGTCCCGAATCGCCCGCTTCCATAGCGGGTCTCGTTCCTCTGGTGCCCTATGGTGTCGATGTGCTTCTGGGCCCCCTAACCTAACCATGCGGACGTACGTGAAGGGCGGCAGCGAGAAGTCGGATACGACCTCCGATGGTCTGGAGCAGGCGGTAGGTAGATAGACAGGTAGTATGGCACACTGGCCGTCTCTCCAGCTCCCAAATCCAGCTCTTTCCCGTTCTTTGCTAGGGTGTGGCAGGGGTTCCCAAGGGATTGTCCAAGACCAGGTCGCACTCGAGCTCTCCAACGGCACAGCAATCCTCACAAACGTCAGCAGTAGATGGTGAGTGGGTGGTATGGTGTGCGAACTGAGAAAGGAACCCGACAGGCGGTGGCGGGCCGCAGCGGTTTTGAAGTGTTTCCTGTTTCTGTCAGGAGCTGATTGACCTGGCTGCCTGTGCAAGGGGGTCTGCAGCCGCTTGGGGTCCACCTCGGGACGGTGGGCACAGTGTGGATCAAGGCGAAGATGGCGATCGAGATCAAGTGGGGCTCCTGGGCTCCCGTGGAAATGGATTGTGGGAACGTGCCGTTCCCCCCATTCGCACCCTCGTCAGCATTCTTGTCTCACACGGACTCTGACCAGGTACCTCGCCCGGCCCACCCTGCCAATCTTACCCCCCTCGCCCCTGTCTTGTTCCATGCCACGAAACCGAATCCGCAATGTCATGACGGTGAGTGGGGAGAGTGAGAACGGCCAAGGTTCTTGCTGTCATGTCATTGACCTACGTGGTGTCGATGTCGATAAACATGGCGAAAATACAGCAACAGCCCCCTAAAGTCACCGGGGAGGTCAATGAGGACAACCCCTCTACGCACCCTACATGCATTGTAGTGCGGGTACCAATGAGCAATGAGAAAGTTCGGGGAATGGCTGTACAATAACGTTAACGTTTCCGGGAGTTTTCAATGCTGGGAGCGACACATATAAGAGCTGGTGGAGTGGAGAGGCAACTGAAGGCATAACGATCAGGGTTTTACGGGGCCGTCAACAAGATGCTCCGAGAAATGAGCGCACGCTCAGGACGAGACGGACTCGGTATTGCGGCAGTGGTGGCTCGCAGTAGTGGTGGGCTCGCGGCCGGACGGGAGGACAAGTCTGGGGCCTCGGAGGAATCCACGGGAGAGAGGATCGAGTGTGGATATGTGCCAGTGTGCACAAACCATGGATTTCTCATCGTGCTGTTCATTGCTGACTTTCAAGTTCCAGTCGCAAGCCACGCTGGAAGGGTGCTGACAGGGTGGCTTGATGATCAGGCTGTGCAAGCCATGGAAAACTCGGCGAGTGTCCGCTGGGTCGGAAGCAACAGGCAGACTGTTTCTTCGTCTGTCTGGCCGCCTCCTTTGTTTTGCAGCCAGGTGTACACTTGTATCGTACCATTCGACCGTGTTCCGGTAACGTGGTGGTGTGAATGTGCAACTTGAAGCCGGGCGCCTGGAAAGAGCCCGGGAAATGCGACCCCGATCTGTCTACTGTGTAGATGAGATGACGCTTTGCGGGGTCACTGGGAAACACAAATCTCATCTGACACAGAGAGTCGAGCGGTCTGCTGGGTACCTGGCTGGGGAGCCTGGGAGGTTACCACCCCACACCCTGGGGCTGTAGATGCCCACGTTAGTGTCAGGGCACTGGTACCGCAGTGCGAGGCGTTGTTCACGGGTCGGGTACACTCTGGATCGAGTCTGAAAGCCTGGAAAAAGTCCATGCTGCAGGATTGCCGAGATGAAAAGTCTCCACGCTGTCGTTGGTGGGAGGCCTGAAAAGTAACGTCATGCGGTTGGTGGTAGGGAGTTGCTTTCATGGATCGTGGCGCTCGATATCCGCGGGCCATGCCGGATTTGACTGAGCAGGCAGTTATGTCTCTGAGGTTCTTGACTCTGCGACACAGCCGTTTATCTTGGTATCCCACCACTCGCTGTGAACGTTAAAAAGATCCGATGTGTGCTGGTGCTCCGCCAAGTCGAGACCGCAGCCGGCTTTAAGTCCTGTACGTAAATTTCGACAAGCGACACCGAGGCTGAATGCAGGGGCTTTTATAAGTTACTTGTCGATGAGCAAACATGTATCCGTACGGTGACCATTCATGCACTCGGCAGGCAACCATGACATGTCCCATACTCTGTAGTGTAAGTGTACTGCGCTTCAGCGAGGCAACAAAGTCCACTGCGACCTTATCACCGCCCCATCTTGGGAAGAGGTTCCGGCCATCTCAATCTGAACAGGCTAGGATGCCTGGTCTTGGCCCATGTTCTCGAAGATGTCTCGGTTCTGCCAAGACGAGCCGGACAATTGGCTTTCCATCGCATTGCGGAGGATACGGAGTAGGTGGTACAAGTACAACTATCCACTGGTAGGACAGTAGCCACCGTAGACCCGTATGTGATAGTACGTACGTTGGCTTGGTGGAAATACTGTGTAAGGGCATTAGCGATCGGCTTCCAAGAACAAATCTTGGCGTGGTATGTACAAGCACATACACGTGTAGATAGGTAAGCGATTGGGGGCGCGGCAATCAGACATTCCAGTTGCAGGAATTTGACCCGGACTTTGGGAATTCCAAGCATCCACATGTAATGCCCACTTGATCGGTCCAACGCAAGCGGTTACGACGCTTCCAAACATGGCACGTTTAGCAGCGTGGCATGTCCTCGGCCTGGAGCGGGCAGCGGGCAGCGTGATTGGATCGAGGGCGTGCCACGATCGGGATCTGGCGGTGTCCCGGGCATCGACGTTTCCACAGCAGGGGTCATGAGATGAAAAGGCGCAGCCCAATCTTAGGCCCATGGCGGTGTTGTTGGTTATGAGCGCGAGCTCGGAGCATGGTCGAGGTCGGGGGGTCGGCTTGGACTCGCTAATCGAACGGTTGCATCGGGCCCCGAACAGATGGCCATTGTGAGAAATCTCCCCCAAAGCCAGATCCGAGCATGGGCGCCAAGCGGGTCCCAAAGAACAACAGGCTGCAGGCAAGCGAAGTGGCCCGCTCGGACCGAACCAATCACAGCTTGCCAGTTACAATGCTTGCAAGCCAGACGAGTGACCCATCCAAGGCATCCACACTCACGAGACAGAACGAAATGACCCTGGAATCGAAACTCGTCATTACCAGCAAGAACTCATCAAGATCGGCGGAGATGGAACATCTGCCGGCATTGCAGACCTTCTGGGCATACTCAAGAAACTTTGCCGGAGGATGTCCTCATCAACAGGGCCCGGCGATCAAAATGTTCGGAACTTTCAGGCTGCAACACATTCGCGGACCATGCAAACGGAACCCGTTTTGACGACCCAAATCGGGAAGCTTAACGTGTGAAGTGGGTACGGAGCGCTCCGTAACGGGGTGCTAACTCGATCTTGGGGACATCGGTCAAATGTCGAGATGAGAGCTTCGATCCCCAGACCCGCATTGTTCGACACGTGCGACGCACCACCCCAACCACCACGTCGCCTTCCGAGCCGCCAGTCCCAAAATAGCTCTGCGTCACTGTGTGCGCGAGACAATCTCGCTCATCGTTGCGTGCCTGTCTCGAACGCAAAGACCGTCCAAAGACGGTTTGGAACCTGGGAAGTTCATGCTCGCCTGTTGCCTGCATATTGACACCACAGTCTTGCTGTAGCCTTGGAAAAGCTCGCTCCCAGCATCCTCTCGAAGAGGCGGAGACGTCGGTTACCGCCTCTTGAGGTGGAGGGTTTTTGATCGCGCCCCACTGTGACGGAGCGCTGGGACCTTCATGTGGACTGGTTACTCCAACAAGTGTTTCGATGAGACAGTCCCCCTGTCTGACTTCCTCCGTTGTTCATGACACAGGGCCGGGATGGAAATGGCGCGTTTTTTGCCCGAATTCGCCCACGGCAGTGTACGCTTATTGTTAGGCAGATTCATCACGTTACGCCAGCGCCAGCTGTGATACCACCCTGCCTGCTGGTCTTGAACGTCTTCGGCATCGTCGATGCAGTGCGATATCACATGACGGACCCTTGTCAGGAGGTTGTCTTCTCACCCGCACCGTTGGTCCTTCGACTACCTGCCCGCGAGACACCAAGCTACGGCTGCGTCTGCAGACTGGAGGTCATAAGAAAAGTACCGGTACGGCCCTGAAGAGCTCGGCACTCAAAAGTACCATTTCATCACGCTGTGCCGCAGATCTGTGTTCTTAACACGAGCAGAGCCAGAAACCACATGCGGCGATCGCGTCCAGTCCTGGCCCGTCGTCCGGGACCGCGGGATGAGCCCCCTGTGATCGGAAAAGGTTCCTGAACGGGGCGAAGGCGGGTCGTGGACGGCCTTGTCATTGGTTCCGGGCCATCGCAGCCGTGTCCCAGATCAGGCCACGACTGCATCTCACCTCCTTCCCGCTGGGTTCGTCTGAGTGGGTCAGCGACCGATGTCGCTCCACCGGAAGGCTTCATCGGCGTGTGTCCCACGACGGCGTACTGCGGTACTATGCAAGAGACCAGGCTTGTTTCTAGTGTAGACGACCACGCTCGGCACGGTGGTTTTCTTGGGAGCCTTCGTTCTCACCACATGTTTACTGCCTTGGCAGCAACAGCCAACGACATCCGCCCTTGGGCCCCACACCCCTCATCCAATGCATCGAATTTGCAGATGTCAGATTGGCCCGCGGCATGATGGCCATGTCAGATGCAGTCGCCGATGGCGTTGCATTGTGGCCTGCTCCTGCATCCCAGCATCAATTTATCTGATCCTTCACGGCCGCTGTCCGCATGACGAGATGCCGTCACCTCACACCACCCACTCGGATGCACTCGGATGGTGGGGCAGGTTGATGTCCTCTTTGGCTTCCACGGGAAAAGGACAGTATTATGTGCTGGTGTTGCCATGCCATGTGGCATGGCCTGAGCCGGTCAACCATGTACAGGCAGATCAGTCACTTGCACGACGCCATCAGTGGCACTTCCACTAAAAGGACGACGGTCACCAACAACAAACCGACGCCGACCCATCAGATACCATTAGCCAAGTGAGTGATTACCACAAACACTGAATTCCTGCCCACCCTTTCTTGGAGACACATGTGTGGACGCCAAGACGACCCAGCATCACTGGCGTCCCAACGGGACAACGCGCCTCTCAACCGAAAGATAGAGAGTTCGGTTCACCTTTCGGATCGCTGCCAGATGGGCTTATTAGCCGATTGACCCGCTCGCGAAGCTGCACAAGAACGTGGGCCAAGACACTGAAACACCTTCGCAGTTCAATGTCGATGAATGTGGGCGTTCTGGAAACAAGCGGCTACAGATACAACGCAGCACAGGTGCGGCGCCCATCCTTGTGGCGATCCTGCCTGGGCGGTTTCGTGTTTCCCCGGAGCAATCTTGGGCACCAGCGACCCTCGAATTTTCAGCCTGAACACGAGATCCATGTGGGACGACCTAACCTTAGTAACCCATCTTGCTTCCTCTCTTTGATGATGGCTCCATTCCCTGTGCTCGGTCACGCCCCGCAGGCCTTCCTCCAGTCTCTCGCCGACCAAGACTCTCGCCTACATCGTGTACACCTACATTACGCGCAGGCAGACCAGCCAGTGGGGCCCGACACCGATCACTAACTGCACGACACCAACAATGGTGGGTAGTTGGTCGCTTGCCTTTCTATTCTCGACTTTGCCTGCAGAACGTGGCTGAAGCGTAGCCAAAGTTCAAGTCATGGTTGAGATCCGAGCAATTATGCCACGACGCTCGTAGGAGATTTTCGTAAATGAAGCAATGTTGTACTGAGGCAAGCGAGGAGGGGCTCTCAACGTCTCTCCCGGGTGAACCATTACCCCCGACCGCTCGTCATGTGTACGGATCCGTACTGCTCACTGCGCTGTCCCGCAAGGAGGTTCATCACCCACGTATCCCAGCCAAAGAACGGCGAGATTCGTCCTCCATAATGTGTCGCCGGCGGCACTTGTAATTGGCTATGTGCTCCCAGAATCTGCGAATCGTCACCTGCAGCTTCATGGCCCTCGGACCGAAATCTCAAAGGCTGTGACCGGTTCCCGTTTTCGTGCTAGTCCTCCCGTCGGAGGATCAGGAAACAGCACGACGTAACGGCTCCTATTGGTGCTTCCCTTTGTTCTACACACATTCTCTTTCGAGGTCGAGGACCAACCGCCTATGCTTGGCTGCAATTCGTTTCGGGAGGATTCGAGCGGAAATCGAGATGCGGTCTCCTCTGTATGACCTCGACACTTCGACTCCACCTCAGCTTCTCCCCCGCCAATGCGGATGCCGCGCCATCCTCGACAATGTTGCTGCACTGCAGTAGTGTTTGTCTCACCTGGCGGGACAGCCCTTGGCTTTGGCAGTAGCAAATCGCAACAAGCTCGAGCACCGCCAGGGTGCCTTAAAGAAAGCTCCTAGCGATGCTGAGATCTGGGCCAGGCCACGATGCATGGACCGTCACATCCACGGGAAAGACGTGTAGATGACCCTGTCATAACAGGCGCACCACCCAGCAAATTGCCTGTCTAACCTTGGAGAGCCTGCCGAAACAACGACAGACAAGCTCATATCCCTTGTCTTGGCCGTCCAGATGCTAGCACGACGACCAATATATACCCTCTCAACAGCTCATCGGGATCGACGAGTACACACGAATCGTGTTTAAGCGGGCCATCCTTCGCCGTCAGCCCCCATAAGCCACGACCTAATAAGCACGTGAATAACTGTTGCGAACTTCCCACTGAAGATACCGAAATGAGCTAAAAACAGCGGCGATCAGGACGTGATAGTGGCTTCTGTGCCGATGCGTGGCCACCACGTTCATGTCAGAAGAAATCTCCTGCCGCACAGTACACACAGCACGGACCGAGAGAAATCTTGATCACCAATCACCACCCCCAACCTCCCCCATACCAGTGGTAAGCAGGTCCACCCCGACAAATCGATGGGATCGATCTCCGTTTCAGCCAACAGCCTCTCATTGTTGGGCTCGCTTGCGAAACCGTTCCGCCCTGCTAGTTTGTACAAGTATATATATACGTACGGAGTATATACTATGTGATTCCTTCCCCGCGCTGATGTCCGGACTGAAACAGGACTATGTACGGTCAGCATAGACGGACTTTTGGGTGCCCCGTTTCCCGTTTCGTCTTCGTTGAAGCTGACCTTTTTGCCAAGAGTATGGATAAATACCCTGAAGATCCGTGGGCGCAACGCCACCAAATAGTCAAGTGGAGTTAGCGTGTTCCCAGCTCCTGGACTCTGGAGCCCAGTGCGTTGGAACGCCCTGTGGAGAGATTGGAATCCTTCTGGAAACCCATCGATCATACAACTGCCGGAATTAATTTCGGGTGAAGACTGCCAACGACGATGAAGATGGAAATTGATGTTGGGCTTGAGTGGAAGAAGCAGGTTCTTCCCCCTTTCTGCACCCACTTGCGATCACACTTGCTGCTTCAAGTTTGTTCGTAGTGGTCTTACTGTGGCGGGATGCCATGTGCTCAGCACGGCATTTTGACTGGCAGCCGGCAGCCGTGCGCGTTTTGTGGCTGAGACATATCGGCCGCAGGTTCTCGCTCACCGGGTCTCTGTCATCAGCCCCAGACTTTTCGGGGAGATCGGTTGGTCATGCTCGGCACGCAGCTTCCGCCCAACTGGAATGCGAGAGGCAGGGATGTGCCTGCTTGCGGGGGATTGTCAACCATCACCTGTGGTTACTAGCGGAGAGATCTGAGAGTGGCGGCTGCCTTTAGTGGGCTTGGGAACATGGGAGATGGAAATGGGGAATGGAAATGGAGACGGAAATGGGAGATGGTTGATGGGCGCGGATGGTTCCGTTAACAGCACGCTCTCGGCAGTACGGCACCCCCTGAGAAGAAGCAGAGTCTCACCGATATGGTCCGATGTCTCGTCTAGAGGAATGAGCTGTTCTCTAGATGGCACGATGTGGCGGAACTGGTTATTGATAGCATCCAGCGCCTCCGGCGACCAAGAGGACTAGGCTTTACAGCACTAGTTATTTCAGATTCCAATAATTCCTGTCGTCTGTCCAGGCTGCGTCTCGCTCTCGGATAAGTGACAGTTCCGGCTCCTGTTTCTCCCCATGCTGTGGAACGAGGGACACCGGCCGGTGTCGCTTTCTGAAACCTTCGGGCGCCAGCGGCGGCAGAGTTGGAAAGCAGGCCATGAAAGGGGGGAGGCTTCAGCATAGGATGTCTCGACTTACGTTGGGGGGCGATTGGTTAGTAACTTGGGACTTCGTATGCTTGTATCTACCGTAAGGCAGTGTCTTGTTATTGCCATGACGGGTCACCCAGGGGCAATTCTTCGTACTTTCAACAAACCGCCTATCGAGTGACTTCCCATCCATGGCCACTTCCAATGTCTGCAACCAACAACACCTCGTCATGTCTCTTTAGATCCATCAACTATTAATATCATCTCAGACTCTGCCACCATCTGCAACAACGGAGCCTGTAACCGTCAAGCACCATAACCAGTGTCAAACACTGGCAGCCAAACAACTCGATGGCGTCCACCCACTCAGGGGAGTCGTTCCCCGAGTCTTCCAAACCAACCAAGCAACGGGGCAACAAAAAGCAAGGGATAATAAACTCGAAAAAGCATCAGCGAGTTCCCAGCGAAGTCTCATACAAAAAAGCAACACCACTCACCCCACATCTCACCCCCTCCACTCGGATCAAATCAGCAAGCGGCTGCTCCCGGACCTCCACTTACAAAAAGGATCATCAACCACGCTAAGAATAGAAGTCAGATAAGCTCAAGCAGAAGATAAGTAGCATACAGTTCCGCCATCACAAACTGAATCTCCGCGAAACAGAACCTGAAGAGAGAGGAGAGTTGAGCAAGTGGCTGTTGTTGAACCCATCAACTCAAAACTTCTCCTCTCGGGCAAGAGGGCGCATCATCAGATATGGTTGTTGGTTGGATGGAGGATGCCGTGGGAGCAGGACAGAGTTCTCGGCCATAGATACCAGGCCCTAACAGTCCTGTAGGAAACCTACAATTGGAGCTGTCCTTACTCGGCAGAAACATACACGCCTAGCAAGGTCTGTATCACTCCGTCGCAGGAATATGATTCTATATCCGGTATCCATCAAGCAAAGGAACACGCTGAGCATTCTTGTAGAAAACTTGGCTAGCCGAACCTTCCTGTTTGTCGTCATTGACATCACAACCAAACAGTGAACGGCACCCGAGATGATCACCCAACACCCTAACATACACTACTACCCAACAAACAATAGAACCCAGCCCAAAACCTAAAGGAAGAACACAAAGCATGAGAATGAGCATTACCATATTCCCATAACCTCCACCACTAAATAAGAAATCAGTCTCCCGGCAGCTCACTTCCCCTCAGAACCCGTCTCTCATCTCTTGCGCTGCTTCTTCTTGCTCGCCCGCGCATCCTCCTCATCAAGCCCGCTCTCCCGATCCCGCTTCTTGGCCTTACGCTCAAGCTCATCCCAGTCCTCGCCCTCCTCCTCTTCGCTCAAATCCGCCTCGTCGCTAGCCTCGGCCGACGCATTTGAATCGTAATCCGAGTCCTCCTCGCTCGACTCCGACGCCTCCTCAAGCTCGCTCTCACTAATCTCAAACATGCTCTCCTCCTCTTCCTCCTCCGACCCGTCCTCGTCGTCCGAGTCGTTCTGCAAGAAACCCCACCCGCCATCAAGGAAGAACTGGTGCGGGTTGGCCGTCACCGTCTTCATGATGACCGACCAGTTGAGATTGAGCGGGCCCTCTGAGTAGGCAATGTCGGACGAGTCGAGGAACTCCTTGACGTCCTCGAGCGACTCGACGGGGATGGTGTTGATGTGCGCCGGCGGCCGCGAAAAGTCCTTGAAAACGAAGACCAGATCAAAGTTTTTGAGGCCGAACTGTACGCGCTCGAGGTGCGCAATCTCAATGTCCTCCAGCGTGATGACCATGAAGGGGGGCTCCGTGATCTGAATCAGGCACTCCGTCGTGGGCTGGATGTAAACGTTGCTGCGGTTCGGCACGCCATTGAAGCCGATCTCGCGGAGAGGCATGTCCACTTCGATGCCTTCGTTGCGGCCGGCCTCAGCAATCTTCTCGGCAAAGCTCTTGAAGAGGCGGTCGAGTTCGGCACGGCGGCGGCGCTCCTCCTGCTCAGCCTCGAATTCGTCCTCGTCGCCATAGCGGTACTTCCGTTTCCGGTTGCCAGTCTCGTCAAACTGTATATCGGTCGCTTCCCTGTAGAATTGGACATCCTTGGTCTTTTTCTTGCCAAACATGATGGGGTCCTTGAGGTGCATGTGGATGATGACGATCAGCTCATTCTGGCACGGCTGGAAGAACAGGTGGCGGACGTTTGAAAAGAGGACGTCGACCCGCTGCGTGGTGCTCAGAGGCGACTGGTACCTGATACCGTTTTGGTGGATCTCGACCTTGCCAGGCACCCGCTTGCCTTCCATGGCCGGCCGTATGAAGACGTTATCTAGCATGGCCGGGCGTCGGTCTCAAGAAGACGTTAGCATCGTAAAAGCACTGTTCTTCAAAGAGTTTATGCTTACTTCGGATCTCAATCAGCTTGTCCTGCTCCACGACATCCTCCATGTCCTTCTTCTCTTGCTCCTTTTTGACAGCCTCACGCTTGAGGTTCGATATCTGGTTCGCTATGTCCGCATATCGATCACCGTCCATGGACCGGAAGGTTAAGCTCCTGACGAAGTGAGCTGACGCATCCTCAAAGGGTTGCTCATCCTTGCGGCCGACGCCCTGGCCGGGAGAGAGGAAGTTGATGCGCAAGAATGACCACTCGCCCTCGTCGCTTTTGCTGGCGTTCTTGATAGTGTTGATGTGGAAAGGGACCGGCCGGCCCATGACGGGAAGAATGATGGTTGCGTTCTTTTGGTCAATGACAATGCCCATGTCCCGGATCTTCGGCGGGAACTGGTTGTCGCGCTTGTAGGACTCGAAGCGCTTAAACTTCTTGACTTCGACCCCGTTCTTATCCGCAGTGGACTCGGCGTACTTGGCCAGGCCCTCCTTCTGCTTCTTGGCCGCGAGCTCCTTCTGATGTTCCCGACGCCTCTTCTCGGCATCCTCGTCGGGCGCTGTATTCCGCTCGGAGCGCAGTCTGGTGCTGGTGATGTTCTTAGTCGCAACAGCACCCACCCGCGCGTCCCTCTTCTCCTTCTTCGGGGTTGGCTGGGTCTCCTCCTCGTCCTTGAAGAAAAAGGATGTGGCGTCCGCGTCGACGGGCGCGTCGCCGGTGAATATGACCACCTCGTTGGCGGTGACACGAATCGTGTCGGTGAGAACAAGGGAATATACCTTGCTGTTCTTATCTTGAGGGTCAGCATTCTGGATGTCGCTGAAGCCGGTGGTGATGCAGAGCGTCATGCCGTCTCGCAAGGTCCGTGTGTTTTTGCCGCTGAGCACAAGAGTGGAGTCCTTGTTCTCTAGGCCGATGCCGTAGCCAACATTCTTCAAGAAATGCTTCTCGAGCTCGGGCTTCTTGGCTTTAATCAGATTGTAAGCCTTGTTATAGACGTCCTTGACGACAACCCCGTCGCGGATCTCCTTGAGAATGAGGTTGTGCACCGCAAGCAGGAACTTGTAGTTGCTTTCCTGGGACTTGTTGGGGTCCACCATGAACGTCCGCGCGATCTGGGAGCAGTAGGATTTATACCTCAAGCCCATTGCCGCAATAATGATGCCCGGGTGAAGCGGCTGGTCGTCCGAATCACTCTGCCACTTGAGATCGAACTTGCCCCCACTCTGCACGATAGGGCCGAGGATCCAGTCAAGCTGCTCGGGGTCGAAATCCGCCGGCATCTTCTGCCGGTTGGGAAGCTCGACCGTCTTCCACCACTTGGCGTCCTCAAGCTTGTTGAAAACCTTGTCTGCGAGCTGGCTGTGCTTGATCTTCTTGTCTTGGTCGAGAATGTTGGACATCTCGTCGAGGAAGTAGGGGGTCAACAGCGCAACGCAAGCCTTTGACGAAGTCCGCATGGCACGAAGTTCCGCTTCGTCCTTGACCGAAAAGGCACCGGCGGACAGGGCTTGGGCAATATCAACCTCCTCAACATCCTTGCAATTATCGGCAAAGACCTTCTTCCATTCGTCGACGAAGGGGCCCTTGGAGGTGTCCTTGGTGAGCACGCCCACCTTCTTCTGTACCGCCAAATGCGTCAGCTCGGAGATGGCGCAAGGGAAATGAAATAACTCATAGCGTACCCCTGCTGCCTTAATGGCATCCGTGATCTTGACGAAAAGCTTCTCGTTCTCGGCGGCGTCCTTGCCTCGCACGAGGACTTCGACGGGAAATCGGCCGCCTTTGATCTGGTCAAGGTATTTCGCTGCGAGTCGTGTCAGCAACCCGAGGGTAATGGGGGAAAACTCAGACGTAGCATACCTTTCTTTTGAGTCGTGAGAATGTAAAGGGTGTCGAGGGTGAAGAGCATCAGCGTTGTCGGGAACTCGTAGCCAAGCAGCCAGAACTGCGTGTATGTTAGCGCTGCGCAACGCGTGAGCGATCGCGGTCTCTGTCGGAACATACGTGCATGGCATTGTTCTTGTGGAATTCGGGCTCCTCGTCAACCTTACCCATCAGGATGACGATGGAGGAGGCACCGGTGAAGAGCGCGTCGCCGGATCGCTTGTCGGCCTTCCATGCACTGACAAAGTGCGACAGGCGCTCCTGGAAGGCCTTGCTGTCGATCTTGATGTCCGCCATTATGGGCGATTGCGAGAACCGCGCTGATGACGATAACAGAACTATCCCCGGCCGGGGTGGGATGATGTTAGAGGGAAAATGGTATTGTCTCTGTGCCGAAATCGATGCGGTGTTGGATAATCGCGATTGCCCAGACAGACCCGCAGGCAGTGGCCAAGCCAAGAAAAATTCCGGGGTTCGCGTCGGCTCACGTCACGGGCCACTTCGGGTCGCGTTTCAGTTGGGCTGTTGCATACGCGTGTAGTTACTGTGTTAAGTGGTTTCCACAGTCCGTTTGGCGGTGAGTCGGATGTTTCTATTCAACGATGAGGTCGGTGATGAGGTTTTCTAAGGGATGGGAGTGATCTCGGAAAGAGGGCGCGGAAAATGGAATGGACTGCATTGGCCAATGACCGATGCCGTTGACGACTCGATATGATGCCGAGTCCGAGTTCTGGAGATGACAAGATCATAGCGGCGGAAGCGAGAACAAAGGAACTGAACGGGGAGCGGGCGGCTTCTCAAGCTTCTACGTGTTTAGACCAGGCATAATACGTGGGGCGCGTATTAGTAGGTGCATGCCTCATGTCCATCCGAACGCGAAATGCAGAGACAGTAGGAGTATGGTTTTGATACCGGCCACGAACATGACAAGCTCCGCATCTCAGCATCCCCAATTTGCGCTTGGATGAAATTTTTGGATGAGCGAAAGCGATTGTGAAGGACGTCACTGAGTTCAAATTCCGATGTCAATTAGCCCTAGCCGAATATTCTCTGTACGCAGACATCACTGGACAACGGTGGCAACAAACTGCCTTCAATTTCATAAGAGAGACATTGGACAGCAAGATGGACAGCATATGAAACGGGGAAAAGAAAAGGACACCGTATGCCACCCGTACGCCAAGGTAAACCCGTATCCCAAAGAGCTCTAGTAAACAATAAAGGTAAGCGGCGCCCGCCCCTAGTCCGTCCTTCGGTGCCTTGCCCTCCTTGCCAAATCATTCCATACTCATGACGCCGATGCATGGCCATGGGGCGCGGATGGCTGGTTCCACGACAGGTACGACGGGTCACCCAACTTGCGGGGCTTCCACAAGAAGAACGAGAGGATGAAGTAGATGTCGAGGATTAGGCAGATGCCGCCGACAATCAGGAATATTATCCCGGGCCAGATGTTGCGGGACCCCATGCTGGAGACGGTGGTGATGACGAAGGCCTTGCGGCCGTTGTACACAGTCGTGTCAAAGTTGTCCTGGATGTCGACCTGATACTGACCAGCCTTCATAGGATCCTGGTCATTTTTCTGGTAAAGCTTGTAGAAGTTGGGCGCCGCAGCCAGCATCAACCAGTTCTGGAAGCCCTCATCCTCCTTGAGATTTGGTGGAGGGTTATCCTCGGTGTAGCCATTCTTGTACCGTTCCTCCCAATTCGGCGGCGGGACGATTTGGTCAAGGCCGTATGTAGTCTTGCCATAGAGATCCTTCATGCCGCTCCAGGCGATCCCCTTTGTCGACATGGAGTAAGTCTCATTGGCGGCGCTCGAATCCGGCACGGAGAGCAGGACCGGATTAGAGAAGGTGTCGTTGAACATCGAGTTGGCCACAAGACCACAGGGGTAAACGATCTTGCCCGTTCCCCGCGGGTCATGAGTAATCGGGTCGCATGTGGAGTCGTTGATGGTGCGGCCGTCAACGGCGTCGCCGAGCAACTGCTTGGCGTTGAACGAGTTCACGTAGCGACGGTGGTTCTGGTAGAAGTTTTCGAGGTTGTAGAAGAAGCTGATGGTGGGCTTCAGCTGCTCCGGGATGTTGAATTTGATCCGGCAGTAAGTCCGGTTAGCTTTGAAGCCTGGGTATTGTACCTCGACTTCTTCCTTCATCCACTCTGCCTTGTAGGGGTCGTGCGTGTTGTCCGTCTCCGCAAAGTGCGCTGTAATGTAGCCGGAAGGCAGAGCATTAAACTCGCTCGGGGCATCCCTTTTGCAGTCGGTGTAGTCAATCCGAATGTCTCGGACCTGGAGGGCGCCAATACAATGGTCAGCAGTTGACGCGCGCCGGCAGGAAGTCGCACTGCAGGTGAGCGTACCGTATGCGCGAGGTATGTCAACCAGGCGCCAAATCCGAGATAGATGGCAGCGAGGATGGAGAAGATGGTGACAATGAGTTTGGGTGTCAGCACACACTGCCAGGCTCGCATACGCTGCTGCCGGAACGCAGTGTTCGGCGGGCGGTTCTTGGGCGCATTTGCCTCTGAATTGGCATCTTCACCGGTATCGCTGCCGGCGCCACGGCGTCGGCGGGGCGCCATGGTGGGCTAATTCTGAGCGTGTTTGCGTCGTCGATCCCAGGTTTCCCGGGATGTCGAAAGGGAAGTTGTCAGAAAAGGAGCGTTACGAAGACACGGAGCCTTCGGTTGAGGCGGAGCGTTAGGTGGTCTGTGCAATTTCTTGGCAGAGAGGCTGTGACGCACGGACACGTCCGGCACAGCTTTGCAGCGGCTTTGCTTGGATGAGTGGGTCCAAGTAACTGCAAAGTCACAAGAAGTCGCACGTGTATCCCTCTCAATGCCCGTATTGGCCTCTCGGCTGTTGTCGCACGCTAGAAGCATTGATTGCGATAAAACAAGCAATTGCGTAGGCCTGGTTTGAGAATTGAGTTCTACGCACATCTTCAGAGTACTTGGAAAATGCTTGATATGAGCGCAAGAGAGAAGACCATCAAAGCAACTCCGTAGGCCTTCGGTTTCCTTTGCTCGTACGGAGCATAACGGACATCCTTGGCCGTGAGGCGGAATGTGTTGTTTTTTGAATGCCAGATACAGGCCGGATGGTATTGAAATTGAAGTCGCCTGTCGAGCTCAGGTAGGTCCAAGATACGGATATCGCCAGAATACCTATCTACCTTTCACTGTTGACGGCAGCAGCCAGAGGTTGTCTCCCCGGTTCCGATCCTGTTGCCGGGAAATATGTTGATTTACCGTCAGAACCCACACAGGCTTCACGACCTCGCGCACGCTGTCGGCGTTAGTTTCATGGAGAGAACCCTACGGTAACTCCAACTCGCACCGGTCAATCGCAATTCCAAACAGCAACCGGCTGGGGTCCGTTCTGGTATCATCATGTTATTATTATCGCACCAACACGACGATTGAACTCTCATCGCCGGGTCCGGAAACGACCGTACGTCCCGATCGCCAAATTCTCCAAATGTCGACTTGAGCACATAAATAAGGGCGCACGGTGGTGAATTTGCAAGAAAAGCTGCCAGAGGACATGAAGGTTTAAGCTGGTGAAGCTGGCAGCAAGGAAACGGAAACGCGGCTTTGCTTCCATGATCCTTCTGGATCTGGTTGCGTGCATCGCACGAGTCCGGATAGAGTTAGAGGGGCCGGCCCACTCCCGAGTTTGTGCGTCTTCTGGAAGTCTTCGACGCAATTGAACGGTCATGCCGAGAGCGAGACATGTGGAGATGGCGTGGGGCCTGTTCTGGTTGCGGAGGGGATGAAGGAGGGGAAGCTGGAGCTTGGCTCAGAGAGTACATCACAATTATCACGACCTTGGCTCTTTGATTTGCTATGCCAAATGTTCTCACCAAACTGGAGGAGAAGAAACACGCAAGGTGCAAATCCATTTGACAAGAAGGAAAGTGAAACAAATTAGGCCAATAATGGCCAAAGGCGGCGCCTTGCTGTAGTGGCAAGCAGTGCTTGATCGCCGCAGGTCTTCAAAAGCGATGATGCAGGGAAGTTGGAACGTGCACCTGGAAGACGGGAAGCACCCCACTCCTCAACTGGAACCCTTCCTTTAAGCTTCATGGTTCCCACCCCCTCGTCTCTTCCAAGCTGCCACCAGCTGCTTGCTTGCTGCCCGTGAGGAGACAGGATAACCTGCATCTCTTCCTGCCGTCATACCCCCTTTGATTGACGCAGGGTCTGCTTTATTTCCCGGGACATGCCGACAAGACCAGAACGAACAGTGGTGGCCTAATCTCGCAATTCACCTCTCGAGCTTTATCCGTCCACACCGCTTTCGTCTGCGAACCGTCCATTTCCAGCTACATTATCGAGTGGCTCGAATACACTCTCAGTCTCGTTACGCGCAACGGTGTCGCTGCTTGTTTTCGACTCGCCTGTTTCACTCTCATCTTGACCCTATCAGTTGGCCGCGAGACTACCTGAACACCAACTAGACTGCCTCCTACGAAGCTACTGAAGAACCGGGCGCCTCATCGTCAGGCACCCTCTTTGTCTGCTCGCGAAGCTTCAGACGAGACATATCAGAGTAAGCATCCAGCCCCCGGCGTTTGTCCTGTTTCAAATCCCGCGGTCCAAAACTCCGTTCGTGGAGATAGCTGTACCTGGCCTCTGGTGCATGGCGGCGGGGCCGATGTTCGCGGCACATGATCAACCTGACCTCAGTAGCCACTGGACCTATTGGCAAGCACCGTTCCCCGTCGGGCTGCAGTTTTCAGACTACGGAAGACCGCTTGTTTTAGGCCATCCTCGGCTCTTAGAGTCCTCCTGGCAGCGGCCCCACCGTTCAAAGTTTACAGCTGCATGAAAGGCTGCGTCCTGACAATGTCTCACAGGCTCCATCCATCAAAGAAGCCTCGCCAATTGCCTGCTGTGCCGGTGGTGCTACATCGACCGCTTGCAAGTACATTCGGTTGTCAGGCGTCAGGGTTAGCACGACCGGGTATAAGAGTCGCCCATTATTGCAACCCGACTCTTCGAGCAAAATCGAAGTGTCCATCCAACATGGCCGGGCCGGGCTTCAACAGCCCCTTTGGGGCGAATGCAAACCCTTTCGGTTCCTCCAGGCTTGAAACGGGCGGGATGCAAAGGGTGGCTGAGGAGGATGAGAATGACACCATCGGTTCGCCCACAACACCACATTTTGGACTCTCGGGCGGCGGTCTTTTCCGAGCGCCTTTCGGGGGAGACGCCTCGTTCGATGCCGGGGCCTCTGGTGTGAGGAACCCGCCAAACCCAGAGGGCTACCCTGCGCAGTATAACTTTGCTCGCCGCACGTCGGTCTCGGCAGAGTCTCTCAAGCCGGCTGCAGACAGCGACGACAATTGGACGCCCCCTGTACACCCCAAGACGCCAGAGCAGCTAGAGCGTCTGAAGAAGGCCATAAGCGGTAATTTCCTATTCAGCCACCTTGACGACGAACAGACTGCGCAAGTTCTCGGCGCCTTGGTGGAGAAGCCGATCCCGGCCGCGGGAATCAAGGTAAGAGGCGAACCCGGGGCGCCAGATGCAAACTCGGCCTCCATTTGACATTGCTGCAGGTTATCACGCAAGGCGATGCCGGCGATTTCTTTTACGTGGTCGAGAAGGGCTCCTTCGACGTATATGTCAATAGCAGCGGAGCATTGCAGCCAGGGCCGGATGGGATGGGAGAGAAAGTCAGCACCATTGAGGCCGGCGGGTCCTTCGGCGAGCTCGCCCTGATGTACAACGCGCCTCGCGCCGCGACCGTGGTGTCGGCCGAGCCACACTGCACGCTATGGGCCTTGGACCGCGTCACATTCCGCCGCATCCTGATGGAGTCAACCTTTACCCGCCGCCGCATGTACGAAGGCTTCCTGGAGGAGGTGCCCCTTTTGTCAAGCCTGACTCCGTACGAGCGGTCCAAGATCGCCGACGCACTCGAGAGCCAGAAGTTCCCGGCGGGCCACGAAATCATCCGCGAGGGCGAGCCGGGCGATTCTTTCTACCTCCTCGAATCCGGCGAGGCTGTTGCATATAGGAGCGGCAACGACACGCCTGTCAAGCATTACAGAAAGGGCGATTTCTTTGGCGAGTTGGCGTTGCTCAACGATGCGCCGCGCGCTGCCAGTGTGGTGAGCCAAACCGAAGTCAAGGTCGCCAGGCTCGGCAAGAAAGCCTTCCAGCGGCTTCTGGGGCCTGTTGAGGGTATCATGCGGAGGACCCAGTATGTGGGCGTCCAGACTGGTCAAAGGAACTCGCTGTAGTCTTTCTACCGAGGCAGGGGAGGCGGTGATCAGCCAAAGACTTTAGCAAGGGTGGCTGTTACGAGGTGCAAGACACTTCGTGCTTTGTCAGCCTCGAAACGAAAAGAGAGATTCGGTACAGGGATCCGGTGTCAAGGTCAGGACGGCATCTACAGAGCCTCAAACTCGATTTTGTGGAAACCTTACCCCTACTGTCATCATCAACTTGAAATGTACCAGTAGCAGGGTACAAACAATCATTTTATCTCCATTATGAAATGCCCGTTTTACAGATTGCGCTCTGTTTCCTTCAGTTAACCTCTTCCTTTACGATGCTTTCGCACCCATAGCTCACTCATGTCATAGCACAATTGCCCTGGTATCTTACCCCCTTTCTCCATCGCCACCTCCCTATCCACCAATGCTTACCTTCCATCACTGTCACTATCACTACGAAGGTTTCTCCCCCTATTTCCCTCCATCCCTCTCCACCCATTCATCCACCCATCCTATCGGTCTTCACTGCCCCGCAACAGCAACCCGCCTCCTCTCCGCCAAAACCTCCCGCCGCAACCCCTCCGCCGCAGCCTCCGTCTCCAGCACCCTCCCGACGCCCCTCTTCCAGGCCTCCTCGAGCGACGCCATCTCGGGCCCCGCCTGCGCCTGCGTCTCCTTGCGCTGCAGCGTGAGCAGGTCGATCTCGCGCCTCGTCTCGGCCAGTTCCTTCTCGAGCGCCTTCAGCTCCCCTTCCAGGTAGTAGTTTCCCACGAGCCAGGCGTTCTTGCCGTACGTGTCGAGCAGCGCGAGGTGGGCGCGGCGCGACGAGATGTAGGTCTGCGCCGTGTAGGCGCGGGTGAGGGTCTGTTGGAGGAGGGTGGTTGCTTCGGAAGGGGGGAGGGTCGAAAGGGTGGTCGGGGAGGGTGGATCCGGCGCTTCGTAGCGGGAAAAGTCGAGCGCGGCGAGCTTGGCTTTGGAGGGGTCGGAAGAGGAGGCTAGGCGGGAGAGCTCGGCTGTGAGAAGCGGGGTGAGGAAGGGGGTCGCGGTCGGTGGTGGCGGGAGGAGGGCGTGGTGAGGGTCGTCGGGGACGAGGGAGCGTTCCTGTGCAATGAGCGCTTCGGCGATGGCGCGTTCGGACGGGGTTGGGTCTAGGTCGATGTCTGGTGGTGTGGGTTTGGTGGTTAGTGCCTTCGGTATGTTTGGTGGGAGGGGCGGTGTTGCAACGGCTAGCTTACATGGGAGCGACTCGTGGACCGCGGTAATGGATGGCATGGTGCGGGTTGCGCGGCAGGCCTGATGCTTGTGTCTGGGTAGTTAAGAAGAAATTCTTTGAAGGAGACTGAAAGCCTGGTTACGGGACTGGATATTGCGATGCGATGCAGGTGGATGACTGTCAATCTGCTGTGTGGAGCTGGCTCTGGATTTCAGAGGCACCGTTAAGGTTGAAGCCAGTGGAAATTCTGGTCCCCACTTTGATCGAGCCACCCTTGGCGTTAGGTTAGCCATCTATTGAGCACACTTGGGCTTGATGCTTTCTCCTAGTCAAGAAGACCACACAGTAAAAATGCAGACGTAAGTGTCGAACATCTTCAAACAATACAGGTCATTTACGCAGTGCCTTGCAATTAGTGAAACGGTACCAGTGTCGTCTGATGACTACACCCATGACAAACGAGGAGTCGGACAAAATGCTTGGCGGTGGGTCGCCCGCATTCATCTGTCGAATCGAACAAAGTCCATTCCCAATGCCGGCTGCCAAGTCCTCGTGCCGTGTGCATCTCAAAGCCCAATTTCAAGCTTGTGAAGGCAAGGCACATGGCCACACAGTGCAGTCAAGACTAATACAGCTAGCCAACGCGCGTCGTCCCCGACAATGATAAAGTGAATATATCTTCCTCTCTTCATCTTTCGTGCCCTTTTTTAGCCGACGGTTTTCCACCTTGGCCATTACTTTACCCGCAGGGATGGAGTCCGAGAATGGCGATGCGACAAAGCAGCCAAAGTTCGAGGGCACTGAGCCCGAGGACTGGCAGGTCCAGGCTGGCTCATGCCAGGGCTTGCAAGTGATCCCGCAAACAGGACGAAGCTACCGGAAGACTGTTCCCCGTCCATCTTTTCTTCTCTGTTCCGCGATCCTGACTTTGGCGCTCCTAGCGCCTTTCATGCTCGGAATAGTCCCATTCCGTGATTCGTGGAACTGGTCTCTTCACTGGCCACATGCCGTCGGGAAGCCAGACCAGCCGCCGCATTTTGGCGACCGTTACCTCCTGGGGGTTGGCAAGGCGGATATCACAGGTCCCGTAGTCGAAATCAACTTGATGGGCTACGCCGATCCCAAGCAGGTTGGCACTGGTCTGCGACAAAGACTCTACTCGAGGGCTTTCATCGTGGGAGATGTTGATGATCCGAGAAGCCGATTCGTCTATCTAGTGCTAGACACGCAGTCGGGCGACACCGCTGTGCGGTACGGCATCCTCCAGGGCCTCGCAGAGCTGGGACCCTCCTACGAGGTCTACAATCAGCACAACGTTGCAGTGACCGGCACCCATTCGCATGCTGGGCCGGCGGGGTGGCTGAACTACTTGCTGCCGCAAATCACAAGCAAGGGGTTCGACTCTCAGGGTTACCGCGCTATTGTGGACGGTGCGCTTCTGTCTATCCGCCGTGCCCATGAGAGCCTTCAGCCCGGATATCTGAGCGTCGGCACCACCAAGGTTCGCGGTGCCAACATCAACCGCAGCTTACTCGCCTACCTTGCCAATCCGGAAAAGGAACGCGCCCAGTACAACGTCAGCGCTGACGATGATGGGTCTGTGGAGAAGGATCTAACCTTACTCAAGTTTCAGCGCGCCTCGGATCTAAGGAATATCGGTGTCCTAACCTGGTTCCCGACCCACGGCACTTCTCTGCTGGGCAACAACACCTTGGTGGCCGGAGACAACAAGGGAGTTGCCGCTTATCTCTTCGAAAAGAGCGTCTTAGGGGACGCTACAGCCGCCGATAACTTTGTTGCTGGGTTCTCCCAAGCCAACGTCGGCGATACCAGCCCCAATATCTTGGGGGCGTGGTGCGAGGATGGCTCGGGCCAGATGTGTAGCTTCGAGAACAGCACTTGCAGTGACGGCAAGTCGCAGTTCTGTCATGCTCGCGGACCGTTCTTCAGGGTACAAGACAACGGTGCAACCTCCTGTTTCGAAGTTGGGAAGCGGCAATTTGAGCCTGCCCGAACACTCTACACTCAGATGCAATCACTTGCGGAATCTGTCCGAGGACCGGTCAAAGCATTTCACACCTTCCACAACATGTCTGGTTTCTCATTCCTGTTGCCCAACGGCTCCGAGGCTCGCACATGCCCAGCCGCACTTGGATATTCGTTCGCCGCAGGGACCTCAGACGGGCCTGGAGCATTCGACTTCACCCAGCACTCCGGAAACGAAAGCACAACATCCCCAGTCTGGAAAGTTGTCTCGCGTCTCATAAAGGATGCAACACCCGAGCAGCGCGCATGCCACAGCCCCAAGCCCATCCTCCTAGACGTCGGCGAACTCCACAGCCCCTACGACTGGACGCCCAACGTCGTCGACGTGCAAGCATTCCGCGTCGGCCAGCTGGTGATTATCGTCAGCCCCGGCGAAGCAACCACAATGGCCGGCAGGCGGTGGAAAAACGCCGTTAGGGGCGCATCCGCAGCCCTGCTCAGCACCGAACCACGCCCTGCTGGCGCTACCGCAACCCCCTCTCCGGTCGTCGTCCTCGGCGGGCCCGCAAACAGCTACACGCACTACATCACCACCGAGGAGGAATACGCCGTCCAGCGCTACGAGGGCGCATCCACGCTGTACGGCCCGCATACGCTCGCCGCCTACATCAACGTGACGCTGTCGTTCCTGCGGTACCTGGGCGCCGGGGCGCCGCTGCCTCCGCCGCACGAACAGGTCGGCCTGTTCCCGCCCGACAACTCGAACCAGTCACTCTCGTTTATCCCGGGCGTCATACGAGACGGGACGCCGCTGTGGAAGCGGTTCGGGGAGGTCGTGGCGGATGTGGAGAGGGTTTATCGCAAGGGTCAGCGGGTGAGGGCCGTCTTTGTCGGGGCGAATCCGAGGAACAATCTCCGCCTGGAGGACACGTACGCCGCGGTGGAAAGGTTGTCGCTGCTCAAGGGGGAGCAGGCGTGGACGAGGGTCAGGGACGACGGGGACTGGTCTCTTGTGTTCCACTGGCGGAGGACGAGCGAGATTATGGGGAGCAGCGAGGTGGAGATTGTGTGGGAGACGGAGGAGTCGGCGGTGCCGGGAGTGTATCGAATTCGGTACTACGGGGATGCGAAGAGCCTGGGAGGGGATATAACGGCTATTGAGGGGGTGAGTTCTGCGTTTAGTTTGATATGAGGCGTACCTGCTCTGCGCTTGAGAGACAGATCCAGCCAACACCACCAATGCTACCTTAGATAGATAGATTGGAGTGGTTACTCAACTTCGGCCCGTAGTCCATCGCCGCAACAAAGCTGCTTCAAGCTGCTTCACCACCTTATCATGTCCTTGCTGCGAAGCGATGTCGAGCACTGCTTGCCCTTGCCGAGTCTTAGCGTCCAAATCAACCCCGTCTGTACGAAGGAACAGCTACATCGTCTTGATATACCAGCCGGAATAACACCCCCGGGAAGCCTCATGGAGCGGTGTCCACCCATCCTTATCCCTAGTATTCAAATCAACCCTTCTGTACGAAGGAACTGCTCTACCACCTCATCACGGCCTTTCAGGGAAGCCCAATGGAGCGGTATAACCCATTTTCATATTTAGTAATCTAGCTCAACCCCTTCCGTGAGAAGCAGCCGCTCCACCACCTCAACATGACCGCCCATTGAAGTCCGATGAAGCGGTGTCCACCCAGCCTTATTCTTAACGTTCAAATCAAGCCTGTCTGTGCTGAGAAGCAGCTCCCTACCCTGTCATGGCCATATTCGGTAGCTGGATGAAGCAAGGTGTCCCCATACTCATCTGCGGTGGTGACATCGACCCCGTCCTCGAGAAGCCGCTTTAGCGACCGGTGATTGCCCAGAGTGCAAGCGCTGGAAAGCATCCGCTGAGGGTCGCGCTTCTCAAGTTCGCTTCAGCCCCGAGCTTCTTTCTCAGCATGCAATCGGCATCGCTCCAGTTCCGTGAGCATGATGTTCTGTAGTGATGGCCAGACCGTTGATAGCGTCGATTATTCGCTGCATGGTCGGTGTCGCTTTGATATCGTAGGCGTTTTGGTAGATGATGTTGTGCTGTACCTTGGACCCAGGCTTGCGTCACCACCGTGCCCACCTGAATGACTTTCCACTCTCAGTGGACCGAAAATCTTGGTCGAAGCAAGTTCTCCCTCAATGGATTCGACATATTTTGGGAGAGGTCTTTCCACTCAAACCACCACTTGCCACGACTTGTATCCGTAGTTCTCCCAGGCCCAATGCTGAACGTTGCCATCTTGATATTGGCTGATCCATCGCCCGTCGCCATGTCCCTGAATGTCCCGGTTTCTGCCATGGGCAGCAGAGCATGAAGTATCAGTGACGGTCCCAAAAGGTATGTGACAGCGTGAAGATTTCGTTGATGTGCTGTGCACCTTCTGAAATGTCGCGGGGGAAGAACAGTCCTATGCGTACACCAGCAGGGTCGCCCATATTAGGGTGGTTGTAGATCTTCCGGGCCGATTGTTGGTTTCAGCAACCCATTTCGCAAACTCGGAGGTTGCTGCCATTTCGTTCCGTTTTATCTCCAGCGACTTATATCGCTTCGATCGGCTTTGAATGACACACTTGATGTTCCCGTCCTTCAGTGACTTTTTCGCAGCTTTCTTTTGTGCCCTCCGCTAGATCCTTGAACAGTTTTTGCATCTGGTCCTTTTTATACTCCTCTAGAAACTCATCAACTTGTCGTTGACAATGACTGGAATCGGAAGTTGAAGTTATGGTGGACGCTGGCTGAGAATAGCATACAGCGGGAATACAGAGAGTTCAGCATCCGCGATTGCTCTGTGCAATTCGCATTTCCACGAGTTGGGCATCCTCTTTGGCTACGAGGAACGGGCACGGCTCGAATAGATTGGAGTAAGGGATATGGTGGGGTGCAACGCTTTCTCACTGGGCACTGGAGTCGGTGATGGTTGTAGAGAGGCTCTGTGGTGGAAGCATGAGGCCATACAACCATCTTACACGGTTCCAGTGGCTAGCGAATTGTTTAAATGAGTTAGCGATATACAGTCATAGCCCCAGCAAGAAGGTAAGCTGGCAGAAAGACAACAAGGCAGCATTGCCGGCGCCTTTGCCGGCCAGGCCAGAACAATGATGTGAGCCAGGCTTCGTACTTCTACATATATACTTGAGCATCAGCATAATTTCAAAGCAACCAGCAATGTGCCCGCATCAATAGTTGTCACAACACGGCCGGTTCCGGGCTAAGCATCAGCAATTGCGAACCGAAAACAATCCCCTGAGCCCGGAGCGGGCCAAGACCTCGATGGAAATCGCTCAGTACCAGTGCCAACAATGGAGAACAATGGTGTTATCCGAACGCTGACACTGTACCCCGGAAGGCAGGATGATCCCTTGAAAGGAGTGCTTGAGGCCGTTCCGATCGAGTTCGCGGGAAGCTACGAGGCATTATCATACGTTTGGGCTGAGCCAGGGCCACCAGTGGCACCAGACAGCGGACACGAAATTCTTATTCGCAACGGCCCATGAAGAAGCACTGTTGGTCCTTCGGGGGGCCTCAATCGTTGCCGCCCTGCGTTGCCTGCGTCTTCCTGACCCGCCGCGCAGAATTTGGATTGATCAGTGCTGTACAAACCAGGAGGACCCCGTGGAGAGAAGCCAGCAGGTGCATTTCATGAACAGAATCTACCGATATGCGGCTCATATTCTGGTCTGACTCGGGTTGGATGCGGAAAAGGTGGCTGCATCAGCTTTTGGTTTGGTCCGCGAGCTCGACGAAGGCCTCAAGAGTCATCCCGCGGACAGCCCCATGTCTCATTCCAAACACAGCACAGCTCGAGATGCACATCAGGAACAACCAGAAGGCTCTTCAGGCCTTGACGGACCGCGCATGGGTAAGTCAGAGAACATGGCCACTATTTCAGCCCAGCCCAGACTTGAAAGCACATTGGAAACTGAAATGCAGACAGTTCAAACGCGGATGGGTCGTGCAGGAAATCATGACAACACACCAGCAGCTATGCACTGGGAAGACAAGACGATCGACTGGCACACTTTGGCGAGCGTGTGCGAGAGACTAGAGAGCCATCACCATCTCCGCAGCGCCTTGAGTATCAACATATAGGACATCTCGTTTCTAGACCGGCGATTCATAGAGCCCAAGCTTCAGCTTCGTAGACGAGCTCCAGCAAGCACGTCTCTCAACGTCAGCGACGATAGGGATCGTGTCTTTGCCTTTCTTGGCCACTTCTCCGTCAATCATCTGGGATGCGGGCCCCTGCGACTACGGCGGATTGCACAAAGACGGTCGAGCAGACGCATACTGATGTTGCGTTGCGAATACTGCGACAAAATCCTTCATGACGACTTGCATCGCGTTAGCGGAAGCACATCATTCCCCTTCTCGCCCCTGTTCAATCGAAACGACATAAGTACGGGCCTGGAGGCATAGCTCAAGGACGGGCACACGCTGCCATCTTGGGTGCCCGATTGGAGACGGTCCGAGGGCAACATCTAAGCAGGGTCAATCTGTCCACACCATGCGCACAGCAATTCGGCCACAAAGATTGACATCCTGGACAAAGTTAATCCAATCCCTCTCGAGTCCATGGCGTGGAGATCGACGAAATTGAGGCCTGCTCTCGACAGCAGGCTTCTGAGGACTTCTACGCCAAGACACTACCCAATCAACTTATCACAATGCCGGAGCGGCTATGGCATGAAATCTGCAAAACGGCGCGTTTCAATCTAAACGACACATATCTAAATGGTCAGACAGCACTCTTCGCTTTTATGCAGACACTCAGTAATGGCTGCATACGAGGCACAGGACACAAGTCCATGCAATATCACGAGGTTCCAGATCAAGTCTGGCTGCAGAAGGCAGCCGCGTATGTCGTGGAGACCCTCGCGGATTCTAACGATGTACAGAGGAGGTCCGAATGGCGGTCGAGGCAACAAAATCAGAAAATGACGATGAGAAATGGAGTCGGTGGGCGACCTTCGGCTTCAGAGGGCCGCGTCTTCGCACGGCTAGGAGGGAATATTATGTGCTCGGGCCGTCGGCCTTAGAAACACAGGATATGGTCTGTGTTCTGTTCAGGTGTAAGGTGCCGTTCTGCCTCAAACCCGTGGGCAAGCGTTTCTTGCTCGTCGGCGAGTGCTACGTCCACGGACTGATGAAGGGAGAAGCGATGGGTATGCTCGCTCAGAATGGACTCCATGAGAGGGTAGTTGGGATAGTCTAAACCACCCGTATCGTAGGCTGTTATTGGATAGCATCGCAGATTGGGGTCCTTTTCGAGACCTTCATTTGCGGGTTTCTTCTCTCTAAAGTAGTCAAATGCCAACAGAACTGCGCGGTCAACCTCATCCCTCGTAAAGTCCAACTTCACGCCATCTACCTTCCTAGCCTTGAGCTCAGGTTCAGTAGCCCAGACGAAACGCTGATGCTCCTGGGGATCAAACCTCACTGCCAACGGACTCGCGCTATCCGTCCTCGGATGCACAGCGAAATTGAATTGGCACACGTTCTTCTCGTCACTGAGAGTGAAGAAATACGGATTATCAACGGGACCGCCAATGTGAGCTGTTTCAAGGCCGGCCTCCTCCCACAGCTCGCGAGCGGCGGCGTGTAGGATGGTCTCGTCGTCGTCGTCGCAAGCGCCACCGGGAGGCTCCCATTTGTCGGGGTCCTCGTCGCTAGACGCGCGCTGGAGAAGGAGGACGCCGGGGTTGGATGGATCTGTGGTGTCGAGCACGAGCGAGCTTGCCGCGATGTAGCCGAAGGACGCTCCCGGGCGAGCCGTAAGATAGGATCCCTTGGAGACGGAAAACTCGGCGACAGAGGGGTCGTAACTGAAGCTGCGTACTGGGCGATCTACCATTGTTGAAGAGTGAAGACTGCAACTCTGCAAAAATTGCTTCCTCGAATGAAATGCGAGTTTTGGGAATTGCAAGCCGATTTGGGTGGTGCTCTTTTGGCAGCCGGAGAGTGGGTGCTTTTGAGAGGAGCGACATGCGCTCAATCTGTTAGTCACTTCATTCAACCTACCGCAGCGAGGTTCTACACATATACTCCGGGCTTTCTTTGTGGCCGCCTGTCAACCTTGCTTGCTAAGTAGGTAGGTAGCTACATGGCTTGGAAAGTCGGAAGGAGAGGAGAAGCGGGACGGATTTGGGCCTAGTAAAGCTACCCCACCCATGACGCAACAGCTCCGGAAACAGGCCACTTGCCCTGCCTCGACACAGCTCTGCTGCACTTGAGAGCGGCATACTGGCAGCATTTACGAGAGCTACATTAAGTCCTGCAAGGCCGCAACTCATCCGTTTCATCCGACGAAGCTGGGAGTGCCGTGTCAGTTAGCTTGAAGCAACTAGACATCGCGGGGCAGCTGCAACCGAGCCTCGAGCCGTCGATTTCGGTCCATCAGCACGAACACATTCGCTGACCTTTTGACGACTCTGCGAAACCACCAAGTTACATTGCGCTCCAGGCTTCCACTCGTAGGAAGCAAAATAATTTCGCCATGGACTCGTTTAAATTGCTCAAGCGCCGGACCACGGAGCTGTTCCACTCGCTGGAACAATCACTGCCGTCCTTGGGCAGCCACGGAAGCAACGCGATGAAAGCGACGTGGGAGAAGATCCAAGTCCCGCCGCTCCCGCGGTCCTCGCACTCGGCCGACATCGTCGCCGGCACCCTCTATATCTTTGGTGGAGAAGTCGAGCCCCGTCGTCCCGTAGACAACGACATGCATGCCATCACTCTGCCCTCGAGCGGCGCCCAGGCCGATTACTACGCCATCAAGGCCAAACCGGCCAAGCCCTCTGCTCCTACCGAGAAGCTCGCCGTCCCTCCCGTCGAGATCCGCGCGCCGACACCTGACCTGGAGGAAGGCGACCAGTCAACCGAGCCCGCCGAGACCCCCGACAGCAAGAACCTGTCCGACATCTCCCTCACCTCCCCCTCCCCGGGACCCGCCCTTGACAAGGGCAAATCCCCCGCCCGCCTCGACCTCCCCGACGTCCCCGCCCCGCGCGTCGGCCACGCCACCGCCGTAATCGGGCACAGGATCTTCATGTTTGGCGGCCGCGGCGGGCCAGACATGACAGCCCTCGACGAAGGCGGTCGCGTCTGGGTCTTCGACACGCGCACGCACCTCTGGTCCTCCCTCGACCCACTCCCCGCCGCAGCCGGCCTGCCCGACATCCCCCGCCCGGCGCCCCGAAGCTACCATTCCGCTGTAGCCATCCCGAAACCAGACACCTTCGGCTCCCGATCCGCCCCTACCCACCACCCGAGCCAAAACAAAAACAACAACTCAGCCGAGGCCTGGCGCGATTGGGCCCTTGGCGCCAACCGCGGAACAGCCGAGCTCGGCACCCCGCAGCGACCAATTGTCGGTGTGCTCGCCGAGCGCGCAACTGACGCAGACAGCGACGGCTACGGCACCTTCATCATCCACGGCGGCTGCCTCTCGGGCAGCCCCGCGCGCGCGTCTGACGTGTGGGCGTTTGACGTGCGCTCGCGGGTCTGGCAGCGCCTGCCCGACGCCCCCGGCGCTCCGCGCGGCGGCACGGCGCTGGCGCTCAGTCGCGGCCGGCTGTACCGGTTTGGGGGGTTCAATGGCGAGACGCAGGAAGGGGGCCAGCTGGATTTCCTTGAGTTGGGGGTCGACATGTTTGATGACCAGGTCATTGGCGGCGTGGAGGCGGTGCTGTGCGCGAGAGGGGGTGGTTGGAAGAGCGTCTTGTTCGGCAAGGAGGATGTTGGGTACAAGGAGGTCGACCCCGCGGCCAAGCCGCTTGATTTACATGATACTGAGGAATGGCCCGGGAACCGGAGCGTGTGCGGGCTGGAGGCGGTCACGGTTGGCGGCGGGCGCGAGTATCTGGTGCTGATGTTTGGGGAGCGCGAGGCGTCCGGGGTGGGGCACGCAGGCGCGGGCAGGTTCTGGGACGACGTGTGGGCTTTCCAGGTGCCCGCCCAGGGCATGTCGCTGGCGAGCGTCGCCGATACGGCGTTTTCGGTCGTCGGCAAGAAGAGTGGCGAGGGGAGCTGGACGAGAGTGCAGATGGGACCGCACGATGACGAGGACGATGCGTCGGCGGAGGGGCCCGGGCCGAGGGGATGGACTGCCACGGCCCCGATGGGGGAGCTTGAGGAGAATGGAATTGTCGTTTTCGGTGGTCTGAATGAGGGCAACCAGCGGCTGGGGGATGGCTGGATTCTGAGACTTGGCTGATCGTCCGGGCCAAAGTCTGCTGACTACGCCTGATGTGGTCCGTTTGGCGGAAGAAGTATGTTGGGTAATATGGTTGGACGGCGGAGGATCCCGAACGGTTCTTTGATTTGTTGACGGTACGAAGCTGGTGATAAGAGTACATGTCGATTATGAAGTTTGTGGCAACCTGCTTGAGTTTCCGAAAATTAGTTCCGAGTAAGTAAGATTCGGTCCGTTACACATATAACCTTGCTCATGGTCATTTGCAGAATACACAGATGGCTATGTTTTGTACACCCGTCTATCAGCCCCTCGCCCTAGTATCATTAGTCTACAAATCGTCCCTTGTCTTCTCAATCCCCCACGGCTCGCTGGTCAGACTCGTAATGCCTGCGCTATTCTCGCACGTGTGCCTCCCGCTCAGCGGGCCCGGCTTGGGCACCTTGTCGGCCTTGCTCACGTCCAGCACGCTCTCCTTGAGCGCCGTCAGCAGCGATTTGATGCTCTCTGGCGTCAGGTCCTCGTAGTAGTCGTCGTTGATCTGCACCATGGGCGCATTGACGCACGCGCCCAGACACTCGACCTCGATGAAGGTGAAGAGGCCGTCCGGTGTCGTCTCCCCCTGCTTGATGCCCAGGTGCTCCTTGATCGCCTTCACGATGGCGTCGCTGCCGCAGCCGCCGAGTTGGCACGGTGTCTGTAGCCCCGGTGGGGTTAGCCCTCAATACTCGAGCTTTCATTTTCGGAACGTGCCGGAGGAGGTTACCGTTGTGCAGAGTTGGACGTGAAACTTTCCCACGGGCGTCCGGTTGTACATGGTGTAGAAGGACGCCACCTCGTAGACACGCATCGGGGGCATCTCGAGGATGCGGGCCACCTCGTTCATGACGCTGATGCTGGTAAAGCCGTGCTGCCGCTGGCCCAGGTCGAGCAGCGGCATCACGGCTGCCTTCTTGTACTGCGGAGGGTAGCGCTTGAGAATCTCGGCGATGATGGCCTCGTTCTGCTCGGTGAACTTGAAGGGGATGTCGGGGTTATTGTCGGCTGTGTTCCGGTGCTGTTGTTTTCCGGTGCATGTCCTGTCAATTTATCCCGCCTTAACGTCTTTGATGGCTGGAACAGAACCAACTCACCACCATGAGGGCGTCGCTCTGTTTCCTCGCCGAGCGCGAGAATGCGCGGGACTGGGGGCCGAGTGGCCGCGCCGCCCGGCTCGCCGACCGTACGGCCGTCCGCATTAGGAAGGGTGCCAGCTTGCTCGCCATGGCTGCGGTGATGTTGGGCAATGGCAGCGTCAATAAGGTTCGGCGTCGCAACTCCTGGGCCGCCACTGAGCGTTGTCGAGTTTCAGACCTTCGCTGATTGGGAGTTCTCAGCGCACGTTCCACCCACTCGAGAGGAGAGGTGACAATTGATGCTAGGTGATTGGCTGGCAGGACGCGATGTTGTTGGTTATGCGGGTTATTCGGTTAAGCGAGTCTCGACCTAAGCCGCTACTCGGTTACCTGAGATCGATCTTCATCTGCAACTGATCGATCTTCTTCCATACAGCGACGAACCCTCGCACGCACCGAACAAGCCAGCTGATACACTGCAATCTAGCGTAGTGCTGCCAACTCCCATAACCCGGAGAACACTCTTTTTGGTCCACCGGGCACATCCGAGCATCTCAACTCCACTACCGTAGATCATCAGCCCGCTGCAACCCATTCAGGGTTTACCAGCTACGTTCATGTTCCAGTTTGGTTGTGTCCCAGCTTATGGGGCCTCAATCTCGAGTACCACTACTCGCATACGATTTTAATCCGCTTCTTGATGTCTTAAAACATCGACATGACTTTCACGGCTTCACATTCCGGGTTCTTATGTCGCCCTCACCTATCTTCCATCTATCGCGGCCTCCGAGACCCGTTCGCTTGCTCTCCAGGTTCCGGCCTTTGCTGTGTTCAGTACTTCCCCACGGCGTTGCATGATATTTCGGGGTCAGATCGTCGTCACAGCCTACCACTATCACTATCGGACTGCTGAGTGCCGTTCGTCGACCGGCTCAATTGGGAAAGCTTCCGCGTTGTCCTGTTTTCGGGCTATGATCAACTTTCCGTGGCATGGCGGTGGGATACTGCCTAAAGTGCCACCCGCAAGCGGGACCGGCATTGACGTTGGCGAGTGCCACGGCCTGCTGTCGTTCAACACATACCGCTAACGCCGGACGCAATATAAGGCGCAGTTTATCTGAATAGATTACCTCCCCATATCGACATCCGGGCCCCGCCATGCCTAACTACCGGGCCTGCAAGCCACTGTTGGCGCCTTGGACCCGGCGTTGCCCATTTGTCACCGTGGCTCACCAGATCAAGGATGCCGTCACAGTTTAATAATCGTGCCGGTCTTGACAAGCCTGGCATTGAGGGATTCGGTCGCTTCTCGGACCAACAGCCGGAATCAAAGGGTTGCTTGCCGGCTGGGCCCCTGAGGTTGCGACTTTCCCCCTACCCATCTCCATGGTCTTGGTGTATAAATACTGCTCGCATATCCATCGCTCGGGAATGGGTCAATGCAAGCCAGCTGCGTTGAAGCCTGACCTCGGTCGCAAGCCATCATGAAGTTCTCGCTGGTGCCTCTCCTGGCTTACGCTCTTTCGGTTGAGGGGCACTGCATCTTCCAGGTTTGTCCCCCGGTCCATCCAGGTCAGGATTAGGACGCCCAGTTCCTGACATGGACACAGAAAGTCACTGTCAACGGCCAGGACCAAGGCTCTCTCACAGGCCTCCGGGCGCCCAACAACAACAACCCGGTCCAGAATGTCAACAGCCAGGACATAATCTGTGGCCAGTCGGGGTCGAAGTCGCAGACCGTCATCAACGTCAAGGGCGGTGACAGGATCGGTGCCTGGTACCAGCACGTCATCGGCGGCGCTCAATTTTCCGGCGACCCAGACAACCCGATCGCCAAATCTCACAAGGGACCAATAATGGCGTACCTCGCCAAGGTTGACAATGCCGCGTCGGCGAGCCACAGCGGGCTCAAGTGGTATGCGATTTCCTACTCCAAAGGTTAGCGTGATTCGAGGCTGATTAGCTTGACAGGTTCAAGATCTGGCAGGACGGGTTTGATACAGGCAGTAGGAAGTGGGGTGTTGACAACATGATCAACAACAACGGCTGGGTCTACTTTAACCTGCCGCAGTGCATCGCTCCAGGCCATTATCTCTTGCGCGTCGAGCTTCTGGCCCTGCACTCGGCCGGCAAGCAAGGGCAAGCCCAGTTCTATACCTCGTGCGCCCAGATCAACGTCTCGAGCGGTGGCTCCTTCTCGCCATCGCAGACCGTCAGCTTCCCCGGTGCCTACACCGCCAACGACCCGGGCATCTTGGTCAGCATCTACGGCACGACGGGCCAACCCGACAACGGCGGAAAGCCTTACACGGTCCCGGGGCCGGCGCCAATTTCGTGCTGAGCGTTGATGTTAGATCTTGATTTGAACCATTCAAGGCAGAAAGGGGCGGTATTCGTTCCACTCATCGATTTGTCTCGGGGCAAAGACTCACCTGGTCTATCTTTGGACAAGCTGGTATCTAGTAGTACAGCATATCCTGGCACCAATACTATTACTGCTACGTTCAGTAGAACCAGTATATGGTGTACTATCGTACTACTCAGTGATACGCTGGTGAAACCAGCCTTCAATTGTGCTGTGGAGTCGTCGTTCCACTTCGCGCCCGCACCTCGGCGCAGAATTCCCATTCGCCTCTCAGTTTCAGGAGATGGACGGCTCCACAGGGCATGGAAGCATTGAAGCACGGTAACACCATGGAGCGCAGGCCATTATCGGGGTTCCTGGGAGTGAGTGAATAACCGGCCGCGGCTAGGGCCGTTCGCTGAGAATGTAACTGCGGTTACGTACCTTAGTAGAGACCGGAACGCCACGATGAGCACGATGCGCAAGTGGCTAGCCCAGATCAGGCGCGATAACAGGCCAAGCGCGAAGCGCGAGCGGTCTCATTTCATCAAAAGTTGATCAGTGCTCACTCATCTCACCAGCAGGGAACCCCAAGCGGGTCGAGGCCCCCACAGCAAATGTGGGCGGTCAACGATTCCAGGTTGGAAATTCGCGCAATGGGCAGAAAAAGCCTTGCAGCGCCTGCGACAAGCTTCTTGGTCCTGCCGGAGACCCAACTGGCGTTATTTTGTTTTCCGTCCTTCCCGTCGCTGTTCTGCGGATCTCTTTTCCTTCCCTCTCCAACCTCACTCGACACTGTCCCTCACACGCGCCACGTCTTGTGTTGTTCACTCTTCATCTCAACACTTCATACTCAAAATCCCAATCATATTCGGCCACAAACCCGTCTTCGCGACTCGGCATAATCGTCTTCTCTGCCCTCCCGCCTAATTTACAAAGTCAAATCGTAAGCACTTTTTCCGTAATCAATTGGTCGTTTTCGAGCGACATATTGAGCATGGTTTGCTTCAAATGCTCTCCGAGCGCAGAGCTTTCGGCTTTTGTGGCTAAGGTAATGCTTGAGCATGACGGATGCCAAGCATCCTACCCGCTTATACTCAATCATCCACTCGAGAGCCTATCGTTCCCTTCAACAATCTGAAAGCACATAGGTTCGCAGGGAGAAACCGTAGTAGTGCGAAAATGAGACGTTTTAACCGTCCAAATTGGCGCCATTAGCTGTTCTCTCAGATTATCACTCGCTAACATTACGGCCTTTTTAGTACATCTGATTCCGACTCCGCAGTCAAAATGGCCGCCATCAGCCTCCCGGTCGTCACTCGCGACTCCTTTTCTCAAATCGCCAAGCGCAGCAACTGGGCCAGCGAAAACGTCGGTCCCATGGTCGTCTTCTGCATCGTCTTCGTTGTCGCCGCCTTCCTCGTCTTCCTGTTCATCTACAAGAAGCTCCAAGCCCGCAAGGAGAAACGCCAAACCCTCGCCTAAACGAATGCGCCTCCCACCGAGAAAGCCGAGATAATGGGAGGATGTCACCGGCCAATTTGGAATGGGCGATGAAGTGATGACTTGCTGCAGGTTAGAGGGGCGCTGGGGAGACGGGGGAATCTTTGGAGGGATTCCTGACTTGCTCGGCGGCAGGGATCCCGGGGAAGGAGACGGGACTGGCATCAAGTGAGCGTGGCTTTTGTCCGGCACGATTGATCGATTTGCGACGGTACCCAACCAATCTATCCTGCAACAATTTGCAGCACCTGCAATGTTCGCTTCGCTCTGAGCAGGTGTGCAATTGCTTGACAGCCTGGAAGGGCTGCTTGCTCGCCCCTTTGGAGGGTGATGAGAAGGGGATTGGGGGACACGGCATGTCGCCTTCAAGTCGTATCTGTTTGTCGGATTTGGCGCTCAATCTCGATGACCGGGTATTTTCAACGGCATGCCGAATTTCGCCATCCTGGGTGACTCTGGCAGCTCTTTACCATACTACTTTTTTCTCCTTCTAATACTATTTGATACCTTCACTGACCTCGAACCTTCCCTTCTGCTTGATTCCGTCCCCTGTGGTATCCACCGTTTCCGATCATCGTCGGCTCTGCGTACGTAGGCCAGGGGGACAAGCCGGAGATGATGTCCTCGAAGTTGCGAAATTGGCAGGCTCCACATGGCACATCAAATCCCGCATCCCCCCCTGGCAGCTCTCCCTTGGTTTGCCAACTGTTGCCTACCTAAGCTGTGCCAAGTCATGCAAACAGCGCCAAGCGATTGATGAATCTGGGGTACATGTTGGCGAGCCTCGGCGCTTGAGGCAGCACACGACCGACGTATCGGAGGGTGGTATCTCTTGACCCCTCACACTACGGATGTATATGAAGATATACCACGAGAGTAATCCCAGATGCATTATGAATAGAAAATCAATCCGTCTTTTTTATTTGGCCGATCATAGTGATGGACGAAGACAGAAAACTTTTGCCTACATCAACAGGTTACTAATTCCAGCGACAACACGTAGGGGGGTGAAACGATGCCGACCTCATCCTGCATCATGCAGGGCAACGACAACACCGCTCCATTTCGTCCACTGGAAGCAGCGTGTCCACATAGGATGGGGATATCTGAGCTCAATTATCTAAGACGATTCAGCGCTCTTTAATACAATACCTCTCTCATGTGTACATTTCAGACTTCTCAAGGTGGATCAAACCATTGGCAGGCTGCGTTCGATTCGTTAGTTAGCGTCACACATAATCAACACAGAACGAGACCGACAATGTAAAGAAAGAGCACTCACTGGCACAAACTGCCTCAACTTCACACCAGCCTCCCTAAACACCGCCGCCGTCTCTCCATCCATGCTATACCCCTGACTGTACACCACCTCGCCAATCCCGACCTGCACAATTTTGATACTGCATGTCAGGCACGGACACGTATCGCAGTACAGCACCGCGCCCTCCCGCAGCCTCTCCCGCCCTGCCTCCAGCAGCGCGTTCTCCTCGGCGTGGATGCACAGGCACGTCGCCAGCCCGTGTCCAGACCCGTGGCCGGCGTTGCACCGGCCGCACCCACCCTCGCCGCAGTTCTGTAAGCCGCGGGGCGTGCCGTTGTAGCCCGTCGAGATGACGCGCTTGTCGCGCACCACGACGCAGCCCACGCGCCGCTTCATGCAGTTGCTGCGCTGCGCGGCGAGCGACGCGAGCGACATGAAGTATGAGTCCCACGAGGGCCGCAGGCGGTCCGGGTTGAGCAGGTCTAGCTTGCCGAGGGTCGCGTACAGGTGGGCTAGCGAGGAGGACGTGTTGAGCAGACGGACGGTCGCGCGCGAGATGAGCGGGTTGGCGCCTGTGGTGGGGTCGTAGAGGTGTGCGTCGGAGAGGGCGACGAAGGCCTCGAGGGTTTCTACTGGCGGTGCGCTGTTGCCGGATGGGAACGAAGGTGTTGAGTTGGAGTAGGGTTGGATGAGGAGGTGTTTTTGGCGGGCTTGGTAGCGCCGCCAGCGCACGGTTAGGGGCGCGTCGACGCTGATGAGGAGGAAGAAGGGACGGCGGGTGTACATGTCGAGGACGGCTTCGGACGGGATGTCGGTGGTCACCCAGCGCATGCGCCAGTGCTTGGTGACGAACTCGAGGAGGTCATCTGGCGTGGGGAAGCTGTCCTGGAGGTCTGATGAGACGCTGCTCAAGCTGCTGCTGCTCGGGGAAGCAACCCCGTCGACGACATTGGCTTCTCCACCCGAACCGGGGCCCAGGTAGAGCTGGGTGAAGCCATGGTGGTCAACCAGATAGCGCGCAATGGTACGCTTGCCTGCGCATATGCCTGGCGATTCCTTTGTCAAAATGAGCCGAACAATTAGGGTAAGCAGGAAGGGGAATATTACTGCCGCAGATTCCAATGAACATTGCTGGTCCAGTTGCTCAGATGTCTCGAAATTGCCTGCAAGAGAGTTTTCCTTTTCTCAAAGGCACTGCAGAAGATAAGAGAGAGGGCCCAAATAAGATGGGTGGAAAGAGACGCGTTCCTGCAGCCACTTTACGCGTCTGGACTTGATGCCAAGGCCCCAACGCGTGAAAGAAACCGGGGATTAGCCGGAGCCTGGAAGGGCAGCCACAGGGTTCGGACGTTAACCTTAGTGCGGGGCAGGGGAAGCCCGGAGGGGCTCCCCACCATTCCACAGGGGCGGCATCGCTGCCTTGCCATAGTCCATTGCTTACCTACACTCCTACCGACGAACTACAAACCGTGACCACCTGAGTTCCTGCATGAGTCCGGTGGCACATCCCAATCAGCCTGAGAAGAACAGCTGATCAGTGTTTGAGAACACTCACGAACCTCACCCTTGTTCTTGGTCCTCAGCATTAATCGGCTTTTAATCAAGAGTCTAGTTTGAGCTTGGATTTCCATCTTACACTGCACAAAGCAGTCCAGAGTTACCTATATGCTTACAAAGATCATCCTGTATATTCGCGGCTCTGAGGATCCCGGCCTTACGTGAGTTTCCCTCACCACTTCTGCCTCAGATACAACGAACGGGCCACGTCGTCATCACTGAATCACGGTGCAGTCCACAATCGACTTCTTAAGCTTCTTGTTCCCAGTCGCACAGCCGGGAATCACAAAAACCTTCGTTCAGCCACATATAACCACATTCTTTCATCCTGCCAGCTCAGGAATCACGCAACACCAGCCTGCCGACCACAATGGCGGCGCTCAAATTTGTGCCTTTCTCGTCAGAGATTGAGCTACCTTTCTACTCCGCTCTCTTCTCATCAAAGCTCGAGCATGACAAGCTCGATGACTCGGCGCGCCCAGTCATGGGCTTGTACGAGCCCCGCCCGGAGGCTGACGCAGCATCGAGCACGAGAATGCAGATTCTCGGAAACGCTCTCACAAGCAAGGAGTAAGCGGACCGTTGTCAGTCGTCATGTGGCTAACCCTTAACAAACAATACAGCGTCCCCGCTGGCTTGACTCGCGCTAAGGGGTACATAAAGAACGTGAACACTATTGAGGAGTTCAAGAATATTGACCAGAGAGCGATGATCAACGATGCTGGTCGTCAGGTAAGTACTTCCGTCAAACAGCCATTATGCTTTGCTCACAGGATTGTCAGATTTGGGAAGCTATACAGGATGGCACAATCTACTCAGTGCCGTCCCTCCTTTCGTCCTTTGCCATCCTTTCGTATGCAGACCTTAAAAGATACCGGTTCACCTACTGGTTCGCATTCCCTGCGCTTCGCTCGGACCCGCCATGGACGCAGACAGGCCCAGTCGGGCGCATGAGTGCGCAGGAGAGTACAGCGCTGGTTGACTCGGTTCAGACATGGCGCTACACTGTTAGCAACGAAGGAGAGCACGGATTCTTCCTCGCGAAAAAGATCCGGGCTGAGGTTGGCACCCCAAAGCCCCTCCTTGACGACCCTCCTGCCGATATTGGGTACCGATGGGAGATCGGCGGTCTTCGAGATTTCGAGACGGGCTTCTTCAGTAACGTCGACGAGCAGGACCGATATGTCGCATTCGTGGACCCCTCCAACTACCCAGATGCCCCGTCATGGCCGCTGCGCAACCTCCTCGTTCTGATCAAGCACAGGTACCGCTTGAGCAAGGTCCAGATTTTGTGCTACCGTGACACGCAGGCGAGGAGACACGAGGCTCGGAGCCTCATTTTCCTCTTGGCCACGGACCAAAACGACGAGGACGGACCAGCCAAGATGCCCAGTGTCATCGGCTGGGAAAGAGACCTCACTGGCAAACTGAGGGCGCGCGTCGCCAACCTTGCCGAGTATATGGATCCCACACGGCTGGCCGACCAGGCTGTTGACCTCAACTTGAAGCTGATGAAATGGCGATTGGCACCAAATCTCGACCTCGAGACGATCAAAAATACCAAGTGCTTGCTGCTCGGGGCAGGGACACTCGGGAGCTATGTCTCCAGGAATCTGATGGGCTGGGGCGTCCGGAAGATCACCTTTGTTGACTATGGTGCTGTCTCCTACTCCAATCCCGTGCGGCAGCCGTTGTTCCAGTTTAGCGATTGTGTTGGCGGGGGGAAGCCCAAGGCACTTCGTGCTGCTGAGGCCCTGAAAGAGATCTATCCCGGGGTTGACGCTGAAGGGCATGTCCTGCCCGTCCCAATGCTGGGTCATCCCGTTCTGGATGAGGCCAGGGTGAAGGCAGACTTCACCAAACTGAAAGAGCTTGTGGACGCACACGATGCTATTTTCCTCCTCATGGATACCCGCGAGTCGAGATGGCTGCCGACTGTTATGGGCAAAGCATCCAACAAGATCGTGATGAACGCGGCGCTCGGATTCGACACGTACGTGGTGATGCGGCATGGCGCAGAACCAGAGGAGGGCAGTGAGGAGACGCTGGGCTGCTACTTTTGTAACGACGTTGTCGTTGCGGCGGATGTAAGCGCATTTCACCACATCCCGAGTTCGTGCAAACACTGACAAGTCACAGTCCATGAAAGATCAAACCCTGGATCAGCAATGCACCGTCACGCGCCCAGGCGTTGCCGCCATCGCCTCGGCACTACTCGTTGAGATGCTCACCAGCATCCTCCAGCACCCCAAGAAGCATCACGCGCCGGCACCTGTTCCTTCGCAAGGATTGTCATCCAGGTCGAGCTATGACCGCGACCCGCCCGACCACCCCTTAGGGGTCGTGCCCCATCAGATCCGCGGCTTCCTGTCCAGCTTCCAAAACGTGGTTATCCACGGCAGGCCGTACCCGCAATGCAGCGCGTGCAGCAAGCCTGTTGTCTCGGCATACCGATCGGAGGGGTGGGAGTTTGTCAAGAAGGCGCTGGAGAGCCGAGATTATGTCGCTGAGCTCAGCGGCCTGGCTGAGGTGCAGAGGCAGGCGGAAGCGGCTGCTGCCGAGGTGGGCTGGAGTGAGGATGAGGCGCTGGGGGAGGAGGAAGGCGAGGGAGTTCTTCTTTAGCGGGGTTGGTTTGCTACGTGATTATGCGAGGTTTGGAGTTTGATATGAGGCATATTTGGAGTGGACAACTTGGGAGCTGTCCTGACTTTGACGTCGCTTTTTGAGTGGATCCGGGATGAACGTGCCTCCTAGAGTGAGGCAGATACACTTGGCCTGCTTTGAGGCGCACGAATACTGAGTAACAGAAGAAGTCAAACGAGTCCACGAGATTTCTGAGATGCGATGATTACGGCGATACAAATTAACACTCTATTTGTGATCGTGGTACTTTACGCGTCGACTTCCTCAAAGTCCGCAACATACACTTGTCCGCGGTTGCCCGGCGTCGTGATGGTTCGAGGACCGTCAAGTCGCTAGGCTCGTTTGCCGGGCTTCTCCCTCAGCTCGACATCCCCTGACCGTCGACCTGAAGTCCCAGGAGACGGACGGAGACATCAAATGGTGCTCCGAAATCGAAACCAACCACGAGCGTTGGGATCTGCTTTGTCGCAGAGCACCGGGAGGAAAGAAGGAAGAGAAGCCGAGGGCGAGAGAACAGCCTGCAGCGGGTTGGTGCCCGTGACTGGGCCGAGACGGCAGAGCAGCAGCCGGGACGTTGATGGGGGCCCTGTCGTCGGTGAAGGGGTGAGCTCGATGGCCTCTTGACCAAGAAACTCTCAGCGGGTGTGAGTTTTCTGTATCGCCGTGTCGAATATCACGATACTCGACGACGAATGAACAGAACGGGAGATTTTCGAGGGCCCACGATGTAGGAAACTGAGAGACTCGAGGGGGAAGGCCAGGGACGGACTGACCCCTGATACCTACGCAAGGCTTCCTTCCAAGACATGATCATCAAAGCGCCGCAGAAGGAAAGACAGCCTGGGCAAGCTATGACTTCATTGCCAAAGAGAAAAAACCAAGAAAGAGAAAGAAAAAACGGGAAGAGAAGAAGGAGAATAAGACGAGAAGAAAAATCTCAATGTTTTCTATCGCTGTAGAATATCTGGAGCGTCTTGTTTTCTTGACCAAGTTCACTACCTTAGTAGTCACGGATTACTCCGACGAGAACTGCCGAGCCGTAGAAAGCGGTAAGGAGCGGCAGGATTTTCCAGCACAACCCCATTTATTTTCCTGAGTCTCCCGACCAGCACAATTTCCCCATCCATTCCCAGCCAACACCTCCTAGCCGACCAACGAAATGGCCCAAGGCGCCGTGAAAAAGACGCCGAAACCCAACCCGGGCGCTAAGGGCGGCAAAGCGGGAGGGAAGCAGCAGGCAAAGACTAGCGGCGTCAGCAAAACGAAAAAGACAAAGACGACGGCCGACAAGATTTTGAAGAAATACACGGGAGGGTTGGTGGCCAGGACGGAGCAGATGCTGGGCGAACGCGCCGGGCATCTCGAGTTGATCGGCAAAGGGAGGAAGAAGGGCGCCGAAAAGGAGTTCAAGGGCGGGAGCAAGAAGTTCGGGTAGGTGGAAGCTAGAACGGACGGGTTGGGATTGGGACTGTTTGGGGCTTGTTGCGGACGGGTGGTGCGAGAAAATGAGCCCACGATTCATCAATTGGGAGACGGATTGACGACGTCCCAAGGAACACCACAAAGAGAAGAGTGTTTGCTTGGCTTTTCATGGTGGCCTGGACTCGGCCACTGTACGGCTATTGACCCTCTGCGACCTCGGTCAACACCTCCTTAATAACCGCCGCATCCCTCTCGACGTCGGCCCTCCAGCTCCCGACGGCAATGCGCACGGCCTTTCTCCCATCCCACTTCGTCCCGCTGACGAAGATCTTGCCCGTCGCGTTGATCCGGTCGGCCAAAACCTCATTGAGCGCAGGACTCTTGGCTCGGAATAGCACAACGATGTATGTGCTCTCTAACGACGCAGCCTCGCTCGGCAGCCATTCGTAGTGCTCCGAATCTCGCACGAAGGCAGCAATCTCGCGCGCGAGTAGGACCATGCGGCGCAGCATGGCTGCAATTCCTTCCCTACCCTCGCTCAAGAGAACGGCATACACTGGTAGTGCGCGGAAACGGCGGGAATTTTCGATCCCAACGTTCAGCGGACTAAGGATGGCGTTGGAGTCACCGGGAGATGCCAGGTATGCGGCGTTGGGGTTGCTGAAGACTTGTGTAAGGATGGAAGCGTCCCGACAAAGGAAAACACCGTTGTCGTAGGGCTTGGAAGTGGTCAGGGCAGAATTCACAATTGACACACCATGGAAATTGACCCACCACGTTCAAAAGCTTGTGCCCGTCCGCCGCTATGCTGTCGGCCAGCTCCAGCCCTGCAACGTGGGCATGCAAACTGAGGAACTCGTCCGTCTTGGGCAGGGCGCGGGCAAATAGACCGAAGGCTGGAAAACTTATCAATATCCTGCATCCATGAGAAGAGTGGGTAAACACATCATACGAACCCCCATCCACGTGAATCCAAGCCCCATACCGATCCGCCAGGCTCCTCAGCTTGGGCATATCCAAGACGTTCGTCGCGAACCGGCCCGTGTTCACCTCCCCGGCGCTGACAACAACGATACTCACCACACCCTCCCCCTCTGCCCTCGCCAACTCCCTCTCCACCAGATCCAAATCCAGCCTCCACGGTTCCCCCTCCCGCACCGCCCCGACTTCCTTGACGCTCGTATGCCCCAGCCCAAGCACGCTCGCCGCCTTGCTCACCGACGAGTGGCCCATGCTGGTCAGCACCTGGATGCTCTTGATCCCAGCCGCATGAACCGCGGCAAGGAGCCCGGTCTCGGCCACCGTCATTATCTTCTTGTTGGCTACTTGCCCAGCACCGACACCACCACCACCACCATCAGCAGCAGCTGCGGCTGCGAGGCGCCAATTCACCACCGCCTCCCGCCCGCATGCGAGACCCAGGATGTTGCTCGCCGTCGCGCCCGTTGTGAACGTCCTCCCAGGCCAGTCCGTCACTACCCCCGCCTCCTCACCGCTGCTGCTGCCTCTGGTGGCGGTCTGTGTGTCGAGTTGCAAGAGGGAGATGAGCATCCGCAGCGCGGCGTCTTCGATGGCTGTGCTGGCGGAATGCGTCCATGCTGGGTTTGGGTTTTCAGGGTCTGATGATGAAGAAGGAGGGGGAAGGGAGGAAGGGAAATGGACTTGGACGTTTTGGTCGAGCGCCGAGACTAGGTTGTCGGCTGCTTCGGCGATGGGGAGCACGCCGCCCGTTACAAAGCCTAGGTAGCGCGGGGAGAGGGACTGGTGGTTGAGGGCCGGGAGGATGTGCTGGAGAAGGTGGGCGTGGGTTGCGGATGGCCCTAGCGGGAGGAGATAGGACGGGGAGTCCGGGTTGGGCAGGGAGGAGAGGGTGCTGGCGAGGGTTGTGGGGGATGGGAGAATCGGGGTGTTGGAGGAGGTGGTGGCGACGGCATGTCGAAGGTTGGTGTAAGCTTCAAGAAGGAAGTCAGCTTCGGTGTCTGTGGTTGGCGCCGTAGCGGATGGGCGTGCCATGGTCACTGCGGTTTGTCGGAGTGAAGGGGTAAGCAGTGGACGGTTCAGGTTGTTTGTTCGGGTCGTCAATTTTGGACACGTCCAGTCTTGTTGTTTTGTGCCCGGCCACTCGATACGCTACGCCTCGCCGAATCTGGTCTGTTGAAGACGACAGTGAGGGGTAATCATCAACATGCAGGTTGATGCATGTCCAATACGAGTCAGGGAATTGATGAAGCATCAGGCGAACACCCTGGTTCTCTCATCATCACGGTTTCCGATCACAGAACAACGACTGCGACCGGTTTCTAGCGGAGATAGGGCCGGATTGGGAAGGTGCCTAGCTGTGAAAATCTTCCCGAATGACAAGGCGGGACGTGAATCATCGCATGTGCAATCGTGAAAAAGATACGGATACGCAGGTACGGATTAGCAGCCTTGAGCACTTTTCCTGACTTGACTTCCGGTTTGGTAATGGATGATTACTACCTTACGAATCATGGGTATGCAGAATTGAAGGCATATAGCGTAAAAGGACAGAAGAGCGGTATCAACATGGAAGATAATCTAACTTGCGTATAAAAATGCACAAACAAGCAGCGGATGTGGTTCTTTCAACACTGAGTGGTCTTGCTGGCCGCCCAGAAGTCAGGTGAGGGGCGCTGTCCACGCCAACAAATCGATGCTTCTTTTCGTTGCTCCGATCTTGAGGGCCCTGGTTTGTGCTTCTCTCCCGTCCCCCTTGTCCGGCGCCTTCCAGGTCGTGTAAAGCACGGACCGGGCCCCTAAAAAGCATCGCCTGCTGCAGGGACACCTGGAAGAGGCTCGAAAAATTGACCACACAGCTTCTTCCCAAACAGGCCACAGTTCGCAGCAAGTTTCAAAATTCTCAGATTTCATGTATGAGACGAACTGCCGAAAGGGGTGGTTTATTGATATTCATTTTTGCCGACTTGTCCACTAGGTTGTATTTCTGCATTCTGAGGAAAAGGGTTGCTGTCTTGGCTCCGTCCTGAGCAGAAACGGCCCCCATACGAGGAACTGATGAGGGTGCCGCACTCGCTTGCTGCAGGACCACGCCCTTGGATCCAATACAGCGGGTGGCTTCCCCGCCTGAAGTCCGAGTCCCGAGGGCCCGTTTCTCCTGCAACCAAAGTGACACAGAAAGCTCATTTGCATCAACAGGTCATTGGCTCTCAGGAGACATTCGCAGGGTGCACCCACACCATAACCATCCATCATCGGAGATAACCACCAGCCTCCTCACTTTTGCCGACCTCCCGGCCTTTTCTTTCCTCTTCAAGCCACAGGCCTTCCGTGCTCTGTGCGGTAAAGGCGCACGTCGCCGACTACGCTTTCTGTGACCGCCTCGTCAGTTAGCGAGAAACATGCGGCCACTCAGAGGCTCCCGTTTGCCTTGGCGACGCACACCAACTGGAGATCCGAGTCGCCGGTAACATGGAAGTTTGGGGAACCGTGGATGCGCAACCTGCCGGTGGGTTGCATCTTGGCATGCTCCCTCTTCTTTGTCTGGTTCTGGTGTGCTCCCTCGGGCGCCGCATTCGGCATCCCACCCAGACCGCTGGGTCTGCTCTCGGGACCCCGAGCACAAAGACCACAAGGGTGCTCCTGACCCAAACTGCCGGGTTTCTCATCCCGGGCCAATCCCCTTGCTTCACCTCGCAAGTCCCTCCAGATACTGGACCGTAATGTTATACGTGCATCCTCGACTTCTGCGCAATCTCTAGCCCGCCTCACCTAGCTAGATCGAAACGCGAAAGCCGTTGAGTAGGGGCCATCGTAGCCTTGCTTGAATTTCCCGCTCATTCCACTGTGTGCGCAGGGCAGAGTTGCGCCTACGTCGCGGAGTACCGAGCCTTGCCAATGGCACCTCCATCGGGCGTCGCCATGTCCTTCCGCTCGGCTGACCGGGCTCTGGATGACTATCAATTCACCTTCGAATCGTACTTGGACGACTCGGCGCGGATTGAGCCGGATGTAAGTTCCGTGGCACACAAGCATTTGGCCTGAGAAATGCCCGGCGCTGACACAACCATCAGTCAAATGGTCACGATGTATAGTAAGTTTGAGGTCCAGGACCTTTGGCGCATCACACTTAGGCAGCTAACTTGCCATCAGCGACACACAGTCGCTTTCAGACAGCATAGCCAAGTCCAGGCAAGAGCTTGGGAGGACGTAGTAAGTCCTCTGCTCCCGAACGCTCCCAGAGAAAGCTTGATCAGGAAAGGGATCATTGACATTGTTGGACAGCCATTCATATCGCGCGGGGTGTATGTCTTGTTTCGCATCCTGCCGATCCCTCACTGTACGCTGACAGCAGTTAGCCTACCACTTCCCCAACGACGAGCCAGAAAACGAGCGGGCGGAGGAGCAGTACGAGATCATGAAAATGGTCATGGACGGCCGCCTACATCTTTCTCCATTCTCTCGCACTCGTCCTCCACGCAAAGTCCTAGATATTGCCACCGGCACCGGTATTTGGGCCATCGAGATGGGGGACAAATACCCCGAGTCCGAGATCATCGGCACCGACCTCTCACCCATCCAGCCCGCCTTCGTTCCTCCAAACGTCCGCTTCTTCGTTGAGGACTCGTAGGTCCCCCAATCCGCTGTGCCTATCTCTGCTGTTTATGCGCTAACACCAGACTGTAGGTCGGATGATTGGTATGGCTCGCCGACTTGCACCGTCCAGGGGCTCTTGGACACAACAGACTAACGTAACCCAGGGACTATCCAGCCGAGTTTGACTTTATCCACACGCGTTTGACCATCGCCTGCTGGTCAGACATGAAGAGGCAGATCATCCAGCGCGCCTTCGACCACCTCCGACCCGGGGGCTGGCTCGAATGTCAAGAGATTCCCGTCCACATCTACTGCGACGACGGCACCCTGCCCGACGATTACGGATGGCTGCGGTGGGTCAGGGACTTTGAGGCGGTCTCGCAGCTCGCCAACCGGCAAGCAAATACAGGCCCGCAGCTTAAAGAATGGATGCGCGAGGTTGGCTTTGTTGACGTGCAGGAAACTGTGTTTAAAATCCCCCTCAACGGTTGGCCGAAGGACATGCGATTAAAGCATCTTGGCATGATGTGGCAGCGGAACATGCTCGAGGGGTTGAGCGCTTTCAGCCTTGGTCTGTTCAACCGGTTCTTGGGGAAGACGGTTGAGGAAATAGAGGTGAGTAGTAATGAAGGGTTCCACGATATCCTGCCACTAACCCTCCCCCTTCAGCTGTCCTTGGTGGACGTCCGGAAGAGCCTCTTCGATCGCAACGTGCACGCCTACCACAGGTTGTACGTGGTCTGGGGTCGAAAGCCATAAGCCGCCTAGCATTCGTCGATACAGACTGCCGCAGCAACCGGAAATCCATCCACGGACCTCCGTCATCATCACCCATCCCTTTCTCCTAGTGATACCCCTTAACAAGCGACTTGATTTCTTCACTCAGTCCTTCCCGAGCAACTCTTGAAACCCTTTGGCCCCTGAAGACTCGAGGTCGGAAAACCCAAACCCGGGCATCACCGCTCAGAAACAGGAAACGCCTCCTCGCTCGCCTCCTCGCTCGCCGCCCATCTTTGCCAGGATCAGGCACCAAAAGGAGTAGCCTTGTACCTGGCGCCCGTTCACCAGTCACCGCTGCCTCCATCCATGTCCCTATCCAGCCCGGCAACTAAGCACCCCCGATCCTCACTCCGCTCCCCTTTCGTCTCTTTCCGAGATTGTAATCCAAGCCCGGCTCCAGACCCATCACTAGTGCGAGAAATGTGAGAGGGATGAGACGGTAGGGCGAATAGCAACCTACCTCCCCGTCGCTCTACGAAGCGTGTGCAGCGTCCTTCCCCGAACTCGATGGAGGGACGCCACCGGTAATCCACGGCCGTCAAGCGGTAAAAACACGGGTGTCGATCCTTCCGTCGCTGTTGGATGAAAGCGGCCGGCGCGCTTTTGTTGCGGGGTGGTAGCCGTTTAGTTGAGACAATTAGGGGGAAAGGCGGAGGCCATCGGCGGGTGCCTCGCTGGTGGCGCGGAAGTCTGGTCGGAGAAGTGACCGCCTTCTTTAGTGTCAAGTGTCCTCACGGGACGACTGCCAGAAAGTATAAAGAAATCAGAGTATTCAGAATGAAAAGGAGGGAAGAAGATAAAAGGAAACGTCCACAAAAAGCTCACCGTCCAACTCTAGTTACCACGCAACTGAGGGGTGGGCAGCTACGGAAACCTCACGGGTTTTGCTCCGAGATGGATCTGACCTCACGCCACTACGCGGCGGTGAGCTCACCCGCTTACACCTCAGTAAACCGCTGCGGCAACTGGGAAGCGGGTGCTAGTTTGAGAATTGGATCTCCTATTTCTAGCTCTGAGCTGGAGGGTGAGTTGGATGAAAGGACGGAAGGACGGAAGGTGTGGCGGAGCGACGGCGGAGACGAGAGTTTCCAGTGCCAAACGGGGCGAGACGCGCGGCTTGAGATCAGGCAGGGTGTATTATCACATGGTAGAGACGGATGGACTGTCTAACAGGTCACGACCCCTGAGAATAGACCAGGAACTCTAGCCCACTGGAGCTGAACCCGACATCACCATGTCGGTTATCGAAGTCTATTTCTTGTCCCCGGCCAATGAGCATATCCAAATTGCCGCACTTCTTACCAGGAGCCACGGGCTTGACGCAGTCTGTGCCATAAACAACATACCCCTAGCCCTTGCCTATGCGCCCCCAAAGACCAAAAGACTTTGAATACTGACTTTGCCAAAGTCACGCCGGCGCAGCAAATCCTGGCCACGGTGGACAGGAACTCAGCAACCACCATGGCGCTGACATTCTCGGCGGCGACGCCGGCTTCACCCAACAGCCGCAAGACCGCGCACAGCGTCTGGCCCGTCGCGAGGACATCATCCACTACCAGCACCGACGCGCCACTGGGAATCGCATCCCGGTCCATCTCGATACGCTTCTTGGGGCGACTGGACGCCGAAGCTGAAATATGCGAGGGGGATCTGTCGACGGAAACGGTCGGCGGGGGCAGCTTGCCGGCTTCGCGGATCAGCACCAGGGGAACATTGACCCGCACGGCCAGCGCCGTTGCGAATACGAAACCACCGGCTTCGCAGCACACCACCCTATCGATCTTGTTCCAGTCACTGGAGAAATGCTGCTCCAGGAGAGACGTGCACAGGGTGAGCCCGGCCGGCCGCTGGGCTATGTCGAGCACATGGCAGAACTCAATGCCGGGGCTTGGGAAGTCGGGGATTGGGCGCACCATGGCTGCCAGCCGCCGCAGGTCGTTGTGGAGAAAGGGAACGAGGTGCTGCTCGGCAAACGTAACGGCCGCCCTGTTCCCGTCGCGTCATTATTGAAGATGTAACTGGTATGGTAATCCGAGCTAGGCCTTGAAGTCGGCATGGCATTGCTTTCCTTGCTGTCACCAACGGGCCCATCTTTACCGTCCATCTGAGAACCGCGCCCCGTCCTTTCGCTAATCTGAACGCGAACATCGAGCAGTCTGCTATCCGGCACCAGATACGAAAAGGCCGCGACCGGCGCCTCGTCCCTCATTCCGGTGATGAACAGAACATCAACATCCGCGGCGGCGTACACCGCATTCATAAAATGCTCCTCTGGCAGCCGGGGACGCTGCTGTACCTGACTCTCCCAGAAGGCGGTCAGAGAAGGCCGTTGTTGATCTTTGTAAGCACGGTCTCGTAGCAGACGGTCCACGTCGGCACCTGTGGCGGCGGCGTATTCGCGCTTAGTCGCTTCGCTGATGACCACTGAGCGCACCTTAAGGCCTTTTTCGGCTAGACAGAGACCCAGATGTCGGCGCAGTAGTCCTTCCCGACACCGCTTGCGCCCGTAACCAGCACGATGAGCTTCGGTTCCATGGGTATTCTCGGAAGCGGGCAAGCAGAAGCCAGCACATTTCGTGGGTCCGACTTGCGCTTAAGACGGGCCAGACGCGGGAGATTCGGTCCAAACGCGCTGGCAGCCAGCGCGGTATCCCGAGGATCGGGTCCGAGGTCAGCGCTGTAAGCGCCGCGGCTCACGGGCAGCAACTTCCCCCCAACCTTGTAGACCCAATCCACGGCAGCTTGGGCGATCTCGAACCGTTCCTGACTCCGGGGCCAGACGCCTGCTATTGTGCAGGCAAAGTCCCAGTCTCGACAGCCAAAGGCGGTGGCGTCTGCTCCCACGTCGCCGACTGCTCCGCCGCCCTGAGCCAAATAGAGGTAGCTGAGTGGTGTAGGACGGGCCTCGATGGCCGCCACCAAGATGTCGGCGATGCTGTTGGCTTCTCCGATGTCGTTCAGGAACAAACTTCGCTTGAAAGACGACGGTTTTTCGCAGCCATGATTCATCTCGGACACGTACATCTTGGTGTCGAACACGCCGACACCATCCACGGTCACGCAGCTTGTTTGCGGTCCCAAGACAGCTGACATAGAGACGGATGCGGTTGTCGGCGTTTCAACACCGGCACCAGCCGTCAACATTTTCAGCATGGTCACGCCTAGTCGTAGCTGGTCGCCCTGCTAGTGCAGATAAACATCTGCTGAACAGTTCCGGGGTAGTTCTCGCACGACAAACTTGCCAACTTGGCGGAGCTTGTGCCGCGCCTCAAGAACGTCACCCAGCGGGACAAGCCATTTTCGGATCAAATATTTCGGAGCCGCATACGTTTTGAAAACCACATCGATCACGATGCCAAAGTTGGTGCCGGCGCCCTTGATGGCCCATAATAGGTCGAGGTCACTCGGACTCGCGGCACCAGTATAAACCGATTGAAACTCGTCCGGCAGGCAGCCCACGCTTCGAATCTCGCCAGAAGCTAGGCCAACGACCTTGGCATTAACAATGGCATCGCATGCAAGTCCGTGCAGCCTGGCCAGGTGCCCAATACCGCCCTGCAACCAAGACCCGGCACCCACGCTGGGCCGAGCGCCCAAAGGCACAGCCAGCCTGTCGCCCATGGCAGCCCGGACAATGTCACCCGTGGTGGAGGCGGCGGGGGCATGGACGAGACGAGAACTGTACTCCTCCTCATCTGGGATCATCATCCCCACATGAAGGAACTCACCCATGTCGATCGCCACGACATGAGGCCAGAGGCAGTGGCCGCTGTGACCCCCGCCAATGACAGTCAAGCCAACACCGTGCCTCAGCGCCCACCGGACACACTCCTGCACCTGCCAGCCACCTGTCGGCCTCACGATTGCAGCGGGACAGCGCAATCGCGCTTCGGAGTTCTTGACCGGCTTCTCCGTCAAGCGCGAAGGCACCTTTACCGTTAGCTCGCCCAGCGCTGTTGCAGCGTGTCGGGTGAAGGATGCCATGACCATGCCGGGCGCCCTGAACACGAGCTGGTCCTGACCTTCTCCTCCTGCTCCTTCTCCTTCTTCTTGGTGAGCTGATGCACCGGCCTCACTGCAACCGCGGCGGCCCAAAACGCGGCAGACATCGCGCCACCCCGCTGCCGTAGCCTCGTCCGGCGCAGCGAAGCCAGCCATGAAAGCTGCGAAGCAATCCAATCTCTCGTCGTCGTCACTTGGCACACGGATAACGCCGCCGCCGGGCAAGAGCACCGTCCGGCGTGCCACCAAGCCGTCCAGGTACAGGCCCTCACGGTGCAGCAGCACCAGCAATCCATCACGCTCCACGAGCATCTCCAGCGCACGTTGGATAACGTTGCGGTCGGGCTCGGGATTCGGGCCGTACAAGCCGTGGTTGCAAAGGAGAATGAGGTCGAATTTGCTGTCGCCGTCGACGCCAGCAATGCCGCTGTCTGTGCCAATATCAAAGGCAGGTGCCTCCCCAAACGCAGTTCCAGATATAGCGGGTGTGCTCTCCAGACAAGGGAGCGGAGGCTCGGCCTGGGAGGTGGAGAGCCATCCTCGCAGGCTCGCGGCGAACAAGCCGTTGGGTACGAGGGCGCTGTATCTCGTGACTTTGCGTCTCAGGCGGTCTGGCAGGTATCCGAGTACAGTCTTCGGGCCCGGTGCAATTTCCAATGCCGAGACACGAAGCCTCGAGTCGAAGAGGGAAGTGAGTAGCTCAGAGAGTTGGGGGATGACGGAGTCGTGATAACGTGTCCATCCCTGGGCCCCCCGCCAGGACCTCTAATCCGCTGCTGTACTCCGCGTCAGACAACGGACGTCCTGGAGACGATGACGCCGTCGCCGTGGTGGCCTTTTGCTCGAGGGCCTGCTTCAGGGTGCCAAGAAAGGCCATTGGAGCTGCAACTTGCGAGTGACTGGTATGAGTCGTAGAAGAAAAGGGAGACGGCTGGGGAGATGCTGGCCTTACTGTTCTTGAGCGGCCAGGGGAAGGCAGCACAAACGACGAAACCGGGTGCTTGCGAGGTTATGTTGGACCGTTGAAGCGCTGGCAGCGTAGTGACCCGTGTGTGCGATGCCAACACCCGCTCCTGACACGAAGGACAGCTGTGAGGTTGCGGGTTTGTGAGGCTTTGTTCGCATGCCACGCATTTCAAACCTTCAAGTCGGTTTGTCATATGACTCCAGCTTGTTTTGGAACCTGTCGTGAGTGTTCGGTCCCTGACTCAGAGTTGCAAGCTTGCAAACTTGAGGGTCTCTCCGCAACATCCTCAGTGACACGCGAGGAAGGAGGCGAGATGAGAAGACATTCGCCCCCAAAGGGAGGACGACGGTGGTGAGAATGATTGGAGCAAGCGGTGACATCGCAGGAGCAAGGCTGCCAACGGCCCGGAAGACAATTCAGGATCCTGGAACTCAAGGTATTCGCTGAAAATGGACGGAAAAGGGGGGAAACTCGGCAAGTCCAGGACTGGACGTTGATGGTCTGAGGCGACCAGGTACGTTTTCGATGATCCAACTTCCCCGTTCGACAGCGACGTATATGCATGTGGTCGCTCGTCCAAGAGTAGGCAATCCAACTGCGGCGAGACTTTACAAACCAGCTGAACAAAGACCCCAACCCCCCGACAAGATGCGTGAGGTGGTGAAGACCATCCTCGAATGCATCGGCGAAGACCCTGATCGACCGGGACTTGTCGACACACCCGAATGCTACGTCAAGGCGATGCTGTGCTTAACCAAAGGCTACGAGCAAAACGTCCGGGATATCGCCAAGGAGGCCATCTTCAACGTGAAGCACAACGAGATGGTAAAATCAAGGATATTGATGTCTTCAGCATTTGTGAGCACCACCTGTTGCTGTTCACGGGAAAGATGCACATCGGCCACATCCCTGACAACTGGGTCATTCGGCCTCTCGAAGCTGCCCCAGATTGCCGAGGTGTTCAGCCGGCGCCTGCAGTTCCAGGAGAATTTGACCAAGGAGGGCGCAAACGCCATCATGGAGGTTCTCAAGCCACAGGACGTGGCCGTGATTATGAAATCCAGCCATTTGTGTTATGGCAATGCGGGTGGTGGAGAAAGCGACGGTAGCTACCATCACGAGCTGCGTGCTGGGCTGTTTTGGGGCGGAGGAGAAGACGAGAAAGGAGTTTCTGGGTCTGATAGACCTCAACAGGTGAAGTGAAAGCGGCAGATGTGTGGTTCGAGACTTCAAACCCACACAGGGAAAAGGGAGGTGGTCGGGGTCGAATGTAGCTAGGGTTGAGTCAGCATGCAGGAATTCAAACCTCTTTTCAATTGAGGAATATGGTAGACGAACAATCGTCAGCAACTTTAAAGCTGCTTCCCTCTAGAGACGGGTTGTGCCGCTCCATTGATCGCTCGAAATTCTACAGGAGAAAAAGATGGTGACAGGAGGATTGTTGGGAAATACGAAGACGGAGTAAGGTAGCTCCGTTTACAACCACCACTTGAGGCAAGCGCCGATTACTTTCGGAAGTGAACGATAAGATACTACGGACGTATTGTAATAGCATGCTGATGAATTTGGAAATTTTGGAATCCCTGCCCCCCGCCCCCTAAACCCCGGTTCCCATGTGGGACAGTCGCGTGGATCGACACAGACTGTGGCCCGCCCCAAACCTCGGATCATCACACAAAGGCGAACATTCAGACTTGTGCTTCTCTTGTAACTTTTTATCGGAGGACAGCCTAAAACACCGCGGCACCACTATGTCCTCGGCATTAAGCAAGCGTCAGCAGGCGCGCAACGAAAAGGCCCTGCAAGACCTGCTCCACAGCGTCCCTGGAAACAACTTTTGCGCCGACTGTCAAGCACGGAATCCTGGTAATTGACCCTCCCGCAACCTCTATCTGGAACCATCGAGGGACTGACTGAGCCTCGTCGTCACCAGGTTGGGCATCATGGAGCGTACGCCTTTCCCTTTGAGTAGTCCCACCGAAAACAGCGAATATGAAGAGCCGGTGTATCGACATTCGCCGACGACGTACAGTGCTGACGCTGATTTGGAGACTTGCAGTTGGGTATCTTCCTGTGCATGCGATGCGCCACCATCCACCGCAAATTGGGCACCCACGTGTCCAAGGTGAAGTCACTGAGTATGGATAGCTGGACAAACGAGCAGGTCGACGTATGTCCCAGCGAACCCTTCGTGTAGGAAGCGTCACGCTGATGCCCCGTCAAAGAACATGAGGAAGGTCGGCAACGTTGTCTCGAACAAATTGTACAACCCGGAAGGCAAAAAGCCACCCGTCCCGATCGATGTCGACGAGGCCGATAGCGCAATGGAACGATTCATCCGCCAAAAGTATGTCAACCGCACCCTCTCGGCCAGCAAGAGGAAACCCGGAAGCAGCGACTCGGACGAGACTCCACCTCCCCTTCCTCCCAAGACGCCGAGTCGGTTCGGCCTCCGATCCGCCTCTTCAATATTTCCGCTTGGATCCAAGGCCAAGAAAGCGAGCGGTCTTGAGCCGACCAGCCCTCAAAGCTCACCACCTCAGCCATCGCTTCGAAACAAATCCTCAGGAGTGTTTGGCGTGAGCCTCGAGCGCGATCGGGCAGATGGAGAAGACACGGAGCGGAAACTCGCCAAACTCCGAGACATGGGCTTTATGAATGACCACAGGAATTCCGTGGTGCTGAAAAGTGTGAACGGCAATCTGGAGAGAGCAGTAGAGGCATTGGTGCGGTTAGGGGAGGGGCCCGGGAAGGCGGCAACACTTGCGCCTGCGAGGGCTTCGACGATGCCGATTACTCGAAGCCTAACCCCGGGAGCCAACACGGACGCCTCTCGTGCTCGGCCGATAAGTCCGGCAAGCACTAATCCCTTCGACATGCTTGACACGCCGCCCCCGCCACAACCGCTGTCCTCGCAGTCAACCGGCACGTTACAGACCAAGAACCCTTACCTCTCGACGAATCCGTTTGGCGCGCCCCAGCAGGCACCTTCTGCGTTGGACTTGGCCTTCCAAAATATATCCCTGGCGCCACCATCTCAGCCGTTGTTTCCGCATCATACGGGTGGCTTAACCCAACAACAGACTATCCAGACGGTGTACCAACAACCCATGACACCTCCGCTGACTGCCTCGCTGCCTCCTGGAGTGCAGGGCTACCCTGCTATGAGTATCAATGGCAGTCACACATACCCGCAGCCGCAATCGAGCATGTCTAGCTATAATCCCTTCTTTCCGGCCCAGTTGCAACAACAGCCGCTGTCCATCAACACAGCGCAGTTCGGCGGCAGCATCAGCAGCAACCCCTTCACACGGTCCCCGACCAGGATCCAGTCACCGACCCTCTCACAAATTCCCGAGCAAACACAGCAAAACTTTTACGCGCAGCCCGTGCAACCGGTGCAACCCCAGGCGACGAACCCGTTTTCCAACCAAATGACGCACCCGGCAGAGCAGTTTGCCAGCCCGATGCAGATGCAGATGCAGATGCCGCAGCAGATGGGCCTCGCTCCACAAATGACCGGCTACATGCAGCAGCAGCAGCAGCAGCCGCGGCCAGATAAAGCCTCAATAATGGCCTTGTACAACAAACACCAACCATCCCCCGCCCAAACCCCGTTTCAGACCCAGGACAGTGGGCAGACCACCCTAGCCCAGACGCCCAATTCGCTGTTCCCACCTCAACACCTTTTCCAGCAGCAACAACAACACCAGCAGCAGCAGGTCCAGCAGGTTGAGCGGGTTCAGCAACAGTCGACGCCGATAAGTCCCGCGCCGATGAGCAAGAACCCGTTTGTCAGTTCGGCGGCGGCGGCTGCTGCTGCTGCTGCTGCAGGAGGAGGGGGGCAGCCGGGACGGCTAGCGGAGTCAACGCCGAAACACAATGTCAGCCGGGAGAGTATGATGGCGGTCGGGCTGGAGTGGTCGAATGGGCGGCACAGCCCGGACGCGTTTGCCAGTCTGAGTGCGAGGGACACGCGTTGATTGTTTTTTTTTGGGGGGGGGGGGCTACCTTAGGTATTATTGTACGTACCTTGCGTGGGAGGAAGGTGTCACATTCTGAGCAAAGGGGGAGTTTATTGATTCACTGTATTTATGTATCAACGTGTAGCTGTAGGCGGGCGGTACTTCTGCGCAAGGAGGTTTCGTGTATATACGATGTGTTGGCTGTGCTCGGTGCCTTCGGGCGCTGTGGGTGTTTGGGTATATCAATGGGTTTTGCTATGGTTTCTGACATCAGGACCTTGAAAAGGACAGGGTCGATTTGTAAATGGGATCTTACTTCAGCAATCGGATGTCAAAGGCGAAGAATGATGCTGTGGTCTCTTCTTGACGATCGACAGTTTGACATTCTCATCAGCCAAGTATTACTGATCCCGTCCCCAACGTTTTCACGACAGATCAGGATACTCTACTCCATACCAGCACTCGTCGAACGGATTACGGAACTTGACAGCGTCAGCGATGATCGTCTTACAGTCCCCCCTTGGAATTGTCGTTAGCTTGTGACTTCCGGTAGGTCAAAGTAGAAACCGTGAAAGCCAATAGGCTATCAGCGCGATAGCCGGGCCCCAAAATCCGAGTGCGTTGGCTGGTTAGAAACCCCAGATCATAACTGCCAAAAAAAGGGAAGTCTGGTGGGGTGAAGAAGAATGCTAACAATAATTCAAGCCAGGTATGAACTGTAGTTACGCCCAGCCTTTCCCAAGCATTCGTGGATTCCTAATGAGGCAATCTCATCAATTGTGTACCAAACCTGTGCCCTTCGGGTGCTCTTCAGCCCTACGTTACCTGCCAGTCACAGAGTTGAACCGCACCGCTTCACAATGCATCCGCTAACGAAAGGGCATATCAAGCTTGGGAGACCCCCTCAGTTGCCTGCGTGGGAATGGATGGGGCTTGCCTGACCGTACGCCTTTTCTACCTTCTTTCCGCTAGCCCTGGCAGAGAACCATTGAGGGCTGCGACGTGGCCTATCGGGAAAGGCGTATCTTCACCGGATTTCGCGAGGATGGGGAATTGGAAAGCTGACTGTTGTTGTTGTCCGCTGACTGCGTGCATGTACGGATAGAAACGTCGCTGCCTGCTTGCCAGGGCCGGGTTCGGGAGGGGCGCCCGGTGGCCTTGTGTAGGTGAGGTAGCCAATGATTGTATGCATTGCTCGCTGGAACCCTGTGCTGAGCTGCAGCCCGCAGGATGCAACATGCGGGGAGATGGAATACAAAATCATTATGAGAACCCCTTGTTGTGGCCATGAGGCTGAGTCTTTTTCCCTTTTTCTGTTCTGGCTCATTTTACTCATTTGGAGGCGGTGAGGCGGAGGTGAACAACCATACAGTATAGTAACTCTGGCACTTGTACACACGATTTGAGACCCTCTGTTGATTCGCCACGATATCGCCATGTCTGAGTATGACGACGGCCCCGGCGACGGGCCGGGTGAGGGTAGGCCCATGATGGCCCAGAGGCCCATTCTCATGGGCAACTTGGCGCACGTTCAGCTGCCTCCACAGAAGAAGCTCGACGAGTTCTGGAACAAATTCTCCGTTTTCAGAGGGAAGGGTAAGTCAAGCACACCATCAGACATAGAACACCGGAGCCGAATTGCTAACATCTCCTCCCCAAGCAACAACCATCCTCCCCCGCAACGAGCTCGCCTCGCGCGTGGCCAAGCGCTCGGCGGCCAAGGACCTCGCCGGCGGCAGCACCAAGACGACCACGACGTCGTACGAGGAGGCCGCCGCCCTGTGCCGCGCAAAGGTCGACCAGATCGTCGCCGAGTGCCGCCGTGTCAACCAAAAGTACCGCGACCCGCACTTCGACCTCGACTTTGACCTGCGCTCCGGCACCCGCGACTGCCTCGAGTCGCTCAGCAACGTCAAGGCCGACTACTCGTCCGACGACGAAGATGGGCACTCAAGGTGCCCGTCCCGCTCGAGGTCGAGGTCGCGGTCCCGGTCCCGGAGCAGACGGCGGGGCGCTGCGCGAGCGAGGTTGCTACTACGTGGGTGGCCTGGGGATGCCGGTGGTGTCGATGCGGGTATCTGCGCGGATGGTCCTTCCAAGAAAGAGATTCGCAAAGGAACCAAGGACGGGCGATGGCCGGGGAGCGACTTCTCCCCGCGGTCGGTCAAGAGGATTGGGGAGATCTTTGACGATCCCAAGTTCTATGTGGACGGACCGACCGCAAACGATGTCCGCCAGGGACGCGACGGCGACTGCTGGCTCATGGCAGCGCTTTGCACGCTCAGCAACAAGCCGGGACTGATCGAGCGGGTTTGCGTTGCCCGGAATGAAGCCGTCGGTGTGTACGGGTTTGTATTTCATCGGGACGGCGAGTGGATCAGTGAGATTATTGATGACAAGGTGTGTCTGTTCCTTCGCTGGGTCGAACAGAGCTAACTGCCTTGGGAACGTAGCTGTACCTGATTAAGCCCGATTACGATGAGCGGCGCATGGGCTTCGACATCAACAGGGAACGCGCCCTGTGGGAGGACATCGACCGCCCAGACTCAGAGGAGGTACGGCCGAGCAAAGCATATCTTCCTCTAACATGAGTCCTTTTAGAGAATTACTAACACGGACCCCTCACTCAGAAATATAGACGAGCTTACCAGTCGAACTCAGAGGCACTCTATTTTGCCCAGTGTGAGAACAAGAACGAGACGTGGCTTCCACTGCTGGAGAAGGCGTATGCCAAAGCCCATGGAGACTATGCTGCCATCGAGGGCGGGTACACTGGCGAGGGCATTGAAGATTTGACCGGCGGTGTCACCACCGAATTGTTCACGAGTGATATCCTTGACAAGGTGGGTTCCTGGGCTGTGGTTCGTAGCAAAACGGACAGCTGACAGCCGGGATAGGAGCTCTTCTGGCAGGAGCTCATGAAGGTCAACAAGGACTTTCTGTTTGGCTGCTCTACTGGCCATTGGTGAGTTCATGTTCAGACGCCCCTATTTTCGTTCGGCACTGACAGGCTGGACCAGGGGCCTTGGCTATGGAGAAAGGAAGGGCATCTACGAAGGGCATGCATACTCGGTTATGCGGGCCGTCGAAATGGACGGCGAGCGGCTCCTTCTGCTGAAGAACCCATGGGGCAAAGGCGAATGGACTGGCGCATGGAGTATGTCTTTCTTCCTGCACCAAGGATCAATTTATGCTGACGGGACTACCGCTAGGCGACGGCTCCAAAGAATGGACTCCGGAGTGGCAGATCAAGCTGAACCATCGCTTTGGCGATGACGGAGCATTCTGGATCTCGTACAAGGACCTGCTGCGCAAGTACCAGACCTTCGATCGCACCAGACTTTTTGGGCCAGAATGGAAAATCAACTCCATGTGGACGACGCTGAACGTCTCATGGGCCCGGGAGTACCACGACACCAAGTTCTGCTTCACGCTGGCCAAACCAGGGCCCGTGGTCATCGTCCTCTCCCAGCTCGACGACCGTTATTTTCGAGGCCTGGAGGGCGAATACGTCTTCGGCCTGGGCTTCCGAGTACACAAAGCCGGCGAAGACGACTACATTGTCCGCACTTACACCACGTACCGCATGAACCGCTCGTGCAACGTCGAGCTTGACCTCGACGCCGGCGAGTATACGGTTCTGATCAGAATCGAGGCCGATCGCGTCAAGGGAATCCTGCCACCCGAGGAGGTGGTGCGCCGGAACGTGAAGAAACGCCGCGACAAGCTGCTCCGCATCGGCCTGGCCTACGATCTGGCCCACAGCAAAGCCAGGATCGTCGAGACGGCCGAGGAGAAGGCTGCGCGCGAAGCGTACGTCAAGCGCAAGAAGGAGAAGCAGCGCAAGGCCATCCGAAAGGCTGTCATGAACTCGAGGGAGAAGAACAACTACGTCAAACGCAAGGAGTGGTTCGCCAATCGGAAGGAACAGGCCTGGCAGAAGGAGCTGCAGAAAAGACGGGCTGCCAAGCGCGAGGCCAAGCGCGAGGCCAAGCGGAAGGCTGCCGAGGAAGAGGCGAAATGGCGGCGGGAGGAAGCACGTGGGCATGCAGAGCAGACGAACAAGACGGAGGGGCCAGGGCCGGAAAAGGAGCAGCCAGCAACTGAAGGGAGCCAGCCTCCCAAGGGTTCGGACGGCAGGACCACGGTCGAAGAAATGAAGGAAACGACGGCTGAAGAAGAGACAAGGGCCGAAGGCAACGACGAGAAGAAGGAACAGGCGGAACCTGAGGCCCAGGCCGATGCAACTGGAACAGCTGGGCCAGAGAAAACGGCAGCTGAGCCCAAGCAAGACGAGGCACAACCCAAGGATGAGACCGTTGAGCAGGCGGCGTCAACAAACGCCACAGAGAAGACATTGTCGGTTTCAAGCGCGGAGACACCCGCCTCGGGACCTGCTGAAGCCAAACCAAAAGGTGGAGCCCCTGAAGCAGCAGAGAACGGGAAGCATACATCTCCTTCAGAACCAGCACCGGCCGTGGCAGAACTAGGGGGTTTGGAGTCTGCAAAGAACCCCTCAGAAGCATCACCTGAAGTCGCCGAGAAGCCCTCACCGGATGTTGCAACCAAGGATGAGCAAACTCCCGCCGAGATTGCACCAGGCAGCCGCCCCAACGCCCACTTCGAACAGAAAATCAGGAATGCCCTCGAGGTAGTTACTAGCGTCAAAAAGGAGCTCGAGGGCCTCCTGGGCGAGAGCCCAGGCCACCCCCCACAAGCAGTAGATGCGGGCAACGGGCCCGAGGTAGAGGCCATGCCCGGCGCATACCTTGACGCTCCCGGAGCATACCCTCCGCGTCACCTGCCCGGTGCATATCCTCCTCAACCCCACGGTCCGCCCGGCCCGCCCGGCCCTTCTAGTTCCATTGGCGGTTCCCGACGCCTCGGCCCCCTATTCCGCAGCGGCGGCAGACCAGAATGCGAATCCGAATCCGACTCCGATGTCGACGACGACGGATCCGACCTCTGCAGCATCCGCAGCGTCTCGGACCTGTCGGAGCGCGAGCTCGACTACATCGTCGAGGGCGAAGAGCGCGAGGCGGCGGCGGCAAGGGCCGAGGTGCAGCGCCGCGGCATCCCCAACGGCCCGCTGCCGCCGCAGCTGCAGCCGCAAGACGAGTTTGAGCGCGACCCGTGGAATGCGGTCGCGGTCGTCGGGCTGCGGATATATTACAAGGTCGCGGAGGAGGATAAGGACGTGGATGGGTTGGTTAAGTTGAGGGTTGTAAGGCCTAATTGTTGGGAGTTGAGTAATGATGAGGAGGAGGAGGAAGGGGATGGCGACGGGGGAGTGGGAGAGGATGGGGAGGGTGGGAAGGAAGAGGGCTCGGATGAGACGCAGGTATTGGATGTGGATGATAGTGCTAAAGATGCTACTGTGAAGGTAGAGGGTTGATTGACGGGATGGATGTCCGGCTGGATATGGGAGGATATTTGGTTTTGGGTACTCCGCTCAGCTTTGGGAGGCCATTGTATACGGCGTATGTCAAAGTCTTATATACCTGCATTCCTTTCCACACTCATTGCGAGCATCTAAAGCTTGGACACACCCATCTCCTCAAGGTGCCTCAGGAGCGCAAAGTATGGGTATGGAATTGCATCTTAGATGGTCTGGTCTCTTTTGCCATATGTATTTTAAACCGACTTTGGGCCGCAGGAGCCCACAGCGGTAGAAGAAGCCGCTAACACAATTGCAGTTTGGACGGGAGGGACTGCCGACACGGACAGAGTCATAGAGGAGGCCTGGAGAGAGAGGTGGCTCAAGGAACGAGACGGCCGGACAGCAACGAGGCCCGCAGATGACCTTGACCACCAGCACGAGACTCTGTTCCAAGACAAAACCCTAAGGAGACACGACGGCCTCAGCAGAGCGAAGAGTTCACTGTTGATCCAGATTCGAACCGGGGCCATAGGCCTTCGGGCTTTCTTATTCGAAAGGAGAGTCCCAAGAGTCCCAGAGGTACTGACGCCTATATGCGAGTGTGGAGAGGGGCGAGAGACTGTCGAACACCTTGTGATGTGGTGTTTGGCCCCACCGTTGACTCGAAGATGGGAGAGAGCCGAGGTCAGAACGCGAAGGGACATTTATTCTGTTCTACAGGGAATCAGTCCCAAAGCTGCACGGCTAACGGGGAGGATCCTGGACTGGCTGATGGACTCGGGGAAACTGCCGATGTACGGTCTGGCCAGGAGGCTGGAGCTGGAGCTCGCAGTCTGATACCCTTTCCTTCGAAGGCCAAGAGGCCTTCCCACTTTGTATTTGCAGGATCGCACACTGATCGTTTCCTTGATTGTCGATATGGGTTTTTCACCCGGCCCACGAGCGCGCGGTTTTCCTGTATAGTAAGTTGTTGAAGGTCCGGCACGCCCTAGGGCACAGCGGTGTAGGAATAATAATATTTTAAACCGACCATAGACATGAGAGATGTTCGAACAGAACATGTTCCCCCTTCCCTCCATTTTGAAGAATTGTGTTACCGGGTATCACCGCAAACCAGACTCCAACCACAGTTGACAGAACCAATCCACGAGGCCTCCCTTCACCGGTTTAACGCCTTCACCGGTGACCTGTAATCCACAACAAAAGTTGAACATGACACGTTCCCCCCAACTTCCAGGGACAAAACCAAGAAACGTCCTCAAAACATCTCCAACAGCAGTCCAAGCTTTCGCTGCTCATCCATCTCCACATCTTCCACTTCACCCCCTTGCCGTTCCAAAACCAAACGGCCCGCGCCGTCAGACTCGCCGCCATCACCCCCAATCCCCCGTCCGCTGCCCTGCTCCTTGAGCTTCCCGACCCTTGCCCCCACTCGGGCAAGCAGCATCCTCATCCGATGCAGCTCGGCCTCGACGGCGCCGTTGCGCGTGACCAAGTTCTCTTGCACGCCGTCCAAGCCCCCTCCATCATCATCAGCGGTTGTTGCAGGAGCAGCAGCAGCAGCAGAAGAAGAAGAAGGTAAAGAAGTAGATGGAGAAAACGGCTCGAGAAGCGCTTGCATCCGCCGCAGCCGCGCCACGCGCGCAGAGGCGTGCTGTTTCCGCTCGGCGAGGGCGTGCAGCTTGGCGGCGAGCTCGGCGTAGCGCTTTGCTTCGAGGGGGTTAGAAGACGATGAGGAGGGGTTCCATTGCAGTGGGAGGGTGGCGATTACGGACGGGTCGGCTGACGGGCATGTATTAGTTATCTTTCATGGATTTTCCTCGATCAAGGGGAACGTGGGGAACATAGAGATAATGACTGAGAAAGGCTGGTGTGGATGAGGTCGGTAACTCATATGAGATGTGACATACCCAGATCGGCACCTAGGTTCAGGGCCTCGGCTGTCTCATCATCATCTTCCTCGTCCCCCTCTCCATGGCCCCGTCCGGCACTGGTCGCTGCCTCTGCTGCATTCCAATAGAGCCGGTCGATCTGCTCTGCCACATGACGCGTAGCCTGTGGTGCGTAGACACGTCGAGAGTGTTGCTGCAGGCGGTGGTTCAGTTTGAAGAGGGCGTCGTCAATGGCTTTCTCTGGGAGGACATTCTCATTGTTGTTGTTGTTGTTGGAGTGCCAGGCGCGGGTCGGGGTGACAGGTTGTGAGAGGAGGCGCGTCTGGGCTGTGAGAAAGGATTGTTTGAGGGAGAGGACTGTTGGCGGGTCTGGGGTCATTATGGGTTCTAATCCTGTCCACCTGGTAGTTACCTGAGTTGAGTGGTGTGTAAGGGAGTGAAAGTGATGAATGAGATGATATTACTACTGTACATGGAAGTAGAGAGCATCGCAGATTCGGGTTAGGGTCTCGTCCCGTCGGCCGCATTACCAAGCTCGCCCCACAGCAGCTCTGCTGCCGCAAATTGAGGTCATCCATTTGGATCCTTGAATCGCTGGGAAAAAGCTCGGGTTGAAGGTCGACGTTGCCGCAACAACCCGCCGCTTCACTGCGCCATTGCAATCGCAATTGGACGTCTACCAACATGCGCAGGTGGGGATCTGCCTAGACCCCTCATCTCCCACCATGCGGTCGCAGTTGACGCGCAATGTGTACATTCGACTGCTGGCCAGCCACGCCTCGCTCCGGCCATGTTCCCCCCTCGCCGGCCGCTGCCTCGCCGTCGCCCTCCGTCCTCGCCAGTTCCCGCTGATAACCCGCCGACAGCCCCGGAGAACATTCTTCGGCATCTTCCAAAAGCCGCCGCGGATGTTGAAGGAGCCCGACCTGGAGCCCGGCTACGAGGTGCTGCTGCAGTTCAGGAGCTTTGAGGTCGAGAATGCGCGGCCCCCCCCTCGGGCAGACCTGTTGAAAGGCTGGCGGCAGTTCATTCAATACAAGAGGCGGAATCAGAACAGGCCGATGAACTCGACACAAGCCTTCCTCACGCTCCGATTACTCCAGCATCTCGTGTCGGCAGACCCAGAGGCCGAAGGTTCCGTCGACGACCTCAGCTTCACAGACCTTCGCGCGGCTTTGTTGGTGATAGCTACCAGGCCTCCAAAAGGCACGACCGAGCACCATCTCGAACTCGCTCAGCTTCTCTATGGAGAAATCGAACGCAGGATACAGAACATGCGCGGGCAGGGTATTGATGAGGAGCTTATCAAGGAAGCTGTTGGAGGAAAGGACACGGGCGACTTTGAGCTGTTTCTCACAGCACTCACACAGTACGGTGGCTCATTGGAAGCCGCCCAAAGGCTGGCCCAATTTCGGGGCAGCCTGGAAAGCGACAAAAAGGGGCAGGTGGCTCGCGTGAGGGCGTTTTGGACTTTGGTGTTGCGTGGCCTCGCTAAGGAAGGCCGCGAGGAGGAATTGCTCCAAGAATGGAAAAAATACAAGGAGGCGAAGTTGGAGTATATGCCGCCGATTCACGAGATCATGTCTACGTTCTTCGCGACACGGGACAGGGTCGATGAGACAAAGCAATGGTTTGAGAAGCCTATACATGCCAAATGGTCTCCGAGTCCGAGGGCGTACATGGAAGCCATGAAGTTTGCCATCCGCAACGGAGAGCAGCGGTGGCTTCAGCCCGTCTTTGAGAAGCTTATCAACTCGAACCCGCAGAAGGACTGGTGGGACGTCATCTTTCAGTGGGCCGTGCTGGTCATGGACAAGGGGGTCGAAGACATCAAGCAGATGCTGCAGGTCATGTCAACACCAGCCGACGGCAAAGAGGGCCCAAAACCGGACGCAGCAACCATTGACGCCCTGATTACGGCGGCCATCGAGAAGAAAAACCCGTACCTCGCCGAGAGGTTCCTCTCCCTCGGCACTGAATTAAAAATCCGTCCCAGAGCATCCACCTACATCCTCCAGATGGACTACCGACTAGACGCCAAGGACTTCGGCGGCGTACACGCCATTTATGAAAAACTCTTGAAGGGTGAAGTCACTGTCCCGCAGGACGAAGACCTCCCCGTCGTCAACAAGTATCTCCGCGCCTTGTGCGCCGCGCCGGAACCCGACCTCGGCCGCATCCTCGACATCACCGCCGACCTCGAGCAGCGCCACGCGACGCTCGAGCCAGAAACCGTCGTGTCGCTCTGCATGCTCTTCCTCCGCAATGACAACCAGTACGACGTGATCGACACCCTCTCCCTGCACACCGTATCCTACAGCCTCGAGGAGCGCGTCCAGGTCCGCCGCGCCTTCATCGAGTACTGCCTCGACCGCAAGGTCAGCACGGCCCGCGTATGGGACTGCTACTCCCTCCTCCGCCAGTTCTTCCCGGAGACAGAACCCGACGAGCGCGTCCGCCTCATGGACGCCTTCTTTGCGCGCCGCCGCCCGGACATGGCCTGCATCGTCTTCGGGCACATGCGCGGGCAGGGCAACCTGGCGCAGCGGCCGACGGCCGACATGTACGTGCGCTGCCTCGAGGGGCTGGGCCAGCACCCGGATGCCGAGTCGCTCCGCATGGTGCACAACATGCTCAAGATGGACACGACGGTGCAGATGGACACGCGCCTGTACAATGCCCTGATGATTGCTTACGCCGCGAGCGAGGAGCCCGACGTGGCGATTGAGTTTTGGCGCGACATCACCAATTCGGCCGAGGGGCCTTCGTATAATAGTTTGGCGATTGTGTTCTGGGCCTGCGAGCTGCAGCCGTACGGCGATCGCACGGCCAGGGGCATCTGGCAAAAGGTGTTGAAAATGGATCTCGAGGTGCCGCCAGATGTGTTCTGGGCGTATTGTGGTGCTCTTGCCGGGAGCGGGCATCTCGAGGAGGTCATGAGGTTGATCAGCGGCATGGATGCCACCGTGGGGTATGGGCCGGGGTTGATGACGTGAGTTCTCCTTCTCCTCTTTTGCCGTTGATGTCGTCTTGTGCGGGAAACAAAAGAACAGTGAGAGAGAAAAGAGAGATGCTGACTTGGCTGCAGATTGGGAGTCACGTACAATGCCCTGCCCGGGTCAAGCAAAAAGGACCAGTTTGAGGCGTGGGCGAGGGCCGAGTACCCGGACATCTGGGCACAGCTCGAGAAGAAGGGCCGCAAGGAGACCATCATGGGCACCAAGTTCAACATTGTCAGGGATATGAAGGCATAAAATCCGTGTGTTGCAGCGGTTGACAAATGTTGTATCATGCTAGGTGGCAATGTAAAATGTGTACATGTACAAGAACCTCTATACATCCGCAGGGACTCATTGCATGGCTGTCCGATATCGTACAGATACAAGACTATAAGGTCTGGTTTTTGGTTTTGTACACTCGAGAAAATTTAGCAACAAGCGGCATATCCTTCCAAGAACTCGCCTCAACCTCAACCCCACCGCTCTATAGCACGTTCTGCCTCGCTTCTGTTGGCGTCGGGATGGCAGAGGTAGGCAGGCCGTGGCGGCCGCGGCGCAGAATCTCGGGATGCTTGTGCACGCTGGGGTGCAGGCCCATCCCGATGGCTCGCCGTATGGCCTTGGCCATCTTGCGCTGATTGACGGGCCGCAGCCCGGTCTCGCTCGAGTGCTTGATCCGACCCATCGACGTCATGAATTCGGAGATGAGGGAGAAATTCTGCTCGCAAACATCCGGTCAGTAAGTCGTTTCTTTAGTTGGTCGTACACACCAAGCAGAAAGAGACACGTACCCTGTAATTATCCAGGGGGTTGAACCCAAACATGTCGACCACGTCCTTGTTCGGCCGCTTGCCCTGCCGGAACTTCTTCATCTCGACCGGGCTCAGGTCCTTGGGCGCGTACACCTCGCCTGTCCGCCACCGCCGCGGCATCTGGCGCACGTAGGCCTCGGTCACCTCCCGGCCCCGCAGGTCCTGGATGCTCGCGCGCGGGGCCTGCTGGTCCATGATCTGGCGCTGTTCTGCTTCCGAGAGGGGGTTTCCCCGCTCAAAGCCCTCCTTGAGCAGGCCATGAAATTCGTTGTTCTTGGGGCCAAAAATGCTGCGAACTGTGACTGCGTTAGGGAGACGCTCTCTTTTTTACTTGTGATCCTCTCTTTCCAGCCATCCTCTTGGTGTCTTTTGGGGGTTAGAGACGATCAGGGGTCATTACTGACGGCCTGCGGCGACGGGAACTGCGGTCGAGAAGGCGCGTGGTTGTTGCGACTTGCATTGGCGCATGGCCGACGAGAGCCACTGCCTGCTCGACATTGCGGCTGTTGTTGTCTTGACTTTCTGGGGAGCGTTTTCCGCTGCTGCTCTGCCCACTGCTGTAACCGGTTTGGGGCTTGTATTGGGGTTTGTCTCTTATCGTTGTCGTCTTCTGACGGCGAGTCTGGGGCGGCCGATTCTTTTGGCGCCGCTGGATTGGCCGGGCCTACCACAAGTGATGGTCCTGGCGCTGTCCACGGTGGGGCTCTCAGCCTTGAGCGGCAGGGGTCGCGGCAGGCGGTTTTGTGTGGGGCGAGGCGCTTTCGTTCCCCGAAATTTCTGGATCCGCCATCAAGGTAGCACCACTTCTCACAGTCGATATACCGACACCCAAAATCAAGCAACTCTTCTGCCTATTGTAAGCTGTTGGTGAATACCGCTGCTTGTGCCATCAAAATGCCTCGTAAACTCAAGTTCCACGAGCAAAAGCTTCTCAAGAAGTAGGTTGCGATTTCTGAATGAGTTCAACATGGAAAGCTAACTATCGCATCTTCTGTCCAGGCACGACTTCATCAACTACAAGCAGGACAACAAGCACAGAGATCACGATGTTTCCAGGTACAAATTTCGAATTAGTGGCATTGATGTTCTGTTCTGACCTGTCCCAGGCGGTACATGATTCAGAAGCCCGAAGACTACGTATGTTCTACTCACGCTTCTCTTCATCTCACTTCAAGGAACTGCTTGGATTCTGCGGGATTCATCTGGCTACACTTCGTCACACAAACTCTTTGAATGATTTGGACCACACCGTCTAACCTTCAAATAGCATAAGTATAACAGGTTATGTGGTGTAAATGCCTCTGCTCGTTCATGATGGCACCACCAGCAAACTGACATGTTTGATAGTCCCTTCGCCAACTAGCTCATCGCCTCAGCGTATGTCGGCCTTCTCCTTCACCGAGAAATCAGCAAGCTGTACTGACCTCGACGCAGCTCCTTCCCCCAGAGAGCGAGGTCAGGAGAAAACACGAGGCGCTGCTCCTAGACAAACTCTTCGACATGGGGATTCTTCCGGTACGTTCCTGACATGCGGGTTGCCCCTGGCTTGTCATTGACATACCCGTCCGCAGACGAAGTCAAAACTTTCACAAGTCGAGCACGGCGTTACCGTGTCTGCTTTTGCGCGACGCCGTCTACCTGTTGTCATGACTCGGTATGCCTCTGCTACCCCCCCGCCTTACTTGTCCCCCTGTAGTGCTCTAACCGCGGTAAAGTCTACGCATGGCAGAGACCGTTCAAGCGGCAACAAAGCTCATCGAGCAGGGGCACGTCCGTGTCGGTGTTGAAGAAGTCCGTGACCCGGCGTTCCTTGTTACGCGGAGTATGGAGGACTTCGTCACCTGGACCGTCGGAAGCAAGATCAAGCAGAATATCATGAAGTATCGCGACAAACTGGACGATTTTGAGCTTCTCTAATGAGCTCATTCACTTCACTCATCGCCGCGATTGTGGAAACTATGCACCACACGGCGGCCGCAACGACCCTGCCTTGGTCTGGGAAGCCGCCGACAGACCGAGATTATCGCGTCAATTGCACCGAGCCACTGTACGTCTATTCTCGCCCACAACCTCCTTCAAATTAACCACTTGAAGTGAGGTGGTTAAGGCCCGGACTTTGGCAATGGAAAATAAACTACGAGGCCCCGTGCTTGAGGCTCAATCAAGTGCCTTTCAAGGGGCGAAATCGGATTTTGTAGCGGCTAGTTCTTGGTAGCACATTTGGAAGGCCTCAAATTCCTCTTTGCCCAAGGCGTGGATTGGGGAATTGCCAGGTGGTCGAGGTCGAGGTCTGGTATGCTCCGCCAATCCCTCTTGCGATAGGCCTGTGCTTGGGTGTGAAGGTAGCGGAACACTGATTGACAATCTGAACAATATAGGCGTTGAGATAATTCCTTCCGCGTTTGCGAGGAAGTCTATATTTGTCGGCCCAGCCTAATTCGTGTCCCTGACGCCTTCCCTCATTCTCAACCACCCACCAGCCTTTCCCCACAACCACTCGATTGTGTCCAGGCCGACTTGTATTGTTTGCACAGTGAACCACTTTGTTCTTAGCCTCATCTTCCTGAACCTAGACTCTACCTTGCGCCTCTCTATCCTACGTTATTTTTTTCTCGTTCCAACATCCTATTTCCTCATTCTGCTTCTGCCCACTGCTCAATCTCCGGTATCCTTGACCCCTCCCGGCCTGCCGACCCTCCTACAAGCCCGAGGGCACCTCTCACACCTGCGAAGTCCAGGTGTTCGGACAACTCCGGGACCAAAACCGCTGAGCATTGCTTCGGCCTCACAGTTGTCCTGCAACAGTGGGAACCTGTTTCGCCAGCGCCTGCCGAGAAGATGAACACCGAACACCGCCAGGGACACCTGGGCAAAACTCGAGTTCAATTTTCGCATTCTGAGGCCAGAGCAGCACCTCCTGTGCCCGACCGCCACTCCTCGGCGATTTGTTCCTACCAGATGGCACTCAGCAGAGCAAACACCAACATCCTCAACGGCCCGGCCGAAGATGACGCCTACCTCAGAGCTTTGGCACAACTCTCAGCGACTCACTGCCCCTCGCTCGACAACCTTCCCCTCGACCGATTGCCTACCGCCGATTCAGCGGCGCCGCCAATACCACCAGACGAGATCACACGGCAATACCCCTCGTCGGCCAATCCTCGAACTGTTCAGGCAGCAGATACCGGCAGCCAAGTTTCTCCAATAGTAGCAGGTCAAAGGTACCACACCCTGCCCGACGGCAGCGCCTACATCGAGGCGGTGTATGGTTCCGCCCACTACCAAGAAACCCTTGACCCCAACACACCAAACAAGGTCCGGCCAGCCGCGGCCGTGCCGCCCTTCCATGATGCGACGACGTCGGACAACACCGCAATCCACGCCAAAGCGTCATCGACGTCGTCGTCGTCGAGGTTCGCGGCGCTGAACCACATGCCGACGTTTCGGTATGCCGAGGAATTTGCGACAACCGCTGGCAGCTGCGGTTCGGGTCCGGGTGACGAAGCGCAGGAGGGACGGGAGGATCGCCGGGGCAGGTGGCTGCGGTGGCACGCCTCGAGGGCCGGGAGTGCGACAGCATGAGAAGTTGATGGGTGCCCGTTTGGAATTTATGCAGGTATGGACCAGGTCATGGCTAGAGCTTCAGGACAGAAACTCAAGGTGTTGAGAAACGGGACTGTTGGGGTCCAGGCGCAACACCTGCAAGATGTTCTGACATCTCGCCTCTCATGGGAGTTCCTCATCGTGTGTTTCTTGCCATGGGAGTGGATCGGCACAGCAAGCTCGGGAAACACATCGAAGCGACGAGGCATCTCAGTGGCGGCAGTTCTGAATCAGAGTTCTTGGTTGACGTGGTTCCCCCATTCCATGAAAATGATTGATAGCAGTCCGGAAGGTGCTGGCATTTCCCTAGATTGGTTTGCTCTCAACAAGGCGATGTTGGGGGCTTACATGGATGATGTCTGTCTGGGAACCCTCTTTACCTTTGAACACCGTAGTTGTCTTGCTGAATGAAGGTTGGTGTTGTTGACCGAACAGATCATTTGTCATAATCATGGCGGGAGTCCACATGCATGGTGACTTGAGACAAGGAGAAGCGCCCCCACCTGTGCCTTGTCCTTGCATGTACTGATCCTTTGGGATGAGGGGAAGCGGGGTTCAGTAGGACAATGAAGTAGCTGGCGAGCCCCATACCAGCCCGACGCATCCCGCTTCCAGTTGTGGTAGGATTATGGAGTACCTGCGTCGTATGTCGGTGAGGTCGGGTTTGCTGGCCGTTAAGATCTAGCTTGCTTCTTCTTGAGATAATCTACCTACCTAGGTACCCGCATCTCCTAACCATTCAGATCCAACTACTGCGTCCTTTACCGGTCCAACCTCGACTTCTCTAACCTAGCTTTACTTCAGTTTAACTCGTCTTCAAGAGAGAAACTGAGACAACCAACTACAACCACGATGTCATCCCAAACAGCAGCATCAGCCGACCAGGACCTCCTCACTCTCTGCCAAACAGACGCCTTCACCCCCATCCCTGAGGCCACCCTCCACTCTATCTTCTCGAACCCGCCGTTCGTCCCCATCCCCGACACGTTCAACGCCCGCGACCTGGGCCTCCTGCCGGGGTCGCCCATCCGCCCGGGCCTGATCTACCGCTCGGGGGGGTTCTTCAGGGGCCTCTCGCCCGAAGGGGCGGCCACCATCGCGGGTAAGCTGGGCGTCAAGAAGATGTTTGACCTGCGCTCCGTCCGGGAGCACGAGCGGCAGCCGGATCCCAATATTGACGGGGTCGAGGGGGTGTGGGTCAAACCCGGGGAGGAGGACGCCGTAGTCGTGTTGGAGGATTTTCTGGATGGCGAGGGCGAGAAGGGGTATGTGGCTATGTACCTGGATGTCTTGCAGGTGTATCGGGACGGCATCAGGGCGGTGCTGGAGCATGTGCGGGATGGGAGGGGCGAGGAGGGATTGTTGTTTCATTGTACTGGTGAGTCTTGGCCGCCTGCTTCATCCGTCGTATGTCATGAAACGTTGAAGAGAGTAAAAAGCTGACTGCATACCTACCTACCTACGTAGCTGGGCGCGACCGAACGGGGGTCGTGGCTGGGCTATTGTTGAGCCTGGCTGGCGCTGGCACGGAGACGATTGTGCTCGATTTCATGTTGTCGCGGGTTGGGATCGAGCCGGTGAAGGAACAACTGCTTACTTTCGCGCTGCATGGGTCCATGGCTGCCAGTCCCGACGCGCCGGGATTCCGGAACCTCATCAATCTGAGAATTAGCAGCTGGGAGGCGTTTGTCAAAGCAGTCGAGACCAGGTACGGCGGGTTTAGAAACTATGTGACCAAGACGCTAGGCTTGTCGGACGAGGATGTGGCCCAGATCAGGCGCAATCTTGTAAAGCAGAATTGAGTGCACATCTAAGGCAGCGCAGAATAGGATGCACAAATGGTGTATTGGTCGTCTCTGAGCATGTCATGAGACCTCAAAGCATTGTCTCAAGTCCATGTGGAGACAGGTCTGGGGAGCAGGATCCCGTTGTGACGTCATCTTCCGCGGGGCGTTGCCGCGACAGTAACAGCCCTACGAGGACCCAGGGTCCAATGCGTCGTCATTCACACTTCGGGGTCTTTGTGTCCACGTGTAAAAGCAGGTTTCTTAAAATACACTGATTTCGGCTACATTTGGGTCTATTCTTGACCCCTTGGACCTCCAGGATGCCGTCACAACTCAACTAACCGTTACTCTGAGGGTGATGTCATCAGCGTTGACGATGCCGATACAACCACGAGGATTTGTATATATATCCCAATAGCACGCGTCCTATATCAAACAAACTGAAGAATAACTCCTATATCAAACAAACTGAGAATAACCAATAATCACCAAATCAACATCAGCCACAACAACTCTAAGTCAAGCCACAATCATACTACCCTATCAATCCACCACGATGCTTAGATCATCCCGCCACCCCGTCACGGCCACTAGTCGCCGTCCCCGCAGCCTCCGGGGTCTCTTCGGCACCCGTCATCGTGCGGCACCTCGGGCCACAGTAACTACCACACGTCCCCAGCGTCGAGGCGGTCTCTTCCACAGGACACGGCCCCATCACCACCACACCACTGCTGCACCCATGACAGTCACTCATCACCACCAGAAACGCCGCACCTCCATCGGTGACAAGATCAGCGGTGCACTGCTCAGGCTGAAGGGCACCATCACCGGACGACCTGGCGTGAAAGTGCGTTTGATCGAGAGGCCCAAAATGTTTTGTGAACCTTACTCACCTGGTTTGGAACAGGCTGCTGGGACAAGACGAATGCACGGGACTGACGGCCGGGGAGCCCGGCGGAGGCGGTTTCTCTGAATTCCCTAGAGGACATGAGATATCGCACGCACGGTTTCCTTTCCCCAAGTCAGTCGACCAGCATTGAGACTGTTACGAAGAGGATGTCGGGGACATGATTGTTCTTGGTTATCATAGAGGCGCGGGCGCGGCACTTGGATTCCCTTTGCCTTTACTACTTACTACTACACAGGTGTATGCGAGATACCCCAGAGCACCACAATGAACAAAGAGAATGTTGTGCCATCTTGTCAATCCATGAAGATAAGCCAAGTAGGAAGTAAAACACTGCAAGAATGCTGCCGCTGCTTCCACCTTCTGGAGGCAGATACCTGTGCCTCTTCATTATCCGCGCCCAGCAACATGTATTAGGCATTATAGTGGTGTAGTAAGATGAGCAGAGCAAAAGCAAAGGCAAAACATTCCGTCATAACCATGCCTCATCTCCTCATAGCGCTTGTTGCGCATCCGCATACCGAGTCATAACCCATGCCAATATAACGGTCTTCTCCGAGTTTCCCCCAATCTCAAACCCAGGGTATCATTCAAGCCCAAAACCCCAAACTCCCACCTGGTTCCCTGTGATAAGGTCACGACAAAAGGAAAGAAAAAATAAACTTATGAATCTGCCATCCCAGCCACTGAGGCACCAGACACCATCAGTTGCGAGAGGGCTGAGGCCCTCGCTCTCGTTGCCGTCCTTGTCCCCCTCGTGGTCCTCGTTCAATCTGGATCTGCGCTTCCCGTTTTCTTGGAGGCGGATCTTTTCACGCCGCGGGCCTCAAGGGTCCAGTCAACGGCGACGCCCTCTTGGCGAAGGTCGCGGCCCCTATTAACAGTAATTGTTCCAGGCCTCGGAGGCAGGATCCGCGGCTCGACCATGCGGATGAGCCTTTTGTTGGACTCGTGAGTCTTCTTGTACCGAGCACGCTGATAGTGCTTTCGGCACACCCACATCCACACGTGTTCGGGGATGCTGCGGGCGCAACTCTTGTTGCGAAACCGCAGATCCCCATAATCCACCCGACACCCAACTCAAAAAAATCCTGGCAGCGGTCGCAACCCCCCCTGTCCCTCCTCCTCACCCTCCCCTTCCCACTCGCTCGTCTCCTCGCCCTCCGAAGAGGACCGACTCCCCGCCCGCGAGCCGTTCCCGCCCACCTCCTCCTCTCCTCCGCCAACCCCACTCCCAGCGCCAAACGGCCCAAATGTCCCATCCCCAAGCGACAGCGAACCATCACCACTACCCTCGCCATAACCAGCCACAGACGACGACACCCCTTCCCCAGCCTCGTCCCGCCGGCAATCGCCACCAAAGACGACCCCGGGAAACTGCGCGACGAACTCCCTCTCGAGCCGCTCGAGGTCATGCCTCGCCGGAGCGGGGTGCCTCTTGCGGCGCGGGAGGGTGTCGCGCCGACCACGAGCCAAGACTTGGTGTGGCGGGGGCGGGGGCAGCAACACCACCGACGACCCCGGAACCTCATATTCCTCCACAACCGGCGGGTGCAGAGGCGGCAGCAGCGACACACGACTTGCCAGCACACCCAGCACACTTGGGACGGCGGTCGCGACGGCTGTCGGGGTCGTGGTGCTGACCGTCCCAAGTGTGCGTCGGGTTGCGTCGTGTGACGGGGTCGGGTGTCGAGAGGGCAGCAGGGCCGGTTGGGGAACGTCGGCGTGGGAAAAGCTGCGCGACGCTCCGCGGATGGTGGGCGGGGCAGTGGTGCTGGAAGCGGTAGTGATGGGGCGGGTGGTAGTGGGCTCAAAGGGGGCAGGCCGCGGCGGGGCGGGAGACCCCTCGGGTGGCCCCGGCAAACACGAGTCCAGCGCGCTGGTCATCACGCGCTCCGACGCGAAGGGGTTGTGCGCCAGGGGAGGGCCCGTGAGGGATCCGTCCGAAATTGCCCGCGGACGCAGGCGTGTTTCGAACTCGGTGGGCAGTCGAGTCGAGCGCGGAGTGGGCGAGAAGGGGTCGGCGGGTGCGTTGGCGGGCGAAGGGGCAGGCGCAAGCTTGGGGCCGTCCCCGAGCACCCTCAGGGCTTTCTCCCGCGCCAGCACGTTGCCCGTCTCGTTCAGACGGAGCTGGGCATCAGGCACCAGCTCAGCCTGTCCCGAGAGCGGCAGTGGCGCCAGGCCGCCCGTGAGGTGCCGAATGTTGTGCGGCTGAATGGTGCGCGGCTTGGAACCTTCTGCGTCCGCGGGCTTGTTTTTTGAGAAGAGCGAGAAGCTGGGCGTCGATATTTTCCTGAGGAGCCGGCGGCCAAAGCTGGGACGTTCGGTGGCTGCTGTCTCAGCCTCAAGTTGTGCAGCACTGCCGTCCCGTTTCAACGCGGCATTGGCTGCCAACATCCTTTCGACTGCATCCTTGACCTCATCTGCATACAGGGTAGGAGGTTTTGCAGGAGTGGGATGAGTTGTTGCAAAATTGGGATGAGTGCTTGCAGGAATCAGATGAGTGCCTCCAGGGGTCGGATGAGAGCTTGTAGGCGTGGGATGAGGGCGGTTATTGCCACTCAGGCCCACGTCCGGACGACCGATAGCTGCTGTGACTGGCATTGTTGTCGAGCTTGTGAGGTCGGGCGGGTGCATTCGTAAAGGGTGGAGAGGTCTAGTCAATGATTGCGGGATTGACCTGGGGTTGGGGTGAGATTGAGAGGAGCTGCCATCCTGTGGGCTGACACGCCTGCTGGGAGGTCTGGAGAGTCTGGGAACCTCTAAAAAGGCAGGATTAGAGGACGGAGGAGGGCTTGGTCTCCGAGTCCTCCAAGCCGGAGAACGAAGGATAATGGAAGAGATCTCATCGTCGTCATCCTGGTTACTGGCAGGCGGAAGGACAATCTGTGGGACTGACTTTTGACTCGAGGAGTTGTGAGGATCCTCGTACGACGGCCGGTTGGCTGATGGAATAGGGGGCGCCCTCGTCGGAGCGGGATAGGCAACGGAGGAGATATCAACGTCCTTACCTTGGTTGCTGGTTGTACGGACGATCTGCGGGGCTGAGGGTTGATTCTGGGTATGATAAGAATCCTCGTGCGATGAGCGATTGGCTGGCGAGACGCTCGGGCTGCTGGTAATCGCTTCAGCCATGTCGACGCCACCGGCGGTTTGGTTCGTAGAGTTGCTTGAGTTGCTCATGGTGAGTTGCAGCTGATGATCATAAGGAACAAGTCGAATCATCGACTCCAACTGTTGAAGAGGGAGTCGAGGAACTCGAAGAAGGCAACAGTGTAGTGCTCCTCGATGAAGTTTGGTCGAAGGAGTGAGGACTTGCCGAAGAAAAAGAAGAATCCTCTGAACTGACGAGACTTGGCTGAACTACTTGAGCTCTCATGCTCTCACTGAAGCAGTGAGGATTTCACGCAAGTGCAGAAGAGTTCGCTGAAGAAGGAGTGAATTCAGTTGAACTGCATGCAGTTTTCATCGGATAAGTTGAGGAATCCGTCCTAAGTTCGAGGGAGATTTGCTGAAGTGAAGGAGAACCCGTTGACAGCGGAGGACTTCACTGAAGAGAAGATAGTTTCGTTGAACTTAACCGTGGACGGATGGGGGACGAGATCTCAAGATGAAAGAAAAGGTCTTGTTCCTGCCGCATCGACAGACAAACTTGAATGCTGAGAAGGTGATGTTGTTGTCCAGAACGAAGGAATGTGCTAGTGCCGGTGACTTCACGTTGTGAGACTGCTTCCAAGGTTGACTGTCGGAGTGTCCGTTCACTAAAGAGAAAGAACTGAGCGAGTTCGTTGTGGTGTCACAGGCCATGGCAGTGGAAATCATGGTGGTCGAGCGCCTGTGGGTGGTGTTACTGCGTATGTGATTCAGAATCCGGAGGGCTTGACGTTTCCGGGCGGCCAATGGCGGAGGCCGGAGGGACCGGAAGCCGGAAGAGGCTGAACTTGGCCCCACTTCTCCGGAGCTGTGCCCGGGCAATGGCGACAGGTGGCCGGCAATTCTGGAAGGAGTGGGCCCGAGTGACTTCGGACGAGAGTGTAACAGGGAGCATCTCCCAATTGCTTTACTGATCAGCCTCTATGCACGCACTTCTCACGGAATATGTTCAACAGGAACTGACCCAATCGTTGTTGAATGATCAATGGGAGACAACGGGAGACAACGCCCAGAGGGCGTGGTATGTGCATGAAAAATACATGGTCGTCGGCCTGCGAGCAAACACAATTGATGACTCCTCCACACCTTGAGACATCGTCTTGGGGCAAGTGCCGGATAGCCACAATGGGGATGGAAACAGTCAACCGATTCCGTTGAAGATAACCAGAAGCTTGCGAAGCTTGATGGGTTATCAATACCACACTCACGGCGAGGAGCAGATATGTAAGGGGAGACAAACTCAGGCCTATCTCCTCTTCGTCCTGGCCCATTGACTGCAAAATGTTGGCCTGCGCTGTGAGGTGGGGTTGCCAATTACCATCGGCCAGCTACCGTGCCGTCTACCACCAATATGAGGCACTCCAGCTTGTCGACAGATAGCAACATTGAATCCACCATCCATCAAGAATGGCCTTGAGCTGCTTGAAAGGGGTGGGTGTGCTGGCAGTTAGAATTGTTGATGTTTATTTTTTGTTCAGGGGTGTGCCCCTGAATTCAGGGTCGAGCTGGACGGCCTAAACGGCCTTTGGAATGCAATATGCATTATCGGGGTGAGTCGTCGCTTAAACTGCAATGAACAAATATGTACTAATAATATACTTGATGATTCATGTTTGTCATGGATGAACTGACAATAAATGCTTCGAAGGTGCAAGTTGGTGAGCTGCCACAAAGATTGTTTTTACCATTGACAACCCGGGTACCTCAGCAACAGCAACGCCAAGCCCTTTGAAATCTGCAGGTGGTAATTGGCGGATGCGAAACCAGCAACCAAGCCAAGTGGGGTCGCGCCGCAAACTCCCCAGTGGCCGAATGGGGACAGATGTCAGGTGTTTCGGTGTTCGGCTTCTATTTCAATCTTCAAACCGTTCCTCGGCCGCGCATTTCCGGAGGCGAATCATCGTTTTTCTGCGACAAAGTTGGAATTGGTTTTCTGGATCGCCTGCTCCGGTTTCTGAGTTACCAACCGGACCACCTTCGCATCTCACTGTGGTGATTCCCGGAGAGGGTTTGGTCGTCGTACGACCTCAGAAGTACAGTCATTCACACCTCCGCGGGAGTGCAGCGGGATTTCCGACTCCGATCGTCTTATTAGGTCAACCGACCTCTGGCCTCAACTTAGAGCCTCTCGCCCCGTTTTTCTACGCTCTCTCACGCTTTTTCTCGACAGACCGCAATGTCGTTCTCTAGCCTCGTTCAGGATCTGTCGCTCCGCGACGCCAGCACTTCAAGGAGACCGGCGATGCCTCGCGGGGATGCCTCGGTGTCCACTGTTGACGACCGCGCTTCCTGCCTCTCCAGGGCCAAGTCGTATGCGAGCACCGCTGCTACTAGTGTCAGCATCTCCGGCGACATTGGCAGCCAGCTTCATGCCGGCTACAGCCACCCTCTCGCCAGGTCCTGGCAAGCTGAGCGCCAACTGACCAAGGTACGCAATCCCGGAAGGCCCACGCGATGGGATGCATCTAACAAGCGGCTTAGTCGATGCTCATTTATCCCCTCTTTATCTCGGATCAAGACGACGAGGAGGTTCTCATTCCCTCCCTTCCGAACCAATACCGCCGCGGCATCAACAGACTCGTCCCCTTCCTCGAGCCGCTTGTCCACAAGGGGCTGCGATCCGTCATTCTCTTCGGCGTGCCCATGAGGCCGGGCACCAAGGACGCTCTGGGAACCGCGGCCGACGACCCAGAAGGCCCCGTCATCCGCAGCATCCAGCTTCTGCGGCGGCGCTTCCCACACCTGTACATCGTCTGTGACGTCTGCCTCTGCGAGTACACGTCGCACGGCCACTGTGGCATCCTCCGCGACGACGGCAGCCTCAACAACCAGCTCTCGGTCGACCGCATCTCAGACGTCGCCGTCGCCTACGCCCGCGCCGGCGCCCACTGCGTCGCGCCATCGGACATGAACGACGGCCGCATCCGCGCCATCAAGCTCAAGCTGATCGAGGAGGGCATCGTGCACAGCGTGACGCTCATGTCGTACGCCGCCAAGTTCTCGGGCTGCCTGTACGGGCCCTTCCGCGACGCCGCCGGCTCGACGCCTTCGTTTGGCGACCGCCGGTGCTACCAGTTGCCCCCCGGCGGCCGCGGTCTGGCCCGCCGCGCCATTGTTCGCGACATCAACGAGGGCGCCGATATCATCATGGTCAAGCCCGCCGGGCAGTACCTTGACATCATCGCTGATGCCAAGGAACTCGGCAGGGACTTGCCCGTCGCTGCGTACCAGGTCAGCGGCGAGTTCGCCATGATCCACGCTGCTGCCAAAGCTGGCGTCTTCGACCTCAAGGCGATGGCGTTTGAGAGCACCGAGGGCATTCTCAGAGCGGGCGCGACCATTATTGTCAGCTATTTTGTTCCGGAGTTCCTGGATTGGCTGTCCAACTGATTGACGTGAGGGGGGTGTATGTTTGTGGCGTTTGGGCGTTTTGAGGCGCTAGCGAGGGAGTCAGGCTAAATCTGGGACGGTTATGCTGGACGGTACGAGGTGTCTTGTTTCCACGTATGTGTTATAGACTCTGAATTTCAGACAGAAGGCTTTCGGCATTGCCCGGGAGTCTAAGTGTGCCAGTTTGAATAAGGTATTTCATCTGCATCTCCTCTACGTCTCCCTCCCATCCGACGGCCACTAGAACCCCCGTAACTGAGAGTTATCTCTACTATCCATCGGGATATACCTCTCCCTCAGCACCTCCTCCACACTCCGGTTCATGCGCTCCTTCCGTCGGGCACTGTCGTATCTCTCTGCCAGTACTTTCTCAATATCGGAAACGTGGAGCATCTTAGCATCCATCTTAGCCTCGGCCTTCTCCTCAGCAAGATGAACCATCGCCTTGCTCTTCTCGACTAGATCATGGGCCCTCTCCATCCCCCTCGAAATAGCCCCACTGGCCTCCCCAACAGCCTCCGACACCACCTCCCTCGCCTCCGAGACAACCTCCTTCGCCTCGTCCCTCATCGCCTGCGCAACCGCGACCGTTGTATCCCGCGCCTGATACAACGCGTCGCTCATCCTGCCGTGACCATGTTCCGCACTACCCGGCGCTGTCGCCGCCCTAGGCGGAGGATACACCACTTCCGTTTCCCTGACGGATACGGGCTCCTTGGACAGCTCAACACCAAATAAGCTTGCCACGCCGTCCTCGGCGTCCTCTCTTACTCTGGCCCAGTCCTTGTTCTGCGCCCAGCGCACCGCTGCCAGAACCTCGCTGTTCCATTTCGTTTTGGCCGTCTCGATAAAGGAAGACGCGCTGACCGGCTTCTTCTCGGGCGGCTGGTGCTGCTGCGCCGCCAGGAGGCTCTCGCGTGGGCGGTAGGTGCCGTCCGGGAGGAGCACGGTGGCGTTGCGGCGGCGGCGGGCCGAGAGCGGGAGGGACTGGTCTGGTGGGATCAGGGTGTCGAGGGTCGAGGCTTGCGCGCGGAGGAGGGCAGATTGCGCTTGCCGGTTGTGGGTGTGTGTGAGAAGGGCCAGGTAGGTGAGGGAGAGCGTCAGGGTTAGGCCGCCTGCCTGTTTGGGTGGATTGGTTAGCTTGGGTCAGGTGTGGTGTTTATCTGGACGTATGGACGACATACGAAGCCGGCCACGAAACCCATTGTTTCTTGTTTCGGCTGGGTATGCGGGATTTGAGATAGTGCGACGGGAGTTGGCGGTTAAATTGTTGCGAAAATTTCCTATATTCCGTGACTAAGTCCGATGGCTGCACATTCGTCCCTTGAGTCTGTTGTTTTGAGTTGCGCCTGGAATTGTCGGACCAATGTTGGTGACGTCGTTTTTACAGATAAAGCTGGCTTGGTGTTTCGAGGTCGATGGTCGAAACCAGGGGCCTCCCTGTCGGGGTGCACGGACTTATCTTTGTGGAACCTGAAGATCTGCAACTTGCAGCATGAGGTGGTGAATGCCGCTGTCGGTTCGCTGCCGATAGGGACCCAAAAATTCACGATTCTGGACTCAATCACGGCGCCAACCCCGACCCAGATCACAGCAGCTGACAGACAAACAAAACCACTTTGCTCCACAATTCCCGACCATCGACTCCAGAACGACTCCCTCCCAATCGTTCTCCAGTTGAAAGAGCAAATACAGCGCCCACCATGGCGGGCGGCCTCGTCAAATACCGGCACTTGTCGCGCGACTCGGCGCACCGCAAGGCCCTCCTCCGCAATCTGGTCACGTCGCTCATCAAGAACGAGTCGATTCACACCACATGGCCCAAGGCCAAAGAAGCCCAGCGGCTAGCCGAGAAGCTCATCACCCACGCCAAGAAGAACGACGAGGTGGCGCGGAGAAAAGCCCAGGGCATCCTCTTTGTCAGTCCCCATCCATCTACCCATCCTCCTTCCCCCACACCATCATCCAGTCGTCGTTGTTTGAAAGAAAGCTAATACAGTACCCCGACACAGACACCCCACGAGCTAATGCCGAAACTCTTCGGCGAGATCCGCGAGCGGTACCTGAACCGGCCCGGCGGCTACACCAGGGTTTTGCGGACGGAGCCCAAGGACAAGTACGACCAGGCGCCGAGCGCGATATTGGAGCTGGTGGACGGGCCCAAGGACATGCGGTTTGCCATGACGGCGGCGGCGGTGGCGCGCGACCGGATGCTTGGCAAGCGGCACACGGAGCTGACGCAAAAGAATGTCGAGAAGGTGACGCGGTACCGGCGCGGCGGGAGGGAGGAGTTTGAGGAGATGGTGGGCAAGATTGAGGAGTTGAAGTTAAGCCGGGATTAAACCGACTGTTGTAAGAATCATATGTAAACGGGTATGGGCGCCCGTGGGTTCAATGATCAAGGGGAATTTGGGAATTGTGTACATTACAAAGGCGCACGTGTATGATACGAAGCTGGGAGGATGTGTGATTTCCAACCCGGCCGGCGTCGGGAAGACGCTGCATCGATCTACAGATACAGAGCGCAACAAGCTTACACAAAGTCAAACGTATCCCCCTGCTCGTGGATCATCTTGCCCACTCGCGACGTCCCAACAATCCTCTCCAGCTTCATCACATCGTACTTTGAGAACATGACCCTCACAACCCCCTGACCATGCTCCATCAGCAGCGACTGCTCGCTCTTCTGCAGATACCCGCCCGCGATCTCTTGGTAAAACAGCGGATTGTCCGGCAGGCCGTACATGACCACCCGCGTGACCCCCTTGATCCGATACCGCCTAAAGTGGTGCGCCCGCTCCGTGTACAGCAGCACCTTGTGCCTCCCGTTGAGGAAATGCGACCTCGCGCGCGACGCCTCGGGCACGTCGGCGTACTCGGAGATGGTGCCAAACGAGACGTTCTCGACGGCCGGGTTGTTGGCGAAGTAGTTGCGCACCCGGACGAAGTCGAGGTATGAGGGTATGAAGATGAGCGTGCCGGCCGCGTCGCGCGCTTTGTGCCGCGTCAGCATCGGCACGATGGCCTTGGTAAAGTAGGCGAACCGCGCGTCCGGATCGGCCACGATCGACGCCGCCTCGAACCGGCTGAAGGTCTGCCGCGCCTTGACGGGCAGGTACTGGATCACGCCGGCCACCTCCTGCTGCAGGCGGGCCTTGCCGGCCCAGTTGTGGCAGTGTGCGCGGAACAGCTCGGCGAGTTCAGGCGTGTTGAAGGCGCTGAAAATAGCCGTCTGGCGGAAGTACTTGGCTTGGTCTTCGAGGTACCAGTGGCGGACGCGGCTGAAGTCGCAGCCGTGCGCGTCCTTGGGTTGGATGTTGAGATGCTCAAAGATGAATTCCATGTGCTCCCAATTTTGCATGAGCAAGGCGTCAGCCTGGTCGACGATGACCAGCTCAATGGAGCTGAGAAAATCAAAATCGAGCTTCTTCTCCTCCTCGGATCCAATGGCCATGCGGAGGCCGAGCGGGCTCCCAAAGATTATGTCCGAGTTGTAGAACTGGGAGAAGTACTTGATAGTCTTGCGTGTGAACTTCATGCCTAACCGGAACATGTCATCGTCATTGCCCGAGAAGAGATCCCTGAAATCCTCCGGCTTTTCGTCTGAGAATCTGGATTGCTTGTCGATGTAGCCATCTTCGAAGCGCTTCCTGTTCTCCTGTTGGTCTGGCTCGCAGATCGAGACAATCATATCAATCATTTTGACACAGGATTGTCTCGTTGGAAGGATCACGAGCACCTTTGGGCGTGTGAAGCCTTGGTCTCTCACCTCCAGGTCCTCATTGTTGTCGGTCCTAGCTAGCCTGGCATTGTTCTTGATGACTCGGTCGCGCGTCCTGTGGAGAGTTAGTCAACTGACGTGTGCTTATTGTCATCAACGCACTTAAAAATATGATTCAGAGCATGGAGGCAGGCCATGCGTCTGATGCTCTGGGAGCCTGACACCGTCCGGTTGCAGTAGAGAAGGTCCTGGTAGTTAAAGAGTAGAGGTGCTATTGTCTGCTCAACTTGGTCGAACTTGGGGTGTTTTGTTGTCATGGCCTCTTGCAGCCTCTTCTTAAGTTTCAGATCCGATAAGCCTGATACTGGTGCTGGTAAGGGGTTTCCTTCAGAGGTGCCGGCATCGAGAGTGTTGAGGAACACCCTCGTCGACTCGGCTGCTATCCGCTCCATGCGCCACTTGCCACCTTGGATGGCACTTAGCCTCGGCTGCAGCTCTTCGGCCTTGGGATCGGCGAAGTGCACCTCGAACGGGTCTGAGCTGTCCAGGTCGTCATCCTCGTCGAACAAGTCTTCGGGTGCCGCATTAGCTGGATCTTCCTCAGGCTCCTCTACCGCGTCGACATCCCGGTTCTCAACTTCGTCACCATCCTCACTGCTGACCGGCGGTCTCGGCTCTAATTTCGAGAGCTCCTTGTCCTCAGTCTGTGGGTGATCGAGTTTCCGCCGCTTTGCCTTGTGAGGCGCACTTTCGACAAGGCTGCGCATCAAACTCATGTAAGGCTGCGCAGACTGCTTGGGGTCCTCCTCATCTTCCTCATCCGAGTTAACTTCAATGATCTCCGGTTCATCTTCCGAGGGAGTCCCGGCCTCGCTCTCCGATTCACTATGTAGTCAGCGTAACGATCACAAGAGGAGAAAATCATAAAACAGGAATGGAATACACACTCATTTGGGGCCAGCCGTTTATCGTCAAACCGGGCACTTCTGGGTTGGCGAGCGACAGCTTTCCCTCTCCCTCTGCCTCTGCCTCTGACTGCTCCCCTCGTTCTAGATCCGCCACGACCAGAGGCCCCGCGGAATCCAGCACGGCCTCCGGGCGCCATCGGTATGCAACTTTGGCCTTCGCCTCGAAAACCTACGGTAGGCTGTTTAGGGTAGTCTTGAAACAGTCGATGCTACGACGCCAGACCATACAGAAAGTTCGGACTTTGCTGTGTATACTCCGTAGATGAGCATGAAATCTTTCGGCCTTGCGGACCCTTGCAGTCAACCACTCATGCAGCGCCGCCAAGACATTTTGTTCCGAATTTCTGCCCAGGCCCTTCTTTGCGGGTTGAATTGGCCTAGAAATTACAGGTGCACTGTGGCAACCTTATGTATCGTACGCGAATTATCGAGACGTTGTGAATTTGGCGGCTTGGCGAAAAGGTACTGTAACTTACTGATCACGCATCCACTGGGCTTGCGGCGCCGCAATCCTTTAATTGAAGGAGGGCACTCCTCCATACTTGCCTGTCGCCAACAGATGAACAAGAAAGCCTCCGGCCAGTGCGACGACGAATCTCACCGTAAAAACAGGAGAGCGGCAAGTGCCTCTGGGTTTCGTTTTGGCCCCGCGGGTGCCCCGGTTGTTTCCGAGTCCACAGCACACTACGCATATGCGCCGGCGCCGCCAACATGACATCTGCAGGACCGACGCAAATCGCCGGCGCCACGAGTAGATCTCGATTGACCGAGAACAAGCGCCGCTACCGAGCTCGTCGGAAAGAGTATGTAGCGGATCTAGAGCGACGTCTCGCAGAAGCGCGAGCGCAGGGGGTAAAGGCGACAAAGGAAGTGCAGTCGGCCGCACGAAAGGTTGCCGCCGAGAACGGGCGCCTCCGGGAACTCCTTCGGTTGGCTGGCTTCGCCGACAAGGACATTGACGGGTGGGCCACGGGGGATTCGAGGGATTGCACTCGAAGGGGAGAAATAGAGCAGAAGGCCAGGCTTTGTGCAGCGATTCTAGCTAGCCCGGAGGGGTTGGCCGCGGAGGAGAAGACATGCCCATCGCGGAAGAACATCAGGCAGAGGGAGTCCAGGGCGGCTGGGGCTATGCCACGGAACACAGACACAGCATTAAGCATCCAGGAGCCGCTCGCCGAGTCTGGGTCCTCCGAAAGTCATGACTCGGACCCAACGGTGACTGCCGGCCCCACGCCCCCGACGAGTGAGGCTGCTACACGCACAGGGACCTGCGCCGCCCGTGGCCGAGAAATCCGGCCATGCAAACTCCTCTCCCTTCTGGCCGAGAATCCGAGTGCAGATATCACGCAGGTCCCAGTTCATCCAAGAGCAGCCGATCCTCTCCATGATACCGCTCAGCGCGAAGGAGATGTGGAGTGTGGGAAGGCATATGAGATGCTCATGCAGTACGCGACATCCGAGGAGAAGATGGATTACGTTGCCCGAGCGTTGGAAGCCGGCTGCACCGCGAACGGGAAGGGCGGCTGTGCCGTTAAGAAGAAAGTTGTATGGGAAGCTCTCGACAGCATGTGTGAATGAACTCTTGTTAAGATGGTTGACCTGCCTCGGCGCTAAGGTATACGTGTAATGGTTGCGCCGTTTCCCCTTCCGACTAGTAGTACGGTGAGCTACCTATTTTTCAATTCCGCGCTGTACCATAGTGCATATTTCCTTACGTTAACGAAGATAGCTAGTCCGAGCAGTTGGTTGTCCGAAATCTCAATCCACATCTGTTTGGCCAGCCCATGTATGGCTCGGAATGGAAGCACACCCAAACCGTCCTCCAGGTAACTAACGACTCCGCCACGTGTCGCGGACGACCTCACCAGGGTAGGAGGACATGGGCCCAGGAACGGACGGAGAGATTTTTGTGCGTGCACCAATCAAAGGTAAGGTGTCCGTCCTCAGGTCCTGTCTCGGCACTTGTACTAATACGTTAAGTTAAAGTTATCGACTAGCGTTTTTTTACTTCTGGCACCCCACGCTAGCCGAGCGAGCAGTACACTGGCCAATCATAACGCGCCTGTCCGTCCATTCCCTCATTGTCTATGGATGGGACCGATGGAAGGAAGGCCAGGCCGCAGAGGTCGGCTTATATATGACCTGGGCTATGCGGGATATTGGCAGCAATGGAGAGTCTTCTCCATCCGACCTTGGATGCAGAAGAGCCCGACGAATTCGATCGCCAGCACCTGAACGGGAATCTCAATGGCTGCGGAACCGACAACCCCAGAACGGGCAATGACCCGGTCACAGGACAAGAGAGCGGATGAAGAGGCTCAGAAGAGTGACGCTGCCCAGCATGAGAGCAAGGAATCGGCCTCTGACACCCCTTCCGAAGGCGACCAAGGGCTGCAGGACAACTCGAATGTCCCCAAGATGTCGTTTCTGAAGCTGTTCTGGTTCTTCTTTTACAACTTTGGTCTCTTCGCCTGGGGCGGTCCCGTCGCGCAGATCGCCTTGATCAAAGACAAGCTCGTGGTCCAGGACAAGTGGATTACCCTCACTCGCTTCCAGCGCGTCTTTTCCGTCTACCAGATCCTCCCCGGCCCCGAGGCCGCCGAGTTATGCATGTTCTTCGGCTGTTTGTCTGCGGGCAGGATTGGCGGCATCATTGCGGGCATGGCGTTCATACTTCCAGGGTTTCTATTGATGCTCCTGGCTAGTTATGTGTACACGCTGGCTGGTTTCGAGAACCAGTATTTCAACGCTTCCTTTCGGGCCCTGCAGCCTATCGTCGCGGCAATGGCACGTACCTCGAAACCTACTATCCTTCCTGCTCAAGGACCACACCGACACCCTTGTGAGGTCGTCTGAGGCTGACGTTTTGAATTTTCTAGATCCTGAGAGCAACCCACAAAATCGCCGAGCACTCTGTGAGGAAGCATGACACGAAGAAGATCGACCCGTTTCTTGTCATCATAGCCGTTTGTACAGCAATCAATTGTGCCCTTCGCCTGAATATGTCAGTAAACCCAGAGCCACATTTTTCCAGATCCGACGACCCCAGCCCCTTTCCGTCACTCTCAAGAGTCTCAACATGAAGGCTAAACTAAAGCCGCTGACCAACTCAACAGCTTTATTTCTCTCGGCCTGTACGGCACCATTTACATGTTCATCGCCCGTCGCCTCTGGATCCCTGCCGCCGTTCTCTTCGCCCTGCAATACTGTGGCTACGCCATCTACGCCGTCTTCCGCGGCGTGCCGTCACCGGTGTCGCTTGCCCTCGGCGTCGCCCGGGCGCCGTCGCTCATCAACCTCTTCGTGCTGGGCCTGGTGTCCGGCTCGCTCTCGTTTGGCGGCGCGTACACGGCCATCCCGTTCGTGCAAGTCGAGGCCGTCTTGCTGGGCGCATGGCTCCCGCAGAGCGTTTTCATCGACGGGATCGCCATCGGCAATATCCTGCCGGCGCCGCTGGTCATCTTCGCCACCTTTGTCGGTTTCCAGGGCGCGTACTTGGAGAATGGTTCGCTTGGCAACGCGTTTGCAGGGGCCATCATCATTACCCTGGGCATGTTTTTCCCCTGCTTCCTATTTACCATTGCCGGCCATGAACTGTTGGAGAGGCTGGTTCGAAATCAGGTTCGCAACTCCCCCCTCAAACACGCTGCCTGCCCAGCACCCCTTGCCACTGTATCATCCGCGTACTATGACAAGCTCTAGGTATTTCGCTGACAGTTTCCTTCCGGATGGAACAGTTCCTAGCCAGCTTTTTCGACGGTCTCTGTGGCTCGGTCATCGGTGTTATCGCCATGATCGCAGCCCAGATCCTTAAGGCCAGCGTCGAGGGCAACTTGGACAAAGCAAAGGAAAAGACGCTTGGTGAAGCCGTTGCCGCAACCGCCCAGGTTGGCCCAGCGGCAGTCCTTTATGTGCTTGCTCTGGCGGTTCTTTACAAGTTCACCAATAAGTACACTGCGCTGTTCTTGGTCATCGCGGGCGGGGTGGCTGGGCAGTTCCTCTTCCTGGATGTCTAGAGCCGGAAATCTTACCCGTAGTCGCCATTATACTACTGTATGCTGCGGTGGACCCGAGGTGTCGTTGTCTTTCGCTGCGCTTTCACTCCACTCTATAAATGCAGAAAGACTCCAGAAGTGGGCTGCAGAGCAGAGCGATATGCTGAGCCACGGCAAGCCACGGCGACATGCCTCAGGGCATTGAGGACATGGCACGGCCCTGTTCTGTAGCATGGCCGGAATAACGTAACCGCTTCCACCCCTTGCACTCTCCATAGCTTGACGTGTTGAAGCGTATAACACCCAGGTTAGACCCTTCCCGTTCCCTACAGATAACGAGCGCCTTGGATCCGGCCTGTGGTCGTGAGCCTGACAGGGTAGCAGTGCCAGCCTCCAGTCCCATCTTTGTCCGACGAAGCTGGGAAGGGGAGCTAGGGACCGGGAGAAGTGCTGCACCGGGCTTCTTTGGAGATGGGTAATTCTGCCCGCGAAAGGAGAGCATTCGGACACCCCGCCACAGCCCTGTGAAGAGGGTCTCCATCAACCTCAATAGTAGCCGCCGTGATGCTTCTTCAGAGAGCCACTTTGGCGACTGCAAATCAATGCGCTCGGCCCATTTCCAAAGGCTTGGAGTGTGGTTAGGATAGTGCCGGGGCTCGGCATATGTTGACTTTGCCAGGTTTTGGCTGCTCTTCCTTGCCGTGGTCAGCTGGCGGATTGCCTTCAAAAGAAGTGTTACAGACTGACGGATCGTGAAGACTGCCGCCCGCCAGTCCTACTGCCGTCCCTGCTGCGCCCAGAGCGAGACTGTGTGCAGAGTTAACAAGCTGCGTATCTCAGTCATCGCTCTCTGACGTGTCCGTTCCGAAATAGCTGCTGTCAAGCGCACTGAAGCCTTCCTCTGGCAGCACTACGTACATGAGACCGTTGAAGTTCATAGCCACGGTGTCTTGCAAGCCCCGGCTTTTCTACCCGAGATTTGTTTTCGAGAACGGGAAGCCCAATGCTTTCTTACCCGTCCGCCTCCTCATTCAGATCGAACAATGTTGTCATTAAGTAGCAGGACGGTAGATCTTTGTCGTAGTTACAGTACCTTGCTGTGTACCTGAGTCGGTTTGCTGAGGTGGGACCATGCTTGTTCTCAGCTTATCGGAGTGCCAAGAGTTCTTATCGTAGCAGCGCACAACCAGGTCCCGCATCCGCTGCAAATCCAAAAATTCCATGTCCAACTCCGGCGGCGAGCTCTGAAAGAAAAAGGCTCCAGTCCGCCTGCGACGACTTTCCCCGATCCGTGACCCGCCCAAACCACGCCCTTGTTCATACCCCATCAACCGTCGCCAATTTTCCGCGAGCTGGGGAAAACATTACACCCAACCTCAAGCGGACAGGAACAGGGTATCGATCAAGATGGCTGTTGAGCAGGAGCATTTCGTCCACCTGGCCCGGCCCCTGGCCCCAAGCAGTTTCGCTGCCGGCAGTGCCCCGCTTACCGTGAACCTACAACCTCAAGTACGCCCGCACACCCCATCCATACCCATACCCCTTGCCGAACACACACAAGTGTCGCTTATCAGGAAAGGGAACTTCGAATTGGCTCTAACATGGACTTCTCCCATTAGGCCGTCTTCTCAGTCGTCGATCATGCGGTCCGCCGCGACATTCGCGACACACAATCGACACGAGTGATCGGCGCCCTGGTCGGCACCCGCAGCGAAGATGGGAGCGAGGTCGAGGTGCGGAGCACCTTCGCCATCCCCCACACTGAGAACGAGGATCAAGTCGAGGTCGACGTCGAGTATCAAAAGAACATGCTCGCCCTGACCCTCAAGGCCTCCCCGCGCGAGACCCTCCTCGGGTGGTACACGACCTCGCACGAGCTCAACAGCTTCTCGGCCCTCATTCAGAACTTCTTCGCTTCCCCGGAAACAGGCACTTTTCCGCATCCGGCCGTGCACCTGACCATCTCGACCGAGCCGGGCGTCCCGATCGAGACCAAAACCTACATTTCGGCCCCCGTGGCCGTCTCCCCCGACCGCGCGGCCGAGTCCTGCCTCTTCATCGAGGTCCCCCACAAACTCCTCTTCACCGATGCAGAGCGCGCCGCGCTGGGCACCGCCACGGCCGCCGCAACATCGGAATCCCGCTCGGCGCCCGTCGTCTCCGACATCGAGTCGCTCACGCAGTCCCTCGAGACCCTCTCGGACCTGCTCGAGCGCGTGTCGGGCTACGTGGGCGAGGTGCTCGACGAGGAGCGCGACGGCAGCCACGCGCTTGGGCAGTACCTGATGAACGCGCTGTCGCTTGCGCCCAAGGTGTCGCCGACGCAGATTGAGCACGACTTCAACAACCACATCCAAGACGTGCTCATGGTCAGCTACTTGGCCAACACAATTCGCACGCAGATTGACCTCGCCCAGCGACTCGCCACGGCGCCGCTCGCGGGCGGCTTCGAAGGAGGGGCCGACAAAGGCGGCAAGGAGGGAGAGGAAGGCAGTGGCGGCAAGCAGCAGGACGGTGGAGCCGGCGGCCGGTCCGGAGGCGGGAGGGGAGCCAAGGGTCGGGGTGGTCGCGGTGGTGGTCGGGGCGGCGGTCAGCAGAGGGAACCTAGGGAGCCGAGGGAGAATGGCGAGTAGAAAAACAGAGAGAGAATGAATGAACCTGAAGCCAGTCAACATCGTTGTCAAAGGAGGTTCCGCGGCTTTTCCTTTGTGTGTCGCAAAGAAAATGTTCCGAGATGGGTTTGTCTGTTTTGGCGTAGTTTGTCCTACTCCTAACCTGGACTAATGTCGGTTCATTTCGGTTGAGTTCCTAAGGGAATGGGTGGAGTAATCTTGAAAAAGCTGGGGTGACAGCAAACATGGAACAGTATTGGGCTCAAGAAGGCCTGCGAAAACGCAAGTGAAGAGGGTTGATATAGGTTAAGACGTTATAAACCTTGGGACAGGAAGCGCAGCATGGGTGGTGTTCATCTCCAAGCACAGGGTAGAGAACATCTCCGACTGGAATCCCACGGCGTTGGGACGTCATTACAGGGCTCTACTTCCATTACAAATGGATAACATCCTCTTTAATCTCTATCCCACACTCTATAAGCCTGGTTGGTAGTTGCTGACTCCCCCAAATACTATATCCCCATTTGACCTCCTATCAGGTGTTTCGTGGCCGACTCGAAACTCCTCAGAACCCAGAGCTGCCAAGCTGAGCACGGCCTTTTCGCATCGTACTCTTCTCCACGCAGATGGGTAGAGAACGCGAATGTCCCTTTCGCATGTTTTGATCTTGAACAGCACCAAGCCCACCACTTGCTTTACTCCCAAAACGCCCCGATGCATGCGCCCTCTGACCATGTTTACGCCTTCTTGAACCCAGTATCCATATTGACTCCTGACACCGCTCCCATGCTCAAATTCTATGTGGAGGGCTTCTGCGGCAACGTCGCGGGGTTGCCGTAGTTGGGAAGATGACCGAACGTCTGGCCTGGTATTCCCGCGGGCCCGGCAGGTTTGTTGGGCATATGCATGGGGCCGCTCGGAGGCATAAGCTGTGGCCCGTGGGGCGCTGGCACATGGACAGGCTGCTGCACAGGGTGGTACGACGGTATCGAAGTATTGGAGCCCTGTCTCGTCATACCATATGGCCCGGGAACCGGGCCAAACCCTGGTTGTGGCAACGGTTGCTGGAACCCACCGTAGCTCATGTGCGGCGATGGGAACTGCGGGCTACCATGGCGAGGGCTCGATCCTCCATAAGGACCGGCCGGCGGCGGCGCCGGGGGTTGCATTGGGAGTCCGTTACCTGGGACAAAGGATTGCGTTTTCGGATTGAAAACTTGACGGTTGTAACTGCCTGGGATCGGATGCTGACTCTTGGGGTCATTCGGGTTGGCATTTGCGGGAAGCTGGCCGTAAGCATACGGTATTCCCGCAGGCGGGACGGGGCTAGAGCGTGGGGGGTAAGCGTTCTGGGCGAAACCCTGCTGCGGCCAAGCCGGCTGTGCAGCATTGGGCACGGGGCTGCCGTACGGGCCGCCCACGGGAGGAGCATTAGGAGCCCGGTAACCCGGTTGCGGCGGCGGAGGTCCGGTCTGGGGCACAGCCTGAGGCATGGGCGGTACTGGATACTGTAGCCGAGTTAGGTTGGTGTGGGGAAGAAACGCGATATGGAGTGGTCTTACAGGTGGCATTCCGGCGTATTGGGGAGTGAAGCCGTTGTTCGGCATCATCGGCGGCGTATATGCCTGGCCAGGCGGGTACATGGACTGCGGTGGGGTAGGGTACGGCGGCTGGAACTGCGCGTTGAATGGAGCTGCGTTCACCGGGAAGTACTGGGGCGCCGAGGGTCCCCAGGCCGGATGCTGAGGCCAGGCAATATACTGCGATCGCGACTCAAAATTTTCTGAGTCGTCCCGCCGCTGCTTGTTGGCCTTCCTCTTGCCGCCATTTGGCTTGTCTTTGGCGGAGACAGAGCTGGCCCGGGACACACCATTGCTATCTTCGCCATCTGTAATCCAGGCAGTCAGTACATGATATCGGGGTCTTGCGCCCGACCTACCCTGATTCGAATTCTCAGTCTTCTCAACGCTCCCAAAAATGCGCTGCCGGGCTCTGTTGTATGCCTCTTCGCGCTCTTCCCTGGTGAGTCTGGAGGATACGGTTAGCTTTCAGTGACGACTGCCAGTTATCAATTGAATACACTTACTTCTGATTGGCCGAGGCTGATTTCTCCTTGGAGTCACTACCAGCTTCCGACGTGGGCTTGGACGGACCTGCGCTTGCGGGGCCAAACTCTCCATCTTCTCCGCGCCGCATAATCTTCCGTGGCAAGATGACCGGTGCAGGGGAGCTGCTGTTTGGCGTGCTTGCCGCAAGGCTCGACAGGGACGGAGGGATCCGGCAAAATGGGGTCCTAAAGATGCGTACTGCTCCTGCGGCTGCCTCATAAGAGTGCGTCATATGGTAGTAATCGGCAAGCCTGTGCGTCAACATCCGGCAAAACGAATTGCTAGGAGGCAGATCCATATAAGGCTCTCTGAGCCCAGTCAGCAACGATGGCCTACAAAAGAAAGGGGGGCAGCAAAACATACTTTGAATCCTGGACAAACTCAATCACTTGCTGCTCCAGCCTCAGCAGAAATATGCGATCTTTGGGAGACTGCATTGCTTCAAGAAGCTTATCGTCTGGGTTCTGGCTGTAAAAAGGGGTCGGGGCTAGGCCGTCGGGAGTTGCCCCGCCATCAACCAGAGAAACCTTGGGTTCTGCTGCCACTTGCTTGCCCGAATCTCCGCTCTGTGGTGTGCTGACGTCCTGATTCTTGTTCCCGACCAGGATGTGGTGCGGGGGAAGAGCACGCGGCGGCATGTCTCCGATCTGAATACGTTGGATGCGAGCGGCGAGGTCAGAGCCCATGCGAGAACCGGCAATGTAAGAACCGCGAATCGAGAAGGCGTCATCATCTTCTGCCGCGGCCTTCATGCTGGCACTGTCGTCGGGCCGCAGGGATTCCTTCTCGTCCAAAGCAAAGGTAGTGCCCGAAGTAATGCTTTTGCCGTCCAGGCTGGGCGGCTTGGTGCCTAGCTCGGAGTTCGAATCGGCTCGCTGAGACGTATCATCGGACGGCGTTTGACTATTGTTGACCTTGCGAGCGGGAAGAGACCCGTTGACGATGAGATTTGGAGGCGAACTGATTTCCAGCTTCAGATCCTTTAACCCCGAGACGGCCTTAGAGTCGGCGGGCGGTTGGTTGCTGGCCATCTGCGGCTCACCAGACTGAAGGGCCGCAGTGGGGCCATCTGCCGGCAAGCTAGAATGGGCGGCGTCGTCGGGTGCCACCGTGGGGACGGGAGCGGGCTCGTCTCTCTTGTCTCTGGCACTGGCAGAGTCGGTCGGCTGAGCGGCAGCAGTAAAAGGCTTTGAGCCTTTGGTGGCCGACGCCGCAGCAACCTGTGGGCGAGAGCTTGTCAGCCGATGACAATCTCGAGGGAGGCCAGGCGAGTGCTCTTGTGAGATGACGTACCTTTGCAAACGACATCTTCCCGACATCCTTCGCCATCGTGGGGACTGCCGCCATAGCTGCTGCTCCGAATATAGCCGGAAACACCGAATGTCGTACAATATCGGCGGAAGATAGCGATGCTGAGAGCAGGAGACTGACAGATCAGTTCTTGGAAGAATGAGCGGGGCCTGCACGGCTGTGAACGGTGGCCGGGCCGGTGCAGGATGACGGATCCGACGGAAGATCAAGAAATGATACGCGGCAGGACTGTCCGGACCGAAGGAAGAGCGCAGGTAATCATTGTGTGGTGGATGAATGCATAACCGGGCAATTTGGTGTTGTCTCCCCGAGAGGTGAAGTCGAAGTCAGCGCGGAGCAAGATGCTGCCCTGCGGCAGTCGAGTCCGATGCACAGGACCTAATCAGGGGGCGCTTGAACGTCGCAGTCCCCGATGTCTGTGCCCTGTCTGGGAAGCAGACGCGAAGATTGGGCGATTGACGAAAGGCAGATCTCTCGTTGCGGCGAAGGAGGGTGCGATGTCCAGGATGGATGTGGTTGCACAAGGAACGGATTTCTTGCAACGAGGCTGCACACACTTCAACAGGGGTGCCTGTGCTCCTCTTCTGGATTTAAGTTCTCCGAAGAGAGGCGCCCAAAATGCGGGCCGGGCCTGATAAAAAGAGCCCCACCCGGACCCGAAAACGACAGAGATGTTGCAGCAAATGGGCAATACCGAAAAGGCACTCGAAGAGGAGCAAGTTCAGCAAACGACAGATCTTAGAAATCAGACATTTATGCCATATTGCTCTTCTCTTGTTGTAGCCATGCATGCCCAACTGTTGGTAATCTGGATGCGCGGGTGCTATGTGATTATCATCCCAAGGAAGTTTGAAAGCAATGCACTCAAGCTTTAAGCACCCACCCATCCAGTGCTGTGGATTCCTCTCAGAAACCTGTTCTCGTGCATACTGTGTAAGCTGTCGAAGCAATGGTGTGTCGGTTTGTTACACAGGCCAGAGGTCAGCCGTAAAAGGGCCCCTCGATTTTGGCCATTTGCTGTGCTTGACGCTGCCTTGACGTCGTACTTCGGTTTTCCACAGATGGCCATCATGGAGTTGAAGAGACCATTGGATGTCTTTTCGATGACATGGGCAGCCGGAACAACAAAGCCTCGTAGCAGCCGCTGAAACGCATTGATGTTAAGCATGAGGCTTGATTGTCAGGTTACTAATAATGTAAGGACGACGTCCGTGCCCGCACAACCAAGCAAACCAATTCAGAGGAAATGGTTCTGCCGGGGCGGTGACCAAACTTGGCTAGCGATGTGTTTTGGTAACATTCTAACATTACCACTCTGCAATACCAACCGTGGACTTGCTCAACTCATCTTCAGCAAGCGATCTATGCATCACCAGCTCTCCTATCCCTTCCTGGACGTGTTGATGAGCCTTCCTTTTGGTCCACTCGATTGATATTTTTACTGGGAAGTTGTTACTCTCAATCTGCAGTATTGTCTATTTTACAACCTCAGCAGCACCGCCGATCACTGCACCCACAGCACTCTTATTCACTCACGCTCAGATTGGGCTTTACGGATAAACCGAGTCAACAAGTCAGGTGCAGCAGCGCAACATCAACCAACGGCCCGTGATCTGGACACATAAACACCACGATGCATCCGTATCGCGGCCGGAGCGGGCCATCCAGGGCAGTATCATCAAACGTGCAATGCCAGAAGTGTCTCAAACGAGATAAGTAGTATATTCCAACTCCTCGTTCTTATTGCTGACCCTCATAGCACGTCACTACTCATACGAATGCAAGGCGGCGCCCCAGGAACGCCCCTATATCGCCAGGCCGTCCCGCACACAGCAGCTGTTTAATCCTAAACTGCTTCCCAAGCTATCAAGCGAGAATCCCAATACCTTGCAGGAGAAGTAGGTTACATGCAACTATCTATTCCACAGGCTTAACCGTCTGCTGACCTGCGACCTGTAGAAAAGGTATAGCCGACGAGGAGCTAGCCAAGCGCGAGGCTGAGAGGGCGCGGAAACGTGAACGTGAGATGGACGAAGAGGCTGCTTTGAGGGACTCGCCTCCACCCAAGGGCAGGAGGTCGCCCTCTTATGACTCAATCTCTAGTATCTCCACCCGATCCCCGTCCCCAGCACCGCGACGGAGCCGCAGCCCCCAACATCGGGGGAGGCGGCGGGACACTCGGAGCCTGTCCTCTCGTGACTCCCAGGATCGCCGGCGTTCCTATGGCTCTGCCCATCGCCACCCTCGAGGGCCCTCGGAGAGCCCAGAGCGTAGCGTCTCAAACAGAAGCAAGCGCCCGCTACGCTCCCCTTCACCACGCCGACGCCGGACTCGCTCTCCTAGCCGCGAACGCGGTGCAAGTTACGACCATCGGCGCTTTTTTCCTGACCTTGACAACCGTGCAAGGGACTCTTATGCAAGGCGCACTTATTCCAGATCCAGATCTCCGATGATAGAGGAGGATGGGGGAGACAAACGCGAACCCCGGCGCTACCGTGCCCGGGACGACCACGGCCAGCATAGAAGAAGCCCGCCGCCACCGCGGCAGCCGTCTCCTCGGCGGGAGAGAAGCCTCAGCCCCTTCAGCAAGCGGTTAGCGCTGACGCAGGCCATGAACAAGGGTAGATAGGATGGGAAAATCCGGGTGTCATATGCCATACTTTTGCAGTACCAGTTCCAACGTAGCTCACCGGCAATCGGAAGGGTCAAACAAGTAAATCCCCACAGCAGGTCCTGTCTGGCGCAATCCCATGATGGTCCGATAGACATCCCATCAGGCCATACCAAACTCCTCCGCCTCGGCCTCCCTCTCCCTCCGATTTTCCTCCTCCTCTTCCCTTTCCCTTACCCTCATCCCCTCCACAATCGCCGCGCCATCCAGCATCCCCTCCGCCTCAGCGTCCCCTCCATCCGCATCCGCAACTCCCACCGCCGCCTTGGTCTTATTCCCCCTCGCCGCCTCGGCAACAGCCTTCTTCTCGGCCAACCTCTCCCGCACCAGCCTCGCGATGGCATTCTCGGTCCGCACGTTGAGCACCGCCATCCGCTGGTTCAGTTCCCGCTTCAGGTCCCAGTTGGGCTTTTTGGGCTGCAGCTTGAACAGGTCGATCCCCTTATCGTCCTGCGCGTCCACCGCCGCCTGCCGTCTGGACTCCTCCTCGAGGTCCTGCGCTTGTTGTTCCAGCGTCGGCTTGTCGAGGTTTAGGGTGGGCGGCGCTTCGAAGCCTAGCTTGGCGCCCTTGGTCTCGAAGTCGTAGTTGCGTCCGGAAAGATGCAGGCGGGCGACGTCGTTGGTGGGTGGGGTTGGGGAGTGGGTGGCGGAGGTGGTGGTGGTAGTGGTTGTTGCTGCTGGGGGGGCGACGTCGCCTTGCGGTGCTGGCGCTTCGTCTGCTTGTTCTGCTTCGCCTTCGGTTGGCTGCTTGCGCTTGAGCGATTTGAGCTTGGCGAGGCGCGCTTTGCGGTCGTCGCTTGCTGCGGTTAACGTCGCGTGTGATGACATTTTTTGGGTTGTAGATATTGGGGAGTCTCCTCTACGGCGTGTTGTTTTAGATTCTTGGGTTGTGTACGGATCCGTACTGGTGACGATGCAAGACACTTTGGATAATGGAGATTGGGGAGCATTGGCCAAAACATTGAACAATTGCCCTGCGCAGCAGTTACATGTTTTGGGAATTGAGAATTGGGACGCTAACGATGAATTGCCTGCCGCAAGCGTCCCTGCATACGACGGCTCCAGAAATTTTACGTTGGAAAATTACCAGAATTACACCCGATTCCACACCTTCGACCTCACCTCTCTCTTCCGATTCGCGTCGCACTGAGCCTGGGACCGGACCTCCGCCTGACGTCCCCTCGCCAGACTAGGCGCCCTTTCTGCAAGCCCTCTCGGCCTCAATGCTCAGCCAAGTCGCACGCATCGGCTGGTCGTGTGCTATACACGCTCGACATGTGCGATGGCCGCTCCAAGCACGACTCCAACCCCATCCGCGACACCTGAGTACTCTTGAATCCCGGTCGAGAACTCTGAATGGCACCTCCGACAAGACTCTGCCCAGCCCTCCTCCCGCTCAACAAGGTCGAAGAATTGGCTTCCAACCTCTGGACTCACAGAAGGGCCGCCGAGCTCACCGAGAGCACAATACGACCGCACCGTCCACTGGCAGCTCTAAATGGACACTCCCCGCCGACCGGCTCAGACGCCACTTGCCGATACTTCGTCGACTAGTCAAAAGAAGGGGCGGTAATATACAGTCTCTCGTGGCTAGGTTTAAGGAATGGGATGCCCATTTCAGCGCCCTCTGGGCCCGTCTGGAGGGCCAAACCACGGACGAACCCGATGTACCGGCCTTTTCAGCCATCAACGCGCCAGCATGTGGTTGGCTGAAGAACCTCTTGCCTCACGAGACCGTTGCCGATATGAGGGCATGCTGGCTCACGATACCAGCAGCGGATCGCAAGAGATATTGGCCGCAGATCATGCTCGCCACCATGCACTTCCACCCCGACAGGACGGCACAGGTGCTGGAGGCCACGTTCAAGAAGGAGGTGGTTTCCGTTGCGCTCGACTGGGAGGTAACCGATGTCATCTGCTTCATAGCTAGGTGGACTTCCCAACTGCCAGAATCGGACAGGAGAACCCGCGAAGCCGCTCTTCCCGGCCTGGTGCTCTACTTCCTCCGCAATACCCCTCCGAAATGGTTGCAGCTCCACCAGTGGGTCCTTGGCCAGGCCATCAGCGTCTGTAATGCCAGCACCGCGGCCGAGTTGTGTGAGGCACTCGAGAAGAACTCCCACGAGCTCCATTTCAACACGAAGCTGAAACTCGCACACCGCCTTTCAAAGGAACGGGAGTATACGCTGATGGCGCTCCGCCTCCTCAAGTCAGTCATTTCCAAAGACGGGCTGAGCGCCAACGACCGCCGTTGCGCGGCCCTCGCTACCTCGCTCCTTCAGTTGCCCCCAACCTGGGGGGAAGGCCGCGCTCCGCTAGTCGAGATGACTCTGATCGCCGAGGTTTTTGAGCAGCTTGTGGGCTTGGGCTTCTCTCCAAACCCTATAACAAGCACAGGTCTGATCCGCTCGCTCTGCTTGGCCGACCAGCTCGACACGGCCTTCAAGGTTTATGATGTCATGCGCGGCCAATGGAGCGACTATCGTGTCTTCCCCTATCTTCTAAGTGGTGCCGCACGCACCGGCAGTCTCGAAGCCGTCATCCGTGTTCTCCAAGACGCACCTGTCAAAGTCTTGGAGAAACGCGACGTTTGGCACGAAGTGATCCATACCATACATTCGGCTGCAAAAAAAGAAGCCAAAATCAAACGGTACAAGTACGCCGACGGCAACCCAGCCTTCCACTCTATGCTCCGGGTTTACTGCAAGTTCTTCGACCTAGCGCCCCTCCAGAGGCTCATACCCCTCAACTTGCATCGCTACCTGGAGGAAGGCGACCGGAATCGCAACATTGAACGCTGGGATTGGGAGGCGAAGCTGGCCGTCTTCGTTGACAGACTGCCCATTCTTCCGCGAGGTGAAGCTGTTGCCCCTAGCATCAGGACTCTGGGTACCATGCTGCTCGGCTACGCCAGGAGCTTCCCCCAAACACGCCGCGCCATGGAGTTCTACTCGCACTTTCGGAAGCTACTTCGGGAGGGCGACAGTACCGCTATCCGTTTGCTGCGCCAAACCACCCTCCCTTATGATATCGTGCTCAAGTCCCTTTCAGAGCGCACGGGCATGCTTCGTGTGATGACTGATATTGTCAGAGACATGCTCAAGGATGCCACCAGCTCGGTCCTTACTCTCCGCAGAGAAGCTAAGCCCGCGACAGTCGCCAAGACAGTATCATCCGGTCTGGAGAGACAGGCCACTTTCGAAGATGCTGTGCGCGAGGAAATCGACGACAACAAACCAGAGGAGCGAAACCAAGACCTGGACAAGCAAGACGACACCGTTTTCCCTCAACAGCTCGAACTCAAAGAGCCGACCATCGTTCCCTTCTACCATCCGCCGCCGAGCGTCTGCTCTTGGTCCATTCTTTTGTACGCCTTCTCCCGCGAGCGCGGCGCACGCAACGCCGCCCGCATCCTCGATCTGATGCGCGAGAACGGCATCCAGCCCAACCGCGTGACTTGGAACACGGTCGCGTCCGGCTATGGCCGCACTCAGGACTCCAAGCGGCTCGCCGGGGCGCTTTACCTGCTCGAGGCCGACGGCTACCATCCCGACAGGCACACCGTCCGTGCTGTGGCCAAGCTTCGGCAGTACCAGGACATCCTCGACCAGATGGAGGACCGCATGGAGCAGCGCGGCGTGGCGCATCTTGAGAAAGTGGCCGGGCTGGCGGTGCCGCCCGTCTCGCTGATCAAGCAAAAGCGGCAAGAGCGGAAGAGGCGGCGGACCCAGCGGCGAGCCGCGGCCTCCGGCTTGCCGGATGGCCAACAACAGCTGCAGCAGCAGGAGGAGGAAGGAGGACTTGGCCATGCCCACGATGCTGCAGCCAAGGAGAATGCGGCGGCCGATGCTGACTTGGAGGCCAGCCTCCAGGAGCTCGAGGACGCGCACGACGCGATGCTCCGCGCCGCCGAGGAGGCCGCGCGCGCCAACCCCGTCTCCAAGACCGTGCCGTCTGCCGTCCGCGCGGTCAAGAAGAAGAGCGCCAAGACAGCATTCGATACTCAGTCGGAGGAGGTGGCCGCGTACATGGAGATGTACGACGAGCTGGTGTTCGCGCAGATGAAGGAGGAGTTGACGGGTTTTCATGCGGATGCCGGCGACAACAAGACGCAGATGACCAAGATGGTGGTTTCCGCCAGCAGCGAGGCAGTTGAGGGAGAAGCGCTGGAAGAAGGCAAGAGGGACGGCCTTAAAGAGGGGGAGGTTGAGGCGGTACAGACGGAAACGGATCTGCGCAATGTCAGCAATGATATCAAGGTTGAACCGCAGGAAACTGAGCGGGACACCTGCAACGAAGAGATCAAGGAGCAACATTCAGTCGAGCCAGTTGAGCCTTCTGAGCCTCCTGAGCCTGTCGAGCACGTTGGCGCCGTCAACCCAGTTGAGCCAACCGAGTCAGTCGAGTCTTCTGCGCCCGTTGAGCCTGCGGAGGAACGTGAGAAGACGGATGGGGAGGCTGTGGAACCAGAAGTGTCAGTTGTCGCTCCATCAGAAGACTCGACAACGCAAGCACCAGAACGGCAAGAGCTTCCGGACACAGCGACCGAAAGGACGTCTAACAACGAAGCCGATTCCTCCCATCCTCCTACAGTCACCGACGGCGGAGAGACCGGCCAAGGGGCGGCACCACCTTCCAAGGAGTAATGTCACAAATGCCTGTGTGTCATCTTCTGTACTATAACTGTGCTATCCATATTCCTTCTACATACCCCACCAGATAGACGACACCATGTCATGTATCGCATACCTATTTATTCCCGTCCCACGATGTCTCTTTTGGCACAAACCCGCGTTACCACACTTCCATAGATCTCTTCTCTTTATTGTCCGATCCTTCTTCACCGCCTAAATATTGACAGCAATGCCCACGTATGAACTGTACCACATCCATCACCACCCACCATTCCTTTCTCCGTCGTATCACTTTAGAATTCATATCCATCCTTTTCTACCCTCTCCGTCCGGAGACGACAAAAAGGCGTCAATCTCAGACAGCTTCTCCTCCGTCGTCAGCCTCCGTCGCGGCGGCGGTCGGGGCAACCGAGGAGCGGCGGCCGAGAGCAATAGATCGGTGGTGCTGGCGGAGTCGGCCCGTGTCGAGCGAGTCGCCGTGGAGCTGATCGAGGTCTCCGTCATCAGCTTCCGTCTGGGCGGAGGTCGGAGCCGAGCAGCCGCCGATAGCTCGCTGTTGCTACCAGAGTCGGCTCGGGTCGAGCGAGTCGCCGTGGAGCTGGTCGAGGCTTCCGGGGCCCTCCTGCTGTGGATGCTTCTGCTACCGCTGCTGATGTCGGTGGCGGCGGCCGCGCTGGGGGTGGAGATGGACGTGGTGGCGGTGATAGAGGACTGGGGTTGATGTCGGTTTCTGACGTGATTTGTGCGGCGGCGGTGATGTTGATCGCTTGTTGCTGGTGCGGCTGGGATTGATGAGGGCAAGGGGGGCACAGGCGGAGGCGAGGACGACTGGAGGGACGGTGCGCGCCAGGTTGGTGGTCTGGTCCAGAGGCTGCTACCGCTGCTGGGATAGCGCGAGTGGCTGCTGGGCTCTCTCGGTGGAATGGGCAGCGGTCGGCCACCCTCTGGCAAGTTGGGAAGTTCGGGCTCTGGTTCCTCGTCTGATGAGAGCTCGGCAATATCAAGACATCCTGGGGTGGTGATGCCCAATCCCACGAGTGGAGTCAGCAGCGAATCGTCCCAGGCAGGATGGTCCCTTGCTGTCTCGGGGAATGATTCTACGGAAGGTGCTGTTGAATGTTGTTTTGACAGCGAAGAAGTGGTTGAAACAGACCGTCCTCGAGGCGTTGCAGGGATGGCGGGTGGTCGACGGGTCGGCGGCATCTCCCAAGCTGGACAGTCACTTGCTGGGTTGGGGGAGGACCCCAGGGAACGTGCCGTTGAACGTTGCCTTGAGAGCGACGAAGTCGTCGAAACTGCCCGTCCTCGAGGAGTTACGGGTATGCGGGGCGGTGGGCGGGTCGGCATAGGCGGAGGAGCACATTCGTGCCCCGGGATTTGCATTTGGGAGCAAGTGGAAGGGAAACTGCCGATGGAGATTGACGGGTTTAATGCATGAACCTCGTCCTCTTCGACAGACTCATCTTTTCCATTACTATCCTCCGTGAAACTGGGCTCGTCTCCATCTGTCTCAACGTCGTCAACCCACAATTGGGTACGCACATTGCTCCAAAAGCGCTTGACTTCTGCCGGGTCCCGTATGTGGCACTCGAGTTCTGGTTTCGGTTTCGGGGTGGAGTCGGATATTCCCTTCCAGGTGAGAAGTTCGCTCATCAAGTTGTCCAATTCGATGGATGGCAGGAGGACGTCCCTGTCTCCCTTGCTCTTGTGGGCATTTTCGTCTCTCCTACCCTGCTTGTCCTCTGTCGCCAACTCCTTGGCCCCTTCCTCCTTGCTCTTGACTCGCTGGACATTGGTTTTCGTGTCCTCCTCGGAAACGTCATCGAGACATCGGGCCAGTGGTCTGTTGTTGAAGTATGACTTATGCTTCAGCAGGGTCAATGAGTAGTCTTCAATTCGGTATCCGACCTGCGCAGAGGGAAAGATGGAAGGCGTGGTGCATGGTGAACGGGCGAGCCTGCTCTTCTGCTCCTCGCATTCTTGCAGCCGATTTGGCGATGTGTTGTCGCTCTTGTTGCATCCGTGGCCATGTTGCGGGTCTCTTTTTCCACTGCTCAGACTGGCTTTTTCGCTTGCTCTGGGTGCCAGTGCCGGTCTGGATCGTTTCTGATGGTCTGAACTGGCTGCCGACTTCTCGAACAAGCTCACCATGGACCGCACCGATCCATCTGACGCTTTTCTTGCCGGATCAAACCCTCTTCTCGCGAGGTTGGACGAAAAACTCTGTGGGAGCGCACGCCGATCGATTTTTCTGTCGAGAATCCGGTCGGGATACGAGGGCGGCCCGCTTTCCTGGTGGATTCCTGGATGCAAGCTGTTCTCGCTCATGTTGGAGATCGGTACACAGCATGTGAGAGGTATACAAGTTGGTTTGATGAGTTCACGTTGGTTCCGTCGAGTCTAGAAATGGCTTTCTGGCTTGGAAGAGAAGGAGCGGGACAGCGAGAAATCGTTCTTTCCCATCACGGTGCAACTCTCGATAAGTTCTCAAGAAAGAAGGAGCAACAGAGTTTCGGGCCAATCCACTTCGGACGAGTGAATGACGAGCCCTTCCCGTTGTTTCTCTGTCTTCCAATTCTCTAATCACGATCCTGAGTTTGGAGTTGCCCTTCCGCCTCCGGTTCCTTCTCTTAACTTTCCCATCATCAACTCCTTGGGTTCGATGAACTAAACTCCAATGACATACAATCCAACGCTGGTTTGTAGGAAGAGGAAGAGGAAGAGGAAGAGGAAGAGGAAGAGGAAGAAAGGAAGGATACAAGAAGGTCAAAGTAAAGCAAGATGAGGTGTAATACCTACACGGAAGTTCCACGCTAACAAACAAACCAGGGTTGGATTGTAGTCGTTTACCAGTGAGTATCGAGGGACTACAGTACCACCCGTCCCGCTCAGGCGATAATCTCATTCCCAGTTGCGCTCCAGCAAGAAAGACAGTTTTCAGACAGGCAGGCAGGTGCACGCCGAAAGCTTCACGACGTGATGGATCAGGTAAGCTCTGAGCTGCCGGGGTGTTTGGGTTCGCTTGTAATATTCAGATGGCTCAATGCACTAAATGAAGGGTGATTTCAGTTGACTGAAAGATGGATTGCGAGAAAGCAGTGTTGGCTGACATCGATGGACTACTTCCACAGGTCTCACCAGGCCGTGACATTGTTGTTCAACGTTAAATCGCCAACGACAACCACACCCGCCGATAGATTCCCTGAGAAGACGTGCTTGCAGTTACATCTGGCATTCACGGCCTTCTGCAACATGTCCTTCACCGATCGTAAACTCGGGCCAGCTGGCCTACTAGGGGTTCAGCACAGGGCCCCAACGAGTCAACGTCCCCTATCCCATGTTTACAACCCTTCCATCTCTATCTTCTATGCAGGTAGCCATGCTAACATGCTACCAAGGATGTTACAGAGAGACCGGCAAAGACGTTTGCGGGCCAGGATTTGAAAAACTCTCTAGCGTCTCCGGATTTCTATTAATGCCAAACACCCTCCACCGAACTGCAGGCTATAGACTGAGTACGATACCCGGTCCATACTAATGAGTTGCACGACGACGACGAAGTGTCGCTAAACTCTCGCTTCCATTCCGCTGCGGCCATGTCATCCTGGTCGGGCGCTGACACTCCTGCGCCGGCAAACGGGACCAAGTCTTTTACTTTCCGTGTACGGTAACACGGCGTGAGCAGCGGGAACTGTGCCGTTCCGCGCCGACGGCAACAAAACACCAACAGGGGGTGACCATAGCAGAGCCGCAAGTTGAATTCTCCCGAGACGGCGACATTCGTCATCAGCGAAAACCAGACGGAACGCTCTTCCTTCCCAAGAACGGCGGACTGGATCTGGGCGTAGGTGGCCCATTCTCGACTTCCGAAATCCTTCGGTGGCCAGAGGACGACGATTCAGAACAAGGGTGTTTGGAGCCCCGGATTCCCCTTTCCTGTGTCGGTCAGCGCTGCAAGCTACCCTCGCTGCCCGCAGCTCAGCCACCCGCACCACACACCCCTCACCTAAGACTGGCCGCAGGCACTGCGGCCATCGCTCCGTTCCTTCTTTTTATTCCGTTGCTCCACCCCCCGGTTTCCTTCAGCTCACCCAGACTTTTTGTCACTTTTCCCACGCGACGGGAACTGAGACATGGGCTTTACTCCTCCCCCCCTCTGGTTCGTCATCGTCGAGTGTGTGCAACGCGAGTGAAGCCGGTTAGATTCGCTGTGGAAGAGTGCTCGACATTTGATTGGGTGTACAGTACTTTGGCGAATGGTTTTTCTTCAAGGCCGACTTCTCACTGTCTCAACTGGCATAGCGCCCGGTCAAGGCACTTGGGATTTCCCGTTGCACTACTGACCTAACTGAGCCGGGGGTGAAGGAGACGGTCCGCGAGCTCCAAGGCGATGGAGTCTGTCAGATGATTACCGTTATGGCGATGGAAGGTTCATCAGTGTCTTGTACACTACCAGACCGTGGGAAAATATATGCCTTGGCTCTTCCCAACAAGCCAAATCTGCATGTTGCCCAGGCGACGGGGGCGCAGTATTCCACTGTAGTTCGCCCTACCCAAGGTATCGGTAGTTATATGTTCATCCCTTGTGTGTATACACTACCTGTGATGTGGCAATCACTGAAGACGACCTTGGAGCAGCACCGCCCATTCATGCAATACTACTTACTACCTCAACTCTGGCAAGACGTACGAGTCACCGAGCCAATGCATACCCTACTTTGAGCGATGTAAGTAGACAAGCACTGCAGCAACGCGCGGGGGAAAAGAATGCAAAAAGGAGCAAACGAGCTGAGCCCCAAAAATAAGCCCCAAAAATACGCCCGACCGAGAACGCCTTTTTCTCTACCTCCTCTCACCTTGGAAAATTCCAATTCCCGCCCTCGGTAAAGCCTAGGACTTTCTGTGCAACCACCCCCCGCCGTCATAGCGGGATGCACCGTGCCGTGTGTCGTGCCTGATTGCTACACACCGCATCTCGCGCTTCCCCAGTTGTTCACCCGAGACAATGCCTGAGTCACCGAGAGTGAGAATTACAATCGAGTATCTGCAGACGGGATGGACAGGAGCAGCAGCAGCAGCAAGTGTGGGTTGGGCTTGAAACGGCATGAGGTGTGGGGTGACACGTCCCAACTACAGAGGACTTTAGTCGCCTTTCTACTTAGTTTCTGGTGGGCAACGGTGCCGATATGGAGTTGACCTTTGTGTTGTCATGTGCTGAAAACGAGGCAGACATTTTGCCTTGTTGCGAGGCAGGCTGCTATTGGACGAAGTCGAACTGATGAGAAGGACTTGCGGCCAAGCCATGTGTGGTATAAGGGGAAAAGCAGAGAAGGGGGTGAGAAACGTTCTATAAGTCATTGCCAGTGCGAAGCCGAGCTATCATTACAACCCGAGTGAAAACAGTCTAGAGAAGACGGCGCCATACCCCTTGTAGAAACTCTAAGCTGAAGACAAGATGACAGAAGATGGTATCGACATGAAGAAGATCGTAAAAGGTATCCCAAGTGTAGTTAATCATGCATCATCAGCCCATAAGCCCCCCGTAAACAAGCCCATAGTTCCAAATTATACCCAGGAAGAAACAGAGAAGAACAGCAAAGACGAGGGGGAGAGAGCGAAATAGTAAAAAGCTCTAATCATCCTCCTCCCCCTCCGCATCCTCCTCATTCCCATCATCATCCTGCAACACCACAATCTCCTCCCCCTCCAACCCCCCATCCCCACCACTTACAGAGCCCTGCCCCTGCACAGGAGCAGTAACTATAACATTCCCACCAGGCCCCCTCTTCAGCGGACTCTTCAGCACCCACCCACTCCCCGCACCACCACCACCCTCTCCAGTGGCCCCACCACAAGAAGAAGAAGAAGAAGAAGAAGAAGGAACAATAATAGCCACATCCGCCCTCGACGCCCAGTCCACAAGCGTCTCGTCCCCTTCCCCACCAAAAACGACCCTCGGCTCCCTGCCCTGGGCCGCGCGGTCCATGTGCTTGGCGACATGCTCCATGCGCTGGTTCCACGCGTCGCGACCGCGGAAGGGGCTCGCCGCGCACCCGGGGACGGGACACTTCATCAGGGTCGGCAGCGAGCAGCGCGGGTGCATGGCGGTGGACTGGAGCGATTTGAGGCGGGCGTTCCAGGCCGCGATGGCGGCGCTGGTTGATGTTGTCGATGATGATGATGAGTTGGGGGTTTGTTTACTCGCAGTTGCTGTTGCTGTTGTTGTTGTGATTGTTGCGCGTTTGGCGTCGGCGAGCGCGTGGTTGACTTCCTTGGGGGCGTGCATGCGCTTGAGGTGTTGGGTGAAAAGGTCTTTGCGGTTGAAGATGGAGCCTCGCGGATTGTTGGGTCCACGGAAGGCGGAGGATGCACATGGACCGTGACGGTGTGTGTTTGCGCAGGCGCCTTCAGGGCAAGCCCAGTAGAAGAGTAGGAGGTGCTGGGTTGCGACGTGGCGCTTCCATTCGTTTTTGCTCGCGAAAGTAGACTCGCAGCCGGCAAAGTCGAAGACGCAGTTGAAAGGGCGGTGGTGTTGCTTCCTGATGTGGGTGTCAAGGTCGAGCTGGGTGGGAAAGTTGCGTTGCTTGCACTCGGGACAAATTAATGTGGTTCTAGAGGCGGACAGAGTGCGGACGCGAGGATTCCGTGTCCTTCGTGATGACGGAGAGGCGATGGCAGTATTTGTTCTCACAGCCCGCCTGGTTCCTGATCGGGCGGTTGTCTTCTGTCTTTTGTAGGGCCGATAGTCTTCGTCTGGATTGTCGCCTTTCTGCCGCTTGGCTGTGGCCTTGCCGTCTGAATTCATGTCCCATTGCCTGGGCACCGGCGGATATTCACTCGACGTCCGACCCTTGTCCTTCACCATCGGCTGCATCGGCTCGGGGCTTGCCCTGCTGCCGGTGAAGTCAAGAGGACCGGTTTGCTGTGCGTCGGCTTCGCGATCGCTGACTTGACTGTCGAAGCCGTACCTTGTCTGGCAGAAATTGAAGTCGACAACACTGTTATCGTTCTCACAGTACTCGATCTGCTGGGTAGGGTTCACGTCGACGGGGTTCACGAAGCCCTGCGGGCCCATGCTCCTGAACTGCATGGCATGCGCAAATGGCTCAAGAGGCATCGGCGTTTGTAAGGGTGAGAAGGCCGAGTCCGGGGGTGTCCTCGGAAACCCGTCGTAGAATGACTCGGTGTCGGCACGAGGGCTCAGTGCGCTGCCGGAAGAGGGCGGCTCGGTCGATGAGACGGGGCTTGCGAAACGGACCTGGGACAGGGGCACCTGGGAGATGCCCAGTGTTGGACGAATTGGGGCGTGGTTTGGTGGTTGTCCTTGTCCGGGCATGTCTCCAACGAAGAGTGCTATCTGCGAAGGGCGTTTGAAGGACCGTTGAACGGGAGAGGCCCAGGTGTTGCTGTAAGGTGTGGGCGAAGGCGAGTGATTCTTTGGGTCGATGGAGGGCATGTTAAGGCCCCCAAGGCTGTTCTCTAGCCCATCGTAGGGCATACTTTGGAAGGGCATGTCGTCGTAGCCAAAGGCAGACCCCCCATACACAAAGGGGTTACCCATAGTGAAAGATGAGCTTTTTGCTCCGATCCGAGGTTCGGTGCTCGCGGGAAGAGGGAAGCCGGAAGCCCTTCAGCTGCGCAGCCAAGACGACGACAAACGAGAGTGTCTGCGAAAAGGTAGAGTTAAAGAGTGAGGTACCATCGGAAGGCAAAGAACTCCCGTGCTTGGTGTCGAGAAATAGATCCCGATGATTGAAAGGGGCGGGAGTGGGCTGCGGCGGCGGCAGGATTATATGTGTGTGGTCAAGGTACGAGATCTTGGGGCTTCCCCTCGACTCGGCTGATGGCAATACAAGTCTGCCACATGGTATGCGGGTGGGCGCAGTTAAGTGAGAACGACGGACAATCGACCAGCGACCTCTATGAACATACAAGCGGGATAATAGCATGGATGGGCCATGGTGTGTTCACCCGTAACCACCCCTTCCCCCCCCCCCCCCCCCCCCCCCTTTCCCCCTCCCAATCAGGCGGCAAGACTTTGTGTGGTCGGCAGCGGACCTCTCGGCATCTCCCTGGTCTCCTGCCTTCCCGAACCATCCCCAGGCCCCAGTTGCTGGGAGGCCCGCTGACATGTCGCGTTTGCAGAGCCGCAAAATGTCCTGACTACCTCCGTACCTGCTGTGCCTCACTGCGGTGGGCAGGTTGATAGTACGTGTTCATCAAGACCGGGGGCTGAGCAGCTACTTGTCTTGGCTTGCTCGAGTTGGATTGGGGCTGCATCCTTGGATGGCAGGGTTGGCGTCAACCTGTGGGTCAGCGATGGCTGCGCCGACGAATGAGGGATAGAAATCAATCAGCAGGGACGGTCATTCCGCCGGTGTACTTGTACGTACGGTAGTGTAATTGCTTTGAAGAGCGTCTGCTGCTGTGGTCGCCCACACCATTGTACGGATATGAACGAGAAGGCATCCCATAATGGGTCCCTGGTCCGCGGCCCATGGCCGTTAACTTCGCGCCAAAACGCCGTGGTGGGCTTTCAACAGACAACAGATGAGAGCGCGCCGGGCCCTTGAGATGAACTGCGAGCTCTTACATAAATCCCATTGCTAAGCCGGTCGAATACCTTAAGGGTACCTCCGTACTCCGTACATACTGAATTGAAGTAGTGTCGTGATCTCGGTTGCTGATAGCACCCGCGACAACTACCGTCGGGGACAGGGATGAGAACGGGAAGAGAAGCGCCGTCATCTCATCAGACATCGCTCATCCGGGCGAAATCTCTCGTCTGTCGAGTTCACCTCTCTTTCGACGGATGTCCTACCGCCAAGAAAAATCAATGTCAACTCATGGACGTGAATTGTAACGGAGAGTCTGGGCGCAGCGACCGTTTTGCTTGCGCCTTCCCAGGCTGAGGTGTGGGGTGGGTTGCGCACCAGCAAGGCATTTTGACCCACAGGTGGATATTCTTGGCAGTAGATTCCCCCGTCAGTGGTGAGGATGGCACGATGGGAAGACTCCCCGCAAACTTGAGGCCCACCCTTGCCGCTCTTGTCTCCACCTCGGGGCGCCTTCTTCGAGGCCCACAGCCTGCGGCGCTCGCGGCCGTTCTCCATTCACAACAACTTGAAGGTTGCTTTCATGACCGAATGTGGGAAGCAACGAAACTCGAGACCAACCTGGAAGATCTGACCCTTCGTCTTCAAAGTTGTGATGTTGGTCTTGTTGTTGCAAATTTGCCGCCGCCCGCTGTCAATTGCCTGGCTTGCAGTTGGAGTAACACACGATCTCCTCGGTCGCCATGCATGGTTTGGTATCGCAAAACATTAGGATGATAATTCGATGGAGCCGAGAGTGTTGAATGCCTGCCTTTTGCCCAGTCCTGGTGAGTCAATCTCAATCGACTTACGAACTCTCTCTCCCGCGCTGCCAGGCAGCCCAACTCACTGAGGTGGCATCGGTTATTTCTTGGTTCTGTGTAACCCCAAGGACCTCACTCAGGTCAACCCTCCTCGAACCCGAGGATAAAACGAACGCCGCGAAACTCTGATTTCCCCTGCAGTATTCCCTTCCTCAGATGCACGCCCTCAACCCCAGTCTGGCACCGTTCATTCGCCATCACCCGCAGTCAACCCCCGACCCGTCATCATGTCCCAACCGTCCCCGCCGCCGACCTGCAGCGGCAGCGCTTTCATTTTTCATCAAGAACAAGCGGCCAGCTTGCGGCGTCGTTCGGCTTGAAGGAGCACGGAGCCAATCGGCTTTCAAACTGCATGGCTGAGCAGCTAGAGGTTGGGGTCTTTGCGGCTTTTCTGGGTACAGCGGTACATCAACCTTGGAAGCTTGTCTGTTCCCGGATCCATGGGTAGCTCTTCAAGGAAGCAATTCCTCGGATCTCGAGAGCGCGTATCAGGCATTATTCAACCTTGTGTAACCGAACTCGCGCTAATATAACGGCCTCTGGGGGTCGTACGGAGTATTATTCCGCAGTGAGCGTTGCTCACTTGAGTCTCTTTCGGTCTAGCACCCCTGCGTTATTGGGTCCAACTTTACCCTGGGCAGGACACGTCGGGACACCTGCCATGCTAGACAATGGCCAATAGCACTGGGTGATGCAAGTTGAATTTGGCAGCCGGCACGTCACCTCTCTACGCGTTTACAATGGTCATTATGTTGTCCCAGACCCGGACCAAGACCCAATAACCAACATTCAGCCCCCACAGGTCGACTAGCACCTTGCATGCTAAGGCCGAAACATGCAACCAGGCCAGCCCATCTGTCCCAGACTCTGCAGGTTCCAGGGGCCAGATTTAAGCAGACCTAAGTGGCCGCCACACCGGGGCAAGACGGCCACGCTAACGCAAGCTTGCACATACCAAGATCCCGCCTGTGTCGTGGTGCTGTTGTGTAAACGCTGCGTCGCTTTTTCCGGGTACATGGATCCCGAATCTCAACCTCTCCAACACGACTTACAGTGGCGCAAAGTGGCCCAACATAATACAACAGCACAATGATGCCACAGGAACACACACGTCTCCGTTGCTTGCAGGAGACCGGGACAGCAACACCACAACGAACAAGCCACGCGCCTATGCAGCCAATCCCTCTCCCACTTCTTTCAGGACACATACACCACGTCTTGAAGAAGTCTAGACGGATCGAAGAAGACATTCAGAAGTTTTCCGGTTACGCAATAAAGACATGTCTCACCTCTCTTCGTATTCCGCAACCTCACATTCCATCTTACTTCCATGCTTCATTAGCTAAAAGAGAAAGAGAGAAATGTTTCTTTGTCTTACTCTGACCTACGCGTGTATTTGTGCAATACATAGTTACGTGGTCTAGAAAAAAACGCTCTGAAACATCGTTGGCCGACCTCGAGGCCAGGCCGGCTGGCCTGACTTGTATCTTCAATGGCCATCAAGTCGTTGTCCTTTTGGCAACTCTCCGTCACAGATTGGATTCACCAATGTTGTTTACATCCCTGAGCAGTGATACACGATGTAGAGCTTGCCATTTCCTTCATAAGATCCAACGTTAGACCACCAATACTCTCTAGGTCTTTTCTGCCCAGACCAAGAAGACACCCCAATACTAACACAGAAATGACCGTGAGAAGAAGCCAATATCCGAATCCAGCCTCAAAAGCCCATAACACCCTCTTATCAAAACTCCCGTAAACACCCCCGGGGTATCACATCACCGTCATTTTATGAAAAAAAGCAATCATCAAGTCATTCACCAACCCATCCCCCCACCAAAGTCATAATACCCGGCACCTAAACCTGACGTGACTGAAGCAGAACCTCAGGCTCGGGCTCAACAATGTTCTCGCCCTCGAACACCTCGCAGTTATCACAGCGCATGTGGTCGCAGTCGTTGCCGTTCACGCACTGGTCCGTGATCCCCACCCGCCCAACGCTATTACGGCAGAAACACTGTACAACCCAACAGCATTAGCAACTGAAGCTTGTAGTTTTGTTAAAGGGAAGGGAAACACATACGCATTCCCAAAAAGCCTCTTTACTCCCGCTCGCCCTCCCATTCCTGAGCCGCTTCGCCCGTGACGACGACGCGTCGCAATCCTCATCTCTGCCATGCACCCGCTTGCGCGGGTTGCTCCCCGACGACCTAGTGACCGAGGAAGAAGGCGTCGGGGACCTGCGACCAGATTCCCGGAAGCTACTGGCGCCTTTGTCGGGCGAACTGCGCGGCGACTCGACCGGATCGGTGTCGACGTGCTTCCAGTCCCGGATATCCGCCTTTGGCAAACCGCCCCTGCCATTGAAGTGGTCATCAATGTGGTCGAACCGCTCGCTGTGCGCGGGCCCGCCCTTGCCGGTTGGCTCGATGGTCTTCTGGCAGAAGCCGCACCAGAAGCGCGACTCAAAGTTGCGGCCCATGCGGCAGTCGGTGAGCTTCTTGTCGAGGACGCCGAGGTCCTGGATGCCGTGGTCCCTTTCGAGGTGCGACTTGAGCGACTCTCGGCGGTGGCAGACCTTGCCGCACTCTTGCTGGTCCGGGCGGTCCACCGCCTTCTCGGCGCAGCGCCAGATCTCGAGCTGGAAGTGCTGGCTATTTTCGTGGCGCTTCCAGTCGTTTTTGCTGCCGAACTTTTTGACGCATTTGGCGAAGGTACAGGCATAGGGCTTTGCATGGCGTTTCATGTGTTTTCTTGCGCAAAGAGATGTTAGTGTCGGTCTCTTGAACAGGTATTGGGCTGACATGGACATACTTGAGCTCGCAGCGCCGCACGAAAGTCTTGTGGCAATCCTCGCACTTGACACGGCCGCGGCCATTGTCACTAGCCGTCGAGAAATTGGCCGGCAGCTTTTCCTCCTTGACATCGGCACTCTCTGGCGCTGAGTATCCGAACTTCTTCAGAATCTCCCCTAGCTTGCCCTTCTTGATTAGTGACTGGATGATAGCGCTTGCCTGCCTCTCGTCATCAAGGTCAACGGGTCGAGGTGTGTCAACAATTAGCTGCACCTGCGAAGGGGATGGCTTGATATGGACTTCGTCGTCCGCCGAGTATTGGGCGCCGGTGTCTCGGAGGAGATTGGATTGGATATCCGAGACGTCGTTGAGGGCCTCATCATCCTCCGAGTCAGCGCCATCTTCAGAAGCGAAATCCTGCATCGGCTCATCATCGACATCCATCCCGTCTGCTACGCTGGATTCGACTTCGTCTTGCTCTGACTTGGCGTCTTCCTGTCGAGGGAGCTCGTAACTGTCCTCTACCTCGAGGTCTACCACCTCGGTCGGCTGTGCCTGGCTGTTCAGGGAGCGGAGTGACCCCACTCCGGTGCGCCCATGGCTCAAGACATCCGGCGCAATGCAGGTCGGTTGATTATCCCCTGAATATGACTGCGTGGCTGATGCTCTTTCTTCCTGTGACGACCGCGGCATACTCAGGTTGGAGAGTGTTGGCTCCATATCTAGATGAAGGCTCGTGGCGTTGGGAATATCCTGGCCTAGATATTGAGACTCCTCGGCTCTCGAGGACGCAAAGTCTCCCTCTGCTGATGGCGGATGACCCGGGTACGGCACCAGGTTACCGGCCTGAGAGAACCCGGCGTCTCTATTGATGAGATTGGAAGGGTCGATGTGAGTCCGATCCAGTCCGGCCCATAACGGCTGGGAAGCCGCATCTGAGCTCATGGCCGCGCCCTCTTCTGTAGCAACGTCTTCGGACGACCGAAAACCCGAAAATTCCGGCGGACTCGAAGACCTGCAAAACAGGCGTGTTAGCACCGTCCCCATGTTTGGCGTCTACCTGCATGGCTTACCGAAACGTAAAGGGGGTCAAATCGACGTTTTCTAGGTTGTGCTTCCGCCGCAGGTGTTGCCTGAAGTTATCCTGTCTCGGCCAATCCTTGGGTTTATCCTTGCACTGGTCCAGGTCGCAGCGATAGACGCTCTCAGATCCTATACGCAGTCTGTGAACGCACCGCCTATGTCGTTCAAGGTCGTTGTTTGTGCTAAATCCCTCCGTCGCCTTTGGGCAACCTGAGACATCACACTTGAAGGGCTTGTTGTGCCTAGCTTGGTGTTTCCTGCCATTTCGTGTGAGCTCGAAAGTAACGGCTCGTGGAAGGGTATCAAACGCACTTTAGCTCAGAGTTTGTTTTCACTAGAGCATTACAACCAGGGCAGATCATGGTTTTAGCGTTTGGCTGTCCGACGGAGGTTCTCTGTCCTCGTGCTTCCCGCTTTCGAGCGCCATCCTGTGACGAGACGCTCGCCATACCCTGGAAGCTGGAAATAAGGTGTTGCGTTTCAAAGCCCTGATCGGCGTCTCCATAGTTCGAAGGGTTGCCCACGCTTCGCCGCATACTTTCGTATCCAGAGTCGGAGAAGATGCCTCCAACACTCTGACTGACAGTGTCGGCCTCGGATGGCGGTGCCACGCTTCGGAAGCCATTGAAGTTGGCGAACGACTGGTTGAAGGATACGCCAGCGGGCTGTCCCTTCGCTGTGTCTCCACGGCTAGGAACCAGGTTCGGCGGAACCCAAGGACCTTGTTCGTGCATGAACTGGCTCAACGGATGCAGTCCCTGACTTTGTGTACCGGCCTGCTGGTTGTGACCGCTCGCAAAAGCGTTCAGAGTCGCCATGATCTCCCCCGTGCCCTGAGCCTGGGTGGGCATGGACGCGTATGGTGCAAAGGTGCGCAGGTTAGTGCTCGCCGGCCTTCCATAGGCAGGCATGGTGATCGAATCCAGGGACCCCGGGGAGAGGTCGCCCAGGTTGAACTGCTGATGACCGAAATCGAGTCAGATTCATGGTTCACGGCGGATCACCAATGGGTATCATACCGGGTACCGGTCCTGCTGGGGAAATCGCAGATGTTGCGCCATGATGTCTGTCTGCGTATGGAGCTAAGGCGGATTGAAATATGGACTATGTAAGTGAGCGTTTCAGCAACAGCACTGACAGTAGGGGGTCGGGGGGCGGGGGGCGGAGCGTTGATGGGACGATGCTTGGCGGCCGAACCGGGCCAAACATGCGATCAACGCCAAAGAATATGAACGTCCGAACCTTAGTGGAAGGAGCGATGTACTGCCAAAAAGAAACGAGAACCAGACAAAGTACTGCTTCAGGGCACTAGCAGACGCAGCTCATGCCCTCGGAGCGGTCTACTGAAGCTAACGTCGGAAACCGGACTAAAGCCTTGCCACGGATGAATTGTTGGACATGTCTCTGGGGGGAAACGGGGCAATCGCCGGTTTTGAGTGGATATCCTGTCTCTTGATTTGACTAGGGGAACGTCTTTTTGACAACGATACAACTGTACAAATTCCGGCGAGGCCGAAACGAAGGTCTGCCCGAAAGCGGATGTTGGATGCAGGAGGAAAAGATGTTGGAGGCGACGACATTGTCCGACAGAAGGAGCTATGGAGGGTCAGGCAGCCTCACTTTGGGCTGCCTGCCTGCTGCTTGGCGACATTCTGGGCAGCCCGCTGGCCCCGGCCTCTTCGGTGAGCATGAGCTTGAACAGTCAATCATACAACTCCGTCTGACAAAGTCACGTGCTGCGGTGCCAAGACGGCCATTGGCTTTGTCGCAGTCGACTGCTGCCAGAAAACGGCACAACAAACAATCTCGGAAGGTTGCAGAAATGTCTCAGCGGGTTGCACATGTGTGAGGTAGGTACTGACCTGAGGTCTGTTCTGGTCTGGTGCTTGGCCGGACAATTGCGTGGACCTCAAGGTTTCAACCAAAAGGCTGACAGCGTCGGAGGACAGTTCGGAGCTGCCAAAACGACGACTTCGAGTCTCCGACATCACGTACCTACCTGGGTACAGTCAGTTATTGATATCGAGGTGGTGCCATTTTTCTCACCTGGGAGATCTCTTCTCCGTGTCTCCGTATTGCACAGCCTGCACTGAGGTGATTCTGTGCTTCTACTTGACTTTATGCTATGTTGCTGACATCAGCATCCGATATCGAAATCGCGCCAAGGCCGTTGGGCAGCTCCGTGGTTGCCAGCTTCATGAGTCACCTGAGCTCACGGGCTGTGTATGCTCTCCGCGCACGGTTACGCCATTGAATGCTGCGGGAGGCCGGTCCGGCCCTTCGCGGAAGAGTCCCGGCTGGCATGAGCGCAGCCGGCTCGCCGGAGTAACTGCCTAGCATAAAACCCGGTTCAGGCTCGTCGTCTAAGCAGCTAATCACCGGGTCACACATTTGGTGGCGGCTGAGACAAGCCTTGGACTCTTGAAGATGCCAGGGATTGGATGTGGAAGCTATGCAATACCTGCTCAGCAGCCACTCAGCCAGCAGTCAACCCAGAGAACTGCATGTTTGCTCAAGCCGCATCGGATTGTGCAGCCGACAGATCATATCTCAGATTCCAACAAGTGCCGCTGTATGAAGCTGGCTTGCATCTCCAGATCGTTCTATGTCGAGTCCTGCACGTGTCTCAGCCGCCACAGACAACCACCCTTGCACTGGCGTTTGTTCACTTACCCATGGCACCGGTTCAATGTACGTTCCGGCTCTCTGAAGTACGCCCCACGATGCGGGCCGACGGTCGGGAGCACACCGTCCCGTACCTCTACCGTGTGGGAGGATACCCTGCTGCCCCTATTGGTGACAATAGTTCCTTTTGATACCGCGGAATGGCTTTGCGCGGAAAGGCTTTGATACGGGTCTGAGAGCAAGACTTGAGAACCCCAGCGTCTGATGAAGCGGCCCTCGCCTGGGCCGTGGCAAAGTTCATTTTATCTCGGTTCACAATGAGTGTTTGTGGAAAGCTAGTGTCGCCGGGTCCCAGGCTCTCGAATCACATCCGAAGGCCATCCCCTGTTTGCCTCAAGCTGCAGGAGAACGCACCGTGTCCGGAATGGCCCGCAGCAGCGCAAGCCAGCTGGCCATCGTCATCGGCTTCTCGGGCTGCGTCGGACAGAGGCCAGCCAGCGTCGACGAATGACGCTCGCCCCATCTCGTACAATGGATGATCTATCACTACAAGGACTTGGTGACGACTCCATGTCACGCCTCTGTCACGCCCCGCCATCACAGCAGGCCTGCTCATTGTCTGGCGTCTCACATGAGGCGCTTCTGGTCTCCACCCACGCCTGCCACCCCCTTCTCGGTGCCGGCCATGCAGGTTGTCAACGGTAACGTGTGATGTCCAGCCAGAAATGGGAAAGAGAGCGATCCCAGTGAGCCTTGAATGAAGGATTGTGGCTGTCCCACGCGTGAGCTGCCTCTCGGAGGGTATATAGGAACATCCAAGAACTGGTTCGCCGTTCTCCCACGAACCATGGCATTGGCGATTCAGGCCTCTCAGACACGGCGTTAGCAACCCTCTTGCTCTCACGATATCCCTTAAGCTCAAGCTTCAGCGGCGCTCAGTGTACCTCTGAGAGCCCCCCAAATATCAACACGACTCCAGGCAGGCAGAAACCACCAAAACACCTTTGCCTGACGCAGCCACCATGTGCGACTTTGACGAGTTCATCTTCACCTGCGGACACTCCGTGTTCCGGCTAAAGTGCTACTGCCACTACGCCCGCAACCACCCCTTCCACCAATGCCGCAGGGTCAAGAAGCTGAGGTCTTGCTGGGATCAAGGCCGCGACTGTGACGCCTGCGCCGAAGAGCGGTATCGCCAGCAGGCTTACTTCCAGTACTCTCAGGGCCAGGGCAAGGGACAGGGCGGAGGTCAGTACTCGGCAGCTGCGCAAGTACATGTGAATGGAGGATGCTGATGCCTGTCCAGGCGGCGGAGGATCACGGCAGTAAACCTATCACTCAAGGTGAAAAAAGGCTGGTGTATCGTCGTGTTTATGGGGCTATCATCACCATTCACGGCGCCAACACCTACCTGGTCAAGTTTCTTCTCTCCAGTCGGCTCCGTGGGCGGGTACCCAACAATGAGTTGTCGACAGTTACCAGGGGGTAAATGGGCGCGAAGGAGAATTAGGGATACAGTAAATAGTAATGATCTAATGACGCCTGATGACTTTTGCATCAACAATTCAACCCTCAACTTCTCCACTCTCAGGCTTGACTGCGCTCCTTCCGTGTTGCACACTGTCCTCATGGCCTCGAATCTCGCTTCGAGTGCTAGAGGTAAATCACAACTCTGCGATTACTATACCAGAGCCAAATCGTCACCCTTTATCTCACCAGGAAGAGGATGAGCTCCTGCCATATGTGGCACTCTTGAACTTTTCCCGAACACGGCACATTCGCAAATGAACTCCCCTTTTTCTGGCCGATGCGTAGGTTGCGAAAGATTGCTAGCCGCCATGCCACATCTCCGTTCTGTGTTCGTCCAAAGCATGCACCTGTAACCTGGTTTGTACCACTACGCAACGGGTACCTTGCATCAAAGTGCCAGATCCGAGCACAGTCTCGGGCCTAACTTTCAACCAAGGAGAGGTTGGTCTAGGAGTTTACTACAATGGTCTTTAGGGAGTGTATAATGAGAACGGCGGCCCAATCAAGCCATGGTAACCGAAAATTACGGTCAAGAGCGAGCATATTCGGCATGTCATTGGAGTCACAGACAGCACCGGGTGTGTTGGGGTGCTTGTGACAGTATCTTCGACCCGGTCACTTTGTGACATGGGCAATGTGCTTTGACAGCGGGATTCGGCAGTCGGTGAGCTGCACTGTAGACAGGAACCGTGTAGGAGTGCTACGGAGCACATGAAGCAGGTGTGTAAGCGTAAGCATCGGCCTGGCAGACTCTGTCAAATATCTACCTTACTCATTGTAACCCCTGAGCCGTTAACCAGTCTTCACATACAGTCCGAGAATTAGCTCAACTATAATCTGATCATTACTTCTTGCTCGCCCGCTTCTTCTCAATCTTCTCGAGCTCCATGTCAATCCGCTTGAAGCTCCAGCTCTTCCAGAACGGCGGGTACAGGAACGGCCGCAGGTCGAAGCGGTTGTCGTCAGGCGCTACAGTTGCTCGTCAGCTTTTTGAAGATTAATGCAACCAGCCAGATGTCACTTGCAGTAGTCGTTGCAGTGGAGCGCAGGCGTCAGAGTGGTCATCTTGTGACCTGTTTTTACCGTCAGTATTTTTCCATATTTTGGAAAACTGCAAACACAAAAGGATACTGGAGAAGAAACTCACGGTTGATGGCATAGAAGTGGAAGAACTTCTTGACCTTCTCGGCAACCTGCGCGGGCGTGTAGTACGGCGCGTCGTCGTCGGGCTTGTGCTCGCGGTCAATACTCCAGTCATGCACAAGCCGCTGGAACATGCCGAAGGGGCCCAGCTTGTTGAGCTTGCGGAGCCGGCCAAAGATGGTCAGCTCCTGATACGTCATGCCCATGTCTAGCTCGGTCAGTATCTCTTGAACAGAAGTGACCATGCATCAATACACATGCCTGCTTCATCGCTCTGGACATAGTCCTGTGTGATGGGTTCCTGTAAAGGGGTAGCCTAGTCAGCATCGTGGCTTCGAGCTTGGTTGTGAAGACCACAGAGAGATGCGCTGACCAGCTCGGCGGTCGGAACAGCCGTCAAGAAGTCATGAAGACACGGTAGATCAAAGTTCTTCTCAGCCCACGCAATGAAGCGCTTCAAGTCCGCCTTGTCGATGGAGCCAATGGGATTCTGGGAAAAAACTAGTCAGCTTCCTCCAAACATATCATACGACGGCCTTGGGTTTGACGTACAATATCCGCGCTCTAGAGGGTATTAGCTTGTGTTCTTGGAGGCATCTCTGAGGAGGCAACGGCTTCACGGGATGCGACTTACGGAACAGTCGTACTTGGTCAAGTAGCCTCTTAGGCCTAGACGAGAGGAACATGAGCATCATCTCTAACCACAAGCGATTCTTTCTCGGTCAGGGCGACATACTCTGCAGTGCTTTGTGTCAGCTCCAATAAAGCAATCATCTCGCGGATGACACTCACCTCGCCAACGTTGGCACTACCAAGCACCAACAAGCTGCCGCCTCCAGGCCTCTTCCTCGCCGTCGGCAGAATCTGTCCAAACTCCTGCGCTGCAAGTCAACACCCGGCACTCTACACAAACACATCAAAACCCAACCTACATAAGCAGTAACCATCCTAATCCTGGCCTGCAAGCACTGCAGCGTCAAGTTCTCCTGCTCCGTCCCGCCCTCGACCTTGAACTTGGGATCGAACCCGACGGTGCTGGCGACGAGCTTCTTCTGCGCCTCGTAGATGTCGTCAATATCGAGGTTTACGTGGTAGCTGCCGATGGCCTCGGCGAGGTCTTTGGCGCGCTGGCGCGTCTCGCGCGAGCTCTGCTTCTTCATGCCCATGTACAGGGTCGTGAAGACCTGGTTGCAGAGCTCCTGGGGCGTCTTGGGCAGGACGCCCTGGCCGTTGTACCGTGCGATGCGCTTGACGTCCTCAATGACTTGGGGGTTGCCTTCGTGGAGGGCTCGCATGACGACGCGACACATGGAGTAGACGATTACTGGAGGGTGGTGAGCATGGCTTGCTTGGGATGTGGACGGCGGTGGTGGAAGAACGTACCTGCGGTTGCACACGAGTCGATGCCTCCGCTCAGGGGCACCAGGTAGCCAGCAGTCCCGGACCTGCGCAGGTACTGTCAAGTGGAGAGGTCAGCATAGACCTCGACAACGGCTGGATGCTGCACTCACATCCCACAGGTAGCAACCGCCGCATAGAGCGATTTCCTCTTCCACCGAGTGAAACCGCGGCTGGATCGGAAGAGTAGGCGCCTTGCTGGTGTCGGAGTCATCCTCCTCCGAGCTGAGCTCAAACGGGGTCTGGATTCTTTGGTACTTGGCAGTAGATGCCGCCGCCTGCAGGCCGCGGGAGATGGAAGCCCTGTAGGACCTCACTTCCTCAAGATCGACGGTGGCTGTGACAACCTCAACGTCGTTGAGGCTGAACTGGGACCCTTGGGCCACCACATCGCCATTTACAATGATCATGGCACAGCCGTCAAAGTACAAGCGCTCGCCATCGCAGCCCTGTTGGTTCGCGTAGAGATAGACGCCGCCGGACTTGCGAGTCGCTTCCATGATCAGCTGCAAACGGGTGTCAAGCTTGCGCAAGGTAAAGTGACTGCCGCTGGAATTCGTTATGATCTCGACGCCGTCAAGCGCCATGTCGATATGCGGCGCTTTGGGAGTGAACAGCTCTTCGCACGTCTCGGCGCCAAAGGCGGTCTCGGGAGTGGAGATGACGGCATCTCCGAACAAGACATGGGTGTCGCCCTGCAGGTCGGCCAGCATCTTGGGCAGATGGAACAGCTCCGTCTCCCTGGGGCGCATCCAGGGGGTGAAGTGGCGCATCTCGCGATAGTTGCCGTCGTTGGCGAGCCACATCTTGGGGCGGATCAGGAGGATCTTGCCGTCGAGGCAGATGACGCGGCAGTTGTAGCGCAGATTCCGGTGCAGGATGGGCATGCCGACGTCGAGGAGGATGCCATGGGTGCTCTCGTCCAGCAGAAGCCGGCGGAGCATGTCGAGGCTGTGCGTGTAGACATCGAGCTCGTGGAAGTGGTCCAGACTCGAGTACCCGCAGATTTCCAATTCCTTGATGCGTGGATATAAGCGTTGAAAAAAAAAAAGACTTGTATTGCTGTTATTTCAGATGCCTGACTTACTGGACCAACACGAAGGCGAGCACCGGCAGCTTTCGCCTGGTGGATGCTCTCGATGATGCGGGCGAGGTTACCTTCCCACTGGTCAGGGTGAGCGACAGCGGCATCCATTGAGGAGGGGGGCGGAAGCCACTCACATCGAGAACCCATTGGTTCAAGCTGCAGGTCGAAACCGTCACGAGATGCCCCATGGCCGGTGTTTTGAGTTCCTGACTCTCCTGTTATTGTTTAACACAATGTTGTCCCAGGCTTAAGTTCCGGTCAGAGCTACGAAGATATTCGAGACTCTCCCACTCGGTCGACCTACTCCCCTTATTGACCTGACGTTGTTTTCTCAGTTGAGGTTCCAGCGTTAGGATGACGCTTTGACGGTCAGTGAGTGATAAGGGATAGATATGACCTTTCTTCGCCTACCTGCTTCGTTTCTTACAAGCCCGATGGGAGCTTTGGCGGCCTCTACGCCCAATAAGGTACCCTTGCAGGCAAAAGTCACAACCTGACAACGGTACCATAATAGAGCCCGATGGCAAGATATCTAGGACCGTTGGCAGGTCATAGAGAGTTCGGACTCATGGCACATCATATCTCTGGCATCCGTAAGTTACCCCTCAACACCCAGGGCAATGGACGTTCCCAAAACATACCGTATTTGGTCTAGCTCCTTGAATGGCGGGCGGAATTTATCGCAAATTCGGCTCGGCAGATCTTCAAGACGAACGCCCGGTTCGTCACATTTCGTCAAGAACACAACGGAAACGGACTTCGGCATTTACCGCAACAGTATTTGCTGTGATGCTATAGTTAATGATAATTTAATATTCTACCACGAGAAGCTCTTTACATCATCCTCGACTCGGCCGCGCGCACTTCCCACTTTCGCGTCAGAGCACCCGCCCATCTTTGCGCCATCCTCGTCTCCCAGCATCACACAATGGCGCAGCGCTTACCACCCGCGACGCGCAATTTTCTCACCCGCCTCCCGCCAGCAGCCGCTTCACCGTCCTTCCTTCTACGCCCAAAATCGACATCCGCACCACCGCGCTCCTTCTCTCTACCATCAAAACCAACCACACGCCGCTTAACAACAACCACCTCCCGCCCATTCCTCCTCTCGGCCCTCTCCAACCTCGCCCCGAAAGGCTCCTCCTCCTCCCAACAACAACAACCCGCCTCCAAAACCCTCCGCGCCTGCCGCCTCCTCCCATACCCGCCCCAGCAAATCTACACCCTAATAGCAGACATCGACTCCTACCGCCATTTCCTTCCCCACTGCGCCCACTCCCACGTAACCCGCTGGACAACCCCCACCTCCAGTCCCACCACCAAATCAGACGGGGGAGAAGGGAACGACACACCACAACCACCAACAGCAGCAGCAGTGGCGACCACATCAACAACAACAACAAGGTTACACCCGGCCCTGGCCGACCTGACCGTCGGCTGGGGCCCCTTCACGCAGACCTACACCTCGCGCGTATACTGCGTGCCGGGGCAGGTAGTCGAAGCAGTCAGCGGCGCGAGCGCCGAGACGAGCATCCCGCGCGAGACGCTGCGGGCGGTCGGGTATAGCGACGCCGACTTGGATTTGGACATGCGGGTGATGGAGGGCGGTATCTTTGAGAGTCTCGTTACCCGGTGGACTGTTAAGCCTGTCCCAAGACTGAGGCAAGAAGAGGAGTACTGGACCGAGGTGACGCTGAGTGTGACGTTTCGGTTCGCAAATCCCGCGCTGGGGTTTGCGGTGGGCCAGGTGGCGGATGATAAGGTGGACGAAATGGTGGAGGCTTTTGAGGCGCGTGCGAGGAAGTTGTATGGGCGGAGGTGAGGGTAGTCTGGGGGTCGGTTGGCGGATTTGCTACCAACGCGCGGCAAACAGTTCAAGCGGCATGCTGTCGTCGGTGGTTCCTCGAGGAGAGATGGCGTGTCATAGCCTTGAACGAGTCATGTACACTGTGTATGTTATACCATTTTTGTCTGTTTTTACCGGTTTACTAGAAGGGGAATCTGCCTATAGAACATAGAAGCAGAGCATAGATAGATCAAACAACATCCATCCATGCATAGCATTTCATCCATGCATAGCAGAAACAACACAACAAGATCAAAACCGCGAAAGCCTGATCCGTCTAAATCCAAAAAGCAGGACGATCCTCCCGCCGCGCTGCCGACCATGGACAATGAACCTTTTGCGCCGGTCCAGGCAACTCCACGTCCCTTGGAAAGCCCATCCGCCGTCCACCACTCAAACACAACCCATCATCCATCATCAGTGCCCATATCCCATCGCTCATGGCCTCGTCTCCCATCCCTCGTTCCTCATACTCCGGCGGCAATGCGATATTGCTCAGCAAAAAAGCAGAACAGCAACAACACGCCGCGCTATAAACCAGACGATCCAAACCTAACGCAAGAGAACGGGAGAAATGAAAAAGGGAATGTCAAATGGCGAAACAGCAAACAAGCGAAAAGGTATCAAAAGCCAAACCGACTAACAATGTAGCAGAATAACTATCTCCAAAAAATAGTGAGTAAGAAAAGACGTTGGTGTGGTTACCGAGACGGCCAGTTTGAGCTTGAAGCGCTCATGGAACCGAATTCAGTGACTGGCCCGCCGGTTATCAGAACCCATGCCGATCATGGCATCCGGTTCAAACAATCGCTGTGGCGGACGCTTGCTGAGTGTGTCTGAGCTCAGTGCTTTTTCCTGTAAGTTCAATCAACGTTAGCAGGTTGTTACGGGCAAAGACACCAAGATCCAACCTACTTCTTGCTGCTGCTCTTGGGCTTGGCGCCAGTCATCCAGCCGAGCACCGACGAGGGGGCGCCGCCTTTCTCCTTTTTGGGCCGCTTGCCCGGCTCGACGGTCACAACCTGGGCTGCGAGGCCCGACCGCCCGCCCCCGCCGGGCGGCATACCACTGCCCCAGCCCGGCGGGGGAGGAGGAATATTTATGCCGCCGCTGCCGCCTGGGCGAGCGCTTGGGGGCCGCATGAAGGCACCCGCCATGCCGGCGCCTGGGCGTTGGTGTGGATGGTGGTGGCCGTTTGGAGGGCGTGGGATACCGCCTGGTGGCATCCCACCCGGAGGTATCTGCTGGTGGTGGTGGCGAAGCGGCGCCTTGTCCATGGGCCACATGTGCATTGTGATGGCCCAGTCGGGCTGAACGACCTTCTCCCAGACGGTGGGGAGAATGATCTCGCCGTTGGGGCCGATCAGGTCGTAGTGTCCTTCTTGGACATGGGGGCCAATGACATCGACGTGTAGGAAGGCTTGCTTGATGAGCTCCTCCATGCCCTGTAAGCGATCAGTAAAGATCGATCCAGCAATGCTCCAAGGGCGTGTGTTTACTTACCTGCCATGTCTGGCACAAATGGAAGGGGAAGCTGAACTTGCGGCCAACGGCGTCCTTGAACTTGATGGGCAGCTTCTCCTGCTTTTTGGAAGCCTCCTCTAGGTTCTTCTTGGCCTCTTCCAGGGCCTTTTCCTTCATCGCCTTTTCTTCCTTCATTTTCTCCTCCTCGGCTATCTTGGCTGCCTCTGCCGCCATGCGCTCCGCCTCGAGCTTCTGCCTGGCTTCAACCTCAGCCTTGAGCTTGGCTTCCGCCTCGAGCTGCTTCCGCCATGCCTCTTCTTCGGCTTTCTTCTTCGCGGCAGCTTCGGCAGCTTCCGCTTCGGCCTTCTTTTGGGCTTCGATCTTTTCACGCTCAGCTTGGACAGCCGCAGCCAGCTTCGCCTCTTGCTCTTTGATGGCTGCTTCCAGTGCCTTCTTGGCATCCTCCTCGATCTTCTTCAGCCGCTCGGCCTCCTCGGCCGCTTTCTTTGCGGCGGCAGCCTTTGCCTCCTCTTCCGCTTTGATCCGGGCGTGAATTCTTTCCTGCTCTTCCCGGATGGCCAGCTCGATCCGGGCCTTGGCTTGCGCCTCGGCCAAGGCGGCCGCTTCTTCTTCTCGCTTCTTCCGCTCCTCGGCTGCCTTCAGCTCTGCCGCAAGCTTCTCGCGGGCCTCCCGTTCGATGCGCTTCATTGCTTCCTCCTGCTGCCGCTTCCTTTCCTCCTCGGCCTTCTTCTCGGCTTCTAACTTCTCGCGAGCCAACTTCTCGGCCTCAATCCTTGCTCGTTCAATCTCCTTCTTTGCCTCTTCCTGGGCTCTCCGCATCTCCTCCATCCGCCTCTGGAGAGCCTCTTCAGCCTCCCGCTGCATATTCGCCTTCAGCTCTGCTAGCCTCTCGGCCTCTGCCTTTTTCTTTTCGTTTTCTTGGAACTTTGCGAGTTGCGCCTTCAATGCCTCGACCTCTGGGTCTGGTTTCTTCTCGGCCGGCGGGGGTGCCGGCGTGGGAGGTTTCGTTGCGGCGACTTCTGTTGGCGGCGGCGGCGGAGCATTGTACATGTACGATTGCAGATGCGGAGGAATACCGTACCCCGGGCCCCCGGCGCCGTAGTAGGCGGGCGCGGAAGCTCCTTGGTGGTAAGGCATCATGTCGTAGGAACTACGCGGGTCATTGCCAAAGGGGTTGGCGGCATGTCCACCGATTGGCGTGAAGGGGTTCCGGTAGTCGTTATAGGGAACCATCTGGCCGCCGTAGTGGCTTGGCATGAAGCCGACGTGGCTCTGAGCGTAGCCGCCGGGTTGATGGCCGGGTCTGGCGCCGTAGAATGCGCCTTGATTCTGCGGAGGCGGCGGGCCGTAGCCGCGTCCGTACGACGGACCGTAGTCGTCGGAATGATCTATACTCATTGGCGGGGCCGAAGGCGCGTGATATGGGTATGCCTGTTGCCCGGCAGGAATCCTGTGGGTGCGCGGGTTGCCGCGGAGCGGACGTGGGCTGTGCGATCGTGGGAGGGCGCGCGCCTTGTACTCCTGGGTGGTGGAGGCTGAATCCGAAGGGTCGAGCTCGTCGTACTCGTCCGCCCACTCGTCTTCTTCCTCGTCGTCGTCGTCGTCAGCCAGCGACTCGCTGTATTCCTCGCTGTGCTGAGACGAATCGACCTCGTCGTCGTATTCACTGGATGAACTTGAAACTGGAGCGTGCTTTTTGTTTACCGTTACGGTTCGTTGTTTTCTGTGTGCAAGAGCGAGATGATTGGCGCGACAGGTCAGCCAGGTACTACGGAGTTGAGCGGCTATGGAACGAGGACACGGGTCCTGCGGCACAGCTGGCTTGACAGGGTACTGGGGTGGAGGGGTCGACCTTGGGTTGCAGGTGAAACTTACAGCGGCATTGGTGATGCTGATATATGTCACCCTTCACTCTCGACAGTCCAAGGGAAAGAGGAAATGAGGCAAAGGCGGCCAACGTGATTTGGGGCGGTCGTTGCCAGGATTGAGCTCGGGTGCCACAAACCTAAAAAAGGTTGGCGGTGTGTGGTGTTGACGTGTGTAGGGGGTGTCCGTGGCTTGGATTGAGCGAGCTGGGAGGGGAAGCGGCTGTGGGCTCTGCTTCGAGAACTGGGCTGCTATTGCTGGTAACAGGATGATAGGTCCGCAAGCGGTTTTAGGGCGAGAAAGTTGGGTCAAGTAACAATGGTCCTCCGGGATAATGTAGAAGGTCGACGGACGGCGCTAGAAGTTGGGCGCGAAACAAGGGAGCAGTTGATCGGGCTTTTGCGTGCTGGGGCCGCTGGTCAGCGACAAGCGGGAATTGTATGCACTAAAAGCCTGGGCCAGGTCCACTCGAGGGGTTGCGGGAGACAGGGGAGGTGAGAGGGCGAACAACCCAGAGTGCGGCGGAATTGGACCCCTTCAACCCATTTCGCTGTCCATGGTGAAGGAGGTGAGGTGTGGACTGGACAGCGCTCAAGATAATGCGGGAACCTCAGAGAGAGGGAGCTTGGATTTATGAGGGAACGGCATGACTGACTAACGCGGGGCCCAACACTTGCCTCTGCTTGAAAGAGGAGGGGAGGTCTGTGAGCTTGCCCCAGGTGACACTCGTAACCGCAAGAACACACCGCCTGAAGGGACGGGAGCCGGGAGTGGCTGATTAGGGAGACTGTCTGAGCACCGGGCGCGAATACCTGAACCTCGGGGAGAGACCTCAATACTAGCATAGCGTCAGTGGGGGCTGGCCATTGCTTGATGGAACGTAGAAACCCCGCGATTGCAGTGGAAGCAGCAGTGCATCAGCAAGGCAACTGGTCGAGGCAGGAGCTTGATTTGGCCCTTCATTGGGGTCCCCCGAGTGATGACCCCACACAGACCTGAGCAAAGGGTTGATGACGATGGAGATTCTACGTCGACAACCACATGTTGACACGAGCCCGGGGTATCATGAACATCGTGGCCTTGATACTGTAGTATCATAAGGCCAAGGGGCAAAGATCAGTGACCCTGGTTTTCTTTTGCCCCGCCGACCTCTCCTGCTGTGTAGGAGTGCATGCATCCCTTGGGACCACCTGCCAAGTCGAAGACTCGGGGAGGTTCAGCAGGTCCTCAGCGCACAGCTCCCGGATGACGAGGGACTCGGGCTGGACCGACATTGAAGGCGATGGGATATGGGTACTGCAGGGCAGAACCAGCCATGGGCGGCCAACCTTGGGAAATGGGTGGTACAGAAAGGGATAAGACGTGAGGAAACATCGTCATACCTGGGGGTTTGTCTGTGATCGGATAAGGTGTCCACAGACTGTCAGGTGGGAGTTCCCGCTCAATGTAGATCCTACAAGACGGGATGACCGTTGTCCTCCCCTCGAAAAAGATCGGACTCGAGGCCGGTGTGGTGGGGTCGGCTGTTGTATCGGAGGTGTGCGCTGCTTCGGTGAGGTAGCTTTCAGTGAAAAAAAGGGTAGAAAAGCTGCCTTTGGATAAATATGGCTTTGATTCTTAAAAATTTGGCGTTGCGGCCTCTGTATGAGAGTTTTGGCCTTGAGAAGTCGATTTAGATTTCAATTTTGTGTTCTTGGGCACCCGACAGACCGATTTATCAAGACAAAATTTAAAACAATGGATGTTCGTAGGGCAGACCCACGAGAAGCATCCATGCAGTGCGCCCGGCTGTCTGGCTCTGGCTGCCCAAAACAGGTGGAGCGTTGGCTAACATGGATATTTAAATTGTAACAAATGGTGCATTCTGAAGGGTTTGCTGTGTGCAAACGGACCGGGTGTTGCCGTGACTACAGGAAAAACTTCGAAATCACCACCTACTGAGACGCTCACATCCCAAATCAGCTTATCGACACCCAACACTGGCCGTGATCCTACCTCCTATACGCAAACACGAGGTTCTCTCATGGCCCAATGTTTACTTGCCAACTGCCAAACCAAAGGCGCTTAGCCAGGCGGCGAGCCTGGTGTGCAGCTGTGGCTGTGATTTGGAACAGAAACCTGAATGCACCCGGACGGCACAGGGCCGCTTACTCTACCGGCCTGTCAGACAAATTTGGACTCCCATGAATCCTCCTGACCGGGAGATGCGGGGGTTCAATGGGATCCCCTACATCAAGTATTTATGTATCACCTCAAGGAACATAAATTGGGCTTCGCACACCAAGCCATCTGGTTGAGTTCCGTCCCATCTGTCTTCCGCTCGAAAGCCACCAGACTCTCAGAGCTGTGATCATCATGGGCCTTTACAACAAGCTTCCCGACGATATTCGCGAGGTGGATGTGGTGATTATCGGCGGCAAGTACCTTCTTATCAATGCGCCCGGCGATCCCGACTCACTGTCTGACTGACCGCTCTGTGTAGGCGGCACAACTGGCTGCGTCGTCGCCTCGCGGCTGGCGGCGGCAGACCCCAGCATATCCATTCTCGTGATCGAGGGGGGCCAAAACAATGCCAATAATCCCACCATCATGCATCCCGCCTACTTCCTGGCCCATCTCGCGCCCGGCAGCACGACGAATCTCTTCTACAAGGCCAAGAAGTCTCCCGCCGTGGCCGACCGCGAGCTCATCCTGCCGTCAGGCGGTGTTCTGGGCGGAGGATCGTCGACCAACTTCATGATGTACAGCCGGGCTCAGAAGTCCGACTTTGACTCTTGGGCCGTCCCGGGATGGTCGGGCGCGGATATGTTGCCTTACCTGAAGAAGGTGACTTCCCTCTCTTCTTTCTCTTCTAGTCTTTGCATTTCCTGCACCCGAGGAGCAGCAGATACTCATGGCCCTCGATATGGCAAAGGTTGAGACCTACCACGGCAAGGACGGCAAGGGCGTCCACGGGAACGAGGGCCCCATTCATGTCTCGCGCGGCTCGTACCATTCAAAGAGGCTCGAGGACGAGTTCATCGCCTCGGTGGCGAAGGTGGGGTGGCCCGAGGTCGAAGACGTGCAGGATCTCGAGGCGGTGAATGCCGTCGGGCCTGCCTATCGTTACATTTCCCCGGATGGCAAGCGACAAGACGCTGCGACGTGCTACCTCCATCCTCTCCTGAACGACGGTAAGCACCCTAACCTGCATGTTCTTGTCGAGTCGCAGGTTACGCGCATCCTGTTTGACAACAACAACCACAAGGCTGTTGGGGTCGAGTTCAGACCGAACCCAGCCTTTGGCGGTGATGCGACGGAGCTCAAGACGGTCAGGGCCCGGAAGCTCGTCGTTGCGTCGAGCGGAGCCTGCGGCACCCCTTCGCTCTTGGAGAGATCCGGCGTCGGTGACCCCCAGGTCCTGCAGGCCGCAGGTATTCCCCTTGTCGCATCGGTGCCGGGTGTCGGAAACGGTTACGAGGACCACCATTTGCTTGCGTACCCGTACCTCAACTCTCTGGATGCCACCGACACCTTGGACGCTCTCGTCTACGGCCGTATGGGGAGTCCCGAGGAGTTGATCAAGGCAGGCCATCCGATGCTGGGCTGGAACGCCCAGGAGGTCCAGGGCAAGGTCCGGCCAAGCGACGCAGAGGCTGCCGCTCTGGGCCCCCAGTTCAAGGCCGCCTGGGATCGGGAGTTCAAAGACCACCCCGAAAAGCCCATGGTGGTTTTCACCGTCATCGCCGGGTTCTCGGGGGACCCGAGCCTCGCCACCGGCGGCCCCGGGCTGGCCATCTCGACCTTTACCGTCTACCCCTTTTCGCGCGGCCACATCCACATCACGGGGCCGCGGCTCGACGACCCCCTCGACTTTGAGACGGGCTTCTTTGCCGACCCCGGCGGCCTCGACGCCAAGCAACACGTGTGGGCCTACAAGAAGCAGCGCGAGATTATGCGGCGCATGCCCTGCTACCGGGGCGAAATGGCCGCCTGCCACCCGCCCTTCGCGCCGGGCTCCCGGGCCGCGTGCATCCGTCTCGAAGATGGGCAGCCGCCGCTGCCCGTCGACGTGCCCGACATCGAGTACACGCCCGAGGACGACGCCGTGCTGGAGAAGTGGCTGCGGGAGAACGTCAGCACCACATGGCACTCCCTCGGCACGTGCAAGATGGCGCCGCGCGAGCGGGGCGGCGTGGTGGATGCCAGCCTCGGCGTGTACGGCGTGGAGGGACTCAAGATTGCCGATATGAGCATCGTGCCGCGGAACGTGGCTGCCAATACCAACAATACTGCCCTGGCCATTGGCGAAAAGGCCGCGGACATTTTCCTCAGGGAGCTGGGCTTGGAGTCGAAGTAAAAATGAGGCGTCATGCGGTTGAAGAGGGACGTGAGCGTCTTATGTGCGAGACACCCGGGGACTTCAACAAATCTTTGAGATGCCTTGAATACCTCCCGTGCTGTACAGTTGGATCCCAGTTTAACTAAGTGCGGATGAGTGAGCACTGAAACGGGGCCGGTTACACAACAGGGGAAAGGGCCATGTTTCTGTGGGTATGTCCGTATGTGATAGATGCGATATATTGCTGTCTCCATGTCTATTAACTCTGGGCTAAACTCACTGGGACCACAGATCCAGTCTGGAAATCGAGCCGCTCACGAGACACATTGATGTTGGCTCTGCATCGGTGTTCCAAGCTAATGCTCAGGAAGGGACGGTGTCAGGCACACCTTGACCGGGTCTGCCTGCCTGCGGCGTCCTGAGGTCATCAAACAGCCAGTGGGATATCTTGAACATGTAGAATCAAACAGTGTATGGAGTAGGTGAGGGTGGTTGGTCGACCGTCCCTACTGTGTAGGCCCACGAACCCAGCCATTTTGCCGAGCCTAGCCCGATGATCGGTTTTCTGTGCCCAAGAAGGTGATAGGTTGCGCTGCAGGTGAGCCTCACTCGCCGGCATCCGGTTGGGCTGCAAGGCCCGCTCCGCCCATTCCCCACCCGGGCAGCCAACCTCTTCCGTGTTGGTTTGGTGGTGCCACGTTGGGCTTCTGATGCCGCGACTTTCTGCCCGACACCCACACCCACACCCTGGATAATGTGACCAGCAGCAAACCACGGGACCAATAAGGCGAGGAATTTTCGTCGAAAACAATTCACATCTCGAAGGAAACGTTGTGTGTGTCTCGAAGCCGGTAGGCGAGCCTCCACAGGATCGGTCGGCCATCTCCGCCATGACTCACGTCTTTGCTGGCATCGCGAACGTGTCACTGGATCTGCGCGCAATGCCGCTGGTCAAATCCCTTGAACCCATCACCGCGTAACTTGGGATTCATCCTCGCCAAGCAAGTCCCGAGCTACCGCTATGTCGCCTTCGCTGTATCCGCGCCAGCCCCGGTCATGCGAGAGACTGCGTCGCACAATCTCGGACAACTTGGCAGTGGCCAGCTCATTGAGCCGCTCAATGGTATTTGTGTCTGGCAGGGTGAACTCACTGCCCTCTGTTTGCTTCGCCGCCAGGGCCCCTTCAATGAGCAATCTCTTCGTGACCTAAAAGCCGTCAGCTGCTGTCTCAGCGACCCACGGCAACGGTCCTACCAGTTTCAGCCCGTAGTAGCCCCGGAGGTAATCGTCACACAGCTCGATGCTTCGTGAGAAGCGCTTGATCGCCTCAGCCATGTACTGTTGGTACGAGCCACTGGCAACACCCGGGGCGGTAGCAGCCATGTACTGCAGCTCACCCAGCCGCGCATGGATCTAAGCCGGGTACATTAGCATAGGGCTTAGTCTCCGGACCATGGTTGGGCTGCATACATTCCATGCATTTGGTGCCAGGACAAGCACCTCCTCCATGGCATAAATGGCCTGCGAGTACATGCCCTGAGACACGTAGATATCCGACAGCTCCGACCACGCCTCGGCATCAGTCGGGGAGAAATCGAGAAGCTGCACAAGAGCCGATGTTGCATCAGAAAGGCGCCCCATGGACCGCAAAAGCGCAATCCGCCTCTTCGCGATTGGCTGAAGGAATCATTGGTCAGCCAGGTCCTTTGCAAGGCATCGGCGCCGGGCCAAGACGATGAGGACGAACAATGTTGGTGTCATTCCCGCTCAGTATCTGATTGTATTCCTTCAAAACTTCCTCCAACGCGCCGTTGTTCCTGGCCTCGGCCTCCTTGACGAGGCCCCTGAGAGCCTGCACCCGCTCGTTGTCATCTCCGAAGCGGACGATGAGACGCCTGAGGCATGCATGTGCGGCCTGGTCGTCGCCTGTTCGCAGACACGACATAATGAGGTTTTCGTATTGTAGCCATTTCTCCGAGTTCTCCGAGCCCGAAAGCAGCTTGTTGAGGGGGGGCGGATACGCGATCGACGTCGAGCTGCGCAAGATTGCCGGCGCTTGTTGGGACAATGCCAGCGCGGCCGCTGGAGAGAGTCGGGTTGGAGGCTGGAGTGCCGAAGGAGCCATTGATATACTCTAATTATGTAACCACGACAATGCGAGAAGGAGATGGAAGTTGTCGCGATCGGTTGGTTGAGTTGGCCTTGAAGTGTCAAGCTGTCATTCGAGTACCGTGCGACGAGACGGACGGACGGAGCTGCTGCTGGAGCTTCAACCCATTGGGTCATGGCTCAACCGAAGAACGGGCCTGAAGTGGGGCCGAAGCCAGAGGTCAGGAGGCATTCTGGGCATGGTTGAATGCTGAGGCTGGCGTTACGGCTTCGATCGTTCCGGCCGGAAGACAGTGCCGCTTGAGCAGTCTGGATACAATTCAACCTTCGTTTTTTTTGTTAGCGTGGAACTTCCGTTAAGTATTAAACATCGTTCTTCAATTTGACCATCTTGTATTCTTTCTTTCCTCTTTCTCTTTATCTTTATCTTGCTGATCCTTCTCGTATTCATCTTTATATTTATCTTCATCCTCCTCTTATATTTCTGTCTTTGCATTCCTTTTTTTTCTCTCTTTCTTGCTCTCTTACGTTCCTTTCATCCCATTTCATGTCTAGTACCCCGCTATGTGCTACGCTAACGAACGAACCAGGGTTGGGATTGTACTGTGCAGGGCACTGCAGTGACATGCTGCGTCGGAGCTTCCAAGTTGTTAGGTTACGTTGACCAACGACATCCGCTCACTCTACGCGGTGATGGTCCGGTGTCAACCAGCAAGCCGCGGGAGCAACTGAAGTCAAGCGAGTCTCGACAGAGTAATTCCCCTAGCCAGGACTCTTTGACCTACGGCAAAATGCGTTTCGCCGTTTCATGTCCAATGCTTTCCACCAGAACACCCCGCCGCTGAACCCCGCCTGAGCCCGAATTGCACGATCGACGGTCACGAGCATCGACGAGACGTCAAGCCCCAAGTCGAGTATTGGGAAGCGAGGACTACCGAGCTTGCAGCGGTTTCTTTTAAGGCGGATAGGTAATAATATACACCAATATCAACCATGTGCGTCACCCTGACACCTCCAGCTCCTTCCTTCAAGAACGCCCTGCTGATGGTCCCTAGGTTCGAGAAGTCGCTGTACGACCTCATCCGAGGCCTGCGAAACCACAAAGGCAACGAGAAGGAATACATTCAGACCAGCTTGAAAGAATGCCGTTCCGAAATCCGCAGTCAGGACATGGGTTGGTCTCCCCTCGCCCCTTTTTCTTCAACGGCCTGTCTAGCTGACAACCGTGACACAGACGTCAAGGCAACGGCCTTGCTCAAACTCGTCTACCTCGAGATGCTTGGGCACGACATGTCCTGGGCCTCGTTCCATGTCCTTGAGGTCATGTCGTCCCAGAAATACCACCAAAAACGAGTTGGCTATCTTGCAGCTGTCCAGAGTTTCCGCCCGGACACTGATGTTCTCATGATGGCAACAAACCTGTTGAAGAAAGTGAGCAGGTCTGATGTTTCTTGCGCGGCCGCCTGCTGATCCATTTCCAGGACGTGGCTGCATCGCTACCGATCATTATTTCCCTCCCGATCGGTGCGCTCCCTCACATCGTCACCCCCTCCCTGGCCATGTCACTGCTCGGTGACTTGCTACCTCGCCTCGGTCATTCGCATGCCGCTATTCGAAAAAAGACGGTGGTCACCCTCTACCGGTTAGCATTGGTATACCCAGAAGCACTCCGTGCCTCCTGGCCCAAAATCAAAGAGCGCCTGATGGACCCGGAGGAGGACTCGAGCGTGACGGCGGCTATTGTAAATGTGGTATGCGAACTGGGGTGGCGAAGGCCGCATGACTTCCTTCCGCTCGCACCCCGGCTGTTTGAGCTTTTGGTCGATGGAGGAAATAACTGGATGGCAATAAAGCTGATCAAGCTTGTAAGACCGCCTACGCTCACACACGTCGATTGCCCTAACGTGCTGTAGTTTGCTACTTTGACGCCTCTGGAGCCGAGGCTGGTGCGCAAGCTGCTGCCACCTTTGACCAACCTTATTCGAACTACCCCGGCAATGTCTTTGCTGTATGAGTGTATCAACGGCATCATCCAGGGCGGCATCCTCGGAGACGGGGAAGACTTTTCCGCGAGGGAAGAGGTAGCCTCACTGTGCGTCACGAAGCTGCGGGGCATGGTGTCCGCCAGCAGCGATCCAAACCGTAAGAAGACCCCATCCCTCCAAAGTGACTGCCCTCGGCTAACAATGCTCACTCAGTCAAATACGTGGCGCTCCTCGCGTTCAATCGGATTGTCGTCACTCACCCATTTCTTGTCGCGCAACAGGAGGATGTGATCCTTGAGTGCATCGATAGTGAAGATATTACAATCAGGATAAAAGCCCTCGACTTGGTGCAGGGGATGGTCAGCAGCGACAACCTAGTGACGATTGTTAGCCGCCTGATGAGGCAGCTTAAAGCATCGTCGACGACACTCAACCAACAGCAAAATGGTCTCGAGGGCCAGGGTCTCGAGACAGACTCGAGCGACGAGGGAAGCGCGGATTCCAAACGCCGACGCAAGGCGCTAGACCGCGCTCCTCCTCTGCCGGACAACTACACGGTCGACGTCATCGGCCGCATTCTCATGATGTGCACTCAGAATAACTACGCCAACATAGTCGATTTTGACTGGTACATAGACGTTATCAGTCAGCTTCTGCGAGTTGCCCCTGCACCGCGAGCCAAAGATCTTGACGGCGGCTTATCACCTTTAAAGGTCCCCGGCGACATCTCCGAGAAAATCGGCAACGAGCTCAGGAATGTCGCCGTCAAAGTCAAGGCCATCAGAGCCGTCTCTGTAAGGGCCGCTGAGCTCGTCGTATCCCGGATGGGCTCGGAAATTTCGCTTTCCCAGCCTGTGGTTTCAGGGGCACTCAAGCCCATTGCGTGGGTGCTTGGAGAGTACGCCTCGCAGCTGCTATCTCCTGACGACTCCCTGCGGTATTTGCTGGACATTGTCCCCCGAATTGGGGACCCCGAGGTTCTAGCAACGTGTCTGCAAGCTGTTTTGAAGCTGTTTGCCCATGTTAGCGGAGATGATCAGGCACTCTGGACCTCGGAAAGAAAGTCGACAGTGTCATTACTGATGGCCCGCATCATCCACGTCCTGGAGCCGTTTTCGTCACACCCGTATCTGGAGGTCCAGGAGCGTGCTGTTGAGTTCATCGAGCTGCTCAAGCTGACGGCCGAAGCAGCAGCCGGCCAAGCAACATCTACCGACGAGGTACAGCAGGATCCGCCATTGCTTCTCACTCAGGCTATCCCCTCACTCTTCGCTGGATGGGAGCTCAACTCAGTTGCTGCGGGAACGCAACAGAACGTGCCGGTCCCAGATGACTTGGATCTCGACGAGCCGATCCACCCCAACCTGAACAGTCTCTTAGCGCAGGCGGACTCGTTAATGCTGCCGGTGCAGGGTGACGACGAGTTTGAAGCCTACTACAACGAGAAACCACCAGCCACAAGCATGTCTAGCGAGCCGGCGATCAAGAGGCTCGTCGACGCACCAGAGGAAGTCTCCAGTTCATACCAACAGTCGGAAGAGAGCTACCTTGACTCGGACATTATCGCACGGAGAAAGGCGGAGCGCATGGAGCGCTACCGCGATGACCCTTTCTACATCCCCGACTCCACCGCATCCGGCGGCAGATCAACACCAATCCACAACATCCTCCAGAAAGAAAACGGCCCCGACCTCGACATCGATTCGATCCCCATCATGCAACTCGACCTCGACAAGCCAAACCCCCAGGGCCGCGCCAGTCCAGCCCAACACCAACAACAACAACTGCGCCCCAAGTCAAAACCCAACCAACGCATCGTCGTAGCAGCGGATGAGACCCTCGGCGGAAGCGGCCTCTCCACGCCACGCACCACCACGTACGACTCGGAACACAGCTCAGAACCGTCCCTCGCGGCGAAGTCTAGGACGGCGGTCGCCAAGAAGCTCAAACAGCACTCTCTCCTGCAGATCACGTCAAGCCATCTCAGCGATCTAGCCCTCGGGGAGGAAGGAGCGGGCCAGTCTGGCGGCGGCGGGCCGCTGGCGCACGAGCGGCAGCAACGGGAGGAAGCGGAAATGGCGCAGGCGCTGAAGGAGGTGCAGCGCCTGCGGCTGGAGATGCAGAGGGCCAACGAGAGAATACAGATTGCGCAGGGGGTGCCGGTGGAGGGGGTGGTGGTTAGGAAGAAGAAGACGACAAAGAAGGTGGTGAAGGCGGATGAGGGGCAGCGGGAAGAAGGGATAAGGGGAGGTGAAGGGCTTCCAGAAGGGGAAGGGGTGAAGCCTAAGACGAAAAAGAAGAAGAAAGTCAGGGTCGAAGGGCAGGAGGGTGCTGGGGGTGGGAACGGGGAGCCGGTGGTTAAGGCCAAGAAGAAGGTTAAGAAAGTGGTGCAGTTGAATGAAGGGGAAGGGGCTGCAGCTGCTGCGGAGGGGCAATAGATGGGTTTGATATCAGGAAACAGAAGAAGCTATACAACTGTGTCAAACCGACTGTTGGTATCGTAAATGCGTGCTTCCATCAACCAAGTCTATCCCCGGCCGCGCTCATACCTCACTCTATCAAATGCTCTATCGGGCATACCGCGTATTTCACAGACCTATTATCCGAGTAATACAACCTATCTCCCCTGATCAAGCTTCTATCCTTCCATCCTCCTCATCCTGCGCCTTCCCATCCAACTTGCTCCAAGCTGGTTTATTCCTCCTCCCCTCCCCACCACCAACACTCTTGTACTGATACCCCCTCGCCCTAGGCCGCTGCCCAACACCCTCGGGAAACTCGGGTTCGTAAGCCAGCGTGAACCGCCGGACCGCCTCGTCGAAGTTCCCCTCCTGTGCCACCCCTTGGGCGAGCATCGATCGCACGCCGGCGAAGAAGGCCGACATAATGGCGTGGTTGTGGATCTGCAGCAGCGTCCAGCCGAGCATTTCGCGCGCGGACAGGAGGTGGTGGATGTATGCGCGGTGGTGGGATGTGCAGGCGTAGCAGGTGCAGTTGGGAGTGAGGGGCAGGAGAGAGGTGGCGTGCGCGGGGAGGGAGAGATCGATTGCTAGCGGGGAGGGGCCGCCTGTACAACTGCTGCTGCTCTCAGAAACGGAGGAGGTATTGGTGGTGGTGGGTGGGGGGAAGGTGAAGGAGAGGGCCAGGCCGGCGTCGGAGATGGTGTTGATGAATGGGAGCGCGAAGAGGTCGATTCCAAGGGTGATTTGGCGGAGGATGTGGTGGGGCGTGGGCGGGTCGGCGAGGGAGAGGCGCGGGAGTGGGACGAGGGCGGCGCAGTGCTCAGCTAGGTCGGGCAGGAGGTCGGCGTCGTAGATGGCTAAGCCTGAGAGCTGGGATGTCGGGAGGTAGTCTTCGGCGAGGCGTGAGATGTATTCCCATTGGATGGAGTAGGACACAGGCAGGACGGGGGCGAAGGTGGATATCCTGGGGTTGTTGGAGTCGGAGAGCTCTGAGAACCAGTCGACTACCCACTCGTCGGTGCGCTCGGCCATGCGCAGGGCGCGTTTGGAGTTGGGCGTGATGGGGCTGTGGGTGAGGTCTGCCGGGGGAATGGCGATGTCGGGTGTGAGGGTCTTCACGGCTGACAGGTACTCTTTGGTGGTGAGAACCTGGAAGCCTGTCGAAGTGAAGACGGACACGGAGGCGTTGGTGTTGCCCATGGGAGAAGCAACAGCGGGAAGGCGGCGGGCGCTGAGGACGGTGGTGACCGACTGCGGCAAGGCAGTAAAGCTGTGGAGGCGCGTGTTGTGTTTTGTTGTTGTCGGGGTCTCATAGATAGGGGGCGTCCTCTTGGCGTATTGCTGAGGCCGCTCGATGACTGAGGTATTAGAGTCAGGAAGCTTCTCAGCAGAGTCATCGCTTGACTTAATCGCAACTCACAATCCTCCAGCGCCATATATGCGCCGGTTGTCTCCAAGTGCTTGCTCACGTTGTCCGGGGTGAGATGCGGCAGGGCGCCGCGCGAGGTGACTCCCATATAGTTGGGTGTATCGATGGGTAGTCTCCTTGCAAACGCCAGACGGCCCAGCCGAGCAGCGGCGCCGCCTTTCAGCGCAGCTTTGATAACCTCGAATCTCATGGCTCCGGACTCCAGATTCTGATTATCAACCGTCATTGTGCGAAGTGTTGGGTATGTGTCGCTGAACCCGTGTTGCAATCCAGGGGCTCACTGATTCTTCCGTCTTCACGCAGAAATACAGTTGAGATTCATTCAGGCTTCCGATCCACCCAGTTGCATTGGGTTTAAAGTCTGAAAGTGGCAAAACTCCTGAAACACGACGATGGGCAGGATATTCATGACCGTGTCATAGAAAGCCGAGTTTTATGTTGTGTTTTTCTGCCGTGCTTTTATTTTGAGTCCCAGCTAATTCTCTGCTCCTGCAATTGATACGGGGGTCGGTTCTTGGAATTGTTCAGGGCAGGCTAACAGCCCCGTTCATTACGGATTACAGCCAACGTTACCTAGACCCAGTAATTTATCGAGGTTGTCGGCCAAGGCTAAAAGTGGCCCCCGCCTTAAACCTACACTAAAGTGTTACTTACCGGTTTCAGTCAAGACCCACCGTTCCCGTACCCCGCCCTGGCAAGGCTGTTTCGGGCTTTCAGCCCCTCCCGCAGGAACCGGGAGCAGCAGGGGTCGCGCCCATGTGCTTGACGACCCTCTCTGTGCCATCCTCCATGCCATCGCTTTCATCTTCTCTGATTCTATTCCGGATGTGATGTTAGTCATCCGTTCTCCCTTAAGAGGGGTCTAACTCCGTCGCATTTCCCCTTTGCAATCCTTCGTGTTGGCTGGTTCCTGGCCCACTCCATCTCCGAGCCATCCGACATCACTTGCTAACTTGCGCGTCGGGTACCTTGAGTTTTTCTAGCGGACTGTTCGATTGACCGTTGGCCCACCATGGATGAGAACAGCGCCCAAACCCACACTCAAGTTCGCCATGAAGAGCGCAACGATGCGGCCGACTCGGATGCCACCACGATCGGCGCCGACCATCCCGACGCACCAATCCGAGACTCCCCGCTGGTCGAGGATCTCGAGCCAGACACGTCGCCGCCCACGCCCCGTTTCATCCAGGACGAAGGCACATGGAAGCGTTTCAAATGGGTCCCATACCCAGTCCGCCGCGTGATAAAGGCCACCGCGAATTGGGCTCGAGGCCCTCCCAATCCGCACCGCTACCATATCGAGCCATTATTCCCCCAGGTACAGCACCGCCCCATCGTCCTGCTCGACAGGTACCTCCCGCGGAAATCTCACAGAGCCTTTGCCGTGTTTGCCTTCTTTGGGATATGGCTCCTCACCTTTGCTCTGGTCATGCGCCAGGGCCTGATTGCGGCCGAGATCCCAGAGTGGGGGACGCCCACGCAGATCGGCTGCGGGTCGACGTACTGGACGTCTGGGAATGGATGCGGAGTGGATGGCGTGAACTGTCGCCCGTTTACCGATGGCGGATATCCCTTCCGGTGCCCCGCAAATTGCGCTAGCTACCATGTTCTGAACCCGCGTGCCGTCGGGGACCAGGAGATAATCTACCAGCCGCTCGTCATCGGCGGGCCGCCCGAGGCAACGGACGGGCCGGCAGTGTACCGCGGCGACTCGCACATCTGCAGCGCGGCCATTCATGCCGGCGTCATTTCGAATACCAATGGCGGTTGCGGCGTGGTGAAGCTCATCGGGAGGCGGACGAATTTCAACAGCACGACGAGGAACGGCATTACCAGCATCGCCTTTGATTCGTACTTCCCGCTCTCCTTCACCTTCGAGCCGGGCATCACCTGTGACGCTAGGGACGTTATCTGGTCGCTGCTTGCCGTCTCCGTCGTGTTCACCACCGTATTCTCGCTCTTCGTCACCTCGCCAGCCCTCTTTTTCTTCCCTCTCTTCACTGTCCTCTACTGGACTGTCGGCATGGTCACCGACACGCCCAGTCATCGAGACATCCCTTCCCTTTTCTCCGCCGAGATTGGGAGATTTCTGCCCGCCATGTTCGTCGCATGGGTCATGTACGACAAGATGGGCGTTAGGAGGACGCTGAAGGGACTGACGGCGCAGGTCGAGAAGACGGTTCTCTGGCTCGGAGCGGCGTGGGTGGGCGCCCTGACCAACTACACGCTGGATTTTATCCCCATTCAACGCCTCACCTCCCGCGACCTGCAGCAACAGCCCGGCGCTCGCGCTGCACTGGCCATCATCGTCCTCATCCTCGCCGTCATCGCCTCGGCGCAAGCTTGGTACTTCCGGCAAGAGGGGCGGCTGATCCGCAACCTCAAGCTGTACGCCCTCTTTGTCGGGGGAATTATCATTTGTCTCGTCCTGCCTGATCTCAACCTGCGCATCCACCACTACATCCTCGCGCTGCTCCTGCTGCCGGGCACCGCCATCCAGATGCGGCCCTCGCTGCTCTACCAGGGCCTGCTAATCGGCCTCTTTGTCAACGGCATCGCCCGCTGGGGCTTCGATCCCGTCCTGCAGACGGATTATTCCCTTCTCGGCGACGGCCAACTGGACTCGCCGCTGCCGTCGATCCGTGTGCCGGTCATTGTGCCCAATACGAACATTACCTTTGCGTGGGACCCGCCGCCGGGCACGTTTGATGGGATTAGTGTGCTCGTGAATGACGTGGAGAGGTTCAGAAAGTATTTCTATGAGGGGGTTGGCGAAGAAGAGAATATCTCGAATGTCTCGAGTGTCACGTGGGTGAGGGATCAAGACCCGGAGGTGCCTGAGTACTTTCGCTTTGCGTGGATGAAGGGGAATGAGCGCGGAGATTATACCAAGGCGGGGAAGTGGGATGGCAAGGAGAGCTGGTCGCATATGGCGCCTGGTCCGTCGAGGTTAAGGGCGAGGGAGGAGCAGAGGTTTATGGGAACATTATGAGAGTTATGTCTGGTGATGGGTTGGGTCAATGGGCTGTCTAGATGGTTTTGTTGATTACAATATTATGAATGCAGCTAGACGAGTGATACTTGCCTGGGTCTCGGACTCTGAGTCTGCTAAACAGAGGATACATGAATAGATGTTCACTTGCGAGTGATGGGATGCGCCCATGGTGCCATCTTCCGGCAGGTTCCCATCACAAATCTCATGTCCTCCTTCGGCATGGTCAGTACAGAGAAATCCATAGCCCCAGCAAGAGAATGGTTGCTTACCACCGTGACCTTGACTCGCCCGGCATGCTCGGCCACCATAGCCGAGGCCTTTAGGAGATTAATGATGAAGGATTCGGTAAGCTGCTGAAAGATGGAGACGGCGTCTGATTCTAATTGCGAAGGAAACTATAGGTAGCTACCCCTTGAGACACCAAGATTTATGCAAATTCAACGATAGGTATTAGACCCGGACGGCCGGAGCAACCGCCGGCATCCCATTCCGCTCCGGCCGAGCAGGTCCCACCCGGCAGCAGCGTCTCGAGCGGGTGCCAAGACGGAACCCATCTCCACATGGCTTTGACGTCCTCTCCCGAGCATCCATCTTCACAACTCACGCCATCTCGACTAAGAATCCCAGTCAAACCAACCATTGCCCATTGTCACGACTCAATACCAAATCCCACAAAATCAACTCCAGAAAGAACAAGAACCAGAAAATGCCACCAACACGCATCCCGACAGAATCCGACTTCACCCCGATCTTCCCCTCGCACCCTACCCACCGCCCGAATGAGCCCAGCCCCATCTCCCTAGTCTACCCCAATCCGCCAGAATCAACAACCTCCATTCTCATCCTCTTCCACGGCTTAGGCGACTCGTCAGCCCCCTTCGCCACCTTCGCCCGGAACCTGGCCCTGCCTGGCGTCTTAGCCATCTCAGTCCGCGGCACGGCACCGCTTCCGGCGCTGCTTGCAGATCCGGATGGCGAGCAGGGCTATCACTGGGGAAATGATCTCTCCTTTTCGAGCGCCTCGGGCGAGGTCGACGCTGATCCGGGGTTTGAGACGGCCAAGCAGTGGGTTATGGAGCAGTTGGTTGGGGAGGTGCTTGTGGGGAAGTGTGGGTGGGAAGTTGGGGATGTGATGCTCTTTGGGTTTGGGCAGGGTGGGAGTTTGGCTCTGGGGTTGGCTTCGATGTTGAGGATGGGGAAGAGGGTTGAGGATGTTACGGAGGAGGATGGGAAGGACAAGGAAAGAGGGAGGAAGTTCAAGGGGGTGGTTTCAATTGGTGGGGGGTTGCCTATGTCCATGGTGCCGACTGTGAGTGGGTTGGGGAAGGCCAAGACGGCGGTGTTGGTATGTTGTGGGCGAGAGAGTGAGGCCGTGGATGAAGATGCGGTGGATTTGTTGAAGAGGGAGTTCGAGGCGGTCAAGGTGGTGCGGTGGAAGAGGGCGGATGATGGTATGCCTAGGAATCGGGAGGAGGCGCTGCCTATGATTCAATTCTTTGCCGAGAGGCTGAGAAATGGGTGGCTTTAGGTTTCGGCCTCACAAGGAGTAAATAAGCAAGTAGCCAAGAAGAGAGGCACAGCCCAAGCACGCTCCGTTCATGCGTGTGCTCACTAGGTATGTGGTTTGAAATAACTAAGGAAATCATTGAGGCTCGAAAACCACCATCTACTTCAGGTCATCAGTTTCCGTGTTAAAGTAATGTCATAGTCAACCTGAAAAAGAGAGATTTGAAATGGAAAGAAAGCAGAGTAGAAAAGTCAATGCTTTGGAGTTGATTACATAGCTTTTCGTCAGCCGTCCCGCAAAACAGGAATGGAAAGGCATGAAACCCCGGCCACCAGTTCTCCCTTTCCCATCGCCATTTCTGTGCGCAACCCCAACCTCAACCTTGATAGTCCCCTTCATACCTAGCAGATCTCCGGTCCCTGTGTCCGAAGAGTCCACCAGCAAATATGCTGCCAGTAGTGCAGCGCATGCCCAATACCCCTTAGACACCGTGACGTCCGCACCCCGCTGTTATGCCTGTTTGGCAGTTCTCACGAGCTTGCTTCTCAATGCTCAGAATGTGACTGACTGAGTCGAGGCAGATTCGTCAGGCATGATAATTGTCCTCCAATCCCGCCCACTGCCTGCATCGTCATTGCTTCGTAGAGGCCGTGACGCAGCTGGTCGATGGCCACCACCAAGCGATCCTTCAGCTGCAATGTCATCCCTAAGCACCATTGGTAGCTCGTGATGTAGGCTCCCAGCTTTTCAGTGTAGTTGTCAAGATTGTCCGGAAGCACCAACTCCGTTCCATTGCCGAGCACATCCATGTCTTTCAACTTGTTCCACCGCTTCAGGCTAGTCGAGCCCGTGTCGATCAGGTCCTGCTGCACGAGTCATTGCGGATATGGCATTGCTTAAAACGGTATGGCCTTTTCGCATTTTTTGAGAGCCAGTTAGAGTCTGTCGACCTCGAACGGCCTTTGGTTCACCTCGACTTCAGCGAGTTTGAGAAGCCCTTTGACTGCCTTTTCGCTTTGCTTGTCAGAGACATCCGACCGCATTCTCAACCCAAATGAACTCGACAAACGCCTTTTCGATGGTTCTTTTCATGTGCGCACTTTCCAACTTATTGCTCAATTTGTCGACCATGCGGAGAAACTCTTCGCGGTAGTTGCCGATATGGGAGGCGAAGGGGGAAGGGTGCTTTTTGTTGTAGAGACGGCCAGCTTGATCGATGGCAATCTTGTCAGGACGTACTGCGCCATTCCTGAGGCTTGTGATGAAGAGCACCGAAACAATCGCCGTGAAGGCGACTTCCTTGGCGGTTGTTGGCTCAGGTAATCCTCCGTGAGGTGGAAAGTCTTCAGGGCTCCAGAGCTTGTACAAGCCGAGGACCTGCTCGTCAGACGGTGCTTGAGTCTACCCAGTCTCACCTTCCAGCAGCTCATTCTCAGATTCCTCGTCGCCTGAAGCCTCATTTTCAGAGGGCCCGTCCTCTTCCAAATCACCATCGTCCGATTCACCGTCTTCCACTTCCTTATCGTTCTCCATCTCCTCGATGTCCTCCACTTCCTCATCGTCCTCCACCTCATCGTCCTCCACCTCCTCGTTCTCGGATGCATCCTCCCCCTGTTCATTGCGCCGGACCCTTCAGCTGCAGTGTCGTCATTAGCCGTGTCAGTGTCATCCTGCTTCCACAAATCATTGCGCGTCTGTCCATCGATTTCGCGTCTAATGGTTTTTGCAGGCAGAAAGGATTCTTGCTCCCTGGGTAACAAGCTGGGCAACAGCTCCCGCGGAGATGGACGCCGGTCCCATTTCGAACAGGGCCGGGTATATATAAGGCCCCTTTGAGATTGACCCGGGCGGTTGTCGCCAATGCCGGGATAGGGAGCCCATCTTCGAGATTGAGATGGTCTCGTGGGTACCTGGGCACCCGAAGTCGACGGCTTTTGTTAAGCATTCATCCTTGATATCGCTTTCTTCCTCCCGACACTTGTATAGTGTAGATATTTTCATTTAAATTGCTGTCATTTAAATGACTTGATATTAAAATATCATAAGGCAACATTTGAAATAAAAAATAACTAATTATTATTCCAACAATAATAGTTAAAGGAATACTATTACTAGTATTACTTTGAAGTTCACTTGTTCTAATATTTATTAACATGAGAATAAATAAAAGAACTAATAGCGTATAGTTCAGTATCTCATGCCGCAGTTTATCTAATAGGAGTATTTAGTAATATAATTCAAGACATTGAAGGAGGTATACTTTTAGGTCCCACCGTTGACTCGAAGATGGGAGAGAGCCGAAATCAGAACGCGAAGGGACTTTTATTCTGTTCTACAGGGAATCAGTCCCAAAGCTGCACGGCTAACGGGGAGGATCCTGGACTGGCTGATGGACTCGGGGAAACTGCCGATGTACGGTCTGGCCAGGAGGCTGGAGCTGGAGCTCGAAGTCTAATACCCTTTCCCTCGAAGGCCAAGAGGCCTTCCCACTTTGTATTTGCAGGATCGCACACTGATCGTTTCCTTGATTGTCGATATGGGTTTTTCACCCGGCCCACGAGGGCGCGGTTTTCCTGTATAGTAAGTTGTTGAAGGTCCGGCAAGCCCAAGGGCACAGCGGTGTAGGAATAATAATAATACTTTTAGGTTTAGCACATGGATTTGTGTCAAGTGGATTGTTTATATGTGCAGGAGGAGTACTTTATGATAGATCAGGTACTAGATTAATTTACTATTATAAAGGAACTGCTCAGGTAATGCCTTTATTTTCCATACTTTTTTTCATTCTGTCTTTAGGTAACTGTGGAGTACCTTTAACTTTAAATTTTGTAGGGGAGTTTATGTCTCTTTATGGTACATTTGAAAGATTACCTGAATGACCCGAGTTGAAACTTGACTGATAGGTTGAAGCCATCTTCAGTCTTCTGTCAAGACTTCGGTAACGGCGATCGATGCTTTCCTTCCAGTTGAACAAGCAGGACGAAAGTGTGAGCAACTGTCTCTTTCGATTAGCCGTTGGTCGTCATTCAACGAATGTTGAAAGGAGAGAAGGGAAACAGGGATGGAAAATCACCCGTTTCACCGGTACTGCATGCTCCAACCGTGGAAAACTAGCATCTCCAGAAATGGTGTAAATGAACCGAAGGAAAGGGCAGAAACAGGGGCGAAAGGAGGTGAAAATAGAAGGGAGGAAAAGGAGAAAAAGAAAGGAGGGGAAAAAAGAGGAGAAAGGAAGGAACCAAAAGGAGGGAAAAGAGGAGGAAAGACGGAGCGGAAAAGGAGGAAAAAGAAGGAGGAGGGAGAAGGAAACAAAAAGAGGAGGAAATAAGGAGGATAAAGAAAGCCGAGCTTCGCCTTTGGATGCGAGAAACAAAGTGTAATGAGAAAGTTTGGTGGGCTGCATCATAAGGTTCGAGAGAGATATTGAAGGGGAAATGAATGAGAATGGAAGAATAGGCAAAACATGCCAAGCAGAAGCATTCACGTATCAATTCCTGCAACTCTAAGCTGCTATGCGTAACTGACTGACAGCGCTGCTTTTCTCCCCGCCGCTGAGAACCGGCAAGATCAGCCTCAAGGGCAACGACGGAAGATTTCCCGTCAGACGCCGTTCGGAGATTTCGGCTGGACTGAAGATTGCAGGTTGAAGGAGGTCGATAGCTGAAAGAGGTTGTAACTGGAGAATTTCCGTGGCGAGCCTGTCTCTCAGCGAAGCATAATGCTCCCGGAAAGCAAGGAATCGGAAACTGGTCGCAAGAAGAGCTGTCGATGCCCTGCTGGTATACATTGCGAAGGCCTGGCGTAGCTCCGTGTTTTTCTTCCTACCCTCTTCCAGAACCAAGGGGATGTGAGGATGGCTGTGGTGGAGGGGGTTTATTGGCTGGCGGAAGGAAGAAGTATGCAGGAGGAAGATTGTGGGAAGAAGGTACGGGAGGAGATTGAGTGCTGAGAAGGACTTTATAGCTTTGGAAACCAGCGGTTGGGAAAAGTGGTCAGTAAGTGGAGGAAGCGAGAAAGTTAGTAGAAGAATTCGAATAGCGAGAAATGAAGGCTGTGACAGGTCGGGAAGAAATCGAAGTGGTCAAGAACTTCGGCTGAATGTTCAATTCGCAGGATGGCAGAACAAAACCGACTGCATCAGAAGAGACCGAGTCATCAACAGACTATGCCATGTGTTATTCAAGATTCAGTAGCCAGGGTCACACAAGCACTGTTTATACTCCTTTTCACTCATCACAACAACAATAACTCAGACCTCAAATATCTCCCCAATCCCTTCTCCGCCACCCCTCCGATTCTCCACCAAATCCAGCCTCCAGCTCTCCCAATTTTTGAGCGACCTTTTGATCTCCTTGATCCGTTCAATTCTCTTCTTCTGCTCCTCCTCCTGCGCCCTGCGGAAGGCCTCCTCATCAAACTCCATATCATCATCCTCCAACAACTCGTCATGATGGCCCCCCCCGGCACCAACACCACCCGTCAACGCAGTCAAGCCACTAGCGAAGAAATCGCCCAACCCACCACCACTTCCAGCAGCCCCCTTCCTCGCCGACGGCGACGTAAACCCACCAAGATCAACCGTCTCAAACCTTCCCCCCACACCAGCAACAACACTCGCCTCGTCAGGCCCAACCTGCATCTGCTTCCGCTTCTCATGCCAAATCCCCCTTCTTAGGTCTGTGTTCTCCGCCTCGAGCTCGCGCACCCTCCTCTCCAGCCTCAACCTCTCCTCCTCCTCAAGCTCATCCACAGCGTCGTCATCCCCGCCGCCCTCAGCCGCATCCCTCTTCCTCAACCGCACATTCTCCGCCTCGGCGCTCTCCAACATGGCCCTCAACTCCACCACCTCCTTCTCCAACACTTCCTTTTCCCTCCGGAGCGTCTGCGTCCGCCCATCCTGCTCTTTATGCAGCGCCGTCAAGGTAACAACCTTCTTCTCCAACCCCTCCACCTTCTTCAGGAGTTCATCCCGCGCGGCAACCGCCTCGGCAGCCTGCTGCTCGAGCACGCGAAGCTTTGTCTCAGCCGACGCGCGCCCGGACCCTTCCAAAACGACCCGCTTGGACGCCTGCTCCAGCTCGAGTTTCAAGTCATGCAGCTCGCGTTGTGCAAAACCCGCGGCCTGTTCGGCGCGCACGAGTTTTTCTTCTAGCGCCGTGATTTGTTCGGAGGGTGTCGAGGCTGAGACGGATAGGCGCTCGACTTGGGCGCGCAGGCGCGACATTTCGAGTTCCATCGTCTCGATGGTGGCAGATTTGCTGCGGAGCTGGGCTTCGAGTTCGGTGGTGGCTGCTGCTGTTGCTGCTGCGGGGGGCGTGGTCATGGAGATGGAGGGGGAGGCGCCGTGGCGGCGGGTGAGCTGGGCTTGGAGCTGGGCGTTTTGGCGCTGGAGGGCGGCCAGGTCGGTCTTCTGTTTGGGAGATGGAGGGTTAGGTCCCGACGTTGTAAGGGCCTCTCTGGTCAGGGATTGCGATTGATATCAACATACCAACTTGCTGATGTCCTCCCCAACTTCCCCTGCAGGAGTACCCTCACGCTCCCTCAGGTCAGCCAGTTCTTCCTCAGCTTTCTGCCACCGCTTTTCCGCATCCTTCGCCCCCTTCGCCAGCGCCTTATTCTCTTTCTCGAGCTCCTCGATCCGCAACACATGCTTGCGGTAGATATCCGGCGCCGTCTCGCCCTCGGGACTGAACAGTCCCATCCCGGTGCCAGCTCCTGAAGACAGTGGCACGGCACCGCTGGCCGAGACTGAACCCTGCCTAAAGGAGGCCGACCGCGCCTTGGATTGTTGCGCCAGGGAGGGTGTTGACGTCGACTGGGCCGGCTCAGGAGAAGTCGGTTTAACATCGGCTGCGGCATCTTCTGGGATAGCGGGAAAGTCTTCAGTTGGCTTTCCTTGTTCTTGGGGTTGTTCCTCTTCTTGCTTTTCAGGGGCATCGGTAGCTGGTGATGACGGCGCGTCTTTGGTGGTGGAGGCGGGGGCTGCAGCAGAATCGCCCTTCCTGGTACTGCCTCCGGCTTTTTTGGCCTTCGCCTTTCTCATTTGCTCAAGCTGAAACCATCTTCAGCATGCGCCATTCTTTGATCAAGTAGGATTCGGAGAACAGCACACCTTCTTCTTGGCCGCTGCGATCTTCTCGGCCTTTTGTTTGTCTTCGTCCATGTTGGGAAGTTTTAGATTTCAATCCAATGGTGCCGTGTGTAATAGTAAAGGGAAGCGTAATTGATCCGTCGCCGAACTGACTTTCATAGACCTGAGGTTTGTTATTGGTGAAATGTTTGGGCGTCATGGAAGCCGCTTGGAGGTTGTCGCACATGCGAGGTGGCTGTTACACAGAGACGGCAAAGGGAGCTTGTGCCCCACATTTCTCCACACTGCCCCACAACTTCCCGTCCCAAGTTGGGCAGTTCCGTATTGTACTTGTGTATCCGGACAATACAACCTGCCTTCTTACCGTCCATCTCTATATCGGAAGACCCTGCTAGGCTCATTGAGATACCGGCACTCAAACATATCCTCCCACAAGTCAGGCCTTCGACCGGATGAGTCCGACGATGATGGCGAGCACGAGTTCGAGGTTTCCCTGGCCAAGTTCTCAGCAGCCGGAGCCTCTCGCCAAAGAGAATCCCCGTCGGAACTGGACGACTCTTCCAAACCCTGTGTTTCCGAAGTGTCCATCTCTGAAGATCGCCCCTCAGGACTTCCACCCGTTGGATCGTAGATGATGATCTCCTTGACCTCGTCGCTCCAGTCATCCCACCTCGTGAGAAACCCGCTCATACGCATGCGCACCGTACACGATACCCTCGCGGATCGGCAGACAGCCTCAAGATCCTTCAGGTGCTCCAGTGGCCAGACGTGGTGCAACTGCATCTTCAGACACAGAGCTTGAAGCGCGACAGGCGGTTCCCATTCTGGCGAGAAAGGAGGACCACAGATCAAGTCATCCAACTCGTTTAGAACAGCCGCCGGGTCGCAGGTTTCCCGGAACGACTCAGCGACCTTTCTGCCGACAACACGCTCATTCCATGGAGTCCAATAATAGTCTCCATAATCGACAAGGTCGTCCCGCAGACACAGCTCCCTCAGGCTCGCGGGGAGCACATCCGCCAGGCCTCTCCGCCGTGTTCGTGACGGCCTCCAACCCAGCAGCACGAAGATGGGCACCTCCAGCCTCTCCAGGCGAGCCAGGTGCTGCAGCGAGCCGACGTCGCCGCGCCGATGCCAGATGCCGTCGACCCAGTCCACGTCCATCGAATCGGGCGGAATATCATCCACGAAGCCCCAATCCACCGAGATGGTCAAGTTCCTCAGGGTATTTCGCACGGGGTCCAGCGCGGCCGCGAACTCTCGCCATTCGTCGTGGTGCTCGAGCACATAGTCCCTGTCCGCTTTGAGGCCCTCCAAGTCCTGCGCGAAGAAGAACTCGAGCGTCTCGAGCCGGGGCGTGGCGGCGAGCATGCAGCGCAGCGCCGCCGGGCTGGCGCCGCAATTGAGAATGCCCAGTCTGCGAAGCCGCGGCAGCGAGACACGATTGTTGTCTTTGTCGTCTCGCCACGGCCCCAGGTCAGCTTCGGAATGGAAGACGAGATCGAATTCTTCGAGATTCTGGAGGGCAAAAAACGAGAGCATGGTGTCGGCGAGCTCGGGCAGATCGGGATCGTACAAGCCGAGTGCGTTGTTGTTGACACGGATGATCCTGCTGTCGAGGTCGTTCATCACCGAGAGGTGGGTCAGCCCGCGATAGCCGGCGACGTTGTCCGTCAATGAACCGCCGAACAAGTGCCAGAGGATTTGCACTACGTGTGGCGATTGTTGAAGCAGAACATAGCCTACCTCCAGCCTGGCCAGGTGACGTAGCCGTGCAAGGACGACGGCTGTCACTATGCTTAAGTCGCCCTTTTCAATGTTATGGTCAACGCTCTGAAGCGGCAGCCCTGTTTGTGTCCAGGCGTCCACCATAGCCTGCCGAATTACCGTCGGCGGCGGCGCGTCCGGCACAATGCACCGGTCCACATTCTCCGTGGCGAAGCGTGCTGCTTTGACATGAGCTGCGAGCTCCGGGCGGTGCCAGATGGTGCGGAAGAACTTGTAGATTGGGAGGCCGACATGGTACTCTGCATCGCCCGAGTATGCGAGCTGGTCCAAGTCGAACAAGAACTCAACGGACTCGTAAAACCGCCATTCCGCGAAGGGCTGCAGTGTCTTGCAGCTAAGACAGACTTTGGAGAGGTCTGATTGCGAGAGGCAGGCGAGGATCCTGTGGATAAGTTCTGCAGGAAGAGTGAGTATGTTTGCCATCATCAACAGGCCACGGCAAACGGAAATGCTAGGGACTTTATGGCGTAGGTTATGGTGGCGGCGAGGTAGACACAAAGGAGGAAGCGCATAACGAGCCTGAGGTGATTGAGACGACGAGCTCAACGGCTCTTGTAGGGATGGCTGAGCCAATCACCTAAGTACACATTGGTTCGCTTATCCGAATATAAGTAGAGACTACTGTGGTATAAGGTAGGTCCTAAGGCTTTACGCCCCTGTAGCCCTACATTTCTATATTGTCCTAATAGGACTTGCATATGGACGCTAAACCATGACACCTTACGTTGACACTAGAGATGTCTTCTATACGGCACATTACCACTTTTCTAACTTTGGATTTGCCCCTCTCTGGGTGACAATTTACGCCGTCTTGTCGCCCTTTCACATCCTTGCACTCGAGCACAGCAGCGCGAAAAGAAGCAAGGCCTTTCTTTCATGAAGCCCATGGCAAGAAACCGGTGTCATTGCACAGGAGCTGATGGAAACACAAAAGTCTATTTGCTCCCAAAATCGTAAGGGCAACTGTTCAAACCGCCGTATTCCGACAACACCAGACATAGCCTTCCGATGGTTTCTTGCATCACATTCGATGCTTTTCCTTCTGCACCAAGACATGTCTATCGCTATATCTCCGACTCGATACCGCTGTTCGCGAGATATGCGCCTGCTCCTCCTCGGCGTCCTCAAGTTAGAGAATCTGCTGGAAGGCGCGGTTGATGGGCGACCGGATGTTAGGCACGTCCTTCCAGAAGTTGATGGTAGCGATGGCCCGCTTGGCGATGCCCTCAGGGGTGAACTCAAACTTCTGTAGCACGCAGACAGGTTAGCACACGCGAGCCGAACTCAAGGGTCGGAATGACTTGCCTTATACACATCCTTGTACGCGCCAGACGCACCGAAGCGGTTGAGGCCAAACTGCTCGTGAGTGTACCTCTCCCAGCCCATGGTGCTCATGACTTCAACAGACAGCGACGGGATGCCGTCGGGGAGAACGCTGAGCTGGTACTCCTTGGGCTGCGTGTCGAACACCTCGAAGCAGGGCATCGAGACAACGCGGGCCTTGATGTTGTGCTTTGAGGCGAGCTCCTTGACGGCATCAATGCAGATGCACACCTCGGAGCCGGTCGAAACGAGCGTGATATCGGCCTTCTCCTCCTCATGAAGCACATAACCGCCCTTGACGGCCTTGTCAATGAGAGAGCCCTCAAGCTGTGGCAGGTTCTGGCGAGAGAGAGCAATGATGCTGGGGGTGTGCTTGGAGATAAGGGAGACGTAGTAAGCGGCGCTGGTCTCGTTGCCGTCGGCCGGGCGCCAGACCATGCAGTTGGGCAGAGCACGGAAGTGCGTCAGCGTCTCGATAGGCTGGTGAGTCGGGCCGTCCTCGCCGAGGCCGATCGAGTCGTGGGTGGCAACCCAGATGAGGCGCACCCGGGAAAGAGCCGACAGGCGGACAGCGCCAGCGGCATATGAGACGAAGTTGAGGAAGGTACCGCCATAGGGGATGATGGTGCCGTAGGCAGCCAGCCCGTTCATGATAGCGCCCATGCCGTGCTCGCGCACACCGTAGCGGACGTAGCGGCCAGCATAGGTGCCAAGGTTAGTCGCGGGGGGCTGGAAATCGATGGCGCCCTTGGTCCGCGTCAGGTTGGAGCCCGTCAAGTCGGCGGAACCGCCCACCAGCTCGGGGATGGCATCGAAGATCTTGCTGAGAACGATTTCGGAGAGCTTTCTCGACGCAACAGCAGAGTCTGCAGGGGTGTAAGTGGGGAGGTGTTTCTCCCAGCCCTCGGGAAGATCGCCCTTCAGACGACGGACGAGGTCGTCATGCTCGGCCTTGTACTGCTCGCCGTACTTGGCGAACAGCTTGTTCCACTCCTCCTCGAGCGCAGCGCCAGAGGCGGCCACCTTGTGGCAGAGGTCGTACACCTCCTGGGGCACGACAAAGCTCTGCTCCGGGTCGAAGCCGAACTGCTGCTTGAGCTGCTTGATGTCGTCCGCCTTGAGGGGAGAGCCGTGGACGCCGTGGGTGCCCTGCTGCTTGGAGCCGAAACCAATAATGGTCTTGAGCTGGATGAGGGTGGGCTTGTCCTTAACCTCCTGGGCCTTCTTGATGGCTGCGGCGATGCCCTCGAGATCGTGGTTGCCGTCCTCAACCGTCAGAACTTGCCACCCATACGCCTCGTACCGCTTCACGACGTCCTCGGTAAAGGCCTGGTTGGTGTCACCATCAATGGTGATCTTGTTGTCGTCCCATATGGCGATGAGGTTACCAAGCTGGAGATGGCCGGCCAGAGAGCAAGCCTCGGCCGAGACACCCTCCATTAAGCAGCCATCGCCGAGGAAGCAGTATGTGTAGTTGTCAATCAGGTCGAAGCCGGGCTTGTTGAAGACGGCAGCGGTGTGCGCCTGAGCCATGGCGAGACCAACGGCATTGCTAATACCCTGGCCGAGCGGGCCGGTGGTGACCTCGACGCCGGGGGTGTCGTGAGCCTCGGGGTGGCCAGGGGTTATGCTGTCGACCGACTACCAGCTTCATCAGCATAGGCCGCAGGAGATGGGGCCGGGAAACGTGAAACATACGCGAAAGGCCTTCAGGTCGTCGATAGAGAGCTCATACCCATAGAGGTGGAGGAGGGCATACTGAAGCATGCAGCCATGCCCGTTGCTGAGCCATCACTGTCAGCAGCATGGCCGAGTTTCACCCAACAGGACCAGCGTTCATGGAGCGACTTACGACAGGACGAAGCGATCCCGGTTGACCCAATTGGGGTTCTTGGGGTTGAACCTCATGAATTTATTGAAGAGAACATGGGCGACGGGTGCCATGCCCCTAGCCAAAGTTAGCGGCCTTAGTCCGGCATCGGCGGCCAGACAGCTCCTGCTGTCCTGTTGTTGAGGATCGGGCTTACATTGGCGCACCCGGGTGGCCCGAGTTGGCGTGAGCGGTCGCATCAGCCTAGAGGCAGAAGAGCTCGTTAGCATATGCTCAGATCGTTATGTATTTTACATTTCGACTTGATGCGCTGGTTGAGAGAGAGAGAGAGAAAGCAGCTCATGGTGGGGCGAAAACGTTCGTTTGGCGGGGTCATCTCTCGCTGAGGGGCAGCAACTCACGGCCAGCACACGGATCGTGTTGATAGCGAGCTGATCAACTTCGCTGAAACCCATGATTGCTGTTTTTCCGGACCGGTGCGAGTGTAAAAAGGGTCAGGTTTACTGCTGCGACAGAGTCTTGGGGCTTGGAGGAGGATGCGAAGAAGAGGAGGTGGAAGTGCGAGGAAGGTGGGGTGTTAGTTTTATGTCTTGCTCCAGCAATCACCCGGGTTGGGGTGTCGACACCTCTTTTGGATCCAGACCAGTGGGGTAGGCACACCCGCAGGTTGGGAAGCCGCGAGCTGCAGCGAGCTGCCGTGAGGCTTCTGGTTCGCTCGGATGAATGCTACGGTGGAGTTTTGAAGTGACTCGGCTTGATCTCTACCGGTTCACTACAGCCCCCGTCTACACAATATTCATTCAACTCTGCCCCGTTGCCCCAATGATGCCGATGGAGTTCTACATCGGAGCACAGCGGATCCGCCTGACGTCGAGGGTTCGGACTTTTTGTGCACTCCATCTGCCGTGCCACGGATGGAGGGGCTAGAGCGACTGTACGTGTCCTTCACATGGCGATAGAACAACTGGCCAAGAGCACATCCGTGGAGATGTGTTGCGATAACCAATTCCATTCGTGGGAGTCTGTCAACACACTGACTGACACTGCTCGCTCAGTCAGCCGCTCAGTCAGCACCACCATCTCCGCGGTGAGGCTACCAACCCCCATTAGCCCTCAATGCTATCAGTGAGCGCTTTTCACACATGCCAAGACATATCCCGGGTTTCTCTTAAAAACACCGTCTCGCAAGTTTCTCCGTCGCCCATCCCAGACGAGCTTTTCTGCCTGCCGAGCATGGTTTCATGAGGAGGCGGGGCATTCAAGCTGTCGCATTGCGGACATGCTTGATGCGGCTGGCGCTATTGGTCACCTGCTGGCCGGTTGCGGAGCTCAAAGGTTTAAATCTCCCATTGAAGCCAAAGCCAAGGTGTAGCCAATCTTATCGCTTGCTTCATTGAGATGTGCGAGGCGGCGAGATATTTTCTCAGATTGCATTGATAAAAATGGAGGACCGTGCTTGATTTGACCGGTAGTTGTTCGTAGATATTTAGCATGGGTAGTTGTTGGGTCTTAGAGATAGGTCACTCACTACCCAGAACTTCAAACTCTGTTTTCGAAGTGGGCCAGAATCTCTCTCAACTCGTTTCATCCGTCGCGAACATACAAGCGAATTCAGCCTAATCTCTACACGAGTAATCCCGTATTATTGACCCTGAAAAAGACATCCAACTGAGATGAAACTGAAAACGGTCTAACACCCAAACAAGCAATATCAAAACAAGTCAACACCAGCATGACCGGCAGAAAAGGGGCTTCATCAGGCGCCAAGGCCACGGCCAGCAACAACACCAAGAAACCGCCAAAAAAGACCCAAACCCGCCTTTCATCGAAGGATGCCCAGATTGAGCATGATCAGAGGCATACAATTTCCGACCAGGACAGGAAGCGTCAGCAGAGGGTCCTGGATGTGTTCAGACATGCATTCCACGACGTTCTCTCGTCGTCCAGCCTCACAGCTACCCTGCAGTCGGTGAAACAGGCACTCTATGACCGGGACTTTGCCAGGGCGTTTGGTGACCCGGAGCACTTGGACGTGTATGCGGCGCGATGGAGCCCAACAAGGGCCCTATGCTACGCCTCGGTGTTAAGCGGCATCAAGGAGCATCTCAAATTACTCATACTGTCCAAACCATTCGATGTCACACCAACGGACGAGCACGATGGTGATGAGACGCGAGCTCCGCCCACGAGTGACCTACCGCCATCACAGAATCTAAAACTCCTGTCCATCGGCGGCGGCGCAGCCGAGCTCGTCGCCTTCGGAGCCTTCCTAAGCCAGCATCCGTCCCCCATGTCAGGTTCCATAACCCTCCTCGACTCCGGGCCGTGGGAACCCGTCATCACCAAGCTCACCACAGCCATCACCACCCCACCACCAATATCCAAGTACGCCACCGCACCCGCCAAGCTCTCCAACACCGCCCTCATTCCTCCCTCACACCTCGCCCCGACCTTTCTCCAACAAGACGCCCTGGCCCTCAGCACATCTGACCTAGCGTCCTTGCTAGGAACCGACCCCCTGCTCGTAACAATCCTTTTCACCCTCAACGAGCTCTTCACAGCAAGCGGCATCGGCAAAACAACCACCTTCCTCCTCAACCTTACCTCCGCCGTGCCCCTCGGCTCGATCCTCCTCGTCGTCGACAGCCCCGGCAGCTACTCCGAGACCAGCGTCGGGAAAGAAGCGAAGCGCTACCCGATGCAGTGGCTGCTCGACCGCATCATGCTGGGCACGCGACGCGAGCCGGTGCACGGGCGGCGATGGGCTAAAGTCGAGTCGGCCGACTCGGTTTGGTTCCGCCTGGACGTCGCGGGGCTGGAGTACCCGATTCCGTTGGAGAACATGCGGTATCAGTTGCATCTTTACAGGGCGGAGGATGCGAGTATCGGGGACGATGACCAATGAAAGGCCGGTGGGTGGATGGAAGGTGGATGGATGTAAGGCTTCTATGGTGAATTCTACTCCGGTGGGGTTTATTACTACACATATCCTGCGTCTGCGCGCCCAACACCACTCTCTACTACGCCCAAACCAGCCTCTTGATGGAATGCCCCAGCTGCTCAAGAAGCGTCGTATTCTTCTTCGCCTCCGCCAGCGAGATAATGTCACCTTTCTCGATCAGGCTTGCCTCCTCTGGGCTCTTCCCCGCCAGCCGAGGCTGGTTTTGAATGGCCAGCCTTTCGATTTCCGACGAGACCAACACCACCTGCTGGATTTCGGTCAGGCGGGTTATGGCGCCCGGCTCGTCCTGCTTACTCTTGGCCATGGGATCGGCCGCCGATGTCTGGCTGTGCAGTGCCTTGAGGGCGATCTTGCGGGGCGGAGTGGCCTGCGGCTTGCGAGATAAGAACCCGGCAAAACCAGAAGTTGCTGCTGCCGGTGCTGGTTCAGCGGGTCCTGATTCAGCATCCTGTTTGGCAGCTTCATCCGAACCGTGCGCCTTTGGCGTGTCCGACATGGAGGACAACGATCGCGTGTTGACCCGCGTAATATCGGTCAGCCCGGGCTGGTACTCGATGACCAGGCCAACGTTGCGCATGCCATCGGTCTGGGCCGCGGACATGGTCGATGTGATATATGTTCCGAATTTGATTTTTCGAACATGAGCCAGGTCCACTCGTTCGAAGGATGACACCTTGTCCAGGTTCCAATCAAACCGGCAGAGATACAGCGCTACATCGGTGAGGAGAAGGACTGCCTCCTCCATCGACCCACTCCGCACCGTATCGGGCACCCGAGGCGTAAGCATCGTCCAGCCGCCGATGAACTCCTCAGACTCGTCAGCTACCACGCGCTTCTGACAGAGGTCGATGGCCTGCTGGCGCATGTTCTGCATGGATACCGCCGGATCCTTGGTCATCATGGTGGCCTCGAACTCCTCAAATACGAGAGCAGTGACATTGCCGAGCAAAAAATCGATGCTGGCTTGCAGAAAGAAGTCGTTGAACATGCTGGACAAACATCAGCAAGTGTACCTTTTTCGAAAACCTCAAATGCCACTTTACCCATTGAATAAACGAGTCAAGGACAAGCCAGCGTCAGTCAATGCGCCTCGGTAGTTCCGCTTCCTCGTCCTTGTGTAGTCGCCCTTCATTGCACCGGTGGAAGCATACTGCTTCGAAATGGCATCGCCATTGTCAGCCCACAGCGTGTTGAACCAGGCATTCACCTGATCCGCCTGCGTGCCCATATCGAACCCTTGCTCTTTAAGCTGCAGGTCCAGCATGTACTTGCCAAACGAGCTCTGGCACACGTTGGTCCGGTCCAGACAATCCATGCAGTTTGTCCGGAACACTCCCTTCTGCTGGGCAACGAGTTGGTCGTTGACAGAGACAGAGCTCCCATACTCCTCCAACTGACCGCCCAGGGTCTGCAAGAGAAACGAGACGTTCTCAAACTTCATGCCGCGGCAGACGTTGTGAAAGTCGAACCACTCAAACCTAACCTTGTCCACCTCCGGACCGGACTCCTCATTGAGTCGCTTGACACTCTGCTCGTACAGTTCGCCGATGGGTGCCTCCACGCCATGCTTTTCAACCAGGTTGACAACCTGAACCGAGCCGTACCGCCGGCGCAGCCCCTCAAAATGCTCCCTCAGCGCCGCGAAGTTCGAGTCAGGGGAATGCTGCATTACGGGCACCGGTTTCAGCGAGTAGGGCGACTGCGTGAAGAAGAGCGGAAAGCTCCCCCTTGTCTGCACAAACGAGTACACCTTGGCGTTCGGGTCCCAAGCCGCGTCTGCGGGTGATAGAATCTGCTCTGTCTCAACCGAGTTGGCCACGTTGCCGTCCTCGTCAATGCCACGACGGAGGTACCTCAACCCGGCGCGTTTGATGGAGCGTCTCGAGATGATTGTGATGTCAAACGGCTTCTCGGTCGGCCGCATCTCGGCGGTGGGCTTGTTCGAAGGCGACGGCGACGGCGACGCAGCCCTAGACGAGGCGAAGTCGCTAAGCTCAACCGAGTTCTTGGGCGCGCCGTCATCGACCTGTGGAGGGTTGCTATCCACAACAAACGTCCTCTGCCCCACAAAGCCTTGCATCAGGGGCAGAGCAAGGCTGTCTATTCCGGCGTCGATAAAAGGCTGCATAATGTTCCGATTCCAAAAGTACGTTGGCTCGACATGTTCATGCAGTGGCATCAGTGGTGTCTCGGGCACTTTCGGATTCGTCATGTTGCGCGTAATGTCGAGGTCATAGGCGAAATAGAACGTCTTGCTGGACCCAAACAGGATCTGGCTCGTCCGCAGCAGCTTGGGCAGCAGGCTTATGGCGGTAACTTTGCCGTCGGTGTCGTCCGCCGGCCCGGACTTGACCTGCGCCTCCTTGCCCTCACTAGGCCCCTTATTCCCAACACCAGAAGAACCCTCATCCGCGCTCAACCCCATATTTCTTTTCTGATCCATCGCCCACCCGGCCCGACTAAACCACCTCTGCGCGAACCTCCCATAACTCCCCTTCCTCGCAATGACATCCTGTGCCACGCTGCTCCGCCTCACCGCGGCGTTTCCACTCGCCTCCAACCCGGGACCTTCCCCCTCGCTCGCCACCTCCCCGTCATCATCGGCCCCACCCTCCTCGCTCTCCCTTGTTCCTCCTTTCCCACTTCCCGCGCCCAGCCCCAGAGAAGTCTCAGGCCCTGTCTCATCGCCACTGACGGCAGCGGTAATAGTACCAGTCGACGCCGCGCTCCCCTCGTCGCCCTCCCCCTCTTGCTGCTTCTCCTTTCTAACCCTCAGCGCCGCCGCAGTCTTGGCCACGGCCTCGGCCGCATCATGCCGCGACGTGCATGGCGTCAGAGCGACCTCGGTAACGACGTAGACGGGCAGACCGCGGATCTGCGCGACCTGCTGGCGGCGCGTGATGGAAATGAGGTAGCTGTAGTGGAAGACCGTGACCAGGCCTAGTGTAGAAAAGAAGGAAGACGAGAGTCATGTCAGTCGGTTTTGGCTGCAAGCTTACAAACAAAATGCATTGTTTGTTTTATTTCCGAGTAAGACGGACGTACCGACAATACCAAACGCCTCAAACGAACCGTTGGGCGGGAGAGACGAGAGATCGGGTGCAGAGTCGCGCGGGACAGGGGAGATAGAGGCGTTGCCGTACTTTATGCGGACTGGAGCGGGCGTGGAAGAGCGCTGCTGCTGGTTGGGGTCCCTCCGCGAGTTGAGCGGGTGCAGTACCAGCCCGTCGACGGTAGCGCAGATGACGACTTTGCGCGCCAGACCCGACATGGTTGGAGGTGTGGAATAGGAGTCAGATCATGTACGGGGATACAGATTCGGGGGACTCTGTTGTGTAAGAGTGGGTGTGGGCGGTAGTTATTCTTATGCGACGAATATGGTGCTGACAGTGTGGAATGAAGGGAAGGAAAATACAGCCGATTCTTATTGTTCCTGGGGGAGAATGTTGCTTCACCTTAGGCTCTCAGCGAGCAATCCGGCTGGCCTTGACTTGGGCTGGGCTTTCGGCTATGGGCCCTGACCTGGCGCTGATGATGTCGAAGAAATGTGGGGTGCTGACCACGTCCCGCAGCCGGGCGTCATCCTGCAGCATCCCCACGCCAGATGGGCAAACGGAAAAGCGATTCGGAGACTAAGGTAACCCCAACCCTGACTTCGATTAGGTACAAACACTGGGAGAATTCATCAGTGTATTCCCTAAGTAGCCAACTCCTGCTAGCTACAAGAGGTCTGGTAACTATCCGAATCTTGCTCTATGCAGCCAGTCCGGCGGCAGAGACATGCGCAGGCGTATTACCGTCCTGATAATGTCCCGTCTTACCCACCTAACCAACGCCCCCTGAACCACAACTCCCTCGCACCAATGTCTGCTTTACATGGCCAGACGCTCGACCTTGTCACGCAGGGCGCGGATCTTGGAGTTCAGGTCCGAAGCCTCGTTGGAGGTGAGGGAGACGGCGATGACGGCACGAGACACACCGCAGGCGCGGCCGAGGGCGACCTTGCTTGGGACGTACTGTTATGGATCAGTTTTCTGCCCTGTCCAATATTCGCGTGGTGTACGACATACCACATAGGGCACGTTCTTCTCCTCGCTGATGAGGGGAATGTGAAGCACAATGCTCAGCGGCTGAGTGTCAGCGGCAAGGATGACAAGCTCGCTGGTGCCGCGGTTGATTCTGCATATTTTGTCAGTCGGGGGTCGCAGGATGATCGCACCATGCATGGACGTACGACTTGGTCGCTTCGTTCTTAAAGCCTAGTTAGCCTTTTCTCTGATTGCAGTCAATGGATATATCAATAAACTCACAGCGCCCTTCTTGAGCTGGCGGTAGTGGCTGGCCTGCTGCACGCAGTCAAGCAGCTCCTGGACCAGCGCAGGGTCCTCAGCCTTGGGCCAAGCGGCGGATTCGTTCTGAGCGGCAGACATCGTGGCGTCGATCGGTCGAGGGTGAAGATGAGGATATGGTCAAGGTTCTCTTGTCACCAGGGTTCACTGCGGTTGCTCGCCCTGGGGTTGCGACGGGATGCCGTAGGAGAATGCAATCGCGAGAAAACGGCTGACAAAGGTTGAACGCTTCTGACAATAAAAAGCGACGCTGGTTGAATGCAAACTTTGGGCGGTCAACCGAGGCAGAATAATTACCTAATTGCAGTGGAGCTCTCTGGTCCGTGCTACACTGCCACCAGCAAAGCTCTGTCCTAGAAGCCAAGGCACGGGCAGCAGGCCAGCCAACCAACACACACCTGCAACCTGGTAACACACCTCGCCGGCAAGCCAACCTCGAACTGTCACCCATCAACGACATCCACCCAAACTGAATTCCGACACGCCGCTCCATCCCGCAACCAATTTTGGGACCCTCCCCAGACATCAATTACTCACCCCTTCAATCGCTTCAGCCGCGCAGCGCTCAGCCTTCCAAAAAATGTCTTCCGACCTTTGGTAAGCCACTCTCCAGGGCCGGCTTCTTTCCCCTCAAACCCGCCGAGCTTGTTCCAGCCCTCCGCAACTTTAAGGCTTCGCTTTCAACAGTAGCCAGCGCATCTCGGGCGCATGTTGCGTTTTCTGTCTGTGTATTAGAGCTATCGCTGACAATGTCGCCTTCGCAGCCCTGTTTACGCCGTCAGTATCCCCCTCTTGAAGCCGTCATTGTCCGCGGTGACGCACTCGGGATCCGACGTCGAAATTGAGACCGAATCGCATTCTAGCCAACGATTACACGTTCTCTGATACTGACATTGCACAGCCCTTCTTCGGTGCCATGGGCTGCACAGCAGCTATCGTCTTCACCTGCCTCGGCGCCTCGTACGGCACCGCCAAGTCGGGTGTCGGCATCGCCGCCATGGGTGTCCTCCGGCCTGATCTCATCGTCAAGAGTACGCCTCATCGCGGCTAGAGCTAGGGGTTATCCGGGGGTGAGGTTGCTGACAGAAATGCGCACAGACATCGTCCCCGTTATTATGGCCGGTATCATCGGCATCTACGGCCTGGTCGTGTCCGTCCTGATCTCCGACGGTCTCTCACAAGACAACTACGCCCTGTACACGGGCTTCATTCAGCTCGGCGCCGGTCTTGCCGTTGGTCTTGCGGGTATGGCCGCCGGTTTCGCCATCGGCATTGTCGGTGATGCTGGTGTCCGCGGTACAGCCCAGCAACCGAGACTCTTCGTCGGCATGATTCTGATTCTCATTTTCGCTGAAGTTCTGGGTAAGTCGGCGGGGCTCTGAAGCCGCCTTCCGAGGTTGCGCTAACAGACATAGGTCTCTACGGTTTGATTGTTGCGCTGCTCATGAACTCCAAGGCGACGCTCAACATCTCCTGCTGATAAGCTTTCACATCTAACACGGATAAAGTATGAGGGGACAAGCTGAAACTACCCACGACCCATACTTGTTCGTGGACCATCTACAACACAAATTGCGATCCTATGCGTTGGCATATGGCAAGACGCGGAACAGGGCAACGACGTTGGGGTTGGCTTAGGGGTGAGCGGGGAGGTCAGTTAGGGGGGGTTGAGCAAGCGGCGCATCTCGGACACGGTTGGTTAATGGCTTCGCGGGACGTACATGTGCTAGTGTCAAATTAGGGTTGCTCATTGCTTTGGGTCTTGGGTCCTTCATCATAGACGGATAAGATTGTAGTCTACTCGGCAATGGGTTGCTGCTGCGAGGACTTGTTGTGGCGACCCGGTGATCGGCATGCCGTGACGAGTGATGCTACAGAGAGCAGGTAGTTGAGTACTCCGTACTACTTGTAATGTTATGAATCCATGGCTTTCTCACTGTCTCTTAGCGGATGGCCCTCACCTCTGCCAAGGCAATTTCGATCCCTCAACATCCAGCAACAGAGCCAACAGACTCCGAAGTCAAAAACTACAGCTATTGATTGACAACAGACGTACTAGATCACCGCTCACATCATCTCAGACTCTTTTCACTCGCGCTTCTCTTTCCAACTTCTTCCGAGCCCGGGCTCCACCGGCCAGCTCCCGACTGGCCCGCCCCTCTTAAATTCACAAACTCGGCGAGAACACCCTCTCCAGCACGCAGAAAAACTCTGACAACGCTCCGCCAACACAACAACGAGTAACCGGATTAGCCTCGCCCGGCTAGCTCAATCGGTAGAGCGTGAGACTCTTATGCATGATCGTCATCAGTCCCATGCGCAGGGTTCATCTCAAGGTTGTGGGTTCGACCCCCACGTCGGGCTCAATTCCCGTCGGCCATTGGATTATTTCTATTTTCTTTCAGTTTCTTCTGTCTTTTTTCCTTCCGGGTCTTTCCTCCATCGGTCACTAAGTCGGCGGAGGCCCTTCTGAGTGCCTTGTGTGCTCACGTTTTCTAAGCCACATCAACGCTCCCTGGGGTATATATGAGCGATAATCTTCAAGAATTGCCGTTGAACGTCTAGGGAGCGGACGGTGATATTTTCTCGTGGCTTCTTGTTTATCGCTTCCACTCGTGCATGTGCAAACATCCTCTCGTGACTCCTTGATCATCACATTCACTCGTGCGTTTACAGTTCCGTTAGTATCCGTAGCTGTGGTGTCGGCGCAACTCCCAGCATCTCCTCGTCGGCTCGCCTACACAGGAGACTCGCCCCGTATTTCTCTGCCTTGCACTGCTACTAGCTATCTTCTCTCCGCGGCATCAACTCGATGGTTAGCTTGTTAAAGGAAGCGGAGGCGGCCAAGTCAGTGTAAGATATTATCATTAATCCAATAGTTCCGTATCACTACAACAGTAGGTACTAAGTAGAAGATAGGGGATGCGAACTAAGCCAGCACACCAGCGCATGCCTGCTCGATTTGCTCCGCACCCGCTCAACCGCTCCTTTTCATGCCCCCGTAACCATTGCCCCTATTTGGGCTCCTCACTCTGGCGGTATCATCCATCATCCATCATTCATCCCATTCCATCCAACATTACTCCCTTCAGAAACATCCAGAGACTACACTCTCCTCTCCGCACCTTAATCGCCTCTTCTCCGAATCTGGCAGCGACCTTCCGCCATGGCTCGTTATGAGTAGCTTCGTGGGATCAGAAGACGTACTATTCTCATCGCGTCAGTCGGGCACATATTTCAGATTTAGAAACGGGCGAGAGGAGGACGGGAAAGAGAAACTCACCGGAATGAACAGATACGGTACCTGCCGCTCATACTCACGCCACGCCTCGCCATACTTCTCGCGGCAGCGGCTGATGTCGCGCCACGCGCGGTGGGCGATCATGACGACGAAGAATACGGGATAGAACCAGGGAAACGGGCTGTTGAAGCCCGTGATGAGGCCCCAGCAGGTGCTAAAGTAGATGTCGCAGGTGTAGTGCACCTTGCGGGCCATGCCGTACCAGCCGTCCGCCAGGATCTTGTCGCCCAGCCCCGTCTCGATCGTCTTGGGGTTGTGCAGCGTCTGCCAGGGCAGCTGCGGGAACGTGTTGCGCTTGATGAGCTTGCCCCGCTCCATGGCGCGGAAGCGGTTCTTTTGGCTGTTGCAGCTGTCCCAGACCCAGTAGACGAACAGATAGCTGACGTACAGGGCGGCGAGCGCGGCGCGGTTCCATTGGTACTCGTCGGGCGCGTGGTTGGCCAGGTAGAGGGTGCAGTGGCAGTAGGACAGCGGCACGCCCGACAGGTTCCAGAAGATGAGCATGAAGCCCCACTTCTCGTAGTACATGTCCCAAGTGGTGACGATGAGCTCCTCGCCCTTGGCGCAGGCGTTGGCGTAGAGGAAGTGCGCCATGACCAGGAACCCGACCTCGCCCGACACGTAGCCGTAGCGATCCCACTGCCGCGCCGCGGCGCCGCACGACAGCAAAAAGAGGATGAACCACGGCATGCGCACCTCGAAGAACATCTTGAAGTCGAGGATGCCAAACATGCGCGGGTTCAGCTCGGCGCCCATGAAGAAGTCGTACACGTGGTTGCCCGTCATGCGGTGCTGCGCGCCGCGGGCGAGGGCCGAGACGTAGGCGACGATGGCGACGAGCCAGCCCGACAGGATCGAGACGCTGAGCAGGGGGCCGAACTCGTCGATGATGGTGTAGAGCGGGAAGACGCCCGAGACGTGCAGGGCGGCGACGATGGCGATGGTGGCGTAGAAGGAGGTGTAGGCGGAGCAGTAGTACTTGAGCTGCTTGCCGCCCTCATGGGCCAGCGGCTTGCCGTAGGCCCAGACGCCGGGCATCAGGCAGTAGAAGGCGCCCTCGGTGATGAAAAAAGACCAGTAGATGGCCCATGCCTTGGCGTGCGGGAACGCGCCCGTGTAGACGAGGTTGACGAGGTGCTTGGCGAACTCGCCCCATGTCTGCCCTGCAGCGCGCACGGGGAAGCCGCCGTCGTAGTAGATGGCGCCAATCCACATGTACCACATCAGGATCGGGAAGCCGACCATCATGAGCGAGACGAACAACGGCCCGCCAAACTCGTACTCTCCCGAGTAGTCGACCTTGGGATCCATGCCGGGCTTCCAGCCGTCAATCACCTTGTCCTCGGCCTTGGCCTTGCCATTGGGCTTGAGTGGTGCAGGCTGGGGCGCAGCGTCACTCTCGACGGGGCTTTCAGGTGGTGTGGGCTCGGCGAGGTGCTCGGTGAACTTGGCCGCATTGCGCTGGCGCAGCGACTTGGTGTTGTCCATGGCTTCCGAAGCGGACACGGACTCGGTGTCGGACTCGGTGGGGAACTGGGATTTGCGACGGATGTTTCGGCGGACCGGGGTCTCTATCATGCCATCGAATAGCTCTTTCTTCCTAGACGCGCGTCAGAATAGACTGTATCATGGTGTTGGTGGTATGCGAAAGCCAAATGCCTTGTTATCTCGGGACACGACGGCGCAAGAGCGCTGGGGTGAATAGGGGAAAAGATAAACAAAAAGATACGGAATGAATTGGTGCTCAACTTACCTCGGCGTTTGCCTCAGAGAATATCTGCCTGACATCCTGACAAAGTGCACGCGACGCAAGCGCAACCTATATACTTGGTGGTTTTCTTTTTTTTTTTTCGATTTTTCACCCCTTCTGCTTACCTTAGGGGGCGTGCTAGGGGCCGTCTTCAAGCGCGAATACTAGTATTCGCGAAAGGAACGACAGACCTTGCCTTGACCAGGGCCTGGCAATGTCTAGTTAGGCAAAATCGCCAAAAAGGAACGTGAGTTTTAGAACGAAAGAGAAGGGCGGGTTTGTCCCAAGCAAAACTGCACCCTGGCCGTCGCCGTCGATCGCGGTGTCGCAGTGCAACCCAGATGCAGATGCAGGGACCAATTGCCGGGTTTGTTGACAAAGGAATTCAATTTGACCAGGCAATCGACAACCCCTGTCTTGCCGTGCACGGATTCTGCGGCTTGCCGATGAATACTAGTATTACCTAAGCAGAAAGTCCTCGCTGTTCTCGCTCCAACGCGAAATACATAACGTAGCATAATCATCGTTACCAACTTCGAGTTCGCAGCTGATACTAGTATTACGACGGGACTGCATATGAAAGAACAGTAATGTTGCACTGGATGGCCCCAGCTAGCAGGGCTCATCAACGTGTGCCGACGGGCTAATGTACCTACCCATATATCTCCGATGTCCCCACCGTGAGTTGGGAATGTGCATTGCGACAGGTTAGGAGCCCCGTGCATGGTAGCGGTGTGGTAACCAGAAGGGACGACTTGATGGGTCTGCATCTTCTCCGAGAGGTTTCCGTTTTGGGACAGCAAGAGCGTGGCTTACAAACCACCGCCAGCGAAGTTGGGGCCAAATTGTCGGTTTCGCCGTTCCTTGTATTCGAGGCAGCATTCATCGAAGGCTGCATACCTGGAAGTAAGATTGGGCAGACGACAACCAATCTGACCAGGAAACAATATGCGCGCCACCAACACCAAAAGCAACTGATCAAGGGCAGACCGCACGTATCCAACCTCACACCCCCCTAGGGTCACGCAACAGCTGATATTCATCCTCGGGCGGCAACACAAGCGCCGAGATAGCGAGCCCAGCCCCAACCAGCAGCGCAACGCCCGCACCGAGCGCACACAGATACCACGAGGAGCCCAGCCGATAGCCGGGCACCAGAAACATGTCGTCGTGATCAAAGACATACGCCTGTCTGCCGTGTCAGCATCTTCATGTCTCGGTGGTGACGATGAGAGGGTGAGGTGAGAAAACAGGGCGACCTTACCACAACAGCCATGCCTACGAATTCGGCCGTCGCCACAACCGCCAGCATTCCTCCCAGAATCCTCCAGCCACCGCCATGCCTCTTGACCTTGCCGCCCGCCAGGATGACGAGGAACCCCACAACGGTAGCGAGCTCTGCGACGGTGGCGAAGCTCATCAGAAACCCCGTGGTGCGCCACATGGAACACAGAGAGCGGCCGTCTCCCTCGCAGCGCGCTTCATCCGGAAAGGGGGTGCATTTCCAGTTGCCCGGGGACGAGGTGCACCGGCGGTGCAGGCCGATGGAATCAGTTACCGTGCCCCCAGTAGGGGCGGGGACCGTGTACGAGACCCAGTTCGGGGAGATGATGGAAATGATGGTCATGGCGGTTGCTAATCCCAGGGTTAGTCTGTGTGACTGATAAAATCATGTACATTGCAATCATTAACGGTTGGGATGAAGAATGGCATATGATTGATCTGTCTCATGAGTGACGGAACTACGAAGCAAAACTGCAAATCAACCCAACGATGCTAAGAAACCTTATCCATGCCCAAAAAAACAGGGCCATCATGTCGCACAGGGAAAATGAAAGGGACCGACTCACCCGCAACCAAAGCAATCAACGCCGTGTTGTACACCACCGTCCGCGTCATCGTGGCGACCTTAGTGTCGACGACGCCGCCCAGAGCCGATTACATGCAATGCCTAGCTGGCAGTTACTCCGACAGAAAGATGAGAAGAAAAGAAGCCCCAAAAACACATCAACGCGTGTAGTCGATGGGCGGGACTCGCTTTGTCAGCTTTGATCGCAGATGGCAATGAATGAGTTGAGTTCCCGTGATATGCCAGGTGGCTACTGCCTACGAATACTCCGTACAAGAGGATGGCTCGGATGGGTGACATGTGCCCCAATTGAGGCCGCGCAAGCGGGGACACAGCCGCGCTTGCGTATCCTTCTAACCAAAATCGGGTAATAAGCTTCAAGACAACACCTTGTGGTTGGCTCAATTTATCTTTACCTAGAGAACTTCAGACCGACATCCAGTTCCGCAGACGGGAGAGACGCACAAGGCACACTCGGTCTCTGCTTCGTTAAGAGATCCCTCTCTAATAACATGACCTCGAGCACGACTGCTTGTTGTCAACCGAGAGAATCAACAAGACAACATCGAACATCCCACCTCCCGAGAACCGGCAAACAACCGAAACTCAAACCTAACCGACACTGAATGTTTGTATTCATCATATTTAATCCGTCGTGAATCCAAGCTCGGCTTGGCCACCGTCACTTGGCCCCCTACCTTCCCACCGATCCCAATGCTCTGCCCCAAGTCCCATCATGCCCTTTTATGTTTACCTTGCCTGGCCACGATACCATGTAAGTAGGTCCGACTTTAAGAAAAAGAAAAGAAAAGAGAAAAGAATAGAAAGCAGGAAAGAAGAGAAAAGAACAAGACAGCCCATTAAAAGAGAATCTAACCGTAGTCAAACCGCCTGCTAACCCGCCCAACGCCAGAAGATGCAGTGAAGACAGGCAGCTGAGCCTCAAGCAAAGCCCATCGAACAAAAGTAGCAGTAACGTTCAACAAACCCAGCGCTATCAGCTTAGCACCTTCTCCCACGAAGACCACCACCCCCTCGTCTCCCTAGCCTTGCAATGGCAGCACCATCACCAGCACTACCAACCGGTAAGGCCTTCGCCCCGACTGGACCAACATTTCTCCCTGCCGCACCGACATCACTCTGAGTTCCCGAACCCTGCCTTCGGCCCGCGCCCAGGCCCTGGCCCTCCTAAGACAACCTAGAATCAGCATGATTCGACCCGGCATTCGAGTTCGAACTCGGCACTCTACTCCTCCTCTTGCCACCCACACCCACACTCCCACTCCCACCACCACTACTGCCACCACCAACAACACTCCCCGTAGGCGAACCAGAGTACTGCGTCGTCGTCCCCACAACCGAACTACCCGCGCTGGACACGCTCGCAACCGTAACCGACGAGCCCGAGCGGATCCTACCCGTCTGGCTCTGGCTCTGACCGAAGTAATTCTGATGAGGATAGTTATTCTCTTTGTAGCTGCCGCTGTACGCGCCGTACCCGCTGCCGTGGCTAAACGATTCGCTCCTGCTGCCTCCCTGTGGATGGCTACGATGGTGGTGATGGGAACCAGCAGCAGAACCGCCAGCCGAGTGGGCTGATATCGGCACCGACATGGCCGTCGTCAAACTCGGCCGCGGCGACGCCGCAGCATACTGCGTCGATGTCCGCGGAAGGCGGGATCTCGAACCTGCCGCCGCCGTACTAGAGGTGCTGTTGTTCCCAAAAGAAGAAGAAGAAGAGGTCGGGTTCGGGTTGGGAGGAGGGGGGGTGTCGGACACGCGGCGGGGGATGCTCGTTGTCACGCCGCCGCCGCCGTCACGGCTTCGCGGGCGGTAGAAGGAGGGGTCTCGTTCCTGTGCGAGACCCACGGCGGAGCGCTTTGGGGTTGCAGCAATCTCAATGTATGCGGCTGCCGACGAGGATGACTGCGTCAGGCGGTGGCCGTGGTGGGTGGGCGTCGGCGGCACGGACGTGCTGAGGTGCAGCCCCGGTGGGGTGTAGCTTGTGTTGCGGCGCGGGCCGGAGCGGGAGCGGGGGCCGGAGCCGGTGTTGGAACCTGCACCCGTGGACGCGCTGAGTCCCAGGCTGCTGAGTGACATGGCGTCGTGCTGCAGCTCGACGTCGATGTAACTCCTGATGAGCTCCGAAGCCAGATTCCGCACCAGCACTGCCGGGTCCTTATCCGCTAGTGTCTGGATATCGTCGAACAGGATGCGCAGCTGGCGGCCTGTGCCGGATGTGCTGAGCGCTGACATGGACAGGCTGTTTGCTTCGCAGCCATCCATGATATTGCGCACCAGACGCAGGAGGTTTAGGCGAACGACGGCCTTCTTGTGGCTCAACTTTTGCGCGATGCCGGCGTACATCTCCGCCTTGGCCAGGGACGCTGCCACAGCCGGGCTCAACCGCAGAACCTTGAGCAACGGCTCGAGAAGGTTGGGATCAAATGCGTTGGCCTTGGTGGGGTTGAAACAAGACGTGATGGCGGCGGTAAAGCTGCCGTCGAGAAGGTGGTTTTCCACCTTTGCCGTCTCCTCCTGCAGCCATACGAAGATGGCGTCAAGCGCCGTAACCTGCCAGTACTGGTCCGCCAGGAGCGAAACGTAAAACTCTAACCCGCTGTTCTGCCACAGGTACCGCCTCCCCTTGCTTCCCGAGTGAGCCATGTCGCAAAGGATAGGGAGGACAAACTCCTTCGGCGGCCGGTCCGTCTTCATGATTTTGAGCAGAAGCGGAATAATGCCGTTGCTGGCTGCGTATTCCTGCCGCTCCTTGCTGAGGCGGCAGAGGTTGAACATGGTATTCAAGACTTGGTTGGAGATCTCCCGGAAATTCTTCTGCCCCTTCTTCATGGAGAGACTGAGCACATCAATTAAAAAGTCGATGGCATCCGCAGAATGCAGGGCGTCGAGCACAGTCGAACACATGGACATGTTCTTGATGAACTTGAGCATGGTAATCTGGTGGGAAGGCGTCATGCGCCGAAGGTCCTTGAGGACCGCTGCAAATAGGTTAGGTCGTCCGATTTTCAAGGCGTCTAGGGCAGCTACTTACTCTTCAGCACCTGCCGCTCAGCAACAGCCTCCTTGACATAGGGTTCCGCCTGCGAAAACAGATAGAAGATATTGACAATGCGGCCCTCCACCAGCTCCGACAATTCATCCCGCTCCTCATCCAGTACCTTGTGCAGGATGGCGGCGAGCGGGTCAAGAATCTTGCTGCGCGAGAAGATTCTGCAAAAGTCGTTCTTGGGTGTCGGCCCCTGGAGCTCGAAGACATTCCAAATGCCATTGACCCCTATCAGAACAAGGTCCTGGGACGTCTCGTAGTCTTCATCGAGGAACTCAACCAGGACGTTAAGACCACCAGCGCTGACAAACATCTGCAGGGTCAACGTAGAAGTCTGGTACACTTGGCGGACGAACGCCGCCGCCTCGAGCCGAATCTCGTTGGAGTACTGCCGAGCAGCAAACTTGGTGACGATCGGGATGCCGCCGACGAAGCACAGATTCTCTTGCAATTCCACATCATCAAGGATGATCTATGTCTGTCAGCACTCCCAACGCCAAGCGTCACCGAGTGATGATGGACCTACCGCATTGACGATCTTGAGCAACTGCAAAATCATATGCTGCCGGCTCTTGACCGTACAAGGCTCCAGAATCTCCAAGATGGGCAACAACCCATGCGCCCCAATAATGAGCGCCTTGACCTCGTTGTTCTCCCATAAAAGTGCCAACTGCAGCAATCGCTCCCTGTCAGCATCATCACACCCCCTTCACCGCCACACTTAGAGTCCAGAAAACTTACCAAATCTTCGGCCAACTGCCCCACCAACTCCTCCCCCTGGGTGATCTTCATACTCCTCACCAGCTCCTCGACCCTCTCAGCAAGCCTCGCATGCCGATCCCTCGCGATGTTCGCCTCGAGATCCATTTCGTCCCAGCCGGGATCCATCATGGCAAACGGATCGTCCTCGTCCTCGTCATCGCCAAGCCACGAATTGTTCGACAGGCGCGAGAGGATGAGCTGGCCTCCCTGGCCGTCCGTCTCGGAGCCGCGGTCGCTCTCGTCCGGCTCGGTGAGCGCATCTCCGGCCACGCCAAAGATGTCAGAAAAGTCCTCGTCGCCTTCGTCCTCGGCGAACTTGGTGATTTCGACTGCGGAGCGGGCTCTTCGGACGGGCTGCGCTGGCTCCGTGGCACTGTGGAGAAGAGCCGGACGGGAAGAAGCTTTGGACCGGCGCGTGCTGCCGCCGGTTGAGGAATGGGATGATTTCGGTACGCTAGTCGTAAGGTCCGACGGGTGGAAGAGTTGGGGAACATCCTAGGAGATGTCAGCCATCAAGTTTGGTGTGGGCTGTCCCGGTCAGTAAGACTGACCTTGCTGGCGAGGCTTAACCTCCTGTCGAACACGTGGTCATTGTCAGCAAAAAGGTCGGAGAAATCCTCGGTCGATTGTTCACGGTAGATGACGTCCGGGCGTGGAGGCAGCTCGAACTTGGTCCCGAGTGGCTTTGCGGGTGACTTTGGCTGGGAGACATTTGATGCACCCTGTTTGCTCCTCTGACGCCTATGCCCTGGTTGCTCGGGAGCTCGTATCCTGGGCTCCCGTCTCTTGTCCGTTTTCCTGGGCAACGGACGGATGGTCTCCTCCTGAGGGTCAACTTCTGACCACTGTCCCAGACCCTTGATCGTCATAAGCTCGCCCTCAAAGTTCGAGTCCCAATTTTCAGAGTCCTCTCGTTGGCTGTCAATAGATGCAAACGCTTTCAGCTTATCACTCGAGAGCAAGCCGCCAAAGTTGTCTTGGCCCTTGATGTGGGGGAGATGGAGAGCGCTGGGCGAGATGGTCGTGGCAAAGTCATTGTCCCAGTTATCATCATCTACCATATCAGCCGGGTTACTGACCAACTTCTCGCCTGCTAACTTACCAGCGAGCTCTGGGGACCGAAATGCGTCGGCCGAGGGCCTCTGTTTCGTCGCCAAGGACAACGGCATCTTCGAATTGTTGGCGCGATGTCCTGGTGCGCTGGTGTCCGACCCAGTCGAGGCTCGCAGGTTGTTCTCGGATGACTTGAGGGCCTTATTCCACTGCTTCACTTCCTCGACGGCCTGGCTGAAGTTGGATGGCGCCTTCGAGACCGGTGCGTCGCTTCGGCGGCAGCCGGTGATCCAGGCATGCCGTAGCAGCTTTCTCGCCGACACTCGTAAGTTCGGATCCTTTTGAAAGCATTGCATGAGAAAGTCGCGAGCAGCCTGTTCAAAGCAACGTCAACAAAAAACAAGCCCGCATGTTTTTGGGAAATGGGGACACAAACCGGAGACACCCCCTCTGGCAGCGGCGGATGGTCGTCGTTGACGATGGCGAACAACGCAGGCATGGCAGCGAGGTTATGGTACGGCGGTTTCCCTTGAAGCAGCTCGATGACGGTACACCCAACGCTCCAGATATCCGAGGCTGAGGTGGCGCCAGAGAGCTGGATGATCTCCGGGGCCATCCAGTAAGGCGTGCCGACAACCTGGGCCTCTTTGTCTGGTCCGGCGAGGGTGCTCGTCGACACGCCAAAATCGGCCAGTTTGACGGTGCCATCCTTGGTGGTCAGGATGTTGGCGCCCTTGATGTCTCGGTGGATAACACCCTGGTCGTGCAGATACTGCAGACCCTGCAGAACCTGGGTCATGTACACGCCGACGAGGTTCTCGGGAAACTTGCCGTAGGCCTTGCAGATGGAATGCAGAGAGCCATTCTCGCAGTACCTGCTGAGTATCAGTAAAGCGTGCGGCATGCGTGGGCGTCGAGGGGCCAACAGACTCGAGGATGATGTTGAGACAGTCGGCCGTCTTGACGAAGCCAATATATTTCACGATATTGTCATGCTATTAGCCGGTCAGCATTTTCGAACTCTGCGTTGTGCGGGCGCTTGTAGCCGCTGTGGCGTTTTCTCACTGACATGGAGGTTTTTCAAGAGATCAATCTCAGCCTGCACGTTGTCAGTAATCCACCCCTTTACACCTCAAAGGGCCGTTCTTGAACTCACCTCGATCATACGCAACTCGCTCTTGGGCACATCAACCAACTTGATTTGCTTGACAGCCACTGCCTCGCCTGTCCCCCAATTGAACGCTTTGTAGACGGACCCGAAGGCGCCCTTCCCGATGCAGTCTCCGAGTCTCTGCGCAGTCCCCAGTCAGCCATGTCTCAGATCTCAGGAAACGGGCCGGCCGTAGCCCCAGGCGAACTGGGCGGGTCTGCCAGCCGTGCATCTTTCTCCAAATCCCGTCCACCCAGGTCCCTCTCCCGCAGCCACCATTTCATCCAGACAAAGAACCCGCGATCGACCGCCAAGCCGCCAAACAAACAGGAGATGCATCGCAGGCCCAGTAGGCTATGCAGCCGGTATGTAGGGCCGGCACCTGCAGCCTCCATCCCCGCCCTGCACGAAAGCAACGATATTCGAGGGCGATGAGAAGTTGTGGAGGCCGACAGCTGTAGAGAACTGGGACTGAATGGTACGGTATCGTTCGAAAACGGAGCCAGCCAGAAGCAAAGGAAACAACCTCCACCTACATAGTCCTTCAGCCCGGGGTCCTGAACGGCCTTCTCCTGCCTGTGGCTCTGTTCCCGACGCGGCGTTCCGGGCACCTTTGCCGCGACGACGGCCGCTTTGCCGTTGACGCCATGGTGATACGGCACGCCAGAGCTTCCTGGGCGTGCAGAGCTTCCGGGACGCGAGCTCGGCGGCGCCATGATCGGTTCGATTCCAGCGTCGCTTCAGGGCCTGCCTGGGCTGTCGGCTCGGGTTCCGGAACGCTCCAGGCTCAGGTCGGGCTGCTATTTCTCCCCCGGTCTCCTCTCCTCCTCCTCCTCCGTGCTGCTGCTGTAGCTTGCTTTGGGCGGTATTCGAGATTTGTCTTGGGGGTTAGTGGTATTGCAGAGGCAGAAACTGCGCCTTTGGTTCTTCGGTATCCTGATGGTCATTCCGGCCGGGCCGAGCTTCGCCCAAACGAAGGAAAGAAACGCTGCTGCTGACCAGAATCGCAGGCGTTGGACCGAGAATGTTCAGCTGGCTTGTGCTGGCCCCGCGTGGAGAAGCGTCAGCGCTGAGTTGTGGGCCCGAAAACCGTCAATGTTCCGTGACGAGGGTCGACGGTCGTTAGAGAGGCTAGCAGGTAGTTCATGGGTCGGAAACGGCAGTGAGTCGGGCTGTGATGGAGGCAGTGAAGCAAACAATACTTCCAAATGTTTGGATGCGATTAAGGCGTCGCCCCGGGCCAAGGCAGGACAAGCAGCATGTCGCGGGGATTCGGGTACGGCAGACAGGGGTTTGTTCAAGAGAGGGAAAGGCCGCCTGAATCACCAGGCCTGGGCGTTGTGGGGAGAAGGAAAATCAAGGAAAATAGAGGGAATGCACGAAAGAGAGGGAAAGTAAAATGAGCGTGGTGCGCCGAGGCGAAAGCAAGATCCTGACTGGGTGTTGTTTCACTTCGAGATTCATGCCGCGGGGTTGAAAGTGTTCAGCAGCATGAAATCGTGGAACTAAGCCCAGGTCGGGGTATATTGCAGCAGCCTGCAGCAAGCACAGCAGCTCACCTTGCTGTGACAGGGTGTTGTGCCGCGCCAAAGCAACCCTTTAGGCACACACTCCGGGCTCATACACATCAAGCACATTATGAATGCATCACTTTTCATCGCCATACCCGGACTTGCCGGTCTCAGAAACGCTTAACTCGAACAAGTTTGGTCTGCCTGGTTGCCAAGGCACCTATGGATAAATACGCGCCCTGCCTCTCGAGAAGTCAAGAGCTCATGATCAAATGCCTTGTTGAAACAAAAAGGTCTTGCTCAGTTCCTGGTTCTTCCAGCCAATATCACTGTTTTAAACACAACCAGCATGGAAATGATAACCAAGGTTGAGTTCAAGGGCGGAGCTGGGAAATGCAAGTCATCCCCTGGGCAGATCCTCCTCCACCTTCGAGAACGCGGGGAAATCCATTGCTACCTCACCATGGTAGCATTCTGCTGGTTTGTTTGAAGGGACGATCCCTTGTTGCCAGGCGTCCAATCCAGTACAACACGACTTTGCTCGGCAAGCTGGCTTCATGTTCGTTACTTCATAATCCATCATTTCAATTCCAACGCAAACCCGGCCTCAAAACGGAGATTGGACTCTCATGACAACAGCCCTGAAATTTTACCGAATACCACCCAATGTATCAGTACAATTTAATCATACAGATACCGGACACCACCGCCGCCGAAAAGAAACGCGTTGTCCTCCCCCTCATCAAGTAGCTTGATGAGCTCGATGTTCGATATACTGGAGCCAACCCATGGGCCCCTCTAAATCGTCAACCCTAGCACAAGAGACCCTCCATGATGTTACACAGCGTTCGGCACGCCTGCTCGAGGAAAGAAGAGCCCGTGGCAAGGTCGCATCTGTCCTGTTACCGCACACTGACAATATGACCACTGGAAACTTTGAAAACCCCAAAACCTCAACGCCGTTCAAAACCGAATCCACCAACGCCATTATTTAGCGAGACCTGCCGCTTTCCCATAGACCACGACACCCAGTTTTCGTAACGAAAAAATCAGTTCCCAGCCTCACGAGATAGTGTCCGGCTCAGCCCAGCCTCGGCCCACCACTCGTCCGGAATATCCTCCCGACGGGCCAGGTTGCGCACGATCCGCTGCATGCCCCCTATGCCGCCCAGAAGCTCCAGGGGGTCCTCGTTATTACCGCGCGCTCGGTCGGCGTAGGACTGGTTGGAGGAGGCCAGCCGCGGGAAATAAGGGAGCTGCATCTGTTCCATCTCGTCGTCGTCCTCGCCCTCGCCATCGCCCTCGCCCTCCGTGTCGGAATTGTCACATCCCGACTCGCAGGGTGGCTCGAACGCAAACTCCTCAGCCGCATCCGGCGTGGTGAACGAGGTCCGGGACGACGAGGCAGCTGCGGTGCTCTGCGTGGCCGCGGCCGAGGCAGACGCCGAGGCGAACGAAGACCCGGCGCTGGGCGGCTGCGGGTCCGGCGTCAGGGTGGTCAGCAGAGTGCCCCACAGGTTGTCGCCTTCCGGGCTCAAGCTCCGGTTACGGTCGCCCAGGCCGTCCATGTCGGCGGCCTCGATCGCCCATGGGACGTGAGCAGAAGGAGGTGGGCGGGGGCGCGGCCTGTCGCTCGCATCGTCTTGTGACGGGCGTGATTCGTCCCTCATGGAACTTCGATGCCTGCGCTGGATGCGGGACCAAAGGGTTGAATGTGGCGTTGTGGCGCCGCGAGACTGGGTCATGTTAGAGCCAGTACAAAACTTCAGCCACGGACGAATTTCGTGCTTACGGGATGGCCAGGGGCTTGTGTGGACCTGAGGTTGGATAAGGCATACGTAGGTTCAGGGCGCAGTTGGTTGCGGCGCGGCAAAAAATCCGGCTCGCCAGCCATCGTCAGCATGGGTGAGGAATCATTGTCCTCGTCGCGAAACAGGTTCGGGTTCGATTCGAAGTGCGCCCATCGCTCGCCGAACATGGTGACAGCACGGTCATCGAGTACAGCGGGGTTTCTAGTCCCGTCGGCGCGAAGTAGCACACCCGGACGGTCAGTTACTAGTAGCGCGCGGCGGGCATGTTCGGAACCTGATCTTGTCCCAGAGCTGTCCGTCGTCGCGAGCGCACGTGTAACAGGTTCGAGTGCTGATGCGCGCCTGGCATCGTAGTTGTTGTATGCCGCCGTTGCGGCAAGTGCGCGACGGCGGCGCTCGCGTATTCGCTCTCGCTCGTCGTTGCGGTCAAGAACCCGGCGGATGTTGGACCGCGACCGCGCCGACCTATCAGTCGCGGGCTTGGATTGAATGTCCGATTCAACCGGTGGCTGGTACAATCTGATTCGAAAATGACAGAGGTTAGCGTCGACTCGCAGAAGAGAATGGCGCGAGGGGAATGAAAGGAAATTGAGAATTGTTGCAGGTTGTTGCGCTCTCAAACCGTGCGATCGCGCGCACTTGGATACACAACGCGGCAACTCTCGCGATTTCGGGACGGTTGGGTACGCGATGGCAAAGTTGGCCGATAAGCGCTGGCGCGCCAGGAATGGGGAACTTGCCGAAGACCCATGTTTTGCTCTGTGTAGAGAATTCAGTGGTTAAGCGACCGAATCTGCTAAAAAGCAAACGAGTGTAATGTCCGACCGTCGGCGACTGCAATCGCAATGATGCGGCCAGGGAATTGATGAGAATCCGGTGGTTGGGATGCGTCAAGCTTCAACTTGACTCTCGCGCATCAATTGCGTGGGGTTGCGGTTGGATTTGACGACGGGAGGAAAATGGGATGAGTACGGATTACGGCGGAGACCTTTTTGACCTGGGGGGGGCCGGTCGATGCGGTTCAATGTGCAGTCCCAGCCCCTGCTCTCCAGGGGCACGGACTACACAGTACACGTGTAGCCGCTCTTTGGACCCTGGTCACCTAATAGCTGCAAGTGCGCTTATTATGATAGCCGCTTAACGTGATATTGCAACAAAATCAGAGTCGGCCTTCGATAAATAAAATAAGGAGTATGCACTCATACAGAAGGACCCACTTGTGAAACTGCCAGGCTCTCATTTCTCAGCGTCAGTCAGCAACGGCTTTCAAAATCAACAGGCCCATACGTCTCGCCTTCCTTCTGGCAGGGACCTGGCAACAACATCACCAATGAAGAGCATGAGTCATTATTGAGATTGTGCGTCATATGCATTCAGATGGTGTCTAAGATCAACAAAGAGAAGCCCAACGTTGCTTGTTTCGCAGTCTGTCGCTTTGCCCCAGACGGTTGGCTCAGAAAGACAGAGACGGCACTCAGGGCTGAGTGCGCTCCGCGAGGCAACGCAACATGATTGACCTTGGACTTGTTCGTGTCGGCCGCCTCGTTCAGCACACCCCACAGACATGGAAGGCAATCCATGTTGCTGGGACGAACGGCAAGGGATCGATATGCGCCTATCTCTCGTCCATGCTCACCGCAAGCGGCCTCACCTGGGCTCGTTTTACCTCCCCGCACCTTATCGACCGCTGGGATTGTATTGCTGTCAACGGCAAGCCGGTCTCAGAAGTCATCTTCCGTGCGGCCGAAGACGCGGTCAAGAAGAGGGATAAAGAGGACCGCATTGGCGCCACGGAGTTCGAGCTGCTGACCGCGACCGCTTTCGAAATCTTCCATCGCCAGAAAGTCGAGTTTGGAGTGGTAGAGGTTGGCTTGGGCGGCAAGCTGGACGCCACCAACGTACTGAAGGAAAAAGCGGTCACTGTTATTGCAAAGATCGGACTGGATCACCAGTCCTTCCTTGGCAACACCATCGAGGAGATCGCCCTGCAAAAGGCGGGTATCATGCGCCCGGGCGTCCCTTGTGTGGTGGACAGCAGCAACCAGCCTTCTGTTCTAAGCGCGATGGAGGACCATGCTCGAAAGGTCGGAGCAGAGCTGCATTATCCCACAACCTCAACGCTTGCCGAGACCTTGGCTAGTGAGCAGTTTGAGCCGCACCAGATACAGAACCTAGCTTGCGCGCATATGGCCTTCCGCTTGGCGTGTCCAGAGAAAAATTGCCCGCTTGACCAGTTCCTCCCTGTCATCAAGCAGATGCAATGGCCGGGCCGGCTTCAGACGCTCGACATACAAAAAATTGTTGGGCATCCACGAGAAGTCCTTCTTGACGGAGCCCACAACCCACAGTCGGCCGAGGTGCTGGCTCACTATGTCCAGAGGCACTTACGCACAACAAGCAAACCTATCACCTGGGTTCTCGCCGCCACCCAAGGCAAGGATATGGATGGCATTTTGGGTCTGCTCCTGCGGCCTGGCGACCAAGTTGCCGCTGTCCGCTTTGGGCCCGTAGACGGTATGCCCTGGGTCAAGCCTGCGAATCCTGCTGAACTCCGCCGGCTCACTGTTCAACATGGCGTCAATGACGCGGCTACCTACGATGCCGGGGACGATGTTAGAGGGGCTCTGACCTGGGCATCTCAAGCCGCAGATGACGGGCCTCTAGTCATTGCTGGGAGCCTATACCTAGTATCTAGCGTGCTGAGGCTATTGCGGGACATCGAAAACAGCGGGAAAAGGGCCGAATTCTCAACATGAACCTCCGACTTGTATGATGCGACAACACGATAGTTGAAGCCTCAAGGGCCGGCTGGTCCCGGTTTCCTTCGCCATCGGCCGATTTGATATCACATGATTGGGGGCTTATTTCCCGTCCAATCAGCGTCGATCGATTGACACAAACTGTCATTATACCAAGCTCTTGTTGCGCATCCTTCACAATGCCGCCATCCCACCTCATTGTGGTCTGCGGCCACGCCATCTGGCTTGGAGGGCCAAAGCACGGCTGGGACGAGTCCGAGTGGCTCATCGAGGGCTACAAACAAGGCGAGACGCCCACCTTCATCGAGCATATCCAAGCTGGCCTTCGGATTCTGAGTCTGGACGACACCGCGGTCCTGGTGTTTTCCGGGTAAGCCTCCTTCCCATTTCCTACATTGCTGGCATCCATCACCTCTTTCCACACCCACCGTAATCCATCTCCTCTGCCCCACTTTCCCCTACCTAACCACGCATACCCACAGCGGCCCAACCCGCAAAGAAACACCCCTCTCCGAAGCCCAAAGCTACCACAACCTTGCCCTCGCCAACGGCTACTTCAGCTTCTTCCCCACCACAGAGGGAACCCCCGACAACCAGCTGCTCTCCACATCGCGCATCCTCCTCGAAGAGCGCGCGCTGGACTCGTACTCCAACATCCTCTTTTCCCTCATCGCCTTCTGGCGCCACCACGCCGTCTGGCCGGGCCGCCTCACCGTTGTCAGCCACGGCTTCAAGCGCGACCGCCTCGTGAACGGGCACTGCGCCGCCATCGGGTTCCCTTTGGATCGCGTCACTTTTGTGGGGATTAATCCGCCCGGGGTGGATGACCACGGTTTTGGGTCAGCTGCGGTTGAGGTAGAGGGAAAGAAGGGGCGGGCGATGAAGGGCGTGCAACTTGCGTTGGACCAGTGGAAGGAGGATCCGCATGGGGTGGGCGAGGATTTGGCGGGGAAGAGGAGGGCGAGGAACTGTTGGAGGGTGAATCAGAGGTTGTTCCTGGACGGGGAGGAGAGGGAGAGGAGCGGGGTGGATGTGAGGGTGCTGGAGGACGGGAGTGAAGCGCTTGTTGAGGGTGGGCGAAGGCCTTGGGGGAGGATGTAAAAGTTGAACGGAAATGATGAAGAAGAGAAATAGAGAACCATAGGATCCTACCAACAGGACTTTAACAAAAAGAGGGCTGTGCTGGTTCGACAGGCCGGAAGCGAGTTGGCGTCCCAGGAGCTGATCCAGTCGGCTCAACGCCCTACCACTGCGCCATGAACGAGTTCAAGGGATTAGGTAGTGGCTGCGTTGGGAGAAGAAGTGAATCTGGGGCTTATATGTCCGCATCATCTACTCCCAACGTCATCCGCCACCTCCTCAGTAGAGTGCAGTAGCTTATATGAATTCTCATAGCCAATTAACTCCCTTGGACCAGCGACTGGGGCTGGCGGTGAGTTTTTAAATGTATTATGTTTCTCTTCATCGTTTCGTTTCACTAATTAATGCCCACTCCTTCTATCAAATCTTAGATGCCCGCTGCTCCTCGCCACCAGTTATGGGCAACCCTTGATCCGCACTGCCGACCACATCAAGGACAAATTGCACTGCATCAGCAACCATGTCCGTGCTAAAACTGTGCCCGACACCTTGGTAAACTCTGTCGTCGACCGAAACGCCCTCCTCAGCCCAAGTGGCAGCCGCTTGCTTGAACCACTGCAGGAACGGCTCCGAACAGCGGCTGTATGGCACCAACTTGTCGTCCGCCCCGGAGCATAGCAGAAACTTCTTGCCCCGCAGACGGTCTCGGAAGATCTGCCTCGCACCCTCATCGGCGGTCCCCGTAGTCTTTGTCTCCGGCACGGCAGAAGTGCCAAAGAAGATGGCCTTTGGGTCAAGCTTCTTGCACGTCTCCACCAAAGACGGTGGGAAGTCCCTGCTGCCCAGGAAGGACGCACCATCGTCTTGCTCGGAGTATGTAGATAGTCTTGAGAGCCTTGCGCGGTCTGACAAGAGGTCTTGATACCGTCAGACATCAAGATATCAGGACGTTTCGGGGTGGAACAGGCACTTACTCATAAAATCCGGACACCCGATGACCACCACCCCGGCCGTGACCCTCGGGTCCGCAAACATTAACTGCCACACGCTATGCCCGCCCAGCGACACTCCGAGCGCCAAATGCTGGTCGATTTTCCTCTTGCCGTTGGCGTCATGGAAAAGATACGCCTCCACCAAGTCCCTACCCCCCAAACCTGAATCAGCACGCCAACTATCTTCAATGAAACCCCCGCCCCAAACTTACAACAAAACCCTCTGATCCGCCACCATACCCTGCACGATGGCAAACATATCCACAGCATGCATCGGATTCCCCTCGCGCCAGGACCCGTTGGCCTTCTTATCCACCAGCCGACTGCCATGATTCCGCTGGTCATGGACCAGGGCAATCAGTCCCCTCTTCTCTCTTCCCGGAGTTCGCGACGAGGAAGCCGAGTTCCAAGCAGCGACAAACCGAGCCGCGACGTCTGCCATGTCCCCCTTGCTGCGCGTCCGCGGGTGGTGCAGCCACAGACATGAGACGCGAATTACTGTCGGGGCAAGCTCCGCGAGGCCGTAGACGTCAACGAGCAGGCCTGCCATTTGAACCGTGCGGAGGGAAATGGGTGTGGTTGGAGGGAGGGAAGGCATTGGGTTGGCCATGTTTACTGGAATTCTAGATGGGTGAAAGACAAGGAGGTAGGGGTGAGGGAGATGGTGGGTTTGAATGTAATAGTGTAGTAAGTGAGATCAAAGCCTTGTCTTCGGGGATTGTGTGATTCAGCTCGCAGATGTGTGATGGCAAGGACGCTGTAGTGGGTTCTTGTAAGGCATGAAGGTCTAGTAAGGTGGAGCAAAGCTGGTCGTCGGCTTCTCGGCTCTCGACAAGGTAGCACCTCGGATCGGCTCGATGTGCCCCACAGTGGGCCTTTCCCCGCCGCTGCCGGTCCGCACTAATGTCCCGTCAGCACCGGCGGGACCCATATTTAGCGCTTGGCAGCGCAGCCAAGATGGAATGACAAGATGGAATGAAAAGATGGAATGAAACCGTCTACCGGGGGGCATACCAGCAACTTGGATTCGCCCGTCATCACCGACATTTACGTCAAGGATGGGCTAACATGCCCCGCGACGCTAAGCTTTGGCTCAGGGCATTACCTGAAGCAGAGATTGAGTAGGCGGTTGGCGCAACGAGGCTCTCCCTCTCCGGACCCGCTAAGTCTTATGATGGGGTCCGGCGTTAACAGTGAACACCACTCCTGACATTGGTCATTGAGATACCCCCCTTTAGGGTTGACCCAATCTCGGCCGGCACCCTAGTGTCTATACCCCCATTGCCGCCTTCCAAATGCCCATCACCACGCCAAACAGCGTGATTACCTGCCAGCAACCACCCTCCAATTCCCTGTTCTGGAGGCACCTCGTCGGACACGATGGGGATTTACCTCTTCTTCCTCGCCTCAAACCTGCTCTACATAACATGTCTCTCAAAAAGTATACTATGGAGCAACGAAACGCATCCCGCATCGTCGTGGATCGTTAGCAGCCCTGGCCACCCAGCCACTAACGTCAGGTCCCGCGCTGGATCACAGCCGGCACGTAGGATAAAACCCCAAAAATCTACAAAGCCCAAGTCGACGCCGAGCGCCTCAGGGCACTAGCAGCCGACTACCGGTACCGCTGACCTGCCACCACGCGTCCACCACCCGGACAGGTCGCGCGCCTCGCGCACCCTCCTCCGCTGGCTGTGGTGGAACCGCTCCGGGCCCGACAGCTACCGCGCCTGCACATGGGGCTGCACGATCCTCCGCACCGCCTACACCACCACCGACGTCGCCTTCCAGACCGCGGTCGACGCACTGTACCGCTACATGCGCGCCGTCGCCGACGCCGAGATTCGCTCCGTGACCGAAAAATACGAGCGGCTTCTTCGTGTGCCGCAGGGCCACTAACTGCTGCCGGAGGGCGTCCCGCTACTGTACCTCGTCGATCCACGGCCTTCCGAGGAGTTTTACGTCAACCGCTTCATCAACGACGTGTTGCAGGACAGGGAGCGGCTCGAGAACGCTACCGTGGCGGAGGCGTGCGCGTATTTCCGCCGGTGGGCGCTCTATTGCTGCTGGTACGGGTCAGAGGAGCGCTACTTCTCCTCCGCGGTCGGGCCGAGGCTCAAGACGGCGATTCTGTTTGACGACGAAACGGCCGCGCAGCTGCAGGGTGTAGCGAAACGCCGATTCTTCAAGGGCGAGCTCAACTGCGTTACGGTCAGAAGCGAGCACTGCGTCATGCTGGTGGAAGTGGAGCCCAAGGGGCGTGGCGGGCCGGGGATGGACCAGGGCGTGACCGACTGTTTTCGGGTGAGGCTAGTTCACCTGCTGCGGTGTTGGTTTGATCGGGACAGGAAGGATCCCGCGTACATGCTCTGGGAAGTGGATGAGCGGTCTTCTGTCGAGTGGTTCTTTACAGACGGCACCGTGGGCTCTGCAAAGTGTACTGTATAGTATTTGAAGGGGCAGCTGGAGATACAATGGGGAAACAGGACGGTATGGCAAGATACCCGAAGCTGCTCAACAATACCCGTGATTGATTTCTCAACGAAAATGTAACAAGCTTTCTGAGCCTGGGAAAGAGACGTTGCTCTACGACAGACTATCCACCGAGATGAACGCAGAAAGCAACGGAATCACTCCAAGCTTTCAATTCTTCGCCACGTTCATATGGTCCAGCAGCTGAGTGAGCACGCCTCATCGTCCGCCTCACGCTGCCGTAATGCCTCAGGCAGATGTACATACATCACCCGGAAGATCTGCAGTCGGTTCGATTTGCCGCTACTGCAGGCAGCAGGCACGGGAGACAGGGGGGGTACATCAGCCTCAAGCTCCTGTACGTCAACAGGATGACGTTTGACCCCGCTGTTAAGTAAATGCCATAATCCAGACAACGACTCCAAACAGGCAGCCCAGATATCACAAAGCGAATCCGAGAGGCGATGGTGGCCTTACTGGTGTCTTGATGCCTAGCTAAGTAGAATGCGAGTGGGATGTATCGTAACCGGGCGCTCGGTTTTCCTTTGGAGCGGAGTGCCCGGTCTTCGCCAAAAAGCGCAACCATGTCCTTCGGGTAGCGTTATCGCCCCTGTCCAGTAAAGAGAACCATACATAATAACGCAACGGACAGGGGCTGAGTGCACTGGTGCCTCTATCCCAGATCCGTCGGTCCATCTGACCCCTCTGAAACCCTGAATTTGAAATCTTTGAAGCCCTGTGAAGACCCAGGCTGGGTATTCTTCCCTGCCAGTGCCTGACCGGAAACGCCGCCCCTGACCACCCGCCCCAAGACCATCGATACTCTCATACAATATACCATTCATAAACGAAGCCAATCATTTGAAACGCGCCCCTAACTCCTTCATCCATGCAATGCTCGTTCAATGGCCGCCCAGATACCGGCCATCAAAGAGTGGGGAATCTCTGGTGCAAATGCCCAAGCCAAATCTTTGTAAATCAGAACCGGAGTAGCGATAAAACGATAAAAAAAAAAGAGATGATGCTCATCCCAAAGACCTCTAAAATGGAAAAGAAAAGGTACTGCTTCAAACCGGGTGGTTCTGCATAAACGAGCCCCTGTGATAGTGATAGTGCCACTGCAGCTGGTAAGGTAGACCGTGGGGGATGAGCTCCGGATGGGCGCCCGTGCTCGACGTTCTCTAAATCATCGACGCAGCGGCCATCGGCGCAATCGGCACGGCGCTGGCCATGGCAGCCGCAGGGATGCGCCCCTCGAGTGACTGCTGCAGCGCTGTAATCTTCTGCATCATGAGGACCGTCTGCTGAGTCTGCGCCTGCACCTGGCGCCGCAGCTCCTCGTTCTCGAGCCGCACGCGCTTGATTTCCTCGCGCAGGTCGCTGTCGTCACCGGCGTGCTCATCGCGCTTACGCTTCGGCCCACCGCTGAGGCTGCTGCTTCCACCCGCATTATCGCTCGCCCCGTCGTCTGTCTCTGCCTCGGCGCCGTTGAGCGGAATCCCGTTTTGCGTGTGCACGCGCCGCAGGTGCTCGTTGAGGTTTTCTTGCCGCGAAAAACCCTTGCCCGCGTGCCGCTTGCAGTTGGGGTGCGGACAGTAGAACGAGTTCTTGGGCCCGCCGTGCTTGCCGTGTACCTCGCGCTCGTGCCGCAATAGGCCGCCGGAATACGTGAACCCGGGGAGTTTCTCGCATCCCGCGGCGGCGCACTTGTAGGGTCGGTCGTGCTTGTCCATGTGTTTGCTGGCGCAAAGTCAGTCTTGGCGCATAATCTTGACCGAGGTAAAGAGAACTTACTTCCACTCGCACTTGCGGACAAATTCCCTGGGCTCCTCGGCACAGCCCGGCCATGTACAGACGAACTTGCCGTCCAAATTCCTCGTCACCTCCCGGTCCGGCTTAGGGACCGCCTTGCTGCGCTGAGGCGTCGATGCGGTGGGCGACTCTTCCTTAGGACTGGTGGTCGGGACTGCGGTGGGAGGGGCGACGGGAAGCTCAAGCCTAGGCTCTGTCGTGTCGACAAACTCCGGGTGAGGTTGGGTGAATGTCGCGACAGTAGTCGCTAGTTCGTTGACGACGGCATCGCTGGGGTCGGGGAAACGGTCCGAATCCGGCGCGGTATCGTGGGGTTCGTCCATTGGCGGATAGGCCCCATCGTGGATGAAGTTCCGCGGCTCGTACACCACGCTCATGTTGTCGGAATTCGCGGGACACTGCACCAGATACCAGCTCGATCGTCCAAGGCCCCGATGAAATGCTTGTCCGGTGGACGGTAGCGCCGGCTCGTGGTTGGAGGTTTTAGAGAAGAAAACGATGCTCGGAGCGGACTGGTATCGGCCACTGCGGTAAGAGAAAGAATACAGATCAAGATATACCGATTTCGGTCGCCAAATGACAAGCGGTGCCTGGTCGGAAAAGGATGTATGCAAGGCACCGTGCCTTACGCGTCAAGTGCGTAGTCGATTATATCAAAGGTGAGAGTGTCCTTTTGCCTCGGGCGATTGTCGATTCCCGGCGGTAAGGCGCGAGGTAAGCAATTGCCTGAATAACCGGGCAGGAAGACAGCTGATGGAGGTTGCGCAGCCTTGTCGTGGCAAAGGTGGGGGCGACGATTCAGCTTATGCCCTGGCTTTGAGCTGGCAGCCACGTGACTAGCCGCAACAAGCGACCCACTTATTCCTAAAGCTGTGATGTGTTCTTGCCAGATCGAATGTCTTCTTGGTTCAATGCCACTTGCGTCCTTTCACCCAACAACTATCCATCAGCGATGGCCGATTCATCACGGAGCGCGCATCATCTTTTAGTATTCGAGTCCTTTTTATTTCTGGCAGGCAGCGAGATGACTCGAGGGGCAACACCAATTGACACACCCTCGGCAGGGGGAAGGTGAGGCAGCCACGCGACGCGAGGTGACTCACAGCTCAAAGGTCTACCGTAAGGCAATTGTCGAGGTTTTGGTTGGGCCTTAGCAGCCTTGTGACCCGCTCTTGGACGACCGGGGCCTCGCTATTCATGGACCGCAGCCGGCCACGATGGTCCGCTTGGCCACAGCCTCATCACCCTCGGGCTTCGCATTGCAGCCTCGACGGTCGCGTTAAAGCCGGGGTCTCTCGACCTTGGCCACCGCTTTCGGTCTCGCCCGCAATCTCGCATGACCCTTATAAGCAAGGTCGGAGCCTCGTCCGCAACCACAACGCCAGCCAAACGGACAGCCAAGGCTGACTGTCTTACCGATGGGAGTGTTGAGATCCAGAGACCTGAACATGAGGACGACGAGATTGGCGGCCCGGCCAAGTCCTCGTCAAGATCTGGGGTCAGGAGGCGGAATACGTGCCTGCTCAGCGCTGCCTGGAAGACCTTGACCCCGCAAGATCCCCTCAATAGCTCAACCAGACTGCCGCAACCACGACCTTGTCGAGCGGGAACGCCTTTTGGCCCATTGGTCTGTGTCTGCCAGGACCGGCCAAGGCCCAACGACATGAACAGGCACGGCAACATGACCTGGCAAACAGGCCATTTGAACCGCCGTGAATGCTTGTTGGGCATGAAAACACGAGAGCCGCATAGCGAACACTGCCCTAGTTCCCACAGATACCGCCCCGGAACTAAAAAGTTACCCAGTCATATTTTGGTTAGGTGTATCGATGGGATACTCATCGTCGAGAGCATTTTGCGGCTTCAGGCACCTACTGCGTGAACGTTTAGCCTCGTCCCCGACCTCTCGGCTCACCCTTGCCGTGCTCCATGTAGGACTAGGCAACACTAAGGGATAGGCCTTCACTCTCCTATTACCGAACATCGCGAATCCCACGCCTCCAGTGCGGTCCTGGACAGCGAGAACCCGCTACAGTTGCTTCTTGCTGCCACATTTCTGCCGAGTGACTCACGGGTCGTCCCCAGCAGCTAGGAGATATCATAGGAAGCTGTGTCAAGCAAGAGGGTGTCGTGCAAATGAGGACGCGGTTGGGCTGGAAATGTCCCTCTCTCAACAGTGGGGGCCGGAAAAGGGTCAGGTCTCTCCCACTTAACAGCATCACAGGGGCGGGACTGTTGCCGCCGCGCATCGAAATCCGTCAAGACACGAAGAGGCCCCGGTAATTTGCACTATCATCGTGCTCTGCCTTGAGCTTCAAGCATCCAGTGATGCTTTACAAGATTGAATCACAGCCATGCCGTTCTTCCTCCGGAATCGGCCCCGACCCAACTCATAACCAACCTTATCTTCATTAGACCCGCTAGCCAAGCTTGCTGTTCCTTGCAAACTCCTACCTGCTTGGATATTGGTTGCTGAGACATGCTACTATCTGCTTCAACATCCGCAAGTGCGGAGCAGCAAGCTGATTGTGCGTCCCGGGTAGGATCGGCACATATCCACGGTTGAGGGGTCACTCGGCGCTGATTGATAGCGGGTGCTATATCATGGAACGTCAGCTTACCGACCCTCGAGATCCCTCTTATCCAATGCATCCTACAACCGTCTAGCGCCGAGATCACTTCATCATATCGCTGTCAATCCACAATGACTGCCGTCAAGCTTCCCGAGCCGTTCGCGAGCATCCCGCGTGAGGTGCTCACGTTCGGCCCCTCCCCGATACAACACCTTCCCCGCATCTCACGGGCTCTCGGCGGCAAGGTGAACGTCTACGCCAAAAGGGAGGACTGCAACTCGGGCCTCGCATACGGCGGCAATAAGACGCGCAAACTCGAGTGAGCTTGCCCCCTTCTCCCATCCCCATCACCAGCTCCTCCCCACCCGCCCTTATCCATCTCGACTAACCTCCACGGCACAGGTACCTCCTCCCGGACGCCCTCGCCCAAAACTGCGACACGCTCGTCAGCATCGGCGGCGTGCAGTCCAACCACACGCGCCAGGTCGCGGCGGCGGCGGCCAAGCTCGGCCTCCACGTCGCCCTCGTCCAGGAACACTGGGTCGACTGGACCGACCCGGGCTACGAGAAGGTTGGCAACATCCAGCTGTCGCGGCTGATGGGCGCCGACGTGAGGTTGGACCCGTCGGAGTTCGGAATCGAGCACAAGCCCACGCTGGCCCAGCTCAAGGATGAGCTGGCGGCCGCCGGCCGAAAGCCGTATTACATCCCCGCTGGCGCGTCAGATCATCCGCTTGGTGGGCTGGGGTTTGCGAGATGGGCTTTTGAGGTTGAGGCGCAGGAAAAGGAGATGGGCGTCTTCTTTGATACGGTTATTGTGTGTGCTGTGACCGGGTCGACCATGGCGGGCATGGTGGCCGGGTTCAAGCTGATTGAGAAAATGGGCGGGCGGACGAGGAGGGTTGTGGGAATTGATGCGTCGGCTAAGGTGCGGCAGACGTTTGAGCAGGTGCTGAGGATTGCGAGGCAGACGGCGGCGAAGATTGGGTTGAGCGAGGAGGATGTCACTGAGGAGGATGTTGTGCTCGATGATCGGTACCATGCGGGAACGTATGGGATCCCGGATGAGCAGACGATCGAGGCCATCAAGTTTGGCGCGAGGACCGAGGCGTTTATCACGGACCCTGTGTATGAGGGGAAGAGCCTCGCGGGCATGATGGATTTGATCAAGAAAGGGGAGATTCCGGATGGGAGCAATGTGCTGTATGCGCATCTTGGCGGGCAGCTGGCGTTGAATGCTTACTCGACCCTGGAGTAGGTGTTCCGTGTGAAACGGTTGGTTGGGGATGGTGTTGGTCTCGGCACAAGCTCGGCGGCTTTCAGGATGCAGCGCTTAATGACAGACCTTTCGTACGGTATTGAAAAGTCGACATGCACCGTCCCTACTGAACTCCAACAAGTTTACAACAATACAAACTCGAATCTCCTGTCCTTGCTGCACGGTCACAACTCTGGAACAAACCAACTTCTGCATCGACGGTTGAACGGCTTCTTTCCAGATTTCCAAGAATACCTAATCTGGAGCTTTTGGGTCACACTCTACCAGCCCTGGCACGCCAGCCCGACGCCGCCCGGGCGACGCCGATGCCATCACCGCCCCTTCGACGCCTTCGCCCAGATTTTCGGCAGCGGATCTACTGCTGGCTTGGGCTAGCATCCTCTGACAGCCGTCGCTATACGTTTAATTTGCACGCCGGAAGGCAAAAACTGCGCCGCGGCTCGCGGGGCGAGCGCTTGGGACGAGCTTCGTGCCGGACCCGGGTTGGTTCCCCGGACTGATGCTTTCCTGTGGTGTCATGCACGCCGAGGCCGCTGCTCTGCTATACTCGACCAACCTGTTCGTCCTCTACTATTTTGATCCGCGCTCGGACCCGGATCACCCGACATCGCGGCTCCGTCCTCTACGTACTCTGTACAATTTGTTAACAACCTCACCTCTGTCCCCGTCGGATCTCAAGATTGTGCTCTACCAGGCCGCTTGCCACCAGCTGACAATATACGGGGACACGAATACTTGCTGCCTCCACGGTCGCCCGGAGTATGTAAAATATTTTGGTAGACCGTGATGCAGGCAAAAGCACGAGGGCGTTCATTAGCTTACGCTACTGAGTCCGGCCAACGAGTTCGGCTAGAGCGACAACCCGGGGCCAGCCCAAGTTATCCTCGGCGAGTGGCATTCGGCGGCCGTTCGTTCATTTTCCCAAATCGCTCCTGGGCGCCTTCGCCTGTCCTTGGTCTGCAATCTCGACCCCCAAAACTCTCGGACGGTGGAGTTGGCAACTCCGTTGTCGCGCCCATCCGTCTTCTTCCCCGCGGTCATCTAAAGGAATGCCATATCCGGCTGGCCAAGACAGCGGACCGTCAACTCCAGCAGCTGGCCGAGGATGTCGGATTACATGCCTGTGGGATTCATACACCATCTCTCAAGCCACCGGCGTCGAGGGCGACAACGACTCTAGCAACGCTCCCACCCGAGCTCCGCATCAGGTTTCTCGAGTACACCGATCTTGTCACCCCAAGCAGGAAGTGACATGGAGCCGGCAAGACCACGCATGCGTGATCGTGCCCTATTACATCGACCAGTTTTCCAGTGCTGGCGCGATGGGACCTGGAAGGGCAAGCCCCCAAGCAACGGCTACTGTTGCCGCCGTCACCACGCTGCCTTCTCGCTAGCGTGCAATTGCTGGACACCGCCGGGACCTACCCTGTTTCTCCTTTGTCGTACCCTGTACGAAGACGCCCAAGTCGTCTGCTTCTCGAGAAACCGGCTCATCGTCCACGACTAAAAGCCATGCCCTCCTTGGACTCTGCCGTTGCTTGAGCAGTGCGACGAGGATCACGATGATGAGCTCCTCCCCACGTACGGCTATCCAAACGAGCGATTCGCCGCTTCGGAATCTCTGAGCGACGTCGTGCCCGCGCCGTGCCTTTCTTATCTCCGGTTTTTCGAGCTGGTCTTCCCGCCTTACCGGCCCCGCAGCTGGCTCGAGACACAGCACCCTGCGATGCAGGACTGGCGGGCGACAGTTGACTGGCTCCGAGACAGGATCAACCTGTCGGAGCTCACGCTCCGGTTTATGGTGGCAGACCTGCCCGGCAGCGGAAGACCGGAGGCGTACTTGCGTTCGATAGCGGTCGAGGAAGGAGGGACGGCAATGACAGCATACATGGATCTTCTGCAGCCTCTGACAACTGGCCAGTTGCAGCCTTGACAGGTTCTATGCGTACTTTCCGTAGCCTTGGGAGTTGACAGTAGAACCCAGACGGCGCAATCGCAACGAGCCCGGCTGGTTCGGGGAGGAAGAGGAAGCTCTCAAGGAGCGTGCCGAACGTTATGTTATGTATGGCCACCGGTACGAAGAAGGCCTCTACGCAAATGGCAAGGAGGAACCAAGGCTCAGAATTGGCACTACAATTACTGTTGACAAGAAGTCTCAGACAAGGTAGAGGGTTGGAGGTGTAAGATGCATACTCTAGTGAGATGCTATGAAAACCGAACACCTTGTCACGCACCTTTTTACTCTGGGGTACGCAGACCACCTTCGGGCGCGAACAGTCAGAACCCAGAAACTACCGCTAAGTCATTGGATGTGATCGTTCAGCAAGCCCGGACTCCTCTATCAAGGGCCGACCGAGCCGCGGCCTAAAACTTTCCGAGACGTCTCAACTAGGCACTGCCATCACTCGATTGTGATGTGTCGCAGATGAAAGACTAATTAATGTATTGGGTATAGATGCTGTGCCTCATCTAATTTGTATCACCACACTTATTCGTTCAGATTCATCAGCATAACATCAGCATCCATCCAACTATCCTCCGCGCACAGAGCCCATCCCATCTTGCAAACCCCTCTCCGCTTCGGCTCTCTGACTCCCGCGCCCCATCCCCAACTGGCGCTCCTCCTCGTCCCCCTCCTCGTCCCCCCCTTCGTTCTTCAACTCCTCCTCTTCGTCCTCCTCCTCCATCTCTTCATCCTCCTCATCCTCCTCATCCCCGACAAGACTCCTCTCCCCCGCCCTCGCCTCCCCGGCCGGCACCCTCTTTTTCTCGAAATCCTGCTTATGCGCCTCCGCCATGGCCTGCCTGATGGACCGTCTGCCGGTGCCCAGTGTATCGGTCATGCGCCGTCTGAGCGTGCCCGGCCCGCTTCCGTCGCCGTCTTCCAATGCCGTAGCTGTTGTCGTTCCCGCAGCCGCTGCCGCTGCTGCTGCCGACTCGGTAAAGTAGAAAGACGGAGTCCTTTCCACGTCCGCCTGAGTCCGTGGGGTGGGGTGCATCGGTGCCAATCCGGGTCCGGGTCCCGGTCCCGGTGTTGCCGGGGGGGCAGCGGGTCTCGGCGTCGGCACGCCCGATACGGTCGAGGGCGCGGTTGTACCAGTGCCGCCACCGTCAACGACCGTGGCAACCGCGGCGGCAGCGGCGGTGGCGGCTGCTGCTGCCGTTTCCACTTCGAGGCTCGGGCGCTGGACAAACTGCTCGAGATGGTACGGCAGGGGCGTATCGCGCGCGGCTTTGTACTGAGCGACGTTGGCGCAGTGCTCGTTCTCGACGCGGAGGAGGGTCCACATGCCGCGGCGGATGACCTCGGCGAAGGCGACGAGGAAGGAGACGAGGGTGCTGTGCTGGGTGTCGTGGGTGAAGATGGGGTAGAAGATCCACGAGAAGCGCAGGATCGGGTCGACGGCCATGATGAGGTAGTAGATCCAGACAGGGCGCAGGGCCGTGATGTCGCGGAGCAGCTTCTGGCGGGCCTTGGCCTGCAGGAGTGAGAAATCCATGAAGAGGTCCCAGACGGCTAGGTCGGTTGGTTAGTTGAAGACGCTTAAGCGCAACAATGGGTGAGAACGTACAGCAATATATGGCGTTGATGGTGGCGAAGACAATGAAGAAGCTCATATTGATCTGGGTGTCGCCGATGCGGTAGAGGCTGAGCCACACAGCCGTCAAGATCGTCATGGTATACTTTCCGCAATTGACAAGGTGAGGGAACACGTTCCGGGTGTCGTGGTAACGTCTGATGCATTGGAGAGCTCGCCAGATTGGCGGGAGAGCGGCAAAGAAGCCGAGGAGGCGTGAGTGCGACGAATTGCACTGCTCCGGATCGTTCCAACTGCGTGCATAGAGGCAAAAGAAGAGCTCGACGTTCTGTCCACGAGGTCAGTCACGGTTGATCCGAGACGCAAGTCATCAACAAAGGGAGCAACGTACGCAGGTGGCGTACGTCAACGAACACCAAATATCGCCCAGGAAGAAATCTCGAAACTCAACTGGGTACAAGCCGGAGAGAAGTAACCTATACTGTAGAGGTGGTTAGCAGAGCTGAAATGTGTTGGCGGACTTCAACTGTGGCGATGCATACATGAGAGTACAAAAACCACCTCCTGGCCTTGTGTTGCAGAACCGGCGCTGGAAGAAACAGAACGACGAGAGTCATGCAGATCAGGATGACGGGATAGTAGAGGTACATCTCCTCCCAGTTCCCAAGCCTAGAAAAGTTGAGCCAGATAAACACCCCGAACAAGGCGAAGAAAAAGCTGGGGAACTCGGCCAGCTGCTTCCAGTCCAAGAAATTCCTCGCATCGAACTCGAAGATGAACGGATAGTTCACCTTGTTCTTGGTCCACATCCGGCAATCAAGCGTAAACATGGCGAAGAGGAGGAGCGCGAGGAAATACCCTCCATACAGCTGTAGCAGATAACTTGTCTGCTGGGCCAGGTTGTCGTCCTCGTCGTTGACGAGGATCCTCGTACCGTAGATGAGTCCCTGAACGGCGAAGACAGCGCCAATGCCAATCAGCAAGCCGCTGCGAAACGCACTGTCGGACGAGTCACCCGACCGCTTGTGCAGGGCCCGGAGCTTCCCGGCTGCGATCTTGTGGTTGCCCCTCTCAAAGTACCTCGCGTAAATATCTTCAACGGTGCGTATGTGTCCGTCCAGGATGTCGCTGTTGACAAACCACGACTTGTTCACCTTCTCGTTCATGTATCGGTATGGCGGGTGGGCATTGACGGCCTTGTCATACTTCTTATTGAGCTTGCGAAACGCGGTCCGGTTCAGCAGGGCGTATGATTTGAGTAGTTCGAGGCTACGGTAGAACTCTTGCAACGCTAGCTTGAGCTTCCGCTTCGCCGTCCGGTACGGCACGTCGTCCTCATGAAGCCGGCGCACATAGTCGCGTTCTTGCTCCATGGCCTGGCCAGTCATGACCGGGGTCCGCGTCATCTTCTGGAGAGCTTTCGAGTTGGGCCCTGGCTTGATGAACCTGTCCTTGATTGGACTGATCCAGTCTCGATTGCTATCCTTGCTCCGTCCCTCGACCTCATCCTCGCTGCGGCTGCGGCTGCGCCCATGCTCTCGTTTCCTCTTGGCCTCGGAAATCTCGGCGGAACGTCGATTGCGCATCTCGTGTAGCTGCTCTCGAAGAGCGGCCAGACGCTCCGTGGCTTGTTTCTCCTTCTCCTTGTAGAAGGTCTCGATCTTGTCCAGCTCGCTGTCCAGGAAGGCGAAGAAGTCGCGCTCGGCGGAGCGGACGTAATCCAGGTTTTGCAGGCCGATCTCGTATTTGTTTGGCGTTTGCCGGGCCATTAGCGAAGGCGTTGAACACAACCGGGGTACTCGCAGACGAGGCGTCGTGCCCATCCCGCCAGAAGGGAGGGTTAACAACGACGGGGTGCGCTGCTCGGGACGCCCTGCATCCATCATGGAAGCGCTGCGTTGGAGGGCGCCGGTAACCGAAGGGACTCGGATTGCCGGGGCGGGTAGCGCAAAGTCGTGTCTGTCGCTGGTGTGCGACGGCGAGGGCCCGAAGCTGCCATACTGTATGCCGCTGCCCGGGCTCCGGGCGAGGCCGGACCTCTCATCGCCGGAAACGCGTCTCTTCCCGGGTTTGGTAGCCGCGGATCCGGATCGAGCAGCACCAGGCTCATCAACCAGGCGAGGGCTCAGAGGACCATCATTTCTGCTACGAGGCGTAAAGTTATGACGGATGCCAAAGAAGGCGGCCGGCGTCGTGGCCGGCGGACGATCAGCGCGTCTCGTCAGGACCGGGGTGGCATTTGCGCGGTTGATAGCGCGGGTGACGGCCTTGACATGCTTCTTACCGGCCTTGTAGTTCAGATACTTGAGGCGCCATTCTGAAGGGATACACGGTTAGCCGGCCGCCTCTGTGGAACCCAAGAAATTCCTGTTGACGTATTTAACCCCGGTTGGTGATCGTCCACCGCAGCATTGCTGCCGCTTGACTGCCAAGGGCCCAGTCGCGGGCAGGTAAGACAAGGCGAAGATCAACGCACTGGCGCTGATGTCTCGGGTCGATGGGAAGGGAAGCCGCATACCTGGAACAACCTCCTGATCAAGCTCTTTGGCAAACCTTGGCGGTCTTGTGTCAGTTTTCAAAGCTGCTTCAGGGAAATCGGCATGTTCCTAAGGTCTCTCACTTCATGACGTCAAGCCCGGCATTGCGTCCGTGACAGTTGCGGGATCAGGGGTTGTCATCCGAAACTGAAGGGACAGAGGTAGTGTGGGTGTGCCAGAGACGAACGACAATGGCATTGGGGTGTTGTCCAGGCCCAAATAATCACGGTAACACGGTCTTCCTCCAGAGGCAAACGGTATGGAAGAACATTAAAGTCATGGGAACATCCATCCAAGTTTGTGTCTCTCGATTTCCCAGTTTTTCGCCAATTGACCTTTTGCAGCGGGCTGCAGGGGTCGGTGCCTGGGCTGCCCTGGGGTCGACTTGCAGCGGCAACCCACTGGAACCAACGGCTGGAACCCACAGGCAGGGGCTTCAGTTGTGGCTGATTGCGGCTTGCGCTGTTGTGCAAGTGGGCTTCTAACGTTGCATTTCAGGTTTAGCAGAGCAAGGTTGTTATGGGAGACACCTCTCTCTTATACACGCGAGCTGAGCAAGTACAGCGCTGAACCAGACCTCGGAGACCCGTCAGTGTCCGGAACTTCATCCATCAACCTACCATGAATTCGCAAGTCTTTGTACAAGACCGCGGCGGCCATGTCTCGGCCGCCAAGCACCCGGTCACGAAACGGGTTTGGTCCGGGAGCACACGCCGTTTTGGCGTACTATTAAATGAACAAACTTTGTCAAAGGATGGACTGGCTTGACTAAGGTATTTCGCAGTATCAGTGGCTCCCTCGGCTCCGTACACGTGTATCCGTGACCATTGATGTCCTGCCACTCTTGGTGGCACTGGACATGGGCCGTCCCTCCACCATCCTCAATGTGCCTGACGTACGTCTGTCGAAAGTCTCGCAGATGCCCGGACACAGTGCTTGGCAAACGGAGCAACCCAGGATCAACCGGAAAGGCCCAGAAACTCGTACGCGCAAAGGCCGTTTCGGTGCCTGACTGCCGACCGCCGACCGGGGCGATCCCGGCGAGGTGGTGACGACGGATCGGACGAGGGGACCACGCAAGCCGGCAACCCCCGGGCCCCGCACGAAAGTGCCCCGCAGGGCCTCTCGCTTGCATGTGCCATGGGCAGAGCTGGAAAGCGCGTTGATTGGTTGGACTACGGAGATACCTCGCGACAAAGGCGCCATTCTGAGCACGCCAATAGCGCCCGCTCAAAAACCGTCTTTCTCTCAACACTGTCTCGTGGCATTGCCTGATTTCTCAAATGTATGGCGGCACCTTGATGGAGACTGAATAAGGCAAGCCAAGCATTGTGTTGCCCGTGTTTGAGCCCTGGTGCTGCCATTTCAGCTGCACCGTGCCAGATGGGATGCATGCATCGTTCAACCGCCAACAAAATCTTCTTGACCGCTCGCTCGCAAAGCTTCCCGCTGGACAGGCCGGTAAGACAGGGCTGTTTTCTGTTCCGGACGGTTGAGCAGAGAAAGCCCTTGACAGGCTTTGACACGAGTGTTTGACGGAGCAGTCTATGTCTGTCTGACAGCGCGACAAAAGCGCTCTGCGTCCGGGCATATGCTGTTGGTTTCGAGACGTCGAAAGGCACGTTACATCTGTGCCTCAGCGGCATTGTTTCGAGAGCTGCCACAGATCCTGTGGCGGATGCGCAGAGGATGCCGCGGCGATGCCGAGCCGTGACCTGTTCGAGCGCCGACTTCGCTTTTAGTCAAGACAGGTGCAGAGGACTTAGCATTTTCGATGAAGATTGGTGGGCCTAGTATGATGCATACCGGTGCGGCCGGTGAGAGTGGGATGATGACCCCACTTTGTGCCCAGCCCCACCCATTTTCAGCTGTGCATTGTCGTCTCAGTGGTGTTGTCAGATCTCGATCGATTCACCAGTCTTCATAAACCCTTGCTTGCCTTGTCAAAGGACGACCTTGGTTTTGCAGGTATTCTCTGTGAGCGGACATTCGTTTTTAGACAATTCCTTGTTCCGCACGAGTTGGTCGACAACGTTAAGCGCCAACGAGAGGGCAGCTGGGCTACAACTATCCGGGCACTTCGGAGAGCCATTTTTGGCCAACAAGGAAGTTGAAGAAAAACACACACGGAGAGCAAGCTGCAAACCGGATCGCAGTAACGGCAGGAATCTTCCACGGGTTCTTGCTTGCAGGTTTAGGCTTTTTGGAAAGAGTGGTCCCGTCCAGGAAGGGAAAGGCCGACAGCTTGTCACATAGATCCTGCTCGGTGATCACCCCTCTTGGTGCTCGGATCATTTCATCATCGAACCAAGCGCCGCGACAGGGCATGCAACGTGGGAGCCGCCAAGGTTGGCCAGCGCAGTTCTGACCCCTTTCAAGCCGCGCCCCTGCTCTTTGAACAAACACCGCCTTCGGCCTCCCATTTCAAAAGCTGGGGCGCCCCAAGGAAGCAGCAGCAATTGCAATTGTCTTCTGACATTTTGCATCGCGGATTCGAAACACTGGGCAACCTGGAATTGACCAAATCTGCTCGGCCTGCTGCCTGCTCCTGTGTCAATCGCTCCATCGCGGCACCGCTAGCGTGATTGGGCTGACTGGACGCCGTCGCGCCGTTTCAAAAATCCTCCGCCGACCACATCCCACCCGATCGGCAGCTGACTCCAGACCTCAAGATCATACTCAAGCCGCCTTTGTTTGCCGCCCTCGCCTTCCAACCGCGACGTCCGGGATCGTTGTCAACCTGCGCCATGTCGCACGGGTGGGCGGCGGAGCCCATGTTAGAGCCTCAATACGGTCGCAGGCGGGCGCCGCCGATGGATCCTGCGAGCAATGCGGCCTACACACACAGTCGCACAAGGACGACCTCGTCAAATACCTTCCCAGCGCCTGTGCAGGGGCAGTTCCAGCCGAGCCCTTACCAGCCACCGATGCATCTCGCCCAACCCCCAGCGAACCATCAGCGTCGCTCACCGAGCGTTAACACATTTAGCACGGTCTCCAGCGGCGGGATGGCACCACCGGCGGCGTACAGAACATCCCCGACATTAGATATCAGGAGATCCACCTCGAGCCGCTCCGCCGGCACCCCCGGCTCCCCACAACCCGGCGGTTACGTCGCTCTCCTCAGGAAACAAAAGGCCACCGTGTGGTGTGAACGCGCGCAGTACGAGGACCCGAGGTTATTGGCCCAGCAACGAGCAGCAAAAAAGCGGGCAAACCTGGAGATTGTGGGGGCGGGAAGTGGCCTGGGTATCGGCCCCGTGGGTGCAGGGCGCACTTCTACCGGGCTTAGCTCTACCGGCGGGAAAGTCGCGGCCAAGATCCGGCATCACGGCAAGCCAACCGTCATCGGCTACTCACCAGGGAACCTCAACGGCGTTAGTGGCGTCCCTCTGCGACTCAGCGCGACCGAGGTGGAGGGCGAGGAGAGCGAGGACGACGACCCCGTTCAGCGAATGCACCACCGGAGGACTGGGAGCTCCGGGCGGAACAGCACCTCCAGCGCCAGGCGAGCGATGGCGTATCGCTCGTCCGGAGGCCTCGGACCCGCCGGTGGAGCCGCGCGGTGGAGCCCAGGCGGCACCCCTGAGCGGACCGGGTCCTTGGTCCAGGAGAAGCAGGGCGAGCCGCCACTTGCGGGCGGAGGGGACGACGCTGGCAGCGGGAAGGCGAGGAGCTTCGGCAGCGGCAGCAGCGGCGAGCGGCTGGACAATGTCCCGGAGCTGTCTGGCGCTTCGGCCCATTTGGCGACCAACAGCATGAAGCATGCGACGGTGACGCGCGAAAAAAGCGTCAAGAGCGTGGACGACCTCAAGCGGAGAGGCAGTGTGGACGAGCGGACCATGACTCTTACCGCCGGCCGGCTGTACATTGCGAACCCGGACTGAGGAGATGACCGATGACATGAGAGGGCGCGAGGGACAGGATTCCTTCCGCTGCCAGATTTAGATCTGCCTTTTACTTGCGATGGATTTCTTCTCACCGTACATGCATTCCAGTCGTTTCCGCCATGCATACCCAGGCGCAGGAGTATTGAATCTCGGGCGGTCGGCTGTGCATCTACAATCGCTTCAGGTCTTTTCATTTCCAATAGTTTGCTTGATTTCCTCATAGCCGGTCGTTACTTGTATGCTGACTTTCTATCTACTAATACCCGAGGGACGCGAGGTCATGGATCGAAGCGTGCAGTGCGCCAAAGGAGGGAAAGGCAGGGGAGAGTCTGCGCGGGGGTGATTCGAGTTCGAGATACCGATCGAATACCAAAGCAGAGTTGCTATTGCTCTTCTTTCCAACCCCACTCACAACTCGCTCTGATGTTGAATGTGCCGAGGGCAAGAAATCCTGCCCGCCGATTTGCGAGAGCATTTTGATCGCAGGAACGGCTCAAGGAAGTGATGACGCTAGAGAGATAGGTGAACCATGAGAATCTAAGGTACTGTAACGCCAAAAACTTGTACGGTTGGGGGGTATTATTGATGTCGAGCCGGGGCTGCCTTGGAAGTCGATCTATAGAACCCCCCGTTAATGTCGGACTCAAATTGCTCGAATGGCTACCTACTCAGATAGCGTTTCGTCACCGACGTCAAAGACAAGTGATAATTGTCAGTGATATAGCGCAGGGGTTTCAGCAAGGTGCAACGCGTTACAGTCCAGATTTCCTTGCCATAAAAGACAAGTCGATTCCAAGCTGGTAACAGGCGTCTGTGTTGGGTTGCTGAACTTACCATGATCAGGTAGACGCCAAACCAGCAAGAGGTAGCGCTCAACCGCTACAGCCACGACGGGTTTACTTCAGAGTACCGAGAGACAGATACAACTTGAAGATCACTGCATGGTATGCAAAGTGCGCTATCTGTACTACGGTTCTGCTCGTTAAGACTGCCAAATGTATTATACAATCCAACCCTAGTTTGTTTTTCTTATATTCCTTGCTTTCTTTTGTCCCATTTTACCCGGGCTCAGACTGTATGTCTAAATATCCCTCCATGTGCCACACTAACGAACAACCAGTCAAGGTTAGATTGCATGTGCTGAGGTAACTAATCATAATCTCAACTAAGGTAACGTTATGCTTCTTCAGCCTCAGACGCTGTCAAACCTCCCTCGGTCTCGAGTCACTGGTAGTTTAAGGATTCCTGCCCTTGAAGTTCGAAACCGGATCGGCCTCTGAGCGCGTTTCGGGGCTTCTGGCCACTGAACTTCAAAGATACCTTGGGTAAAAGCCATCCATGGATGCATCAAGATGCAGGCGGCGGTTTCGAGCCCCTGAGTCCAGGCAACAAGGAACACGATGTCAGAAACAAAGCCAACTGCCAAGATGTCTCACTCCTCATCCCCACTTGCGCCACGGTCTTAAGCAATCGAGCCACAGCTTAACAGTTAATGTTACGCCACATCGCGTCACGCGAAAGGAGTAGCCGCGACTGTACCGCGTTTGCGAGCTCGATTTACCCAATCGTTAGTCGCGTTGCACTTCTCGCGAAAGCAACAACTCCATACATTCAACTTTCGATTCTCGATTCCCACCCTTCCAATGCCAACTTCAATCATAGAAGCTGGACTTGCGAACTGAACCGTTACGATCCCACCGACGACTACCGCTTCGCTCCTTCTCGACCTGATCAATCTCCTATTTGACTTTCTGCTCCGTTTCGAAATTGAGTCAGCTTGGTTTCATTTCACTTGTACGCCCGTCGAGTGCGGGCACTTTTTTGATGTCTCTTCTTGCCATGTCGACAGACGTCCAGGACCGGGATTTGGCTGGCCGCAAGAGATCCCATGGCGATTTCTTGGACCAAGAGCGCGGCGGGGCTGTAGCCTTCAGCAACCCCGATCATATCCACACGGATCATTCGCTGAGCGACAGTAAGTAATGACTTGCATTTACAGAGGTTGAGACTTCAAAGGCTAAGAACAGTAATCTGATTATTCAGAAGAAAACGATGTGCCGTGTGCTTCCTCTCGGGGGCTGTCGCCCGCGTCGAAATCCAGCTCGAGCGTGAGCGAACCGGCATGCAGTTCAGCCGGCGTCAACTCACTCTCACCAAGTCCGACACCTACTTCTCTCGGGGCATCTACGACAACAACACAGGCCTCGACAGTCAATGCCGCAGCACGAAAATCAGCTGGCGAGCCTCCGAAGAAGAGGAAGAGGGTGACCGCCGAAGAGAAAGCGGCTAAAGACGCGGCGGCAGAAGCCGAGAAGCGCAAGCGGCAAGAGGAGCGAGAGAAGAAGAAGCGCGAGAAGGAAGAGGCTGAAAGACTGAAGGCCCAAGAAAAGGCCGCGAAGGCTGAGGAGAGAGCTGCCAAGGCCGCCGTCTTGGCTGAGAAGGAGCAAGAGAAAAAACAGCGAGCTGAGGAACGGGTGCGGAAGAAGCGCGAGAAGGAGGAGGAGGAAGCGAAAAAGGCCGGCAAGCAGATGAAGCTCACCAGCATGTTCAACCTTAAGGCGACGACCGTAAAGAAGGAACACGCGGCACCTAAGGCGAACGAGGCGCATCCGACAAGTAGCACGACCAAGAGCGAACCCAAGGAGATGTCACTGTACGAGCAAGTATTCAAGCCCTTTTTCGTCAAAGAACATGTTCGACTCGCCAGCGGCCCTTTCCAAATGGACGAAGAAACGAGGAAGGCCAAGACAAAGATTCTCGAGGAATATGTGTTCGGCGAGCGACCACCACCGGCATCTGCATCCCGCTTCGACCCCTTAGAAACGCTTCAGATCCCGTACAAATTACGCCGCGGGCGTGTCTACCCGAGCGTTAGGAAGATCATGGAGGCGCTTGAGGGATTTCCCTCCAATGCGTCCACTGATCTAACCACGGATACACAAAACGCGCAGATGAAGCTCACGCTGGAGACCCTGAAGCTGGTACCACTGAAGTCGATTAAGTTTGCGGAAGATGTGAGACCACCATACATCGGCACGATCAGCGGTCCACCCTCTGGCGGTAAGAGCCTCGCGAAACTTGCCAGAAATCCACTCTCCAAGAACATTCTTCCCCTGAACTACGAATACGATTCGGAGGCAGAGTGGCAAGAAGAGGAGGGCGAGGATGTGGATGACCTAGATGACGAGGAGGAGGAGGCAGACCTGGATGAAGACATGGCCGATTTTCTGGATGATTCTGAGGATGTTGGTCCGGCACGGATGGTGTTCTCTGGAGGTATGGAGCCCGAGAGCATAGGACCGTGTTGGGAGGACCGTACGAGAAAGACAACGGAGCCGAAGTTGTACAAGCATCGGCTGGAGTTCATTTTGGGTAAGTCTAACGCGATACCCTATGGGAGCGAAGTTTTACTGACCGTTTTAGAACCACTCGAGCATCACCACGGCATCGATCCCTTCTCGAGCGCCTATTGGGACACGCCCAAGTTGAAGGCTAGCGCAGGTAACGAACGATCAGCCGCATCCGCATCCGCATCCGCATCCACGTCCGCATCCGCAACGACTGCCTCCTCATCATCCAATCTTCCCGGTTCTTCGAGCTCTGCCCAGGATGCGCGTGCTAACCAGATGGCTCCGCCGCCCGTCCCGTCAGATGCGTTCCAGGCTCTCGGGGCATCGGGATCGGGCGCCAAGAAGGCGCAGCAGCCGCTTCCCGCTGACATGCAGGAGAAGCTCAAGGATCTTGTAAGATCTATGCCGAACCTCAGCAAAGTTGGCGTGATTGAGCTGTTTGCGGCGAGTAACCCGGGGTGCTCGAGGGCCCAGATCAAGACGTCTTTTGATGCGCTTTTTGAGAAGGCGGGCAAGGTGTTCAAGGTTAAGGGGCAGTAGGCCGGCATTTGTGATACTGCAGTGTGAGGTGGGGCTGCTGTCTTCAGGAGCGCTGCGTGGTATATATGTAGCATACCATGTCGAAGTGGGAAGGGCGCAATATGTACCAGGGAGAACTACAGCAGAGGACAGGGGGTAGGGTAAGCTGGGATCTATGGACGAGCTATGTCTATGGAGGCTCTTGGAGTGGCTGTTGAACTGTTTTACTGGCTTGGTATATGGCATGGACAGCTAGAGACATGCATGGAATCCGTGGTATTAGGGTTGAGGAGCTGGGCGGACGGTGTCGGACGGGCGTGGAAAGCTGAACATGGGTGGGTTGGTATGTTTTCTTAATGGCTTGTGCATAAACAGGAGCGGAACAGGTATTTCTCCATGTAAAGAATTCATTTCTAACATGCTCAAGATTTATCTGGGTTTGTCCTTTTTGGGGCTAGATGTGGAAGTTGGGTCCAGCATCTACCGGGAGGTCAAAGGTATGTACGAGGGAAACATGTATTGCAGTCCAATCGCGGTGCAAGGTTTCTCATATCGATTCCGCTGTTCCCTTTTCCCTTGCCCCGTCTATCATGGTCTCCCAAACGTCGTAGCAGCGCGAGTCATTACCGACCAAAACATCATACAAAGGAGTCAACGTCCTGGATGCCCCATCCAAAACGCCGTGGGTATCAAAGCCATCAAATCCGCCCCTTGCCAACTCCTTGCCACCCGCTGAATTTCCAGATGCCACAAACCCGCCCAGTCCTCATTACCAACATTGAGCAGAAAACGAAATAAAAGAAGCAATAGCCCTTTAAATCTTGGTAGGTATGAAATGCTGAGAGTCCTCCCTCTGTTGCGCAGCAGACTGCGGGAACGCGGCGATGCCAGCGACGATGCCGCACGCCATGAATCCCCACGAGATTATTACCCAAAAAACTCCCCAGCACTGGGACGAGCCGCCATAGCGCTGGGCAAACACGCTGGCGTCGGAGCTGTTGACCTTGCGCAGGATGAGATCGTCACACTAAGTCTCTCGTGTCAGCACTACACCCAGCCGCGAACAAAAAAGGAACAAAACCCGGGAAACAGATGGGTGAGAAAAACCCACAATATCCCACACGCTATACAGCGAGCTCATGACGCCTATAAACAGCACCACGAATCTCAGCGCCTCGGCATGCGCGATGAACCAGCACGCGACCAGCAACCCGACCGCCAGCAGCACTGTGCCGATCGTCAGCCAGTCCCGCCGGCCCCACCACAACGTCAGCAGGAAGCAGACGCCGACGACGATGCTCGCGATCTTGCTCGCGTTGATGTTGAACCCGGCAAATGTCAGCAGCGCCCCGATCAGCGAGGAGCCCAGGTACCCCGCGGGCAGCGTGATGGCGTTGCACCCGCCCTGCATGTGTGTCACGCCGCCCTCGCGGGGGTCGAGCGAGATCGACTTGACGCGGCCGCCCGTCAGGACGCACGAGATGGCGTGGCCGAATTCGTGGAAGGCTATTACGAGCATCTTGTGGGAGAGGTGTTAGTTGGACTGGATGGTGGTGCTGTGGGCTTGGGAACGAAGGTAAGCGTGGGGAGGGGGGAGAGGGAGGCGGACTTTGAATGGCCAGAGAACCCAGCGGACGTAGGGCAGGTTCCAGAGCAGGGCGATGGCCACGACGTAGGCGGCGATGATACCGAGGGTAACTTTTTGGGCGTCGTTGACGGTGAGGTCACGGCGGGAGAGCAGGACGGCGGAGCTGGTTGTTGCCGAGATGTGAGCGATGTGCGGAGCGGCGGCCCGCCAGCTTCGGGCTGAGCGTTGGAGAGCCGGAGGCGGCATCTTAATGGTGGGTTCTAAGCTAGTGTTGCATATAATACCTTATAGTATTCGGGTCGTGGACAAGCGATCGTGTTTCGAGTTCGAGGGGCTGCGATGGTGAAAGCCGAAGTTGGATGAGCGAGAGACTCCAGTGAAGACTGGAAAGATTGGACACTCGAAACATGAAATGTTGGAAGGGGCTGGCCTAAAAGTTGAGTGTTGTGTTGAGGCCGGGCTGTGCAAGTCCGACTGCCGGTGCTTGCGCGTTCATCTGAGCTTCTGAACGGGGGCTGTGCCTGACTGCGTATCCGACCCGCAGGTGGGGCCGCCGGCGGTGGCTTGGCCTGTCCGGGCCTACGTGTAGTTTATTCTTACCGAGCGCTCAATTGCTGATGGCAGGTCCCCACAGGTAGGTGCCAGCCAGATTGGTTCAGTAGTTGCGGGGTCCATTGTTCCAAGTCAGGGCAGCTCTGGCAACCCTCGCGAGCCGTGACATGTTATATCGCAAAGCTACCTTACCTTATTGCACCGAGGTACGGCGTGCCTTGGATACATAGATTTCGAGATCTTCCATTGTCGTTGACATTGTCATCGTGACCTGAAAATGGCTCTTGCCGGCGCCCATGTGCGCATCGCGCGGCCAACCGACAACATTGACAGACTGCTGCCCTTTTACCGAGACGGATTGGGATTCGAGGTCCTTGGGAGCTTCACCGACCATGAAGGGTTTGACGGGGTAATGCTGGGCCACAGATCGGCGGGATACCATCTTGAGTTCACGTATCATCGCGGCCACGGTGTCGGCAGCGCGCCTACGAAAGATAACCTCCTGATATTCTATCTCCCGGACAGCGATGCCTACTCCAAGGCGGTGTCCCAGATGGAGGGAAGCGGTTTCGCTGCGGCTGCGAGCTTCAACCCCTACTGAAATCGTTGCGGCAAGACTTACGAAGACCCGGACGGATACCGGGTGGTGCTGGCCAACATGGCCCCTCCACATCAGTCTTCGGTCTGAACCATCCTCTGGGCTACCAAGCCGCAACCCAACTTTTTGCGGAGCGAACGGATAGGAACGGAAGTCACTTTGTGGGATGAAATGGCTCGCTCAAGCATTGATATCATTTTCATTATTTTGGTGGCATTTACTTAATTCCTTAATTGATTTCCTGCTCGCAAGTTGAGAGAACTTGCCGTGTCATTCAAGTCAATTGAGATCGCTGATGATACACAGCATCCAGAAAGCCGATCACTGAAGGAGATTCTACACTGCAAGATACGCAACAGCTGTTACACGGGCCTGTCTTGGATCCGAATTACACACGTTGTGGATAAAGTGAGTGCATGCAGCAATCTCAAGCCGAGTCGAGGTATGCCATCGACGGGCCAAAGTCACTGTTTAAGAGCGGTGTCGCTTCCCTCTTTTTCACGGTCCATCGTCAATCCCTCAGCGGCAACCATGGTGGATTGGGCGTGGGGCTTATGTCTGTGCCTGACGGCAATCATCACCGTCACTGCTCAGCAGACGGGCCAACATTCAGACTGGCCGCGATGGTGTGGGACTGTTTATCAGCCGCGGTGCGTGGCATACGAGATTCAGATGGTCATGAAGTTCGAAGGCTCACTAGTTGTCTACTTAGCTATCCGCATTTTGACCCCGGCGGCCAGACACTGCCTCCCACTCCGGCCCCCGGTGCACCGCTCCTCCACGTTCAGTCCCAGCCACGATACAGCCTCTACCTCGACAGCGAGCAGTACGACGAGTTCATCGTCAATGCCGGGATGTCCAGTACTATGGCACGCCCTGGCCAGATACCAACAATCCCTCCAAGTGGGCGAACAGGCTCATCTTCTCCATAAACCTCGTCGACACCGACGAGCCCCTCGTTCAGAAACACCATCCGTCAACACCACAGGCGGCCTCTTTCGCTTTCCACTAACCCTTCTCAAACCAGCTCTCTCCCCAATCCGCGTCGTCATCTACGGCGCCCCCAAGAATGGCACGCCAACCTTCTTCACCGTGGCCACCACCCTCCTCTACCTCTTATACAAGCCCACCGGCAGCGTGACCCGAATTGACAACCTGCACGGCTGCCTCTACTTCAGCAGTTCCCTGATCAACCCCACCTTCGCCCCGTTCTTCCCTTACGGCTTCTACGCCTCGCACGACAACTTTCTCCGCCTCAACGACACCTCCGTGATCGACGCCTACTCCGCCCTCGGCTTCAATGCCATGACGCCCCTGACCACCTTCGACGACTCGTCTTACATCGTCACCTACCTCTCCACCTCGGCCCAGCGCCGCCTCCTCCGCTTCATGTACAGCCTGCGCGAGGGCTACAAGAACCTCTCCTACGTCCGAGCCAACATCCTCGCCGCTCACGACGCGCCGGCAGGCCTCTTCGCCTACTGGAGCGCCGACGAGCCCGACGGGTGGCAGGAGGAACCCTTCCTCTCGCCACAGCAAGCCTACGGCACGATCCGCGCTGTCGACCCGTACCGCCCCGTCTCGGTCACGCTCAACTGCTAAACTACTTCTTCGGCGCATACTCCGCGCTCGCAGATTTCCTCATGGTGGACGTCTACCCGATCGGCATCCACGCGACGTATTCCACCAAATGGGCCACCGAGTGCAACGCCACCTACGGCGAGTGCGTGTGCGATAACTGTGAGGGGACGGTTTGGGACGTGGTCCGCCGACTGGAGGACGTGATGGCTGGGCAGGTGGCGCAAGACGGTCGTGTTCAACCCGCAGAGTTTTCACGGCGAGGGTTACTGGCTGGGGGATCCCAGCGTCGAGGAGAGCTTGATCATGGTGTCGTTGGCTGTGAACGATGGCGCCAAGGGGGTCATTTCGTGGGTGTGGCCTACTAGCGAGGTGCTGGCGGTGGCGCATGGGAGGTCGGCTGGGATGCTGGCGGGGAATGAAGTGGTGGGGTTCGTTGTGGGAGGGGAGGGGCCCAGGAGGATGGAATTGAGGGATCTTGGATGGAGGTGGTAGATGCTGCGGGCTGGGCCGTGGCTGGGAAGATGCTGGTGAGCGTGGTGAATGGGGGTTATGTGGACATTGAAGGGGGAGTGACAGTGCTGGTGCCAAACGCAACGATTATTGAGAGCACCCCATGGGGCAGTGTGCGGTGGAAGCTAGAGGCCGGCAAATTGTCGGTTCCGCTGCTGCCGGCACTGGCCACCAATTTGGTGATAATGGACCTAGGGGGTTGATGTTGGGATATCTGGATTTGGATGCAGTTGAACGCCTTTCTAGGGTATCTGTTGAACTCAGCGCTGCCTCCCGCGTCTGCCAATACATTACCTTTATCCTCCCTCAGATCACTGCCTTCTATGTCTTCAATGCAACGCTCTATCCGCCTCTCAGACAGACTCCTTCTTCCATGCTTGACGGAACGTATGCATCCCGACAACCTTCATCACCTCCGCGACCAACGCTTCTCCGCCCACCGCAACGGCAAGTACAACAACCCCGACACCACAAAGGCCAGCTCAAACCCGATATCACCCGTCTTCTCCGCGATAGGCCCCGTCCACCACACCTGCGCCATGCTCGGGATTACGAGCGCAAAACTCAACGTCCCGGCGCCGAGCGCCGCGACACCCCAAGGCAGCCGCCCGGCATCATTCCACGCCTCGGCATCATAGGCGGCGCAATCCCCCTTCCGAAACACAAAATGCTCAACCAACACCACAGCCAGGAACGCCGACGTCCAATACCCAATCAGCGCCACGAAGTTCTCCAAGCTCACAAAGAAATCATCCGCCGCGCGGATCGCAAGCGGTATGACAATCGCGGCAAAGACGATCGAGAACAGGTACCTCGGCACCTTGACTAGGAAGGGCAGCAGCAGCTGCAGGTTGAGCGTGACGCTGTACGAGGTCGCCGCGAGGTTGCCGAGCAGCGAAAAGGAGAGCAGCACGACGAGGAACTTGCCGAACCCGCCCGCCGGCGCGAGCATGGCCGCCAGCACGCCGCCGACCAGCGTCTCATCGTAGGCGTCTTGCCAGTGCGGGACGTTGGCGATGGCGTTGCCGATCGCCGAGCCGAGCGTCATGAGCAGGATGGTAGGGACTGCCAGGCCGAGGTACGAGTAGGTGAATATCTTCGTTCTGGGCGTGACGTGTTAGCGTGTGTGGGAGAAAGAATCAAGTGGAAAGGGAATAAAAAAGCGCGGCTTACGAGGAAGTGTCGGGCTTGAGGTAGGTTGTGAAATCGGAGGAAAGGCACGCCCACGGGATCATGTACGACGCCACGATCATGCCAAAGGACAAGACGGATGATGCTGCCGGAGGAGCGTCGTATGTGACTTGGTTCCGCAGCTCCTTGCCGCCGGTCCCGACAGCGACAATGATGGATATCAAGGCGGTGATCCAGGCGTAACGCTCGAACATGTGCAGGACGGTAAAGCCGCAGAAGGAAATGCCCAGGGTGAGAATGGCGGTGAGGACGATGCCGAGCGAGACGCTCAGGTTGCCGTCGGCGACCGACGAAAGGCACTGGCCGCCGACCACGGCCATGATGACGCAGAAGGCGATAAGGGTTGCGAGATTGAGCAGGACGGGAATCGAGACGAGGTTGCGGCTGTCCATGTTAGTCTTGTCGACCGACTAAGCGTGAGAGAGGGGGCGCGTACCCAAAACTGTACCGGGCCTGCAGCATCTGCCTCATGCCAGTCTTTGGACCCCACGTGGAGAGATAGGCGGGCAGGACGGTGGTCAACAGTGTAAAGAATAAGATGACCAAGGAGCTGTCTCGGAGGTTGAGGCCGTAGATGGGCGCAAGCATGCCGAAGGTGATGCTGGATCGGTGCTGTCAGCCCACGCTGCTTCGCCTACACACATCGGCCCTGGTCCAACTCACCCCAGGATATTCGTGTTCATGGACCACCATAGTGTGAAGATATTGACGGTCCTCTCAACGGTGCGCTCCTTGACAGGGATCGGAGTGATGCCCCGCACCTCGACTCGACCGAACTGGGCCGCCTTATAGAGGACTCTCCGGACGCGGGCCAATCGGCCGGCGGGGACGTCGGGAGCCGCTCCGTGCTCCGGACCGCGTTCCGGGTCGCTGACCGGCCGTGCTTTCTCCTCGACCTTGGCGTCCGGAGTCATTATGAGTGGGTCTTTTGCAAGGCAAAATAGGTGAAATGGACAAGAAAACGGGGATTGACTCTTCTCGGCCGCGATCGAGAACAAGACAGCCGGAAAAACAAAGTATGGAAAATTATCGATTGATTAGAAAGAGCTGACTCGACTACTTAATGAATCGAAAAAAGAAAGTCACTCAGAAATATTTGCTCAGCTCCTGAATCGGCGAATGTGTGGTGAGTATAGTCAGTTCTTGGACCCACCCCCGTGGAGGACCCGACCTGGCCTCCCGGCAGGGTCAACCTACGGAAGGCGCGAGCCGCTGTTCATGACCTTTAACTCGCATGTCACGTCAGATGAATGTTGTGTTTCACGATGGAAAGGGGCATTGACACAGACAAGCTCAATTCCAGTGACTGCTCTCTTGTCCTAAACTTAGCTTAACGTTATCCTGACAGGATCATATGAAATGCCAGATGAGACTGACCGCCGAGCTCGCCCGTCTCGTCTACGCGCCCAGGGACAACACGAGACCTAGCAGGCCAAAAATCTGCAAGCCGTGCCAGAGATCGACAAAACCCGAGCCAATGGCTTCCGAATTATCAGTCCGTAATCAGGTAGGAAGGGTACGGAACAGGAGTCACGGCGATGATAAGATCCGCGGACCCCCACGGCAGTACCGTTAGTGCCGTGCCCAGCCGGTTCTTGCCGAGTGCTCGGCCTGCATACCGGAGATGAGTCCGGGTCCTCGTGAGCTTCGGGTCACCGGGTGGCCAAATACATCTACCCTAGGCCAATCCAACCCAAAACCGCCTCCATAAACTCGACGAGCCGTTCAGGCTAAACTGGCTGCCGAGCTCCCAATTATTACTGGAAAACTTCAACTCCTCCTCCCGAATCGCCTCAAGAACCTTCCAGTGATAGACAGGGACATACTCGCGCTCGCCGTGGTCGCGCCTCAGGCGAGCTGCCTCGATCGACTGCAGAAACGCCACCGTAGCCTCCTTGCGCCGGGCGTCGACGAGGACGAGTTTCTTTCGGCCGTAGCAAGTGCTGTTTTGATTAGCCGTGTCGTCTCGATGGCCGTTGAACCATTCCTTGGGGTCGCGTAAGAACTCGGCCACGCCGTGGCACGAGAGCAGGTCATCCGTGACCCAGGGGAAGTCAGCGACGCATGGCGAGAGCAAGATTGAGTACGCTGCGATTCTGCAAGTGTCGGGGAACAGAGGGCACTTTGCAGCGGCAGTGTTCAACTCGGTAGGTTCGTCAACTGACTGGTGTGTCGAAGGACTGCTGTTCGTCCGGGCTACAGAAATTGCAGCAGAGAACGATTGGGACGGGCGTCCGTGGAATGACGTGCATTTCTGCACGTCGAGCTGCTTGTCCCCAGAGTCCTGCTGGTGCATCGAGACGGAACTGGACGGGCCGGGCCTGGAGGGTGTTTTTTGGGTATTGCGGCGTGATGTACCCGCCACAGTAACCGGGAGCGACTGTTGCTGTTTTTCTGTAACTTGGGTTCTGTTTCTGTCGGGCAAGCGAGCGGTGAAATCAGCGTGGTCGGTTGAGCACCTTCGAAATTTAATTCTCTCAAGTATCGTACTCTGCGCTGACGAGTCGAATGATCTCTTCCGGGTGGATGGCGCTCTATCCTGCTTGTCCATTGTATCGGGAGATGTCGAGCCGGGCATATGGGTTTCGGAGGATGTCGGAGGAGTCAACTGCCCGCCAGCAGGCGGGGCGCGAATTGGTTGGATCGTCCTGAGTCTCCTCGTCGGTGAGGTCAGAGCAGGGTGATCCGGCTGAGCACTTCGTCTCAGCAATTGCGGTGACTGCGTTGACATTGTGGTCATGGAGACAGTGGACTGGCTTGTTGTATCGACGGTGGCATGTGGCTCCAATGTCTCCAACGTTGCGATCCAACCCAATAGCTCTTGGCTGTCTTCAGGGACAGGCGCCTCCTTTTCTCTGGCCGCCATTTCCTGCAGCTCTGCGAACGAGATGACGTCGTGATAGGTTCGGTCGCAATGAATCTTAGCGACTGCCGGAAATCGAGGGCTCCAGAAACCTGTGTTGCCTTCCTTGTCAAACGAGAAGCACCGGATGTCGAACACCGGGGGTGCGGGGAAAATCGCCGAGGGGCGCTTTCCATTATCTACCCCGGGTTCGATGCGAAGAGATATTGCCGTGTTATCCTCCGGCCGGACGGACTCTGGGTTGACTGAGGACATGAAGGTGTCGAGCTGCGTTGCGTTGAGCTCGACAACACTCGTGACGACAAACCGTGGCTGCTTCCCAAACCGCTTCACTTCGTCCTTGTTTTCGAGACACCCCACATAGAAATGGGTCCATTTGACTCTCGGAATGTCGTATGTGCGGGCTTTGGCGGCATCGAAGCGAGCGCCAACGACAGCAAAGTCGCCAATGTCTCCGAAGCAGCCAATGTACTCCTTCTTCAGTTTGATGGCGCAGCAGCTGTAAGGTCGGCACTGGGTAGCAAAGTCGAAATAAGGTTCGTCTGCTTTGAGGACCAGTCCTTCTCCACGAGCGGTGATGCACTTTGCAAAGGTTCGGCGCAGATCGGCGACAGCCGAGTGTCTGGTGCAGTCAATTATTTCTCGCTTCACTAGAGCGGATCGGCCGGGGACCTGGGTAATGAGATTCCTAAGCCGCCGGAACCGCTCTGAATGCTTGACCGCAAGGAGAGACTCGTTGTCCACCATGAGCAGGTCGTAGTAGACAACCATGAGGTGCTCCCAGGGGTGAGGCTGTGAGTCTTTGTCTGTCCCCAGAAACGAGCCGGATCTCGTGACATGCTTCCTGATCTTGTGGAAGTCCAGGATCCGAGAATGCTTGTCACTGTAGACAACAAGTTCGCCTTCTAGGATGCAGCCGCTCTTCAAAGGGCAGGACGGCTGTCCAAGCTGCAGTGACTGCCGGATGGAGCTGTCACGTACTCCCAGTTAGCATGCTTACCTGATAGAGCAGGGCCAAACACTCACTTATGCAAGGCCATGCGATCCTTAGTACTGTCCTTGCCACTCTTTGAAAAGATCTGGATGCAGTCGTAGCCTTTGCTGAGGTCAATGTGAATTTGGCAATATTCGCCATCCATTTTCTCCTCACAGCTAACCCGTCCTTGTAGCATGGACAAACAGTGCTTGATGCTCCGGCCCTTGAGCCATGTTTGACGACCGACTTTGACCCCAAGGATGGGCTTGAGATACTCAGCAAGCTCACTCCCTCCAGTGACGGTCCGATCACGCCGCAGCGTGTCCAGAATGCGCCCAGCAACAGCCAAATTGTCTTGTACTTTGAGAATACAAGGGAGGAGAGGGTGATAGCTCAGGCAGACAACGTGCGGCTCAAGAATGACAGGCTCGTAGTTCTTCAGGATCAGCCGGGTGAGCCACTTGGCATCTCTGGCAGACAGTCGCCGGTATAAGTCGCCGAGGGAGAGCTCCTGGTCCGCTGGACAATAGTCAGGGGCCGAGCTGCGTACAGCAGGCGAACTGAAGCGGCAGGCGGCAGCGAGGCTGTGGAGGACCTGGTCAATCTCCTCTACGGTGACAGGCCGGTGGGCAGGAGAGACAGGATTTGGCTGTCAAGGGTCAGTCTTAGATGTCCTGGAAGAGTCTTTTGAGGACGTATCTTACGGTCTGCTTGAGAATACTCTCAACACAGTCCGCCAAGTCAGCGCGGGCCTCAGGGTTGCTCCATCTCCCCAGCTCTGCAATGCGGGATCGACCTAGGCCAAGCGCACGGCCGATGATAATCTGGAGCTTCTTTTCCCGGATGAAGTAGACTCGGTCCGTCCTCTTGTCTGGCAGGAGAGCCGAGATGAAAGCAGCGCTGTTATGGTCGTCGCGGTAGAGCAAACCGCGTTGTGCTCTGAACCACTCTTGAATGATGTTGGTGTCAGTTTTCAGTCCCGCGCGAGCGAAACGGTTGTCCTCTAGGCGTTGCAGCAAGTCGCAGACATAGGAAAAGAGAAAGGGCATGGTTTGTTTCGCTTCTCATGTGATTGCGTGTGTCTTGATTTCTTGATTGTGGTCATCACAACAAAGCCAAGTATCGGATGTTGCTGAGGGCTTGTTTTATGATGTCGGAATCGTTGGCAGGCAGCAGACCCAGCATCTGGGAGAGCACGCCAGATGGGGCCTCGACCTGGCCAAGACCCTTCACTTTACGTGCTGCAAGTCACACAAGGCAGGCATGAACAATCGTGCTGGGTCCGATCAAAGGGAAGCCGCCCTTGGCGCGTAACTCAACACGTGAGCACGTGAGCGGATGGGGCACCGTGCGATTTGACTATGCACTGTATCTACGTTCTTCACAGCCAAGAGTTGATACAGCAGGTGCATGAAGCGAGGAAACGAGATTCCTGCCTCTTGTTGAGTGAGTTCTTATTTTACAGCTGGACACACTCACATTGTCTTGTTCCAGCAGGGACGTGGCGCTTCGCGGTTAAACTCAAAGTGACGCGAACCGTAAAATAAGAGGACATCGCATTGTCCGCTCATTGTTTCGTTGAGCCTTCATAGATGGAAGCCTGGAGCAAGGTACACCCGGGATTATTACTCTCCTTTTCCTTGCTAACTAAAAAGAAAAGTGAACAAAAGGAGAGGATCTCGGAAGAAAAGAGAAAGATCTAAACGGGGAAAGGCGGGGTGGAAAGATATCCGGCCCAAGACAAGACAGAAGTTTGAAGATGACTCGAAACTCGTATCAATGGCCCTCTTCCACGCCCTGATTCGAACCCATCACATCACCTCGCGGAAGAAGGTGGCCCATCTGCGTAAGGCGGCGAGCAAGTACGGCTGCTACGCTCTGCTCCGCAGCGGCGGCTGTCCAGGCATCATGTACTGCAAAGGCAGCGAGGAGGGTGTGAAGGAATGGGTAGGAACTGCTCAGGTTGGTCGCCGAAAAATGAGAAAAAAAAATAAAAGGAATAGTTGATGAATACAGTAGGGCAACCGACTGACGCCGGACAGAGACTTCGATATAAAGACTTTCAACTGGCGCTGAAGCCTGCGCCATTAGGGTCAAACGTGGCCCAGCCAAATGAACGGACAGGACTGTTTGAAGTCGAGTCTATCAAGGAATTCGCGGTCGCCATGGAGAGGAGAGGTATCTTAGAGTGGTGGAAACGGGGCATGGAGTTTGCGTGATTTACAGTCTACTCAAGGGCTTTCAAATGCCCTAGAAGAAAGAATCTTACCCACCGGTCTAAGAGGGTATATCTACGTTTCCCAGGGTCAATGTTGTACTGCCGACCAATGCTGGGAGCGGAGAGTGACTACGACTTCAAAGACCATCGCACATGTTCGCGAGAGTCAGTCAGTCATCCGTCCCTCCGCACAACCCTTCCCAACCGGCCGAGGACACCGGCAAACCACGGCGTCGCCCACAAACTCCCGATGATCCTCACCGGCAACAGCGCCTTGGTCAAAGCATACGCCAACGCAACCTCGACAACAACCCGATATTTTGGCTCACTCTCCCACCGCCGCAGCGCATCATCCACCTCCCCTTCTCTCCCGCCAACCGCCCACACCCCCCCTGTTTCTGCTTTATCCAATCTATCACCGCCACCATCCTCGCCAAAACCAAACCAACCCTTCTTCTGAAACCACCGCTCAAACCTTCCCACCCCCTCCCTCACATACCCCCCGTAATGCCCCAGCATCCACGCGACGGGGACATACTCGGTGTAGTGAAACAGCCCAAAGAGCCCCAGAAGCGGCACCACGGCGGTAACCTCGTGCAGGACGAGGAAGGCGACGACGTGCGTGACGGGCGCGCCGCGCAGGCGGGAGGCGTATCGGTGGAGGGGGCGGGGCAGGCGCGAGAGGATGCGGTCTGCCTTTGCTTGTTTTGTTGTTGCCGTCGTGGTTGACGATGCCGGTGTGCTGCCGTCGTTAGGGTTTGATGGCGGTTTCGTATTTGTGCTGGATGGTCTTCTGCTGCTGGATGGTCTTCTGCTGCTGGTTCGCGGTGGGAGGCGAGGTGGGAGGTTTTGGAGGGGCGCTCGGCGAGGGGCACTAGGGCGCAGGATGCGGGTGAGGGGTTGGAGGGCACGCATTGTTATTGCTTTTCGTTGTCTGCAGTGATGTACCGGCGGGGTTGGAGGCTGGAGGGTGGTATTTGTCGGCTTGAGATGAAGTTGGATGGTATTCGGTTCTGCCCTGTCGGATTGCCGGCCGGTCCGGCATCATGGCATCGGCATCTGCGGCGCACGGACTCTCGTTGCCCTTGACAACCGCACCCCTGAGTGGGGGATTGGGAACCCCTGAAAGGCACGCGACGAGGTCAAGCAAGACCAACAGTTAGGAGAGAATTACTGAGACACTTTTCAGGCTTCACTTGGCTGCATTTGGCGCATAAAAGTCTAGATGCAACTCCCTCAGCTTGGAAGATAGTTAGCCACTGCAGTTCGCGCTTGTTCTGTCATGCCAAAAGAAACTGAAGTAAGCTACCTTATCTACCAACTGGTTATCTTCAGTACCTCAACCAGGCCGAAGTGCCCTGCCCTTGAACTCTATGACTGCTATGTCCCTCTCTCAAGCATGCTGCTGCTTTACCCTAGCAATGCTTCCCTCCGTCCTTGTTTATCTATACGTGTCTCCCCAGATCTCATGAGTTCCCACAACCGACCGATGACCCTATTGGAACCGTCCGCTCGAACTCATCAGTCATCGCCCGCTCCCGATGCTAAACTCGACATCCCGAGCTGTGGTGCACAAGCCATCATTAACGTTGCTGTCTCCGCGTGCGCAACTGCTGGCCGAGGAGCACCATGCAACCCACAACTGGCGCATGCGAGCATTTCCATCGCTCTAACAGAATCTGGGGATGCCGTGCTCCTCAATGCCAGGGAAGTCACAGGGATTGTCCACCCGCATCCTTTTCTCCGCCGTTTTCCGGTTCCGCTCTACCGGCGGTTCGCTGTGGAATGGAGAACGTCGGGCACACCGCCACCTCCTCGGAACAGATAGCAGCCCTTCGCACGCTCTTGTTCCAACTCAACAGCCGGCCGATGCTTCCCTTATCCGTCGATTCGTCGAAAACTCGAAACTGGGGAAGATAGAAGCACTCTTCCTTGGTGACCCTGTAAAGCTGACAAAGATCTGAGTTCTCGTTGCCGGGTCTTAAGAGCGCCCAAAAGTTCAACCCCAACGGTTGTTGGTAGTCCACCTTTGTGACGACCATGACAGCCTTTTTCGCCTGGAGGTCTGGTATCATTGTTGGGGTTTCGGTCCAGAAGCCATCTTGATTCAATCTGTTGTACTTCAAACCCCCCCAGTTGAATCCAACAGACGGGGAAGGACGCCGATGCTCGGGCTCCAAGTCCGTCAAAGCGAAGCCGACAAGAAGGACGCGGCACGCCGCGCCGCCGCGGTACGGAGCGCGCTCCTCATCGGTCAGGTGAAACGACTCTCTCCAAGGGCACTTCCCCTCTTCCAGCATTCGTGTAGCCCCTGCCTCCCATGGTTGTTGTTTGACTGGGATCTGGCAATAAAACTGGGTGAAGTTGATTTTGTCAACGCCATTGGGAATCGGCATTGCCCAGCCGTACGCGTTGACGGCGCAGTCTACTTTCTGCGGCTGCTCCTGAGGTGTAACCTGAGGCACTGCGGCCCGCGATGTTGTTTGCTCGTCCTTGTTCTCTTCAACACTCTTGGGCTTTGCCGCGTTCTTCGGCCCTTCGACCTCATCGTCCTTCTGCTCGATCTTGATGCTCTTGTTGGGAGATTGTGACATCGAGTGCTCCTCTATGGGATCCTTGTTCTCTTTGGCATCGTGGGGCGCTTCGACATCATCGCCCTTCGGCTCGACCTTGATGCTCTTATTGGGAGCTTGTGACGTGGGGTACTCCTCTTCGGCGTGCTTGTTTTCTTCGGCAATCTGGGGCGCTTCGAGATCAGTACCCTCCTCGACCTTGATGCGCTTCCCGCCGGGAGATTGCGACATTGTGCACACTAATACTGGTCGAATAGGGCGTTGCTGCTGGGTTCCGTCTTGCTCGCCGCCAAAAGATAAGAAATGCGCAGGATCTGGAGGCCGATAATAGAAGAACGAGACCGCCGGAAGGAAATGACTGGAAAAGATATCTTAGTATCCTGGATGGAGAGACGGGGAAGTCTCAAAAGCAACACAAGACAGAGATGTAAGAGGATGGGAACTTCCACGAGCTAATCGACTTGCCAGTGAGGAAGGAGCCTCGGGCTCTGGATATCACCGAAGCTTCCCCTTGACGCCAATTCTGAAATTTGCCCATAAGTCTTCCAGGGACGGCAACTTCAGGCTAACACTTCTGAGTGTGAGATCAACACTTTGCTTAACCCTGAGATGGGGCTCTGTTTGGAGGTCAACGGCGGAAACAGCAACAGAGGAAAAGGGATCAAGGAATTTTGAGGTTTCAAAGTGAGTCACACGGCAATTAAACATCGTGAGTCTGAATGCTTTTTTTTCTCTATCTTCATGAGCTCTTCGTCCAAAACAGCGATCGAGAGGAGAAAACGGGGATACCTGGTCTCAGTGAGACTTGGGACCCCGTTACGGTCCCTATAACAGTCTTCCATCATATGGACAACAATTACTCGTAGATCCAAGACTTCTGGGCAGACTCCCAGCTGATGAGATCCTCATCCTTGAACCACAAAGCAATCTCCTTGTTGGCGCTCTCGACGCTATCGGAGCCGTGGCAGACGTTGCGGCCCATCTGGAGGCAGTAGTCGCCACGGATCGTGCCGGGGGCCGAGGAAAGGGGGTTGGTGGCACCGAGCATGGCTGACGGTGATATTAGCTATGATGTGAGGGGTGAAAAAATGCGAAAAGCGGGTTCTTACCGCGGCCAGTCTTGACGGCATCAAGACCCTCCCAGACCATGGCAACAATCGGGCCGCTGTTCATGTCTGTTGAAAAGGTCAGTCACAGAAAAGAAGGATAAACGGCCCGGGCGACGCACAGTTGACCAGGTCCTTGAAGAAAGGCTTGGAGGAGAGGTCGGAGTCTGGAGGCTGGTCAGCGTGCTTCGGTCAATCCGGAAGCGGAACATGGCAAGACATACAGTGCTTCTCGAGGTGCTCCTTGCCAGGGGTGACGAGCTTCAGGGCGACGAGCTTGAAGCTGCGCTGCGGTGTGAGCTTGGGGGACGCGGAATCAGGGGATCTTCTACTTCTTACCCGCGTGTCTCAAAGCGAGAAATGATAGCGCCAACGAGGCCGCGTTGGACGCCATCGGGCTTGATAGCAATGAAACTATCGCCGTGTCAGTGCAAATCTAGCCCAAATGGCGGGGTAGACCTGAAGGAGTCGATGGCGGGGTAATCAAGGGGCATCGAGCTGAGCAAAGCTCGGAAAAGGGTATATGCGGGAAGAAAATAGAGGGCAACTTACGTCCGCTCGGTGGTAGACATGGCGACGGGTGTTTGAGCTTTGGCAAATGACTCGAGGATGGGTTGATCTTGGAGGAGTTGCGGAGAGAGAGGAAGTTGAGGAATTCGGAGTGGAACTGTGGTCGAAGAAGTCTGGCCTGAGGGGGGAAGCTTGGAAGTGGGGCCGACGAAAAAATACGCCAACAGGCAAAGGCCCAGGATCAACGTTAGGTATATCTCGCCGCTGTATGGTAGGAGCATCGCGGCTGGAACCCGAGGTCTCCCTTGTTGGCCATGTCTCTGCCTCACCGCTGCTCCAGCGGCTTCGCTTCGTTCATCCTCGTCCATGCGTCCGTTGATGCCCAGCTGAGCACCCAGACACGAGCCACTGCCGCTTTGGTATCCGATATCAATTCAGGTTGGATCAGGTCGGGACCAGGTTGCGGTGTTATTCTGATGTCCGATTTCATGCAAATTGTAAGTGAGAAGGCAGCATTTGAGCTAACGGACAATGCAAGGCTCTACGTGTCACTCTAGCGATGAAGTGAGTTAAAAGGGAAAGTAGTTAGGCAGGTAACCTGGAAGGCAGTTCCTTTCTCAACTAGTGGCTGATAGGGACCTGCCCCAGTGTTGGGTATTGTGCTCATGTACGGTAGCAGACGGCACGCCCGGTGATTGATGTAGGCGAGTCAACTACGGTAACCTGGACATGGTAAGGTTCATTGCTTCTGCTGCATCACCATCGGCTAGAGTGATACTGGTTACAGATTATCACACCGCAGTTCCAGCTGTCAGTTCCGGGATTGCAAATTGCTGGTTCTCGCATTCTGTCTTCCAACTCAGAGCTACGAGTCCGCAGACCCATTGCTCTTCTCATTGACTTCTCGGACTGCAAAGGAACTGCTAATCGGGCGCTGAAGTTTCAAGGACGGAAGTGACGACTCTCCATCACTGCAGGTGTTGCACATGTAATTTCTCACTTTCAGTAGTTAGAGTAGCATGGATAATGATATATGCAATAACCGCGAGTGCGGATACTGGGTAACTACACAGTCCTGTAGTCACTTGAATGCCCCGCTGTGCTGGCAGGGTCTGCTGGGCCATGCAAGGTGGCCAATCCAGTCTGACAGCTTGCTTGCAAGTCCCTGCGAAGCTGGGACATCGTCTTCCATGTTTCTGTTATTGACCGATGATTCGGGTTGTAAGAGCCATTGAACATATCAGCAGCCCTGGCGGTTCCTCAATGATTACGCGGGTGGCATAGTCGCGATTTCCATTCCTTGTCCTTTTTTCTTTCTTGCATTTCCTCGCTTTTGACCTCGACGCCCTTTCAATTGGCAGTCTCCTGTAGCCGACTTTTAGGAGGGTGCGAGAGTCGAGATGCACGTTCCAGGGCCGTTGTCCTCGAAATGGACAGCTTACCTCGGACTGCTGTCTGCACTCTCTGCGGCATTTGCACCTGCAGGTACGGTCTGCAAGCTTGAAGTGACGTTGGATCGTATGATTGACATTCCTAGTCGCCGTTAAGGAGCATGACTTCAAGAAGTGCCATCAGTCCGGTTTCTGCTCCCGCAACCGCGCATTCGCGGACCACGCCCTTGCATCGAGCTCATGGCAGTCGCCCTACAACATTGCGCCCGAATCTGGCTCATTTAGAGACGGCCAGTATAAAGGCGTCATTTTGAAGACCATCAACGACAACGGCGAGACTGTCCGGCTACCCATCACCATTTCCTTCCTCGAGTCCGGCACAGCACGAGTCACGGTCGATGAGGAGAAGCGGCAAAAGGGCGAAATCGAGTTGCGGCATGGAAGCAAGGCTAGGAAAGAGCGTTACAATGAGGCTGAACGGTGGGTCATTGTTGGGGGGACGACACTCGACAAGGCGGCCAAGGTCGACTACGAAGACAAGTCCCAGCTCACCGTCAAGTACGGCCCGTCCGCCAAGTTCGAGGCCACCATCAAGTTCTTTCCCTTCAGCATCGACTTCAAGCGCGACGGCAGCAGCCAGATCAAATTGAACGATCAAGGGCTGCTAAACATTGAACATTGGAGGCCAAAGGTTGAGAAGCCCGCGCCGGAGAAGAAGGAGGGTGAATCAGACGAGGAGAACAAGACGGAGGAAACGAAGGAAGAGCCCAAAGCAGAGAACGAAAGCACTTGGTGGGATGAGACCTTCGGCGGCAATACGGATACCAAGCCTCGCGGCCCGGAAAGTGTCGCTTTGGACATCTCATTTGTCGGCTATGAGCACGTTTACGGCATTCCGTCCCACGCCAGCCCGCTCTCGCTCAAGCAGACTCGCGGTGGGGACGGCAACTACCAGGAACCTTACAGGTTGTACAACGCTGATGTCTTTGAGTACATCCTCGACAGCCCCATGACCCTCTACGGCTCCATCCCTTTCATGCAGGCCCACCGCAAGGATTCCGCTGTTGGCGTTTTCTGGTTGAACGCCGCAGAGACGTGGGTTGACATCACCAAGGGCAAAGACTACAAGAACCCTCTTTCTCTCGGGACCAAGTCAAAGACGAGCACTCACACCCACTGGATTTCCGAGAGCGGTCTGCTGGATGTGTTTGTCTTTTTGGGCCCCACACCCAAGGACCTGACCGCCAAATATGGCGAGCTGACTGGCACCACCGCAATGCCGCAGGAGTTCTCTCTCGGCTACCACCAGTGCCGCTGGAACTACGTTTCCGACGACGACGTCAAGGATGTAGACCGTAAGATGGACAAGTTCAAGATGCCCTACGACGTCATTTGGCTCGACATCGAGTACACTGACGAGAAGAAGTACTTCACCTGGGACAAGCACTCCTTTACCGATCCCATCGGCATGGGCAAGCAGCTGGACAGCCACGGCCGGAAGCTAGTCACCATCATCGACCCTCACATCAAGAACGTTGACAACTATCCCGTCGTCGCGGAGCTCAAGTCCAAGGATCTGGCCGTCAAGAACAAGGATGGAAACATTTTTGAGGGTTGGTGTTGGCCAGGCTCATCGCACTGGATTGACGCCTTCAGCCCGGCTGCGCGTGAATGGTGGGCATCTCTTTTCAAGTACGATGCGTTCAAGGGCACCATGGAAAATACGTGGATCTGGAACGACATGAACGAGCCGTCCGTCTTCAACGGACCCGAAACGACTATGCCCAAGGACAACCTCCACGCGGGGAACTGGGAGCATCGCGACGTGCACAACCTGAACGGCATGACGTTCCAAAATGCCACCTACCACGCCCTCACTAGCCGCAAGCCGGGCGAGCTCCGCCGTCCGTTCGTCCTGACGCGCGCTTTCTTTGCGGGCTCTCAGCGCGTCGGGGCCATGTGGACGGGTGATAACCAAGCTGCGTGGGACCACCTCGCCGCGTCGATTCCCATGGTCCTAAGCCAGGGCATCGCCGGTTTCCCGTTTGCGGGCGCCGACGTCGGCGGCTTCTTCGGCAACCCTGAGAAGGAACTGCTGACGCGGTGGTACCAAGCCGGTGCCTTCTACCCCTTCTTCCGCGGACACGCGCACATCGACGCCCGGCGCCGCGAGCCCTACCTCGTCGGCGAGCCGTACACGACCATCATCGCCGCGGCCCTCCGCCTCCGCTACAGCCTGCTGCCCTCGTGGTACACGGCCTTCCGGCACGCCCACATCGACGGCACGCCCATCGTCAAGCCCATGTTCTACACGCACCCATCGGAAGAGGCCGGATTTGCCGTCGACGACCAGTTCTTTGTCGGCAACACGGGCCTGCTGGCCAAGCCGGTCACGGAGAAGGACAAGACCACGGTGGATGTCTGGATCCCGGATGCCGAGGTCTACTACGACTATTTTACCTACTACATCATCCCGACCGCCAAGGGCAAGAATGTCACGCTGGATGCGCCGATGGAGAAGGTGCCCCTGCTCATGCGCGGCGGCCACGTCTTTGCGCGCAGGGACGTCCCGCGCCGGTCGAGCGCGCTCATGAAGTGGGATGATTACACGCTTGTCGTCGCCGTTGGCAGGGACGGCAGGAAAGCTGAGGGTGACCTGTACGTCGACGACGGCGATTCATATCAGTATCAAAGCGGGCAGTATATCCACCGGCGGTTTATCTTCGACGGGGCGGCCAAGAGTCTGAGTTCGGTCGACGCCGAGGGCCGCGAGCCCGGAAGTGTGGCGGAGGGCGAGTGGCTGAAAAGGATGCGTGGAGTTGGGGTGGATAGGATTGTGCTGGTGGGCGTGCCGGAGAGTTGGGTGGGGAAGAAGAGTGTCAAGGTGGAGAGCGAAGGGAATGTTTGGGAGGCGAAGATGGAGGTTACGCCGGCTGCTGAGGGGAGGGCGGCGTTTGCGGTGGTTAGGAAGGTGGGCGTGAGGATCGGGGCGGATTGGAGAGTTGTGTTTTGAGCGTGGGAGCAAGTAGATGGTTAGGTATTGATGTGTTTGTGTTATTAAGGTATGAGCGGAGCATGCGTCTGTCAGTCTGTGTGAGGGAGTGTGTAAACTCAGGCGGTGTATAGACTTGAGTGTAGGAGTGCCGGTGCTGGCTCTCTGTGGTTTTGAGAAGTTGGTCTTCAAGTTGCGCTTTTCCCTGCAACCCTGGTTTGCTTGCTTAGGACTAGGGAAAGTATTTTTATTTCCTCTCATTCCACCTCCTGTTTCTCTTACCTTCCTCTTATTCTATTCCTCTTCTCCTATTCTTCTTTGCCCCCTTCTTCTCTCTCTCTATTTTCTCTCTTCGTTTCTTACTCTTCTGTCAGACTTCATTATGTCTGCCTCTCGTGGTCAGATCTTGCCGTCTGCCGCGACAGAAACACAAGCCAGGGTTGGATTATACGGTGGTTTCCGGTTGTGTATCCACGTACTGGTTGTGGGTTGTCTTTCGTGCACCGCCGAAATTGCAGACCATACTCCTCCGTATGCATTGGTTGGAAACGGTCGGCCAATGGACAGGCTCGACTGATATTGAGCACCTCGGCTGAATCCTCGTACCTGACAGATTTCTGCCGCGTACCTGCAGGAGAGTGGTGTCACAGGGCTTAATGCTTTGTGTTCTATGTCTGAAATGGGCGACAATGGGACATGGATATTTGGCTTAAACTGTAGCTATTTGAGGACTGGTGCTTGAAGTGCGACATTGCTGAGCGTTCTAGTCGGGATATATCTTCCCAACGCATGGAAAGGGATGTGAGACTGCTTGATGGTTTTAGGTGGCGACATCCCCTGGTTGCAGTTATGGGTGTTCCAAAGACGATGCAGTGCGACCAGGCAGTGTTACACTTACCTCCTTGCGTGGCATTGGCATGCTCGGTCTCTCTTTGCGGGCCGTGGATGAACATGTCTTGCTCGAGCTGGATTGGATGCAGTGGACTATTGGTTCCCAATGCTGACTGTGCTGGAAGTTGGGGGTTAACTGGATCAGGTTGTGTTACCGTCTTAAGCGGGGACTTATAAGGGGTGATCGACTGTCTATGGTTATTTTCCGTTTGTTTTCTCTTGGCCCAGGGATCTGCACGGCGGGGATCTCTGTCTGTTTTGCCGTCTTTTCTTCCAGGTGCTCTCGGCTTCCTTTTTACTTTTCAGGAGAAATGCTGCTCCTCGTTTCATCAATCTCCCTCTTTCATTTTCATTCTTTAACCAGTCACTCACTGCATCCCAACCACGAAACACCCATCATTATGAAGTTATCAACAACCCTTTTCATCCTCCTGGTCACCACCATCACGGGAGCCACCTCCGCCACCGTCCCCCTGGCACCAACCCGCCCCCGCGACGCCTCCCAATTCCGCCTCCTACACACCCTAACCCCCTCACCCCCGTCCCACTCCCGCTTCCTCACCGCCGCCGCCCCCGCGGCAGCCGACGACTCAACAACAGAAACCACCAAAGGTGGCGCCGTCCTCACCCTCCCGGCCTCCGACACCTCCGCTATATCCTCGGTACAAGCAACCTTCCGCGTGCCCAGCGCGGTCCCGCCCGCCACCGGCCCAACGGCAGGCAACCCCGTCGGGCTGTACGCGGCGTCCTTCTGGGTGGGCATCGACAGCGTCGGGCCTTTCTCTTTTTCCTGCCCTGGCAGTGGCGGTGGCAGTGGCGGTGGTGGTGCATCCCGCCGGGCCCTGCGCGCGGGGGTGGATATCTTCTACGACGGCACGCTGGGCGGCGAGCAGAGTCCTTTTGCGTGGTACCAATTTGCTGCTGCTTCCGGTTCCTCGGGCTCGGATCCCGGATCCGGGCAGGGGGGTACTACGACGGGGTTGGAAGGGTTTGGGATCATTCCGGGGGATTTGGTTCGGTTTACACTCAGTGCTGGTTCTGGTGATGCTGCTGGGGAGTCGGTGGTGGTGGTGCTGGCGGAGAACTTTGGGGCCAATGTCAGCTGTGCGGAGGGAGCGACGCCCGTGACGAGTGTGAGACAGGTCTTGCCGGTTGGGGAAGGGGGACCGGCGTTGTGTGGGAGGGAGGCGGCGTGGATGGTGGAGGATTTTCCACTGGCTGGATTGCCCGACTTCCCGATTGCGTTGGCTAACTTTACGAGCGTCACCTTTGGCTCGGCGGGTGTCACGCTCGAGGATGGAAGCAAGAGGGATGTGACGGGGGCCGAGGTGATGGATGTCCGGCTTGAGGCCCAGGGTGGCAGGTTGACTAGCTGTGAAGTCTTGGACGGCAAGAAGGTCAAGTGTACGAGGGTCTTGGACGACAACTAGGAGGTATACAAGTAACCAGCCATGAGTATAGCTGGAGTCGAAGCCGGGAGGATGTAGAGCAATTTTCCAATCATTTCAATAATACAGCTTGCGCCAATCCGTTGCTCACACAGCTTGGCTCAACGACCCACGGTTATTCGACCTACTCACCGACCTCCACATCTGCCGCGGTGTCGACGGGCTGTCCAGGCTCTGTCTCTTCTCTGACATGCCCATCTGCTCGTCCAAGCTGGCACGAGTCCCTTCCTCTTCTTCTCTGGGTGACTGCCTGATCGAGCCCAGCTGACTTATGCTGTTATCCCTCCTCCGGTTGTGATAGACATCTTGAAAGTCCATGCCAGCCTCCACCGCCGCCGCCCTGCTGGTAGTTCTCCTGCGCACCGCTGAACCTGAAATTGGCGGATACGCATCCTGGGCAGTGCTCTGGTACACAGGCGGCGGCTGGACCTGGGTCCAATACAGCGGCATATCGCGCATGCCGCCCGGCTGGACGAGCCGGGGTGTCTCGAGGCCCATGTCGTGCATTTGCCGCATGAGCTCAACGGCAAACTTGTTGTGCCTGTTGAGGCGGAGCAGCTCGTTCTGATAGTTGCTCTTGTGAAAGAAGATGATGTTCATGGTGATGCTGCTAACCTCGTCGATGGTCTGCACCTCAGAGATGATGCGCGGTGCGTAGTCTCTCTTATTTTGGAGGCAGAACTCGAGCATCCGGGCCTTCAGCTCTTCGATTTGTGCTTCTGACGTGCCGAAGCGGAGCTTCAGGTTGATAGGGTCGGCTAGTCCCTGGCTACGCCTTTGATTCAGGATGAAAAGCGTGTTCAGCACCGAGTTGGGTGCCTGCACTACGTGGCCCTCCATCTTCTTGAACTCGGTGTACAGAAGTGAGACTTCAAGGACGTAGTAGTCGTCGCCTTTCATCATAGAGCCGGTGTTGCCGTAGACGGTGACCCGGTCGCCGACATCAAAGGGGTCTGTCCAACCACGTCAGGCTTCTTATTCCTAATAAGCGTGATTAGGGAGCTATAGCGCCGCTTTGGGGATAAGACGACTCCAGTAACTCCCGACACATCTGAACTGGGGCAAAAAGAGCGCGCATTTGACGTACGCTTGACAAACACGAAGATGATAGACTAGAAATTGTCAGTACAGAGTTTTTCATGTAATAAGGAAAAGCCCACCTGAAGAAACTCCTGGGCTGTCGCCTGTAGCAGCCACGACAGCCCGAGGATGAAAGTGCCAGTCGAAGTCAAGGCAGCCGCAGCTGAGTTCGAAATGATGCTGATAAAGACGATAATGACAATAACAACAATGATGAACATGAAGACTTCGTCCAGCTTCTTGATGACCGAGTCCAAGTCTTTGAGCGAAGCCGCTATGGCTTTCTTTTCGAGATGGATCTCGTTGCACACCATTTCGAGCTCCTCCATCGTGATGTCGCCGTTGAGATCCTTGTCGAAAACCGAGAAGCACGCCTCGGCGTCCTCCTGGGCCGAAAATGCGGGATACAGGTCTTCAACCGTGATAGTCGACTTGTCCGGCTTGATAAAGGTGCGGTAGAAAACGCGAGCAAGGGTGAAGCTAGACTCAGTGTTGCGCAGAAGTTCCAGCACGACCTTGCGGGGATGGTTGCCCTTGAGACTCCTCCGTCCGGTAAAATCGCCGGCTATGCGGTGAGCGGCGCTCCCGACCTTGCTCCAAACATGGCGTGCGTTGTTGTGGAGACTCTTGAGCGGCGAAGGGCTCCCGGTAGAAGCTCGTCTGCTGGATGGGGATTCCCACACCGGGTCCTGGGCCTCGAGGCGGGTCTTGGCGTATGAGTACAGGGTGACGAGGAACTCGATCTGCATTTGGTTATCGCGGATGCGGTGCGAGTAGGTGCGCAGATGGAAGGATGTTGCGATCCACTTGATCAAGATTTTCTCGACGAGATTCAGCGTCGCAAGGACGAATAGGGCAATGACGATCTTGTAGACAACGTCGATCCACGCTATGTAAGGGATCTTGTCGTCCTCCTTGGGCTCGTTGAGCACGCGATGGTTGTCCAAGATGGGCCGGTACGAAACCAAGACGGCCAGTAGCCACAGAAACAGAGCCGTGGGGAACTCGAGTTGCCGCCCAATATCCTTCCACTTCTTATGGTTGGGAGAGCCGACCGTGTCGGCAACAAAGGCCACGAGCACGGGCATGATAGACGTGCCGATTCGACCAGCCCATAGTGTGAGCCAAACGACCTCAAGCCAGATACCAAACCAAAGAAGTTGGACTCCGCCGCGACCTCCAACCGGGTCTCCCTTGCGGTCGTAGGCAAATAGATCAAGGAAGACGGGTATCAGGATGATGATGCCAGGCGGGATGGCGTAGACAACGTAGCGCAGGACACGAGGGAACCTCTTGAGCGAAAGCCATAGTTTGGTGAGCCAAGTCGTCTTCGGGGGGACGATGGCAGTAGTGGCGGTGGGCGAGTTGCTCGAGTTGAAGGCGTCCTCGACCCGGGCTTCATGGCTTCTCCTTCCGGACCTGGGCCGGCTTGGGTTGCGCTCCTGATTTGAGACCACGCGCTCAGCACGGAGGACCTCCAGGTCGTCTTGTAACCTGTTCGCAGCCTCTCTCGAGTCGGTCGGGCTCCGAAGGGCTGCCCCTGGGGTGAGGTGGTCTGGATCGACCTGGGTCTTGGTGGTGTCAGCTTCGTCACTGCTCGGGCCGGAATACGATGGCATCTGGACATGCAACGACGGCCGCGAGGGCGGAGGCGGCGTCTCTGAGGACGATACCATGTTGCATTGAAGTGGTGGCTGCGGACTAACTAGGGCACGGGGAAAGCAGGAAGATACAACTGACCTCGTCCACAAATACCTTATGAAGCACCCCAGACAATCCGCAAGGCCTTGATGGGGTTTTCACTCCAACTCCAAAGATGTGATTGGCAGAGCGCCCCACCGAGACGTGGAACGAAGACGTATCCAATTGTACTCGGATCAGGGGATTGTGTTGGCTCAAGTCGGTTGCCGCCCATTCGGGCCACTACAGGTGGACCGTTCGTTCCATCACAGCAGGCAGGCTGTGACCTGTGAATCGGTGGTCACAGAAAGAGAAGCGCCTTCAGTAGCAATCAACGGAGGGAGAATTTGAGGCGAGCCGTTGAGGTGATATTCCTGCTCGGGCCGGCCGGAACATAAGATTCTGTCGGCAGGTCAGCAAACGAAGCACGTCTTGTCCGGGATTTCGAATGAAAGTTAAAATCCGGCATAAGGCCGAGGTTGTGATGACCAACGAAATTACCTGACGTTGTCCATTTGTGTTGCATATAGCCAGTGCTCAACAGCGTTGGGCCTTTTCCCCACCTTATCTGATCATGCAGGGACTTCGAGGTGTAGGGGAAAGTGGGGTCGAGTGTTTGTCGGTTCTGTTCCTGAAGCTGAAGACTGGTGCCAGGGGTTGACGTCATGGCGGGTGTGTGCATACTTGGCGCCAAGCTGTTCTTGAGGGTCGCGGCATCGAAGCTTCCGGCGATGAATTTGACCTTTGCCTCGACTGTTTGCTGAACGACACATCTGGACACCAGGGTGTATAGCCCGGCACGGAAAACGGACTTAGTCTCTAAGACAGATGTAGTGCGCGAGCTAAGGTACCCTTTGCCCCCCTTTGCTTCTTGCCTCGATAACAACCAGGCTTGGACTGTACCTGCCATTGTAGTTGTATGATATACATACTTACCCGGTAACGGCCGTCTGTGGTCCCGCTACTGTTACCTTATGCTAAAGACCTATTCCGAGATGCGAAGACCACCTTACCTTTGCGGGAGGCTGATGAGGATCATCTTGAAGCTCAGCTCTCGGTAGTGGGGTCCAGACATTTTAGGGTACAGTACAGATTACTGTAGGGTAGGTAAGCGAGGTGGAGACAAGTGATCCCCAGGTACTCCGTAGCCCACTGCAACCCTCGATTCTTAATAAGAGCAGCCACTGTTTCGCGTGGCGCGTTTGACTCCTTGGTTGATAGTTTAAAAGAGGGCTGCAAGCCCGGTTTATTACAGTGAGCTGGAGAGCACCTGCTCGTCAAGATTCAAGTTTGATCTCCATTCAATGAGGCCGTTCTCTCCGTCAGTGACAGCCGCCCAAGTTTGACACGAGTCGTTTCTTCGCGATGCAACGTGGAGCCAGAAACTCCTCGCTCGTTTCACTTCTCGGACCTGTTATTCAGTGGGATGGAGGATCGCGGATCGATGGTTCGAGTCTCCATCTGCCGCCGAGAAACATTGCGTCCTGCAAGCCTGTTATTTGGGCACACCGCAAGCCGGACCCCAAGCTTCAGAAGAATTCAATGCATCGATGGCTCTGAGAACTATCGGCCGTTTATTGGGCGCCGCTCAGCCGCACACCTTTCTTATTCGAGGCAAGCGCTGTCCCGGTTTGACGCAAGACTGCCTCGGGCACCACCTTGCTGGAGATGCGCGCGGTTCTGAATTGTCCCGTCCTTATTACTCCGTACGAAGAGTTCCATCCTCGACGCACCCTTGATGTCTCAGACCCTGCTGAACCTCAAACCTTCGGTTACTCGTCTGACGACGCGCGAAGCCAGCCGATTGCGATGCATCTTCTGAGAGCTTTCACCTGAGCTCCCAACTGTCGGTCTTCTTTGTGCTGCGTCCTCGTCTTGGGCTCCAGCCGCATCTGAGCCCGAAAACCCGGGCCGACGCTCTGGATCAGTTGTCATACCCCCGACTAAGCCCGACAGATCAGGCGCGACAAAGTTGAAGAGACATGGCTGGGCTTCCGGAAAACTGGGAGTGGGATTACGATGGCAACCGCTGGTTCTATCGCTATAAGCCCACGGGATTGATTCAGTACACCTTCCCCAAGCCTGGCGATGAGTTCCCCGAGTTCGTCGATGACAGTGCGCCGCCCCCCGACCTTGCGCCCGAAGAAAAGCTCGTCAGCCAGCAGCAAATCAAGAGGAGAAGCACCCTAGGCCAAATTCCGACGAGACAGTCGACCGCAACCACCCACAGAGAACGGGCGTCTTCAAATGCCGTTTCCGACCCGGACGATGGCAGTGGCCCTTTCTGGCTTCAGCCGGACGGCCTCATGTACATGGGACCCGGGGCCTACACCGACATCAGTCCCCTACAAGAGGAAGAGGAAGAGCGTGGAGAGGAAAGCGCCAAAGCGGGTGAGGAGGACGTTGCCGGAGCACCAGTGCCTGCTCCTCCTACGAGTGTCTCGAATGCCACGGAGTCTGCAGGTACACCGCAACCGACTCGCTCGCAGATGTCACCAATTGTGAGCACAGAAACCACTCCCCAAGTGCTAAACAGCAATCCAGCAACTACGACTCCTGAGCTAGACAGCGCGGTAATCATCGAGGTCGGCGAGAGTGTCGCAGGCGACATAGGAGTCGTGGAACAGCCTGAAGTTCACCTTCTCGACGGCCGCCAGGTGCCATCTAACCCCATTGGCTTCGTTGCCGAACTTGCCAGCGAGTTGACAGCTCGGTGTGACGACGAGATCAACCCGGCCCCTGTCGAACTACCCGGCAATGAACAGATGATGTATACATCGGACCCTGGTGTCTACGTCAATGCCTTCGACTTGGCTCCGGTCGAGCTTCCCTCTGACGAGAGCGCTGCCGGACCGAAGATAGCAGGCGGGACAGTCGAGCAGAAGCCCCTTGTCCCTCATGCCTCTGGGCAGGGACAGGGCGAAGTACAGCGGCTAAGATCGTATCAAGCAGCCCAGGAGCTGCTCAAGAGGCCATATGAGCCTGTTCGGCAACACTCATTGCCGCAGCCAACGAGCTCCGCCAACCCCGGCCCAACGCCCGGGCAATATCAGCCATATAATCCGGTGAGGCATGCCGTGCTCGGTGCTGCCGCCGCGAACAAATACTCAATAGCCGAAACGCAGCACCGCCAGCTGGCTGGCGACAATAAGAGGCATTCTCTGGCCGGGCCAGTGCTGTCCCAGCCCCGGCCAACGGAGATCCCCCCCGCATTGCAGGCACCTCAAGTGCCTCCGAAACGACCTGTGGATCCCTCTGATATTCCCCCCGCATTACAGGCACCTCAAGTGCCTTCAAAACGACCTCTCGATGGCCCTGACAATGGCGCGTACCCTACGATCGTCGGCGCCGGAGGACTCCCTAACACCGTCTCCAGTCTGGCCACTTCAACAAATCCTAGCAGTCTTGCGCACTTCCCAGCCGTTCTCCAACCCGCCCGGGGGCGTCCCATCATGCGCGCCCAGTCTCCTCCGCTGACTCAAAGGGCTAGCCCGGCTCGGACCTATCAACCGTACAAGTCATACCGCGACCTGCAGAAGGACATCGACGACACCGTACAGCTTCTCTCGCAAACCGAATACGGCCAAGGGACTACTGCAAACCCCGAGACGTCAAATCCCTTAAGACCTCAGGTTTCCAGAACAGGCACTCTGCCGGCCCATATTTCTGCGCTCCCGTTCAGGACTGCTCGCCCAAAGCTCCTACACTCAGCGGCAAGCGACCCGGTCACCATGCGAAATGTGCAATCCCGCCAACCGCCTCCTGGTGAGGCCAGTGCAAGCAAACCACCCGGACAAGACGAGGTTGTGCCCATATCCCAGGAGTACTCGGCTCCTCTTCCGCCCTCAAGCCCGGATATACCTCAACCGTTGAAGCTCTCTCGCAAGTCGCTCCCGCCTCAAAACCGTGTACCGACCGTTGCGTCTTTTAGTCTCCCGGTGACAGCCGACCCAGTTTCAACTTTTATGGATGCCACACCGGCACCGTCAAACACTCCCGTTCTGGATACCCCGGCGAATAGCACGTCCAGTCCTGAAGCGGCTATGCACTTGGGAAGCTCAGGTGTTACTGGCAATACCGGAGGTGATGCCGAGCAAGTTGGAGATACGGGTAACCGAAAGCTGCCGACCGCCTCTAGTCCGCCTCACCAGGGTGTCGAGCTGAAACGCACAAAAGACACCGATCAGATAGTTACATCCACCGGGCAGCAACAGGCCACCATGCAAGGACCTCCTGAGCAACCAGTTGCGAGCGGATTCACCGTCAGTGCTGAACCCGCCGCTCTGCCTGCTCCTCACGCCGCCGCATCACGTCAACATGTTCCTGTCACGTTTGATACCAGCAGCCAACCAGCTCCGTCAGCGTCTTCTGTCGTGGAAAGTACCGACGAGCCGCCCATCGCGACAGACTCACGAATTGCACCCGTCCTGTCGAATGCTACGCCTACTTCTCAATCGGTCACTTACCCGTTGGTATCATTAACCGACCGGCAAGGAGCTGAAGCCAACCAGGAGCCAGCACGTTCAACTCCTGTGGTGGTCGTACAGCGGACCAGCCAATCAGTATCCTCTCGGGCCGGCTTCGTGAACCCTGATGTTGTCCAGAGCTCATCCCATGTCGTCATTGATTACCAACCCATGGTCGAATCCTCTCGCCAGTCATCGTCACAGCCGAGCCCAACGCCGCCAAATGATCAGTCTGCACGAGCCGAAGTCGCGCCCTTACTGGGCACTTCGTCTGCTCCGTCCCCGGCCTTGGGCGACAAGTCTTGCTCGAGCGAGCCGGCGAACGATGTAGACCAGGCCGTGACTCCTCCCCAGCCGTCTGTCACCCCTCAGCCATCAGGCGTCCAAACCTCTACTCCTGTTTATCGTGCTTCCTCGCCACCAACTCAACAAGGAAACGTTCCACGCAACATCTCGTCATGCTCGCCTCTGGGTGACGTGACGTCTAGCTCCCAGAAGAGTCCAGCGCCCACAGAGCACGGCGTTCCGAAACAAGCTGCTGTCCATTCTCTGACAGCTGGACAAGCCCCTTTAGCTGCGGGCTCTCCGGATTCACACCAAGAGGCTAGGCCGGCGGCAAGCCCGACAGCTCCAGCCTATACGCTTCCGTCAGGGCATCATCCGCTTAGCTCATCACCGGTGAATGTATCAGAAGCGAGCCTAGCAGAGTTGTCAAGGCCGAAGCCTGAGGAATCAGGCACGATAGGCTCCAGCGACCAACAAGTATCATTTGGGGCATCCGGGCAAAGCCTGCCTGTCGCTCACCCTCAACCTCTGCCAGCGACCCAGAGCAATGCGGCCGACGCCCAACCGGCAGGGGAATCGACCCAACAACGGCTTCCTCAACCGTCCCCGCAAAACCCAGACCTCGGCCAGGGCCAGACCATACCGAATTTGTCGCCGCCTTTCGCCCAGCAGGTCCGACGGGGAACCGAGTCATCTGCTACATCCACCTCTAATCAGGGACAGACGAGCCAACCGCCTATGCCACAAGCGCTCCCACAGGCCGGCCAAAGTCAGTCCACAGTGCCGCCAGCTGGTCAGACGCCCCAGCTGCCGCCCGCCCAGGGGAAGGCAGCCCCATTAACCTTTGGTCCAGGTCAGGGTTCTCAAACTATGCCCCAAAGAACATTCTCTTATCCGGTGCTTTCGCAGCCAATTTCGCTTCCTCATCCTGGAGCACCTGGAAGTGCACCGCCTCAAATGCCCGTTATGTTTTCTCCACCAGGAATGCCGCATGCCGTCCAACCTGGGATGGTGCCTCAACACTCTGTCTTTCCTGCTGGCGGTATCCCGCAAGGCATGCAGCTTCAGCCAGTTCATCCACAAATGATGAAGCCAAGTCAGATGCTTGGCGGGCCCGCATACGTCATACAGCAAGCCCAGCCGCCCCAACCAGTCAAGGAAGAAAAGAGCTGGTTTGGCAAGTTATGGAGAAGCGAGAGCGTGAAGAAGCCGGCGGCGGGCCATGCTGTTAACTCGGCAAACAAGCTACAAAAATCAGCCCGCCCCCAAGCACCGCCTGTCTTTCCGCCGCCACTCCACCCCGCCGTGTCTCAGGGTACTCCGACGTCACCGCACATGATGTATCCTTTCCAGCAAGGTCAACAGGCGCTCAATCCGCAACAGCCATCAGGTCCGCAGTTCCGTCAACAGCACCAGCACCAGCAGCCACTTCAACACCAGCAACAGCACAAACCGCCTTTAGCATGGAAAACTGTCAACAACAGCAACGGTAACGGTAACGGGAACGGAAACAGAATGCCCCAGTTCCACGCTCCAAACCTCAATCCGAACCAGTCCGTCCTACCCCCGCCAGAGGTGCGGCAGGCGATCCAGCAGCAGGAGCAGCGGCTGAATCCGGTGCGTCCGGAGAGTACGGGTTTGGGTCTGGCGCAGGCGCAGGCGCAGGCGCAATCTGTTGACTCGATTCATCGGGGTGGGCAGCATGCTGCTTCTTCTGTACCTGTGCCTGTGCAGGTGCAAGGTGAGGGGCCGAGGCTAGTAGGCCAGGGACAAGGTCAAAGTCATCAAGGGCAAAGCCATGGACATGATCTTATTACTCATCAGAGTCGGAATGGAAATGAAAATGGGGCTCAGACTGTTGTGAATTCTCAGGACAACAACCACGGGACAGGGGAGGCCAAGGCTGCTCCTGCAGCTGCTGCTGTGGGTCCCGGGAACGCAGGGGCAAGCAGATGGGGGAATGCTAATGCCTCTTCTGGTGGCTACGATGGGTCGGGATGGGGCGACGATGACGAGGAAGATTTTTCTTGAGAAGAGGCGGGGCAAGGGATGGCGATTCGGTGGGTGACTGGTGATGCCCTAGGGTGACAATGTGGACTCTGGGTCTGAGGATAGCTCGATATCTGTCTAGCATTGCGGGTTGGGTACGGATAGGGATACCTGAACCCTAATATGTGGTGGGTTGTCTCAATGGACAGGTATGGGAATAGGTGATTGAGGCTTTGGAAAGGGTGCTGATGGTCTCCTAGGATAGTTTCTAGATACCACTGTTTGCAATCAGTCATCTTAGGTTCGCTCAGGCTGAGCAGGCTCCATGCCTGGACTGCTCAGATGACGAAAGTGACTCGGGCCTTCTTCCTGCTGGACATTGAAGATGGTATGTACTCGCGGGCAGCCGCACGTGGGGAGCTCAACAAGGGAGGACCACCCCGGTTTACCGCCGCGCCGGGCCATTCACCAATCTTGGCCCCGGTGAAAGGCTCCAATCCGGCCCCATAATGCCGGACTGCCACGTTGCCAGGTGATTGCCACTGATTCGTTGGCGGCGGCAAGGGTTCACCTATCCAGCTCCATCGTCTGATTATCGCAGGACTGCCTTTCTCCAAAGTACCTTTCCATCAGTGTGTAAACCGCGATCGCAAACAAAACCTAACACATGCTGGACTTGCAGGATTCATCTCCGGCACGGCATCTTGGCGTCGCTACCGCAAGGAACCAACTCCAGAGACCCCGCTTACCATGTGGTCGGTTCCGCGAGTGAACCCGGAAAATCGGATGTCACCTTGATGGATTCAACAGATGAATATTTAACCAGCAACCCAGGACCCGTCTGAGTGAGGGTCTCGTGCAGCGGTCTTTTCCCACGCCCTCCCACTGCCGTCAATATGAAGACATCAAGCCTCGCCGCCGCCTTGTTGGCAGTCGCTCCCACAGCCGCCACCGGTTGGACCTGGGCTGCTGCCCACGGCAAGTCGATCAACTTCACCTCGGTCTCTGGCTACTTCGTCCAAGATGACGCGGCAACCAACCCTTCAGGGTTTGACTATGTCAGTGCTCTGTAATTGCTTTGTTGTGAGCCAATTCATGTTGACCTCGACGCTGACTCGGCCCTTCCAGGCGAGCGTCAACTTTGGCCTGATCAACCGGACATACCCTACCGACAAGCGCTTCGATCCAAACGGCGAAAAAACGCAATGGCAACGCTTTGAGGCCTTTGTCAAGTTTCTGAATTCTGCCTGCAGCAAGAGGCGCGGCGTTCAGTACAAGCTGCTGTTCATCGGCCGTCACGGCGAGGGCTGGCACAATGCTGCCGAGTCCTTCTACGGCACTCCCGCCTGGAACGTGAGTCGGGATGCCCTTGATTCATCCCTAGATCAGAATTCCCTGGTGCGGTGATCTAATTCTATACTTCATAGTGCTACTGGGCTGAACAGGAGGGCAATGGCACGGCCGTATGGGCGGATCCACTGCTGACGCCGGCCGGCGAGGTCGAGGCCTACAAGGCGAATGCCTACTTCAAGGACCGTTATGAGACGCAGAAGCTGCCGTTCTTCGAGTCGTACTACACCAGCCCCCTCTCCCGGTGCACCATCACCGCCAACCTCACCTTTGGCGACATCAGTCTCCCTGCGGACCGCCCATTTGCCCCTATCGTTAAAGAAGGATTCCGGGAGGGCATGACGGTGCACACCTGCAACCGGAGGTCGAGCAAGGTGAATTTTTCTTGACATCAGTTTCTCCTGGCCGATAGCTTCGCCGTCTCTTCATGCTCTCGGGCTAACCGCTGCATTTGTGGCGAACCTAGACCTACATCTCCAAAATGTTCCCCTTCTACCAGTTCGAAGAGGGCTTCACCGAGGAAGACGAGCTCTGGCGGGCCGACGAGGCCGAGACGGACGCCGCCTTTGCCGTGCGCGCCAAGGAAGTCCTCGACGACGTCTTCACGACGGACCCAAAGACGTGGATCAGCATCACGGCCCACTCCGGCGCCGCCACCCGGCTCCTGGCCGCGCTAAACCACCGCCCTTTCCGCCTCGCCACGGGCCAGATCATCCCCGTGCTGGTCAAGGCCGAGGCCGTCGAGCGGCAGCCCACGCCCCCGTTCGACGCGCACGAGCCCTACTCGACCTGCGACGCCCCGCCCATCACGTCGGTTGCCGGCCAGGGATGTGTCTGCGCCACGTCGACGACGTCGGCGCTACCTTCGGCCACTGGCGAGCCTGATGAGTGCCCAACGGAGTGAAAGGGAAGTGGTAGTGTCAATAATGTGGACATCTACTGAGTGGTAGAACCACCTTGCTGCATTCGAAAGTAATTAAAGTAATCAGTGTACCTTGCGTGCCTCTGGCGTGTTTAGAGTAATTCTCCTTCAGATTTTTTCCAACCAGCGTTGCATTTCAGCCCCCGCTGCCAAAGAAATCTCCCTGCGGGGAAAGTCCGCTGCGCCCATCAGGGCGGGTTGTCGGCTCCTGTCGGCCATTTTGAGGCCCGGTGATTACAGTACGACCTTGCGAATTCGTATTCCCAGCACTTGCCCTCCGAGGACGCCGAAGCTTTTTGAAGAACCTTAACCAGTGCACTCTTGTATTTCGGCTCATTGTTTTCACCTTCAAACACAAATCATCAAAGACGACCACCCTTCGGTCGGCGACTGCTTTCGACCCAACATGGCATCCTCAACGACCACAGAGGGCGAATTGCGGACGTACCGCGGCAACTGCCACTGCGCAGCATTCGTGTACGACGCCCAACTCCGCGAGATCAAGACCGCGCTTGAATGCAGTTGCAGCATCTGCTACAAGAAGGGCTATCTCTGGGTCCTTACCGAGTCCGTCAAACTCGACGTCGTCAAGGGCACTTACGATACCCTCTCGCAGTATACCGTTGGGTCGCTTGTACATAGGGTATCGTACCTTAGGAATCCCTTTGTCTTGTTTGATGAGCCAGTGTTACTTACCAGGGCATTGCCAGTTCTGCCCGAAATGTGCCACCCCCGTCATGGCAGAGTTTGCTGAGGCCGATGGAGAAAAGCTCGCCCTTAATGTGAGTTGAAACTGAGGTACCTACGCGTCAGGCCCAGCTCGGTCTACGCCTGTTGGAAAGAGAACGATGGCGACTGACCATTGTCGTGGGATCAGGTTCGCGCTATCCAGGGCATCGATGTATGGGAGTTGGAAAAGCAACCGTATGTTTGGTGCCCCCGTGACATTGCCCGCCTCGGACATCAGAATATGGCCCTCTTGCTAAACACCTGATAGCCACGACTGCGGCGCGCCTCGTGGGAAGGACGACGTCGTGCCCCCGGAGCACAAAGGCCCGTTGCCTGATGCCATCGACGGACACAAACTGTACACCGGCTCGTGCCACTGCGGAGCCGTTACTCTGGCGTTTATGAGCAAGCCGCTGGACGAGACCTTCGACGAGCGCACAGTTGAATGCAACTGCAGCATCTGCGTGAGGGTGAGTGGTCAAACCGTCCGGACCTCATGCAGTACTCAATTATGGTCACCGCTGACAGCAAGTAAAATCGGGGAACAGAACGGCTACCGGTGGGCGTACCCGAGCAAGGAACAAGTGGTACTGTTCGCGAGCGACCCGTCCAAGATTGGGCGGTACAGCTTTTCCCGCCACGTCCTCAACAAGACGTTTTGCACCGTCTGCGGCGTCTGTATGACCAACGAGTACGCCCACAGGACCGAGGACGAACTCAAGGCGTTGGGGGCACTGCCCAACCCGGAAGGGTTCGCCGACAGCATGAAGACGAGGCATGCCGTGAATCTGCGCGTGTTCCCAGATGTCGACTTTGCGAAGATGCCGCCGCCCAAGTTGGGCAACGGGGCCGGCATCGTCAAGCCGCCTTATGTCAATCCATGAGCTGAGAGGCATTTACCTTGGTTGGAGGAAGACGGATACATTCTCAGTTGGGATTTCATATCTCCATCTCGAACTGCGTTGTCAGTACGTAGGATTGCTTTTGTGAAGGGTCAACCAAGAGAAGATCCAGTCCTCGCTGAAGGTCACTGACCGGAACCGGACTCAATGTCACCAGGGCAGCAAAACAGGCAGACAAACGTAATAGCATGGCTAAGGTAGTGTGTCCGGCTATGCCCAAATAATCGACATTAGTGTTGTTTCTCTGATTTGGTACCTTAGGCAATTACCACGTAGTGACGTAGCTAAATACGATACACCGCAGCTGGTACTTAATAACGTTAAGGTAAGAGCATTTTGATAATCACTGTACATAGTTATACCTAAGTTAAGGCCAACATAACACGCTATTTACCGCGACCTTGATCGAATCGAGCCCTACAGCAACTGAAAGGTGATCTAGTCGGTAAGACAAGGCACTAAAGTGTGGTTTGTTGTTTTTGCCACCTACTAGACACAAGTACATAGGTATGCTGCTACAGGTAGTTCCTGTCGAGCAGGCTGCAGAGTTGAGACTTTGTTAAGCGTGACTTTGCCCAATGTTCTCTTGTTCAGCCTCGTCCTCACTTACAATATGTCTGCTCGGTCTGTTGAGGCCGAAGAACGGAGCTGGCCACTTGGCCCGAGTCAGATCTCGTACTTGCTGCGTTTCAGGTCTCTACCTTGAATATGAGACCTACGGAGTTCTCCATGAGCTGAGTCGAACTTTTATATCTCGTCCCAAGTCCAACCAATTGGGGATCGGCTAGACCGCCACCCCCCCTCTTCGATTCGAGCCCAGCTTCAAGTGAGTAGTGTACTCGAATCGGTCTAGTGTTGACCAGACCTGAACCGTCGGACTGGATAATGTGCTGCCAAGAAGCCTGGGGGCAATCTGAGCGGACCGAGCGCGAGAGCTAAAGGCGTCGCCGCCACGCCCAGCCTACTAGTAGTTCGGCCTAGATACCACTACTGTGTAGGTATTTATGGCAAACAAGCAGTCGCCGATCGCTGGGGGAGGTTGCATTCAAAGCAGATCCCCACCCAACTTGTCACACCCGACCCACGCCGCTGGATCCCCATCTCAATCTTCATCTTCTTTGGTACGACCAGACTGGAAAGACGGTCCCATCAATCCTCCTCTGAGATCCCCGAGAGCATGTCGGATCCAGCATGGCCGGCACTGCCGCCCGAGAAGGCAGCTGAGAGCAACGGCCCGCAGATGCTCATCATCGGATGGACTTTCACAGCGATAGCGACGCTCTTCGTAACCGGGAGGATCTTTTCCCGCTTCAAGAAGCTGGGCAGGATAGGCACGGGAGATTATTTCGTGCTTGTGTCTCTGGTACTCCGCCTTCCATACTAATACCCTAGTCCCTTAGTCAGGCATTGCTAACTAATCCCATTCGTGGCCCCAGGCCCTAGGCTACATCTACATAACCATCGTAACCGTCGCTGTAGACGCCGGGTCGGGCCGTCATCTATACGCCCTCACCGTCCCGCAGGCCGAGCGCGCCCTCCTCTTCACCTTCATCAGCTTCATCCCGGGCATTCTGTCCTTCACCATGCCCAAATTTGCCGTCGTGATGCTCATCCGAGATCTCCTCAACCCGTCTCCGGGCCATCTGAGAGCCATCTGGGCCCTGGCGATCGTCAATGCCGTGCTGATCGTGATATCCATCACCTTCACGTACGCGCAGTGCGACCCCCCTCGCGCGCAGTGGACGATCGGGCTCAAGGCCAGGTGCTGGAACCCCATCGTGTTGGTTGCGACAAGCATCACCATGTCGGCGAGCTCGGCTTTGTTTGATTTTTGGTTGGCGCTCTATCCGGCTATCGTCTTGTGGAGGATGCCAATCAATCGCCGGAAGAAGGTTGCATTGAGCACCGCATTGGGGTTCGGGGTTTGGTACGTCTCCTTTGATGCCCCTTTTCGAGCACTTAATAAGGGTAAAACTAGATCTGACCATCCGATATGTCTCAGCGCCGGCAGTGTGGCAGTATACAAGGGCACCAGGCTCAAGCCAGCGGGAGACTTCAGTGACTTTACCTGTATGTATATCCGTTCAGCTTCCCGGGTCCCTCACTTACCTGAGTGTTTATTTCAAGTTGATACTGACACCTTAAACCAGACAATGCCGCGGGTCTCGTCATCTGGACCAGCATCGAAGCAAACTCGGTCATCATCTCGGCCTGCATCCCCATGCTGATGCCCATGGCCGAACGCATCTTTGGCGAGAACTTTTTGAGTGGTGGTTACAAGCCCCGAATCCGCACCATCACGACTCTGACGCATCCTGAACGCGAGGATACCTCAAGTAATGCTCACTCGGGGGCAATGGCCTGTGCGAGGGAGCGGGAAGACTGGCACCAACGGGCTCAGAACGCCGGTATGTCGCTTAATAAGGAGTCGGTCCACAGCTCCTTGCGGAGCGAGAAATCAAACGTCTAGACTCTACTAGTCCACCATAAACCAATGGTTTGAATTGGCCTTTTTGTTTGATTTCATATAACTATTAGTTCATATATTTGCAGTCTACTAGTATCAACCCTAGATGCATGTTGAGGCTCACATGCATGTTCCGGGATAACTATCGCTGGCTGAAGGGTCCGCATCAGGCATGCTCTGCCTCCGACCCTGTTAAGATATTCAACTGGAATGATCTCCAAATGACCCCGACCATGAGAAGACGGTCATGGTCACGAACATGAACGGGAAGTCCGCAGTAAATATATTTACAAGACCCGTCTAAGCCTGCAACGACAACCAAGTAGTGCAGAGGTTATAGTAGCCTTGATATCCCGTGAGTCAAAGCCCAAATGAAACTGCATCTCGCCCTTTGGGATTTCCCAATCCTGCGAACCAACATTCCAGTAGCTGACATCGCGGCGCCAACGAGGAAGCTTCACCCTCTTTGCTTCTCCGGGCTCCAGCTCCACCTTTTCAAATCCGCGGAGAGCCTTGACCTGGGTGCCGCTGGGAACGTAGTCTTGGGGAAATGCGACGTAAAGCTGGACGATCTGCGCTCCAGGAACGTCACCCATGTTCTTAACGACGGCGCTAATGGTGGCGACGTATCTCCAGTGGGCGGGGTGACCGCCGACGTGGGCGCCGTTTGTCGGCGGTGGCGAAAATGGAGAGAGGTTGGAGGATTTCTTGTGCAGATTGGCCTCCTTCACCAGCTCGAACGTGGTGTAGCTCATGCCGAAACCGAACTCGTACAGCGGTGTGATGTTCTTCGCATCGAAGTGGCGGTAGTCGATAAGTTGACTCTCGGTAAAATCGGCCTGCCAGGCGGCCGAGTCTGTGGCCTTTTCGCCCGTGATGTTCACAGTGGCAAATCATAGTCGGATGCTGTCTTGAGGATGGTCTAGGGCAACCGGCCAGAAGGGTTCACATCGCCAAAGAGCACGTCCGAGATGGAGTAACCGTTTTCCTGACCGGGATAGTGTGCGGCAAGGATGGCGGCGACATTAGTGTGGTCTGCCCAAGGCATGGTGTTGACGTCTCCCGAATGCGTCACGACAATCGTGTTGGCACAGCGGCGGGCCACGTTTTCCACGACCGTAGTGGAATGCCAGTCATTCTCAAAGGACGAGCAGTCGATGCCCTCCCGCGCCCACGTTTTGAGGAACACCAGACAGCCATCGGCGGTGAGATAGATGGAACTAAAGTCGTCTGTACCCATCATGGCTTTATCCAAGAGCTATTGCAGGCGACCTCCATACCCTTCGACCCCCTCCCGAATCGCCAGGAGTTGTGAACTTAGGCGCGTGTGATGGCCAGCTCCCAGACCCTCCGCCCACGGACAGAGCGCCGATGTTGGGTCCCCAAGGTCCGCTCCCGTCGCCAGTAAAAGTCAGTCCCTGCGACATGTCTGCGGCGTCGTTGCCGAAGACACCGACAAACCCGGGACGACTCAGGGGCCAGCACGCTATTGGTGTTCTTCAAAAGGACCGTTCCGGCTGCGGCAACTTTCCTCACAACCTCGGCGTGGTTGACACTGTTTCGAGCGGGAGGCGGGCAGTTCGGGTCCATTCCCGCGAGAGAGAGGTCTTCCACTGGATAGTCGTAGGTCCTTGCAAAAACATAGCCAGTGGAAGGATCGATCGTGGGGAATTCTTGATCCCGCCGGAGGAAGAGGTAGGGTGCGGGCACACGGCGGGCTATGTCGTCAACCTTGGCCTCGCTCACAGTGCCATTCAGAACAGCCGCCGTCAGATTGACCCTGTTGTAGCTGCACATGACTGACGCGACGCCGGCGCGAACAGCATCGGAAAAAAAGGCCACATTTAGAGCTCGTGCATGGTTCGGCCGTCGATGTTGGAAGAAATGGCGACAATCTCCTGGCCGTTATGGTTGAAGGTGTTGGATCGCTACGTCTCTTGCCCCTTGCCAATGAGATGCTTGGGGGATGCCTGAATGCCCATCTCCTGTATGCCTTTGATGGAGTAGGACATTGCCACGCCGGACAAGTACGGGTCAGGGAAAAAGCTCTCCCAGTTACGGCCGCCCAAGGGGTGACGACCCAGAGCACCAGAAGTAGGGCTGTATACAGTCAAAGGTTAGAACCGCCCTTGTGAATACTCATGTTCTATGCCTACCCGAGATGTACGGATGCACCCTTGCCGCGAAACTCGGCGCGAATCGCTCTTCCACGTTCATGCATAAGGCTGCGATCCCACGTCGCGGCAGCAGTCAAACCGGCCGAGAAGACGGTAGACAAGTCGGTAATGCTTACTGGGCCAAGCATCAGCATCGAGTTACCATTCTTGACAAAGCTGTAAACAAATGTCCCTTACCGGAGACTGGACCGTCAGCAAGACATAACCCCTGAAATTCGATCTCGGGAATCGCGCGGATGTTTCCATTGCAGGATAGGCCATGTACATGGCCTGTCGTCAATGCGGCTTTCTTCGTCAGGTTGAGACGAGCCACAGCCTCCTAGGCCTCCCGGAAAGCCTTGTCCCAGCCGCTTCCGTTGCTCTCAGTTGATTTTATCTGCCAACAACCGAATGTAGGCGGTAGGACAGCGGGGTGAGTCCTTACGGGTGGGAAACACCAGCAACGTTTCAAAATACTCGACTCCATCGGTGACGGTGGCGGCTGCGGAGAGAAGTACCGCCAACAAAACGAGACGCTTGGGGACGTTAACCATCTCGTTGAAGAGGGTTAAGCACGCCGAATAATGGAAAAGGTGTCCCGACTTTGGTGAAGAGTTGCGTCGACGTGCTGCTGTCTGTTGACCTTAAGTAGCCGCGAAACAGAACGATCGGTCGCCCGGTATCACGATCGATACGGACACTCGGACATGATCTCGGCGACTCTTCTGGCCCAGGATTATGGTGTCCTTAGAGCTCCAAGCCATCATGTGGCTATGCGGATAAAGGAATGAGTCGCTGAAATGGACATGTTTTGGCATCTGGGCATCTTGTAAACAAGCACAGAGTCCTGAGCTCAGGACACGGGAGATGCCTTGGTGAGAATGGAAGTCGTGGTGCCAGAGCCGGCACTCGGACAGGACCCGATATAGTACGTCCCTTAAACGAGCTGAGCAAGGTTGAACCCTGCCACACCGCGTGGAGGCCGGGGAGAATTAGGTAGGTCCTGCTTCGCCATTGCCTGGCAGGATCCGCTACCCCTGCGCATTGTGACGTGAGGCGTCTCGTTTTCTCGTTCAAGTTCCCAATTTCCTGATCTCGTTCTGTTATTTTGCTCGTTTCTCGTTTGACTGCTGCTCAACCGGGACTGCTTCACGTTCATTTGCCGGACCCCATCTGATCTGCAAACGTATCGACGATCTGGAAATGAATGGATTCCCGGCTTCCCAATCGCCAATAGCCACCTCTGGAAGCTTACATGGGCCCAGGCGACGCCGCCCCCATCGAAAAACCAAAACCGGTTGCACCGAGTGCCGTCGTCGGCGAGTCAAGGTGAATCTCACGACCTCCATGAATCCAGGGGCTATGCTGATGTTGGCCAGTGCGATGAGCAAAAGCCAAGCTGCCGGGCCTGCGTGCGCCGTGCGGTTCCCTGCAAATACGCGTCAGAGTACCGAGCCATCACGGACGCCGCCGGAGATGTGTCCCCAGGGCTGCCGCTGACGCCCGATACGGCGACATCGCCACTGCCGCATGAGCCAGGGACACAGCAAGAAACGTCCGCCCGCTCTCCTCGGGGTCTCCCGACACCTTCGGATGCGCCATGTTGCGCCCGTCCATGCGCCTTTAGCGTCGACGACCTGGCTCTTCTCCACCACTGGACGTGGTCCACCAGCCTCAGCATCTGCCGCGAATCCAGCTGCGCCGACATCTGGCAACGCGTGTTTCCCGAGGTAGGCTTGCGACATCCATTCGTGTTCCACGCCATCCTGAGCCTGGCTGCCCTTCATCTCGTCCACAGCCACGGGACGAGAGATGGTGGCCAGTATGTGGCCGAGGCTGCCAAGCATCACAACGAGGGGCTCCGAGGCTTCCGCCAGTCGCTAGCCAACATTACCGAGGCGAACAGCGAGGCCCTGTTTGTGTGGTCTCTGCTGAACATGATCTACGTGTTTGGCGTGTTTAGTCGACGCGGCGTGGGCAGCGGCGACGACTGCAGCTCTCCTCCGCGCCATTTGCACAAGGATTTGGTTCTCGGCATCGAATGGATTCCCATGATCCGCGGCATTGAAGCGGTGCTGTACCCGACCCACCATCACCTGCGGCTTGGTCGCATGAACCGCATCTTGAGTCTGGGAAACTGGGACGATCTGGAGCCAGGTCCAGCGGTCGAGTCTCAGGGGCCCGATGGCCATCTATGCGCCACGCGAAAGACGTGGGAGAACAGCAGCGATGCAGAGACATACGACCAGGCCCTTCGGATCCTCCGTAAATGTCGAATGTTCATTCAGCAGTTTGAGACGATGGATGCGGCCACTCTGGCCGATTGGGGCTACAACCGCGCATGGTCTGGGCCCCTGATGTTCGTTCACTTTGCACCACAGTCTTACTTCACTTTGCTACACCAGAGACAGCCTCCCGCACTGGTCTTGTTCGCCTACTTCGGCACCTTGCTGCACGGCATCGGAAGTTTTTGGTTCATGGAGGGCTTGGGAGAGGAGATTGTGAAAGTTGTTGCCGACCTGCTTGGGTCTTACTGGAGACCATGGATTTCCTGGCCAATCGAGTATGTCGGGCTTGACTGATCCTGAACTATCTTCATACTGGCCACAAAAAGGGTCAGAGCGATAACCGAATTTATACCCCAATGTGCTACTAGACAAGGGAAAATCTCCAATCCTGGCCACCCTCCCAGACGCCGCGAGCCTTCTAGAAGTTCCCAACCGACAAACTTCTATACATGCCAGACTTCGCCTAAAGTTCCCCGAGCCTGCTACAGGTTGTCAGGCATCTTCACTCATCAGGACTCGGAATCCAGGGCGCGTATGGTGCCGGTTGTGGGGAGTATTCCCATCTTCCTGTCCAACAATGTCAGCCATTCTACCTTGGGCATGGCTGAGTCGGGTCCAACTAGGGATTAAGAGCGCTGTACCGCGGTAAGAAGGATTTCCAGGGCAGTTAGGAACGGATGAAAAGAGGGCGAGTTTGACATACCATTCCCGATTTTCCTGAGTAAGTAGGTCCGCCACTTCGGATGGATGAATGTAGTTGAAGAGCACCATGACCAGGAACATGAGCACCGCATCGAAGACGTAGAGGTACGCCTCGTGACTGAGAAGGTACCCGTCGAAGCCTTGCAGATACTCGATGGCGCGGAAAACCGAGCGGACCATAATGAGTACGCTGCCGACGCACAGGGCAAACATTTGGCGTCGCCAGACCCGCGAGTGTGTCTGTGACTGCGAGGTCGGCGCCCGCCGGATGGAGAGGATGAAGGCCACAGCAACGACCATGAAAACACCAAAAAATACGAGCTGCACAAACAGGCCCACGATGATGACCGTTGCTCCGTTGTTGAGAGCTTCAAGCGTCCTGCCAACAGAGTCAGAACCTGCAAATTTTCGAGGTTATCGAGGCATCTGGGCCTCGGAATTGTTACATACCCGGTTGCCTGATATCCACCACCTGTCAAGATACGTGGTCAACGCAGTTCTCAGCAATGGGTCTTACACTAGGAGTGCTCACCTCCTGCTTGCAAAAAGAATGACAGCACATCCCCTGTGACAAAGATCTTGGTCAACCACTTCTTCTTGATCAATGCCCGCGACTCGCCATGCAAGAGCAGTATGATCCGGCCGAGCTGCATGTAGATGGTGGCAGCGAACAGAGCCGGCGCGACAAGAAGCAGGATGGCCTGGATGATGTATGGGCCCAGCGTCCAGTTGGGGCTCTCGGCACCTGACTTTGCGCGAGCGGCGTATCCGATAAACTCGACTGCCATGAATGCACTGATTAGCATGTCTTGCTTTGGGCGATCGATGTCCTCAAGTTGAAATGGAAGGTGGATTCCTCACATATACCGCCAATAGCCAGCGGCAGCATGAACCAACATCGAGCCCGAAACAGCTGCCAGAAATGCAGGGCTGTGGTGCCGAGGAACAGTAGAAGCACGACGACGGCGCCGGCAATGCTAGGGTCATAGTGGTAAAGCTTGAACGGATTTACTGGCGGGGCGGCAGCCTCTGCTCTGATGGCGAGGTACATTGGGGCGGTGGCGAGGGGCCTGGAGCACTGGCAGAAAAAAGGCTGATGGGATGAAAAGACTGAGCGGAATCACTGTGTGATTCGAGACCACCTACCGAGCGAGTGAGTGTAAGCATGACCGGGAAAGGCAAGATTAACAAATACTGAGAGGAGGTACTTAACTGACGGGCACTTGCCCGTTACGCGTATCCACTGCGGATGACTTGCTGTCATGCAGACGACTAGAAGGTGGTCGTGTTGCTTCTAGGTAGTCTTGGGAAGTGGGTTACTTGACCAGTACGTCCGGAACTCCGTCTCATCATGCTCAGGGGCAATGCGGTCCATCCCGTCAACAGTTCCACGAACCCAGGGCTATACATCTCTTGGCTACGGTCAAGCCAACATATACATAGCATATGGTAATCGACATCAAACCACGGGGTCTAAAGGACGAACGACGATGGACCGGGCTGGAATAATCCGGACGTGATGAAGCAGAGAGTTCGAGGCAACGTGTGTGATGGGGCCTGGTTCGTTTAGAGTTCGTTCTCAGCGTCGCAGGCCGAACGAGATTTAAGGTACGAAACTGGAGCGAGGGTGTGGGTCACACTTGAACGAGGCCCCGCTTAGGTGCGATCCCGTCGACACTTTTCATTGCATAGATACCTTACGGATACACCCGTGACGGTACCTCAGCCGTGAGCACAACCGATCCGCCCAACACCAACTGATCGCCCCAGGGAGATGGACCACGGGTTTAGCAACCTGATGAGGTGCGACGGAGCGAGAAGAATTGACAGATTGTATTTTTCCCAACATTTTTCTAGATGTACGGCCACATGTATGAAACAGGAGCAGGTCAATCCGTGGATTCCATGGTTGCCCCTCCTGACTCGGCCAGGTTGACATGTGCGGGCATGTCCGCATCGACGAGGCCGTGGAACCCAGGGGTCAGTCGTCCTGCTGGGCTAGCCTTCGCATTTTAGAACCTTTCATATCTCTTCTTTCGCTGCAATCCATCCGTCCCTAGACTACCCCGGGTTAGCTTCCTGCTTATGAGTTCTGACCCCGTGCATCGAATCGCGCCCAATCCGTCCCAACCGCACCTTCGGCCGACAAAGACGTCCTCTCTTCTCGGCGAATCTGAACTCGGCGCCGCTATGGCAGACAAGCGGCGCACCATACGATACGAGCTGTCTGCTGAGAGCGTCCAGTACGAGTTGCCAACCGAACCTGTTGAGGTCCATGTGGCGGGCATGCCGTCCTGGGCCGCCGATGACGGTTGTCAGACGCGATCCGAAAAACCGGGAGACGGCCTTGACCTAGGTCAACATGACAATCATGTCTACGAGCTCATGGGAAGTAGCGTGACAGTAGGCGGTACGTCTGCGGCCGAGCGCTCGTCCTGGCCGGTTGAACTGAAACTCGCTGACCAAACATATGGTGTGAACAGATGATGGGCGGGTCGAGATCGATTGCGAGTCCAAGCTTGCAAGGGCCCTCAGCCTCATGTACAGGCAAAATCCGGGCCTCGGGGAAAAACCAACGGTCGAGGAACCTGAGCCGGAATATGAGCCCGCACCTCCACCATACGAGGAAGCCTCTGGACGCCGGCCGGAGTATCCAAAGCTCAACGTCCTGATTCAAGTAGTCGGTAGCCGGGGGGATGTCCAACCATTCATTGCACTGGGAATCGAGATACAGAGACTTGGCTTCCGGGTCCGTCTCGCTACTCACGATGTGTTCGAGGACTTTGTCCGGAGTTCTGGTCTCGAGTTCTATCCCGTCGGCGGCGATCCAGCGGCACTGATGGCCTACATGGTCAAGAATCCCGGACTATTCCCGAGTTTCCAGAGTCTCCAGGCCGGTGAGATCCAGAAAAAGCGCGACATGGTGGAGGAGATGCTCCAAGGATTTTGGGCTTCTTGTTTGCGCCCTGACACTGTCACCGGAGCCCGGTTCGTGGCCGACGCCATCATCGCCAATCCGCCTGCATTTGCACACGTACACTGCGCCGAGGCCCTCGGTATCCCACTCCACATCATGTTCACCATGCCCTGGACAAGCACAAGCGCATTTCCGCACCCGCTGGCGAATCTCAGTAACAGCAAGGGAAGTCAGCCGATGGCTAATTATGCGTCGTACGCGATAGTTGAGCATCTGACATGGCAGGGGTAAGCTTGAGCCCTATCACGATCCTGGACGGCTGTGTCCTAATAAACATGTTCGCTATATAGCTTGGGCCATATCATTAACAAATGGCGACGGTCACTTGACCTGGAAGCTGTGACCATGTTCGACGGCCCGTTGCTGACGGAAAGGCTTCGCATCCCTCACACGTACTGCTGGTCCCCTGCGCTTGTTTCCAAGCCCGCGGATTGGGGCGCTCATATTGGTAAGAGTGTTTTCCGAAAACTGAAGATCCGCTTGTGACTGTGACAGCCAACACCTATCTTCACAGATGTTTGCGGATTTTTCTTCCGCAACCCACCCTCATACTCGCCTCCTGAAGACCTCGCACGTTTCTTCTCGGCTGGCTCAAAGCCCGTCTATATCGGGTTCGGCAGCATTGTGCTCGACGACCCCCAAGGCACCATCCGAATCATTCTGGATGCTGTTGAACTAGCAGGTGTTCGCGCCATCATCTCCAGGGGATGGAGCCACTTAGCCGGCCCAGCAAGCGAACACATATACTGGATCGGAGACTGTCCTCACGAGTGGCTTTTCGCTCGTGTCGCAGCCGTTGTACATCACGGCGGCGCCGGCACCACGGCCTGCGGTTTGAACAACGGAGTGCCTACCATGATCGTACCTTTTTTTGGGGAGTAAGAAGTCCAAGACCTCCGTGTGTTGAATATCCCCTCGACCATTCTGACTTGAGTTTAGCCAACCCTTCTGGGGCGAGATGGTCGCCAAAGCCGGTGCAGGTCCGAGCCCAGTTCCCTTCAGGCAGCTCACGGCGCGGAAGCTGGCTGATGGCATCGCATACTGTCTGACTTCCGAAGCAAAGTCCGCAGCCCGGTCAATCGGCCAGCAAATGAAGTCGGAGCAAGGTGTCCAAACCGCTGCGCAGTCATGGCTCCGTCAGTTGCCTAGTACACAGCGTTTGCGATGCGACTTGCTGCCGAGCCAACCTGCAGCATGGGTCTACAGGAAAGGGAAGAATCCCGTTAAGATATCCAAGATGGCAGCGGAGGAGCTCGTGTCTGGCAAAGCCGTCAACCAGAAACATCTGGAGCTGTAAGACTACACTAGACGCCAAATATCTTAGACTAAGGTTTCGCTAACATTCAAGCTTCCAGCTACCACACGAAACCGCTATTCATTCAAGTGACTCGGTGGGACCCGATATCCGGCGGCGCCTCCGCCGTCATGGCTACGGCAGTCGACATGACTGACTCCATTACGGGCATTGTGACCAAGCCGGTGGACGAGTGCCGACGCGAACAACGGCGCCGCGAGCGACAGCGAGAGAAGGATCAATCCATACAAAACAGGCACCATGAGCGGCCACCCCAAACAAGCCGCCGCTCCCTGAGCCTCACCACCACCTCATCCCAGACCTCGGTGGCAAGCTTGGCGGCCGACCTCGAAAAACCAAAAAAACAACAGTCCATGGCCGGCACGGCCGCGAAGGCATCAGCCAAGAGCATCGGCATGATCGGGCCGATTGCCGCCAAGGGAATGCTCGTCGACTTCCCGCTGGCCATCACCGAGGGCCTGAGGGCGGTGCCGCAGCACTTTGGGACCAAGACGCGGCCGCACGGCCCCGTCACCGACGCCAAGAGCGGCGCGGCCGTCGCCGGTCAGACGTTTGCGTGGGGTTTTGTCGACGGCCTGAGCGATCTGGTCATGGAGCCAATCCGCGGCGCCAGCAACGGCGGCGGCGCGGTGGGCGTTGTCAAGGGCGTGGGCAAGGGAGCCGTCAGTCTTGTCGCGAAGAGCGGCGCCGGCATGTTCGGCCTGTTTGCTTATCCCACTACGGGAATTGCGAAAAGCATCCGGACGGCGGTTCACCGCGGGACGAGGAAGCTGGTGGCTGAGGCGAAGCACGCCGAGGGACAGTGGCTGTTGGGGAGTGGTGGCTTGCCGACGGGGGTCACCGGGGCGGATTTGGTGGCAAGGTTCCAAGTGCTGCAGAAGGGCAAATAATAACCGATTGTGGGAGAACATGCCTGTTGTAACCCATTCTCTCTTGTTTCTGAATGAGAAGAGGGCTGTGGTGTCTAGGGTCCGGCATCGGCGCGCAAGACGCCGAGCAGCATCCCCCGGTGTAGTGCTGCGCCAGGTGGATTGGATACCCTGCGAACGATATAGACCTTATGCATTCGATTCGGTTGACAATCGCATATCCAGGCTTTGCAGGGAGCTGGATAGTGAGCTTCTTCAGGTTATTTCTTGTTGTGCTCACAGGCAACTTGAAATGGAATCATGACAGAGGAGGGACTGCCAAGTGTATTATATTCAAAAGTCTCACTGTATACGATGATTAAAGTGTGCGCCTTTCCCTCTTTCCGATCCTATAGATAGCTCAGGTAGCGAGCTCACTTTTAGATCTTCTTAGCACAATGAGATTTGGAAGAACGTCGATACAAGTACGGAGCTATGTACCTATCTGTGTTGTAAGTACCAAAAGTGGGCCCGGCTTACCTTATCCGGCCCCTAGGCTCGGCACAGCCTGACCCGCTTCGAGCCTGGTCCAACCGCTGTTACTCACGGATCGCTGCCCGGCTGCAGTGATGATGCCAAGGCGGAATGTGTCCAGGTGCACTTGTCATTGCTTGAGCTTCGATTTGCTGCCACACTCCTCAACCGTTCACTGATTTACCATGATTTCGACCTCCTCGATAACCCAATAAACTGCGCCGCCCTTTTAGCTACAAGCTAATGAGACCGCGACAATGGCCCTCACGCTCTCTCCCGCCAAGCTCGTGCTGCTGGCGGTGCACCTGGCCGTCCACGGCGACATCGACGGCTTGACGACCCTCGCTGCCCGTCACGGTACCGTCCTCCGAAAGGACCTGCTACTGCGCATCCTCCTGACCTACCTACCCGAGGCCGTTCCTTCCAACCAGTACGTCGAATTGATCAGCCAGCTCGAAAACAGCAGCTTTCCAGACACGCCTGACCACGACGTCGATTGCTCGCCCGTCGAGGGCCTTGCCGAGCATGACGCCACAAAGAAGGTCAGGAAGCTCCGCCTGCTTTCATTGGCCTCCCCAGAAATTCCGGACGAGTCTGGCGAAGATGCGCTCTCACTGTTCTTGCTGCGGCGGTCCTACAGGGTGGACGAGGAGGCCGGCTTGCTCGATGAATTGCCCGCCTTGCTGCTGCCGTTCATGAATCATTCGCCATGCATACGGACACTGTTGGTTTCGACAATACTGCCGCTTTTGAGGCGGAACTGCGAGTACTATCCTCAAGAACCCATTTTGTATACCCTCCATGCCTTCCAACAGCTGCCGGACCGCGTTGCCGTGAACCTACTCTTGTCGCGAACGGGCGTTGGCGACGTCGACCTTCCCCTGGTCGGCCGAGACCTGAGGGGCTTGGTTGGCCCATGGCTCTCCGACGAGAGGAGATGGAAGCATGGGAAACCTACGGTGGACTCGCCCGGGGAGCCATTGCCGAGCAAAAGAACGGCTGAACTCTGCCCTGGTTGGGACGAAGTGCTGCGGTGGCTCACCACACAGGCGTCGAGGAACTGGAAGGTAGGCGTCAGCGCAATACTGCAATGGGATGGGCCGGGTGATGTCGACCTTGAAGGCTGGGGATCAGCTGAACTCAGTGACGACCGGCGGCGACACCTGGACCAGAGCTACGCGCGGGCTGCGCTCGCTTCCGCATACCTCATTCCAGAGGCATCACTCGATGCCTTGGAAGGGGCTTACGGCATTACTGTCAAAGTTGCCCAACTCCGTCATCTCGAGCCGCTCTCCCCCCTTGCTTCGGCATCGGCCGTTCTGCCACCCATCGCCGAGCAGATCCCGGGCGACATGGTGTCCGCGAGCAATGCGGTGCACATGCGCAACGAACTCCTCGCCCCCTCAAACCCTCTAACTGCGCCAACCGATGCGTCAATACCATTCCTGCAGGCCTTGATCTTGAGCGCGCATATCCTCACCAAGGCAGGTTGTCCCTGCACCGTCCGGAGAGCCGGCGAGCTTGTGCTCCTCCAAGATGAGCGGGAGCAGACGGCCGAGGCAGCAAAGCTTATTCACTGCATCAGCAACAACGGCCCCAAATCAGATGATAAGTTTTGGCTCAAGGCAAGGAATGAGATATTGTGGCTCAGAGACTGGGGCGCTGAAGATAGCTGGTCATCTGAGGAACTGGCCTGTGGCATCTTCAGCCAGGTGAAACGGGGTTTTCTAGAGGTCGAGTTTTTGAGGGCTCTGCTAGCCAACACTCGTGAGTTTCTTGCCGTCTCGTCTACAAGGGATACTGACCAGCGAAGGCTATGCACTTGCGCGGTCAATATACGAGGATGCGCCGGACCAGCCGCTCGACCGGGAGGCCTTGCAAGACACCATTTACGAGACGGCAATGACCGCCTACGACAATGCCTCCAATCCCAATCGCACCCGCGGCGGCCTCAAGAAGTGCGATGACATGTAGGTCTGTCCAGGTAGTCGACTCCGCGCGTCGGCTCACATTGTTTCCAGAATCAAGGCATTCCCCAAGACAATCCAAAGATCAGATCCCCAAGCCAAGCGGGTCGAAGCTCTCCTGCAAGCAACACACTCACTGAGCGAATACCGTCTCGTCTTCAAACAGGGCGAGCCCTTTACACCCGTCGTCTTACGGGTCCACCCAGACCCGATATCCATCATCGGCAAGATCCTCGAGCAGAATCTCAAGAGCTACACCCATCTCCACGACCTCCTCGTTCTCGGAACGCGCATGGTAGAAGCGGGCCTCACAAACCGCAACAATACCCCGCTCACCCAAGAAGAAGAAACCACCCACCGCTTCACTGCCGAGCGCCGCATCACAGCAATGTGCATTAACGCCGCCCTCCTTGAAGATGACTTCGAAACGGCATACTCCTACGTCGTCAATCGCCTTGCCATCACCACTACCGCCACCATCACCACCATCACCACCACCACCACCACATCTCCCGACGACTACTCGTGGAGAGCTGCCCTCCAAGCAGGCAAATTCCGCCGCACCGCCCACACCCTCACCCCGCACCACCGGAGCGGCGGCGGCGGCAGCCTATCCAGCGCCAACCCAGACGTGCGTCACCTCGAGCAGCGCATCGAGTGCCTCGCCACAGCGCTCCGCGTCGCACCCGCCTCCACGCTGCAGGAGATTGTCAACGCCTTCCGGCGCGCAGAAGAGGAGCTCGAGGTGCTGGTCCGGGAGGAAGAAGAGAGGGAAAACGAGTGGGATGCCAGGGGCGATAACCTGCGCAGCAGCGGCAGCAACAGCACCACTACTACTATCAAGATACCGGGCGGGTTCGCCGTCCCCTCCACTTCCTCCCCCTCAACATCAACACCACTATTATCAGCCCGCCACCACCACATTAAGACAACTTCTGCCTCGGGCAGGAGGACATCAGCAGCAGCAGCAGCAGCCGCAGGCACCAAAAGAGGGGACGCAGACGAGGACGCCGCGCCCATGTCGCTGTTTGACCTCAGCCGCGCGAGCGTGTTGTCTGCGCAGCGGAACCTGTCAGCCTTGTCGGGGCTTCAGCGGTCGGCGGCTGGCTTCGGACGGCTGGCGGGGGTTGGCGGCGGTGGCGGTGGCGGTGATGCCGGTGGTGGTGGCAGTGGTGGGAGGAGCAGCCTGGACATGCCGCCGCTTTCGGCGTCGGGGTCGACGGCGTCTGCTGCTGGGAGCGCGGACGGGAGCGAGGAGGCGGGGACGAACAAGAGGTTGCGCAAGAGGGACCAGTTGAGGGAGGCGGCCGTGGGCACGCTGGTGTCGGGGGTTGGGTGGTTGGTTGGGGCGCCGCCACCTACACAGTCGGGGAGTCAGTGAATGTTGTGCGGTGCCTTGTGTCATGCAATGGCTTGATCTTGTGTAAGGGAAGGTTGGAATTACCATGGTTATACCCATGGTTTAGAAGGAATGACGGTTGTGCGTCACTCAAAGTGCAGAGCACGGAGTGGTTCAAACATGCACCACAATGCGGCAGGTGTGGGGAGAACCAAGGCCGAATCAAACCATTCCACGCTTGCATGTTGCTCCCGTCCCTGAAAGAGTGGTCGAACCCACTCGATGTTGAATTCCCACAACATCTCCCAAACTCCATCCTCTAATTATCCTCTTTGCGTTCCTTGGACCAGTACACTACACCGTGACAAATGCCTCATCTAATGCGGTCTACTCCACAATGTGAAACGCGCGGAAGCAATATCCACCTGGAACCCTCCACCTGGAACCCTCCTTGCTGCTCATCTGTGCCAACTTGACCCAGGTCCCGAAACTCATGACTTGTCGGGGGCATCTTCAATCCGAGTCCGAGTCACCATCCATACCCAGCAACGTCTTGTCAACGTCATCCAGCTCTTCGTCACCGTCACCGTCGCCCTCACCGTCATCAACATCGTCACCCCCCAGGCCAAGTAACTCCTTATCCACCTCATCCAAATCATCCGCATCGTCCATGGGCATGTCACCGTTCGTGTCAGCTTCATGGCGCACGCCGTTCGTCTGCTCGCGCGCTAGCTGGCCGCTGCTATCCGCACGGCGCACGTGATGTATCATGACATCGGTCTCGTCCTCCGTCTCGGCCGGGTCTACCAAGTCCTTAGAAGGCGAGCGCTCGCCGTCCAAGTCACCCTCTTCGTCCTCGTCGGCATGCGGAGCGCCGTTGACTTTGGGTCGCTTGATCGGGCGGATAACGCCCAGCGTCTCGGGATTGTCGTGGTGCTCCCAGCGATCCAGCCGGCGCGCAACGCGGCGGAAAGCCGCGGCGTACGCGCTGGCCTGCTCGCCGAAGTCGTCGGGCTCGTCCCTGAGCTGGGCGAGGCCGCCGTACCCTCTCTCGCGCATGCGCTTGTTGTCCCCACCGGCGACGGGGACATGCTTGCCGTGCGCCACCACCTCGTCCTCGTCACTGTCGTCGAAGGGGTCCTGAATATGCGCGAGTCGTGGTAGGGCGCGGACGATGGAGCCGTCGCCACGCCGAAGCTTGCGCGAACGGTGGTGGCTCCGGCGAATGCCGCGGTCAAGAATGTACTCGACCCGCTGTGTACGATTGCGTTCGACGGCGATTTGGTGGGCCGTCGGCGGGCGGGGCTTCCGTGTCACGACGCCCTCGACCATCCTGTCGGCGCCGGGAGAGGAACCATCAAAGACTTGGTATTTTAGCGAGTGCGGCCCCCGGCGAGCTATGCTTCCGAAAAGGCTGCTCTGCCGCCCAAGGGCACGAGGTGGTGGCGTCGACCTCACGCTGTCAAGGTCGCTGTCGTGCTTGGAGGGGCGGATCCGCGGGAGAATTCCTGTCGTTGGGCCGATCTCATCGCCTGCTGGGAATGCCCGGTTGCGGCCGCCTTTCTTGGTCTGGCTCTCGGCCATGAACTGCTGGTCCGCCTCGATGATTTTGGCACGCATCTTCTGCTTGGCGAAACCAAAGTCAATCTCCTCTTGGGTGTCGACGTTCTCCTGTTCCTCTTCCTCTTCGGTCAATAACTGCAAGCGAGGGACGCCCTGATTAGCGACGTCCACGCCGTAGTCGACACCGGGCCCGAAAGGGTTCTCTTCGCAGCCCTCTTCCGTAAAATCGGACTCGAGATAGAACCACATGAGCCAGAGAAAGGCACGGGCACGGCTCTCACTGCTGAAGTTCGTCTTCATGATGAGGTCGTGGAACTCATGACCAGGAGGGAAATGCAATTCGGCGATTTTGGCGGCCGATTGGCAGATAAGGAAGAGCAGGTTGACGGGATTCGTCCGTGGGACGTCCAGGCTTTTGACTTCGTCGAGCGTGGCGGGCTCTGGCCGGTCATCGGAGCCGCCCTTCAAAATGGACTTCAATCTCGGAGCGTCTTGTAATTGCTTGTAGGCATGGGGGTCTTGACGAGCTTGCAGGCAGGGTATAGCGTGATAGGTGCGAAGTTGGGCCCGCATTTCTGGGAAGACTGAGCAGCGAGGTCAGCATTAGCATCGCCGAGAAGCAGGAATGGGCCGAGACATACAATTGAGCGTGGTGTTCATGCGGCCAATGTTGACCAGGAGGCAGACCATTGCCATCCCTTTCGCCGCCTCTCGATCGCTAAGCAGCTTGTCTCGAAGGACCTTGCTCGTCTTACTACTCCTCGACATGGTGTCGATGTACAGGTCGGCGAAGCACTGCTTGCCCAGGCGGTCCTTTTCGTAGCTGTTGGTGAAGACCTTTTGGTCATTGTCGAAGACGGCCCTGAGGAAGTCGAATTGGATATCCTTGCGCCAAAGGGGCTCGCCGTCTTCTTTTTTGAGATGCCTGATCTTGCCGATCGGGTTGCCGGTTGTGCCGCCTGCATCGTCGCGGCCGCGCTTCTTGCCGCGAGGCTGTCTCTCGGAAGGCTCAGGTGTCGCCCTCATCCTCGTGTCGTCGTCCTCAGTGACGGCTGTCATGAAAGACTTGTCCATGTGAATTGGCGAGCTGGGCGGTTCGATGTCAGACATCAGAGCCACCGAGTTGGGTGTTGCAGCCATGACGACGGGGGAGAGGGGACGGGAATGCCCCAGATCGAGGCTCGTTGGGTGCGAGGTTAGTCCGGTTTTACGGTTTCGCGATTGCTTCCGAGACCGCTAACGTTCGTCCAGAGTCTTGCGCCACCTGTGGTCGGGCAAACGGTGCAGGCAGCAAGCGCGCAACAAAGAAAGTAATTAAATTCCTGTGATGTTCGGGATGAAGATAGGGGATGAAAAAGAAGGGTTTGGCACGGAGATTGATGCGACTTAAAGGTCAGATGGCAGGTTAATCACAGTTTGGTGGGAAAGGGATTTTTGTTTGGGGATGCAAGGCGTGGATGCCTGCCGCAGCTTGGCTCACACTGCGAAGACATCACGTTCAGGAACTGTCGCCAGGCTCATTAAATAATCCTCGTTTGGCGATCAGGACGAGACTCGCAGGTGACGCGGGAGTGGTGCAAGGGGCCAGCTAGGCCGACAAGGATGGATTGACTGAATTCTGGGGGGGCTCCATTGCATGGCCGGCCTATGCGGGATATGCGTTTAAGGGGTCGTTAGTTACCTGGCTTTCTGGCCACTTAGGAGCAAGCCTAACCTCCAGTGCACCTGTAAGTTAAGGTATAGGTTACAGACTCCCTGAAATTACTGGTACCATACCTATCGTAACCGACCTGAGAAGGTACCAAAAGTAAGGGATAAGAAGCCTCCGGCCACCCCACATTTTCCCAGCCACCAACGTTATATACACTAGTTACGCATCCGTACATCTGCCAATATCTTACAGGAAAGGTTTGCAGCAAACCTGATAGTATTAGGTAGATCGTTTTTGAAGAACATCTCCTATATCCTTTGTGTGGCACAGCAACGAATGACCTGGACCCAGCACAAATTCTTCACAATGACTGAGGTTGCAAAAATCCCCGTAATCGACCTTGCTGGCGACAGAAACCAGACCCAAGTGGCCAAGGACCTGGTTGAAGCTGCCATCGAACATGGCTTTGTCTACATCAAGAATACTGGCAGGGACATTCCCGTCGAGGCTATAGATAAGGCCTTTGAGATGGTAATGGAACGCCCCTGAGTGCTGAACTTGCATGTTGGATCACTCATTCACCATCGCGCAGTGCAAACGACTTTTTGATGCACCAGTTGACGAGAAGGAGGCGTGCAAAATACAGCACAACAATCGAGGCGTAGGCGACACAGAATCCGCCTGTCATAGGAACTCCTGGGGGTGATTATCTCACATCTTATCCCAGTGGTCTGCAATGAATTATGAGACACTCGACCCGGCAAACCAGCGTGTAAGTCTGTGTCTCGCATTGTGTCGCCCCTCACGCTCGTTAATTCCTCGCAGGTTGGTGACTTCAAGGAGTATGCATTGCCCATTCATAGTCTTGCCTTGGTCCTCTCATTCACACACAACGTGAACCGCCCAGATCCTTTAACTTTGGCGACTTCGCGGACGGCAAGGCCCAACAACCCATTCCCCCCACCATCGTCGCCGACGAGCCGCAGATCAGCGCCTTTCGCGACCTCTGCTACAACCTCTCCCTGAAGCTGAACACCCTACTAGGCATCGGTCTTGAGGTATCCCCATCCCCTTCCCCCTTGCCCCAATCTCCCTAATCACACACCAGCTGCCTCCTAACCACACCCCTTTTCCAACGTGAAAACCAGGTCACGCCCCCGGACTTCTTCACCACAGCCCACCTCCGCTCGCGCGGCCCCTCCGGCACGATTCTGCGCTTCCTGCGCTACCCGCCCCGCAGCGCCCTCGGCCAACCCACAACATCCAACGACGTGCGCGCGGGCGCCCACTCCGACTACGGGTCCTTGACGCTGCTCTTCCGCCTGCGCGGCCAGCCGGGGCTGGAGATCCTCCTGCGCGACGGCAAGACCTGGTCGCCCGTCCCCGTTGTCCCGCCGGGCACCGAGGACGACCCGGCGCCGCCCATCCTGATGAACATTGGCGATCTGCTGAGTTATTGGACGAACGGGCTGTTGCGGAGTACCGTGCATAGGGTCGTCTTCCCCTCTTCAGGAGCTGGAGCTGGAGCTGGAGCAGCTGGAGGCGGGTTGGTGGAAGGGGAGACGGACCTTGACGGTATGCGGTACTCGATTGCATATTTCTGTCATCCGTTTGGCGGGGCTGAGTTGGGGTCTGTGCCGAGTGAGAGGGTGAAGGCGTATAAGGGGGGTCTGGCGGAGGGGAATCCGTATGCTGAGAGGAAGGTGTTGACGGCGGACGAGCATCTGAAGATGAGGTATGTTGGAGGTTCGCCTGCCACATGTATATTGTGCGCTGGGTTGCTGACTGGCTTGCAGGTTGAAGGCCAGCTATGCGCAGTTGTACAAGGAGGAGTGATGCTATGCGAGGATGGCAAGAGCCAGGCATCCCTAAGATCCTTGGGTGGATTTTGCACGGAAAGCGAATAGTTGCAGCGCTCTGTCGCACACCGGCAATCGTCGCAATGGCTTCCGCCACTGATGCCCGGGGAGTTAAAGCATGTTGACTCCCATGGCGCGGGTTCGCAGGTAGCTGTGCGCAGTCGAAGTGACAAGTAGTAATTTCCTTCCCCGAATGCTCGCAAGCTCTATTCCGACAACTCATACGGGCCAGGCCACCTCTTTGGGTATACTCGCCGCCGTGAGATCTAAATACTCTTCCCTGCCAGCCGGGTAACGCCTGCTGATGCAAAATACGGATGTCTCATCGATGACGGACGCCCTCAGGTTCCCTTCAGCCAGACACCTCTGCCATCTTCTCGTCCCTCTCTTTTCTTCGTGCCTTCCTGCTACTGGCCCCTTGCTGCTGCTGCTGCAACTGCTCCCGCCTCTCTTGCTTCCTCGCTGCCCTGTCCATAGCACCAATTACCTTCTGCTCCTTGCCAACAGGGAACTTAACCGCGGCCGCGGCCTCGTCCTCCTCTGTCCACTCCCTGGGCAGGACGGCAAAGACTAGGTACGACGTATGCGTCTTGATCTCGGGTTCGCCACGCGTAATGAGCCGCCCTTCCATCCACGGCGCCGTTCCGGATGTCGCTTCGGCTGGAGTACCCCCATTGGTTGCTGCACTGTTCTGTCCGGCAGGTTCGGCAGCCTCATCGGCCGAGTCCATCTCCTCATCGCCATCCCGGGGTTTTGCTGCGTGTTCGCGGAAGCGTGCCTCTATCTCGGCCAGCCTGGTGATTGCCTCCTCGACATCGTGCGCCGAGTTGTTGACACCGCGGTCAAAGTTGAGGTTCAAGCCGACGCGCTCCCGAGAGGTATGCAACTTCCGGTTGGCAATCTCGACCATATCGATGTCTACCCACCCGAGCCGACGCATGGCCGACACGGTCCGGGTGACTTGCTCGATGCATGGCGAGAAGGTGCACAGGTAGACGCTCTTGTTCGGGTTGAGCGGAGACACCCAGTCGGTCTGTTCGTTTCCGGTAGCGCTCCCATTTACGTGGGACGAAGCGGGCCTCCGCCGCGACAGATGCGGCAGGGCTTCCCAGGGCGCAGGGAGGTCGAGGAAGACGGCATCTGCCTCGGGACTTTTCCCATCAACTGCGAATCCACCATTGTAAACATCACGGTGCGTCAGCTGCACGAGTTCATCCAAACCGTGGTCGGACAGCTCCTGCTTCATCTTGTGATAGCGCTGCTCGTGGAACTCAAAGCTAAAGACCTTGCCCTTGCGCTCTCCTTCGGCCGGGTACCCATTGTAGACTGCCCGGACCGCCGCATGGGTGAAACTCCCACTGCCGGCGCCCGCCTCAATCAATACTGAGCCAGGCCGGGCCCGTATCCTGTGCAGGATGTAGCTGTAGTCGGGCGTGTAGACAACTTGAGTCCGGTGGGGCAGACTGGTGGTCCAGAGCTCGGGAGTCGGTGGTAGGACGTGGATGAAGCCGCTCGTGTCGGCCACAGCTTGCTTAACGGCTGCAGCGCTGTCTCCCGTTACAGCGGTGGCCAAGTCTTCGTTGTCCTTTTCGCTGGCGCCTGTGGCTTCCCGAAAGGCATCGTCGCCGTCTTCGCGCTTCCTCTTGCGGCCCCTCGATCCTGTGTCAACCTTGGAAGCTCGGATCTGAGAACCCCAGGGGACATTCAACATCGTCGAGTGGGGGAACGAGCCATAACGGGTGTTGACAACGGCGCCCTCGGCGTAGCCATCGTGCTCTCCCGTTAGTGGTTTGAGGTAGACGGGCAAAAGGTTGTCGCGCGACAGCTGGAGGATCGCGAGCGAGTTGGCTTTCGTGTGCGGACCCGGGTCCAAGAAAGGGGATACCCCGTTTCTCGTTGTCGCCGTCATGCCTCGGTTGTTTCTCAAGAAAAGGTGTCGTTGCTGCGCGTCAAGGCGATGGACGAAAGATAAACAGAGCTTTGAAAACTGCTGAGCCACTGAAGGTGTGGGAAAAAGTGGGCCTCCTGCCCCAGGACCCTTAAGTCTTCATCTTCAAGTTCAAGCTTTCCAAATCTGGCCCCCTGCTTGTCCTCCTCCTTTTTCTGCCTTGTTTTCATGTATCATTATTCTTTTTTAGCTTGATACCTTAACTCTGGTACGCCGTATATTGATGCATTTGAATTGAAACCCTCATGAACTGATGACACCGCCAGAATTTCATGCCCTTTCGCCATATAAGATACCGTAACAAATTGGTTCGCTTTCTTGTCTCCGTTTTTCTCTTTACTCTCTATTTTATTGTCATTACCCTTTTTCCTTACCTCCATTCAGTCTCTCTTCGTTCTCTCGTTCTCTTAGGAGGATTAGTTTCAAAACCTTGTAAGAATAAGAAGGGTGTTAAGGTAGGCAGCTGAAGCTGGCGTGGCGCTGTTAGCCCATAGACCCTCTCAGGAGGCAGCTGCACGCCGCGCCCTATGCCTCACGTGGCGTCGGACCTGGCGGTTTCCGAACAGCTATAGTAGTAAACTTGACTAGCGCACAAGCATGATGCACAAGCAAGACGTACTCACAACTATGAACTCGCGGGCAAAACCTCGAGCCCCAACAGCCGCTACTGCTGCTGCATCGTCGGTCGCGCAGTGGAAGGGCAGCGAGAGATGTGAGGGAAGGAATTGGCGTTGACGGGATTGGCAACGAGGACGAGAGTAACTCCAACAGCAGCAGCTTCCGTAAGGATGTTTAACTTTTCCTCGCATCTTGCCCCTTGGGTCCTTTTGTGTAACTAATCGGCTTTGATCACCATTCGTCACAAGCGAACAGGGGATCACGACCATGGCGAGAGGACCTGTCTATGTCACCATCGTATTCATGCGAAACCTTAATCCTGGGCAACTGGGTACTGATATTTTCGGATAATCAGAAGGTCCTTGTGTTTGCTTGAAAATGCGAGGCAAGAGTCGGGATCCCAAAACGAGGGGCCAACAACCGGGCCTTCTATGCGGCGTGGGAATCATCCATTTCCAAGTCGTTCATAATCCATATCGTCCTCGGGGTCGTTCTCGACGTTCGCATCGTGCCCGAGTTCAGCTTCTGCCAGCTTCTCTATGCCACGGTGACGCGCCACTCGGAAGAGATCATCTATCATTCGTGGATGGGTCAGTCTGAGGAAGACAGAAACATAGGATAACAGGAATTAAGGACTCACCGATGCCCATCGGCAGCCGGATGGTTCCCGAGGCATCCAGGGCCGCAAGGGCGTCCTTGAGCCATGTCTTACAGTTGAACGTCTCCCCAGTCCACTGAGATGGGCGACTATCAGCCGGAATGCTCTGGATGACTTGGATAACGACGCTAACGGTTCCACTCAGACTGCTCATCCGAATCAGAGTGACCGACGCTTTTGACGGGTTGCTCTCAGCAATTGAGTTCGTGGTCTGGGAGGTCGACTGGGAGGGGAAAGAAAGGAAAATAGTGGGATAAAGTGGAAGCAGGCATGTGTGAATGTAAATAGTGAAGTCATGGTCGGCATCTCGGGATGAAGTCCTCTACCCATCTTCCAGGTTCAATAAGGAGGTGGGAAGGAATGCTTGGTTGACGCGGTGGTTGCATAATAACTCCCTCGCACTAACAGTGGGATGATGGCAACAAGCGAGCATCCAGACTCACTGCTGGATACATTGTCTCTATCCTTGAAACTGGTCCAAGTCGTCGAGCATAATAGAGTATGCAGCCTCGCAGAAGAGGCATTGGCTTACATCGCTGTATTCGGAGGACTAGGGCGGTCTTCTGCCAAGCCCTTACCCCACAGATTCCACCAGTTCTTGGCAAAGCTTAATTTCTCATAGGGTTGAAGGCCAACTACATAGTTGTACCCTTGCCTTTGCCAATGGACAGGAGAAACCGCAGTTCTTGCTTGGCACCTGCTCTCAACTCTTCAAAACTCTCCGCTCTCTCAAATGATTTCACAATTGTCTTGCTGTAAAGCCGGATTTTTTCTACCTCTATTCCGACGTGAATCATCACGCTGCCCAAGTCTGCCAACAATGACAGTCCCGTCGGCAAATGTCGAGTTGGCGTTGGACAGCCATCAGAGACGCCGGCTTGCCTCACCCGGACGGAGAATTACTCGAGAGCTTCACCGATCAAGCTATTGATTCTGAGCGAGCCGCGAGCTACTTCTTGCAGAGATGGCCCTCCTACAAGCGCATCGCCGGGCTGACCGCTTTCTTCTCGGAATGGATCGAGTTGATCTCAAATTCTAAGCCCTACTCGTCCATCACTCAGTGTTCCGGCTAATATTTTAAAGTTGATTCGATAGTATCGGCCCCGTATGCGACAGGTCCATTGTCCGCAATATCACAAGGCGGGACGGCGCCAAACGTTGCATTTCGGGCCTGACCGGTTCGCTCTTCATCCGCTCATCGTCGTCCGGATATTCCCTGAGACTGCAAAGCAACTGATTTCAGTGAGTACTTCAAACTCATCGGCGCCTGATGTGTATGTGTTCTTTTTTTTGTGTGGATAAGATTCACTACCAGGCCTTGCGCGAGATGCTGGGGTCCTTCTTCTCTCCCCTCCCTTACAGAATTCGCCCTGAGCGCCGAGACTGGAAAACATCCCCCAAAACCTCCAGCTGGTCCATGAGCCTGTGGCAGAGGTATTTGCGCAGGGCTACTTTTGTCTTCGGTTCACAAAAAGCCAAAACGTACGTGACTAATGCTCCTTTCTGGACAAGATCTGTACTAACAGCCGATCTAGCACCGCGTTCATATCAAGAAAGTTTGGTGGGCCGACGCCGCCCAACATCATGAACGAGGTCCGACCACTTCGGAAGGGATCATTTGCCGACCACTCGGCTTCAGGCATGGCCACACCAGCTCGCCCAGCGCTCCAGATCTTGGGCTGTTCTCTAAATCGATACGCTGGACCTAGGTCGCTCGAGAAATAGCACAACGGATCCGCCCTCCCATCTTCAACAGGAGCCAGCCGCATCAGAAGGGATTTCCTCGAGCACCCTTCTATTGGCGTCGCCATCCTAGCCCGCTCATCGCCACAGTGCGTGGCCCGCTTATCCAAACTGATGCCATGGGTTAAAATCCTTCGAAGCCTCTCCCAGGAGGTTCGTAACATAGCCAGCCTCGCCATCTCTCCCTTGAGCTTTGTCTTGAAGCCCCACACTGCCGTTCTGGCTTCTGTCTGGCACTGTGTACCACCTACTCTCCGGGTCCGAGCCTACCGCGGTTTGACGTGCCTTGGAGATCGTCTCTGGGGCCCAACCTGCAGTTTGAGCGTTCAGCAACTCCCATTCGGATTATATCTGAAGACGAGGAGTGTCGCATGCCACCGCCGTCTGGAAAATGAGTTCGGTGCCTTGGAGCTGGTGAAACTCCATACGGATGTCGTCGTCCCTCGCATCCCTCGCATCTCTGACGGCAAGATTTCCTACCTGCTCACGTCAGCCGTACCCGAGTACCATGTTGGCTTGTGCATCGAAGCCAAGAGTGATGAGGAAGTTGCCAATCTGATTCGGAGTTTGCGGACGTGGCTAGTACAGCTATGATCCATTCCCGAACGGTTGCGCCAGCCTACGAAATCACGAAGGCTGTTGGGGGTGGCGTCTATGACGGCAGAATCATCAATGCTGATTACGACGAAGCCCGTGGCGACGTTTTCGGTCCATTCAAAGATGAGGACGACTTCAACAACACACTGCGCTGTGGCGCCTTGCCTGATGTTGTCCATCGCAGTGGGCATAGGATTGTCTTCACCCGCGGGTGATTGGAACATGAGGAACATCATGGTCAAAGAAGGCAAGCTCTCTGGCATCGTTGACTGGGAGACCGCGGGATGGTATTCAGAATACTGGGACTATACCAAAGCTCGCTGGGTCACAAACTCTAACCGCCGGTGGATCAAGATTGTCGACAACGTTTTCAAGGAGCTGGGGGATTATCAAGAGGATCTTGCTACTGAGAAGAATTTTGGCAGTACGTCTTCTGAGCTTTTCACCCCGCAAATGGCCCAGGGAGTAGGGATGCTGCAGGCCCGTACCACCGGCCTTCCCAGCACGGAACAGCTTGAGGTTTTCATGATTCCGAGCAAGCGAGTCACCGGACTCCGCCCATCCATGTCCTGTTATGGCTCTACACATTTATTACTTTAGCCAGAATCTCCCCGGCAGTGGGAACAAGAACATGATGTATGATACATGTAAGGAAAACAGGTTCTGACGACATTGTATGTACAAATACAACTACGACCCTTGGCGCAGAGAAGAGCACTCACACACCCCCATGCTTATGACACGACCTATTAGTGCGGGAAGCTCTTGGCTGAGGTCACCGGGAGTAACTCCTCGCAAAGGATCATCACGCCTGACGACGGGTACCACCACTTTACCCCCGAGGACGATCCTGTCATGTCCCAGAGAACACAACATCCGGTCTATCGGGACCGACATGGCGCATGAGCGGGATGAACTCGTCCTCGTCGTAGGCGCACAGCGCGACCGCGAGCCTGTGGCCTGGCTCAACGCGAAGATCATGGAGGTTGGCGGCATGGGGGTCTTGACATCGTAGTACTGGTTCTTGCCGACCGGCGCCAACCTCATCTGCTCCGGGACAGGCCGGTTGGGCGTCGACTTGCTGCTGCTGCTGCTGCTGCTACTAACGGAAAGCGTCCGGTGGGACAGACGGAACCAGGTCCGGACAAAGGACATGGCGGGCTCGTCGTGGTTGAGGCGGAATACGAGTTTTGTTGCCCTGCGGGTCAATGACACAAAAGTAGATGAAGAGCTCCCATGTCCTTTGCGTCGGTCGAGACGATCAACTCCGGGTACGGTCGTACGGATACCCTAAGAGTGATTAGAACTTCGAAGGCCTCCTTCATGGGCGGCGCCTGGAAAAAGTCTTGCCCGTTAGTCTGGCGTAGAAGGCGGCGTCGGAGGAGGAGAAAGCCGTTTACCACTTGAACGAGAGAGTCTCGTCTGGAGCTAGGAAGAGGGTTTCTTCTGGCTTGGGGGCCCACGCAGAGAACAGACGTGGGGTGGTAGCAGCAAGGCTACGGCGGTGACTTAACGCTTGAGGGTTGATTCTCTACCCTGTCTGACCGTCGAACTTAGGGTAGTAGAGACAAGTTCTTGATCTGAGTGACGGGTAAATTTGCTAGAATACAAACGGGTGGTCACGGACTTCAACTAGAATGTTCCGCGTGTCTTCCAAAATAAGCAGCAGATCTGCTAAGCGCTAGCAGTCCCGTCAACGCTTTCCTCGTCAAGAACAGCCTCAGCCTTGATTAGAAACGGAACAATAGACCCCGGCGCGGACTTGACCGTGGGATGGCCGATCAGATGACACAACACCTCAAACGTCCCACAGTGGGCGGTGACCGAGATGATGGGCACAACGTCGTGCGAGAACACGTCATCCAGGAAGGCCTCGACCCGATCCGCATGTTCCTCCGGCGTCTCACGCACATCAAGACACCACAGCTCATCCTCCTCTGCAAAGCCGGGCTCGAGCGAGAATTGCGGAAAGTTGGTTCGTATCCAAGACCGGGTGTGACGGCGGTCGCACGTATGGATTCCCAGTCGCTCCCGAAGGAGCTCCTTGACGCGAGGTTCGAATGGCGGTACCTCGCCGGCGGCGCATGGCAGCTTTAGGTCTGCAAAAGCTCTCTCGCAGGTCTCCAGGCAGCGGGCAAGGGGGCTTGCGTAGTGCCGGTAGGGCAATGGTAGTTTTAGGTTGACGGCGGCGTCTGCCCAGAAGGCTTTCATGTCCTCGGCCTGGCGTATGCCGACTGCGGTCAGACGAGCGTCTGCCCAGGTCATATTCTCGTTGCCAACTAGTTTTGCCCAGTGTGACTGCTCGGAACGGATGGATGATATTAGCATATCGTAAGGTAGTTAATCAAGCACTGGCACTGAAGTTACGGAAAGAGACTGTACCTCCCACAAAACCGTCCCGATCTCTGCCTCCATGACGTTGTGGTAGCCCTGGCCGTGACGAGCCGCATATAGAAGCTTGTACACAGCCCGGCTGCCTGGCCTGTTCAAATGGTCAAGGTAGCGCGCGAACCGCTCCCAGGCTGCCTTCTGGCGCTGGGGATCGAATTTACCATCCGTCTCATATACCCGGTCGATCAACCCAAGCCCTGGTAAGGTTGTCTGTCATGGACGTCAGCGAAACCCGGCGGGCGGTTGTGGACGAGCAGTGAGAACTCACGGCCAGAAATGGCGGGCCTGGTTGCGTATCGTGCTCGAAGAACCCCGTGACGGCCGTGTATTTCAACTTTGATTTCCTTAAGGTCATGGTTTGAAGTCTGGGACAGAGCAAACTGCGGAACAACGGAACTGTGGCAGCCACGTCAGGCTAGACTGTACAGGGCGGTGAGCGTCCTCCAAGTCTTGCATGAGAAAGAGTCCTCAATGCGTGGTGCGGGGACGTTGCGCATTTTGAAGTCGAAGTCCGAGACACTCACTGCAGCTCTTGGCATCCCAAATCGGACTTTCAAAGATATGAATCGTCAATCCTCCACGGTGATGTGTGATTGATCTCTGAGAAGCTTGGCCTCTCAGACTTGCATATCGAGGAAGGTACAGTGGGGGTCCAAAAGTCTGCGAGACCCCGCATCAACCATACCCGCCACACATTTTTTGACATCATGACCAAGATACCTATCTTGCGTAGCGTTCCACCACCTTAATTTCTAGCAATACAAATATACACAGTTTGAAGCCCTGGTCCCAGCCATCAATATTTTGTATACCAACCCCTGGCTTTCTTGACTGGAGCCAATCGCCGGGGCATCGAGTCGATCAGCCTGTCAATCTGAGCTTGGTCAATCGACCACCAACAACGCCGAAGACATCGGGTAAACTCAGCAACATCCAGCTGGTTTTTCTTGAGGGACCAGATATGTTGATATTCCTGCTTCATTTTCCGTTTCAACAGAGCCCACATATGCTCAATTGGGTTAAGATCTGGGCTGTGAGCAGGCCAGTCTTCGAGGACCTCAATTGCGGAGTTCAGGAGCCACTCGGTCGAGGATGCTGAAGTGTGCACCCGAGCATTATCCTGCTGAAAGTGCGGGTTCTGAACCTGTACCTCCCTCAACACTAACCCTGCATTTCCGTTAAGAGCTCATCCACCCACATGAAAAGGCGGATTAAGTACCGTTCTTCTCGGAGTTTTCGCCACCTCTTAAGATCGCGCCTAGCATTCTCGTCCCAGTAGAGCTCGAAGTAGCCTTTGAATACGTCGATTTTAAAGGCCTCGTCCAAAGCTCAGAACAGGAGCCTTCGTATAGTAGTAGAGGCCTATAAAACGGCCCCTACTAGGTGCTTAGAAACAGAGGCCTGAGTGCCACTGATGAACCTCTACCTCAACAAACGGTTGGCTGACTTTAAGGAACGGCTATACAAAAAGGCCCTATAAATAGGAGTTGGGCTAGGGGAGGGAGGAACTACTATAGGGCACTTGATTATAGAGGCTTACAACAGAGTCTACTATAAGTTTAGAAGGTAAACTCCGTATTAGCGTCGGTTGAGAACTTCGGGTTGAATGTCTTTACCAGAACCTTTGTCGAAGAGTTTGAAGTGGGACCTGGAATACCATCAACATTTCGAGCCCACAATGAAATGCCTCGTACGGTCAACTTCAACTTGGTAAAGCTGTGCAACCCGGATGGGCCTTCTGAATGGGACGAGATGTCACGGGTGGGCGCAACTGACCACTGCGTAACACCCTCAAAAGAGGGACCGTGGTTCGAACTGTCCAGTCGAACCAGGAGTTGCGCACATGAACCTCACACTGTCACGACCCGTGACACGAGACATCCAATATCTGTATGTAATCAGCTGATGAATTAGGACCGCCGGGGTCCTGAGTCTTACCACTGACTTCATAATGGCGTGGATCAACTATCACTGATCCATCCAGGCTCACCCAAGACCATGTAGGACCCAGGAGTGTTGCTATCCTGGAGCAATTGGCGAAATCCGAACACCAGCAAAGCTGTCGTTGGAGATCGCTTTGCCAGAGCCCAGCGAGGTATACGTCGTTCGTGGCATTCCTCATCTCTGCGGCCAAGCCGGGAAGAGCAATCAGGTTGTCGGACTGACTGCAACGCGAGTAATACTGGATCAGTCGGGCCATTCTTTGCGAGAGTCTCCCCCGGCTGTGCAGTTGAGGCGTGGCTTGGTGGGGAAAAACCTGGAAACGCAGACCAGGCTCTCCGTTGGAATCCCGGTGGGAAGATGCTCCGAAGTAACAAGTTCTGGGCATTCCCAGTATACCTCGCTGCGGGCGAAATTGACTTGTTTCCTGGCAGTATATCGCTCCTGGACAACCCAGCACCGCGAGTCCAGAGGAGCCTGGACCACATCCTCGCTTTAACGAGATTCATATTCGATTCAATACATGGTCAGTCCTTCGTAATCGCCGTTGATGGAATCCAAGACGATCGTTGTAGGCTTCGTGATCTATTCCTCCCTCAGCGCGAAGCAGCCACCATTGTCATCCGAGGCCTATGTCGCGGCGGTGTTGCATTCTGAACATTTGTAGATGGTCCACATCATCGAAAATCGGGCTCGCCGGTCATTGTTATTATCCTGAATGATGCATGAAGAGTCGACCTAAGGTATCGGAATCCGAGCGACAATGTTATGTCCAAGGCGTCTCGGTAGGTCTTCAGGAGCTGCGAACTGGAGGATGGCCGTAAGAAGTCCAGGTATTTCTCAGTCGAGACGTAAGGTTGGAAAGATCCCCAGCAGTGGCTCAGGGTAAGATAAGGGATGTCGCCATATGTCTTCGCGCAGAGCAAGCCGCCAGCGGATGTCCGTTTCACTCCGGTCGCCCAGGATCTCGATGAGGCTGTTGAGAGGGAATTGTGGCAGTTTAGCTCCCAGTTCCCGACAATAGTCATGGGGCTCCGAGCAGTCCCGCAACCAATGCGCCCACAACTTCGCTGATGCAGCCGTTGAGATTCAGGTATCGGTATCGTCGATTGTTCTGTCCGGGCCGAGGGAGGCGTATACGTTTGCCACATCCTCTGGATTCGGGTTGAGTATGAATCTGCCAGTGAACCCCGTGAGCCCTGCTATGGATCCTGTAAGCAGGAGCTGTATCTTGATCGAACCCGATTTTCCCCGTACGCCCCAGCCCCAATACTGGTTGAATGAGACCTCGAACTGGAGCGGTAGGTTTTCGCTGAGGCATCAATCTCCAGACACCGAGTTGTGGCCTTGCGGGCCTGCTGCGTGTGTCCAGACCGTCCGAATATGTAGCATCCCGCGACAACGCCTCTGCCTAACTCGTCTGGTGTATCGTAGAGCTTGTAGCGACGGTACTCTATTCTCTCCTGGTCCCAACCCGGCCCTTTATCCACGGCATCGCTGATCCGATCCCGGCAAATTTCGCACAGCAAGGTGGGGCAGAATAAGCCAAGTTCATTGCATACGGGAAGTTTTGGGTGTTTCAGAGATCTTGCTGCTGCCTGATAAGGCGGTCGTCGTCTCGTGACCCAGTTCCGGGAAGGTACGTCAGACCAATGATCAAACAACCCGGGGCCGCGCACTCATGATGTCTGCACATCCCTCTCCTTGGAGCCCAGTTTGGCCGCACGTGGGGAAGGTACCAGTACAGCTGAGTTCCCTACCAAGCTACTCTGAGTAACTGCACAGATCACAACGGACTCAGAGTAAGTTGTGGCAAAATGATTTGGCATTTTTTGTTCCTACTATCAGAAAGTAGAACCAAGCAAAAACATACAACACGGAGGATTCGCTGGTCGTCACCGACCCAACTACTAGTTCCGCGATCGGTAGCTTATCTAAGGGAGAGCGGACGGGATCCCGAGTTCTCTACCGTCTATGGTCGTATGTACTTGTGGACAGTTGTAGACAGCAATATCAACCTCGTTGTGGTACCTCTCAGCCTCCCCACGGCCCTCCTCTCGGCCTCGGCGCGCCACTGGGCCTCTTCCTCCTCGGTCGGAGCCAGTAGCGGCCCATGGCGGCCTGGTTCTCCTGGTGGCGGTTGAAACTTGTTCTGGCAAGAAGGGGAGTCAAGCAATGTCGAGAACAATTTTCTCAGCGAGGTCAAAGGCAACTGTCTCAGGCCCAGCAACCGTGGCGATGCGTTCCCAAGCCCTTGGTATACGTGGTAATCGGCCCAAGACAAGAACAAGACACCTCAGCGTCTGCCTCTGGACATCAGACACAGACAGTTGCCGAACCACGACTTTTCCGGCCACGGCTCTCCATGGGGATGTGGATAACGGTCGAGGCGTTCTCGCCGTTGACGACACCCGTCCACGGTTGTAAGGCGACGTCGGCGGTGATGGGCATGGCGCCATCGGAATTCCCTGTTCGCGCCAGACCCGGTATGGCATAGCGGTAGTCAAAGATGTTCTTCCCAGAGCTGCTTTGTCTAAGTTCACCGTCCTCTGTCCAAGGGCTCTCGGTTACCTCCCAACTGATCTCTGTCAATGACGCGGCCGTTGACGGTGATGACCGCGGCATCCCACTTTCCCACCTCGAGGTCGGCAACCGCGAGATCGTGGGGGTCCGTCCGCTTGACGTTCAGATACGAGACCGGGCCCTCGACGCTAGCCCAGCTCCAAGTCGGCGCGTAGAAGCCCGGATGCACCCTACGAAGATGCCTGGATACGGGGCCATCCCACTTCTTGGCTCGCCACCCGAGGCTGTCCACCGGAGCGTCTGCCCACATGCCGTACAGCGGCGACCAGCCGCGTGCTTTGGCGATCCGCCGCATGATGGCCGCCATGGCCGGCAGCCGGTCCGACGGGCGCGTAATGGCCCGTTGCGTGTACTCTTCCACCATGTCCATCCGCGTCCTGTGGGTGACGTTGTCGAGTTGGGCGCTCCACGCCGGGCTTGTCATACCCTCGCCGAAGCCTTCCCAACCGGGTGGGCGTGGCATTCGAACTTAAGGGCGAATTGGGTGAAGAAGACGTGCGCGCTGACAACATCCTGCAGAATGGACTTCGGGTTAGCAACCCATTCGACTCTTGGCTCCAGACCCTGAAAGGGAGACCCAGGGGGCTCTCGATAGAGTTACGACCGGGAAGACCTACTGCTCTTGCCATATCCACGCTCGTTTTGATACTTGCCGTAATCACCGCCCCGAGCCTCCATTCCCAAACGTTGCGACCGCCGACGGACCTGAAAGGGGAATCTGCCTATGCTAGCGTCCCTGATGATGTCGTACGTGCTCCATCTCGGGACTCGGTCGACGGGATTGCGGTCGCTCTCAGAAGTCTAGCATGTTATCTGAAATAAGTCAGTCAAGCTACCTTAGTTAGGTCATGTTTGTTTCTTTCAGGGGCTTACAACGCACAGCCGAAGCAGAGCAGATGGTCAGCGTGGCGTTGCCGTAAATGGTTCCCATCTTGGAGCCTGCCGCGCGAAATTAGTGCTCGACCCCTGGACGATGCACAGCTGGTCGATCCGACATATTCAATGCCAAGGAGTATTGCAAGGTCGACGGCGTTCTGAAAGAGCGGTGGCAGATCCGCGTAGGCAATGCCCGCCTTACGCGCTTCAAGAGTAGATGCGTCGGTCAGGAACGTCAAGGGCGAGACGGGGCCCCAGCAGTAGCTCAGCGTCAGGTAGGGGGCTCGCTTCGTCCTGTGCATTTGGGTTTCAGCCAGCCGGATGCCGCTAGGCGTCTCACTCGAGGGCGCTTTCACCCAGATGACGCGGTCCGGCAACTTCGGCAGATGGCCTGGTCGTGAGCACTTGGGGTGTAGCATGTATGTCTCGATGTCAGATTCAACCAACTTGTTACCTGTAGCACTCGAGCGAGCCGGCATGCCACGAGGCAGGGGTAGCGGTGCCGATGTCCCTGATGAGCTCTCCCAAGACGAGGTCTGCGAGAATGCGCTTGTCAACAAACCCTAGTTTGTGTGAGTCAAGACAGGCAAGAGCTCAAAACGTCCTGCCGACTGTTTCCTGCTCAAGGGCAATGTTCTGTCTGTAGATCTCTATCTCTGCGGCTCGGGCCTCCTTTCATCGCTCACTGCGATCTCGATCTCCCAGTTCACGGTTGAACCCTCGGGCCGCACTAGTCCGAGATCGAGCAGCGATTGCATTGCTGTCCTCAGAGTCGGAATTGTGCCTCATTGCAAGCTCATTATCTAAGGAAGGTTGGGAGCCAGAAAGAGGTGTATGAATGATTCTCCCACTTCCCAGCCGGGAGAGACCTTGTTGAGTGACAGAGGAATCATGGAGCAGGTGAGGCACCCGCGCCGTATGACTCGAGCAGCTCCGGTGACTCGTCGACTTTGATATTCGCGATTGGCGTCCCGGGACGGATTGTATACTCAGCTCTAGCCCATGGCGGCGGGCCGTCTTCGCCGGGGCGGTCCTGTGGCGCCGCATAAGGATCCAGATTGTAGCAAACGCGGCAGAGCCCCGGGAGGCGGACCTGGATTGGGTTTCGCAGGTCGCCTCGGGCAAACTCTGAAACGGGTTGTTGCAGCAACACACTGAGCTCGGCACTATTGGATAATTATCTGGAGGGACTCGGGAAGCGAGCTTCTGCCAGTATTGCTTCCATTTCTGATCGTTTTCTCCTGGCCTGCGCCCGTCTTCCATCTTTGCTCCCTCGAGGTTCTGATTGGAGTCCCGAACAGTAGCTGAGTTGTGAAGCTTATAGAATAGGCTTGTGAACAGACGGCTGTGGCTTCGAGGTGAAGGACGCAAAGCCGTGCGTCTCATGAATGGAAATTGATCCCTCCGTGTTACAATCCAACCCTGGTGTGTTTGTTAGCGTGGCACATGGCGGCCCAGTTCCAACAAAAAGAAAAAGGGAGGAAACAAAAGAACGGAAGAAAAGTAGAAGAAATAGAAAAACAGAAGGGAGTACATGGGAGGCAACAAAGTATGAAGGAAAAAGAAGAGAAGTATGGAAAAGACAGAAAATGTAAATAAAAAAAGAAAAGAAAAGGAAAGAGAGAGAGCGAGAGCGAGAGAGAGAGAGAGAAAAGAGGAAGAAAAAAAGACGGTGAAAACCACAGTGCTGTCTTTCATAAGATCCGCGCTAACAAAGCAGGATTTGATTGTATCTGAAATCTGCCAAGTGCGTGTGCGGAGGGGTTGCATTGTTGCAGAGCCTCACCTCACCACACACTTCTTAACGCTCGTGGCGATCCGGCGGCTGTGCAGCTATGGGATGGTGGATTGTGCTAGGCGGCAATATCGAGCTTGGAAGTGTTGACGCTTGGTTTGTTAACGCTCCAGGCTGTCATCGAAGGTCAAATGAGAAAATGTAAATGTGGAGGGTAAAGACTCAATTCCATCCAGAGCATCGTATATAAGGTACTCGTCCAGAACGGTACAATGATCGACCAGTACCCTTTCATCCACGCCCACTCTCAGGACATCCCAGAGGAGGGCAGAAAAGTCGCAAAGAGAAAGATCCCAAAAAGCCAACAACGCCCACGAGGCCGGCAAAGCGATAGCGCAACAGCATTGTCGCCGCCCGACGCCTCAGTCCCGACACGCCGTCCCAGCGATGGCGTAGCAGCACTTTCGCTGTCGAAGTATTGAGCCCTGATATCTAAGTTCCGGAATCCAAAAAGCCTTCGGACATTGCGACAGCGTATCAAAAACACGGATGGGGTATCATCAAAGTCAAAGAAAAAAAGATAAAAAGAGGATAAAAAAAGCGACCAAACGAAAAAAAGAGATAAAACAGCCGCCCTCTCCCTCCTTTTTTATCAAAGGAACCCAGATCAGCCAGGCCGAGAGAGCAATAGCGCAAGAAGCATTGTCGCTGCTCCCGGCCTGGGCCCCGGAGCAGGGTTTCCCAAGACATCTTCTTCCATTCTGTCCAGCGACGGCGCACCGGCACGGTCCTTGGTGGTCCCCGGATCTGGATATTACCGACTATTTTTCGTTTGTTTTCCAATCCTTTGAAAGAGTCGAAAAAGGCTGTGGAATGAGCGTTGAGAAGTGAAAATGTGCATTGTTGGGAGCAGTTTGCGCTGCCCGAAGCAGCTCTCTGGCAGGACGGCGGTGCTGGTTGTCGTGTGATGGGCCGCGGGCTCGTCCTGCCCTCCTGGTCCCCCGCGCCCCTCAAGCGTCCGGAGATGACTTGGATGACTTGTTCCACCACATCCGCCTAAACCCACGCTGGTGGACCTCTCTCCGAGCTGCACCATCCAGGTACTCGTCCGACTCGGTCGCCGAGCTACCGCTGCTGGTGATCTTGTGACTAGGCTCGCTTCCAAAAATCTGGAGAAGGACAGTCATGACGAAGCTGCTGGTGATGCTCAGGCAGAGAATGCCAATCATGGTGAAGTTGCTCTTTCGGTATTGGTGTGGTCCCTTGACAGCGTCCTCTGGCCAGCCTGTGTACAGGGCGTACGTCGTCGTGATGCTGCCGAGATTACCCAGGCCCGAGACAAGGGCCGAAGCAGCCGCCACCCCGACCTCGCGGTGGCGGCGCTGGAAGATCTCATTGGTCCATGTCATGCAGATGGGGACGGTCGGTCCGAGGCCGAACCCAACCATGAGCAAGCCGCCATATCTAGCCCAGGGGTTGGACAGCGCGAACGTGACGGTGAGAAGGCCAGCTATCTGGATACAGACGGCAGCGGAGAAGAACAGAGCTCGGTGGCGGTGGAATCGATCGGAAATAGGGGTGACTAGGAGGATCGCGCAAAAGTCCATCTGTTCAAGTCAGTATGACTTTCCCCAAGTCCCGAGCATGTGGCGAAAACTCACCATCCAGATTGGCGCAAACAGTAAGCTGATTTGGACGCCCGTGAACTGGGGGTTAATGGATGAGATAATGACATTCCCGTACAGCTGGGTGCCGATGCCGACGCCGACAACCCCAAAGTACATCAGCACCAGGGGCCACAGCCGCCAATCGATCAGCACATGCCACAGATCCCTCAAGTTCCACGGCCGCGCATGATAGACCCTCCTCAGGTCATGATAGTGCACCACGGCATCTTCCCCCTTCAGCGCCTCTGGGCTCGCCGGCAGCCATCTCGAGTACCAGCTCCTAATCCTCTCCTCGCCCGGCGCCAGCGGCCGATCAGGCAGCCACCACAGCAATGCGATGCCCAGCACGACCCCGCACAGGCCATACACCAAAAACATCCACCGGAACCCAACCAGCCCGCGCAGCCCATCCATCTGCTGGAAGCCCGCCGACACCAGCCCGACCACGGCCGCCGAGACTTGTGACGCGGTGAAGTACATGCCGATCCGCTTCCCCGTTCTCGACGGCGGGTAAAACAGCGTCAAATAGTACGCCATGCCAGGCCACATGCCGGCGATGACGACGCCCAGCAAGAACCTCAACAGCTTGAGACTCCAAGCGTCGTTGACCGCCGCAAAGCACGTGCCCACGACGCCCACGGCGATGACGATGCGCGCCATCCAAACGCGCGGCGACAACTTGCTCATGACGAGGTTGGAGGGTAGGTCGAAGAGAACGTACGACACGTAGAACAAGGCCAGGGCGGTGGATGTGTCGCGTGGGGTCAGGCGCAGGACCGAGGCCAGGTCGTGCCCCGCGGCCGTGTTCATGGTTTGGGCGATGCCGATGTTGGAGCGGATGGCTGAGCTGAGGAAGTAGAGCGCCCAGAAGGCGGGGATGATGCGCAGGTCGAGTTTGCTAGGACAGGGTCAGTAATAGCACGTAAGGAGGGACGGGATTTGGTGTACGCACCGGTAGACCTTCTCGACCCGGTCAATGTCGTACTCGTGGATGGGTGTGCGGCTGGTGCTGGCCTGGTTGCTAATGCCTTGTTCTCCTCCATTTTGTCGCGCTGTGCTATCAGACGTGAGCACATGGGCCGTCTTGTCGCCGTCCTGAGACGGACCCGGATCGTGAGCCATACTGGGACTGAGAAGCAATGGAGGCGCCTGCTAATAGTCTGTTCTGGCCACGTGTGTTATCTGAGACAAAGAAAAGGACAGGTGCAGGTTAGTGAGGTTGATGGGGGGTTCCAGTGGCGGAAAGACGGATGTTGACTTGAAAGTTCAATAAACTCTCAACTCACATGGTTTTCTTTGCAGGTCTGGATTAACTTAAACCTGCAGAAAAATTGTGGGCCGAGGTCGGAGCTCTGCGAAATCAGGGGCGATCCAGAATCTACACGTAGAGAAAACACTCCACCCAATCCTAGGCTGCACAACCTGTAGACTCTCAATAAGCCGGCCGATTAATGATACTGACAAGTGGGCTAACTATATTCTTGATAAAAATGCCAGTTGATGACATGAAAAAGACCTCCGTAGGTGCCTCCCTACAAGCCACACATGCATCGCACTCCGGCACTCAGGTAGACAACGTACGAACGTACATCGTAGAATCTTCTTACGAGTGATTGGCGTCGTTCCGGAATTATAACTGAGGTGACGTCGACAGAGTCTACTGTGCATGACTGATGGGAGCCCACAGAAAAGCAGAGACACTCTCCGATGTGTGGGCCGCCTGGCGCTATGAGGATGATCGGTAGGTTACTGTGTAAACTAGGTTGAGGCCCCTGGTTAATTTCCATGTCAAGAGCCAACAAAGGGTTAGGGTGCACGCCACTAGTGTCTGATTTTGGTCAGTGTTATATTACGGACGCAACTAGGGGTGTGCGTAGCAACCATGCCCATCTTTTAAATCGACAAACGGGTACACCACCGCTTGCACCGAGCGACGCTGCCAACAACCGCGACTTGCCATGTCCGCGTGAGAGCATGGCCTTATAAACACCACTCGGATCAAAGACCCACGAATTCGATGATGGCAGGCTCGTCTCCCTCGCGCCGTCAAAGCAACCATTGGACAAGTCGAAGCCCGCAACGATCCGTCCTCGAAGAAATCCTCGGCGACGACAGAAACTCGGAGGCGCGGCATAGGCAGCTCCTGGAGGCAGCAAAGAAAGAGCATGAGAGGGTCAGAGAGGAAGCAGAAAGGGTGTACCGCGAACAGCTTTTGCGGGAGGAGAGGCAACGGCTCCTCGAAGAGCGACGGAGAGAGGAGGAGAGGATCGCGCTTGAGGAGAGACTCGTCGCGGAACGCGCGAGGTTGAACGCGCTCAAAGCAAAGAAGGTCGAGATCGAGCCTCCACTCCCAGAGCCCGAACCACCTGTTGCGCCAACACTCAATGGAAAGACGCCAGCCTCTCCATCGATCAGCAACGCGCCGGCTCAGATCAACGGAAGGGCGGCTAAGCAAGAAACGGCGTCCGCCGCGCCTTCAGATAAACCAGAAGGTGGCTCCTTGACAACACAGGCTTACAGCCACGCTCCAGCAACCATTCCTAGTAAAGCACCAGAACCCGCGAAACCGGCGAGCCCCGTCCCGGGTATCAATGGTCCTATCAGCACGACGCCGCAGCCCAACGGTGTCACACCAAATGCCGGGGCATCACAGTCAGCTGTTCCGGCTCCGGCACAAACTGGTCCCGACAGATACCTGGTAATTCACAAGAATCTAAAATTACTACGGAAAAGCTTGGCCGACCAGGCGAAAACGAATCCGGTCTTGAAGGTGAGAATGGGCGACATGCGGCGAGAGCTGCGCAAAGCTGTCGGGCAACTGACCCCGACGATGGGGGTCGCAGGGGTAAACAAGACACAGGTATTACGCCGTCCATGTCTGGGCTCAATCGCGGGCATTGCTTACAATCCGCACACAGCAAAACAACATCGTCAAACTGATGCGCGAGGCCCTGTCGAACCAGGTGCGGTCGCAGATGATGGATCCTAGCAATTTCGTCCTGGAGCCGAGGAAGCCGGTAGAAGGGGCCTTACACAACGACACACTCCCCTCGATATTTCTCTATCTCATCAATATCTTCGCAAAAGCAGCCATATCGCAGTTCATCAACGAAGGCGGACCCCGGCCAGAGACCGCAGACCCGGTTGGTGTCTGCGTCGCCGCGTGCATCTCGGAGCCAGAATTTCTGTGGCGCGGCGCGTCCCTGATCGACATATTGCTCGCAAAGTTCAGGGTAGTCTGCCCGGTGCTCTTCGGCTACCGTGGCAGCGAGAAGACGGAGCAGGGGCGGCAGAGGTTAGGATGGTGGAAGGACAACGGCCGGTGGGTGCCGGAGCAGCAGCACATGGACCGCATGACGGGGCTGGGCGCCGGGTTTGCGTCCATATCGCTCCGAAACTTCGCCCATTCCAAGAAGACCAACCCGTTTCCTCCCCGGGAATACTGGACGGCAATGGCGCGAATCGTCAACACGCCGTCCGCCGAGATATCCAACACGCAGTGCATCGTGTTGAAGTCGATGGTGGAAAACTACGAGCAAAAGTTCATCGAGTTTTACGGAACGGCCGCCCTTGCCGCCCTGAGGACGGCTTTGATCGAATTTCCTGCCAGGGCACCACATCGGTCGGCCGCGGTTATATCATTAGAGGTTGTGGCCCAGTCGCTGAAGCGGGACACGGGCCTGGTTCTTGGATAAGCTGCATCATCAGCGTACGCGAAAGGGCAGAAGAAGCGCTGATACGTTTATGGCTCGGTATAGAGACGCAACGCCGGGTCATCTCAACACTGTAGTTCGGGAGAAGATGGTCACACCGGTCAGCGCATATGCCATGGTTCTCGGACAGCATATATCCCCAGCTGTGAAAGATGTAGATCCCCAAGATATCAGAATACCAAGGCAGATCAGCTCATGCGCCGTGTTGCGAAACCCAGTTCTATCGACGCGCGGTATTATGCAGCTTAGCATGTGCTGCGCCCAAGCCCATTGGACCTATGTATATACACCCTCCGACGGCATAGACTCACAACGCCAATAGCAATATCAACAGGATAAACAACACGACAATCAAAACCCCAATACAACAACTACTCAATCGATCCTCATTCCTCCTCATGACATACTTCAGTTTGTCCATCCCCGTCTGCAGCCTCCCCCCGACCCGGTCGGCCAGCTGTTCCATGTTATCCAGCATCTCGACCTGCTCCTCCAGCTCCCGCCCCATATCATCGGCCTGCCGCCGCAGGTTCCCCACCGTCTGGGACACCCCGTCCAAATGCTCGTCTTGCTCGCGCATCATCATCTGCTGCTGTTCGCGCTCAAACTCGGCAACGTAGTCGTTGTCCCCTCCTTCCCCGTCGGGTATAGCAAATGACGATGGGTCCGGTAACTCATTCCCGCCGCCACCACCACCACCACCACTCCTCTGACCCCGCCGTGGAGCACCACCACCACCAGCGGCCGCGGCCCCCGCCGTAGAGAACGCCGACACCTTGCTGGCCAGCTCCTCGCGCATGGCCTCCACCTCGCCGCCGACCTCCTGCACAAGGCGCTTGCGCCGCGTCACCTCGGCCGCCGAAAGGCCATACTGGGCCGGGTTAGACTCGACTACTCGGACCGACTCGACCAGGTCGGCGAGGTCCTCGGCGAGCGAGCCGAGCGCGGACTGGAGGTCGGCGCGGGCGGACGTGAGTTCCGGGGAGGTGGGCGAGGTCGTCAGCGAGCGAATGCGCAGGTAGGACGCGAAGAGGGAGCGGGCTAATTTGAGCTGGGTGAGGACGTCTCTGGCAGGGGAGTGGGTGAGTTAACTCAGGTGAGTTTGCTTTTTTGTTGCAAGGGATGGAAACGCACTGTTGGGCTTGGAGGAACGGGTCCTCGTCGTTTGTGGAGGACATCATGACCGCACGCACCGTCGTCGAATGTCGTTATGAGGCGGGCGCTGGCATGTGAGAGCCTGTACCTCTGCGCATGTCGCCTGATATTGTGGGAGAATGCTGAATTGTTCAATCCAATACTGAGTTCGTGGAGGATGACGTTGCAGCCAAAGAGGTGCCTTGGCGATAACTCGGCTTCGACATCTCCGCCTCGAGCTGTTAAAGGCAACGGTAGGGGTGTTGCAGTCCGGCAAAAGCACACCTTTCCATTTTGTCGGTCTTGGCAGCCACACTGTTGCATGGCCCCACAAGTCGCTTCCTGCGACTCTGGTGCCGCATCTGGAAGGAGGGCCCTGTCCGTCAGAAACGGATGGGGTGTCTGGCAAGTTGAAACGTTGCTTCAACAACCGCTGGACGCTGGCCTTATTGGTATTCCCCCATTGCAATTCAATTGATTTGGGACTGTCACCAATTTCCCCTTCTATCTCATACGCCTACACACCCGACAGACATTAAACCGGCAAGATGTTCAACGTCAAGCGGCTCTTTCTCGCCGCCTCGCTGATGGTGGGCGCTACCATGATGTTTGCGCAGCCCGCTGAAGCCGCCAAGGGGCCCAAGATCACCCACAAGGTCTATTTCGACATCCAGCACGGCGACGAACCCCTTGGACGTATCGTCATGGGTCTCTACGGCAAGACTGTCCCCAAGACGGCCGAGAACTTCCGTGCCCTGGCAACGGGAGAGAAGGGGTTTGGCTATGAGGGTTCTACCTTCCACCGCGTCATCAAGCAGTTCATGATCCAGGGCGGCGACTTCACCAAGGGCGACGGCACCGGTGGCAAGTCCAGTGCGTATTCCCGAGCTCCTCTCCAACCGTGATCCAACGCCAACTGCTCACACCTGTGTCTGCAGTTTACGGTGACAAGTTCCCCGACGAGAACTTCAAGCTTAAGCACTCCAAGAAGGGCCTGCTCTCCATGGCCAACGCGGGCAAGGACACCAACGGCTCGCAATTCTTCATCACCACCGTCGTCACATCGTGAGTACCCCGGCTGCGACAAGGAAGCCATCGTCCAGACAAGGAGGAACCTGCTAACACGGTTGACACAGCTGGCTCGATGGCCGCCACGTCGTCTTCGGCGAGGTCCTCGAAGGCTACGATGTCGTGGAGAAGATTGAGAACGTCGAGACCCAGCCGGGCGACAAGCCCACGAAGACGGTCAAGATCGTCAAGAGCGGAGAGCTGGAGGTTCCCCCTGAAGGTATCCACGTTGAGCTTTAAGCTCCTCTACAATGTGTGCCCTCCTCCCCCATCACCGTCTGCACCTCTTGTGGATATAAACGAGATACACCGGCGGAATGCGCATGTTATAAAGATTTCAGTTGCACTCTCGTTGCTGGAGTTCCAGAAGCCTGACCTGGGAAATGATGTGCTGATCTTTCATTCTTTGTTTTCGCTTGCCAGGCCCAGATGCGCCGGAAGATGCGCCCGTCACAGAGAAGAAGCCAGCGCCTCCGGCTGAGACTGAAGAAGAAGACTGGCCACTTTTGGTTAAGGTGGCTCTTTTCGGCATCATCCTGGCGGTGATTGCGGTGTGGCTGCGCGTTTCGAGAGGGCAGAACCGGGATGAAGTTGGCTATCAAAAGTCCTTGGCATAAAGTGTAACTGTAGGATATGGCGAGATATGGGTCGTGGTGTACGAACAAGAATTCAGCATTAAGGTCGGGTGTCTCTCGTTCAGTGCCCTTCGGTAGTTGCAAGTGGCCCCGTTTCGGTTATGTGTAATTTTTTGTGGCAAACACCACGCAGAACACTGAACTCAACAAGTTATCTTCTCAACACCACAGCACCAGACCACCAAAATGAAGGTTCTTACATTAAATTTTCTGAGCTGCGCGGTCAAGTCGTGCAAGTCCTCGTCCGATTCCTTTCCGCTGCATCCCAAAGATGCCGAGCTTGTCAGCGACGATGTCGAGCTCAACCAGCAGTTGTTAGTCAACTTGCTGCCCCGCATTGACTGGAATGCCCTGCGAACAACCTCAACAGAGGTAAGTATCTGGAAGCAAAATCATATTCGAAAATTCTTCCAAGTTTCCACCAAGCTACCCCATCGTCTATGGTACTTGGACATCTCTAACCTGACATAGCTGGGCTTTCCACAACTGCCTGAGCAGCCACCCACCGCCGAGGAACTCCAGGCCGATGCAAAGATGCTCAAAGACCTTCACACACTGTTGATGGAGACACAAATAAACGAGGGCAAGTTGGTATGCGGGCACTGCGGGCATGAATATGCCGTTCGGGAGGGCATCGCAAACTTCCTACTCCCGAGTCACCTGGTATGAGCGGCGTTAGGCAAGGGCTAGAAGGAAAAAACAAAAGGGCGGATTATCGTCTGAGAGCTGAGGGACATCGGCTGGCTTGGGTCACGGCGTTCACAATGGTGGGATTATGGACAGAATTTCCCATGATTTTTCAGGCCAGGGTCTAGTTAAATTTCTACGGATCGTTGCAGTGGACCCTCACTCGCCATGAATTGTACAATCAGAACATGCCTTGAAGGGCCAGGAAGGCGTCTTGAACAACTGTTTAAGATAGATATTGATGCCACGATTATGCCCAAGCCACCTAACTCCAGCCCAGGGTAGCTACCCATGCTACAAATACCCTAATGCAAAAGTGCAACACCACGGCGGTACAAGTCAACACTAATTTACATCTGCTTCTTCTGGGCAGCCGGGCCCATATCCTTGTCGAACGCTCCATACGAGACCTCCAGACTTGCAAGTGCCTTAAGGCCAACGCCCAGGATGGACAGAAGAATTACGAGCACAATGAATGACATGAAGATGCCTGGACAATCCAGGGATTAGCAAGAATATTCCAAGCACATAAAAGAAAAGGAAACTCACCGGGTGTGAAAAACTGGTACTTTTCAAACAGCGGCAGGTTGTCAGTCGAATTCAACTTCTTCTTTCCCCCCTCCCCTGCTTCCTCCTCTGCCCACCTCTTCATATCGATATGCACCGGCTCGGCAAACTCGGGTTCGTACGCCTTGAACTCGTTGGGGTCTGAGAACACCATGACGGTGTAATCCTCCCCATCCAACATATCAAGCAACTTGCCCAGCTCATAATCTGTCCCCATAGCCAAAGAAAGTCAGCTCAACACGAATTCCCTTCCATCTCCAAAAATGCAGCAAACTACGGCGAGTAATGAGAAGCTTTGAAAACGTACCATTATCCCCCAAGACCTCCCCCCTCCTCTTCTCACCACCCTCCAAGACAGCAGGCAGATGCGCTAGCTCAACCCTCTCCACAACCACCTTGTCCGCCCCACACGTCGAGCTGACGTACTCGCCCAGCGGCTTGCCCGAGACCTGGCCGATCACCTCGGCGACGGCCCAGCTGTGCGCCCGGTCCATCCCCCGCACGGCGCGGCACAGGTTCGGCATGCGGCAGTCGTCGTCCGGGCCAAGGTCGGCCGCGTGCATGTTGGGTTGGGATACGAGGATGTAGCGCCTCGTTGGGCATGCTGCGAGTAGGGATTTGGCTGTTTCGAGGACCTTGGATGAAGTTTGGAGCTGGATGGTCGGGGGTTGCTGAGGGAGTCTGTGTGTCAGGATGATGGCGTGTTAGCTTAGAATATTTGATTCACCCCTCGTTGCGAGGATACGGAAGTAGATAGGGTATGATAGGAGCGGGCGTAGACGGACTTGGCTGTGGAAAAGAGGATGAATGGCGACGAGTCGGAGAAGGCTTGCGCTTGAGAAAAGGCGTAAGCCAGTACGGCTGCTGTTGAAGGGAGCTTCATGTTGTGATGGTGGTGCCGAGCTGTTGCTTCGGCGGTGTTTGTCGGCGACGGTTTGATTGGCGATATGCGACGGTTGGAGCTCCTTGGTGCCTTGAATGGATGATGCAGCTCCACAGCTGCGGGAAAGCGGTGATTGGCAGGACCCAGATAAGGTACGGCTATGAGCTTATCGTAAATTTCCCGACCCTGTATTCACTAGGTATTCACACCGTTTCTAGATGATCCTAATACATGAACCAACAAGAAATTCAAGAAGTTCGCAATGTTTGCGCAACCGAGGATACGAAAGAGCGCGCTTCTGCCGCCGCCAAAGAAGAGAAAGACGGTCCACACAATTGAAGAGATCACCTTCGACAAAGATGCCCGCGCCGAATATCTCACTGGGTTCCACAAGCGCAAACAGGCCCGCATCAAGCATGCGCAGGAGGTAGCGGAGCAGAAGGCGCGGCAAGAGAGGATCGAGATGCGGAAGCAGGTATGGGAGTCTTATCGAGCTGTGGGATGAAGTCATTGCTGACGCATTGGCTGCAGATCAGAGAGGAGCGAAAGCAAGCCGTGGAAGAACACGTCCAAGCGATCAACAAAATTCTCAGAGAAGCAGAGCACGCCGGCACGGACGAGCAGAATCAGAACAGTTCGGAGGATGAATGGGGTGGCCTGTCAGACACAGACGTTGTGGCAGAAGCGCCGATTGACGTGGAGGAGGAATACATTGACGAGGACAAGTACACGACCGTCACCGTGGAGGCAGTTAATGTTTACCGGGATGGCCTGCATAAACCAGAACCAGAACGGTCTTCGGAGGACGAAGGCCCCGAACCGGGACACGGTGGCGTGGAGCAAGATCAGGAGAAGGCAAAAGGCAGTAAGCGGCCGAAGGACCCAACCAAGAAGAAGAAATTCCGGTACGAAAACAAGTTTGAGCGGGAGGCAGAAGCACGGAAACAGAAAGCGAAGCGAAGGAAAAGGGTAGCCTAGACGGGAAATGCAACGGATACCATACCCGTATCTCACGTACTCCACAGGCCCATATGCCGTGCAAGCGATCTGTAAAGGGGTTGTGTTGCTTATTTCGGAACACGCTTTCAGTACTTGGGAAGTGCCAACCGGCTGGCCGTGTCTAGTCCTCCACCCTCGATCCGACATGCCACCTGTGAGGAGCTTGTCTGGAATACATAGCTCGACACAGTGAAACCCGCTAGCCGCCCAAAGAGCGCTAGGCTTAGATAGTGTTGATCTCGTTCTGGAAGTCCTCCAGCTCCTTCTGCACCGCGGCGTACTTCTTGGCCATCTCCTCGTACTTGGCCTCCCATTGGTCGCGCTCCTGCTCGAGGGCCTGAACCTTACGCTCGAAGTGTCCAGCCTTGACGTCGGTCTGCCGCAGCCTGTTTGAAGAGGCGGTCAGTAAAGTTCTTACAAGTATCGTTCCGAGCCTGGGCGCCAACTTACTTCTCGTTGGCCTCGCGCAAAGTCCGGTCTGCTTCCTCGGCCTCTTCCTCGAGAAGTTGGAGCCTTCGAGTCAGCGTTTCGTTCTGGGTTCCGTGCTGAGCGCCCTCGCTGGCAGCCGCCTTGAGCTCCTTGACTTGAGACTCGTATTTCTCTACCTCGCTCTCTAGCACACTGTTCTTGTGCGTAAGGGAGATGATCTCCTGCTCCTTTTGCAGGTTCTCCTGCTCGAGCGTCTTGACCTTTGCTTGGAGCTCCTCGACCTTGGCCGACGACTCCTCGGCTTCCAGGCGAAGCTGGTTCATTTTCTGCGATGCGCAACATATCGTTAGTCGGTTGGACTATCACAAGAATAGCGACAAAGTTCGGGACACGGTTCAGATCATGGTCACGTTGCAACACCAGACTGGTGATGCTCGCGGCCGCTTCGAAAGGATGTCCTGGTGAGCCCAATGGTGGGGCCAACCGGGGTCCAAGTACAGAACGCGCAGATCACTCACCTCCTTGATACGATCCATTTTGTCGTTGGTTGCGGAAGCGGGATCGGTTGAGGAGTAGAGTAACGATTAGAGGAAAAAGAGCGCGGAGGGGATGTCGCGAGGTGTGGTTGGGAAGCTCGGGTTTGGGGAGAGAGAAGTCGGTGGATGCGAACTGGCAGGTGTTTGGAGGGAGGAAATGAAGACCAGCGATTGCCCCTCTTCCACAGCGCCCCTGTTTCCATTCGCTGCAGCGGGTGCCCGTCACTTGTCTAATCGACCAGGCCGGCTAATGGTGGGGTCATTGCAGCTGCTGCGCCGTTGCTGTGCCAACCTCAACCGTTGCATCCGAGTTGCTGAAACGGAGGCAGCCACGCGAGGGCCGTGATTCAAGTTCTCGTCATTCGATAATTGAACCCAGCACCAATCCGCGATCGTGACCAACCACACACATTACTCGAAATCATCACACATCGCTTGCTGAAGGCCATCTCAGCATCCTGCAACGATGCTGGCCGCTCACCACGACCAGGAGAATCTGTTCACCAACCAGGCCGGCGCCATAAAGCAGCCATTGCAGGCCAAGACGCCGGGTGCCCGCTATCCGAAGACGCCTCTCAAGGTTCCCCTCAACGACGAGAACGCAAATCACGGTTTTAATGGAAAGAGCGTCCTGCGAGACAAGGGACACAATGAGAATATCCTCACCGTTAGCAAGGGAGGCAATGCCCCCGGCAAGTCTGGGAAGCTGGGCATGCTGACGCCTGCGGGTGAGTCCTTCCGCATCCGATTACCAGCACGGCTTCTGACACAACATCCAGAGCCCCGAACAGCCCGGGCTCCGCTCGGAAACAAGACCACCAATGCGAAAGCCAGAGCGACGCACCAAACACCGGGCGGCAAAGCAATTGGCGCCCGCGATTTCGACAAGATAAATATCAAGCCGACGACTACCCTTCGGCTCAAGCCGGCTGCGTCTCAATCCGAGCCTCCTAGACTCGAGGTGCATGCCGACAATGATCGGCTGGAACAGGAGGAGATTGAATATGCACCGCCAAAGCCAAAGGACCTCCCTTACAAGTCCGACGTCTTTCCCGACGATGTCCTGACCTTTGAGGGACTAAAACCAGAGAATCTCTTCAAAGGCTACTACCAGTATTACTTCAACCGAGTGGGCGCCGACGGCAAGACGGCATTGGAGCGGGATATGGAAGAGCAGCAGAAGCGGAGCTTTGAGCGCGGCGAAGAGCAGATTCGGAGGGACATGGAGGAGTTTGACTGGAGCATCGGCGACATTCCTGAGAGCAAGGATCTATTCAAGAAGAAGAGCTGTGGGTCGCTAACACCCTCGACAACAACAACCACCAAAAAGGCTGCTTATCCAGTGCCTAAGCAGCCATCGACAATCGCATCCAGGAAGGCAGCATCGGCTCTTGCGATCCCCGTGAAGTCACCAGGCATTGCTCAGCCATCGCTGACAAAGGCGACCGCACCACCGACGACTAAAGTAACAACCAGAGGATTTCTTTTACCGAAGCGGAAACCAGCGCAACCAGCGGCCCAGCCAACCATCCCGGCTTACCAGCGGGTATCAGCAGCGGCAGCTTCAAAAAGTACATTGGGTTACAACAAGGGCCGCTCTGTATCCTCCGCTGTTCACGGTCCTGCCCACAACCCAATCGCCCCGCCGGCTCAGCATCAGACAGCGCCAGCGCCGAAGCCTCGTACTCTGGTTCGGTCAGTCAGCACAGCTTCTACAAGCTCGGACGCCACCATAACACCAGCCCGGTTTGCGCAGTCCTCAAAGGAGTCGAGGAAGCCAGATTTCCTTTCCATCTTTGATGACGACGAGGAAGAGTACAATTTAGGCGGGGGCCTGCCTCCGACCGATGACGACAACGATGATTTCCAGCTCACTGTAAGGTTTGAGTGAGAAACACTGCTGCCGTACACGACGTGAGGATTGGAATGGCTGATGGCGTTGGGTTACGGCGTCTGGAAACGGCTAAGAAGCATGATGGGTACTCGTGCTGGCTTGTGTGGCCAGCTAGCAGTGGTTTATTGGGGGCTTGTTTCCTTTGTTCACGAAAGAGGTTAGGTAACTTGCGCACCTATGTATTCTCACTCACGACCTGTAGAACGACATGCTTCCAGGATGGTGGGCGGTTTTGCCCTGACACCGAGGAGACACAGGCACTATTATTCAAGAGCATGCTGCTTTGTTAACGTTCTTGAATGTACCATTATTACGATACAGCAAGGTAAAATACTCAAGCGCCTTCCTACTTTACGGCATAACATCCCCTAGGGGCTCACCAGTCAGAAAGAATGTCGACAGCTTGAACACAACAGCACACATTGGATGATGCCATCTGCTCCAGCCTCTGCTTGCAACGCAAAATTGCAACACCGAACAAGGCCGTAGACGCTCGAACCATCTTGGCACGGACAGCGCCAGGCCAAATCTGGCTTAGCGACCCATTGACAATGGAGGAACTCGCGACTTCCACACGCCAGTACCTCGCCAAACTTTCTACTTCATTCCCAGTCACCTTACACTCCGACACCTCGCTTTGGCTCACAGAGCACTCCCTTTACGCCCAGTGACGTCGCGGGTTTTGCTAACGGCGCTGGGGTTATTTCATCGCCGTGCGTCAGCAAGTTCGACTGCTTCCTCCTTGCGGCGCAGCCAAGCGACGGACTCGCTGTCCTGCGACAGAGCTCGGTCGCGTGAACGGCACATGCGCGCGTAATTATCCCACCACACCGCAACTCAAGATCATCGGCACCCATGCATGGTGAGCCCCAGCATCGCTGGCACCAGAGATGAGGGGTGGAGCACGTTGGCAGTGGTAATAGTTATCCCTTCTCGCCATGTCTCGCCCTGCTGGTGCGAGTTTCGCCCAGTTCTTCCCTGCCGCGCCCCGAGCTGCAAGGGACAGGGCGATGGAACGCGAGAGGGCCAAAACCAGAGCACAGGATTCTCCGTCCGCACAACCAGCTGACTCCAATGGCCGCCATATCCCGCCGAACCCTTCGGCATCTTCCCACAGTGACAACAAGCCTCCCGTCGGCTTCACAGCGAGATCTCACGTAAATGGCGACCGCCCGGATGCCGCGCACCCTCCGACAGATGAGAACGAGTCGCTCGCTGGAGACATGCTGAATTCCAGAGGGTCGGCCAGCTCTCATACAAGCGCCAGCTCCTCGCTCTTTAGTGCTCCTGCCCGACCCAGGGCCCCGGCTTCCCTGGGACACTCGCACGCCCAGCTCACCCCTCCTACCACTATCGCTTCTCCATCCTCATACCTTTCTACAGTTGCCCCTCTCAAGGGGCATTCGACCACACCTCGCCGCTTCGACAATAGAGACGGACCCGTGCCGATGCCCAACGGATTTGTCCAAGACTCCCCGGCCGTCGAACGCGTGCCTGCTCGAGACCCTTCTCGCTCAATCAAATGCATCAAGCTCACATATGATCCTCTCATGGACAATTCGCTTTCGAGTTCCGAGAAGCGAAAAGCGAAACCGATATACAAAGAGTTTGGATTGGTATGTGCACCTGATAGTTTTCACACAGAGGGGGGAGCGTCATCTTGATCGTGAATCATCTGGCTAATGCTGTGAATAGGGCGACCAAGATGACGTTCCCCCCTCCGACCCGCGCCTGGCAAAGGGCGGGAGGCTGAACTACATCAATGTCGACTTCCATCTCCCCAAAGCCCGGTTGCGCCATGCACCCTACAACTTGAAGCCGTACAAGTATGACCCCAAGACGTCGTGTGGTCCCGGGCCCCCCACTCAGATCGTGGTGACCGGCTTCAACCCCTTGATTGCCTTCTCCAAGGTCACGGCAGTCTTCGCCTCCTTTGGCGACATCGCCGAAAGCAGCAACAAGATGCACCCGGAGACTGGGAGCTACCTAGGCTTTGCGACCTTTCGCTACAGGGATTCAAGGCCGAATCGCTCGCGCCCTGTTCCCATCACCGCTGCTGATGCAGCCAAGCGCGCAATTCGAGCAATGCACGGGAAGAGGATCGAAGCGAATACCATCCGCGTCGAGTACGATGCTGAGGGAAGAAAGAGTTCCCGCATGCTGGAGGAAGTGCTGAAGAAGAGCAATGAAACGATACCGACTCTGTTTGAGCCCAAAATCCCAACAGGGCCGAGACCGAAGGACGTCATTCCCGGCCCTCCACCGACCGCACCGAAGGGTCCCGCAGCACATCGCGGGGGCCTGATTAATGTCCAGGGCGTCTGGATGCCGAAGCCTAGGCCGGATTCAATCGTCGAGATTGAACCTATTGCAAGCCAACTTAAGCACGAACCCTACATTTTCGTCGGGCACGAGCATGTCCCCGTCATGGCCACTACAGTGGCACACATGAAAAGGCGCCTCAAGACGTTCATGTTTGAGGATATCCGGGCGGACAGAACCGGCTATTACATCATATTTCAGGACACTGGGCGCGGCCGCACCGAGGCCGAACGCTGCTACAGGGCAGCGGACCGGACCGCGTTCTTTACTTATACCCTGGTCATGGATTTGCAGCTCTATGGTACGCTTGGCAGGACCTCGCATGCCACCGAGACCCGGCGACGGAGTCGCACACCCGATCGAAGGCACATCGACGATAGCCGATCGCACCGCGAGCATGACCATCACAGCAAGCGCGACGAAGAGCGTGCCAGGCGCGACGAACGGGACCGGCGCCGGCGGGATGAAGAGGCTGACCTGGAAGAGGAAAAGCGGCAGAGGGCTAAGAACTTCGACCCTGTCCTCGAAGCCACCGACGTGGTTCTCCGGGAGATGAAGGAGCAGCTGATCAAGCACATTCGCACCAAGATCGCCGCGCCTGCTCTCTTCAACTTCCTGGATCCTGTCAACCTCTACACCACGCGCCGCAGGCTCAATATCGAGGATCCTCATAGTGTCAAGCTTCCTCCTATTGTCATGGACGAGTACGAAGATAGGTCTCCGCTTGGCACACCCAACTCCAGGGCGGATCCCATCGAACGACGGACAGCCCGCCTTGACGTCTCTGCCTTGCCTCGGATCCGGAGGGTTAAAAACGCCGGCTTGAATACCCGTAAGCATGGCTTCAACGATCCCTTTGCGCGCAATCGCCCAGTGGCTCGGCGCACTGCTTTCCGGTCCCTGCATTACCGCCTGAGGAGCGACAGCGAAGGAGAATCCGAAGACGAAACGGAGAACAGGACATCGCTCGGCAGAGACACGGAAGAGCCCGAGTCTCGACCTCGGAGTCGCATGAGTTCGTTAGATGACGAGGCAGACAAGGATGATTATGCATCCTGGGGCCCGGGCGAGGATGATTCCATGACAGAAGCCAGCTTCGCACTCAACGATGGCTCCGCATTGAACAAGAAGAGGAAGCTGGAGCTCCAGTTGGAGACAGCCATCAAACGGCAGAAGAAGACCGATGAGGAGCTTTTCGGCGTGACTATTGATTGCATCGAAAAGGCCGAATTTCCCTCGAGTGAGGCCACCCCGGAAGATGGTCTTCCAGGTACCGAAGTTGCTGTGGAGAAGGACGCCGACAGCTCCCGGTTGCCGACTCCCTTGCTGCAAGGGGACGCAGCCAAGAAGAAGGCCGCCCCTAAAACCAAAAGGAAATCGAAGAAGCAGATTTTTGAGGAGCGGGAAGCCCTCAAACAGCAGCAGCAGGAGATATTCGAGCGAGAGGCGTTGAGGTCTGAAGACGTGGAGGACGTGAAACTGACGCCTGGGGAGGAGGCGGTGAAACCTGAGGAGGAAGAGGACAAGAAGTCAGATCTGGACTTGAACCTTTATCCATCGGAGAAAGTCTCGGCTCTTGAGCTTCCTCGGGATTTCCGGTGGGATGTGCCGACCTTGGAAGAGTTCTCGCTTGGAGAAAACGACCAGCCAGACATTGAAAAGCTTCGCAGGAGGTTTGGTCGCGCCAAGATCGATGACCCCGAGCTCTGGCTGTGGACTCGGGACCGTATTCGTGAGTTGAACTCGGCCGACGGAACGGCAAAGAATCCGGTGCGCATCGAAGGCTACTACGTCCCGAATCCCACCGGCTGCGCCAGAACTGAGGGAGTGAAGAAGATTCTCAATTCGGAGAAGTCGAAGTATCTTCCCCATCACATCAAAGTCAAGAAAGCCAGAGAGGAGCGGCAGGCGCAAACAGGCAAAACCGCCAAAGACGCGGTTCTCGCTGCCGCTGAAGCCGCTAGGCAGGCTGCGGAGAGTCTCGTCGCCAAAGGCAACTCTCGGGCCAACCGGGCCAACAATCGCCGCTTTGTTGCCGAGATCAACGACCAGCGGAAGACGCTCGGCCAGGACTCGGATGTGTTGCGGTTCAACCAGCTCAAGAAGCGAAAGAAACCTGTCAAGTTTGCCCGGTCGGCCATTCACAATTGGGGCTTGTATGCCATGGAGAACATTCCCAAGGACGACATGATTATCGAGTACGTCGGCGAGGAGGTGCGCCAGCAAATCGCCGAGTTGCGCGAGAACAGGTACCTCAAGAGCGGCATCGGCAGCAGCTACCTGTTCCGGATCGACGATAACACGGTCATTGACGCGACCAAGAAAGGCGGCATCGCGCGGTTCATCAACCACAGCTGCATGCCCAACTGCACGGCCAAGATCATCAAGGTGGAGGGCAGCAAGCGGATCGTCATCTACGCGCTCCGGGACATTGCGCAGAGTGAGTTGCACCCGTCTTGTATGTCTTATTTTGCAGGAGGTATTATTCGCTAACATCAAACCCGTACTACAGACGAGGAGTTGACATACGACTACAAGTTCGAGCGCGAGATTGGGAGCACCGACCGCATCCCCTGCCTCTGTGGCACCGCCGCGTGCAAGGGCTTCCTCAACTGAAGCCGTCCGCCGCCCTACCTGCTGAATCACGCAATACTTGTAATGTCTTGTTTTTTCGGCGCTGCTCCTCTCTAGGGTTGGCTCCCTGCTCCATCCTCCACGGACCCAGTTTGTTGAGGGCCACTCCGCACATATTACATTCGCATCACATGCCACTGCATTACCTTCTCGCCGTCGGATCGCGGTTAGGGAAGAAGGGAATAGCACCCTTGGGTCGTCGCTGGGTTTTCACACGGCTGCTGGTGCGTTTCTATGAATGAGGTTCCCGTCTTTGGTGAAGAGGATTCATACATGAGACGGGAAAGAAGGCTTTTCTTGCCCGTTTGCGGACATATGGACGCCCGGCTTGTAGTGCTCCGGGCGATTTGCTTATCAAGGAGGGAAGGGCAATGGAGCAGGCCTGGTGGAGGCCTGGCTCCAGTTGGGTCGGAGCATTTGCCGGCGAATTTATGACGCAGTTTCCCCCATCACCCCAACTAACTGGTGTTTGTCGTGATACTTGTGTGGTCATTCTGGTTTGGTTTTGGTGCTGGGCTGAGAAAATATGGGGGCTTTGTCTATGGCGCCCCTGGTTGGGGGGTTTGGCTGGTTCCTGGCGTTCTGGATGGGTGGACAGCTGTGTTCACGAGGCTATAATGGAGACAGGTCGCAGTGTTGGTTTCCCAGTGCTCTGGGGTCAAACCTCTATACTGAATCATGTCATTGTATGTGCATGTCCGCGTGTGACTGTATGCGTTTATGCGTATGTATGTATGGGCGTATGTGTGTGTGTGTGGACTACTTTATATACCTATCTGGTGAGGTGCTCTAATAAATGAATTGAAGGGCTACTTGCCTTTATCGGGTTATCCTATGTCTCGTGAACAGCTCGAGGTGCTCGGTCAGAAACATCGATGCCCGGACCAGGTAAGACGTTGATATATTACCAACTTTCCATAGCTGGGAGTGCCTCCAACTGGTCAGACTTCGTGCTCCATATATCCACAGGCATCATCATCCTGACTTCGATTGTACCGAGCTATAAAAAGGGCTTCGTCAGGCTCGAAATGGCTGATGTGATGCTTCTGGGAGGCCGTGAGGTCGTGGTCATGTTACAGCTGATGGGAAGCTGCTTTCCTATTTGGCATCGCAACACAAGTTGATTTGGCGATGTGTTGAGCTTGGGAGTTTTCGGTAAGTCTCCTCGGTCGCGTACTACAACCCTAACCCTTGAGAACCTTGAGCACTGATCAAGTGCTCCAGTTCCATTCGCGGCATCGTCGCAACAGGAGCGGTGCCGCCAACCTACAGTACATTCAAGGTTGTTTGGTTCGTTGGCTAAAAGCGACGACGAGTCTGTCTTTGGAGAATAGCGGGTAACCAATTTTTACCCTACCTCGTACCTTGATGCTTGGAGTGAGATCATCTGCGAACCGGACCCCAATTTGGCTTCGGAAAACAACCGCTTTCCAATTCCTTTTGGTCGCGCAACACCAGTTTCCAAGTCGACGGGCAGCTTACTGAGTCCGCGTGTCTTGAATGCAGCTGGGATTGCGGCCGCGGCTGAGGGCACGGCCGTCGCTGGTTGACCTGTTGGTTCGAGGCGGGACTGTTGGAGGAGCTGCCGGCCAATCCGACCCGCCCGTCGCAGCGGCCACAGCATCATCGCCTCCACTCTTTTCTTCGGCGGGCACCGCCCCGGAATCCGACCGAGAGCTTGCTTCCGTCTTGCATCAAGCTGCAAACCTCCCGCTTCCACCGTCTCCAACCACACCACCCATTTCCCCAGTTACTATCCCGCCCCCGTCGCCGACTTTTGTCCCAAATACCGTCCTGTCATTGTCGGTAATCTTGCACCAGCACCCGTCCCGCCGATTCCCGCGTCCGCTGCAATTGCCGCGTCGCCCACAATGGCCCCTGTAAGCTTCCCCTCTGCTTCCACGCGCATCTTCGGGCTCATGGGCGATGGACTCGACCCGTGGACGCCGGGCTTGGATTAAATGCACTGACATACACAATCGTCCTAGTCGCAGACGGACGGCGACAAGGATGGATTCCACAAGGGTACGTATGCCCTCTTGCAAGGTTGAGGCTGAATAACCACTGACGGCTCAACAGGCAAGATCTACTCGGTTTCCGGGTTAGCCGCAACAGAGCTCCGAACCGCTCCTCCATTCCTGCGATAGCTGACAGCAACCACAGACCCGTCGTCGTCGCTGAAGATATGACTGGTGTTGCCATGTACGAGTTGGTACGGCTCGGGTCCGCTATCGTTGCCGAAGGGTGCTTGGCTGAGTGTTGGAACAGGTAAAAGTCGGCCATGACCAGCTCGTCGGTGAGGTCATTCGGATCAATGGCGACCAAGCGACGATCCAGGTATACGAAGAGACAGCCGGCGTCACCGTTGGCGATCCCGTGCAGCGAACCGGCAAGCCGCTGGCTGTCGAACTCGGGCCCGGTCTCCTGAACAACATCTACGACGGTATCCAACGGCCACTCGAGAAGATTGCATCCGTGGCCAAGAGCATCTACATTCCTCGAGGCGTCGCCGTACCTGCGCTCGACCGCGAGAAGAAGTGGGATTTCACCCCAACCATGAAGGTCGGCGACCACATCACGGGCGGCGATGTGTGGGGGACAGTCTACGAAAACTCATTCATCTCCGTGCACAAGATTCTGTTCCCTCCACGGGCTCGCGGCACCATCACCAGAATCGCAGACAAGGGCAGCTACACAGTCACCGAAAAGATTCTCGAAGTCGAGTTTGACGGCAAGAAGACCGAATATGGCATGATGCAGACCTGGCCTGTGCGGGTGCCGCGCCCGACCACCGAGAAACACTCTGCCGACAAGCCTTTTGTTGTCGGCCAGCGCGTGCTCGACGCCCTCTTCCCCTCGGTCCAGGGCGGCACTGTCGCCATTCCCGGCGCTTTTGGCTGTGGCAAGACCGTCATTAGCCAGTCCGTGTCCAAGTTCTCCAACAGCGACGTCATCGTCTACGTCGGGTAAGCAGCATTGGGGGAGTCGTCAGAAGGGTTCAAAGAGAGGACCCCCGCGACTGACAAAATCCCAGGTGCGGCGAGCGCGGCAACGAGATGGCCGAAGTGTTGAAGGACTTCCCCGAGCTCACCATCGAGGTTGAGGGCCGCAAGGAGCCCATCATGAAGCGCACCACGCTTATCGCCAACACGTCCAACATGCCTGTCGCTGCGCGTGAGGCGTCCATCTACACCGGTATCACAGTCGCCGAGTATTTCCGCGACCAAGGCATGAACGTGGCCATGATGGCCGACTCATCCTCTCGCTGGGCCGAAGCCCTGAGAGAGCTGTCGGGCCGCTTGGGAGAGATGCCCGCGGACCAAGGTTTCCCTGCCTACCTGGGCGCCAAGCTTGCCTCCTTCTACGAGCGCGCCGGCAAGGTCCAGGCCCTCGGCAGCCCCGCCCGCGAAGGCAGCGTCAGCATCGTCGGCGCCGTCTCCCCGCCCGGCGGTGACTTCTCGGACCCCGTCACCTCGGCGACCCTGGGCATCGTCCAGGTCTTCTGGGGTCTGGATAAGAAGCTCGCGCAGCGCAAACACTTCCCCTCCATCAACACGTCACTCAGCTACTCCAAGTACACCACGGTGCTCGACAAATGGTACGAGAAGGAGTACCCAGATTTCCCGCGGCTGCGCGACCGCATCCGCCAGTTGCTGTCGGACAGCGAGGAGCTTGACCAGGTAGTGCAGCTGGTGGGCAAGAGCGCGCTGTCGGACCCGGATAAGATCACGCTCGACATGGCGACGCTGATCAAGGAGGATTTTTTGCAGCAGAACGGCTACTCGGACTACGACCAGTTCTGCCCCATCTGGAAGACCGAGTGGATGATGAAGCTCATGATGGGCTTCCACGACGAGGCCCAAAAGGCCGTCGCGCAGGGCCAGAGCTGGGCCAAGGTCCGCGAGGCCACACAGGAGCTGCAGGCGCAGTTGAGGAGTCTCAAGTTTGAGGTGCCCACCGAGGGCCAGGAGAAGATTTGCAAGAAGGTCAGTTCCTTATTTCTCTTTTTCCCTCCCTCTCCCCTCCAATTCTTGACAGGGAATTTGATGCTGACCCTGGGTTGCAATCAATAGTATGAGGCGATACAGCAGGCTATGCTGGACAAGTTTGCCTCGGTTGTGGATGAGTAAGGATAGGTCTGGGGACCTGGGTTAAGAGATTCATGCGCGTAGCGTATCGGTATGTCTTGTCGGGTTGTGGTGAGTTGAGTAAGTAGATGGAACTGTGTCCCGGTTCTCCCAATAGGATTCATCTGTCTGTAACGGTCTATGTGCATACGGGAATGGGATTTTCCTACATAGACCGTCATTGGCATACTTTCTCTTCATGTCGCTGGACAAAGTGGGGCTTAGTGTGTGCAGTCGTTGTGATGAATCAGTTCACAATGTCTACAAAGGAACGCAAGTGTATGGCTGGTGGATATGGGTCTTGATACAATAACATTCATCCATTCATCTCAGTCATCATCATTGTAACTACAAGCAGGTATCTGCATCTGTGTCATAATCCATGTGCTTTTCCATCGCCCAACAGCCGAAGCAACCAATCGTCGCATAACCAACTGGGCTCTCACATTGGGGACGTGGATAGACAGCATCGGTGGTCGGCATGTACCCAAAATGCTGGCTTCGTGACCCCTCTCCCAGATCCAGTCCAGAATCTCCAATAATAATGGACCTCGACGACATAGGGTATCACACCCACTTGCCACCAATTGGACGCCGGACTTTTGCTCCCCTGATGACGAAGGGGGCGACGCAAAAGAAGGCTCCCATGGCCCGTATCAAACCCCCTTCTCCTTCCCAACCGCAGCGACCGAAACGGGTATCTCGACCGGCGACGAGAGACTTCGTTCCCATTCTTTCATAAAGTCGGCCGCCGTCTTTTTGAGCTTGCTCGGCGTCAGCCGGTTCAGAGCCTGCGGAAGCATGTCCTCCAGTTTATTAGGGCTCAGGCCCGACAGCATGGCTGCTGACGACGCCGGTGGCGGCGAGGGGTAACGGGTGGTGAGGCTGGAGGCGGAGGAGGAGGTCCGTTTTCTGTTGTTTTGTTCGACATGTAGAGACCCAGGTCAGTCACCTTTTCACCGGGAAAGTACTAGGGACGGTGGGGAGCATCTTTGGGAAGGGAGGCGTGTGTCATGGGAAGACCAAACTTACAGCAGCGTATCCTCGTCGCCGTCGGCCGCGCGCTTCTCGGGGATGGATGGGATGATGTCGCCGTTGACGGTAGTGCCGCTCCAGCGCGGGGACGAGATGTTGGGGCTATCCCAGTTGGACCAGTCGTTGTCGTCGAGGGCTTCGACGGGGAGGGGCGCCCAAGAGAAGCGCTTGCGCGTTGGGCCGGAGTCGGTTTTGGAGCGTTGAAGGGAGGGGCGCGGGGCGCCGTCGTCTTCGTCACCGTTGTTGCTGCTGTTGGCTGCTCCGCCCTTGTGTAGCTGGGCTACTTTGTCCTGATTTGAGGCTTCGGGGGTTTCTTCAAAGGCCGAGGCAAGGCGGAGTCGTGGGTTATTTGGCGGGCGAATCGTGTCTTGATCGGTGAGGGAATTTCCTGAAGCGGCAGGCCGCATGCTGCCATTGATGCCTCGCATGTACACCCCTTGGCCGGTAATCGGCTCGTCGCCAACTGTGGCCTGCCGCAGGTCCTCCATGAAGGTCCAGAGGCCCGTCTTAAGGTCCTCGGCGAGTTGCTTCACCCCGGTTGACTGCGTCGACCGCGAAGCCCAGGATGCGCGCTTGGGCTGCAAGGCGGGTGCGGCCGCGGCGGAACGGTTGTCGAAGTCGGCCTTTGCGCTCTCCGGTTCATCCTCGTTCGCAGAGAACCCCCCGGTTAGCTTCGTTGGCGAAAGCAGCGACAGAGTGCGCGTGTGGCTTCCTGTGAATACGCGCCGCCGGGCCCTTTCTGGTGTCACCTGCTGGTTCTGCTGTCCGAGCAGCGCCTTCCTCCTGTCGAGCTCGACGCTACGCCGGATAGCCGTCTCGTCGTGCGGATCGGCAGACATGCCGAGGCCGGGGATGGGCTCGATGTTTCGTCGTACCCCCCGTTTCTTGTACGCCTCGTGTGTCGCCCATTGCTTCTTCAGCCGTGCAAGGTCCGACTCGGTCCGGCTGAGCTCCTCTCTCAGCTCCAGGACGCGGCGTTCCTGCGCTGCTATCGCGGTGATGAAGTCGGCCGAGTCAGCCGGGGACATCAGGGATGAAGTGTCGAGCGGTGTCGGGGGGAACGAGTGTGTTGTAGAAGAGGCAGGAGCTGGGCGTGATGGATAGGCGGTTGCTGGTACAATTGGTAGAGTCAGGGACAGCCTGTTTGTGCTCCTCGACGCTGTCGAGGCAGAGCGTGTTGAACGAGTCTCTACAACCTCATCGATGTTCGAGGACGGCGAGGCTAGAGGCTCGTCTGAGAATTGCCGCGGCTTGGTGTCATCGCGGTTCCCTACTGGGCCTGGATGGCGCCGCTCTTCGAGAGTAGAGGTGCCATTCCGCATGCTTTCGTCTATGCTTCGCTGGAGCAACACCATCTCGTCCATTAGGGCTGATGTTCTTGCGCTACGGCGGATGACCTCGAATCGGTTCGTTGTAAGTTTTGATGGGGACAGAGAGCGTGAACGCCAGCGCAGAATTTGGGGGTGGTAGTCAGACCACGGAGTTCTTCGTCGGCGGCCAGGCCTGGCAGTAGTGGTAAGTGAGAGTCGGTGCAAGCGGTGTGTAAGGGAAAGGGCAGCGCTGAGACGGGTCGTTCTTCTGGCGACGACGGCGGCCTTGTGGAGATCCAGCGGATTGCTGTCGCGCTTGTTGAAAAGAGCGTTGGCGCAGGCCGAGACGAAGCAGGTCCGCAGCAGGTCGGAGGAGGTCATGGGAAAAAGAATGGAGTCTCATCACAGCAGGATGGCCGCTATCGAGTGGGAACTCATCTCACCCAAATCATGCAGCCCCTGGTTGTGATTGGCGAGGCTGCCCCTGACCGCTCACTGGGCCGGGGTTCTTGGGAAGACTATGCTGAGTGGACTTGATCCCTGGTCTGCGCGGATCCGGGTCCCGCTCGACCGCCCTTCGCCGTTTCGCTTGGTTTCGTTTCCTGGGCAGTTGTTTGTGTTGCTGTTGTTGGTATCTCTGTCTCTGCACGCTGATGAGGATATTGAGACGGAAGATGGACGGCTATCTCATGTCACCCATTAAAAACATCGCGGCTGCCAGTGGTACATAACCGTTCAGACGACAATGGAGGTATGGGCGTGCTGTGTCACCTTGAATAGGAATGTGGTTCAACAAAAGCGACAAGTTGGTTTTAGATCGAGCGTGCTGCCGTAGGAAGATTCCAGGACTGAGATGAGCCTGTGCGACGGTCAGTCTGATGTTTGTCGTGTGCGCTTGCTCCGCCCAGCATCTGGATGCCACGGAAACCCGCAGGGACCACCAAACCATCATTGAAAGGGGATAACACTCAAGAAAAAAAAACAAAACCAGGAGATGGGTACGGTACGCAGTCTGCTACTACACATACATCACTGCCACCGTACAGAATATATTCCATGCCCAAGGAGATGCAACATTAGGCAGCTTGATAGTGTATTGGCCCATAAAACTCCTGGTGTATTACACTCGGTCGTCGATGTTGGATGAGGTCGGATGAAACCAATGAGAGCAGTAGCTTCCATTATCGGCATCTGAGCCGGTGTATTAACAGTACATGTACTGTAACACTGAGGCTGTGGCATGTTTCATGTCGACAGGAGTCTCCACCGTTCAGGCATCAAGAGTTCGCCTTCTCCGTATCCGTATCTGGCAATTTACGGACCGAGCACGTGCGTTTCCACGTGCCTGTCGCCGTAAGTTCAACTTGAGGTTTGAATTCAATGAAACTGCACGTGACACCGCGTGTATGTCGTGCCTTCCACCTGGAGAACAAAGGGTTTGGACCGCACGAGAGACGGCACCGATGCAACGCCACTAATCCAGGTTGCCAAGGGCCAGGTTCAACTCCTCGATCACTCACTTCATTGCATCAAGCCGAGAATTGTCATCAGCCTGGAGCACTGGCAACCTGGCGGCTTTCCCGCCGCCGGGTACCGACAGCTTTAGATGGTTAATGCTCATGGCAGTGCAAAATGCCAGCAAAATCGTCAAAGACCTTCCGCCAAGCGGAGAAGAGGGCGTTTGACGGAGCCAATGAGTCGCAAGACACCCTTGTCATCGCGCATTATCTCATGATGGATTTTGGTGTTGGCCTGGTGAGTCTGGCATTGACCTCGAGAGAACATGGCCAGCTAATGCTCCTGCACTGTGCAGCGAAGCAGCTCACCACCCGCAGGAGAAGCAATGCCCCTCCCTTCACCTCGGCAAAGCCTGCCATCCAGCAAGAGAGGCAACATGGCCGGTAAGCAACCAATTCAGCAATTCTCATCAACTGCTGACTTGGAAATCCAGACGCAGCCTGCCCTGGAGAGCTCCCAGACGAAGTACGTCCCCTCGCACGGCCTGTCAAACGAAACCCCTGCCTCAGCCATGCATTTAATTGACCCAGCTTCAGAAGACGCGGGGCACGCGTCTCGCCAATGACAGTAAACAGAGTCAGTGTTTTTCAATCCCCGAGACTCAGGAAGTCGGCATCCCAGAAGCCGCGCGGCCAGTCGATGATCGGCCAGACCGAGATGCTGTTGACGGGAACAGTGGTGTGGTCGACCTGAACCTCCCCGACACCCTCCCCGCGTCTGCCGAGCTCGACAGCACGTCGGGGAGGAGGAAGATGGATTCGACCCAGGCATCAACTCAGTCCAACGTGGGACGTAGCTATGACCAGTATCGCCGCCCAATATCTGCAGGCCGCACATCGCCCAACGGTCCGTCACATAACTCAGGCAAACTGGCCAGAAGCAGCTCTCCTGGTCGCGGCGCGCTGGACGACGACGACACTGGTGTCCGGTTCGTCTTTGTCAACGTGGCAGCCACCAATACTGTCTCGCCAGGCCAAGACGATTCCGGGTTTGTCAACTTTGGTAGCCTCGCGCATTCCAAACATGTAGCGTCCCAAAAGACAGCTGGGTCTCCGACTGAGTGTTTGCCCGAAACCCCGGCTCCGCCCCAGAACCCTTTTCGACACAGCCGGTCTCAACTACTTCCGACGTCGCAACTGTTCCGTGGCACACAATTCTCATCACCGACCAAGCTCGCCAGTCCCACCTCTTCGCGCCCGTCATTGGCTGACTTTCCTGTCAATTCAATATCCCCAAACCCAGTCATCTCGTCGCCCCTGAAGTCTCGCGGTATCCGCTCCTCATCCCCTGTTGGTGTTACGTCAAGTCCAGCGGTCCTTCCAGGCACGACCTCTTCAGGGCCTGATGGGGTGCCCAGCAGCCCTGTTAATACCGCGTCGACGGGGCACCCTGTCGTTCCAGAGTCATCTCATGATGGGAGTCGCAGGAAGAGATCGGGGCCTGAGCCCTTGGCTACATATGAACCGATGCGCAAGTCGCAAGAACGGCGCTCAACCTCCGAAGTGCGACCTGACCATGTTAGCTCTGGGGAGGACGATGAAGATCAGGACTCGATCGCCAGGTGGCGCCGAGCGAGATCCAAGAAGGAAGCCGCCTTGAAACAGCTGACGGCCATCAGTCTCCCTCGTACTGTGACGGCGGGCGATGTTGAAGTACCCTCAACGAGCCAGCGTAGGCGCCCAAGCCAAGCAGAGGCTTATATCGCACAATGCCGAGGAAGGAACCTGGCAGATACTGACTCAGAATGCCCCGTCGCTGTGGAAACAACCCAGAAGCCTCGCTTGCAACCTTGGAAACGGCCAATTGAGGAAGAGGAGTCGACTCAATCCGACGTAGAAGAGAAGCCTGTGCCGACCGTGGACCCAAACCCGGCACCGGTGCCTGTGCTTCCAAGGTCTTCTACACCGTCAATATCGCAGCTGGCCCGAAAATCTGGCATGGATGGCACGTATGGAGACGAAATCCCGGAGACAAGTCCAACTAGCAGACTGCCCGAACTCCTGCCGGAGGTAGCGCCATCTGTCGAACCCGCCCCGTCAGAGGCCAAGCCAACACGAAACTTTCAGTCTTCCCCTCCAGCGTTCAGCACGAGGTCTCGGAAAGCCAAGGGTGCAAGAAGCTATCCACGGGCGCTGAGTTCTAGTTCAAGCCTCAGTAACTTGGCATCGACGCCTCACCTACCATCCAGCAAGCCTCCCACAAAGGTAACCACTGAACCAGCGAGCTCCCCAACTGAGTCGACCATAGTGGCCAGCTCCTCGCCAGCGGTTGCCGAGACGAAGCGACGTGATACACGGGGAAGGCTGCCAAAGCCTAAAACAGGCTCGACCGAGAGTCTCAGACAGTCAGCCAGGGTTGCTAGGCGGGGTTCCAACTCAACTGACGAGCTCGCCCGATCCGCCTCTGGGACGCCTACTTTTGAGCAGAGCCTGCGCGTTTCCCGTCTTTCCGTGTCTCGGTCAGTATCCAGATCAGGCCGTGTCGCCATGAAACCGCCGCCGACGCAGCGGGATCCGAGATTGTTTGAGAACATGGCGTTTGCAATATCCTTCCTGTCGAAAAAGCCTGGCGAGAGCAACGATCAGTTTAGCGCTCGGATGGAGCTTTGCAACACGATCACTCGGAGGATCAGACAGGCTGGCGGCAGGATTCTCGAAAACGGTTTCGACGAGCTCTTCCAAGCATTGCCTATGGGTACTCCATCCAGCAGCCCAGCCGCAAGCTCCGGGGCAGAGATCGAGATCAGCCTAACTCCGGAAGGGCGGGCCATGGGATTCACCGCGCTGATTGCAGACGGACACTCACGCAAGGTAAAGTACATGCAGGCTCTTGCGCTGGGCTTGCCGTGCGTCGCAGCCCGCTGGGTCACGACCTGCCTTGACAGAAACGAACTCGTCGACTGGACGCCGTACCTGCTCTGCGCCGGCCAATCTGCCTTCCTCGGCGAAGCCATTCGGTCCAGGAGCCTGTCGCCGTACGATGCCTCGACCGCGAAGCTAGCCGACATCGTCAGCCGGCGCGCAAAATTGCTGGAGGGAAGCAGGATCCTCGCCGTGGTGAAGAAGACGGCGGAGGGCAGGAAGATACCTTACGTGTTCCTCGCGCGCGTACTGGGTGCGTCCTTGACGCGGGTGTATACCGTGGACGAGGCAAGGGCTGAGATGAAGGCTGCCGAGGACGCAGGGCAGCCGTTTGACTGGGTGTATGTGGATGGGAAGCCGGATGAGGAAGCGCTATTTGCTGCGGGGCCTACCGGGACAGCGGGGAGGAAAAGAAAGAGAGCGGCGACGGGGAGCTTCGCCGTGCAGCTTCCCGTGAAGCGGGTGCGAACGCTCAGTGATGAGCTTGTGATTCAAAGTTTGATTCTGGGGCGGATTATTGAGGACGGGGAGATGCAGGTATGATGGGGCGTTTGGGCTTGTACAGGACCGTGGTTTGAGCGTTGGGACATAGAGGGATCTTGGAAAGTGCGTTTCCGGAACAAGCATCGAGGAACGTGGTCACAATTTAGGGAATGGATGAGCATATGGTATGATGGGAGCAGTGGGATGGGGAAAGAGGCTGTGATTGTAATACTATCGAGCCGGCGCAACTGGGTAGACATAACTAAGGAACTCAGATATTCGATCTGGCGGAGGGGAAGGGATGTCAAGACTTTGACGCTGTGAGGTCGGTGACCACCTCAACTTCTCAGTGCGTGGACCTTCCATCGCCATTTCCCAATGTCCTCCTCCTCCAGTGCAACTTTAACCCCGGTTTGTATATTAGCGCGGAACTTACATAGTAAGTATTACACCCCATCTTCCTTCCCTTTACCTTCTTTGTATTCTTTTTTTTTCTCTTCCTCTTTCTCTCTATCTCTGTCCTTCTCTTTTTCCTCTTCTTACTGTTTCCCTTTACATGGATTTCTTTTCTCTGTTTCTTGTTTTCTTACGTCCTTGGTTTCGTTTTTTCCCCATTTCATGTCTAGTGCCCTGCCATATGCCACGCTAACGAACAGACCAGGGTTGGATTGACAGTTCCTTTGGCTCGAGATTACACCTCCCTCGGCATCCACGATCACGAAGAACACGGGACGTCGCACCTCCCGATGTGATCGCCCATCGGGTTCAGACACTGCCGTCCGCAGGAACAGAGCAGCTCGATCTTGTTGTTGGGCACGGTGGCCGACGAGGAGCAGCTGTTGGAGCTTGGCGTTGAGGGGCGAGGTACGGTTGAGGAGGCTGATGTCGTGTCTGTTCTTGTACCGATGCCGGTGCCGGTGCCTGCTGCAGAGAGGCTGACTGGGACGAGTGGGGTCAAGAATGGGGCTGCCGCTGATGTGGTCGACGAGGTTGTGGGCTGGTGTGTCGCCTCTGAAGAAGACTGCTTGGCCAATTCCCCGTTATGGTTGAGGAGGTTGTGATGGTGGTGATAGGTTTTTGTGTAAAGGTTTGCCATATGGTGGGTTCGCTTGAGATGCTGTTCCTTGTGTTCGGGGTGGGGGGTTGGACGGGCTCGCGGAGAGAGCAGCTTGGTGGGTTTTGTGTATGGTTTGGTTTTCTCGAGGTCGTCGTCGGGGGAAGATGTGCCGCCGTGGGCAATCATCTGTTTGTTTGCTTGGTACGACGAGTCGAGCCAGGTTTCCACTGGGCTTGCGTTGGGTGGGAGGCAGATGTAGAGAGCCTGGAGGGGATCCGTTTGGGTAGTGCCGTTGATGCAGTTGTCCCTGTGGGCGTCACAGTATGTTTTGATGATGTCTTCCTCTTTGAAATCTGAGCGGTGGTTAGGGGGCTCAGTAGTGTTTGTTTTGGGTTGGGAATAGGTGTCAGGGGTAATCTCCAAAGGGGGCAATACTCTTGTGATCGCGCAGGATGTAGCCGCAGTACGTAAAGCCAGCACCGCAGACGGGCGCATTTGGGTCGGTACTGCCAGTCGGGAAAGGCGTGGAGGATGAGATGGTCTTGTTGGACGACGACGACTGGACGGAGGAGGTCTGGCTGAGTGCTTCTGCGAGGCCTTCTCGGGCGGTGGCAAGACGCACGGCCACAGCAAGAACGTACGGTTGCTTCATTTCTGTCGCTCGTTAGGAATCAAAGCGTCTTAATAACAAGAAACACGAATTGGATGAGTGCGCTCGCGCTGATAATTGCCGGCCCAACCGCAGGATACACCTGAACCGAGAAGGTGATTGAATAACTGGGAGTCCTCGAAGCTGACATGTGTTCTTATTCAAACACTGGGAACAAGCTCCCTCCCACGGATTTACGATTATGTCCCTTAGGACTTGGAATCCCGGTTGAGTTGGACAGAAGCGCATTACGTTGAGCCTGTCCAACAACAAAATCTTATACATGACACGGCTGCCAGGAGACGGCCCCTGTGCTCAGCCGTTACGGGAACATTTAAGAGTCGTGTACCAGTCCTGTTAGAATACCGTGCTACTACTCGGGCCCTGAGGATGACAGTGCATTGAATACATCATCGTATGCCACTTGATGTGTGAGTTGGGAGGACTCGGGTTGCGATGCTGTGCCAGTTCTCTCCCTTTCCAAACCCCCTCCCCCATCGCCGCCATTGACGCGGCCCGGAGACAGTTCAGAACAGAAGTTACAAAGCATGGCGGATAGCGGTGCGAAGCCTCGGCGTGGGACATGGAGGAAACAGTTCCACTTGTCCGACTTGGTGACGTCCGCCCTTGCGAGATTAGAACCAAGATACGCACAAAACACAACGGGTCAACCTCAAAGACTTGAACTAGCGTTTACGACCTGAATTAGAAAAGTGGTATAAACAATGACAGCCCTCCACTAGTGTGCTGCACACCAGAAGACCGGTAAGACGGGGAGCCCAGTTTTCCCGTCCCGGTAATATCTCATTTCCCTTACCTCTGACTCCAGGACACCGCATCCTCCAATGCAGCTGCTGAGTCCCACTCTCCATGTTCTTTGCAACTCCAGCCAGGCATGTTGAGGCTTCCAACGGCAGTGTCTCGACCGTTCCCCTTGGTTGTTCAAGTACAAATGAAAGCGCAATGAGAGGCGAGTCTCGAAGCAGTCTCTAGCGCCCTTCCGGGGACCGGCAGTGATGCTACGGGCCAGTATATCTGACCTTATCGGATATCCCAGTCCGATTCAATCTGGCCAAGTCATCCTGCCCAGTGCTGTGGTTCACCCGCGGCCCGGGAAGTAGGCAGGGCGGGCTGTATTGTTGATAGTTTTCGGTAACCCGTACAAGATGTGGTTCAGGGCAGATGCCGCCAGCCAGTGATCAGCATGACTGGTAAATGAGCAATGGCTCACCGACATTGGTTATTTCGGGGATGGTGCATTTCAAATCAAACGCCTTGGAGAGCACGATCTTGAAGATCTGCTGACTGTCAGACAATGCTCAGCAAGGGAATCGGCGCCATCGACTGACCTTTTGGACGTTAATGCTGTGGCTGGTGCTGCTGAAGATCAGTGCTGCGCGCATCGCCTTGGCGAAGCGCCGAGCCTAGCATCATTGTGTCAGACAACCGTGAAATCCGAGGAACCCTGGCACTAGCACTGCGCTCATACCTGGTTCGAAATCTCCTCCTGTTCCTCGCGAGACAGGTTCACAAAGTGGTCGTACTTTGTGCCCACAAGAACGGGAATGGCCGTCTTGTTGAAGCCTCGCCCCTGGCGATACCACTCCTTGATGCTGTTCAACGTGCTCTTCCGTGTAAGGTCGAACATGAACAGGATCGCCACAGCATCATTGCATACCAGTGGTAGCATGTTGACGAACTCGCGCTGGCCGCCCAAATCCCAGATGCTGAAGGTGATCTCGGTGTTCCGGATGCTGATGGTCTTCTCCATGAAGTTGACGCCCAGTGTCTGGATGTAGTCCTCGTCCCAGCTACCTTCAACGTACTTGACCATCAGACTTGTCTTGCCGATCTGGGCATCGCCCACCATGCCAACCTTGATCACCACATGGTTGCGCCCGTTCTGCTGCTCCGCCGGTGCTCCGTTGCTGCCTGCCCTCGAGGCCTGGTCCGCTCCGTAAGCCCCGCCTTGTCCCGAGAGGCCGGATGGTGGACGGGATACCGATGGCGCTGGAATCGGCGGGGTCGCGTATCGGGCTGTCGGCTCGCCTTCTGTGTGATCGGGCGGGTAATGCGAGCGAGGAGAATTGTTTACGCCGTGATCGAACGGCTGTGATGGAATGTGGTGCTGTTCGTAGTGGTATCCGTTGTGGTCGTGTACATTTTGGTCTGGCACGGTATGGTGTACAGCGCTCTCGATGCTGCCGAGAGTATCGTCGTGCGGCTCAGTCGGGACGGGGACTGGGGCAGCAGCGGGTGCAGTAGCCGGATCAAAGACCGCATCTGATGCCGGGCCTATGGCCTCATGCTCCATGGTGTTTACACTGCTGTGAAGTTGAGCTGGAGCGCCCGTTGAAAGGTCCGACTGATCCAGGGTGGAGGATGGAGGGATGTACTATGCGGTAGGTGGGGTGTCTCGCACGTCGGGTGCACTGGGCCTCAAAGTGCGCTGGAGTTGAGCGCAAGATGTTCGGGCGATGTCCGTCTGATGAAGGAGGGCGGGAGAGGGGGGTTGATGGGCGGTGTACGGAACGTCTTTGAGCTAGCCAGATGACGACTTCACGGAACCCGTGTCGGGGTGGTGCCAGCTGAGTCTCGATCGTTTTGTTCGCAGTGGACGGTCGGGTGCGGAGCCGGGTCGGGTCGATGGGCCACCCTTTCGCTGTCCTGTCACTCGTTCTCCGTTTGTTGTGCCCGCCAGTGGCTCGATCTCGGTCACTCGCCCGGCCCGGTGCAGTCCAGAAATAAAATGTTGTGGATAATGCGACTGGGAGGAAGTGCAGCCTTCAACTTGTGGATTTGGACTTGGAAGGGAAGCGAATCGAAGCCAATTCAATGAGTGCAGGGGCGGTTGCCGAGCCCACAGGTACCCACACTGCTGGTGTTGGGGCTCCTCCACTGCTGTCCTGCGACGATTTCAATCATCAGTACAAATTAGGTTACGTGGTACTAGCGATTGGGAACGAGTTTTCCTATTTCCGAATCTCCACCCTGCCCAAGTGAAATGGAAATTCCTAGACTATCTTGAATGTCAGGTGAAACATAGGTTTCTACTAGGATAAGTTAGTTAATATTAATTAGAAGAGTTATAAGTTGAGGTTAAGATGTTGGAAAGCCCACTTCGTTTCCTAGTAGTTCATCTAAGATACTTGCACCTCTTGCGAATATATTGCTCTTGCGAGTGTATTACTCTTGCTGCCACGGTAGGGGTAATCTCACCTCTTACTTTCCCTTTTTTTCTCTCTTGCTTGTTTTCTACATTCCTTAGTTCCAGGTTTCTTTTATCTCATTTCATATCTAGTGCCCACTATGTGCCACGCAAATGAACAACCCGGGTTGGATTGTATCCGTACAATTCCAGGTCGAATGCCTGCAGCATATCATGGGACGCGCCAGTGCCGTGCCGTAGGTGCGTTACTTTCAATGTTGACGCGATACGTTTTCAATGATCGGCCTTCCGAAAATCGAAGAATCAAGCACCCGCGGGGGTGAATCGAGAGGTGGAGTATCGATGCAATGCAGCAGATCGATCCATCTGGTTGAAAACAGACGACAACAAACAACCATACACAGTACGGCATCCGTGGGCACCCGGCCTGTGTAAGCATGCAGCCGCTCCGTCTCAATAACCGTTGTACACCTAAAATTGTTGACTCCATTCGCATATATTAATTCCCGCCTGTAGTAGCCATGTCGTAAGCGGTTTGTTGTTATGAGCGTGGGGTTGCAACTGTTGTCATCCTGCGTGCCTGTCCGTTCATTTGGTTGCGGGGCCAGAGCAGCCATGAGATCGCTTTCGCTTATGTAAAGCGGCGGTGACAGCGGCAGCTATGCCCTGCTCTCGTGCTCTGACTGGCCCGGCCGCCAAGTGACCGGCGATTGCCGGCTCATTCGCGATTTGCTGCCGCAATCCGACAGTCAGCGGCGTCATTCGATTTTATCTTGGTGCAACCGCCCGACTTTACCTCAAGCGCCATCGAAGCTATAATCTTCCCAGCAACCAAACCCCGTATCTTGCAATGGCTACAATTGCGCGGTGCTTGAGGGTCGTCCGGCCCACGGCGTACTCTGCCGTTCTCAGGAACTCGGCTTCCCGCACAATCGGTGCCCGTCCATTTTCCATGACCGCTACAAGTAAGGAGCACCCAAATCTAGAAGCTTGATGCAACACTGCTGACTTCGGTTCCGCAATCGGGTGGTAGATGCGGTAAGGAAATACACCAAGGAGCACGAGTGGATTGACCTCTCCGGCGACATGAAGACGGGCGTCCTGGGCATCAGCGAGTATGCCGCCAAGCAGCTGGGCGATATCGTGTATGTCGAGTTGCCCGAGGAGGGCAAGGAGGTCCAGGCAGGCGACGCCATTGGAGCCGTCGAGTCCGTTAAGAGCGCCGCCGACATCAACGCCCCCATCTCTTGCAAGATCACCCAGATCAACCTGGTGTTGGAGGAGAAGCCCGGTACTATCAACCAGGTCGCCGAGGACGACTCACACGGCGGCGGTTGGATCGCAAAGGTCCAAATTACTGAGGAGGGACTGAAGGATTTTGAGCAGCTGTTGGACGCCAAGGCGTATGAGGAGTACACTGCCGAGGAAGGCGAGCACTAAGGGACTTCCCTTAGCAGCTGTAGATTGTTCGAGAGTCTTGGAGGGCGGCGGATTACGGGAAGACCTGTTGCATCATTTCTTTGGGGGCAGTTCAACCTGATAGAGACATGGGCCTAAAAGGACTGTACCATAACAGGCTTCTGGGACGACCAGGCGTTTGGTTCTACGCGCGTGAGTTCGAAGGGGCGTTCAACAGGCGGTCAATGCAACAGTAGATGACGGAGCTGTCATCGGCAGCTCATTAGGAGCGGACGAGAGTTAGGAGCTGGTCATGGAGAGATATCTAATCATTACAGGAAAGGTCATGGCTCAACTAAATCGCCAATGTTGTTACACAATTGCTTTACGCATCACCAACTTTGAGAGCCGCCCCTGAGGCCCGCCCCATGTTGATGTCGTCTAATATTTGCTGCGCCCCCATTCCAGCAAGCTTCTGAGCCAACTCTTTGCCCATGCTCTCAGCCTGTGCCAGGCTGGTGATCTCTTCTGTCGCTTCACCATCCACAGCCTGTGTCCCATCCAGACTCACCACCACCGCCCGCAACCTCAACTTCTTCTTATTGTCCCCAACAGTTTCCCCCTCCACCCACGCCGTCTCCACGCCGATCGGCACGCTGCACCCACCCTCTAACGTGCGCATGACAGCCCGCTCGGCAAAGCACGCCATCATCGTCGGCGTATCCTCCACGGCCTTCAACAGCTCCTTCATCCGGTCATCGTCCTCCCGCACCTCCAGCCCCAGCGCGCCCTGGCCCACAGCATGCAGCAACCCACCCCCTTCACTGCTCGAGTCCAGGTACTGCGAAATTCGCTTCCCCAAGTCCAACCTCAGCAGCCCGGCCGCAGCCAGAATAATCGCATCATATCCCTCCTCGTCACACTTCCTCAGCCTCGTATCAATGTTCCCCCTCACATCCCGAAACACTAACCCAGGGTACCTCCTCTTGAGCTGCGCCGCCCGGCGCACGCTACTCGTCCCTACCACAGCCCCGTCCGGCAGGTCGGCGAGCGTCTTGTACCGCCCGTTCTCTTCGTGCTGTTTGCTGAAGACCACCACGTCCCTGCGGTCCTCCCGGCCCGTGACGCACGCCAGCACGCAGCCCGGCGGGAGCGAGGTCGGCATGTCTTTGAGCGAGTGCACAATGACGTCGAGCTCGCGCGAGACCAGCTGCGCCTCGAGCTCCGACGTCCAGAGGCCCTTGCCGAGCGCCGGCAGCGGGGTCGTCTTGTCGCGGTCGCCCATCACAGAGACAGAGTGCACCTCGAAGGTGACGTGCGGGTGGGCGCGCTTGAGGGCATCGATGACCACTTCGGTTTGGCGTAGGGCCAGCGCGGAGCGGCGCGTGCCGACTTTGAGGGTGACGGGCTTCGGTTGGGTGCTCATCGTGGCGGGATGCTCGGTTGTTGTTGATTGGCGTGGGTTGAATGGCCTTACTGCGCGGGAAGTGTTTGGGTCGAGGGGCAGAGGAGGGGACGGTGTTTGTACGGAAGGAGCCCGAGTGAAGTTCCAGACTGTCGGTACCTCGGTCGGTCAGATCCAGTGCCCTGTGTTTATCGGGGATGGTGGCGGGTTGGCGGGGCAGAGTTTGATTTACCCTGGGAAGAATGTCGGGGTCCAGCGGTGGGGTGCGGGGGCGGGGTAACGCATCGGAGCGGATGCCCTAAGGTCTGTCCTCATCAGGAAAGACTCTAACGATGGATTGGAACTGGGCAACAAGACATGCGATTCCAAATCAAATAATGTCAAATCAAATAATGTCAACGGGATGCTTTTGAGCTGCAACGGAGACCCTTAAAAATATCAGGTACTGTACTTGATACCAGGTGATGTCAACATCCTCCCATGTCTCCATCTCGGCCATTTCCCTGCTGGCGTAGTGTCTCTAAGTAAACGAAGCCTTCGTCTCCCGGAATTGGTGTGTAATACTCCCGTATCTAAGTTTGAATTGTCAGCAATAGCTGAACCATTTCGTCTGAACCTGGCTAAGTCAACAGTTTTCTGTATTCTGCGTGATGGCCAAGAGAAGGCGATTTGCGACCCGTCTGTTTTGTTTTTTCTGACTCGAGGAACGTTAGGTCGACCGCATGTCTCGACATCCCTACTTCTCAGTCGGTTCTTCTTGCTGAGAGGCCTGCAAGCCAATCGGTTTCTCAGCCAACTATGAAGATGGTGTCAGTATTCCTAAGGGGCGGACTTTGGCGGAGTTTTCGCAACTCACACTATCTGTTGGCTCGCCCAGTTGCCTGGCCTCGCCCTGCTCAGAGTCTGAGCTGGCGCTGGATGGCGTCGTCGCGCCCTCAGAATCGCTGCTGCTTGCGCTCTCCGAATCGGAGTTTCGAGTCTTTTCAACTGCCGCCTCGAACTTGGCTTGTGGCGTTGATTCGGCCTCGGATTCTCGGCTGGGTGCTGCCACTTGTTCGACCACTTTTTCTTCCCCAGCGGGCGCCCCCCGAGAAGGTCCGGGACGGACACCCCCGCTTCGCAAATACAGGACGCCCGGAACCGTGACCGCCAGAGCGGCAATTTGCCTGGGAGAGAAGGAGATTGGACGTTGTCAGCTCTGTCACGATCAAATATCCATAACCAAGCAGACGCATGCCACCAACTCCAATCCAAGCTTACCATGGCCTGTCGCTTCCAGTGGCAATGCGCTCTTGGAGGGTCTCGTAGCCTCTCCGGCCCGTGGACTGGGTGAATTGCCATGGGGTACGCTGGCGAAAGGCGGCCCGAAGATTCGGCCGCAACGACGAGACTCTGCTTGCATGCATGTTTAGATGCGCCTGACAAACCTGATTTGAGTTGTGCAACAGTTCATGTGCGTCTGCTCCCCGCAAACGGCAACCCTAAAACTTAGACATATCTAACGCTCGGTCCGGTCCTAGGTCCGTGATATGGACGAAGAGTGACGTATGCCATTTGGGACAATTTAAGAGACGCATCTTTTTTCAGTGATTGGGCGGCCAAAGCTTTTGGTTTCTCGTCCTTGCATTCTTCTTGTACAGTGGTTTATAATATTTACCACTTGCTAGACGTAGTTCCAGGTTTCAAGACCGGGAGACAACGCAAACAAAGGTCTTTATACCTTTGCTACTACCTTTGGTACAATATATCATGGAGTTTTGTTTCAAAGCAGAGCATAGAGGTCCTTTCTTTTTCGTGTAATTCCCTGTAACATTTCGTGTATAGTATCGAAAGTACGGATCCGCACCTTGCCAATTGCAAGTGGATTTTATGTGCCAGAAATTTGCCTGCCTCTTGGCCTTGTTCCGGCAGGCAGCAACGGGAGCTTCACTTCAGCCCTGCGGGCGGCTTCCAGTTGTTGCTCCAAACCCGCGGAAGATTGTGCCCCACCAACATCTACATCCTTGGTTCCCGGGTAGGAGAGTGGAGGGCATGTGTCTGGCTGACTACACTGTAGACCAGTTTATTGAGAAGTCATCAACAGCTTTGCATCCTCAACGATTTTAGATCGCCAAAGAGTTCTGACGTTTCGGTCAGCTCCCTGCGTCGGTCACCATGGCGACCACCATCCCGACGAACCCGACCCCGCAAACAGTCAGCCAGCTTCTCACCAAGATCACCGATGCCGACCCCGATTTCCGGTTCATGGCACTGAGCGACCTCCTCACCGTCTTCACCATCGCGAAGCCAGATTTTTTGAATCATGACTACAACACGGCTGCCCGAACCGTTGATCATGTTGTGCGCGCCTTGGACGACCAGAATGGCGAGGTCCAGAACCAGGCGATCAAATGGTAAGGGTCCCAGAGCGATCTTGCGCACAAGGCTCTATCTAACATTGGGTTGCAGTCTCGGCCCGTTGGTCAAGAAGGTCACACCACAATTGATCGCACCGATGATGGAGAAACTGTGCAGCCTGAAGATGAAGAACTCGGTCGACAATTCCATACCCTCCATGGCCATCCGGGCCGTGGTCGAAGCCCTGCCCCGCCCAGTACCCGGTGTGCCAACAAGCAAAGAGGTTAACGAGGCCTACGCCAATCTCAGCAGGGTCCTCATTCCCCGCTTTCTGGGCCGCACGGGCTCTGCCGGCAAGAGCCTCCCGGGTCTCCTGGATCCCGAGGACCCAAACTCCGACTCGGTCGACGTGCTTATCGAGGTTGTGCGGTGCTTTGGGCCCATGCTGCAGTCCTTCGAGATTGAAGCTCTGCACAATGCCGTGGTCACAATTTTGGAGAAGGACAAGGGCAACTCTGTCGTTAAGAAGAGGGCGGTCGTGGCCATCTCTATGCTGGCTCACTACCTCACTGATGATCTTCTCGCAGCCTTTATCAAGCGCATCACAGGGGTACTAAGCCAACCCCAGCCGAAGGATGCCACTCGTCGACTCTACATCACCGTGCTGGGCTCCATGGCTCGCTCGATCCCTTACCGATTCGGCCTCCATCTGAACGAGCTGGCACCCCTTGTTCTCCGCGTGCTGAGCGAGGAGGAGCTTCAAGCACAACTTGACGAGATCAGCGAGAGCGGAGGGGCCACCCTCGAGTTCAATGAAGTCCGAGAGGCCGCTCTCGTTGCCTTGGAGGCCTTCCTCTCCTCGTGTCCGACCCAGATGCGTGTCTTCACCAACGAAACCATTGAAGCCTGCATCCGATACCTGAAATTCGATCCCAACTATGCGGTGGACGACGATGAGGAAATGGAAAACGAGGAAGAGGAGGAAGATGAATTTGAGGAAGACGATGAGTTCGAGGCCGCCGGTGGTTTTGATGACGACGATGATGCGAGTTGGAAGGTGCGGCGCTGCGCTGCGAAAGGACTGTACACCGTCATCTCGACTAGGAGCAGCGGCGACCTTCTCGACAATGGGATGCTCTACCGCGCAGTGGCTCCCGCTCTCGTCAGGAGGTTCGGCGAGCGCGAAGAAAATGTACGCCTTGAAGTTCTGTCGGCAATGTCACTGCTCGTCCGCAAGACTGGCGAGGGCATGCTACCTCCATTCCCTGACGACAGTACCCAGAGCGACTACCCGAATCAGCCGCCCACCAGCCGTAAGCGTCGGCGTCAAAGCAGCGTGGGTGGGCCCTCCTCACTTACTCGACTCGCTGGCACCGGCCTCACTTCACCAACCATGGAGAAGGCCCCGGTCACAGGCCCCCGTGCCGAATTGGCCAAGCTCACACCAGCCATCATCAAGCCACTCACAAAGCTCCTTAAAGGAAAGCTCATTCCGACGAAGCAAGCATGCATCAAGCTGCTTGATGACATGGTGTGCGTGCAACGGGGTGGTCTCGATCCGTTCTTTGACCAGATCGTCGTTCCCGTGATTGAAGCAATCAAGCCCTCGAGCGCTGCATCAACATCGGCCTCACTCTCATCTGCTGGTGGCGGCGCTTCCGCAACAGCAACTACCTTGAGGATCGCTGCGCTTCACCTGACCAGCAATATCGCCAAGCACCACTCTTCAGCGGTGCTGCAACCCCATCTTTCCAAGATTGTCGCTGGCGTCGTTGCTGTTGCACACGATCGATTTTACAAGATTTCGGGTGAGGCCATTCAGACGGCCGAGGAGATGATTAAGGCCATCACCCCGCCGCGGTCCCGTATGACGGCACAGAAGTTCAAGGACGAGTTGCAGAAGCTCTACGAGGTGGTTATTGATCGCGCAACGGCCAATGATGCCGACGCTGAAGTTCGGCAAAAGGCCATCCATGCTCTGGGTACACTTTTGGCTCGAACAACTGGCGAGGAAGGGTCGACCCTTTTGCCTGACGCCAAGCGTAAGGCAGCGCTTGCCTGTCTGTTGGAGAGACTCAAGAACGAGACCACTCGGTTGGCTGCCGTCCGGGCTGTCGACACTGCTGCGGCCATGTCAGTGGATGGTGTTCAGTTCGAGCCACAATGGACCCGCCAGGTCATGGTCGAGCTCGCCTCCCAGTTGCGCAAGTCAAACCGCTCACTGAGAGGGTCAAGCGTCATGGCACTGAAGCACCTCACTCTGTCGCCTGCTACCAAAGGCACCCTGGACGAAACGACTGTGCAAAGCGTCGTGGATGCGCTGATTCCCGTCATCAACAACAACGATGCCCAACTACTTGGTCCTGGCCTTCTTGTGCTTGCCCGCCTTACCCAGGAGATGCCCAGCGTCGTCATTACTGGGTCACTCATTGCCTCGCTGTGCAAATTGCTGCAGACAACCGTTATCGGTACTGTCCTCGATTCCCTCCTAGTTCTTGTCACTGAAGCAGGCCAGAAGGGACAAGGCAGGCCACTTATGGGCGCATTCTTGAAGGATGTTGGCATAGGAGGTGATCCTTCGATCGTTGGCAAAGTCATAGGCACACTCCTCGTTGCCAGCGGAGATTCCTCGGGGGTCACCCTAGACAGCTTTGTTCAGGAGATTGGCGCCAACCCTGACGACCAGGCCAGAAGCAGCCTGGCACTGGCCGTCATTGGCGAAGCCGGATTGCGTCTCGGCACCAGCTTCCCAATCCCGCCGACGCTGTTCTTGAAGCAGTTCACTGACGAGTATGACAAAGTCTCAGTCTCGGCAGCTATTGCCCTTGGCCGAGCTGGAGCGGGCAACGTCTCGGTTTACCTGCCCGTTATCCTGCAGTCTATGCAGCAGAAGGGCGGAAAACTGTACCTGCTTCTGCAGTCTATCAAGGAGATTCTCCAACAAGTCGCGGTCTCCTCCGCCGACATCAGGCAGTTCTCGGGTTCCATCTGGGAGCAGATACTTGCTGCCAGTGCCGCTGAGGACAACAAGGCTGTCTGCGCAGAGTGTGTGGGCCGCATGGTGATCATTGATCCGGATACGTTCATGCCCAAGCTTGAGGTGGGCTCCCTTTCCTTCAGGTTTCGACTCTATTGTCCCGCTAACGGAGGAATAGGCCCTGATTAGAAACGACTCGCCACTGCTGAGGGCCATTGCAGTTCAAGCCCTCCGTTATACTCTCCCAGATGACAACGAGGCGTTTGATGTTGTCCTCAAGAACTCTCTTGTCGATATGCTCAAGACTTCGCTCAGTGATTCGGACATGGAAATCCGCCGCCATGCCATGTCGACACTGACTTCAGCGGCGCAAAACAAGCCCGAATTGATTCTGAGCCATCTCAATCAGCTGATGCCCTTCGTCATGAACGAGACGGTCGTCAAGCCGGAACTCATTCGTGAGGTTCAAATGGGTCCGTTCAAGCACATCATTGACGATGGCCTGGAAGTGCGAAAGGTATGTCGACGCCACTCCTTACTGTGTTGGAAGGGGTTCCCTGACAGACGTTGTGGTCCAGGCGGCCTATGAAACTTTGTATGCGCTTATGGAGACTGCTCTATCCCACGTGAGCATTATCGAGCTCTATGAACGCATTGTCGCTGGCCTCACTGACGACAACGACATCCGCGCTCTCTGCAATCTGATGGTGTCGAAATTGGTTTACCTCGACCCTGATGAGACGATCCGTCGGCTCGACTCAATTGCGGAGGGCTTCCGGAAGACTCTATCTCACAAGCTCAAGGACAACGCCGTCAAACAGGAGATCGAGAAGCAAGAGGAGGCCAACAAGTCGGTTCTGCGCCTTACGCTGCTCCTGGGAGACAAGCTCAACAAGGCTGCCTTGAACACGACGGGTGGTGCCGGCGCGGGGGCGGCCGCCGGCGGTGCTGCTGGTTCGAACCCGGTGTGGACCAGTTACTGGGAGTGGGTCAACAGGGACTTCGCAAGCCAACTCAAGACCATCCGGGACGAGAGCAAGACTGCTGGTCTCGATGACGTCTCGGCCTAGAAGGAAATGTCCCTGGGCTTCTATCTCCGCCCTGACTGTCGTCCCCCTCCCTCTCCTGACTTTTCGTGGTCCTCATCAGAGTCTTCTTCGTCTACGGACGATGAGCTCTAAGAGACTGGACGGAGGAGAGTAATGAACCATGCACCCAAGTTCCTGCGGAGACAGGCCGAGTTCTCGAATGGTTTTCGGACTGAGCAGAGCTTGGGCTTATGGGTGCAAGACATCACGGGATACGGGTTTATTATGCGTGCTACAGCGGAACAGTGCAGCATATGAAATTGACAGCAAAACTTGAAGTTAAAACCTAGCTTCCTCGTGAACACTGCAGTGATTATGGAATTATTGATTAAGCATTAACTGGTGCTGACGCTCCTGTCCAAAGGCGCCTTCTAATCTAATCTGTGTACATTCAGAGATGCATACCTTGTCTTTTTTTCGTTTCCCCCTAGGCAACCCTCTCATCAGGATACCGTCTTGCGAACATGCCCAGCGCCTTCATGGGGAAAATGAACTTGTAGTTAGGGTACGAAATCATGCAGCTCTTGTTGAAGACGCCCTCGATGGCCTCCTGCAGCCACTCGCCGTTGGGCTGCTGGCGCTTCATGAGCAACCTGATGCCCCTCTTGATGGGCTCCTTGTCCGGGTAGTTGGCCTTCATGAGGCCGATGAGCGCCCAGGCGGTCATGACGACTTGGGAGCCGGTTGGGTGCTCGACATATTCGCCGGTTTCGCAGGCCTGATTTTTCACGATTTCAGTTCTGGCACATTCTTCCAGCGAGGAGGAGCAGGGCGTGGGGGTTAGAGAGGGGTTTGGTGAAAGGAGGCTTCGCTCACCTTGTAATGCTCCGACCAACCGCCGTCGGCGCGCTGCTTCGAAAGGAGGAATTCGCACCCGCGCTTGGCGTGGAAGCTGTTTGCGTACGTCTCACCGGTGCTGGACAGGCTCTCGAGCGCGAACATGGTGGCGTAGGTAAAGCAGATGCCCCAGCTGCCGTACCAACCCCCGTGCGGCCGCTGGGCGGTCTTGATCCACGCCACGGCGCGGACGATGAAGCGCTCGATCTCCTTGCCGCGGTAACGCGGCCAGTGCTTGTGGAAGAGCGACAAGGCCGTGACGACGGCGGTGGTGCACTCCGGGTACTCATACTCGACCATGATGCGGCCAAAGACTTCGGCTGCGTTGAGCATCTCCATCCAGGGGCCGGCGCGGGGCGGTTCGTAGGAGGAGCAGCTGCCGCTGGGGTTTTGATAGGTCAGGAGGGTGTCGATAGCGTCAAAGATGCGTTGGTCGTCGATCAGCGTGGGGAACCCGGGCGTCTTCTGCAGAATGATGACGGCTTTGAGGGCTTCCGAGACGCAGTCGCTGACGACGTAGCCTTGGTCCTTGTTGCTGAAGGCCCAGCCGCCCTTGCGTGTCTGGCGGTAGCACTTCCCTTGGTCCTTCACGTTTTCACGGATCTGCTGCTCGTCGAGAAATTCGAGGGCTTTGAGCAGCATGGCCCTGTATCGTGAATCCTCGGTCAGACCTGCATCCATCACGGCTTGGATGGCGAACGCCGTGTCCCAACACTGCACTCCGTTGGTGCCGTTGGCAAGCAGGCCTTCGTTCTTGACCCAGAGAAATTCATGGGACCTCTCTCTGTGCCGGCGCACAGCATACGAGTCGGGGCCGTCCCGAGCGTACAGACAAACGAGGTTCATGGGGCCAGACACGGTGGCCAGATCCGCGTGATCCGTGTTTTCGTTCTCCATCTCGATGAGCCTCATTGCCCAAGTCTCGGCCTTGTCAGCCAGGGCCTGTGTTCTGAAGATGGGCTTCCAAACATTGACAAGGAACCAGTTGATTAGGTTGAGCAGCCATGTCTTGGGGTGGTAGTTGTCCCTTGGATGAATGGTGTTGCGGTGGGCGGCCCAATTGATCTTGTCCCAGTCCTCGACGAAGAGCTCTTTGCGGAGGGAGCGTAAAACGTCGGTCTCTTCGGCTTGCCAGCGCCTGGACCAGAGGTAGCTCATGGGGAGGAAGACCTGCCGAATGTGGATCCACCATCTCCAGGGTGCGAAGGGAACACAATCTGGCAGAAGCCACAGCTCGGGTGGCACAGGGTTGACAATGTCCCAGTTCGCGACTCCCAACACAGCAAGCCACCACTTTGCCCAGTGCGGGGCGTGTGTTGCACCGCCGAGCTGGTGTAGGGTAGCGCGGGCCTTGACCATCTTAGGGTGGTCGGCGTCGACACCCACCAGTCGCAAGACGGTGTAGTTGAGCACCGTTCCAAACACAGATGTCTCACCCTCGATATGCAGACCCCATCCGCCGTCTTCGGGGTGGGCTCGGGCAAACAGGTAGTTCTTGATTTCGGTGGCGTAATACCAGGGGATCGGCGTCTTGGTCACGTACCAGGCGAGGACGACGCAGGGCAGGAGAAACATGGGACCGCCATACTCGCATCCCCAGTGGCCGCTCGGAAGTTGAAGCTTCATGAAGAATTCGAGACCGTTTCGGACGGCATCAAGGGGTTCCTTGGGCTTGGGGAGCTGGGGCAGATCCTGCACACACAAATCAGCCAGCTGCTAGGACAGGCAAGACACTTTGTCGCCCGAGGCACTCACCAGGGGCAGGCCAAGATAGTACTTGTCGGCGTAGGTCTGGGGCCACTCCTTAGCCTGCTCGTCATCCTCGAGGTAGTGCCATGTATGTCTGCCGTGATCGTCCCGCATGCGCCAGCGGGAGTAGTCGGTCCTCTCTTTCAGCTCGGGCCGCTGTCGTTTGGCATCGTGGTCCAGATCGCCGGCGTTGCTGAATCGCTTCCGGGTCGCGCCCTTCTTCAGCAGCGGCTCTGCGTCGTCCGCCGCTGCGTTGTTGATTTTTCGTCGCACCATCTTGGTAATTCCGCCCCGCTGATGAGACGACAATCGGTAGGGGAAACAGAGCTGCTAAGAGTTCGCCCCGTCCTGCGTTTTATTTATTCGACAAGTCTTCCCGTCCGCTGAATTCGCCAATCATAACGCGACTCAGGCTGCCCCACGCTCAAATTGTCCCGGCCGATCTGTCACATGCATGCAGAATGATGCCCCTGGGCCCTGTAGGGGGTCCGCGGGACGCCTGCAAATGAACAACTCCGAGCTCCCCGCAATTCCGTCAACTCCACTCTGGCCTGGCAAAGGGGAGTCTTTCGGTCGTTCGTATGCTTCGACAAGAGCGTGAGACGGAAGGAACGATCGCGAGCGAGATGTTCCAATTCGGCGGGGCAATCTGCGGGGCATCAACGCCTTCCAGGGCCACAGCACGCAAATATTCCATTTTGACATTCTGATCTCAGAAAGTCTCAGCACGAAGGACCCGACACTCTACCCTACCACCACTTTCACTCTTATGGCTTTACCGGATACGGAAGTATGTTTTCAAAGTTCAGGGGCTGAACAGTACCTCCTGAACGCGCCGCGGAACCTCGAGTACATTACCGCGCAGCCATCACCAGACACGCTTGCACTCGAACACAATATGATACAGGTCCCTTGCGTTACTCAAAGGGGAGCCCTCTCTCGGATCGAAAACCTGCTCGAGTCCATCGTGGATGCAGTCAGCAGCGGGAATGAGCTCGTCATTCCGTACAAGACACCCCGCTCATCGCAAAACGGAACCAACGCGGCAGCCTCACAAAGTGATGACCGCCAGGCTGATGTGGTGAGATTTCCTGGACGGACAGTTCAGGAGGCCAAGAAGTTTGGTACGAGCGGCGGAGTAAGAGGCATTCGGGTTCCAAGTGCCTTGGGCTCACAACCCGGGTGTTGTACCAGAAGCTCTTTTCCGCATCATCGAAATGTCCCACGAAGCGCTCCTCTCTGGATCTTTCGTGACGAAACGGTGAGAATCAACTAGCGCTTCTCTGTTACAGATCTGGCAAGAGGGTGACGCCCGTCATGCGGCTGACAGCTTTGCCCCAGGAACATCTACTACCAGAATCCGGACCTGTTCAAGTCACAGAGTGTTGTTGACGACATGGTGGATAACCTTGCCTTATCCCTTGGGGTCGGTCGGGAAGATCTCAACATTGTAAGTTCTTGCATCTCTACCTGGCGTCGCCGACTTGATCCGCCCGACTGATGATGCCAAGGTTGCTGCCGCGAAAGGCCTCATTTCCGGACCAATTGATTTGATTCTCCGTGATGGTTCCAGTCACAGCTGCGACATCCCTGGCGATACCGTGGGTATTCTTAAACCCCCACTGCGGCGAAACCGTTGACCATTGGCAATAGGGGATGCTGCTGCCATTTACCACTTCAATACACAAGATCAACTTCCGTAGTACGCGATGGTTGTTGGTCATTGAGAAAGAGGTACGGATGCCTCGGCCCGACATATGCCTACTGCAGGATACACATTCGCTCACAGCTCAAGGCGACGTTCCGGACGCTGGCCGCGTCACAATACTGCAAAACTTCTCGGGCAGGACATGGCATCCTTATGACGGTATGTGGCGGTACTGTTGGAGCTCTCGCGGTCGGAGACTCCCGCGTGGAATTGACTGACGTGATGATTCTCAGGCAAAAGGCTTTCCAGACTTGGCCACCAGACGCTTCCTCTCCATCCTACATACCGTCCGGCCCCAGCTGGAGTTATTTGCCCTGGTGGACTTCGATCCCCACGGCGTTGCAATCATGCGAACCTACAAGTATGGCAGCCAACGGCTAGTTCACGAGGAGAACGCTACGGCTCCACGGCTTCGATGGCTCGGCATACGCAGCGATGACATCGTGACCAACGCCTTTCCCGGCCGCCAGGAAGCATACGAAGCATCCCAGGGTCAGAGCTGCCAAGACCCTGCCAATCAGGACTCTGTGGCCTACTCCTTTGACGGTATGACGTTCCCTAAACAGTTTACAATCGCTTCATCTTTACTGAAGTTGGCGTACAGGGTGTTCGCAGAACGAGAGACCGGCGAAGAGGGCAAGGACCAGCAGGATAGAAGGAACATGCGATTCAATGTTACCACTGACGCAGCGTGACCGGAAGAAAGCTGTCGATATCATGGGAGAGATCGCTTGCACAGAACTTCTGGACATGGACGGGGTTGATCAGCTGCGGGAATTGCAGCGGATGCTGATGCTCAACATCAAGGCCGAGATACAGGCCGTGGACAACTACGGCGACATTGCTGACTGGCTGGATGGAAAACTAAGCATGTAGCATCTGCAATTTTAGAAGACGAGTCTTCCAGCCACTGCAGCCTGCATGCACCCCGTCGATTCGCGATTGACCCAACCATACGGATCCGTACACCCAATCGTTATCAACAGTTGAACTCTCTCGTTTGCCATTTTCTCCAATCCCATTACCACAGGACAAAACCGCGCTTCGTCTTGCGAAACATCATATCTCCAGAAACCCGTACCGACATATTAGACCTCGATCTAACAACTGTCCCTTCTAGGCCATTTCGAGCTATGCCTTCGCCTCAAGCATCTGATGACAACGATGTGTGTATATCTTTGTGGCTAACGTCAATTTCCCAGATTATCCGATGACCCTCGAGGAGAAACGCGAGAAGCTGATGGCCACGCATCGGCGGATCCAGGCCAAGTACGACGCTGGGGCACTGTTCTTGACAAAAATCGTATTTCGAGACGTGGTACGGCAAACCGAGAGCAATACCGCTCCTGATCAAAAGGTTTCTGTGACTGGCCTGGACGGGCTCCCCGTCTTCTTCCCTATCGAGACTGGGAAAGAATTCTGTGATGGATCTGGCGACGACCACATTTGTATCATGTAATAAATACTACCCCTCCCCTTCCTGACCTCTGTTCTGGGTTTCTAATTCACACCAGCACGAAACCAAGACTCCTGTACCGCTCCATAGAGGGGGCTACTCGACGACAAGGATCCAAACTTCTACTCGGTGTGCCGTGCCTACTACTAGTCAAGGTGGGCCATTCAACAGAAGTACAGGATAGACAAACCAACAGACTTGTGGACTCTGGCCCCCCGCAGACTACGCCACTGTGAAGTCCTGGTTTGAAAAGGCAAGGCGAGCCATGAGAGATAGCGAGCATTTTGCACAGCCCAAGTCTACTCTCACTTCGGTGACCGTCTCACTTGGCATCAATAAAGTTGTCGCGCTCGGGTGCAACACGATGACCTGGGCGGGCCAAGACGCCGCTAAGCCTCCCATGGCTCAGCACGTTTTAGCCCTGACTCTACGAGATCTCTTGGCCAGCAGCTACGTAACGGCCGGTTAAGGTGGCAGTGGTTGCGGAATCACATGCTATGCCGAGGACCCGAGTTACACTTCGGTCGATGGGCAGGTCTTACGCGGAGCCGGCTTTGCTGTCATCGATGACACAAGGGCCTTTCTCCTAGTCGACGAATCAAGTGTTGTCATGGCCGTCGCCCCGGATATTCCAGTAAGGCAGATTGTGGCGGACGTCGCCCAGCCTGCGATGATGATCTGGACAGTTCGAGGCCACAGACACATACAGGTTCAGACAAATTGATATTTTCACTTATTTGCTAGGACATGATCGACCTCACTGCTGCTACTAGTACCGATCGCGTTTCGCTGGAAGAATACATCGAGTTGCCATGTGCGGCCGATCACGTGTATTTTGGGGATTTGGCTATACCTCAAAAAGGTAGACTGAACAGTGGCCAAGGAATGTGTGGCGGCGTTTCTGAAGATCTCAGCCGTGTGGGCGGCACAGTGACGACCATACCGCCGCCATCATAGTCGGTCCATTCTGCGACAGACGGTGGCAGTGGGCGGGATGCCGCAGCTCGGTACATTCCTAGAGTGATTCTTTCGACAACTTCGCAAACTCGTAGGCGGCTGGCACATCGTGAATATTGTTTGAGAGTGCCCTTTCCTCTCTGAATCCGGTTCAAGTTCGGGTGCGACAATGGGTCGAGGTTGGTCAGTTGATGTGTCAAGTCGGATCCTCTGGAGTTGGTGTTGGCCGGCGTTGGTACAGCTCTTCCTCCTCGAGGCTCTCCTCCTCTTGCAGGCGCTTGCACGAGGTTCGGCAGCTTGGCGCCTTTGTTCCCGCCTTCTATCCTCCCAGTCGCGAACTTGGCTTTGAGCTTTAGTTCTGCCCTGCCAAAGCCTGAATTCGATGAGATGGTACCCCGCATGTACGGCGGTTGCCAGCTGGACCAACTGGACTGGTATTTGAGTGGACAAGCATGCCGTCGCGATAACGGCCGGGAATGTTGCCTACATTGTGTAAAAGAAGGATATGTTGGCGTGGCCATGGCCACGATCATGAAATGTCTTGGACTGGGTTGGGCTCTGCGCTTAACGGGCTTCAGACGCTTCGGTGGTCTTCATATAATTAGCCCTTGCAAGCTTGAAGTGACGGCGCGACGGCTTGGCGAGTGGTTTCCTTTGGTAGAAGCAGTGAGGGAATCGATAGCGCTTAAAGTCAGCCGGCGGTTGTGGGCGCTGGCAACCAGCTCTCAGCAAGTCACGCCCGGCGGAGACCTAGGCAAGTTCACTTGCTAACTCGGCGTTTTCTTCAGTTGTTACAGCTGAGGCACGGTATGCAGCCAAGTTGATTAGCTTAGATTCCCAAAAGCCCAGTGATCTGGAGAATTTGATGTGTCAAGATTATATTCTATGTTGCATATAAGTCTCTTTGGTCTTCAACGAAGTCCTATTTCGAATTATCTCGGTCTTATTTTCTGTGTGACTGTCTCAAGGCCGGGCGTTCATCTGCGCCCATCTCTCAACAATGCGGCACACCACGGGGGAAACGTTCCTCCGAGTCTCGCCTCCAATCTTCACCATATCTAAATAAGCGCTTAAACAAGATGATGTGTCCGGCCTCCCAAACAACGCCCTCCTTAAGATATGCCCGCGCTGCTCGGCGACGGTCTCGCGCTCCTGAAACTCAGCAAGGATCCTTGAAGCATTGACTCGTAACTTAATGCGGGCATCCCAGAGCTTCTGAAGCCTGCTCTCATCCCCCAGGACGTCCATCAGCCTCTCCGCTTACCAAGCCCGGCCACCATACTCCCACAAAGCAGTGATATGCCCGCTGGGGTGCGCGACAAAGTTGCGCAGCCGGGCAAAGTCTTCCAGCCATTCATGTGCAATTCCTATCTCGCGCGCAAAGACCAGTGGCTTGATGCGTCGAAAAGTTCTTTCCGGCTGGCCGCAACCATGCTGGGCCCTTGAGGCGAGAGATTTTTTGCAATAGATCGGGCGGTGTTCTAGGCATAGGACCAAAGGGACTCGATGCCGAGGTTGAGGGCAGCCGAGCAAATTTGAAAACCGCTGGGACGTCCACAAAGCAGTTGGCAAGGGCAGGCTTGTCGTCGATCCAATTAGCGCGGGAGAAGATACCGGTGCCGCTGTCTGGGGACGTAGGATCCGTGGGTCATGTGATGGGCACCGAGTCTAGCAGTGTGGATTTTCCATCCGCGCTCGCTCAGCAGCTCCGCGTTCAAAACGGTTTGCCTTGATGCTCCTTTCAGTCCAATACCCGCTGCTGCGCTTCGATCGGCCAGTCGGTCTTGTGCTCAGATGTGCGGGTGGATTGCATATATGACGGTCTGTCGTAGGCAGAAGATGGCGTCAGGCTGTTGTCGCGGACGAGCCTGCCGTCGTGGTGCCGGTAAACGCACCCTGTCAACTGTGGTGTGAAAGTTGGGCAGATCCATGTGGTCTCGTTCGACTAAGGCGTCGGTACTTCGCAATGCTTGCATGTGAGTCCCGGTGGACTGACGGGATCTGGATGTCTTGGTGCTCTTCATATATTCTTTTGTCGCAGGCGACGGAGGCAGGTGGCGAAGGCGGGCTGTAGGAGCGATGGGTCGAGTGGCAGAGCGTAGTGCCCTTGGCCCTCGGACCATTGAACTGAGGGCGGCGGCTTTGCGCCCGTCGCGCTCGGCGGTGACGGCCATGAGCCTCCTCTTCAAGTTCTCATATTCTTATTCCAAATGAGCCACGCGGTACGCGGCCGAGTTAACTAGCTTCGGCATTTCGGCAAGCTAGCAGGAAACCTGAAGTTCTGGGAAGTTACGAGGAGTCTAAAACCATCGAACTTGTGCTGGGGATATCTGGTCCTGGTCGGTTGAGCGGTCTGGCCTTTAACATTAGGCTGAATCAAGTTCGATCCAGAGAAGAGAAGAAATGGTGTGAAGGCACGAGTGCTCTTGTTGTGAGGTGAAAATTCTCTCTGCAACTTAACCACAAGACTGTCGAATTATTGCAACAAATCAAGTTCGTTTCGATGGATCGGCCGCAAGTTAGTCTGGTATTAAGCGGTACACGCTGCGCCTGGAGAACTCTGCGACATGTGCCGAAGCTTGGGCCTTCATGGTGACATATAAGTGCTTTCATTTGATATTCCGAGAGATTTGTTGTCCAAGACACTTCGGGGAAGCAAGAAACGTGATCAGATTACCATCGAGTTCAAAGAGATATCGAGTATGCGACTCAGCAAGATCCGATTCCTCCGTCGGCAGCCAGGGAGAATCCAGAAATGACATGGTTCCAACGGTGACGCAACCCGCAGTGAGCGCGTCGAGTTCACGTTCTGAGATACCAGGTAGCTTGTAATGTGCGGCTGGACCTGTCATCATCGGTATAGCTGAGCGACTTGTAAATCTGTTGAATGATACCTTTTGAGTATTCCTACTGATAACTACCTCCGTTAGGGTATGTAGTTCCGTAGTACATACAAGACATTCACCGTATCTGCCTTACAGGTTCGTCAAGTCAGTATATTGAGATTGGGATATTGAACACTTTCTATAAACTGCTCAGCCACGGACAGTTACACTGTGGTAATGATGAATTACCACCCAGACCCGGAGGACGCCGTCACGCCGGCAAGCTGAAGCGGATTTATACTCAACTTAGGTACTTCTAGCACAGACTGAATGTGTCAGTCAAATATCAACTCTTCTTCCGCCTAGGAACTTATTCAGGTGTCACTGCATTGTTGCCCGCTGACTCCGCGATCGGTATTTGTATTATGAAGGCAATCAGTCAAAAGACTCAGGATATCATACCAAACCACCTTTATCTAAAGCACATCAAACAAACTCAGGCAAGCGGCAGAGGTTGTCCAGCGAAGAGTCATCAAATTGCCCAGGCCACGCCCTTGCTCCCATTTGTTTCTAGACTTAGTTGCCTCCTTACCTTGATTTATCAATTTCAACGAGGTAACTTAATCGACCGGCTGTCTGGACTTTGGAGCACAGAGAAATCGCGCATAGTAAGATCTCCAGTTGTTCGTTTTCCTGAACCCTAACCTCAAACTTATGAAAACATAATTTTTGTCGGATACGTCCGTAGTAGGTAGTCATTGAAGGTTTGCGCCTTTTGCCTTGGCTACCGAACAACACTAGGCTCAGCTTCCTACTAAGAACGACAGCGATCCCAAGTCTGCAAGTGGGATATCCCACAATGACTTAAAAAGGGCCCCAATAGTAGGAGGCACCTAAATTGGTACCTGAATCAATACTACTAACCTCTTGTGCTCGGTTGACGAGTCGTCATCGCTCACTGCTGACTCGTAAGAAGGGGATGTTGTTTCCATAACCGTTGTGGTTTCGGGGGATACAGTGTGGAACTCCAGGACCTAAACCCGCACTGTACATGCCGAAACGACTGAAAAAATTTGGCACGATGTTAATTCATCGATTTCAGGGAAGAGCTCACTCACAGCCCACTCATCACAGCCATTCCACGACAGTACGGACTTTGACAAGTGGATAGCCAGACGATCAAAATGACGCCTCAATTACGCGAAGACGAGATAGATGACCTGCTGTATGCAGCTCGCACTGGCGATAACGATGAACTGACGTCTCTGCTATCCTCGCTGGCTGAGAGGGAAAATGCGTCACCGGCCGAAATCCTCATAACCGCAAAGGACGAGGGCAAGTCAACGTGCCTGCACATGGCGACAGGAAATGGCCACACTGGTGAGCATCACATTCTTCACGAGCTTTCAGTGAAGATGCTTCATGTCAACTCCACATCAACAGCCGACAGCATTAGATAATCAAGGTATTCATCACTCACAAACCCGCACATCAGAAACCGTTGCCCTCCTAATTTCACACTTCGCATCCCGCCCCAAGGAAGAAGAGCAGGCCTTCCTCGACGCGCCCAACGAGTACGGCAACACGGGCCTACACTGGGCGGCTCTGGGCGGTCATTTGCCGGTTGTGACGCTGCTGGTCGAGCACGGCGCGTCGGTGGCGCTGGCCAATGACAAGAACTACGTGCCGCTGGACCTGGCGAGCTTTGGCGACAAGTTTGACGTGGTCGACTATTTCCTGGCGCAGAGCGGCGGGCTGGAGGAGGAGAATGCCCTGGGAGTGAAACAAGAAGAAGGAGAGGGGTTGAATGGGGCGGTTGAAGGGGTACAGATAGATGAAAAGGGCGAGGAGGAGGAGGAGGCGTGTGATGAGAAGGGGAAGGGGAAGAAGAAGGAGAAGCAGAACGAGGGATGTTCATCATGAAGGTTGACGGCCAAATAAAAAAAAATAACAAATGATAAGCCTCGTAACAGCTCACGTCTGTCGACCTTCGAGACTCCATTACTCAAGCCGTCAAGCGTACATCACTGGGCTGGCTTCAATGCATACATCCGGACGGGCAAGAGCGACACCCCGCTCGCGTGGAAGCCTCTTTGGATCTGAGCCTGCATGAGACGCAGGCCGGCTTCCTCAAAGATGCGTCGAAGGGAGTGGTCTGCTCTGCAAAGTGGTCAGCCACTGCTGGTTCAGGGAAGACAGGTATCTGCGCACCGTGTGACAGAGCTGTCGACATCGTCAAACTCATCCTCACTACCTGTGCTGTTGTTTTCCTTGACCACAATCCACCCGCCGTCGGGGTTCAAAGCCGTTCTGCACCTCTCGAGAAACGAGACAAGCTGCGCGTCGGTCAAGTGGCCGACACACCACTGTATCCAGATCAGATCGTACCGCACGCCGTCCTCAGGCTGCCAGTCCTCGAGGCCCATGTTCAAGATGCTTCTCACGCCGGGCTTGCCTTCTAGGCTGGCGGTGAACTTGGCGATGGGCTCTATGATGTCGACCTCCTCGGCGATGCCGTCGAGAAGGAGACCTTCGGTGACTCGTCCGATGCTATGAGTGTTGTGTCAGAGACGTGACGTTGATCGATGCACACTTCGGGCCTTGCCCCAGCCATCCCAGAGTTCCAGTCTTCATCAACTGCAGACGGAATCTGAGACTCACCCGGCCCCACCTTCCAGCGCGTTCCCTACAACGCGTTGTCCGGGCTTGGATCCAATGCCCAGCTTGGCTAGGAAGTTGCGGGAGCCCCGGAGGTCGACCCTCGTGACGTGCGGGATGCCCCCAAGCATTCCGTTGACTGTTGCATCCACTCCCTCCCAGTAATTTCTGCCATGGGCTTTGCTGATGAGGGAATCGACGGGTCCCTGTCGAACGTCGTTCGCATTGACCATGTTTGACTTGAGTTGGAGGTTGATGGCAAATCCTTTATAAGGGACTCAAGGTGGCTGAGATGACCGCTGGGGAAAAGTCGCGATGATAACCTGGAACTCAACCAACGTGAAAGGCGCTCTGATTAGCATTGACTCGTCGAGGCATGAAAGGTATCAGGGTTAGGGGTGTGAGCCTTGTCGTTTAGCCTCGGATCATCTCAAGTTATCCCAACTTTCAAGCCATGACCACCTCAGTTGTTTTTCAAGCCAATCAAAGCAAATGCAGGCCAGTCTTGTTTGATCTGTAAAGACTGAAGCGATCTAGGTCCAATGATTTGATTAGATGCTTGCAAATTGGGCGGGATTCTATACGTACCCCTAACCCTAGTCCCGTAACCCCCTTCTCAAGCCTGCTTGAATCAACAATCATGCCAATCATGCAGATTTCATCATCAGCATGCTGACATTGCCCACAGGCCACCGCGCAAAACAAGAACACATCTTCAACCAACAAGAACAAGCTCGCAAGCACGACTTGCAACGTTGACAAGCGTTGTCAGTTGCTTTATGGTTGGCTTATACGTTCATCAGCTCTGGTGACGGCTCATCCGTCGCGCGCGCCGCGCAGCCATTGTTGAAGGGAACGTCTAATTCGCACACCGCAATAGCTATATAGCGCACCGCTATGCCTGCGGCAAAGCTTTCTCACCACCCTGTAGCAGTACACTGTGAATGTCTGCCAGCTGCCACGCCCGGGGGCACCCTCCTTCCAATCCTTCACACCAACCACCAACCGCCAAGATATTCTAGCACTGGTCGGCTAGTTCATGATCTCTTTCAACAACCTGCTGTTGCCAAGCCCGTCAAGTATAATTCCTGCCCTTGATTCCGATCCTGAAGCTGATGACTCGATTCCCAAGTAGAATGGAAGCGACAAAATTGTCGCCGCAAGCGGCTGGAACAGGTTGGGGATGGTTCATACGAAGCTGGGCACAGCGGCACCACGGGCGAGCCCGCTTCATTGATGGATTGGATGCTCTGGATCCCAACTTCGAAGGCGGTCACGATGCCGCGCATGCCGCCGCCGATGCTGCTGCCCTCAAGGCTCAAGGATGATGCTGCCCTGCAGTAGCTGTCGGCTGCCTGCAGCGTAAAGAGCGCTCCGATGGGCCGTGATTGTGTAAAGTCATACTCAGTAACTTGAAGAACATCACAAAAGCAGTGGAATCCAGCCGCTCACGTTCAAGCTCGTTGATGAAGAGCTGTTGATTTTAACAGCGACAGCTTGGCAGGCAGCTGTCAGGAAATTCGCCATGTACTGCTGCAGGGTCGTGCGGGAGCTTTGCCTTATCAGATATAGCGGCGCACTATATAGCTATGGCGGTGCGAGGTGTAGACGTTCCCTTGTTGAATCATCTGGGCTGCTCTATCATCTACAGTACCTATGAATCGAGCTTCAGCGGCGCATAGCTTCCGCAAACACCGCTGATGGATTTTCTCACGGACCTCTTGATCGAATCAGCCTGGTCTGTCATCATCGTCAGAATAGCGGCTTGCCTGGTTGCTTACCTATTACGGGTGTCTACCAGGTAGTGCGCTACCTCTAGATGCGTTGAAGAATGAACTGACGCCCGAGAAGGGTAATAGTGTTCACATATCGCCGTAGTCAGCTTGTCATCAGCCATGGCCATTACCGCACTGCACGCAATCCTGCGACAATTCTCAAAAGCAGGCTGTGCCACGGCACGACCATTGACAATTGCCGCTATGAACCTCGCACAAGCACATGAGGAGTCCGCGTCCATGAGTTTACAGTATATATCCAAACTACATCTCCCTTTTCCCGTGTTCCTCTTCTCCTTCGTGCCGTCATCATTCTACCAGTTACTCGCCTGCAGCATCATCCCTAACTGACAAAGCGCGCGTCAATACCCACCTACCTAGGCACTAATAGTCGACTTTCAAGATGGCTACCAGCGTATCAACATACACAATACGCTATGACGAGGTGGTAGACCTGGGCGCGACCCTCAGCCGCGACAAGCTCCAGAAGGAGAATGACGACCTGAAGAAAGAGAACGCCGAACTCCGGAGGGAAATCGCACTGCTCACGGCCACGCCGGGTTCTCGTCCATCGAGCGACCATACCGTCCGGGGAAGAACTCCTTCGACCTTGCCCGAAAAGCCATTTATGAGGCCCACTAGGGCCTCCAAATTTCGACAAGTCGCATGCCGCCACGAGACCGAGAACGGCACTGAGAAAGCAAACAAGAACATGCCGCCAGCCATCAGGAGACACGACGGAGAACGGAAACCCCAACTACCGAGCCCTTGCAACGGCAACGCGTCCCGCATGTCCTCGGGACCGCGCTACATGCAGCCCACGAGCGCCAGCGTCCGGAAGAAGGACGCTCGACGTCCAAGCACCGCGACGGGGTTCAGGCCGACGCAGACCAGCGCCAAGGCGTCGGCGAACCGGACCAAGATGACACCCGCCGCCGCCGCACGAACCCCGCCGGCGGGCCAGTGCCTCGACGACGCGCTCTGGCAAGCGCTGCGGGCCAGGGCCGAGGGACAGCCGGTTCCCGTGCGCAGGATGACCGGCGGCCAAGTGTCGACCGACATGTCGCAGCCTCGGACCAACGGACAGCAGGCGTCATGGCCTGCGTCATCGCCTGTCTGTCCCGGCTTATCGGATGGGTCAAGCACCTATGTGGACTCGTTCGCATCGTCGCCGATGGGCTAGTGAGGTGTAAAGCTCGTTCTATACTGGGCCAGCTGCTGTGGGAATATTGGGATGTGGTCGGTATGCGACTCTCTTTTGGCGTTTTACAGGAATTAGATCTGGGTTGGACTGAGAGATTTGACGGAGATGATACCCTACTTGACCTTGCACACTGCTGGATTTTCTGTTTCGAATTCGCCCTTCTTAGGTCTTCGAATAAATGGCTTGGGCTGGCTAGGATGACTTGGGTCAGTTGGCCTTTTGTTAGCTAATGCTTAATTATTTGTTAATCTGCGTCTCCTCCTCTGTCGGCGACAGCCAGCTATAATATAACCTGTTCAGGAAGTCGAATCACCTGGCTCAAGCCGTGAACAGAAGGCTTGGCTCAAAATCTGAGCTTAGCCCTCACTCATCGAACTCCTGAACAGGCGGGGCGTTTACATTGTCTAGAAAGACAGACAAAGCGGAATGGCTCTGATAGGGGGAATTTGACCGAAGATGATGAGATGGCGTGAAGAGTTGTTTGTTGGTCGCGACATCTAGCTGGCCCAGGGTGAGGGACAGCGTTGAGTGTGGGTGTGCCGATTTCGCCCGTTGGCATCAGTGGGAGGGAAAGGGGGTAAGTACCTGTAAGAAAGGTGAAGGTATGGGGATGGCAAGAGGAGACATTAGCTCGGATAAGGTAAGGCATCCGACGGTACACGACGACGCAAGCGTCTCTGGGACGGGTGGATGATGGATCACAAGTTACAGTATGTACATAATTCGGAGTGGATGCCGCGGACGGCCGGGATTGTCGAGTGCCAACACCGGCCAGCCAAGTACGGCATCGGCCGTGATGAGTCCTCGTCTCCGTCGCCTTCAGAGAAAGTGAAGGTTATGGTGCCGTCATCATATACAGTCACTAGCGAAAACGGCTTCGGCTTTTTACTCTGTCTTCAACTGTCCGAGGGCCTGTTTTTGGGCCTCTTGGCGCTTACACCGTGCATGTTCACACCATCAAATGTACAGTACCGCACAATCTACATAGCACAGTGTCACTGCATACCTGAAGCTATAAGCAAGAGAAACAGGCAAAAATGGCCGTCCGCCTCGTGACAGTGGTTGCGCTTCGTCTTGTCACTAGCTTAATCACAAGTTCTAGATACAGAGGAGCAGCTGAAGAAAAACTTATCACGCGATGCTCATCGCAAGACATACCTAAGAGTATTGCAGACAAATAACATCGCCTTCCGCTTTTTTTCAGGCAATTGATATACGGGCAGGGCACAATTGAGACACGGGCAGGGCGTTATCCGGGCAGGGCAATGCGGAAGCTCCTATTGGCTCAAAATTTCCTGTTAAGCAGGGTCTTTCACTGTCAAAATTCTGCCGCATCCTCTCCAGA